TTATTGCTACTGTACCAGTACCAGGAGTGCTGGCTTACACACCTACCACCAATCCAACAAGAACACGACGGCAAAACATGGGGCTGGCGCGTGGTTCACATTAGTGAGACGACTCTAGTCTCTTCGTCAGTAGAGATAAACCCAGGCTTTGCTGCCGGAGTTGGCTTCAAAGCAGACTTGATCCACCGATAGTGTGTAGATATTCAACGGCGCAGTCCATACTAGTGAGATGCTGCGTACGAACCAAAGGCCGTGAAAAGCCCGAGATTTTGACATCATCATCAGTTTCGTATTAATTTGACAGCCTAGAAATCGGCCAGCGATAGTCCTAATACAGACGGTGAGATTACCAGATTAAACATGGATTGCTGAATAGCTGAATACAGCTAGCGGAACTTACGGGGAGTAGACCCAGGGGTAGATTATGAGCTTTTCACAGACAACTTCTCGATTGGATATTGCATTACTACTGTACCCAGGATGCATATGCATCAACCTGACAGCTTCAAGTGCCTCCTACGACCTGGGAACGTCGATCATTACCAAGCGATATGGAGCATCGGATCCTTCTGAACTCTTCTGTAATTGGTTGGCCCGTACGGAGTAAGTTGGGGCCTCACACCGCAACTTGCAGTAGCTTGAACTCTACGGTGGTCAGCGGCCTATGAACTATCATTCTCGATATTAGCCTCTCAGCCCGATTACGCCGATCCGCGATCCCTGGCACGGCCAGGTGTATTGCCGTCGATGTTACATCACGTTCTCTGTCGACTTGGGAATCGCACAGGAAACTCATGTACAGAATATTTATCGCTGCCAAATTTTTTAGGAGAATAGTTATGTAAGACTGCGCCTTCCTTAATCTGAAACCGTCGTCCGCGTATTCCATTCCTTATGTTGATATTTTTCCTTTCGTGTTTTTGAATCGGTCCTATTCCTCCCTTGGGTTCTCTCTTCTGTTCATCCAACGTTGCCCCCAAAAGTTCAATAATCCATCATGGTAGCGTACGAGCTGAAAAACCAGGCCTCTGTGATCAGTCGGGGCGAAGCCCGGAGTGGCATGTCCATTCAAGACCGCGATAATGCCCATCTCCGGCGTATGGGAAAAAAGCCTGTTCTTAAGGTATGCACGGAAATGTTCCCTGTTCACGGCGCAATGAAGTTCAAATCACTCACCTTTCTATCTGGTTAGCGTAACTTCGGCATTCTCTCGATCCTGGGCTTCAGTTGTACTGTCCTCGGTACCTGGGAGGGTATGCTTGGGTGAGTCCGAGCCTGACGAAGATTTTGTCATCACATGGTGATGGGGATTGCTAACGGCTTGCCAAGGACCTTCCTGAGCCCTGTTACAAAGTGGGTGAATATCACCACGACTCTTTTGTTACATACCGCTAATAGAACCCTAGTGGCGGCCCAGGGGGCGCGGTGTACGGCTTCATCTTCGCATGGGTTGGGACTGCCTGCATTTTTGTGGTCTTGTCGGAATTGGCATCGATGTAAGCTTGCTCACCGTCTTAAGGTCTTCTCATTCTGTTGAGACCGGCAGAGCTAACCCTCCAACTAGGGCTCCCACTGCGGGTGGCCAATATCACTGGGCTGCCATGCTTGCCCCGATCAAATTCCAGAAATTCCTCAGTTACATCACGGGTTGGTTTACCATAATCGGCTGGCAGTGCGGGTTTGCCGCGAGTGCCTTTATTACCGGAACCATGATCCAAGGCACGGCGGTCCTGGCCCACTCTAAGTATGATGCCCTGCCGTGGCAGGGAACGTTTATTGTTTGGCTGGCTTTGTTGGTCGCATTGTTGGTGAACTTGGCTGGTGGAAAGCTTCTGCCCCGACTTGAGGCCGTTGTCCTAGTTGTGCACGTCCTTGGATTCTTCGGCATCATGATTCCCTTGGTGTATATGTCTGACCACGCGGCGACCCATGATGTTTTTCTGTCGTTCCAGAACAATGGTGAATTTGCCACCCAGGGGCTGTCCTGGTTTGTTGGGATGACGAGCCTAGGATTTGCGTTCGCGGGCGGCGATGCCGCTGTCCACGTAAGTGTTGAGTTGCTCGGAAGCGATTCGATGGTTGTAGCTAACTATTTTTGAATTAGATGGCTGAGGAGATCGTAAATCCGGCGCGCGTCGTCCCTCAGGCTCTCCTACTGAGTGTCGGTATCAACGGCTGCCTAGGGTTCGGCATGTTGATTGCGATGCTCTACTGCGCTAGCGACCTGAAATCCGCGCTAGAGTCACCCACGGGATACCCGTTCATGGCGATCTTCTTCCAAGCAACTAATTCGCTGCCAGGGACTTTGGCCATGATTTCGATTGTCCTGGTTATTTACTGTTGCGCGATCATGGGACTGCTAGCCGCTGCGTCCCGTCAGCTCTGGTCCTTTGCCCGAGACAAGGGTGTCCCTGGATGGAGGTGGTGGAGCAACGTAAGTCAATAAACAATGATCCTGTCTGCATAAGTCGTTCACTTAACTCATCGTCATTGTCTCTAGGTCTCTCCGTCTAATCAATTACCGATCTATTCTGTCATACTTTCCGTCGCCATCTCCACTCTCCTGGCCCTTATCAACATTGGCTCCAGTGTGGCTCTAGGGGATATCCTTTCTATGGCCGTGTCTGGCCTGTACCTGTCGTACCTAACGATTTCTGTCCTGCTTCTCTTCCGCCGCGTCCGGGGAGACATTAGCCTCTATAACGACAACGAGGATGACATTATCAACGTGCCTGGTTCGAAGCTGGTCTGGGGAACATTCCGTTGCCCTGGTGTCTTTGGCACTTTGGTGAATCTCTTTGCCGTCATCTACATCACTATAATCATTTTCTTCAGCTTCTGGCCCTCGAAAATGAATCCCGGTGTGGATGTTATGAACTATAGCGTCGTCGGTATCGGCGGCTGCACCATCCTTGCCACGCTGTATTACTTTGTGCGCGCCCGCAAAATTTACACTGGTCCTATCGTGGAGACTTCGGACATGTCGATGTAAGCTTCCCAGGTGGCATTGGAGGCTGAATTTAAAAGTCTGAGTACATAGATCTCTAAATAGCCCTAAGGATCCTCCTCGCGCTCCTTCGCCATTTTAATTCTAATACATATCTCGGGACCGCCCGTTCTTCAGGGGTTAGACGCTGCCGCCCTTCCATCTCTTCCATTGTTTCCTCCCACGGACATTACAGGAATACTAAGCCTTCACGACACATACCGTGACAGGCGACGATTGCCATGAAGTCGTTCACATAGTTTTACCAATGCTCTGAAAGCAACACCCGCTATGATTCACGTGCGGCTCAGTCCTTGACGTTCGAAAATTGAAATAGGTACCTAATGGGACCCCCAGCTCGGAGAATGATTAGATCCGACAAGATTCGATCTTTAAACCCACAAGACGCCCAGGAAGGAAACAAGGGCGCACAGATAAGAAAGTGCGTTTGAAGCTCGCCGATAAGAAGATTTCTGCTTAACTTTTCCACACTGCCTTCAAGTAGATGCCCAACCTCAAGTAACCCAAGGAACAAATTGGTGATGAGACGATTGAGGGACTTGCCAAGGGATTTGCTTCAAAGGTGCAAGATCAAGTTTTCGGTCTAGCTGAGGTTTTCTCATTCCTACTGGAGCGGAAGAACTTACCTTTTGACGCTGTTACTTCTATAGAGGCTAGGTGGCGAAAGTAAGGAGACGGTGAGCTAACTAAAGGGGGAGGATCCTTCCGTGCCGTCAACTCTGTAAAGGCCTTGAAAGTTTGAATATCGGGCGGATTTACGCCTTCGGGTGTAGTGAGAGGAATCTGACGGAAGCAGTTAGAGACCTGGAGAGGTGGCCGCCCGAAGGTAAAGTATCGTTGAGAGGCACTAACTTTTCAAAGATGCAAAGTGCACGCCGGTAGTCTCCCTTGGTTCTTAGGAGAACGGCACGTAAGATTTCTGAGTTGTTATGGTGAACGAAATCCACAACGAAGGTAAAATTAGCGGAGATCCTTGCTCTTGGTCATTGTGTGGGTGAATAGTGATCGTTAGGCTAGCGGGGCGAGGTGAGAGGGGAGGCTGAATGGTGGGAGACCGCTGCTGGACGCTCCTAGCGCGTACTTATAATTTATCTATCTTCACTGTCTATGCCAGCGGTTGCGAAATATTTCCCTGTGCCATGATGTACAAATATGCCTTTTGACGGCCAGCCCTGCACCCTGGGTGGTCTTCGGGTGAAGAATATCCATGTGGGTGAACTGCCGCCTGAATCTGCCTGAAGTGGTCTGAAGCCCGCCTGGATAAAGCGGCGAGCGGCTCAGCACCGAACGATGGGCGCTACGTGAGGTCGGCCATACTTTTGGCTGTTGTACGTTTTTGTTGACCCGTTTTTTGTCATTCATTGGGACGTTTGCACTTGCCGCTTTATTCTTCAGCCACCCCAGGCCCTTAACCGAACGCCCCGAAAGCCCTCGATTCTTCACTCGATCGCCCTGAATTCCCGGATGTCCTGGCTGCCTGCTCTTGGCCCTGCGTGATACGTACAGAAGCGCTGTGGCTGTGCCAAGAATTGATTGGGCCAATGAAGCAGCTCAGCAGCTGCATCAAGACCAAAACAGAAATGATCGATTTCTCCTAATCACCACTCCCCTGGCAAAAATAGAGAACCACCGTACGGTTAATTTTGCCTTTAAATTTTCTCTCACCATTGTTAGCCTTTCCAGGTCGAGCCACGCTTACCACATCCTGCCCAAGGGAGCTCATACAGCTTGATCTTTTGACTACAGGGCAACCCACTACGTACATTTCCGTTGGCTGCGAGGAACACATCGTTTAGCATTTCTTGCTCCAGTTCAGTGCTGCAAGACCTGCAGACATCGAACAGTTGACTGCCGCTGGTGGTTGGACACTTGAATTTGCGATGTCATTCGCATTGTCCTGGATGTTCGCCGGGGGTTTTGCCTAGTTGCACGTTGCGTGGAGTATTTTGATCTGCGCGCTTCTACTTCCACCCGCGTATTTACTCTGGTCAAAATGGACGCCAAGCGTCCAGAGCCAATCGGGCGTACGAGACGCCGGCGCCGTGGAATCTGGAGACAGCATTTCGAGGGCCAAAGATAGCAATAATAATTCAAGAACTGGAAACACAATTTCAGGAGACGGGGACCCGGACTCAGACGCAATCTCGAGTCAAGAGACGACGATGAAGCCGTCCTGTGACGATGTTTCGACGCTAGTGGCCAGCGCTCCTAAGCCAAAGTTGGACCATGCGGACTACACTATAGGCTGGATCTGTGCTATAAGCACGGAGCATGTTGCCGCGCTAGCATTTCTCGATGAAGAGCACGAACGGCCAGAGGATCTGCCCAGCAATAACGATAACGATTATACCTTAGGCAGAATTGGGAAACATAACGTTGTTATTGTTGTCCTGCCTGTCGGGGAGTACGGTATGGCCGCTGCAGCAAGCGTCGCTAAAGACCTGTCACACAGCTTTCCTAATGTCAGGATCGGTCTGATGGTCGGCATTGGTGGCGGGGCGCCAAGTAGAATGCATGACATACGTCTCGGCGACATTGTGGTTAGCGCTCCTGGTGGTGGGCATAGTGGTGTGTTCCAGTACGACTTTGGCAAGACGATATAAGGTAGAACCTTCCACACAACGGGCATTTTAAACCAGCCCCCACGCTTTCTGCGCACCGGGGTGAACGGACTCAGGACCGATTATAAGAGCAAAGGTCATCACCTTGAAGAGGCCATCAACACCGTTCTGGAGAGAAACCCAAGACTGCGGGAATACGAGCGACCCCACGCTAGTACTGACAGGCTATATCAAACCGCAGTCATCCATCCTCCAAACAATGAAGCAAGCTGCGCGACGTACTGCGGTAACGATCCATCAAAATTAATATCGCGACGCGAGCGGACTAAATATAACGATAACCCGACCATTCATTATGGCTTGATTGCCTCAGCGAACCAGGTTATAAAGGACGCTTCGATTCGGGATAAACTCATCGCAGACAAAGAGGTTCTATGTTTTGAAATGGAAGCAGCTAGGCTGATGAATCAATTTCTATGTCTGGTGATTCGTGGTATATGTGACTACTTAGATTCCCACAAGAACAAGGAGTGGCAGGGCTATGCAGCAATAGCGGCGGCTGTATACACGAGAGACCTCCTGTACAGAATTCCCCCGACTAAGATTGAGACCGCAAAAAAGATCTGTGATATTCTATCTAGTTAGTTAAAGAGGTTTGACAATCATCATATGAATAAATAGTAACCTATTTAAGAGCAGCTAAAACTCCAACAGACACTGTTTCGGTCACTCGAAGCACGCCAGCTCGCCACGCAGGGGCAACTTAAGCTCCAGAAAGACGAAGCCCAGTGGAAACGGTTTGATGAGCAAAAAAAGTGTCTTCAATTATTCCGTCTCACCAAGAGCGACAAGGACGCCACGTACGAGTGGTACAAGGATCGCGTGGAAAAGCGAGTGGAAGGCACCTGCCAATGGTTCCTCAAACATGACCATTTCCAGGAGTGGCTAAAAAATGACTCAGGGCCACTGCTAGTCTCTGCGGATCCTGGCTGTGGGAAGTCGGTGTTAGCCAGGTACTTGGTCGACCACGCACTGCCACGATCGACGACGATCTGCTACTTCTTTTTCAAAGAGCAAGACCAGAACACGGTCCGCCAAGCGCTTTGCGCACTAATCCACCAGCTTTTCTCTCAACAGCCGTTCCTGATTAACCATGCCATCCCTCAATTCCGCAAAGATGGGCAAGGGTTAGTCAACTCTACACAATCGCTCTGGCGTGTCCTTGGAAATGCAGTGAAAGATCCCCAGGCTGGGCCTGTGATCTTGGTTATAGACGCCGTGGACGAATGTGCCGAGCCAGATTTTGAGAACCTGGTGCAGAATTTGAAGAGCCAATTTAGCAGCGACCCGATGGGCTATAGCCGTTTGAAGTGCCTTCTGACAAGCCGCCTATATGAGCAGATATTGTCTAAGTTCAACCATCTGTTGCGTGTCTTTCCAAATATTCATATACCAGGAGAGAAAGAGTCGAAAATTATCAGTCAAGAAGTCAGTCGCGTCATCAGATACCGAGTCAACCAGCTGGCAGAGGAGAAAAAGCTCCCGAGCGAAGTCAAGTGTTGTCTGATAACTCAATTACTGACAATTTCGCACCGCACCTATCTCTGGGTATACCTCGTGTTCGACAACTTGAATGCAACAGGCTTCACAAAAACGGCAACAGGGGTTGATTTAGCCATTGGAACTTTACCGAAGACTGTCAACGATGCTTATGAACAAATTCTGAGCAAGTCTAAGGAACCATTGTTGGCTCGGAGGACCTTGAGTATTATCTTGGCAGCGAGCCGGCCACTATCTCTTTCGGAAATGAACATTGCCGTAAACATACAGCAAACACCTCAGCCTATACCTCAACTTGATCTAGAGGTAGAAAGAGACTTCGAGCAAAGTCTCAGACGTTGGTGCGGATTATTCGTCTCTATCCATCACGGCAAGATTTATTTTCTACATCAAACTGCTCGCGAGTTTCTCCTTGCCGATTTGGCATCGCCCACATCTGTTCCATCAGGGCTACAGTGGCATCACTCGATCACTGCTCGCCAAGCACACACCGTCCTTACGGAGGCCTGCGTGCGCTATCTGGACTTCTTTAACTCTGATGTTAGGTATCCACCAGATGCGAATGGGGAAGCCAGAAACTCCATTGACTACCAGGCCTTCTTGGACTACTCGGCCAGAACTTGGGGTGCTCACTTTCGCGAGGCCGACATCACTGGCGACGCTGCAATTATACCTTCCGCTCTGAAAATTTGCGATTCGGATTCGAAGAGCTACTCAGCATGGCTTAGAATCTACTGGGAAACCACATTTACCAGGATTCCTGATAATTTTACAAATCTTATGCTATCGTCTCATTATGGCCATCGTGCCGTTGTGAAGCTGCTGCTCGAGAACGGAGCCGACATCGAAGCCAGGGATAGCGATTATGGTCAGACGCCGCTATTATGGGCTACCGAGAGCGGGCACGAAGCTGTGGTCAAGCTGCTGCTCGAGAAGGGAGCCGACTTCAAGGCCAAGGATAGCAAGTATGGTCGGACGCCGCTATTGTGGGCCGCCGAGAGGGGGGATGAAGCTGTGGTCAAACTGCTGCTCGAGAAGGGAGCCGACTTCAAGACCACGGATAGCAAGTATGGTCGGACGCCGCTATTGTGGGCCGCCGAGAGGGGGGATGAAGCTGTGGTCAAACTGCTGCTCGAGAAGGGAGCCGACTTCAAGACCACGGATAGCAAGTATGGTCGGATGCCGCTACTGTGGGCCGCCGTAATGGGCCACAAAGCCGTGGCCAAGCTGCTGCTCGAGAAGGGAGCCGACATTGAGTCCACGAGTAGAAATGGTCGGACGTCGCTGTCGTGGGCCGCCGAGAGGGGGCACGAAGCTGTGACCAAGCTGCTGCTCGAGAAGGGAGCCGACGTCGAGGCCAATGATAGCAATGGTCAAACGCCGCTGTCGCTGGCTGCCGAGGAGGGAATGGAAGCCGTGGTCAAACTGCTGCTCGAGAAGGGAGCCGACGTCGAGGCCAAGGGTAGCAATGGGCAGACGCCACTCTCGTGGGCTGCCGAGTGTGGGGAGGAAGCCGTGGTCAAACTGCTGCTCGAGAGGGGCGCCGATACCGAGGCCAAGGATAGCGAGTATGGTCGGACGCCGCTGTCGTGGGCTACCGAGGGCGGGAGCGCAGCCGTGGTCAAGCTGCTGCTCGAGAAGGGAGCCGACGTCGAGGCCAAGGATAGTAATGGTCAACCGCCGCTGTCGCTGGCTGCCGAGAGGGGGTACAAAGTTGTGGTCAAGCTACTGCAACGGAAATCTCGATAAGCAAAACTGTACTACCTTTAGTCGCGCCCCAAGCTCCGTCGTTGCTTTACTGGCTATGTTTTCATTTGCTCCCGGATGGATCACCACCGTGAGGGCCTGTGGCTTGGCGTTCATGGAAAGGATTCACGCTCTTGGCCCTTTTGAATCGTGGGTTCTCGCGTTGTACCCTACAGGGATCTGGTAGATATTGAACTGCTAGTGTATTCAAGTATGAATCTGGCGGACTCTATGCTTACGGAGTGCTTGTCCTGCACTTGCGCATGAAATACTTTCGCTAGCTCCGATTAAAACCTGATTTAAAATATGATGTCTTTTCCGCATGGTGTATTCATGTGGTTGGCGCGAAAGAAAGAGTGATTCAGGCCATTTTTGAAACACAGGCTTGAAGTCTCAGGAAGTTGCTAGGTATAAGCTCAGTTGGAGAAAAGTTCCGCACGGACACTCATGCTTATGTGCTAATTACTCATTCAACCAAGGGTCACCTAGTTAGAAGTTGTCTCGCTGATGCTCTTGCGGGCGGCTCGAAACACAACAACCTGCCAATTGTTTGTCCCAGCCTCGCTATATCCCCTCTTGTGAGATCGGAACTTTGCGGGCCAGCAAATTATACTTCTTCCAGCCATTCCTTGCAAATTTGGTCTGGGAGTTTGTGTGGTTATATTAATCCCTGCATTCATGGTATCCCATATCTCTTGCCAACGATTGTCCGTCCTTATCCATCTCGGCTAACAGCAGTTTCAGCAGGGGCTTCGACCCTTGTAGAATCCACTAGAGAGAGATTAGAATTTCTTCCACGAAGAGCTGCAATAGTTGATAATCAGCATCGTATATCATGAAGCCGTGTATCGGGGATACAGATTTATGCATCCGATTGCATTAGCGCGCGTATGCATGCACGCGCTCGCTTATTGCAGGGATATGCACACACACATGTTGACACTATCTACTACTATACTATCTACTATCTATACCAAACAGGAAGGGCTAGATATATAAGGAGACTTATTTCGTATTATATATTTAGTTCTTCGCGATCAATTATACATTGTTACTTAGTTACTACCTTAGTACTTTGCAAGTTCACCTTTAAAGACAATCTAACCTACAAGTAGGGGATTCACTTAGTAGTATCACTTAGTGATTCACTTACTTAGCGCGCACTTCTGGCACGTTCTGCAAGATACTCAACAGGACCAGAACCCGACGTAAGGCTTTGCATAGCAACGGTACAGTTGCGAGATACTCTTGGAATCCGCAGTTGGAACTAGGCGAGTATAACCCGTGGACATTCTAACTCACAGTGACCAGTCGGCACCGCGTAACATATACGATATCAATAATGTCAATTTTAGAGAGCAAGCATAATTTATCTATTATTTTCCAGAGATAAAAACAAAGTCTCACGCAAGGAAAACATGGCTGATTCCTTTGTGAAATACATCAACACGTCTCATACAGCAGAAAGTTGACTAGTTAACTAACGTAGTTCCCGGCTTACCTGATAACCCGGTTAACCCGATAACCCCAAAACACCATACTAAATGCAATTTTTTAGGTCATAGCATATCAACAACTAGAAGCATTTCTTTCTTTGATTTTTAGTGTCATATAAATTCTGAGCACTAAAAACGGTGTAGCATGACTCAAATATTTTGAAAAGGGTTAATTACCTATATTACCAAAATTACACTCCGGTCCAGTGATGTAGATATATATATTAATATTATACCACTTGGAAAAATTTCTCGACCTAATAAATATACTTAGCATGGTATATCAAACACTACGGTATCCCTAAGATGACATTCTTGGCCTTTGGGGTTGAAATATGAAATTATGAAAAATCCCATTTAGTATGGTGTTTTGGGGTTATCGGGTTAACCGGGTTATCAGGTAAGCCGGGAACTACGTTAACGTGATTCACAAGCGAGCGGATCACACAAGCGAGCGGATCACCTACCCCCATTGCAAAATTTCAAAATTGATTATCTTCACCAAGACCCATTAATTTAACTAGATAATTCGATTTTTACATGAAGTAATCCTATGCCCTGTCACTCCACATCCACTGCAGGTAGGCGGAGCCCTCCTGGCCGGTTGAATCGGCTGATTAGGCAGATCGACCTCCTCATGCGATACTACCTTATCAGCTTCTACTAGCTGAATTGGCTGCTGAGCTAGCTGTAGGCCCTCTTCAATTGTTAGGCCCCCTTCGTGTGTAATCCGTCTAGTCGATCGAGTGCGCTTTTGGCGTTTCTTTTCATTTGATGCGCGCAGATCGGCGTTCTCCTTCAGTAGTAGCGCAGTGTGGTGTAACGCTCGATAGTGGCCCTTAAGAATCTGATCAACCACTAATTTTAACGGGCTTGGAGGGCTTTTTGACCGCCGATCTATTAGATCTTTCATCATTTTAGCCTGCTTTTGTAGCTGGGCTACTGTTTTAGGCGTTTCTGGTGTGAATTCGCTAGATCTGCTGCTTGGTCGGCTTGATGGTGGTGAAGGCGTTCGGAGGGAAATATTTAGCTTAGAAAGCACTCTGTCAGCATCAACTGGTACGATACCAGTAGCTGCAAAGCTGCTTTGAACGATATTCGGCTGAAAAGCTTCTGCCCTTGCGCGTGGATAGTCTGCAAGAAAATCAAGCTTATCGATGTGATTATAGCCAGTACGGGCTAAATCGCTCACAAAGCAACCGTAGGCACGCTTTAGCACTGCAAAGCACCCAACATTAAGCGGTTGAAGCAAGTGAGACGAATGCGAAGGCATACAGAGTGGTATAATATCATTTTCGGCACAGATTCGATCGAATTGAGGTGTAAGATGGCTACCGTGCCCGTCAAGGATCAATAGCCGAAATCGCCCTCGTACACGCGAATTGGTGTATGGAATAAAGATCTTTTGGAGCCAGCGAAGGCCGATGTCATTGGTAGTCCAGCCATTACTCGATACCTCGATTCGCCAATCCCTAGGGAGATTTGTTTCAAACCAACCAGCGATATAAACGGAGCCTTTGAATATAATGCAGGGCGGCAGCGAATAGCCGTCAGCGCATATCGTTTCGATCGCAGTGACCCATTCGCGATTACCTGGCTGGAGGATTGATCGCCGACCGTAGTATTCTGCTCGTGTAACCACCGTTTGCGATGATATAAGGCCCATTGCGAATCCAGTCTCGTCAAAGTTGTAGATATCCTCAGGTTGGATACCGTTCTCATCAATCGCGCGTTGCACCGTCAAAAACCACTCTTTTATAGCCTTTGGATCCTCGTTAAGAGCGCGCTGGTAGTCATATCGCCTAGAGAAGCGTGTTCGAATCTCATCACGTCGTTTAATAAAATTTGATACCCAATTGATACCAACGGTCGGCGGAGGGGTAATTCTACGCGCTGCAAGAAGAATATCGGCCATTTCTCGTACAGTAGCACGCCTAGGCGCTGCTCCACGCGAATCCATTGAGAAAATCCATTGAATAAGCGAATCTTCTTCTAATTCGGTCAATTTATGCGAGTTTGCGCGTGTGTTATCGCGCGATACTCGGTGATTAAGACGCGTATGTAGTGTGCTGTAGGGTATATCGTATAGCTTCGCTGCTGCACGAATAGATTTGACACGGCTATTTTTAATATCATCAAGGGCTAGTAGGATCCTGCCCTCCTGATTGGCCGATTTCTGCGAAGATTTAGTTCGAATTGGTGGCATGGTAGGCGGTTGAATTAGGTAGGGTGGTAGGAAGACGCGATTTTGGGTGGGGTGATCCGCTCGCTTGTGTGATCCGCTCGCTTGTGAATCACGTTAACTAGCCACGTTGAGTCAGCTTCACACAACCTTTTGAGAAAAGCGAGGCGAGGCCAAGCGCAGTTGACTGTATGTGGGTTATTCAATAAGGCGAGCCAGGAAAAAAGACATGACCAGACTGGGGTTCGATCCCAGGACCTTGTCGGTGTTAACGACACGTGATAACCAACTACACCATCCGGCCGCTGTTCATATAAGTTTTTCTTAAACGAGACTCAAGGGGGATCAATTTCAAGCAGTGAAGAAATTCCATCGAACAAATTTCATGAGAGATGGGATATTATTGGCGTAGAGTTAATTATTAGAAAGGCGGTGGGCTTAGGGGTTGCAGGCGGCGAAAGGTGGTCAGTAGGCGGTCAGCCATGTGACCCTTTACTGTAGCCAAGGCAGGAGTCAGTGTAGACAAACACCCGGTGGGTAAATTTTATGCCCGACCTATAGATCCAGCTGCTTCATTAGAAGGATAAAAGGAACACTACGACTGGAGGCGAGCGCTGGAAAGTAAGAGGGAAAGCTCCGTAAGGAAAACCCATCTTCGATTTCATCGTCTTGTATGTCCTCTGCGTGATATATATTCTATGCAGGTCGTCATAGCGCCCTTCCTCCGAGTTGAAAGACTGTGATTTTCTATTTCAATAGAAACTATAACGAACTGACTAGTCACTTAGCATAGAGCAATTCGTAGTGCTAACAGGTTACGACTGCGGTACTCTCAATTGACCGGGATTACCATACGAACCATTAGGGTGATTAGGTGGACGCCGAGTCATCCTTTCTAGTGATAAAACATCCCTGCTTAGTTCGGCATTGAGAGAAGGTCAGGCACCCATGCAGCTGCTTAGTTCGTTCAATAGACAACCGGGTTTATTATAATTTAAGCAATTTATCACCCACGCAGAATAATCACTTATTTACCTACTGAATCCCCTAAATTCGGCACATTAACATAGTCCGAAACATGGCAACCGCGACTGACATCATCACCTATATCGGTGTTTCCCTGGCAGTGCTTGGGGGAATGCCTATGTTTTACACATCCTTATCGGCGTTATACTCGAAATATCGTGCCCAGAGAATTCTTCGATCTTGCGACTTTGACATCCCGAGACGTACCAGGTTGATGGCTGGAGTTGTCGAGCTGGAACTCCCTCAATTTTACCTCATTGCTCTCTCTCGAGAGGACTCCCGTTACTGGGGGAGATCACAGAGCTCATTTACAGCTATCGGAGCATCGTGGAGTGATTTTAACTGGTCAAGGAGGAAAACAGGCAGCATCACTTCGCGACTTCAGATGTCTGCCCAAGTGAATTTTCCTAATGCAACAATCAAAATTTAACAAGCTTGTCGAGTTTCTCCTTGATCGAGGAGCTTGTATCTGCATCGAAGGTAGTGCCAATCTCCTTCGAAATCGTCTTGAGACCCCACTGATGGAAATCGGTAAAGAACGTGCTGTCCCAGTCCTGACTGTTGCAAAATATGGAAAAACCCATAATTCGCTATCCCTCAACATTAAGTGGGTAGACCACTTTCCGATCAAAGGGAGGAGCTCACTGCCTCCTAACTACATCGCTTTTCCTCAAGAAAGCGGATCTGGTCACCTTCCAGGGAATTCACGGCAATCCCTTGTCTTCCAACTTAGTTCTGATGGCCTGGAAGCTGTGTTTCAAGCGAATACCAGCGAATACCAGCAGCCAAGATCTGGATATTTGTGACCTAAGCGAGTTCTCTCTACCATGAGACCCCTATAGCAAGGAATACTGGCCTTGGTTTGCAACCGCAGTAGTTGCCGTCGTTGGGTTTTCAGAAAAAGCGACCACCACGTTCAGACCCAGGCTTGATATGTTCTATCTCGCTCGTGGAGGCTGTATTCCGCTAGATTGGATAAAATATGCACTCGGTGGCATATCAAAAGATGAATTGCTAGCATATAAAGGGCTCAAGAAATTTGCTGGATCTTATTCACATGAATATGTCCGCTCTAAGATTCTTAGTGATTCTGGGGTACAACAATACGACGGCAAAATTATCTCCATTGAAGAGCTAGCAGCAATGCTAAGGCCAGCAAGAAATAGTGCGGTACAGGTAAATGTGACCCAAAAAGGCAAGGCGACACAGTGCAAAACGACACAGTGCAAGACGACACAGTGCAAGACGACACAGTGCAAGACGACACAGTGCAAGACGACACAGTGCAAGACGACACAGTGCAAGACGACACAGTGCAAGACGATTCAGTTCAAGCCAACTCAGGGCACCACGACACACTGCAAGAAGACTCAGCTCAAGACGACTCAGCAAAAGAAGAATCAATGCAAGAAAACTCAACGCAAGACGAAAAAATACAAGTCCGCGAGACAGCACTGTCCGTAGATAACACAGAAAGATCACTAGAGGAAACGAAGGCTGCTTCACAAAGACCTTGCCCGAAATTCACACGCGCGAGACGCCTCTTCAAGCACTTGCTACCTAAAGATGTGGAGTACATCAGAACACACGACGCACTCACTTTATGCTTACGGAATCTCAAATATGACCGAGAGAAGGAGATTTATACACAAAAAGTGGATGCCTCTGGAGAAAACTTTGAAGAAACAGTTCAGGCGACAGCTGGAAGAATACTTCAGGAGATGATTTTTGATAATTCATTTGCTGAGGCCATATTCAACATATGGAAGGAATGTGAGCAACCTCTCACCGGGAAGGTAATATTAGAGCGATTCATAAGCAGCGACTCGCCCCTTCCAACTGACTGTGCCGTATTCCTTCTTGCTGTTACTGGATTAAGGGCGGAGTACTTACTGTCCGGAGAACTGATACATGACTTTCTCCAACTATGGGATACTGTTTATGTGTCTTCAAACAATATTCACTTTGGTTAATGATGTAGATCTAGCGTTCCGTGTCGAGCATTTCGATAAATAATTAACGACACAAAATTGTCGTTACAAATCTAATAACTTCCCATTAATAGCTTCTCATGATTAGGACTCAGCACCGAACAGGAAGCAATTATTTAAAGTGATAGTTGATCTTTCATTGTGTTAATGTTGGTGTTGCCACGTGGTAAAATTTTCGTAAAGCTACAGTCGACACCTCAGGCCATGAAATTTGACTACCTACAAAGACGCTGCCTGGTCTGTCTTATCGTGAACGGACTTTAGTTGCTTATCGCCAGGCTGACAGGACCTACAACAAATTCCAAAAATTTAGAGTATTCCTTGGAAAGCCACACGTCATGAAGTCCACATCCGAGGCTCTCAGGGCGGCTTCTGATTGGCTCAATTTCTCCCGAGACCATGGATGACGAAAGTCGCCGAAGACTCCCATGACTCGGAGCAATGGTGCTGCCGAAAGCAACCAAATCATCGGCCTAGAGAAATCCTTTTCGGTGACATCTCCGAGATGAACCCGGCGATCTGTTTTCGGTAGCCACTCATATTGGTAAACACGGATGAATCGGCCTGTGGCGCTCGGAAACTTTCAGGGAAGCCTTGTTTATGTCGAAGTCGGATAGTTGCCCGAGTAGAAGATTGACGAGGCCTGATTATTAACTAGTGCATACACAGAATGTTTCTGGAACAACCTTAATTTCGTTTGCCTTGTGGAATGGATCCGACAACCTAATAGAATTCTCAACTGTCGGAGCATTTACCCCCACCAGAACCATAGAACGACCAGCAAGAAGATGAGAAATCGAGGAGCAAAGCTGGTAGCTCCAGCGACTCCTGAATTGTTTAAAAGGGATGTCCCCTTCATGCCTCCAACGATTCATTCGCAAAACACCCCACCGTCTATTTCCCATTCCCTGTACCGTGCACAGCGTTGATTCTGCATATTCACAACACAATGAGCGTCACATTCGAAGTTTTCCGTGGTTCCAAGGAGGGAAAGATCGTTGCCGACAAGACCACCCGCACCCTGCAGCCCAATGAGGTCTACATTGAGACCACACACTCCGGTCTCTGCGGTACAGACGAGCACTTCCTCTGCTCCGGCCAGGTTCTTGGCCACGAGGGTGTTGGTGTCGTGCGAGAGATTGGACGTGACGTCACCAATGTCAAGGTCGGCGCTCGCGTCGGCTTCGGATACACCCACTATGTGTGCGGAACCTGTGAACAGTGCTTGAGCGGTACGTGATAACCCGAAATGATAACCAGAAATGACCAAACCGCGGGAGGAACTGGAGCTGACCTGATCTCCTGAATAGGCTGGGACCAGTACTGTGAGAACAAGAAGGAATATGGTAGTCACGATCACGATCTTGGATCCTTCAGCGAGGGTGTCGTTTGGGATGCTGGCTGCGTCGTCCCCATTCCTGATGGATATGACTCCGCCGATGCCGCCCCATTGATGTGTGCCGGTGCCACTGTCTGGACTATCCTGACGGAGTACGGTGTTCGTCCCACGGACCGCGTTGCTGTTATGGGTATTGGTGGCCTAGGCCACTTGGCGATCAAGCTGGCCGCCGCGATAGGATGTCACGTCGTCGTTCTGTCCAGTTCCGAGGCCAAGCGTGAGGAGGCAATGGCCTTCGGTGCGTCCGAGTACCACGTCTTCAAGGCCGGTCAAGAGATCAAGAATTTCAAGCCAGTGAACCATCTCTTGCTCTGCGGTAGTGCCAGTGTCGACTATCAATCGTGAGTTTTGAATCCCGTAATCATTCAGGTATCCAGAAAACTAACATGGAAACCCCAGTCTGATGCCATTGATGGACATTCATGGCTCCATCTACCCATTGACTGTCGACCTGACTCCCTCACCCGTCCCTCTGCTCAGGATGTGCCTCAAGGGTGTCCGTGTCCAGGGATCTCTTGTTGCATCTCGCCGCAGTCTGCGCTCATTGATGCAATTCGCCGCCGAGAAGAAGATCACTCCAACCACCATGACCTTCCCATTGGATGTCGAGGGAGTTGAGAAGGCCATGCAGACCCTTCGTGATGGCAAGATGCGATACCGTGGTGTCCTCATTCGTCAGTAAACTAATGAGCTTTGTACATGGGGTTATGATAGTTTTTGAGTGACACCTCATAAAAAAGTGTTGTGAATCTGAAGATAATGAATTTTAGATGCTCTATGAGATATTGAGTATGCCAGAAACAATGCTTGCAGTTTTTTTCAAAGTAGATTCCTGATCATTCAGAGATATTGCTTGATCTCTCTGCGTCGTTCTTACCTTAATCGATACAACTCCCCTCGAGTTGTTTCAGGTTTTCTCCATCCACGCTCGTGCCGCATCCGACGGACGATTTCGTTCTTATCATCTTGACAATCACTCTTCTCCTCTTCTCCTATTTTCCTCTTCTCCTCTTTTCCTCTTCTCCTCATACTGATATCACAAATATCGGGTGGTTGTTCTGCATCCAGATAACTACTTCCAGTTCTCAGTTTATTCTATCCGCTCTACGTTTACGAGTCGATGATCTATCGCTGACTCTCATTAGTGAAGCAATCATGGCAATCATCTCACTGGAAAGTGGGGTATCGGCCCTGAAGATAGATGCACCACTCCCAAACGTCAGCGCTGATGAGCATGCAAAGGCATGGCGTGGAAGTGCATATCAGTTTACCGACAAGAATACCTGTTTCTACTGCGAGAACCCTGGCCATGGTTCAAATCAGTGCAAATACCTCAATCTGGCTGTCCGCAACTCAGACTGGCATCCTGATCCGAAACTCTGGGTTTACAAGGAAGGTGAAAGTAACGAAACGCTGGGAAAACACAGACGTGGCCCGCGCCGCAGCAAGAAAGGCAACACCGATGACCGACCCCAGGTAATCAAGACTAAGCCATCCGATATTGTTGGCAACAATATTCAGGATGCATCATTCTCAGTTTCGACTACGCCATTCGAAATCGTTGGCAACAGTGCCCAAGGTCCACCACTCACAGTCTCAATCCGGCCTCCCAGAATCGCTGGAAATCTTGGCCACCATACATCTTTCTCCACCCAGGGAAGTTTGGGATTCACGAATGCCATTTGGAACTTCAATCTTGTTCCTTTGCCAACCAAAATTGCCGCCACTTGGAACTTCCCCCGTCATCGTTGGGCAATCACCGTGGGCAACTACCGACACATTGCCAACAGCAAAGACTGCTTCATTGATTATCATGAATAAACCCGGGGGGAAATTCCTCAGCAATTCCAAGACATCGATGGTACTGTCCGGACTGCCGTCGGCCTTGGGCGAGTTAGGATCGATGTTATGATCAGGACTGGCATTCATGGTGAAATTGTCCTGAATGCTATCTATTGCCCTGGACTGCCTTTCAACCTCATGTCCTTGGGTATGCTTCAACAGGAATCGGGTTTGTACTACCGTACCCTGACTTACAGTCTGCACGAGATGTCGACCGACCGAATGATGGCGCACACCTTTGAGCAGAACTACACGCTCTTCCTGCGAACGACCCTGGACTGATTGCATGGGAATTGAGGGTGGACTTTCAGATAGCGCTCACATCTACAGGGCTATCTACCGAGAATATTTGCTTCACCAGCTATCATGCGGTTGCTGGTGATATCATGGATTTTAACTTAGCGAGATCTGTTCATAGGCAAGGAAAATGAATAGATGCGATAATTTTTAACCGTGGAATGTTCTCGTACTATACGTATGAACATAAAATGCAACATTCCATAAGCTATGCAAGGTCGTTGTCACCCACAGCGCGCACTTTGAATGCGTGGTATGTCTTCCCTGTCACAATCCCCACAGTATTCTTTATATCAGGACAATGGAAGCGAGAAAGTTGCTGCCGCATCTCCAGCTCGCCAATTTGAAGCTGCTCCACGATCTCTGTAATTGCAGAGTACAGAATCTCGATATTGCCATCCTCGATTTTCACAGCTATGCCAAGCCCGCCGTCAGCCCCGAGCTCCCTGGTCCGGTCCGTCTGCTTGATGCCGATTCCATAACAACCGGCCGCGCCAAGCTTGCCAATCAACAGCCCTTGAAACGCTCTCATAAGTACCGTACAGAAACGATCATCTCCAGCGACAAGTTCAGGGTATGTAGACATTGCATGGAATATCTGGCTTAGCGCCTGTGTCCTTGGAGTCGTCCCGGAGTAGTTAGATACTGCTTGACTGGCTCCATCGGCAAAGACAGCATACATACGAGCCAAACAATGCAAGGGAAAAGCAGGTGCTGGAAGATTACACCCGTCAATTCCCCATAATGATCCATTGGCTTCAAGATGGCATATTTCATCCACAGCTTCCCTCACTCGAACTTGCATGGGGTTGGTAGGTAGATGGTAGGTTCCCACATCCGCGCCGAGAGCTTTCGTCCCCGCGAGCATCCCGGCATGTTTCCCAGAACAATTGCTGTAGACCGCTGTTGGAGTGAAATCCGCCTTGATCCATGAACGATTGACAACATCGGAGACCGCGGGGTGACCGCCGCATTGCAAGTCCTCTTCGCGGCATTGTATCGTCGATAGTATACTTCGGGCTCGACTCACGTGGCGGTCTTCGCTGTTGTGCGATGCACACATCAGGGCCAAATCGGCATCGTCAAGGTTGAATTTCTGCAAAGCGCCTGTTTCAACGATCGCTAATGCTTGGGCGGGCTTGGCGGCGGATCGGACGAGAGTAATCCTTGCAGGATCGCCAACGGCGAACAAAAGGCGACCGCGGGCGTCAACGATGGCGGCGTGGACGCCATGTCGATTTTCTACCACGCCGGCCCGGTCGGTGATCACACAATCTGTTGAAAAGAGGGTTCGCATGCTATTGAATTGGTCCTTAAGGGAAGTCTTTGTCCCGTAATAAGTATTTGAAGGTTCTGAATGTTCCGCGGGGTTCTCTTTGTCGTGTGCTGATTGTGATCGGCAACTTTCAAGACTGAAGGACCTGAATCTTTCCCACTGGCCGTTCCAGAAGATAATTTTTGGATAGAAGAAGAACGAGTGATAATAGATGAGAATCAGAAAAGCTGTATATTGTGCCAATTTGTAAGCATATCTATTGCAATCTCTCACACAAGCATAAAGACGCTTTATGAGTCAAAAATCAGCGTTGTGCCGATGCTATGCGACCTAACACGCTTAGACCCCCCGACTCGGCGTTTGAAGCCAATCTTAGTTCGGAATTTGATAAGCGTCATGTGTGTGCTTCGGAGTGTTTATCCGCTGCTTGGTGATATTGAGGAGCCTTTTTTCCTCTTTATCGGAGGAGAAGCAAAAGCTTGTGGTTACCAATGACTAGGACTTTGCCAGGCTTAATGCTTCCCACTGCATCCCTCATACGTCTAAATCATACTCGTCGTTTATCTAAGCAATCAATTAAACTAGAAGATCAAGATTTACTTTTCAAAGAATAAGAGTGCTTCAATTGAGCTGGAAACAGCCTTATGCATAATCTACGGCGAAATCCGCGACGACAACATGGCTTTGTAGATACGATATACGCTCGCGGCGCCTAAAGCTGAAGCATTTTCTGTGGGGAGATGCGTCCTGACTCCTCACCTGCCGAAATCACTCCAGTTGAGACGACTGTTTAAGCGGAAGCCTAAGCCAGATGTCTCAAAGTACGAGCAGAATATCCCGATTTACTTCCAGAAAGATTCCCCTCTGTTCGCCAAGTTACCACAAGAACTACGCGACATGGTTTACCGATATGTCCTCCTCTCGCCGGAATATCTCGTCGTTCGCAATCTCTACGAGCCACGGGCTTTCGTCCATCTCTGCCGCTTCGAACAGATGGAGAGAGAGGGGAGTAGGTTGAGACTACTTCTGGAGCGGCTACCCAGTGATGAATGTCCGCAGTTCATGGGGCTACTGCTGAGCTGTCGCCGTGCGTAAGTAGAAATGATAATATAATATCAAATGAGGTCGGTACTAATGATTTATATATAGCTACGAAGAGGGAATCGACGTTTTCTACAAGGAGACAAGATTCTACTTCGGCCACGGGAAAGCTCTCTCCCAACTAATCAACTTCCTCCCTCCGGCCCGTCTGAACACCATCAGACACATCACCCTCGAGTCTGCTCTGTTCCCAGGCTTCGATGAGACGAGAAGTTTGCCGAAATGGAGCAGGATGATCCGAGCTGCAAAGCAGCTGCAGGGTCTGCGCAGTGTTACTGCGTACGTCTCACCGTGGCAGGTCGAGCAGACCGAGGAGATGGTGAGATTACTTGAAGAGGCCAACATCCTGCGTTTGGAAATCATCTACGCGTATGTTTTCCACTGGAGTTCAGGTTGAGCCCTTCAGTAACCTCGGGTCGATGGTTGGGGTCGTTGTGTTGGTTTTATGCGAGGCGGAAAGGGGGGATTATTGAGGCCCTGGGCCATCTTTAGCTAGATGGAGATCCTGAGCTAGAAGATATCCATATTTACACGCCCAGACTATTCCATGTAGCAAACGTAATAATCTGGAATTTGAAAGCCCAAGTCAGTGTTAACATGATGTTACGCGTTCCTTATCGCCATTTCTACTGTTTGATTCCCTTTCCTCATCCACCTCGCACGAGTTGATAGAAACTCTCCCCGTCTTACTCTTTTCCCTCACATCCTGCAATCTCATCTTAGTCTTTCGAAAAAAATCATCTCGTCCCGAATACGGCTCAGTTCTTCAATAATTACAAAATGGAAAGGGAAAATTCCATACCACCAAAAATCAAGATTCGACGCGGCGTGACTCCTCCTCTCCCCGAACCACCAACAATCACAAGGTCCTACAGCCAAAAGGCAGCGGCCTTCTCCCAGAATGCCTCTCCCCTCTTCAAGCTACCACAAGAGCTCCGCGACGAGATATACCGATACATCCTGGTCTCGCCAGAGCTTTTCTAATCCGTCAAACCCCTTCGCCGGATGAAGAACGTTTCACCAGCCACTGTACCCTGTCCCTGGAAGACCCCGAGAAAGATAAATACGAATTCATAGTCATGGCGAAGATCTGCCTCGCAGCCATCCCAGGATCCTCGGACTCCTACGAAGTTGTCGACGAGTGTAAGTCAAACCAACCCCCCTCTCACATCGTGGACAAGTCCAGTCCATATCTAATATCGAAAAAGCTACACCGAAGCAATCGAAACCCTCTACGCAAAAAAACAGCTTCTACTTTGAAGGCGGCACAATCCTCCCCCGCTGGAGCGAGATCGTACCTCCAGCCCGCCTCAGTCTCATCCGACACATCACGCTCGAATCCCCCACATGCTGCTGGGGCCGCACCCCGAGCGTCCAGGTTTGGAGCGACATGATCAAAGCCGCCAAAGGGCTGAAGCGTCTTCAGAGTGTTACTGCGATTCTCCTGCCGTGCGTGTGCAATTACTCTGCGGTGCTGGACTTGCTGTATCCAGTTCAAGATGCGGAAGTTCCGGCTCTGGAAATCTTGTATCAGTTTGCTCATGCTGATTCAACGAAGGGGTCTTTGAAGGGTTTGGGGGCTGATGGAGTATTTGAGTTTTAGCTGTTTTTATTATTTTTCCTTTTGTGGTTGTGTCTGTATCTATCATCTTCCTTGAGACTTCCCATTTTATGAGTCCTGCTGTTTCTACTGCCATCACAGGTTAAGTAGAGCTCTAAGCGGTCACAATCATCCAGTTTCCAAAATGGGCTTACCAACCGCTGTAGAGGGGCCCAATGAGTGATATCATGGTAGTGTTAAAAGTTCTACAAGGAGATGAAGAAAACATCACAGATTGAATATTCGTTTATGTATGATGAGAATAGAAAAGATCTAAATTTAACACTAAAACCCGTGAGGCCAACCGCTCTAAACACATCCATGCAAGTCTAGAAAACATGATAAATCGCTGATTCATACCAAATGCACGCCATCCCATAAGAAAAAAAAACACGCTAAATGAAAAAGACACGCTCACAAAAGAAAATCCTAGAAGTATATGCAAGCAAACCAAAACACCAGCAAGAGAAACAGAAATTATGTATAGAAAAACACATCCAGTCCACCCATGCCAAGGTAAGACAAAACAAAACCTAAAAGCTGAACAAACCAGTCCTCTTCTTCCCGAACGGATAAACCACCAACGCAGCAATAAACAAGCCGACTGTAATCCCAATAGCAACCTGAATCATACCAAAGCCCAAACTCGCCACCGAGGTATCCGACAGGCTACTCGTGGAAGTACTATTCCCCGACGTCTCCAGATTATACCTCACCTGGTCCGCATATTGCACACCGGCAATAAGCGAGCCACTCGACGCCAGACCAGACGGGACCAAGACAAAAATACCAGGTAAAATCGCCGTCGCGGCATGACCGTGCCAAAGACGACTGTACAAATTACCCAAGACGCCGATGGTGAAAGCGCCGACTGTATTTGCTACTTCAGACTGGGTGCCCAGTTTAGTCGTGCTGAAGTAATTGGTGATGTAGCCTGAGACGGCGATGAAGACCATGACAGGCATTTGTTTCCATTTTCCGTGGTTGACGATGGCGAGGAAGATGGCGTAGACGGCGACGAAGGGGAATTGGCGGGCATATGCGGACCCGTAGACGTCCAGGTTTGAACATGTTGTTGCGGAGGTAGCGTTGCGGTCGATGAGGCCGTAGATGGTTGTGCCGACTGTGATGCCGTAGCCGAGGAAGAGGGAGTAGATGATGGCGTAGACCATGCGGATAGAGCCAGCGATCATTTGGTGGGATTGCAGTTCCAAACTGCTGCAGAGGACCATGAAGCCTGGGAGAATAAGGGCGATGGAAGATTGGGCGAGGGCGGAGAAACAGAAGAGTTCTTCTGTTTGGCCGTTGCGGGTGATTTTGATGCTGCCTAGGGCGCGGGCGAGGAAGGAGGTTAAGACTGCGGCGGTGACTTCGAAAACGTTGGAGTAGAGGACGGAGCGGGGTGCGAGGACGTGTTGCATTAGGCCGACGAGACAGCCTAGACAGAAGATGACGGGCATGTCGATGGGGCGGGCGCTGAAGGCGAAGGGGCCGACGGTTGCACTGGCTAGACCGTACATTAGGACGAGGATCCACTTGTTGAAGCGTGGCTTGCGCGACATGATCTCGTCTAGTTCTTGGGTGGCTTCTTCGACACCGATGAGGTCGTGCACGACGTTCTTATACACGTTATGCGTGTCGGCCAAACGTCCCAGATCGACACCCTGCACCATGCGCACTAGCTTGACTTCAGCCGTGCGGGTGGTCGGGTCATCAAAGGACATGATCATACAACCGGGGAGATACAAGAATTGACCCGAAACCTCGAGGACCCGGGCCGTCATCTGCATATACTCCTCCAGCCGATGCGTCGGTGCACCGTATCGCATCAACGCACGACACAGCTGCATGATATATCTCTGACGAGCCAGAATCTCCGCAATATGCACAGTAACCCGAATCTCATCCTCCAACCGCGTCCGGCGCTTGCTCTTCCGATGCCTCTTACCGGGGTATAGCGAATCCGCTGCACCGGGCGGGAGACTCGCACGGCTGAGGTTCATCGAGGCATCGATCAGCGAGGAAGTCGACCGGTGCGCAGACTTCTTATACCACTTGATCTTCTCCTTGCGTGGTGTCGCCGAGCCCGAGGTCGGCATGGACGGGGGCATAGACGGGGACAGCGAGCCGATTTTCTTGGGCGTGGTCGCGCCCGAAGAAACCTGTGTATCGCTATCCGAGTCATCGGTGATGACACTCTCCGGTCGCGACGAGCTCGCCGTTTGACTGGCATGCAACTTCAACAGCTGCGAGAGAATCCCACTGCCACCAGCAAACCCACCACTGGACCGGCGACGCGCAAAGTCCTTCAGCATGCCCTCGGGGGTCGTTTGCCCAGACCGCTGGTACGCACCGCGCGGACGACGCTTCCGCAGGGCCAGGTTATCCTGACCCTGGGTCATGCTGCGTACCAGACGATGTGCCTCGGCGCTGGGCGGGGGCTGATGCGGCTCCTCGCCAGCTTCTAGCATGCGCAGTCGATCGGCATCGTGACGAGCACGGCGTGCCTGGAGCTCCTCCATGGGGATATCCAGATCATCTGGAAGCATGGATGCACTGAGGGCCTCGCCCTCGTCTGGCGGACGACCGAGACGCTCGGTCAATCGCACGGTCTTCTGGCGGAGGAGCTGGCCCGCAGCTCGGAAGCGGTCGCGCGCCGGATGAGCACGCTCGGTATTGGGGTCATGATGATCGCGTTTCTCAGGATCGACCGGGGCATAGTCATGGTGCGGCGTGCGACCACCAGCCAGACCCTTGTGTCGTGAATGAGTCGGGGCGGGCGGGGTGACGGTTCCGGACAGAGGGACATCAGTCCAGTCCGCGGGCGGCGGCAACAAAGGACGGTGCGCGGCGTCGGACTGATCTGAGAACACTCGATGCGAGCCATCATGAAGATGATGATATCGTTCACTTATCGAGCGACTGATAGAACGGAAGCGCACTCGTGGCGATCGAATTCGCGATTGTTCGGGTTCGACATTTACGAGTGGCTCGGTGAGGGGCACGGTCTCGGGTTGCGGCGTGGGATCGGCGAGTCCGGCCTCGTATTGATGGGCATCGGCGGTAGTTTCACGCTCGAGACTTTGACGGCTGGAAGGATTGATGGGACTGAGGGTGTCGATTGAGGGGAGAGGGAATTCGGCATATTCTTCGTTGGGACTGGGGTGAGGAGCGTGAATTGGGTCGGACATGCCAGCGAAGGTGGAGGGCTAAGGAGCCCGAAGAGGCGAAAAAGGTGAAATGCTTGTCCAGTCGAGGTGAGATGGAGGAGAGAGAGATTGTTGGATGGTTATAGAGAGATCAACGAATGGACTGGGTGATGAGAAATGCGAGAGGTATAGCGATTGTAAGGAAGAGGATGAGAAGAATGAGCAGAAAAGTTGGACTAAGAGAGAAGAACCCAGATCTACAAGACTCAACTAGTTAGCTAGTTCAAGATAATCTGACTATTTTCCCATGACACATTCCAGACCGTTCGGGCCGGAGACAAGAGGGAAGAGGAAAGCGAAGAGGATCCACGGAACCAGCGAAAAAGGTTGATCACTAGGATGAATGCAAAGATGTTTGGCTCTCGTTGGTTCATTCACGATCGACCGAAGATCCACCGACTACTTTGTCGAGTACTGTACCCACGATAAGGACTCCCTTCTTCCACCTCGGTGGATATCCATACTGAAAGTAGAACAGTCAAACCTCAAATATTTTTGATATTTTGAAATTTTGATATTTCTCATGGTCCAAGCACCGCTCGGACCAACTGCATGACACTCCCGGGCGCATAAAATCGTGGCTGATCCAACTGGCCAGTCACAAATGCCCCGAAGCACACCACGTACAGCAGTGATATCCTGTGCCTGCAGAGATTTCTTCTTCCTTGCGGCTTTTTATCCAACCACACCCCGGCTGTTTATCACCGAACTATACAAGGGTACGGGAGTACACAGCACGGAGTACTGTAAACCGTCAATTACATGCCATTGCATCATCGCTGACTCCGTACTCCGAAACTGATTGCAATGTCTATCATGCGAGGAATGACGATTATCCTGCTGAGCCTATGACAGGCTACTCATATGTGTTCTAGAACCACACACGCGTACCACTCGGTATATCATCAACGACAGGTGGGGTTCTTAGGTGGCGATCCCGCTTGGCTTATCCAGCTTGAATGATACTGGCAGTGGCGCCGCAACCATCCGGTTCGTTGCCCATTTTTAGAATTTAAACCCTTTATTCCATAAAAAATAAATGTTTCCCACATGTTCGGTCAAGCCTAAATAGATCTAGCCACCCCGGCTAAACTCCCTATCCTAGAAGGACCTTAAGAAGAAACCACTCTGTAACTTAGTACTAAATTAGTTCCTTGTCATTCAAGATGGACCCTGGCGGCCCTTATCAGTTATTGAATATCGTTGGGCTGCACTCATAAATATCGGAGCGCCCGAGGAGTCGGTCGCGGGTCCACAACCAACAAAGGCATACCTCAAAGCCACCTCCTGGAACTTGGTCCTTGCGACAGAGAAAGGGGGAATCGAATATGACAGCGTCATGATCCACTACGATGGGATCATCGTGGATACATACAGTACCACTTCAGTATTGATAGCTACGTTGATACAGTAGCTGCTCGGTCGGGCGAGGGGCAAAGGAAGGAGGGGCGAAGGAGGTGAAAGAAAAAAGTGGAGCGGCGGTTAAAACGACTGATAAACATAGAAACAAGAACAACATAAGACAGTTTAACTTACTACACAGAATCATAGACAAAGGAAAGCTGAAACGGAGTAATCCACCCCGGAATATTCGAAGGATCGTTTAAGAAGAAAAAAAGAAAAAAGTAATATGAAGGTGTCATTGAGATACTAGAATAGTAACAAGGGGATTTTTCCCACGTGGCGATCATCTTGAATACTGAGTAATTCAGTACGATCATCTCGTCATCCTGGAAAGTGATGAGAACCCTCAGCCTTGTAAGATAACAGACTCAATTGCTCAAATCATTACATACTCCCATAACTATTATTTTAGACAGCAGATTCCAGACCTCTGATATCTTCGTCCAGACCTCCAAAGACCAGCAAGTGGGCCCCCAAAGGCCAGCTGATCGATAGAAATTCTCCTCCCGTCACTAGAAGCCCACTTGAACCACCCAACACCGATAAAACAGAAAAAAAAAGAGAAGATGGAAACAGGGAAACTTGATATCCACTCAACAGCTGCAGCAGTTCGCACGGCCCCATCAAGCTCCCCTTTGCCCAAGCCATACGCTAAAACCCATACATACAGTAACACTCCCATCACTAGTTCGCAGTTCGCAACACCTTCCCTGCCTAACATCTCCCATATCTCCCAGATATCTCCATCTCATCAAGAAAACGCATTTACTCCCCCCCTCTCCTTCCTCGGCAAAGTCCACCCATTCAAATACCCCACCCCAGCATTTAAATACGACGCATACCCCAACCACCCCAAATAAGGCGCCATCAACCAAAACGCCGTCCGATCCCCATCCCACCAATTCACCATTAAAGCCGTCACATTGCCAATAAGCAGAGCCATATCACCCAAGGCGGTAGCAGGGCGTCCCAGACCGAAGAACAGCGGCATCCAGATAAAGTTCAGTCCTAGCTGTGTGGTGTATAGGGTCTGGGCGGAGAGGTTGGCTTCTTGGACGGCTGGAAGGAGGGATTGTGATGCTACGACTGTTGCGTGGTGCGAGGCGTAGCCCATTAGACCGTAGAGGATGGTCCAGGCCGGTCCGAAGAGCCAGGCTGGGGGGCTGAAGGGGGGTTGGCGGAGCTTGCCGTAGGTTTCTTTGGTCTTTGTACCTGGATGATGGGTTGGTTAGCAAGGTGCAGGGGAGGAGTTTGTAGAGCTTGCCGTCTATGGTACTGGAGTCAGGAGGATTGAATGGTTGATATCAGTACGTACGGTTGGTCAACAGTGCAGACGTCGTGCCCACAGCAATGGGCGTCGCGACAGCCAAAAGCGGCGACGTGAGAATAGCCTGAGGCAGGGCAAATGACCACGGCATGATGATGACGTGATAGGAGCTGTAGACTGGAAGTTGAGGGTTTCCGTTTCTGGGGAAAATGAGGGTTTGACGATCTTAAGAACGTGGAGAGATGTGATGGTCCTGAGCTCCTTTCCGATCGCGATCTGAAGATGGTCGATGTTACTGACGTCATTGGCGTACCTGGGCGGGTAGAAGCCACCTTCACTTAGAGCCAAACTGCCATTCAAGGGGGGTTGTCAGGGACGACCTGGAAGACTCGATGCTGGCATTGTGGGGAAATTATTGGTGATGCCTACGATCGGAGGGGGCTGTAGGATATTTGATTTCGATTTGACGCGGGGTCGGCATAACGGCATATGTTGCCAGATATTCTAGAAGTTGTCTCAAGGTACTGCACCACGCCTGTCTCCTGGAATTTCGGCATAGTCTCCATTCCCGATACCGAGAAGCTAGAGGTTCCTCTTGAAACCGATCAGTTTTGCGTTATTACTATTTATCGCATTACCTAGTTTCTAAACCAACCGCTCAATATGTCTCTGAGTCTCTCGTCTTAAATAAGCTTATTTGATCCGTCCACCAATAAAATTCTTCGGCTTTTCCACATTCAAGCATAATAATATCCCACGCCAAAGCCCGTCTGATACCTAACACCCAACGCCCATATAGATGATTCTGTTTATCTGGCTTCTTCTTCTTCTTAAAAGAATTGTATTTGACCTGGGTAGATCAGCAAATACAGTTGCCTGTGTGCGCTAAGTTGCCAAGCATTGCCAAAGAACCGAGACCTCTGTGTAACTAAGTAGTCTTGCAACGTGGTCCTCCCGGGGACTTCTGTTTTAGATACCATCCCACATTGAATTCAGTCTGACATTCTCGTGAGAAATGCAAAATCACCGGCATAGATTGGATCTGACAAGCAGCGTGCGATCGGTGTCTGCTGGCCAGAAACAACATACAATGGCCCCAAGGCAGATATAAAGTGCTCGCGCTGAAAGCCAAAGTATGAACAAGCAAGTCAGGAGAAACCCAGTTGGATCAAAACAACCCCGGTGATTTTTCAGTTCAAGTCCTTCCAAAATGCCACTACGGCTGCTTTGTCTCCACGGCTGGGGAACAAGTGAGAAAGTCAGTCTGCCTTTGTTCCAAGTATACCACACCCCTAACAACCCATACAGATACTTCGAACACAACTGAGTACAAAAAGCCAAAGTCAAGCTATATCCAATGACTATTCTAAAAGCCCGCACCATCTATCTAGGCAGCCTAATCGGAGATTTACAACGCGATAACACGGCCACATTCCACTTTCTAGAAGGCGAACTCGACTCCGACCCAGGTCCAGGTATCGCAGGATTCTACGATCCCCCGTACTACAGCTACTACCGCTTCCCACGGACCTTTTCCGCAACGGACGACGACGAAACCGACATCCTAGCCGCATACGAACAACTCGACGAAGCCATCGCCCTACACGGCCCCTTCGACGGTGTTCTAGGTTTCTCGCACGGTGGAACCCTAGCAGCAGGCCATCTAATCCACCATGCAAAAATGTCGCCGGGACAGGCACCACCGTTTCGGAGTGCAATTTTTGTAAACTCTCTTCCTCCGTTTCGGATGCATCCTGGTCAGCGGCCGGTTATTGAGCAGGGGTTGGAGGGGTGGATTCGGATTCCGGTGGTGAATATTGCCGGGGCGATGGATGAGTTGTTTGAGTTTTCGTTGGCGCTGTATCGGATTTGTGATAAGTCGTGTTCGAGTTTTGTTGTGCATGGGAAGGGGCATGATGTACCTACTGACAAGAAGAATGTTGCTATTATGGCGGGTGCTATTCGGAAGTTGTCGGTTAAGATTTTGGGGGTTTGGTAACATGGGGATCGTAGGCATGAGAGGCATTGTTGTTCGGTCGCAGGGGAGGCTGTAGTGTGAGATCTATGGTGTATAAAACAGGCAGACAAGTTTCATAATGGAACCTAGTTTGTTGTATGACTTGGTGTTGCAAGAATAGAGACGGTGATTTTCACCCTCTCACTACTAGAGCGCACAATATCTAGTGTCAAATGAGCCGGACAGAAGTGTTGTGAGTGTTCTGGAAACGTCAACATCCCCTGATCGCCAATCTTCCTTTGATTTTTCTTTCAGTGTTGTCGTCAAAATTCCCCATTCTCTACACACCTCCGGTCCATCTTTGTCATTACAGAAATCATGAAGGAGTTTCCCATCATTCTGGAGACCACCAGCTCTGAGTTATTCGAGGAGTGTATAAAGCAACCAGACATTGAAGTCGGCCATCCCTCGGAAGACCTGGAGGACGATTTTTCCATTCTCTTGGAAGATGCATCCATGCCAATAGCCGTGATCGGAATGGGCTTTCGCGGGCCCGGAGATGCAACAGACACGAACAAGTTGTGGGAGATGATAAGCCACAAACGGGAAGCATGGTCCCCAATCCCGAAAGAAAAATGGAATAACAAAGCATTCTATCATCCAGATCATGCTCGGCATGGCACGGTAGGTCGCCAATGACGAGTCCAGGTGATGGATGCTTACATGCTAAGTTGACTCTTAGATCAATGTGGAAGGAGGCCACTTTATTGTCGAGGACCTATCACTATTTGATGCCCCATTCTTCAACATGACGAGTGATGAGGCGTCGGTAAGGACATATTATGCTACCAGGATTCTTGAGAACTGACAGCTATCAGGCCATGGACCCTCAACAAAGGTTGCTGTTGGAGGTAACCTATGAAGGTCTAGAGAATGGTATGGTCCATATGAGAAGCATTTACATACAGTGATTGATCCTAACATATCACAGCTGGCATTCCATTAGCACGAGTCACGGGCACCAAAACTTCTTGTTTCGTGGGTTCATTCTGCGCAGATTATACAGACCTCCTTCTCCGGGACCCAGAGTGCGTGCCCATGTACCAATGTACAAACGCCGGACAGTCTCGTGCGATGATGTCCAACCGAGTTTCATACTTCTTCGACCTGAAAGGCCCAAGTGTCACAGTGGATACAGCGTGCTCTGGGAGCTTGGTGGCCTTACACCTCGCATGCCAAAGTTTACGCACGGAAGATGCATCGATGGCCATCGCCGCCGGTGTGAACTTGATTCTCAGCCACGAATTTATGTCGACAATGAGCATGATGAGGTATGATCTAACGCTCTCCAGCAAGCCTTTCTTACCTATTAGGGTAGATTCCTTTCCCCAGACGGACGCTGCCACACATTTGACGAGAAAGCAAATGGCTATGCCCGCGGCGAGGCTATTGCCTGCCTAATATTAAAGCCACTAGCAAGCGCACTGCGCGATGGAGACGCAATCCGAGCAATAATTCGTGGAACGGGATCTAATCAAGATGGTCGCACGCCTGGAATCGCCCTACCGAGTGGAACTGCTCAAGAAGCACTGATCCGAGACGTCTACGCCAGAGCCGGACTCTGCCCAAGTGAAACGCAAGTCGTCGAGGCACATGGAACAGGCACACAAGCTGGGGATCCGGTTGAGATTGGCGCGATAGCCAGATCATTTGAGCTCGCGCAAAATCCCGATCATGTATTGCGGATCGGTTCGATCAAGACTAATGTTGGACACCTTGAAGGGGCGAGTGGGGTCGCTGGTGTTATCAAGGCCATCATGATGTTAGAGAATCGGATAATATTACCGAGTCGCAATTTTGAGACGCCGAATCCTCGAATATCTTTTGATGAGTGGAATTTGAAAGTGAGTTTACTACCTTCTGGGCCTGGATGTCGTGAATGTTAACTTGTTTAGGTTCCGCAAGCCCCCGAACCGTGGGGCACACCTGGGCCGCATCGCGTGTCCGTCAACAGCTTTGGCTATGGTGGTAGCAACGCTCATGTCATCCTGGAGGATGCTCTGGGGTACCTAACAGAACGGGGTCTGCAGCGATGGTTTCGAAGCCCATCATCCGCAGCGCAAAAAGGGCCACTCGTGGATGGACAGTCAGAATGTTCGGAACCTTTGCGGCAAAGAATTTTCATGATCTCTGCATTTGACGAGTTGTCATGTCAGTCTCAGATTGCGATATTACGAGAATATCTCGAGTCGAATAAGGAATTTGTCCAAGACGACTTCGTGGATGACCTGGCCTTTACACTCAACGAGCGTCGGTCAACCTTCATGTGGAAGGCTGCCATAATAGGATCTTCAGTTACCGATTTATGCGACTCGCTCTCAAAAGGTCCCAGCATCCGGTGCTCAGCTCGGAGACCTACATTATCATTTGTGTTTACCGGGCAAGGAGCTCAATGGGCGGGGATGGGCAAGGAGCTGCTTCACACATATCCAGTGTTCCGGGAGTCAATATCTAGGATCGACAGATATCTAGCGGAGCTGGGGTCTCCGTTCTACGTGTCTGGTGAGTTAAATGTTTTGGATTGACATACATAGCTGTCAGATGACAAAAATTCTGAGCGGTTGATTAGAGGAACTTTCCAGGAGCCCGGAAGATTCTCAGCTGAACCACCCACTTTTGAGTCAAACTATATGCTCAACCCTACAAATTGCTCTCGTGGACCTGCTTGCATCGTGGAACATATATCCCAGCTCGGTAACCGGACACTCTAGTGGTGAGATTGCCGCTGCATATGCCTGCGGTGCACTCAGCATGGAAGATGCCATGGCGGTTGCATATTTCCGAGGCACAGCGGCTAGTCAACTACTGATTGCTCCGGACATGAAAGGAGCGATGATTGCTATTGGGATGTCCAATGAGACTATTCAGGAACACTTGGACAGGCTGACCACTGGAAAAGCCGTCGTGGCTTGCATCAACAGCCCGTCCAGTGTGACGGTATCCGGGGATGTGACCGCCATTGATGAACTGTCAGAAAATCTTAAAGAGAAGTCGGTGTTTTTCCGCCGTCTGGCTGTTGATGTTGCATACCACTCGCACCATATGAAGATTGTTGCTCATGATTATCTCGCCTCAATTGAGCACATATCGCCGCGACATGGCCAGGATCCGGTATCGCCGCTCAATAAAATTTCCATGTTTTCATCAGTGACGGGGACTGAGATACAGACTAGCGAGATGGGTGCTCAATACTGGGTATCAAATTTACTGGGGCAAGTAAAATTCTCCGAGGCCCTCAGGAACCTGTGTTTTGAGACAGTCGGTCAACAAATCGTGACAGGTCTGATATCACGAAGGAGAGTCAAGAGACACGGCGCTGCACAAAAGCCCAGTGTAGATTGTTTACTGGAGATCAGCCCGCATTCTGCACTTGCTGGCCCAATCAAGCAGATCCTACAAGATGATACTAAGCTTCGAGCAGCCGACATTACTTATCTGAGCATGCTCTCCAGAAAGAATCATGCCGTCTCTTCAGCTCTTCATGCAGCATCCACACTGGCAACGATGAGTTATCAGATAGACTTTGAAGCGATAAACTTCCCAAAAGATGTTGAGCTCACTCGAAAACCACGGTTACTTGTGGACATGCCATCCTACCGGTGGAATCATACAGGATCTTATTGGGCGGAGCCACGAATGAGCAAAACATATCGATACCGCGAGTCACCTCGTACAGACTTACTAGGCGCGCAAGACAGCATGGCCTGCCCATTCGAGCGTCGATGGCGAAATTACCTCCGAGCCTCCGAAATACCCTGGCTTCAGGATCACAGGATTCAGTCCGACATGATATTTCCTGCTGCTGGCTATATCGCTATGGCAATAGAAGCCATCATGCAGTTGGTTAAAGACCCAGATACGGCAGAAGAGTTTATCTTGAAAGACGTTCGGATACGCTCAGCACTGATTGTGCCTGAAGCTACAGGAATCGAAGTCATGACTTCTCTACGAGACTCTGACAAGGGTCTAACAGATGAAACAGATCGATGGTACGAGTTTCATGTATATTCGGTCTCCAGTGACAATCGGTGGACAGAACATTGTGTGGGGGTGGTTGGTGCCACCAGCCCGAGTCTCCCGGACGATGAAGCATTTGTGGATCTCAATGGGGTTGCAACCGCGACTGCAGCCAGCGACAACAGCCATATTTCTGTCGTTGACATTCCTCAGCTCTATAAAAAACTGCACGATGTGGGTTTGGAATATGGGCCTTGCTTTTCGAACTTGACATGCGCCCAAGCAACTCAAAACGGTACCTGCTTCGCCGAAGTCACCATTCCCGATACTCGAGATGTGATGCCAATGAACTTTGAGCACCAATCTCTGATTCACCCGTGTACCTTGGACAGCATCTTTCACGCCATATTTGCTGCATTACCCGAAGACATGGACTTGGAGATCGGTCCACTCATTCCAGTGTCGTTCGAGTCTATGAAGGTCTCTTCTCGCATTCAGAGGTCAGCTGGGGAAGTTCTCAGTATTTGTACACATGTTCGGCCTGCACTGAAAACCAATGTTGTGGCCTCGATAACTGCGACTGATAGTTTAGGCAGCGAGATCAGTATGAAACCGAAGCTTTCAATCAATAGGCTGCGTTGCGCCCGCCTCGAAGGGACACACGTTGAAAACAAGAGTGATATTCCAATTGCGTATGGAATTGAGTGGCAGCCGGACCCGGGGTTTGTTTCGAGGGAGAGCGCCGCCTTCCTATTTCAACAGCAAGGTATAAATGGAAGCGAGTGTTCTGCTGAACGAGAAGAAGATGAGAGATACACGGCAAAACTTATCAGAGATGCATTTCTCAAGTTATCTGGAGATGTTGAAGAAAACCCCGATTCTTCGATTATCAGGTACAGAGACGACCTTGAGTCCATCCTTCAGATGCATAGCAAAGACCATCAGGCACATATACACAACGGCTGCACACCACTGCGAGAGGAGACCATGGATGTTTCCGGGGACATCGGAGTACTGCTTCGGGATCTTTCTCACCTTCTATCTTCGTCCTCTCTAAGGAACACTGAGACCTTCAGAGATGCCCAGAGCAAGATGTGGGACTCATATCGAACTACAATTATGGAAAATACAGCATACTGCGCTGCAGTAAATTATCTTGGTTTGGTCGGCCACAAAAAGCCGGATATCTCGGTCCTAGAAATCAGCGACGGAGGAGACCAACCATACAGCTTGTTCTTGGAGAAACTGATCCCACATACCCACAACAGGTCTCCACAATGCTCCAGATATACATTTGCATATAGAGAGGATTATGGAATTGAGCGAGCAAGAGCAGACTATGCAGATTGGAAGGACATGGTGAATTTTGAGAAACTGGATCTCGACGGTGATCTCTCTCAGCAAGAGTTGAGCAAACACACCTACGATGTCATTATCGCGCCAAATGCCTTTAATTCGACGCATTCATTTAGGGATGGAATTCTCAAAATCAAGTCGGTTTTGAAGCCATCCGGTTACCTGATCATACTAAATACCCTCCTTCCCGCAAGGAGCATTTTGGAGGCACTCTTGGTTACTGCAGTCTACCATTGGCCACATAGAGCGGTTGAATTATCGAAATACGGCGACGGAACGAAGAGAGAGATCTTACGTGAAGCTGGATTCAAAGCAGAGGGTATCATGAACGAATGTTTGATCATTTGCCGCCCAGACTATGAAACGGACTCTTTCGACAAGAAGATATTGGTTATTCGTGAAGATCATGACGAGGTTTTAAGGAATCTCTCGGAAGCCCTACAGCAACAATTGCTGGGTGAGTCGACGGTATCAAACACGATCGAAGCGCTTCCAAAGGGTCGAATCTGCCTTGTTTTGAGTGACTTGGACAGAAGCTTGTTTCAAAGTCCGGATGCCGAGCTGCTGCAGAAACTAAAGGAGATATTCTTCCAAAGCGAAGGGGTACTCTGGGTGACTAGAGGTGGGACAATGCGCGCTACAAACCCCCAAGCTGGGCTTGCGGTCGGCTTTGCACGAACGGCTCGCTCAGAATCAGGCGTTCAACCAATTATCACGCTGGATCTAGATCCACAATTTTCAATACTGGACAACTCAAGGGTGAAGATAATTGTCAATCTCATTAAAACTCATTTCTTCCAGGATCGTCTCCCAGAGTACGACACCGAGTATGCAGAACGGGATGGAATAGTCCTTGTTCCTCGGGTGGTAGTTCAAGACGACTTGAACCGCGACATTAAGAAGATGAACAAGGCAGATAAAACAATTGAGCAGCTATTTCAAAAGCTAGACAGACCTGTGTCCCTGTTAAAGAATGAAATGGGGAACAAAGAAGTCCATTTCACAGCCACCAAGCAAATCGCGGAACTCCCCGAGGGATATATCGGCATCAAGGTTTGCGCCTTTGCTATAAGTGAACTTGACACCAACGGCAGCAATGATCCGAATGCCTCTCTTGGAGTCATGGGATTTGGAAGCAGTGGGCAAGTTTACGAGCTTGGGACAAATGTCCAGGGATTTTCGGTGGGAGATCGCGTTGCTTGCCTTGGAACAGGGACAGCACGGAACTACTACTATGATCAAGCTTGCGCCTTTCAGAAGATCGAAGACAAAATCTCGTATGAGCTTGCTGTGTCATTAATCATGGCATATACCGCGGCATACTACATCATACATGAGATAGCCAGAATCGAGCACGGTGACATGATTCTTATACACGAAGCAGCCAGCTGGTCCGGCCAAGCAATGGTTGAGATTTGCAGGCTAATAAAATGTGATATCATTGCAATTGTATTCAAGGAAGCTCAAAAGGATGAGCTCTTCAATCGTTTCCAAATGGCATCACAGCAGATCCTCGTTGATGCTGACGGCAAAAACATGACCCGACATCTTCTACATTCCACTCATGGCAGACTACCTCGGACGGTCATAACACCTGCCGAGCCCAACAGCAAAACATTCCGATCATTGTGCAAGCTCACTGCTCCATTCGGTCATATAATTCATCTCCGAACCCGGTCGCCAGACCATCAAGCGGCGAATATTTGGAGTTTGGATTGTAAAAACATCTCGTTCTCTACTTTTGATATATCCGATCTTCAACCAGGAAAAATCACCTCAATATATGAAAGCTGGTCCACAGTCATGTCTCTCTTCAACCAAGGAAAGCTACAAGGTCCTTCTTGTTATTCCTTTCACAAGGTGACCAATGTTACCAAAGCAATTGATACAGTTTCTTCGACGAATTTTGCCGTGATCACCGCGGAAGCCGATGATATGGTACAGGTATGAGTTCAATTCAATTATATCCTTTGCGTGGTGTGAATAACTAACAGTGGCAAGATCTCTGCTTCGAATATTTCCAAAAACATATTTCACAATGAGGCGTCCTACCTTTTGGTTGGTGGACTCGGAGGGATTGGACGTGCAATTGCTTTCTGGATGGTGGAGCATGGTGCCAAATATTTAATTCTGGTCAACCGCAGCGGCTTGTCTACAGAAACGGCTCGATCCACTGTGCAGTTACTTCGAGACAAGGGTGTTGAAGTAGCGGTGCATGGTTGCGACATATCCGACGAACAGGCATTTAAAGAAATGTACACGGAGATTTTGCGAACTGTGCCACCCATCAAAGGCGTCATACAGGGTGCTATGATCTTGAAGGTGTGTTATGGGAATCAGCACCCTAGCTGATTGCTGACATGAGATAGGATATCCACATCGAAAAAATGACAGCGGAAGACTACAACACAGTTCTACGTCCTAAATACGCCGGGACCTGGAACCTACACAATTACTTGCCCGAAGATATAGAGTTTTTCGTGATGTTGTCATCTATTAGTGGCGTGATCGGAAATGCCACCCAATCTGCCTACGCGGCTGGATCCGCATTCATGGACTCATTTGCAGCATACCGAAACCACCTAGGCCTGCCTGCGGTGTCGCTGGATCTTGGTACCGTTACGAGTGTGGGCTACCTGGCGGAAAATAATGAACTAGCAGAGAAAATGGCGAAACAAGGATTCCAGAGCACCGATATAAAAACACTCCTGTCGCTCATCCAGCTTGCCATCTCACAGCCACCCTCCAACACTCATTCACAGATTGTGACTGGTCTTGGGGATTGGAAGCCTGGGAAGTCCTTAGCTAATTTTGATGTGCCTCTTTTCTCTCATTTCAGGAGAAGCTTCCAGACCGATGACTCGTATGAAGAGGGCACTGACCATACAGAGATACTGCATGAGAACCTCAGAGCTGCCAAGACTCGAGATGAGGCCGTTCTGGTTGTTTGCGAGGCGCTGTCTGAAAAGATTGCTGCGCAGTTGAACTTTCCAGTGGATAGAATCAGCCTTGGTAGCCCCCTATCAGAGTTTGGTATTGATTCAATCGACGCCGTCGAGTTACGAAACTGGATAGCAAAAACCATGGAGAGCACAGTCCCTATCCTTGAAATCCTCGCGAGTGGCTCAGTGCTTCAGTTAGCTGGGAAAATTGCCAGCCGATTACAGCTGCTGAATATCAATGACGAGACATCATAGATGGAAAAGTGTCTTGAAGGTACTGGAAATAATTGGACATCATTTGTGTGACACGCGACTTTTTTGGTCAAGGACTAAACCCTTTGGTGGACTGATGATGTCGACGGTTGCTCTACGTATTTGAAGAATCGGGTGATGTAGAGCTAGAACATCTCCAAGAAACAGAATTTAGAGGGCAGATACATAAACTATGTAGACTAGATATCAATCAACCACGTGCCGGTTTAGATTATCTACTATGACCGGAATAAAAGCATCGGGATCGCAAACTTCAACGCCCGAGTAGAGCAATTCAACTTCTGGAAAGACGCTTGCTTCCCATTCTCATTCATGCCTCAAGGTTTAGATGCCAATTTGAATGTGACACAATTTGAATAATCTTCGATTCGACCTACAAGACACAAATTGTTGATGTCATGATGTGTATGCTATTGCGGGGTTCGGGTGGCATGATACAGTGGCCAGCCTGCGCAACGAAAATCGGCCGGAACTCACCACCACTTGATGAAGCAACAATCCATTAATTATGGCATGACTATGGTATAGGTCAGATGACTTGAAAATGTTCTTCACTCTTGAGTCACGATGGAGAAATGTTTAACCTTGGGCTCTCGAATATAATAACGATGGTATCGTTAGCTTTTTCGCCGCGACCAAGTCATTAAGAATACATCTCAACAACTACCACGAAGCGTGCCCCTCATCATGCAGTGCACCAGAATCATCACAAGAAACATCTCGCCCGCTTTGCCTCGCAAGCGCCCGCAAAAGCTACGTCCAAAGCTCATCAAAGCGGACAATTCCAAAATCACAACTCACAACCGACTCAGACCAGCTCGCATATAGACTATGTGAGCTGTCCCTACAAAAGATGCAAAAAGAAGCCACAGCGTCAGAACCAGATTTAAGGCATGTGCTAGCATCTTCAGCAATGCAAAAATTGGCGCAACAGGACCTCGTCCATCGACTCGATGCGCTACAGAGCACGGTGCCTCATTATTCAATGCCGCTTCTTCCGGGTGCAGATGAGCCATTATTATCAGAAGATGAGATGTGGGATATGAGAGAACTTGACCTAGCTATATCTGAGCTTGAAAAGGCGAGCAGGAGGAGTGAATTTGCCCGGTTGATATGCTTTCAGCATGCTAGTGAAATGTAACGATTTCATGGTTTACGACAGTTTCTTTGGAGTTCAAGCGCCACGATGACTGCCTCAGTTGGTCATGTACATTTTTCAAAAGTGCACTTTGCTTTCTCGAATTCCACTTCGCAACTTCCTTTGGTGCACAGTAAATCATTTATGATATTGAAAAATAGAACCCTGATTTTCCTAAACTCGGCAGAGCGTGCCCGAACCTCACTATATATTTGAAAATCTAGCTCCAATCTTCACTGCTAGTGACTGCCAGCGTTGTCACCGAAATCCTTTCTCATAATATAGACTCCTTGTTGTGATATTCACCAGATTCTTGTCGGATACGTTACCACAAGATCTCCTGCGAAAAGCATGCTCTATAAGGCACCATCAGACTACCATTGTCATGGCGGGTTCCAATCTGCAGCGTCCGACGTTATCGCATCATTCGCTCGCCTACATCTCAGCGCTCGCAGGGATATGGGCGTGAATCCTAAGTACGACATTTACAATCCGCCCAAGCGACATTGCTTCTTCGCCTGCGCCCTTCGCACTTTCTTTATCTCCTTTCCCATCCTATCTCTGCTATGAGCCTCCTATCTTTGCCATGGGTCTGTCTCCTCGGCCTGCCCGTTGCTTCTCTGGCTTTTGCCGTCCTTTTATGGCTGATTGACTTCGCACTTTCGAATGCCTTGCCTTCGAAATACACGAATCGTACGGGCCAAAGCTATACTTGAACTTTTTCCATCGCCCCGATCCGAAAGCAGTCCTGAAACTCGGAAGTACGCTATATCCCTCCCGTGATTCGACACCCAGCCCGTCAGTCAAATCTGTCTCCTTATACTGAATACCTCGACTCACAGACTCATCTTGACTCCAGATACCGAAGACTCTTGTAAGTGCATTCTTGCGTCTATGTGCGCTCGGACTTCTGCAAGGTTGCTTTCCATTGAGCATGAAATCTGTGATATACCAATTCTAACATCTCTAGCACAGTCACTTCTATGTTCAGAACGGACGAATTCCTGAAAATCTGAGCATAAGCCATCCTCAATTCTCTCAATCTCGACATTTTCGCCCATTTCGACTCTCCGAATTAACAGTTTCTTCACCCCACCTCATCTTACCTATCCGTGATCTCTAACTCGAAAGCACCTCTTCAGCCATTTCAGAGCTGTACCATCCAGGCTTCAGGAAGGGTTTATCTTCCCTCGACAGCACATCTCTCTCGACATTCTCCGGTGGCTTTTTCCACTCTCTTTCCAATGGAGCAAAATTCAAGTACCGACACGGACTCAGACCCGTCCACGCAGACGTGCATTAAATGCGGCCTAGGCAAGCCTATTGATCAGTTTGTGGCAAGAACTAAAATGAAGCGACTGACAAAATGGTGTCTGGATTGTCGAATCTACGGCCATGCGGTAAGTCAAAAAATCCAATCCGTTCGAGAACACACAGAGATAATAACCTATTGCGATAGGGTCACGAGCGATGGGCAGCACGGAAAAGAGCGAAGGTTGAAGGCGTGAACACCCCTCCATCGCAGGACAAAGTGGAAGCTTCGCCGCCATCCACAAGCAGCCCAGAAGGGACACAACCTTCAATTCCAACCCACATAACATATGGTATCTATCAATGCCCTGGATATGCTCCTTATATTGGCCTTGGTAAGCGAAGAAAGGGTTTACTGATTGAGACCAGCTGCTGATGTGGGATCTAGCTCCTACTGCCTACGGTCACAACCCACCCTCTGGAGACTTCCAACCACCTGGAAGCTTCAAGATTCTCACCCCTCCTCTCAATCCACCCGCCATGCACCCTGCAATGTGGGGATATGGTCCAACCACCCCTATCATGGAGAGCCCACAACGGGTCCCTTCAAATGACTTCAGTCCACGTCCTCCTGCTCAGGATAGGAACCAGGCTAGTTCTCAGGCTTCCGAAGCAGAAGATTCCAGTTCTAGCAGTTCAGACGATGAGACCTCGAGCAATGAAGGTTCGGAATCTGGACACTCCGCGAAGGAAATGCCCCAGAAGATTTCAACCGAAGGAATATGTTCGGATGATGAAGGTCACGGATGCCAGCATCAGTTTGATGATCCCGATACTTCTGACGAAGAAGAGAAAGAAATCGATGATCTACTTCAAGAAGGAGAGCCACAAGATCTTCGAGGAGAGGAATGGGCAGACCTTCAAAGGCACCGTGAATCCTCCATAGCGCCATACTTTATTTGTGTGGCCTGCTGTACCGCACGGCCAAAACGATTGGAGGATGAAGGAATCTGCGTCTACTGCTTCGAACACCCAACACAGTATTGCGTCAAAGGGGGACACGAGGACGATAAGATCTCCTTCGTTGACTCTGACGGGCACTGCCATGAGGTTTGCAACCGATGTCGGTCTAATCCAGATCCAACTTAGCTTATGGCTTCCTTCTCTTCTCAAGAAAAGGCTTGGCTATGGATTGTCCATTTACAGGGATACGACCAGATCGCAGGCAAGCGACGTAGTGAGTCTTTTAGTGGCGATGTGGTCGTGCTGGATTACTTCTCTATCCTTGGTGATACCCTTATTATTACCGTATATTTTTACCGTGTGTTTCCGTTGTCTATTTCCAAGGTTGCGTCATCAAATCAGGATAGTGTTTCTTCGGTTTTGCATTGTTATGCTTGTTCCGTTACGACCGATGAGCAACAGAATGGAGGTGATTGCTTTCTTCTTTGTGCAACACTCTCGCGTGGATTATTTTCGCATATCATTATGTATCTTGCTTGGTTGTTTGTTACAATTCTAAGCTGATTTGCCCCTCCATAACCCATTTCCAGGAAGGGGAGAGTAAGCTGGAGACCATTCCGCGGCGTCTAGACCCTAAGGCATCGAACCGGAGAATCGGACTCGGGGTTAAGCACGTCAATTGTAGACCAGATCATCAAGCTTCCAGATCTATCCGGTCCGTTACCGATCTTGCTCCCAAGGAGAGGGAGATGTAAAGTGGCCCTGTCGATTATTGGACCCTCGGAGAGATTGATGCTCCGAAGCAAGTCACAAAAAGGTCTGAGGCATGGCGCCCACGCGGGAATGGCGCCAGTATTCAAGCCAAAAGCGAATCGGGACCCTTGTTTGAGCTATGATTAGTTTCATGTTTTTCATTGCTGATGAGGGAATCCACTTTGTCGAGATTGAATGGAGATGAATGGAGGACAGGGTTCTCGTCTCCCCAACCTGTCTTACGTTTTCCGATCACCGTTCCGCTGACTCAGCGGGATAACCTCAAAGTCCGATGTCCGTGAGAATCTCCATAATTCTCATTGACCACTCATCTTCTCCCTCGGTGGCTTGGCATGGCGAACGCCGCTGATGCAGCAGTTTCTTATCAATCGCTGAGCGCCGGATGCAACCAGGAAAGTGACTGGTATATACCCGAAGAGCTCACGGGAAGAGCTAGACCCCTCACCTCAGCCCCTAAGGCACAAACACAAGGATATATCTTGTCCACAGTATCGAACATGACAAACCCATCTAGAAGACGATGAGTCAGCGGAAGTTGACCCTCTGATGTCTTTCCGATTGTTTTTGGATCTTCGGAGGCTCCACCAGATACGCATTTGGTTCGTGGACAGAGATTTCGAAGCCCGTGGACGTGGGTCTAGTCTTGCGCAAACACTCGGCCCGATTAGGGAGCTCCGGGCTAGCATGTGTCATATCCAATGGGTTTCGTCTCCGTCAGAAGTCGCCTGGCCACGGAGAAGGGGCTCGGCCTTGTTAATATCTTAATGAGGTCTGTTAATTGGGCACGGAGGCTCGGCGAGACCTGTAGCCGTCAGATTTATGTCCGGGCCCACTGTGAGAGATTTGAGTCCGATATCCTGAGATGAACATTATAAAGAATTCAGGGCGGCCACCTTCGCGCCCCCTCTTTCACCCTCACACGTCTCTCCTTGCCTTGTCTCTCGTGTCGTCATGGAGGGACCAAATCAACAACCGTCGTCCCCGCGGGGGTCGATCTATGTCAAGGATGAAACAGAGAGTGCTGCCACCGTCCTCGGTGACGAGACTCCTCAGAAGAGCAGCCCCTCGCACAGTCAGCACAACGACTGGAGCTTGCTGAGTCGAGTTCAAGAACAACATGAGCGAGACATGGCCTCCGGATTCAAACGCCAGGAACTCGGAGTCACCTGGCAAAACCTCAGTGTCGATGTCATCAGCGCAGAGGCCGCCGTCAACGAAAACGTTCTATCACAGTTCAACATCCCGCAGCATATCAAGGAGTCCCGCAACAAGGCCCCACTACGCACCATCCTCAACAAGAGCCATGGCTGTGTCAAGCCTGGTGAGATGCTCCTGGTTCTAGGTCGCCCTGGCTCTGGTTGCAGCACGCTGCTGAAGATGCTTTCCAACCGCCGAGGAGGATTCAAGTCCGTGGAAGGTGACGTTCGATTCGGCTCGCTCACATCCGAGGAGGCCAGCAATTATCGGGGTCAAATTGTCATGAATACCGAGGAGGAGCTGTTCTTCCCGACCTTGACCGTTGGACAAACCATGGACTTCGCAACTCGCCTCAAGGTTCCCTTCAGCCTTCCCAACGGCGTCGACTCCGCCGAAGCCTACCAAACCGAAGCGAAGAAGTTTTTGATGGAAGCAATGGGAATTTCTCACACGGAAGACACCAAGGTCGGTAACGAGTATGTTCGTGGTGTTTCCGGTGGTGAGCGCAAACGTGTTTCGATCATCGAGTGTCTCGCTACTCGTGGATCCGTCTTCTGCTGGGATAACAGTACCCGTGGTCTCGATGCAAGTACTGCTCTGGAGTGGACCAAGGCTATCCGCGCTATGACCGACACCCTGGGCCTGTCTACCATCGTCACTCTTTACCAGGCTGGCAACGGTATCTACGAGCTATTCGACAAAGTGCTCGTTCTCGATGAGGGTGAGCAGGTTTACTACGGACCTCGTGACCAGGCCCGGCCGTTCATGGAGGAAGCTGGCTTCGTTTGTCGCGAGGGTTCCAATGTCGCCGATTTCCTCACCGGTGTCACCGTCCCTACCGAACGCCGTATCCGCGATGGATTTGAAAACCGCTTCCCGCGAAACAAGGACGCCCTTCGTCGGGAATACGAAAAATCCCCCATTCACACCGAAATGCTCTCCGAGTACAGCTATCCCGACTCTGATATTGCCCGCCAGCGCACGCAGGATTTCAAGGATGGCGTGACGTTTGAAACCTCCAAGCACCTTCCCAAGGACAGCGCTTTGACCGTGAGCTTCCCTGAACAAGTCAAGGCCTGCGTTACCCGTCAATACCAGATCATCTGGGGTGACAAGGCGACCTTCATCATCAAGCAAGTTGCCACCCTGATGCAAGCCCTCATTGCTGGTTCCCTCTTCTACAGTGCCCCGGATAACTCTGGCGGTCTTTTCGTCAAATCCGGTGCCCTTTTCTTCTCTCTCTTGTACAACAGTCTGCTTGCCATGTCTGAAGTTACAGACTCCTTTGAGGGTCGCCCTGTTCTGGTCAAGCACAAGAGCTTCGCCATGTTCCATCCCGCCGCCTTTTGCATCGCTCAAATTACTGCCGATATTCCCGTGCTGCTGTTCCAGGTCAGCATGTTTTCGCTGGTTGTGTACTTTATGGTCGGCTTGACAACGTCAGCTGGAGCCTTCTTTACCTACTGGATTTTGGTGTTCGTTACTACTATGGTGAGTCAAGTTCTTTGTGTATGCTCTCGATACCCTCTAACCTTTTTACAGTGTATGACCGCCCTGTTCCGCGCAATTGGTGCTCTGTTCTCAACATTTGATGGTGCCTCCAAGGTATCTGGTTTCCTGATCTCTGCCCTGATCATGTACACCGGCTACATGATCCAGAAGCCCCAGATGCACCCTTGGTTCAGTTGGATCTTCTGGATTGACCCCTTGGCCTACGGCTTTGAGGCTCTCCTGTCGAACGAGTTCCACAACAAGATTATTCCTTGCGTCGGCACCAATCTCATTCCCCAAGGTCCCGGCTACACTGACAGCGCGCATCAGTCTTGTGCCGGTGTTGGTGGTGCCATCCAGGGTAACACCTATGTGACTGGTGATCAGTACCTCAGCTCGCTTTCCTACAGCCATGCCCACCTCTGGCGCAACTTTGGTATCAACTTGGCGTGGTGGGTGCTGTTCGTGGTTGTCACGATCATCGCTACTTCCAGGTGGAAGGCCCCGGGCGAGAGTGGAAGTTGCTTGGTGATTCCGCGTGAGCGCCTGGAGCAGCACAACCAGAACGCGCCTGTCGATGAGGAGTCGCAGGTTCGGGAGAAGTCCAAGAAGCCGTCTGCGGGTGATGCCCGTGACGAGAGCAACATCGATAACCAGTTGGTCCGCAACACCTCCGTGTTCACTTGGAAGAACCTGAGCTACACCGTGAAGACCCCCACCGGCGATCGCCTGCTGCTTGATAATATCTACGGTTGGGTGAAGCCGGGTATGCTGGGTGCTCTTATGGGCTCCTCCGGTGCGGGAAAGACCACTCTGCTTGATGTGCTGGCTCAGCGCAAGACCGAGGGTACCATCAAGGGTTCAATCATGGTTGACGGTCGTCCTCTGCCTGTCTCCTTCCAACGCTCGGCCGGTTACTGTGAGCAGCTCGATGTCCTGGAACCTTTTGCTACTGTCCGCGAGTCTCTCGAATTCTCTGCTCTTCTGCGTCAAGCCCGGGATGTACCTCGCGAGGAGAAGTTGAAGTATGTCGACACTATCATTGACCTGCTTGAGCTTCATGACCTTGCCGATACTTTGATCGGTCGCATCGGTGCTGGCTTGAGTGTGGAGCAGCGCAAACGTGTAACCATCGGCGTTGAGCTCGTTTCCAAGCCCAGTATCCTGATTTTCCTTGATGAACCTACCTCTGGTCTTGATGGACAGTCCGCCTACAACACTGTTCGTTTCTTGAGAAAGCTGGCCGACGTCGGGCAGGCTGTCCTCGTTACCATTCACCAGCCCTCCGCCCAGCTGTTCGCCGAATTTGATACTCTACTCTTGCTCGCTAAGGGCGGCAAGACAGTTTACTTTGGCGATATTGGTGATAACGGAAACACTGTCAAGAATTATTTCGGCCGTTATGGCGCCCCTTGCCCGAGCAACACCAACCCCGCCGAGCACATGATTGATGTCGTGTCTGGTCATCTTAGCCAGGGTCGCGATTGGAACCAAGTCTGGCTCGAGTCGCCTGAGCACCAAAAAGCGACCAAGGAGCTTGACCAGATCATCGATACCGCTGCCGCCAGTCCTCCCGGTACTTTTGACGATGGACAGGAATTTGCAACCTCGATCTGGGAGCAGACAAAATTGGTGACCACCCGTATGAGCACAGCCCTGTTCCGTAACACCGACTATGTCAACAACAAATTCGCCCTGCACGTCGGCTCCGCGATTTTCAATGGATTTTCCTTCTGGATGATCGGCGACAGCATCGGTGACCTACAGATGCGCCTTTTCACCATTTTCAACTTCATCTTCGTTGCCCCCGGTGTGATCAACCAATTGCAGCCGCTCTTCCTGGAACGCCGCGCAATCTATGAACAACGAGAGAAGAAATCCAAGATGTACTCGTGGTGGGCCTTCGTCACTGCCCTCGTTGTCTCTGAGATCCCCTACCTCTGCATCTGCGGTGTCCTCTACTTCGTGTGTTGGTACTGGACGATCGGCGCCGACCCATCTTCCAGCAAGTCCGGTGCAACCTTCTTCATGATGCTGCTCTACGAGTTCGTGTACACGGGTATCGGCCAATTCGTCGCGGCATACGCGCCCAATGCCACCTTTGCCGCGCTGGTCAACCCCCTCATCATCGGAACACTGGTCTCCTTCTGTGGTGTTCTCGTGCCGTACGCGCAGATCCAGGAATTCTGGCGCTACTGGATCTACTGGCTGAACCCGTTCAACTACTTGATGGGTGGTCTGCTGGTCTTCAACCTGTGGGATACCGAGATCAACTGCAAGGAGAGCGAATTTGCCATCTTCGACCCGCCCAATGGCACCACTTGCATCAATTACCTGCAGGACTACATGGAGACCATCGGCGCGCGGATGAACCTGGTCAATCCCGATGCGATCGAGGGTTGCCGTGTGTGTGAATACACTCATGGTAGCGACTACTTGTACAACCTTAACCTGAAGGAGTACTACTACGGCTGGCGGGATATTGGCATCGTAGCTATCTTTGCGATTAGCTCGTATGCGTTGGTCTATCTGCTGATGAAGCTGCGGACCAAGGCGTCGAAGAAGGCTGAGTAGAGTGGCTCGGATGATTTTGTGGAGTGGAGAGATTGAGATTCGAAGAAGATAGACTTACTTGCATAGACTTTAGCCTGGTTCATAATATTAGGAGTTGACTATTTCGTTTAATGGAACCATTGCATTTACCCTGAAAGTTGCTCCTGGTATTAGAAAATTTAATGTCCTCGCCCTTGTCTTCCATGAAATGAAAGATAGACCTAGTCCATCAATAATACCGCAATTCCGAGTCGGGGGCCTATTTGGGGATGGCTTCAGAAGCCTTAGAAGACCATAAGTGGGTCAATGATCATCCTTCGATATCAAGGACGAATGGAAGTTGAACGACTCACTTGTAGCACACTATTAGTAGTAAGGTTAATTGAGTTCCATTCTTGTTTCCCGGGGAGTTCTCCGATGCCCGCATAAACCGGGTCTCGTCTCCAATTCCGTCAGCCAGAGCGTGGATCAATCAGTCTAGACTCGTCCAATCATGAACTCTTGTGGAATGGATTTCCTCATTCATGATCTTTCATTCCCCACCTCCACACCACATGTCCATCGGACTATCCCATGTGCGACCGCCAATTATGCAGAACAATCACCATGAGTCACATCGTGTCGGCACGGTATCCCGATGGTTCTTATAATCAAGATAAGACAGATCGAATATTCAAGGAACGATCAAGAAGCGTTTCATTATCGAGGGCGGTTGTTAGTAAGACTAATTTCACATTCACAGCTTTCCTGAATCAAACATCCCAGTCTTCAAAGTATGGCCACGCCCAAAACCGACACAATCATCACCACCCAAGCCTACCATCCATCACCATCCGACACACCAACCAATGCAGGCCCCAGCACCCTACACAGCAATATCTACAACAACATCCACGATGAAGAAACACCGCCCCAAACCGCCTTCTCGATCCTTGAGCCCCCGGCTCATCTCTCCGCCATAACAACGCACACCACACACATCCGCCCCCTCGACCCAGACGACACCTTCCCAGACGGCGGGACACGCTCCTGGCTGGTCGTCCTAGGCTCCTTCTTCCTCCTCATGGCCAGCTACGGAATGATGAATTCGACCGGCGTCCTCCAAAACTACTTCGCCACGCACCAACTCTCCAACTACTCCACCAGCGCCGTCGGCTGGATACCCGGCCTATTCACATTCTTCGGGCTCGTCCTCAGCGTCCAGATAGGTCCTATGTTCGACCGGTACGGCCCAACGGGTATTCTCATAGCCGGATCATGCTGTTACGTCGCGGGGCTATTGATTCTCGCTGAGTGTAAGCTGTATTGGCATTTTATGCTGACGCTGGGCGTTGTGATGGGATCCGGTGCGGCGTTCCTGAGTACTGCGGCGATGGCGGCGGTGCCGCAGTGGTTTGATCGACGGGTTGGGTTGGCGATGGGGTGGGCCATGTCGGGTGCTGGAGTGGGTGGTGTGACGTTCCCGTTGGTGCTGAGGGCGGCGTTTGCGAGGTTTGGGTATCGGTGGGCGATTCGGTTGCTGGCATTGATGGTGGCGGTAATGTGTGGGGTTGGGATTGGGTTGGTGAGGTCGAGATTGCCAAGGGGCCAGAGTAAGTCGAGTATTAACTTGAGGGCGTTTCGGGATACGAGGTTTACTTGGTTGACGTTGGGGACTTTTGGTGAGTGGGAGAGACATATCATGGAGTTGATGCTGAGGCTAACACATGGATAGGACTGGAGTTGGAAGTCTTTGCTGGCCTGGGATTGTATCCTACGTATGTGGTGATGCAAGGGTTCAGCGTGTCGACCAGCGTAATTCTGCTTTCCATTCTAAATGTGTAGGTCAATTATCCGTCGACGGGATATATGATACTCGGGCCAGACTAACGCCTATCAACAGCTTCTCCACAATCGGCCGCCTAATAACAGGCCTCATCGCCGACAAATACGGCCGCATAAACACGCAGACAGGACTCATCTGCCTCGGGGCCCTCGCCATCTTCACTATCTGGCTCCCCTTCGGCCATACCCTACCAGGCCTATATGTGTTCAGCTGCGTTTTCGGACTCGCATCAGGGTCGTTCCTCAGCCTAGCACCGGCGTGTATTGGGCAGATCTCCAAAGCAAGCGAAGTCGGGGGCCGGTTTGGTATCTGTTATTCCATCGTGAGCTTGGCGTAAGTATTGATCCTTGACTTCCCTGCAATCGAGAAATGGAACAAGTACTGATCACTGGGTTAGCACGCTCATCTGCATTCCCATTGGTGGTGAAATGCTGGAGAAAGTTGGCAGTCGTGCAATGGTAGCGTATCTAGGAGGTGTATTGGTTGTCGCTCTGGGTATGTTCGTGATGGCGCGATGGGCAAGTCTGAGCTATAGATGGCGATGGCAGGCCAAGATATAGAGCACATAGAAGCGAAATTTTCTGGTAATAGTATTAACGAGGCATGAGGATCTTGAGAATGCGCAATTCGATATTTTCATTGGATTGATATGGTATCGAGCATAGTAGCCAGGGTCGGGACTACTGCTGGTTGAGGATAGTTTGAATAACAGAAGAAAAGCATTTTCAACTTCAGGAATCATAAGGTCTGGACAAGCTCATGGAAACGAGACAGCAAACACGGAGAATCGAGGATAGAGCTTCGATTTCACTAGTTCTGCTCTCCACCTTGGCTTTTCGCGTATTCCTCCCTAAACCAAGACTTCATTAGCATAGCCCACCCTCGATATACAATGAAGAAAGTTCGGGAAGAAAACATACAAATGCTTATCCAACTCATCCATATGTTTCTGCGACTCCTTCATCTTCCGACGCAGTCGTTCAATCCTAAACATCACCCATCGTTAGTGAACCATTCGCGTGACACATCACAACCAAACCCCCTTTTTAAACCATCCAGGATGAACAAACATACTTCTCCATCTCCTGCTGCCGAATATACATCGCCTCCTGCGCAGCCTCGCGCCGCTGGAACTGATCCTTTCTATTGGTCGTATCGTCAGTAAATGCATGACGTCATAGAAGTTTCCCGCGGTCGCAACGCAACTCGACTTACTCCGCTAAGAAGCCGCGTGCTTTGGGAGCACCGGTGTCGCCTGCGCTCATGGTGGATGGGGTTGTAGTGAGTGATCGGAGGAGGAGAGGGGTTGATGCTGAGGCGCGGATGAGTGGGCGAGAGAGGGATTGCATGGTGATGTTGGGAGCCGAAGTTTGAAGCTGGAGGTGGATAGGTGGTTATAGCTGTAGAGGTGGAGGTGGATGAGGGCGATTTGGTGGGGAAATCGAGGAGAAAAGGAAGCAAGAATTGTCGATCGCGATGGGGGAAAGTGTGGCACAAAAATTGTTATTAATTGATGGGACAAGAATTCGTCGGTTGGCGACGGCAGGAGCTACTTGCAAGGGAATAGAAAGCGCCTTTATAGTTTGGTCGGAGCTTGTTGAGGTAACTTTTGAGTCCGAAGTACCTCATACCCACGCAAGGCGGGTCATGGACTTGGGACTGGTCTGATGACTCTGGAGTCACCCATCGGCTTAAGAAATTGAATTATATATTGGGATCTGTGGGTGCAGTGCCTATGTGATGGAGAATTTGAAGCCATTTTCTTTCCAGCGCTTCAGTTGATCATGGAATAGGATAGAGAATATGAGTGTACTAGGTACTGGGCTATAGTAGCCAAGGGCCTGGTCTAGCCTCACTGTGGTATGTAGAGAGGGTCAATTTAGACGATACCAACCCATTAGACTACTAGTCTGCCTGGAGCAATGAATCGTGGAAACACTTTCAATTATAAGGAGAACCTTCAATTAATCACTATAAAAACATAACCCTGTAACATCCCTTCCTTACAGCACAAACCGGAAACCTTTCTGCAAACGTCTCGCAGCAGCAATATCAATCCCCTCCAAATCAGCCGTAACCTGCAACCGCCGCAACTCCTTCTCCGTCAACTGCACATCCTCATTCTCCAACCTCTCCTGTCTCTTATTCAACATGCGCAGGTTAAAGTACATGATCAGCGCACAAACCAAACCCAACGCCTGCAGACCAATATTAACTCCCATCGCAGTCCAGAACTTGGGTGACTCGTTGGCTCGGTACGTATACGGCGTCCAGATACTGGCCGAGTTACCGATGGAGTTGATGAAGGCGTAGGCGGCGGCACGCTTGGCAGGGGGACGGGGCAGTGCGTTGGCGATCCACGAGTACAAGGTGCCGTTTTGGGCGAAGACGAACATCATTAGGAAGAGGGAGATGTAGCGGGGTGCAAAGCCGGTGGTTGTTGAGAAGAGGATGAATCCGACGATGGAGATTGGGATTGGGTAGACCAAGAACCAGAAGCGGACGCCCATTTTATCGGAGGTATACGAGTGTGCAAGACTGTACACCACCATGAAGATATATGGTGGGGCAACCAGCAGAAGGGAAATAGTGTTGTTGTAGTGCAGCGTCTTGGTCAGTGTCGGGAAGAAGTTCTGGAAACCAGCTGAGCCGGTAATACACATGTACGCAACGGCCAGGACGTAAGTCTTGATATCGGTCATGGCGAGTTTGAGACCCTTCAGTTGGGACATGCCGCCTCCCTCATCAACATCGGCCTCGGCGGCTTCAATAGCCAGACGGCGTTCGGCGACGCGGCGCATCTCTGGAGACAGCATCTTCCAGGTCTCGGGGAAATCGGGAAGAATGAAGCAGATGACGATGCCGACGAACATGGTGATAGCTCCTTCAATGATGTACAGCCATTGCCAGGCGGCCAGGCCGCGATGACCCTTGAGGCCCTTGAGGATACCGGCTGCGATCAGGTTGCCAAAGGCACCGCTGAGCAGGGAGCCGGAGTAGAAGATACTCATGCGGAAGGCCAATTCCTTTCGCGTGTACCACTTGGACAGGTAGAATAGGACGCCGGCGAAGAATGGGGCCTCTACACAGCAACGCATTAGTACATGTAAAAAGGCGTATTCTGTGTTTAAAATGGACACAACTTACCAACCAGGCCGAGCAGAAAACGGCATGCCACAATCGAGCCGTAGCCCTTGACCTGGCTGGTCAGAGCAGAGACCAGTCCCCAGGCTGTGATGAAGAATCCCAGATACAATGACGGGCGTCCCATATAATTCAACATCAAGTTACTCGGCACTTGCATCAAGATATATCCCACAAACAGAATCGATAGACCAGTCTGGTACTGCGTAGCCGTTAGACCTAGATCATCCGTGAGACCCTGGAGTTTCGCAGCAGCGTAGTTGTTTCTATCTGCTCGTTAGCAACACAGCACATATCCAAACACAGAGAGGCGCTCATACCGATCAATATAATTCAACAAATAAACCAGCACGACCAGCGGCATGATAAGCGAATCAATACGTCGCAGCAACTTCTTCTCAAGGATTTTTTCATCATCCGTCAACTGCGCCATGTGCACCACCTCTTCATGGGACATATCGGCCTTTTCGCCCATAGTCTCCAAGTCGGAGATGACACCCGTAGTTGGCGCCATGATGGAAGTCAATAACAGATAAAACCTGTTGTCCTAACAGCGACCAGCGACCGAGGAATAAGAATAGATGAGTAGATCAAGCTCGGAAGGACTTGGAGGAATGAATTCACAAGTCACCGCCAGTTTATTTTCCGTCGGGAGGAGGGGGGATGTCACATTTTATGTACTTGCACCAGCCAGCAAGGAGGGGGACGTGTCACCGCGTGGACTGCATATGGCCAGGTCCAAAAAATGGGGGTGGATAGATGAGACCATCCCAACCAACTGGTGGCGGCAGATGGTGGTCTACCGTCTGGGTCCATCGCATTTACCCCGTACCCACTACCCCGTACGTCCTCTTCCTCTCCCTCTCCGAGTCTCCGCTGGCATTAATCTGGAAAACAAAGTGCGTGGGGGGCCGGGGCAAGAAATGCCATAACTCACGGCATACCAACCAATAAACACGTAGCAGCCATGAAGAATGCGGAGAGACACGAGGGTCAATGGTGTCATGGCTGTTTATTCGACAATCCTCATAGGACGGGATCCCGGACAGAGACCCCCACGGTGGAGTTAGGAGCCATGGAGCTCGAGAACTAAAGCCTGCGAGACGCGCTCCTGTCAAGCCGAAAGCCACTCAGATCTGGGGAAAGCTTCCTGACCCCGGTTGAAGGTTCCCCCACGGAAGACATCCGCGTGGTGCGTGACCAGGCCGCAAGGAGGATCTTTCAGGCTGTTTGTACGGTGGATGACCAAGTGTAGTAGTGTTTCTCGGAGTTCTTCCGTGAGTTGAACAGTCAGCCATGCAAAGTCTAAGCAGCCATAGGACCACGCGTGGATTTAAAGTTCAACTTGGCAGGTTTGAGTTTGGGGAATTCGCGGGGTTGGGGGCAATGGAAACCGGGCCCCGAGGTTAAACAGGTTAAAGATGGGAGTTTATTATTTTTTTTTTTTTTGAAGGGGCGATAATGTTAAGAACAAGAGTCTAAAACAGGTTAATAGCAAGTCTTTCAGTGGTCACAATATTCCGGTGATTATCATAACCGTAGAAAACCACAGACAAAAAAGCCTCGAAATATCTCCAAAGCTGTAAAGTTTACTATAGGAGAGTTTCATCGATGCCGAAAGCTTCACAAGATAAGTCAAGCCGGACCAAGACATCTCCGGGCTCTCGAGCAGTCCCAGACATCGCTTGGTCTGCTTGGTCGGATTGCTTGATTAGCCAAGTCTATTTCCGACCAGTGATAGGTCCCACGCGGGGGTCTCGCACTTGCTCCGGGTGGAGCTGGTATCAGACCATCCCCCCGGTCGGCCTTGCTCCTTTGTTGTCACTGCTGAACACTCATAGGATCGGAGAAAGGAAGAGATCTGGGATTTTGTGCTTTGTTCTTTGTTATTATTGTAGACTACGAGTCATTGCTCGGCCCATCCGGTATGGCACGGTGTATCGGAGATTCCTCGGTGCTAGAACATGCAAAGAAACGGTCCGTGAGACGTTGAGGCAGTTTGAGCATGCCGAGGGTAACACCGAGCTCTCCGTGAGACCAGCCAGTCATACTAGATTGTTGTCTCGGCATCATTATTCTTATAGCCTCGCCTATGGCCGTATTAGGCTACAAGCGATAGAGCTTGGCGGTTGCCAGATCTTCTGATACGAGCGAACTATCAGCCTGGGCCAACCCAAGCGATGGAGCTCATAGCTCCTTCGATCGGCATATTCGACTCGGCCGACAATATCCCAGAAGTCTAATTGTTCAGCCGCAATCCACAGGCGCAAGGGACCGGACATTTCCAGGACCGGGAGGCCAGCTGCTTTACAGCCTGGACTGCCTCTTCGAGACTTCCGTTGAACCGTCTAATCACCGTGTCCCTAGTGCACAAACGTCACCTCCCAGGGGATTATATTCGGCCTGGCATAAATCATCTCCGCGGTCTAATCTATCTCCATAGCCTCTGAAACTTCTGGTCGCTTACGGGCTCCCGAGATCCCATATTTCGCCAGACTCTTCCTCCGTCTCGCCTGAGCGGCTAGTTTCCTCTTTGCCACGCGCGAAAACACTAACCTCGATGTTTTGATATTCCTGCGCGGTGGAACCTCGGTTGGTGTTCGTCTATTCTGTGACCGTTGTTCCTCGAATTCCATTCGCTTTTTGAGATCGTCTTGGAGCTGAAGGACCATCCCGCATGTCTTGAGATTGAGGTTATAAATTTGTCGAAGCTGATTCATCACCTGTTTGGCGTCCTTCTTTTGCAAAGCAACCGCTTCCTCAGCTCGAGCACGCACTATGCGAATCGCTCGGGGTGGGGGACTCGGTGCACGGGGCTCGGGGGTGGGTTCGTTGGGCACCTCACGCGGAGCTGGGGCTTCATCAAGTTGTTTTTGTAGTGGCTGAAGGATCTTCTCTGGGTCAAGGGGCCAGATACCACAGTTGGCGAACATATCGCGGATTGTCTGTTCGTTGAACGCAACCCGGCGTGCGCTCATAACTTGTGCAAGAAACTCATCCTTGTCCGTAAGTGGAGCTTCGCCGTTGTTGATGTCTGAGTGTAAGATCTCCTCATATTCTAGAAAGGGCTGTCCGTCAAGTGGCTGAAGAAGCTCTTGGGAAAATGGCACAAAGGAAAGAACAACAATCTTTCGTGTCGCGCAGATATCAAAAAATTCAGGCGGAAAATGCGACTCGTGTCCATCTACCAGGAGAAGCCTCTTTTGACCGCGTGATACGCGGCTCTTGGTGTGTGCGTCAAAATGTCGAATCCAGTGCATAGCCAGATTAGGTGTAACCCAGCCAGTGGGCGAGGTAGACTCACGGGCACCCTCTGGTACATCGGGTGAATCATCCCACCATTCAAGATGTGTTTCACCCTTGACAACGAATAGAGGAGGCACGGCAAAGCCGTTGGCTGCCACACACTCGATGATCGTCAGGGCCCCGCTCTTCAGGCGTGCAGCAGCAGATGTATCGCTACCTTCAATGTCGGTAGCAACTCCGCGTCGCAGACCGCGCTGGTGGAATTGAAAGCCCAATGACATATTGTAGATATTCGACGGACCGATATTATGTTCCTCGATCTTGCTCTTCAATAGGCGAAAATAATCCGCAAAGGCGTCCAAATGCTCCGCCTTGAGGCGCTTCAGATTCACATGCGCTTTCTTTTGGTTCTTGAATTCAATCGTCAAGCGCTCCAAGTAGCGATATGACCACATCTTCGAGAGAAGCTTGCACTCGCGCCCCCCTGCATCTCGTTGCAGCAGATAATTCCCCGTAACTTCGATCAACCCACCTGAAACAAGAATATTGGCATCGTCAAGTTGCTGTACGTATTTTAGCATCACTGCTCGCTGTTCCTGCGACATTCGGTTTCTGAGAGATTCTGTGGGGGGAGCCTCTCTAAGATGGTACGTGAGGGATTCGCGTTTGACGTTGTATTTGCGAGCCAGTGCACTGTAGTTGGGCTTTTTAGAGGCGCGAGCTTCCGCAACGGCTTGCTCGAGACGCTCTTTGCGCGCCGCGTTCTCGGGGTTCACTGGAGCCATGACTTTCCAGCGAAGAGGACACTATGCCCTGCTTGTTGATTTGACAGTATCGAGGTTGTGATAGATGCAACTTTTTTTTTTAATTTCGGGGAGCGTTATATCGGCAGTGAATTAGAAGGTCACCAGGCTGATTTGTCTATGCTTAGGCAACACCGAATCACGACTCCTTTGGCAGTCGTTGGACTTGTGATATACATCCGGTCCAAGTGGACGCGACGCGAAAGACACACACGAGTATATCACGTGATATCACACGAAGTCGATAGTTTGGATGGTTCGTTTCGAATTCATCTGATGTTTGGCAATGTCCTGAACTTAGCCAGAAAAAAAGGCAAGAAGGGGCTTCGATGAAGCGAAACGTGACCTTGTGGACCTGTGGAAATACCTCAGATGTCAAAGAAAACTTGCACAGAGTCCCCTGTACAAAACACGTCCCGGCCAGACCGTGGGCCCGATGCGGAAGATTATTCCTCCGAGCAATGCTACTACAGTAGGTGTACATAGCGCTCGGATAAATCGGGCCAGCTTAGGCGGGGTGTTCGAACCAGGTCATTCTCAGAGCAATAATTTGCGCATACATCCCATATAGTCAGCCATGCAAGAGGGTGGCAGTAATGTAGCCGAGAGATGACTGGATATAGGGGAATAGATGGACGTAGACCTGGTGAGGCCATTAGTTTGAAGCCAGGTATGTACAATAAATATTGTTCTTCATTTATGGAAAGTGCCAGCTTGAAGCGTTCTTGATTTTCAGTGACACATGGAACGTCTCCAATATTTTCGTTTTGCTTTGAATTACCGCATGCTGAGCGGTTGATTTGAATCCGTCATTGGCAATCAAGAACACTTCTCCTAGTGAGACATTTTTTGTCGATTAATAACGCTTACTAGAGGTCTCAGTGTCTTTTATGTAGTTTGTTCATTCCTCAAGCATTGCGTGTCCCTAGGTTGCATATAGCGCCCCAGAGCTGGCTAGTACGAACCTAGTAGGTAGTGGCCATCCTTTAAGCGACACGCTAGACATTCATCTAAATGCCTCAAATGCCATCCAGCCTCTAGGTAGTGCAGTATAGAGAAAGTTCACATTACCATCCTTTTCAGCTTTTTATCGAGGGATAACTACTTAGTACACATTTTACTAGCTCTTAGAAACAGTCTTTTGCTTGAAGCCTAGAATACGTATTCTAATGTTACCGTGTTGCTTCGAAATGCATACGGGATCGATCTCCGATGTAGTAATATATCACAGATAGGCAAATTCATGAGTGATTTCGGGAGACGTCATGAGCCTCCTGTAAGGCCTCCCGTCAAGGGTAAGAGTTTCTTGTCGGGCAAAGTCAACATTCAATTCAACCAATCGTCAATTACCCGGCAACTTGGAAATTGATGACAGGAGCAATGAGGCATTAAGCTGTTAACTATATAGGAACTGGATCATCTGCCAGTGCCTCGGACGGGTCAAGTATATATACGGGATGGATTACTGCGGGATCCTGCTGATGATTCCATCTTGTGTATATGTTTTTCCCGTCGTGATAAAGCCGCCACAATGATTCCGGCCATCCTATGCTCCGTTCAACTTTTTCTTATCGGCCTCGGGCAAGCGGCAATTGTCCCTCTTCCTTCAAGTACCGGACCATGCGACGTCATGCTTCTTGCAAGTGAACTAGTCGACCTGTCTCGAGCCGATCCCTTTGACCCAAAAGGAGGCAAACGTTCTATCATGGTCACCGCATTTACACCTGTTAGTTGTGGACGTCTACTATCTATATCTTACTTTCCGAATGAAACAGCCAAGTATGAAGATGAGAGCTTCCAGCCCTTTGAACTACCCGCGGGGACATTTGAGTCCTATCGTATCCAGACTCAGACACAGCAGCAACCACTGCCTTCCAGTCTTGAAGGAGACCATCCAATTGTGCTTTTCGGACCAGCCGTGGGAACCTCAAGATTGATGTATACATCGCTGCTTCAAGATATTGCCAGTAACGTATTTTGTCGTTGTCTCCGTCGATTACTCCAATGATGCTGACATCGTGGAATATCCCGATGGCCGCACAATTCTTGGGATACTCGGAAACATCAGTACAGATGCAGAATGTATCACGGCAAGGAACGTTCGTGTTGAAGATATGATGTTTCTCCTGAATCAAATACATGACGAAAAAGTGGTCAGAGACATATTCGCTTTGTCACTAGAAAATTCGAATCTACTCTCTCTTGATCGAGTAACTATCATGGGACATTCCCTTGGTGGAGCAACAGCAGCGCAGACAGTACTGCTTGACAATCGATTTGTCGGAGGCATCAATCTAGATGGTACACCATGCGGTTCTGTCGTGGATAAGGGACTGTCGAGTCCGTTTCTGCTTTTCGCCAACGCAAATCATACCCGGGCCACTGACCCTAGCTGGGCGACATTTTCGTCAAACTTACGAGGATGGAAACTTCAACTACGACTCGCAAAATCTAAACAATATACTTTTCTGACTATCCAGTGCTTGTCGATGCTCTGAGTGTCTCGGATGAAGCTTGACAAATTGCTCAGGCCGAGTATACTGGGACGATAGGTGGTTTGAAGGCTAAGAAAGTGATTTCTTCATATATCGTTGCCGCACTGCAGTACTTTGTTTATGGGAACGCGTCAGTTTTACTGAGCAGCCCCTCTGTGGCAGATCCTGATGTGACCTTTGTGTCTTCCTAACGAGTTAAATGTCGTTGTAAAATTTATGTTTAACACAGATCTGGACATCCTTATTCATTACTACTAGCATCTATAATTAAGTAAAGGATAGGCTACTTAGACAGGGTAGAGTTACTACCACGCGGGAAGTGCGGCTCTTAGGACTCGCTGGGTAAGAAAGTAGGATATAAGTGAGTTAAGAGCCAAGTTATATTGAGCTGGTAAAAGGATATATACAGAAAAACACAGATGGTTGTCCTCTCTAGCAATAGATAAATCTAATTAGAGGCTGGGAGTGTTAGACCTACTCCCCCGACAAGAACCTCTCCACTTTCCTCATTTTGAAAACGCCAGCGTCATTCGTGAATCTCCCTGGGTAGCCGAAGAACAATGGATAGGAAACCTCTGGTTCGGGATTTAAGAGACTACCTTGGAACTGTTCCGAATCGGTATGATGGACTCTAAAATCGTACCCTGTCCTATTCTTTGGCGGGAGATGCCCATGTTCGTCAAATTCGACAGGTAACACGCCCAGTGAACATTCATAATAGTAGCTCATGAGAAGAGTCCCGTCCTCAGCACTTCTTGCATCTGCAAATCTGCAATAGTGATGTTTTTCTGTTCGATGAAATTGTATTTGGCAGGCTGGCGCCACTTGTCTATGGCCCATTCCTGGCATTCTCCGTTAGAGGCGCTGATGAAGTCTGACTCGAAAAATTCCCCATCTTGTAATCCCGATCTAAAATACTCTTGTGAATCTGGACAGACTCTTATTTCAACAATATAGTACCAGTAAGGAAAGTCTCGTGACTCTGTACTGAATTCGCGTAAGGCCTTAGGTACGAACTAGTGAATTCGCGGTCAGCCTCGACTTCTTCGGTGCGACCTCCAACAGACTATTATCGTGGCACCTATAATCTATAACACACTAGATTTACATGCTTAGCATCTTAAGAAATACAGAAGAACAAGGCGCGTGTCATTGTAGGGTCTTTATGCTAGCGACGAAATGATGTTCAAGGGCAGTTGACGGCTTACTTTCCAACAGGACGAGACTTTGCAGAGTCTTTGTGTAGATTGCAAACGGCGAAGATACGATGACTTCATACCTGACCTACCAGGGGACGACGGAGTCGGGATAACATGCAAATTGTACCAAAAAAGTGTTGGTAAGCTGGTAAATCTGATTGGTAGATCAGCAAACTGGCCCTGGGGGTCACTTCAGCCTACAGGCTCCCCTAGGTAGAGTTATTCAAGGATGACTGATTTTACAGACTGTTCTGCATGAACCAAAGAGAGGGCATTTATTCTCTTAGATCGTCTTGGGATGATATCTAATAATCTTTGAAAATTTTTCGGATTGGCCCATTTGCAAATATTTTTTCTACTTAATCTCGCTTCATACCGGCAGAATTAGTAATTTTGGTGTTCTTATTAAATGCGGGCTGGCCATTAACTTAGTGAAGCTTTCAATTTCTTATCAATTCTATGCTACGGTAGCAAAAATTACAATGGACTTGGACTGATCAAAGATGGTTGCGCAACGTGCAAGATGTCAATGACCGGCATTGTTGAGGCACATACTGTGTACTATTTCACACGACACGTGTGGCGTGTGGATCCACTATGGGCTCAACGGTCGCAAGTTCGGAATAATAAGCAAGATCTACTAAGTTACTGTACTCCGTACTTTCTTCTATTATTACGTGTACAGAGTGCGAAAATATAAACCTGAGATTTTCTTCTACAAAATTACCAATGAATCTTCGATAGCCTGTCCCGTTTGTCTCGCATTATATGCGGTTGATGCATATTATTGGCAATAGCGGGCAAACGATAAAGCAGGCTTCAGCCAGCCTCAGCAGCCCTGTTACTAGACTGGAGGTAACACAATATCTAGATCAATTGGAAATTTATGACCTTGGGGGTGTTCAATCATCTCTGTACTAGTCGTCAGAAAAGTAATCAACCTCTGGTTAAATCGACTATCATCACACATCCCCCTCCTTTCAACAGACTCGACCAGTCCAATACCAAAGAATCAGCTAGATCTCCTTCCTTCTAGGGAATACTTCACTATTCTGGTCTCCCCCCTGCTGCCCGTATCTCAACCGTCAGCCCCTCACTACCCCTTTGAGCGACTGACAGCAGATGCATCCAAATTGCAACATTATTCCCACTTGTATCACGCCAATCGCAAGGCCACTGGGAGTTTCCGAGCGGGCCCCCAGTCCCCGCGGATCCCAACCCGCCCAGCCACCGTGAGCCACTGCACCTATCAGGATGTCACAAATCCCCCCGAAAGCTCCCAAGCTCCCCGCCGAAAAGCTCCAAACATCCCAAAAAGCTGGTCAGACTGGACCCCTCGACTCTGGGTTCCACCACTCACCCGTGGCCGCCGAGCAACAGATCTCGGATGACCCCAGCGGAAATCTGGCTCCCCTAATTCCCGCAGCGCCGTTGGTTCACGATGTTTTCTCCCTCCTCCTCCGTCCCTGTTTCGCGTCCCCCATGGTCGGTGCATCGCGACAAACTGCCCCCGACTTGCGAGTCAAGAAGGCTCCGAGCCGCCAGTCACGCTCCTGCAAGGTCTGCCGGGCCCGCAAGGTCAAGGTATGAGACACGCGAATCGAGCCAAGTGCTCAGATCGCGAATCGCGAATCGCGACGGGAGGGACGGTCCCTCCCGGCCGTTACCCTGTTTTACTAAAGTCCACCGAAGTTCAAGAAGGGACCCGGACTATCCAGCCCAAGGGCTAGGATAGTATGGAGACCTTGGTGGTTTGGCATCGCCAGAAAACATCGACGCTAACGTTTTATTTCCCGATCCCCGTCTAGTGTGACCGAGTCAAGCCCTGCCATGCCTGTTGTGCGCATGGCTATCCATCGAAATGCGTGTACGAGAACGTACCCGATGAAGAGGCCCGCCCCATAAGCCAAGCCGAGGAAATTCGGAACCTGCGATCGGAGATTCGGGAACTCCGCGCTAGGATAGACGAGAGGAAAGATGGTACGTGCACTGGGAATACGGCTTTGATTCCCGGGGAATGACTATTGACCACTCACTAACGCATTGAGGCTGCAGGGTCGCGGGCCCAGGATCTGGAGCGGCTGGACCAGCTCGAGAGCTTATTTGAGTCTCTTCGATCAGCCCCGCTTAACGTGGTGGACTCGCTGGTTCGAGATATTCGGACTGAACAGAGCGGCTTGAAGACAGATTTGGTAAAGGTTGGGCCGTGGGAGGGTCATGAAGGTATGTCCGATGCGAGCACTTTGGTTTGCGATATACTAACCTGGATTTCGAAATTACTGCAGCCTACGAGCGGTTTGGCTCTCCGGTCTCCATCATTCCGATTCGCAAGCGCTCTAGGAACGGCAGTCCAGAAAGCAACTATAATGATCCAATCTTTGGCGACGACGAAGATGGCGAGTTTGGAGATATCATATCCATTGGCGAGGGATCGGACTCGTCTACTTCATCTGGCACAATATCTATATTGAACCTGCAGCGACCAGCAGTTGATGTGTTCGTGGAGCGCTTTGTGGACGCATTCGCCCCCGAGGTTGACTCCAGACATGGTCGAGCAGGTGCACTACGTGCAGCTGCCGGGATTCGCATGTTCTCGCCCTTGATCTTGGATGCGTTCGAGGCAGTGTCAGTGGCCTTTTTCGGCAGATCTATCCAGAATAAGCAGATCGAAGCGTCTGGTTTCCGCTTGTACCCACGTGTGCTGCGGTCGCTGCAGGATGCATTGACAGACCCCGAGCGGTCCAAGGCAGAATCGACCTTGGTGACGGTGATTCTGCTACTTGCATTTGAGGTATGTGATTTAAAGATGAAATCTTGAAATCATAACACAGTTCTGATCATAGCAGAGCGTGGAACGTACAACTGGAAGTGGTGTCCCAGCTCATGTTCGAGGTGCCGTGCGCCTGATTGAACATCGAGGCCCTGAGAACCACATGTACGGGGTGGAGCATTTGCTTTTCACAGAGTTACGACCATACTGGGTAAGCTCTTCACTGTCCTCGGTCCAGGCATAACGTACTAACTCAGATAGATTGGTGGTGCACTGGCAGCTCGCCAGCCCTCGTTCCTCGCTCGCGAGGAATGGAAGACTGTCCCATGGGCGGCTGGAACGACCCAAAAGGACATCTTGCATCACCTACTTGATATTGCCACCGAAATCCCCGGCCTACTGGCGCAGTCCGATGCATTCAAAGAAGCCCAGGCCACACAGACCATGGGCGTACAGGAAATGGCTGTCAAGCAAGCAGCTCTCTGGAATGGGATCACCGAGTGCACGGCACAATTCCAACAATGGTACATGGATTGTGTCGACTGCTATCCTGAAGGACCGATTCAGGAAGTTGAACAGACAGGAGCCCAGGACTTCCCCATCTTCAAGCGGCGGAACCTGCGTACAGGCGAGATTTATACGTCATCCAGGTTCTCCTACCCGAATCTTCTGCTGGCACAAACTATGTGTGTCTACTACGCCGTCCGTCTTATCCTATCGACCATTGATACTCGCCCTGAAGACCGAGTGACACCTATGGAGCAGTATGAGTTCGGCTGTGGTATCTGCCGGACCCTGGAATATTATATTCTGACTGCACCGGGGAACATGATCAATCGTCTTGCCTTTCCTACTCGAGTCGCCTGGGAGGCATTTCCCGATGGAGGCCCTGAGCAAGCGTTTATGGTGGAGGTGTTGCATCTTGTAGAACGACGTCATGCACTGGGTCTCTGGGGTAGTGCGATGCCTGAGCTGTCGGTGCGGGAGAATTCTCCTCTCAATAGCAACCTGTAGTTGATCCTGAGACTCCAATCAGTCCAAGCACATCTGATGATGCTCTGATGCTGCAACGTCGATCTGACTAGCATTTACTTCATGTACTGTAACACAAGCGATATCCCTTCAGCGAATTCAGCAATTGGCTGCAGAAACAATCTACCCTTCTACTCTTTCTCATTCCCATGATGCGACTCGTCTGCATATTTCGAACACGTCCGATCGTGAGATCTCATCTCGGATCCCGACGGAAAGCCATGCCTCCCCCGCTGTGACACATCTCATCAAATGACCAAGCTGAACAGGTGGAGATGATGCATCACGCAGGTTAGATTGCATGAGGGTTCTCATTGGGTCCGCGTACTCCATCTCCACCACGCTACTATGCCACTAAACCCCAGCAGGACCTGTGGGGTCCAACTCTGACCAAGGGGTCAACCAGTCACAGCTCTGTATCCCCGATCATCAATCGATAGTTCCAGGTACGGATGGATCCGAGCTGATCGCGCCGCAGAAAAAAAAGGAGAAGACGAACCTCGGGAGGATCACGATCCTGCCCGCTGCCAAACCAAACGATTAAAAGCCCTTGACATGACTTGCATCCATCATTGATAGAGTCTATTACCTGCATACTTTGACTTTTCTTTTGCTCAACTATCACCACTAGTACCGGGCAATTATCAAGTCCACGATCATCAAGCATCAAGATGCCCTCCCTCCGCACAGTCCTCACCACCTCGCTCCTCGCAGCCTCCGCCGCCTCTGCAACCGGCATCAACGATTTCTCCTGCACATCAGACTCCAACCCAGTCGTCCTCCTCCACGGCCTAGGCGCAACCTACTACGAAGACCTAAACTACCTCCAATACTGGCTCCAAAACCAAGGCTACTGCACCTTCTCACTCACCTACGGCGCCTACGATGGCTTCCCCTTCGTCGGCGGCCTGAAACCCATCAACGAATCCGCCTCCGAAATCGCAGCCTACATCAAAGAAGTCCTCCAAAAGACCGGCAAGACCAAAGTCGATCTAGTCGGCCACTCCGAGGGCGCTTTCCAATCCCTCTACGTCCCCAAGTTCGAAGGTGTCAGCGGACTAATCGATAAAATCGCCGCTATCGCCCCGCCTACACACGCGACTAGTTTCGCCGGTCTGATCGATCTAGCGTATCTACTGGGTAACGCGTCGCGCACTGTTGTCGGCGATGTCCTCGATGCTGTGGGCTGTGGTGCGTGCGATGATTTGGTTAGTGGTGGTGCGGCTATTACCCGGTTGAATGATGGTACGCCTATCGTGCAGGAGGGTAATAAGGTTACTATCATTGCGTCGAAGTATGATGAGCTGGTTACCCCGCCAAAGACTTCTTTTATTGATGAGGATGGTGTTACGAATCGCTGGGTTCAGGATACTTGTCCGCTTGATCCGGTGGGACATATTGGCGAGGCGTATGATTTGAATGTGTGGAATTTGGTGAAGAATGTCCTGGATGATACTCCTGATCGCAAGTTTGTGTGTTTGCTTGGGTCGCCTGGTAAGGCGTAAGACGTAGGTACTCGTGTGTTTTGAGGGTCTCGGGTCAATATTTGAGACGTTTGATAGGTTTTTTTTTTTTACATGGATATAAGTAATAGTTAATCATTGTACAAATTGCATATCGCATGGTCATATCACTCAACCCGCTGAAGTTTTGATATGTAATAATGTTGGTTAGATAGAACTTATAAGTACTGAGTAGAGTCAATCGACAGCGTGCAGTGATCTACATCGACCCCCGTGCATAGATCGATCGTACATTCCGATCTGATCGACCTTCGGCACGTTTGCTTCTTCTCCAAGGCATAATTTGAGCAGATGTAAGGGAATCAATAGTTCAATGATAATCCACTACCTGCATCCGAATGATTATTAGCCACACGCAAGTCTCTCACCGGGCCTTGGTACTTTGAGTGTGGCTACATTTGACCACCCTGGACCTGGCGGTGCTTGAAAAATATCTACCTTTATACTTCTACAGGCCATACACCCATTAATTCTGGAAACGATAAAGCTTGCCAATAGGTATCACTTTATGTTCTTTCGTGTCCTTCGCTGGTGCCGATGTGGCACTCTCGTTCTCTCCAAGTACCTCCGCCATACGTTACTTTGACTCTAGTACTTGTCCATGTGCCCACGTTTTGTAGGTAGCCACATATTTACATACATCTGAACCATTCTCATGGTGGAGACGCTCAATTGTGAAACTTCCCAAATCCACGATCCCGTGGGAACACAAAGTCCGGCAACCGGCAATGGCCGCGAAGCTTCAACGCTGATCGGCCAATCAACACCCGAGTAATCCACACCACCCCACCGCTAAAAAGAGTAAAGTGAGGAACAGAAGATCAGATGAGAACAACATCGAATGATGGCATTCTGCATATACTTGATCAAGTATGTATTGAATGAAGCTAAGTTCGCCTAAGCTCGTCCAAGAAGTTGCTATCCGGCTAACTGATTGGACTCGAGCCTCTTGCACTATTATCGTACGAAATCGAGTCTCGTAGGGATTGTCTGACACACGCTGAGCGAGGCGGGGGTCAGCATATCGGGACTCGGAAGGTGACCATATTTTTATGCTTGGCTGACAAGAGGATTTGGTACCCAATAATAAGCAAGAGTGGGACCTAGGATCATATACATGTGGCTCTGTACTGTCAAGAGAGTGGTTCGACTATAAAAGGCGCGACATGATGCCCCTCTTAGACCCCCCCCTCTATCCTACGGTACATTGTATAACTCTCATCCTTTCACCATTCCAACCTCTTCCTCAGACCTTTCCACTACAAACAAACAGTCATCATGGGCTTCTTCGATAGTACGTGCTTCTATCATCCCATCGCCTATCCTATAACTAGTCCAATATGAAACATCCGCAACATCCGAGACTAACCAGCCCTCTTCCTCTCTAGACGATTCCGAGGAGTACCGTCACCACGAACAGGTGACCAACCGCCCTCACGAGGCTAAGTGGTCTCACGAGCTGATCGGTGGTGCCGCCGCCTACGAGGCTATGAAGGCTTATGAGGACCACGAGGCTCGCAACGGTATATACTACATCCCCGAGTCCCGACCATACTTTCCATATCCAGTATCAAACAGCTGATAGTTACTATCTTCTTCCTATGACTGACTAGGCAAGATTGACAACCACGCCAAGGCCAAGGAGGTCGTTGCTGGCCTTATTGGTGCCTTTGTTGACCGTGAGGTTGAGACCAGGGGTCTGGACTATATTGATCGGGAGAAGGCTAAGCGTCATGCTCGTGAGCGTGCTGAGGAGTCGATGGGTAACAGTGGTCGCTGGTAAATGCTGGAAAAGTCCATATGAGACTATTATTATGCATGAAGCTTGCTCAATGGAGCGTTATATGCGGCGGGTTTATGCGAGATATGCAATGATGATTGAATGATAAAGGCTGGGCTTCTATCCCAGACACCATGATTTTCATGCATCTTGTGGTCGTAGCAGTAATACCTTCGTTTGTACCCATCATCCAGAATCTTGCTTCCTGCCTCCTGTCGCTTGTTGGGGCCCTATAGAAATGTCGGCTACCTACTAGTAGCTCAAATCCTACGGACATGACTAGTTAGCTGCAGCTACCAGCACTGTCAGGCCGTAATAGTATACAGCCTTCTGCGCTCGTAAACATAATTCAGGTTAGGCGAGGATTTACCCTTTCGGCACTTCGTCATTTCGACCTGGAATACAAGATAGGCCCTTCAGTTGAAGATGGGGCCATAGCTCCCTTGTAAATCTGTAAATCTGAAAAATACTTATTTGGATAGCAAAGACTAGAGGGCTAGAATGATTTTGCCCTAGTTGCGCGATACACCGCACTTCACTGTACGCAGCAGTCTGGAAGCTCAGCCAGACGCGGGAGCAACAAGTGACAGCTCACATGCTTCAATCCTCCACCGCCCACACACCTGCACAATTCCGCGCCCCCTTTGGCAATTGGCACACAATAAACAGAATGGAGATCAGATCTCCTCCACATCGATTACATTTCGTCCACTTACACCCCCCTCAATACCTTGGGAATTTCCAACAAATCCCATTTGCGAATACCCCACACGAAACCTCCCAACCATGTCCGAGGGCCCGTCTACCCCATTCAACGGGCCCAATCTGGCTAACGGCACCTCTCCGGCCGACCAACTGCGTCTCGAGGCAGCTCGAAAGCGACTAAAGATGGAACGAGCCACAAGCGAAAGCGAATCCCCACTCGATGCTCAAATCCGACGCATGACAAGAGAATTGGAGGAATTGAAGAAGCAGAGACAAGTCGCGGAGTTGCAGGAACAAATTTTGGTGGAACAGCAGCTTTTGGAAGCTTCCCGTCACCGCTACAGCGTCGCAGCTGCCTCGGCCTCCCCGAAGAACAGCCCAGCTCCGCCGTCGTCTACATCTACCTTGGCCAGTCCTCCGATCGCGAGCCTTCCACTTCCACCTCAACCCCAACCCCCGCAGCCGCTAGCGAAAGCGCCAAATCAGCCAAACAATGCACCGGCAGCGGCCTCGCCGGCTGTCAGTCGACCTCCCGTCGCGCCTCTGCCCGCTGCAGTTCAACAGCCTCAGACGCCGAGGGCACCCGGCCAGGCTCCGAATGGGCAGCCTCTAAATGGGCAGCCTCTAAATGGGCAGCCTCTAAATGGGCAGCCTCTAAATGGGCAGCCTCTAAATGGGCAGGCTCAGAATACGCCTACTCCTGTGAAACGCGAGCTAGCAAATACACCAACTCAGGTCCAGAGCTTCGCAATTCCCAAGATCAGCAATGGCGTGGTCAATTCGACTTCCGCGCAGCGACCAAATGCGGTTACAGCATCGTCTCCCGAGATATCAAAGCAGCAGCTGCAACACCAACACCAACACCAACACCAACTGCAGGAGCAGCAGCAGCTTAGGGCACAGCAGCTGAAGGAACAACAGCAAAGAGAACAGCAACAGAAAGCACAGCAGCAAAAGGTACGGCCGCCGCCGCCGCCGCCTCAGCAGCAGGGGCAGCAACAGCAACAGCAACAGCGCCCATGGTTCGACCGCCCACGCACACCGGGCGCCCCTGCCGACTCCACGCTAGAGAAGGTGCCGCCATATCAAGGACGGAGCCGGGACGAGTACACGGATTTTGTTTCTGCTCTCGAAACCCACTTCTCCAAGGCACCACAATATTACAGCAAGGACCGGGAATATCGGCAGGTCAAGCTTGGCTTACAACACCTTGCCTCCACGCCGCGAGAAGCTTGGTATGCCCTCGAGGATCGTACCCAGACCTGGCAGGGTTTCCGCACATTCCTACTCAAGGAAGTGGTGAAAAGGTCTTTCGAGCAACCCCGTCCCAAAGCAACACCTCAAACCCCAACCCTAACAACGAACGCCGTGACGGCCCAGAACCCAGCTGCACAGCAACCGCCGCAATCCCAAAGCAACACTTCGATGAATCAACAATCCCAGCCAGCCTGGGCGTCTCCGCAAGCCCGGGATAACGGTTCCATGTTAGACGGGGTACCACGGGACGCAGCCGACGTCATTTCCGCGACGGTCTTTGAGAGATACAAAAATAGCGAACAGACGCTGGGTGAAACAGTCCAATCATTCTCGAAACGGCTGCAAGGGCTGGCCCTTTTTTTAAAAGCTGAAGTCAGTCTCCAGGATCGAATGGGCTTTTTGAAAAAGGGGGTTGTTACATCCATCCGGAACCGGGCCCATCGCCCACTTTCCTACTTCAAGACCTACGATGAGTATGTTGTTTACCTGCAGGATATCGAGGACACCCTTCCACAGCGACAGGCAGAGCTGAAAAAGGAGCAACCTCCGCGGAGCCAGCCGACGACTACCCGTGGGTGGATTCCCGTCCCTCGAGACGCATCAACCGGTGTTCAGACATCCCAGCGATCACCACCCCCCGGCCCCAGGGGGCGCTCGCCTGCTCGTGCAGGCAAAGCCCAGGGCAACAATCAGCAGGCTCCGAAATCACTGAATGGCTCCAGTGTCCGCTCGCAAGCCTCTCCTGGTCATTTACCAGCCCGACCAGGCAATGGTCCGACGTCTCCAGGTGCGCGCAAACTAGAGGCGCGCAGAATGTCGTCACCAGCCCCACCAGATCCCTATCTCAAAGTTACCGATGGCAGAGACTGGTGGTCCTGCCGGAACTTCATCGGACACATGGAGGTACACTTCAGAAAATACCCACAATACTACACCGAGGATCGAAAGGTAGCCGCTGGTCGACGCTGTATTGCCCCTAGTCTAATGGGAGAATTTAACGCCTACGCCAGCAAGCGTCCCCAGATGACATGGTTCGATGTCTGCGTCTTCGTCATCAACCAGTCTGCACAGAGCTTCACACCCACGGAAGCAACAACTCGGTATCTCCGCACATCTCAGAAAGAGCACCAGAAGATTCGAGACTTTGCTTTGTGGCTCCAGCAATTTGCGCCACATTATCGGAGGCCCGGTTGGGATGAGCTCAGGCACTTATACGACCGCGCCTTGCCTGCTATCAAGAGGAGGGCGCGGAAAGATTGGAAAGACTTCAACTCCTTGGCATCCTTCGTGGCATATCTAGAAGCTGTTGAGAACAATGCCCCAGATCTACCAAGGGGCAAAGGCTCAGATAATGGCCCGTTACCAGGGTCACGCAAACGAAGTCGGGAAGATTGATGAGGAAATTATGGAGTCTGGAGATAGACTCTTGCGTTCACGGTGGCCGGTCTACTTGTCCTGGGCTTTATTTACTACGGGATGGAATATCTTTTGGCGTTTCATCAGATACAGGTAGGTCATTGGCTAAACTGACAAAAAAATCCATCTCAAATTAGTATGTTACATGGCCAGCCAGGAGAAACGCTTGCACATTTTTCTATTCTTTCAATATATGATTAGTTACTTATGAAACAAAATTCTTCCGACTCTTGTCATATCATTTAGTCCGATTTTCGAGACGGCTGGGATAGGAATACTTGATGCATCTTTTGTAGAAATTGAGAACTCGGCTATGTGGCCTGTCGCCGTCGCCTGAAGCTCTCAACGCAGTGGCTCCTCCCCTCCAAACCAATTCAACATGCGTGTTACAGCTCTGGGACCTTGACATCTCCAGGGTTTTCAGTGTTCAATTTGTCAGAAGCTATGGAGCCTATCGCTATCATGCATGACTATTTATTCTTACCACATCATGGACTTTCTCCAGTTGCCAGGAAGTCTATCGTGGCATCGTATCGTGAGCCCCTTTACAATGGTCAATGCATCCATCCACTTCTGATTTCTGATCCTGAAGCAGCCACTGGCGTCAAGGCAGATCGCGCCCCTGTCATCTCAAAGATTTCAAACCACGATCAACGCCGATCATAATGCTCAGAGTAAGAGTCTGTGCATCATGTATCTCGCTGATCTTCGAGTTCGCGATCCCAACTCCACACGAAGAGGCAACCAGTGGGGCTTCACTGGCCGACCATTCAGCCTGCTGGAGCGCAACTAGACCACTCACCCAATAGCAAGCGCTGATTTCTCAGCAGCAGAGGGTTGCCTTTTCCCGTCTGCATGCCCCATATGCAGGGAAGAAAAATACAGCACCACTGCAAAAGGCCCCAACCAAATGCGCAGGGCGTGAATGGAGCATCGTGATCGATCAGCTCCCGACCGCCACATTCTCAGCGTGTGATAGGCCTTGCTGGCCCAATACTCCCCACCCCCGCGGATCCTGCGATCCGCTAGCCATGGTTCAGCCCGTCGAGTTGGGGTCTTTGTTCTTATCTGATAATTTTCTCATGTGTTTGTCTCGGCCCTGAGGGGGGTTTTTTTCTGTCGCGGCTGTCATCGTGGTATTCTGAGCTTGTTTGGTGTGTCTTGAGAAGCTTTAGGACTTGGTAGATATCCCCAGGGGTATTTATGCTATCTGGTGGAGGTGCGAGTCATGGAGGACTGCAAAACAAGCAGCTTGACGCCTTCTGTCCGTTCCTGGCGGATGCCACGAGAGAAGAAGAGTGCTTCCTTGGTCTATCTTCTTGTTGGGACGTTGTGTCTCCTATGGTGGACGCTGCCAGCTCTGAAGGGAGACTCGGTTCCAGTGTCAATACCGACGATAACACCCGCCGCGAAGCCCTTTAGTTGGGAAAACATCAGTCCCTCCAAATCGCTAGAGTACCATGGTTGTGGAGATGGATTCCAATGTACCCGGCTCGAAGTGCCGATGGATTACAATCGAACCGATACCACGCGAGGGCGAACATTTGCTCTAGCGGTAGTTCGGATTCCAGCCATAGTCCCCATCGATGATCCTCGTTATGGGGGAGCCATGTTAATCAACCCTGGTAAGACTCATATCGCCCATCTTGAAAAACGGGTAGCTAACGTTGTTGTCAGGTGGCCCCGGTGGTCCTGGAACTCTACAAGCATTCTTATCAGGTCGGAATTTACAGACCATCGTCGACTCCGAGAATGACCCGAGTACAGTCCCACTCAACGCGAGCGATAAGTACTTCGACATCATCGGATTTGATCCTAGAGGCGTTGGGTCCACTACGCCGGCAATAACGTGTTTTCCCGACTCGATTTCTCAACGGAATTGGGAGTTACAGGTTGATGCCGAGGGGATGCTGGGTAGTGGCCCAAAGTCCTTGGAGGAAAACTGGCTACGGACGCACGCGCTGAACTCTGGATGTTCCGTTTACGAGATGACTGCTGATGGAGCGCAGGGTGATGAGGTGATGATGGATTACGTGAGCACTGCACTAGTAGCTCGGGATATGATTACTATAATCGAGCGCCATGGTGAATGGCGCGAGAAACAAGGTCAATTAGCCCAGAAGGCATTTGATCTGAAACATGGCCCAGATGTGTCGCGTGCTATTCTGAGACGCACTCAATGGCATGTTGACAGGGAACCGCTCTTATACTGGGGTCGGTCTTACGGGACTCTCCTGGGCACAACCTTTGCTGCACTTCATCCTGATCGAATTGCTCGAGCGGTCCTCGATGGCGTGGTCAATATGGACAGGTACTACGAGGGACGGGGACCGAACGTAGTCATGGACGCTGATGCCATTTTCGATCGTTTCGGCGAGTACTGCCACGAAGCCGGGCCCGAGGGATGTCCCCTTTACGCAGAAGGGGGATCCGACACGATCAACGATGCCTACTGGACCATCGAAAACCAACTCCTAAACACCTCCCTCCCGGTGATGGCATCTGCCACCCGGGGTCCGGAAGTTGTGACCTGGACAGATCTAAAGAACATCCTCCGTGTTGCGGTCTATCAGCCTTTACTCGCATTCCATGTGTTGGCAGGCCATGTTAGCGAGCTTGCGAAGGGAAATGCAGTCACGATAGCGGATTTCAAACATCGCAGACATTTCGGAGCTTGTCCGTCTCCTGAGTGTCAATTAGCAGGGCCGTGGTCTTCGCAATGTGCCAGCGGGCTGGATAACACTCTGTACGCGAGCGCGGCGATCCTTTGTACGGATGCTGAGTATATGACAAATTTCACCTTGGATGAGTTTCGGGAGCTTTGGGCTGGCTTAGTGAGTGATAGTCGGACTGTGGGAGATTATTGGGCTCAGGTTCATTTGTCTTGTGTGGGATGGAAGGCGAAAGCAAAGTACAAGTTCACGGGTAGGCAGAGGGTCTTTTGACAATTTCCGTTCTTACTGCAAGAATGCTGACACGTCTAGGTCCATGGGGTGGAGTTACCGCACACCCAATGCTGTTCGTCTCAAATACCCTTGACCCGGTCACTCCCTTGCACAGGTATGTTGACCTGTCCTTCAACGCTAAAACCAGTCACTAACCCCAGCCAGCGCAAAACATATGGCCAAGCAGTTCTCCGGGTCTGTATTACTCGAGCAAGATTCCGAAGGGGTAAGTCGATCGATCTACTGCGGTTGGCTTAAAGCGCACTTTAACTAATTTATTTGATACCCACCCAGCACACCACCATCGCCGCCCCCTCATTATGCGTCGCAAAGGCGATCCGCAACTACTTCCAAACTGGCGAACTGCCTGCCGTCGGTACTCTCTGCGAGGCGGACTTAAAGCCGCTGGTCGGCTCCCATCAGCAAGTCAAGGCGCAAGATCTCACCTGCGCTGACCGAAAGCTCATGGACGCACTAATGGCTGAGGTTGAACATGGATTCCTCCCAAATGTGCAACTATGACTGGACTTTTAGTAATCATGATGGGCTTATGCCGTCTTGTTGTCGGCGTCCTTTCGGAATTCAAACCATCTTTTGATGGGTTGAGCGACAAAGTCACTGTCGATCAGAACTTGTGTATCATTTTAGAGCGTGCGAGAGCGTGCGTCGTTATTTATGCATTTGTGTCAGTAACCAGCGATTGAATTGAATGGACTTGTATTATCTCTCTGTAATTCAGGTCAACTTGGGTTGTCAGTTTTTTAATGCCTAAACTGAATTCCTCGGTGATTATTATCCCGGTAGAGCTGTTCCTTTCCATCGTATAAGCGTACAAGCGCCTTAAAAGACATCTGAGATCGGGATTCACGACCTCAATTCCGAGTGGGTCTTGATCATGATATCCTATCTCACAATCAGCCTTAGTATCTCGTGGATACTGTAGCAGAGGATAACCTCGGGCAGTACCCCACAAACCTTGAATTGCTGACCGGAGAAGTGGCCGACGTGGAGCAACTGCTGCGGAGAACTGAGGACCTCGGCAGGATTCCGTCCAATCTGGTTGCAATGATAATCTGCAGAACCCCGCCTGAACGACTTCATAACTGATCTCGTGAACCTCTATCGCAACTACAGCGAGTAAAATATCATCTATCACCACTTTGCAATAATTCACCATGGCTCCCCCAACAGCAACCGAAACTGTTAGCAACATCGCCGTGCAGGCCCCGCAGTCGAGTCAGACGGCGGGCACCGAAAAGGCAAAGGTCAAGATGCAGATGCCGAGCATGCCGAAGTTCGAGGATAAGATGCAGGAGCGAGAGTATCTCAAGGGTCGCCTGGCTGCTGCATTCCGGATTTTTGGCAAGAATGGATACGATGAGGGTATGAACCATGAAATTTTTGTAGAAGGCAAAGCGGAGATGCTCACGATTTTTTTATTGCAATAGGTGTCGCTGGCCACATCACGCTTCGCGACCCAGTCGATCCAACAACTTTCTGGGTGAACCCCTTCGGTACTGCTTTCTCATTGATCAAGGCGTCGGATTTGATTCAGGTCGACCATGCAGGCAAGGTCATTGATGGAGGACCGAATCGCCTGCTCAACGCCGCGGCATTCATGATTCACTCTGCTATTCACGCTGCTCGGCCCGACGTCTTGTGCGCAGCTCACAGCCACAGTTTGTATGGGCGCGCATTCTGTTCGCTAGGTCGGCCACTCGATATTATTTCACAGGATTCCTGTGCATTCTATGATGTAAGTGGCCTCTCGAAGCAATACTGCCGATGAAACAAAATTTAACACGGTCGGAAATAGGACCATGTTGTATACAAGCAATTCAACGGCGTTGTCCTCGCCGAAGAAGAAGGCAACAATATTGCTGCAGCGCTGGGTAACAAGAAAGCTGCCCTTTTACAGAACCACGGTCTTCTCACTGTCGGCAAGAGCATTGAAGAGACCGTTTTCTGGTTCGTGAGTCTGGAGAAATGCTGCCATGCCCAACTACTTGCCGACGCTGCGGCGACCGGGCGTGGTGGCCAGACTGTGAAGATTGATGATGCGGACGCTGCGTTCACATACAAGACTGTTGGGACACCGCTGGCTGGATGGTTCAGCGCGAAGCCCCTCTTTGATGTCATCCATAAGGAGACTAACGGAGACTATCTGGAATAAATTAGGAATCAAGGCCGCCCCAACTGAGGGCGATCTGGCCAGCCTGACAGGATAGTGCTAGACTCCAAGACTCGGATGTGGCTCCGGGGATGGATTCTCTCGTTCTCTGCAAGACCAGAATGTATATAGCGATGACAGGGGTGGACCACACTAAAGAAAACGGGGTCCTCCCCACTTATCCTTCAATCTTATGTTGTTCACGATTCCACTGGTTGAATACAAGCTCAGACAAGCTCCGTCAGCCTTGTTGAAGAATATGATCCACAAACCGGAGACTTCTCCGCGTTGGTAGGATTGTCCGTTTCTCGTTTGGTAGAAATTAATGCGTCAATCACCGTCTTGACGGTGCGGGGATCCACCGTTTCAACTAGCTGGCGCTTCTACTAAAGGTGTTTTACTTTGAAACAACGGCTTAATATTTCCTGGGCACAACGAGTTTATGTGTTTCCACCACTGAAGTAGAAGGAGGTTCTGCCCCTCAAAACTGCATAAAAGGAGTAATCCACCCGGATAAATATGAGGATCAGCAGTGCTCAACTTTAACTCACGAACCGGTTTCGCGATCAACTCTATAAAGCATGAAGGTCCTTCTTTCTCTCCTTGCAAGCACTGGACTTGCCAGTGCCGCTCTTTTCGGCTCACCAACTACCCATACCAAGCGTGATAGCTGGGGAGGTAGCGTCTCCTTGGGCCCGTCCAAGTCGACGATTATCAACGCCGTTACCACCATCGTCCCCGGTGCTGCTCCTTCCACTCAAAATGGGGAGCTGTTCCTTTGGCCAGGCATGTCCAACGGCACTGGAGACTTGATCCAGACTACCTTGGAAAGCTGGCCTGATAACTCATGGTGTGGCGCCGCTACTGGTCAATGGTGTGTCCGAGCCAGTGTGTTCGGATATTTCGGCCAGCTTGATGGCACTGCAAGTCCTGTCAGCGGAACTGACAAAGTTCGGATTGAATACAATCTGGAGAGTGATGGACAAACCTGGAAGCAGTATGTTGCATAGTGGAGATGGAGACTTGTGGAGATGTTAACATTTTGCAGGACTGTCACCAACGCCGAGACTGGGGCTCTCCTTTCTACCTATTCACGTGCTTCTGGCCCATACATGACCGGGTATGTAACCCGGACAGTTTTTTACAACTCTACAAATACTGACTATCAATAGCTATGGTACCGGAACCGAGTGCGACAGTGACTGCACCGGCACTATCGCTGCACAGAAGTACCTCAACACGACCATCACCCTGGCTTCTGCCGATACCACGTTCGGTAGCACCATTGCTACTGCCCAGAGTGCTACCTACACTGGACTTAAGTCGAGGCAAAATGGTAAGGTCTGGGTCATTGACACTATCAACATCCCCTCCATGTCTTAGACTTGAGGTCTCGTGGGAACAGCCCAAGGGAGCTCCAAGCATGGATGTGGACTAGAGAAACTCGTGTATAAAATGAAATTTCCACAGAGAAGAACATCCACGTTCCGTTTGTACATTAAACACTAGACATTATTATTAACCCTGGTAATCAATATCCACCACTAGCCTTACAGGCCCAGGTGAAGCCGCACCCCCAATTCCATCGTGATGTCGCTCAGACGCAGTATAAGCATCAACCACCTTCTTAGCCTGTGGCGTAATGATAGAGCACCCCTTCCCATCAGCCATACAAATCCGCATGCCCTGCACATCTTGATGCGCGAGCTGCGCCTGAATAGCGGAAACATCCCAACCGGACCAGCCATCATTCTCCGCATCTCCGAACGAGAATTCTCCCCAAGTTGACGTGAAACCACCCCAATTATCCACCGGTAGACCATTGGTTCCAGGTGCTGCACCCCAAGCACCCTCAGAATCTTCATCAAAAGCGACGTACCGGGTCTCACCGGGCGCGAGAACAAACGTCAATGCGGAGTGGCCATACCACCCGTCCATTTTACCATCAGGCCCGACCTTGTTCCAAATCGTGATTGTCCAAGGCTTGGTGTTTGCGCCATTAAATTGCACCACGTACTTGTATTGATGTGCCTCGGTCGGACTCACGGAGATAACATTGCTTCCCCAGGGAATGCCGACATTGCCGTGGTACTTTATCTGTGTTCCTGACGGCTTACTTCGTCCGCCAAAGCCCTTAATCGCAAAGTCTCCATCTTTTGGGATAGCGGTCCAGTCGAGATTCGCTGGTACTGAAGGTCCGTTGGGATTCAGGATTTGGCTCAATGGCAAAGTTGGAAGGTCAGAAAGTGGGAGTTCTGAGACAACATCTTTTGGTGTGTCTTCGAGCACCTGTGGGAGTTGTGGGAGCGAAGGAAGAAGACCTAGAGCTAGGGGTGCATCGATCTTTGCTGGAGCTGTTGGTATTGGAGACGCAGGCGGCATCGCGTCTGATTTTGTTTCGACGGAGGTGGTAGACGCCAATGATGGGGCCACATTGCTGCTCTTGGTGCTTGCATCGACAGTTTGAAGCTTCGTTACTGTCGTGGTCATGTCGATTGTAGTTATTTGCTCATCCAGTGTCGGGCCAGGCTTTGCGATATGGGTTGGAGCAGAGATAGCTTCACTCGGCATTGAGTTGGTCGACATCAAGTTTGTTGGCATCGACTTGATCCACTCCGGCTTCTGTGGTTTGGGCACTGCAGGCGCTGGAACAGCTACTCCATTTGTTGGGACATGTATTAATTCGGCAAGGATTGTGGTGGTGGCGGGCTCGATGGTGATAGTGGATGGACAGTCCGCGAAGACTGTGGTCGTGGTAGTGGTAGTGCGAGTCTCTACCTTCATGTCCGCCGGGATGCGGTCCAGCCAGTCAACATCCCTCGGCTCTAATTTCTGGGCATGAGGCTTGAGATGGACATGGTGATGTCTCCCATGATGGTGGTGATATGCGAAGGCATAGTCTGCTCCTATAGCCGCGAGAAGCGGTGCGGAGATGCTCCAGCGCATTTGAATCTCAGGAAGGTGAAAGGAGTCAATTCGGCCAATTGCACTGTAGTAGAGTATTTTGCGTCTGTCGCTGGCTGTGAAGTCTACTTAAACGTGGTCGAAAAGGTCGTCGGCGTTTTGTTGTCGTTGTCGGGCTTAGAAACTACAATCAGACACGCGACAGCAGACGCGACTAGTCTTTATATCTTGACGCGAAAAGGTCTAGCCCAGTGAAGATCAGGAATGTTCCTCTCGCGTTGGATTCAAGGAGGCGATCTGATATGGACAGTAGCAGCCCTGAATTCCATCCCACCTTGGCTCCTGTAGGTGGCTTGAATCGCTGGATCAAGGGCCAACCTTGAACAACACGACTACACGATTCATCCCTCAATAATTCCAAAATAACACCCTCAGAGCAGCGATAGAATACAAATTGCTATCAAATTTGGAACCAAGAGACCTGAGGGGTGACACTAACAAGGACAAAACAAAGTTTACTTTGAGAGGAGCCGATGGAGGTACCAAATGTACTCCCTGGTAGTGGAAGCACCCCCTACGCGGGACATTCCAGCGCGTACGATGACGAAATACTCTCCTTACCAGAACGTGGGCAGGGCAAGGTAATCTTGCACATAAAATCATTCAATAACTGATTGGGTCGGGCAATTTTTTTGATCATCAGGAGTTAATCGTATGGAATGAATAATTACAGGCTTCCGACACAGGTCTCCGACGTTCATCGAAATCTCTCCATATGCAAGGTAGAGCCTACCTAATAGCAAAATATTCGAGGAATTGAGATTTTCAGACATAGTACAAATATGTACGGGCATACAAGAAAGCTCATCTCTTCCAATGGAATACAGGTAGTTCAAACCTATGAAGCACCCTAGGGAAGACGGGTGAGTTTAGGTACAGCTCTGCTTGCTTTGTCGGCGAGAATATACATCGCCACTACGGTCGCATGGACCACCCGAATTTTTCATAGTCGCTTAGAATACATTATTAAAAAAAACCAAGAGCTAGGTATACACAGATAAAGCTTCAACGGATTTTCATACCTCAAGCAGCTAAACTTACGCTCGGTAACGTAGATCAACTATTGCTGATTCACCACGCGTCTGTTCGTTGATACGAGCTGTGTGCTAATATTACTCCAAAAACCTTGGAGAATCGGAGACTGCGTAGCCTCACGAGCCAATAGAAATAGTCTGGTCTATCAGGCCTCCAGGCGCGAATTGGGGCTTCCCCTGCCAATTTTTACGCGCTAACCCATTTACAGGCAAAGATGCGCCCAAGTGGATCATATTGGACGAATCATCGGACAAACCAGACAAACCCCGCCTGGTCGAAAGATTTGCCAAAAAGAGGATGGTCACATCTGGGGGGCCTAGGGCCTGGAGAACCACATAAAACGCTTCAATGTCGCCTTTTGGCCTTTGCTAGATTATCAAACCTCGTCGCCATCATGACTTCTCTCCACCCCTTTGATCCTATCACCCCTGGGGAGATCCAACTGGCTGTTCGCATTCTGGAGGCCGCTTTCCCCGGTGTCAAGTTGCGGTACAAGCGCATTGATCTTCAAGAACCCACCAAGCATGAGACCATCCCCTATCTCGAGGCTGAGCGACTCGGCAAGCCACGCCCTCGCAAGCCGGCGCGCTTGTTGATGGCTATGTTCCATCGTCTTGACAATGGCTCGTTCTTTAAGGCCATTCTGAACGCGGACACCAAGTCCATTGCTTCAATGAAGGAACTCCCTAAGGAGGTGCAGGGCCCTGTGGATATTGACGAGATGATGGAGATTGAGACCATTTGCCTGAGCCACCCAGCCGTTCAGGCGGAGATTGAGAAGCTCAAGCTTCCAGCGGGCATGTCGGTTTGCCTGGACCCGTGGATCTATGGTACTGAGGATGCCAATGAATCTCGACGGTTGTTCCAATGCTATATGTATATTGTGGTCGTTGACCACCCACAAAACAACCAATACTCCATCCCTTGCAAATTCTCTCCCGTTTTCGACGGCATCACTCATGAACTGGTGCGCATGGATTACCTCCCCGGTGGAGCCGATTCCCAGACTACAGAGACACAGCCGTGGAAGCAGGTGCCTGCAGTCCAGTACGCCCACGAATTGCTTGATGAGCCACTGCGCACTGATCTGAAGCCATATATCGTGCAACAACCGGAGGGTGCATCATTCAATGTCATTGGAAATGCAGTCTCATGGCAGAAATGGCGCTTCCGCGTCGGCTTCAACAACCGTGAGGGCTTGGTCCTGCACAATGTGACCTATGATGGCCGCAATACCTTCTATCGCTTGTCGTTTTCAGAGATGACTGTTCCTTATGGCGGTAGGTTTTACATCCCCTTGCTTCTCACTTAGAGTGACCTATAGCTAACGCTGTCAGACCCTCGTGCCCCTTACCACCGTAAGCAGGCCTTTGATGTTGGTGACGTTGGCTTCGGTATTACGGCAAACCAGCTCTCCCTTGGCTGCGACTGCCTTGGTCATATCAAATATTTCGATGGTTTCCGCACCGACGCCAAGGGTGAACCCATCCAACTTAAGAATGTGATTTGCATGCACGAGCAGGATAACGGTCTGCAGCATAAGCATACCAACTATCGCAGTGGTGCTGCAACAGTTGTGCGCAACCGACAGCTCGTGGTGCAGATGATCTGTACTGTGGCCAATTATGAGTATATCTTCGCGTTCATCCTCGATCAAGCTGCCAATATCGAGCTTGAGGTTCGTGCGACGGGTATTCTATCAACTGTTCCTTTCGATAATACCGACGGCCAGACCGTACCATGGGGCACCAACGTGGGGCCAGGAGTGATGGCTCCTAACCACCAGCACATGTTCTCTCTGCGAATTGATCCTGCTCTGGATGGATACAAGAATACTATCTATTACGAGGATAGCGTGCCAATGCCTGAGGATGACTCAAACCCTTGGCTGGTTGGATACACCACCGAGAAGAATGTCATCAAGCAAAGCGGCAGTGCATTGACCAGCGTTGAGAAGCACCGTGTATTCAAGATCCGCAACGACAACATCATCAACCCAGTTACCCACCACCCCATCGCTTATAAGCTGCAGACCAGTCCAAGCCAGATGATTTTGGCCCACCCCAAGTCCTTCAGCGCGAAGCGTGCGCAATTTGCCACGCGCCCTATCTGGGTGACCAAATACCAGGACGATGAGCTCTTCGCTGCCGGCGAGTTCACCAACCAGAGCAAGAAATCCGAGGGAGTTGAAGTGTGGGCTGCACGAAACGATAATGTGGAGGATGAAGACCTCGTTCTCTGGCACAGTAAGTTACTACACAATGATTCCGACCATACTAGCAATATCATCTCACAAATCCTGCAGCATTCGGTCTTACCCACAATCCCCGCATTGAGGATTTCCCTGTGATGCCCATGGAGCGTGTCAGCGTCATGCTCAAGCCAGATGGTTTCTTCACCAAGAACCCGGCCCTGGACGTTCCGCAGTCGTCGCAGTCGTTCAACCAGTCCACTCAGCACCCGGAACCTTCTTGCTGCTCTGGACCTCAGGATCGGAACCAGGTGAAGCTCTAAAGTCTCGCGTTCAAATTCAACTTGGACAATAATTGTTTCTCAATATAATGACATGCAAGCGACAGGGCACATACATGACTTACGTATATAGCCCATGAAATAGATACCTTCCTACATCATCCTGTTGTCCATAACCCTTATTTTAAATGCCTAGTTTCTGGTGAGTGTTTTTGAAAAAAAAAAAAAAAAAAAAAAAAAAAAGACCTGAAGTATTCGACTATGTCGATCCAAATCAAATAATCATACAAGCGGCAAAGGAAATTCGTTACACATTTCAACCCGATTCAAAATCTCTTTCTCATTTGGGCTTCGGCCAGCCGTCAATATCTCCATACCACCTCGATCGATAGATTTCATCACCAATATTGATCTTCTTGCGCTGTCCATTGACCACAAAACTGGTATGGAAACCTCGGAACTTTTGCCAGAGCGACTGCACATAGATGAAACTCCCATCGGGAGCAAGGTTGAAGCTTTTCAAATCCGATTCAGGCAGCTCCTCCCATTCACCCTCACGGTTATATCCGTGACGATCATCTGTGGTGACCTCAAACCCCTCTCCACCGTTCCCTTCGGCGCTTCTTCATATTTTTTCCATTTCTTGTTTGCTTCGACTCCTGCAATTATCCCGCTCGCATCCCTGGTCATGGCCATTTCCCAATCCAATGGCTAGATCTTGGTTATGACCTTCATCACAGCTGCTTATATTATCGCGTGCTGTCTTATGAACATTGCCATCAAGAATCCCCGACTCCATGCCATTTTTGTTGGCATGCGAAACTCCCAGGTGGGAAGCGGAACCATCTTCGTTGCTTCCCAGCGAGGCCGACTTTGCGGTTAACGGTCGTTCGAGTGCAGCATATGCGGCGCTAATCTCCTTGTATGCCTCGATCACCTTCCATTTGCATTGTTTCTTCGATATGGGTGACGTGGCATCGAAAGGACTGTTAACCCTCTTCAGCATTTTCTTCTCTTTTGATGTCCGTTTGGGGTATGAGAGTCGTTGGATATCCGTGATGTCTTCGAATCTTTCGAATTGGTGGCATTTTCCTCATGGGCAGTCTGGGCTGTGTGAGAGGAGGGATCTTGTGACCTTTTTTTATTGTTCGAGCTTCATATTGCATGAGAAACAGTTCTGGCTGTACTGGGGCCTGCCATAATTTGCCTGCTGGGCTCTCTGCGAGGTATTGTGCTTGGTCCTTTGTTTGGACTGGGGTCTGGTGCTGGGGCAGGCTTCACCAGAGTGGTGCCGTAGCCTCCAGTTCCGACAGGGACTCGAAGAACCTGGACGGAATTGAGCCGCTGCATTACCCGGGGTTCCTTTCGAAGGACTCTTGGGCCCCTTTCTCGAACTCTTCGTCCTTCCAAGTGGCTTTCCTCATCAATCGAGAGCCGCAGGGCTGATCAGAAGAATGTCGGATAGAACACCAGTGAGGGTTGAAGGATTTCCAGGGCGAGAAGAGGATTTGGGGGTAGAATTCTGAAGCCTCGACTTGAGTCAAGGTCCTGTGGCGTTCTTCGCGTGAACGATACCTTGCCAATGATAATGGTAAGCGGCTGCAAGGAGACGACCGATGCACATCTTCGACCCTCTGGCTGAGCCGCTTCACTTACCGGATGTTCTGTGAGAAATGATAATCAAGAGCTCTGTACCTGTGAAGGCCGGTATTGAGAAAGTAGTTATCGATCGGAGATGGGACGAAGAGGAGCAAGTTGTAGAAACACCCGAGGCGTGAATGAAAGAAGATTTGAGTAAAAATATAGAGACCAGAACGAGACGATGGAAGATCAAAGGAGGTGGGATAGATGAAAGTAAGATTTCATTTCACTGGTCAGTGTTTTCAGTAGAATGCAGAGGGGAGAGTTGTGATTCAGAATGAAGGTGCTAGCGGTTCAAAGGCCGAATTTGAGCGGTTTGATTAGCACCGCCAACAGGAAATGGTAAGAGACGGAGTGAAAAAGAAGGAAGGAAGCAAGGGGGGCCGATGGGATTGAGAGGCTCTCAATAGCAGACCGAAGTTGAGGGAGGAGGAAAGGCAAGAGTGAAGTCGCACATGGGCAATCCGAAATGATACAGAAGACGGCTTCCGGGCAATTATGGGAAAGGGTTTGAGAAAGGTTTGATGGCCCTTCCTCCTGAACGCTCCTACACACAATGAGGTCCTTGTAAATCTAGTGTATCAGGATAAGGTGGAGGTTTCGACTAGTTTAGTTCCAATGACTCTGATCTTTTGAGCATGTAAGTTACTTACTTTAACAATAAGTGTAATGAGATATTGATATCTGCAATTCATTGGGTTGGAAGTCAAAGATAAGGCAAATCATACAACAGAACAAGCAGAAGATGAATGAAAGTCTGATTTATAAAACGAAAGGAAAAAGAGGTGACCCTCAATCTAGGTGTTAAAAAAGAAAGGTTCTTTATAAAATGATTGGAAATTTTTGAGCCGTGGTATCGATCAAAACTGATTGCGGCTGTTCATTTGGCGAGGTCCTCGGTCTGTTCGAAGATGCCCGCTTTGGTTGTCAGACTTCCGCTTTCTGACCCTGGCTTTTTTGTTCGTTTGTGGTGTCAGAGGCCGAGGTGAAGCTGAATGGCTCTGACTTTTAGTTGAGCATGTCTTTGTGAGTGCTTGTAGAGCAGTGATGGTTCCCGGGGCAAAGCCGGTGAGAATGGGGGCCAAGGCTAGAAGCTTCTGCTCATATGCTCTCCTCTGAGATTGCGGCGTTTTGGGATCTGAAAGCGCCCGGATTTGCATCTTATAAGCTTTCTGAAGACCTTCCCCAGTCCAAGTATTGTCGGTATTATCGGTCAGCCTGTCTGTATCGGCGGATTGGTTGTCTCTAGGCCTATAGGCATCCACATTTGGCTGTAAAGAAGCACGAGAATTGATCTCAACAGAAAGAGCAACTGGTCGGGCGTCATTTTGAGCCACTTCACCAGACATGTAGCATGATGTGACCGGGGACGGCCGTTGATGAGACAGTGGAGATTCTCGAGAGGTAGAAGTAACGTTGTTGCGTGGCGACGCTGCTTGGACAGAATCCTCATCATGAGGGAACTCATTCTCTGAAGCCGTGTTACCAAAATCTTCATAGTCAGAATCATCTTCCTCAGACATGTCCTCATCGGAGGTTTCAACGCTCTGCTGCTCGGGTATCTCTGAATTTCGCGTGTAACCATGGGCCCGTGATGGTGATGCTAGAGATTGACTTGATGGGGCATTCCTAGGTTCCCTCCTTGGGCCATTCATAGATGAAGGCCGGTTACTGGACTTCGACGGCCGCTGTCTTTCAGGTGTCTCATCTGATGTACTTCCAGAATCGGTTGTTGACCCACGAGTGTGCCGAGTCTCCTCGGCCTGCCGGGAAGACCGTGGCGGAGACATTGGCTGATCTTGAACAACTTGGTGCTGAGCTACCGATCTTGTTCTTGTCTTTGCTGGACTCACAGGTGCAGGCGTTGCAGGAATCCCCTTGACATATTTGCGGAGAGCTACCTCATCCTCAGAATAGAGATGGCTCTTGACCCATGCCTTTCCTAGTCGGCCTTTCAACAGATCTCGATCCAGCAATCGCAGAATGAAGCTTGTCATGTCTTCCGGGGTCTGCACGAAAGCCTTTTTCTCTTCTCGATATCTGGTGACCACATCGTCCGCATAGACCTTGTGCATCTTCGAAAATACTCCACACTCCAGCGGATTGAAGAATGTGGAGCCTTTGTGCGGAATACATAACAGGTAGATGTCTTTCTTCCAACAGCTCATGAAGATTTCCGGAGTGATCCCGTACCGGACCCCATCAACGAGTAGAAGTCGCGCTGGTGCGTCATGACCTCTGAACCTGGGCGGTTTGGTCTCTTCTTCAAAGACGAAGTCAATCCAGTCCAGGAAAAATTCTGTGTTGGCCCATGGCTTGACTGCAAACGAGGTGGACACAGTTTTGTACACCATTCTGTTTCGATTGACAGTGCCCGTCTTTGAAATCAAGTAAGGCGATAAGAATCGATTGTCATAACTTGCACAAATAACGGCAGAGGTTATTCTCCGATGATCTCCATCGTCGCGAGTCGAGGCCTCAATGCATAATCCTTGATGCTCCGAGGATATTGCTGTCACAAATCCAGTGTCCCCAAACACATAAATGTGCTTGAACTGGACTTCTAATACCTGCTGCCGGTGTCTGAGAAAAGCAGGGAATCTTGAAAGCCTTTCTTCCTTAGCTTTCTTGTCTTCATTTTTGAGTTTCGCACTTTTGCATGCCTGGCGCGCAGCATAAACTCGGTCCTTGACGGTGCCATTCCGTTTAAACAGGCTTTCATAGAATTCATCACCTACACCAACATCCTTGTTTGGATGATTGGTGATGTGCATGAAATATCGCACAAACGCACTCACCTGCTTCTGGTTTTCTAGGGGAAAGCCATGATCCAGCCAACGATTCAACCACTGCGCAACTTCAGCCTCGTCTTCGTCACTCAGAATTCGGTTAATTCTTGGTCGTGTGGCAGAGCCAGGTCCTTCAGGGCTGGGAGGCTGAACCTCCGGGCTGAGATTCCTGTGGAATTGACTCTTGCTCCCAGGGGCTCTTTTATCCTTGAACCTCGCCATCAATATAGATGCAAGATGCAGATGGTGATAGACCTCTCCGTTATACTGCTGGAGTGCCAAGGCGAGGAGGAGAATCGAACCAGACAGAGTCAAAATATGAGCCTAGACCTAATCAGCTACAGTTCACACTCGCACTCAATCGCTCAGCTCCTCAATTTTACGAGTGATTCACGTTCCAGCCTGGATTAATCCAACTGTTGCAGATGAAGGACCCTCTGTTTAATCCAATGAGAACTCTGCACCAGCCCCATAACATCCTGCAGTCACAAATGGTCGTAAGAGCTTACCTTTCCCAAATTCTGCTTGAATTCTGACCCGGACTCGGAAGACCTGACCTTCAGAGCAGCTAGGAACAAAAATCAATCACGAACTGGCAGAAAGGGAGTTTTAAAGAGAGCCAACAGCCTTAGTCCTATTTAGGTAAATTGTAAACAAAGACCAGGTCCACCAAGCTGGTCGGAGAAAAAATTGGGAGCAAAAACTCTACACGCGACATAGCATCTAGTTAGGACAGCCACGATCCCACCTCCTTAGCTCCCAACGTACACATAAGCGTGCCTGTAGAAAAGTATGGAAACATGAGCCGGATATGGAGGCGTCAGTCTAGCCAATGAGACGGAGTGCAGAGTTCTTCGTTGAAAGCTAGAGGAAGCCACGGCCAATGACAGGATCGGCAAGTCTCGGATCAACTGGCGGAAACTGCAGGGGCGGTCTCTCCCGCAAGAACGCTAGAGTGAAAACCAACTGGCGTGAACCGCTATATGGGTCTCACTTTGACCATTCTTTTATTGGAAAGACGTGTTCGACTGACAGCTTCTAGAAATGGATGCACGAGGACTTTCTTTTTTCTCCCTACAAGCTTGTCTGGTACAGCAGGAGCTGCATCAGGGCACTACTTGGTAGAGCATTATTCTATCCCTCTGTGATTCTTGTCGATTTCTTGTATGCACTCGTCGTACTCAGAAATGGGTCGAGACTGTGGCTGGACACAGTGGGCTCCGTAAAGCTGTTCCACTCTACTCCGTAGGCCGCCAGAGTTTCGTTGTTGCCATAGCGACTTCATGAGTAGGAGGAAACGCAGTGGGATTACTTAGAAATTTAAAATTCAGGGGACTAATTCGTGCGAACTTCCACTAGCATAGCCGGAGTCAAATGTAGCTATGAAGATCCTAGCTTCTCCAAAGCCTGTTCGGACAGTCGTAGACGGGCCATATTCTGTAGTGTAGGTCCCCAAATCCACTTTCTTTCTATAACTCACCAAGATATCTAAAAAAAAATGAAGAGAGACGGGAGGTGAAGAGTTCGACTGTGACTTCCACGATGTAGGGGCTATCAGCAACAAGAAATGGCCTGAATAGCCGTGCTTTCGGAACTCGCAGAACGTCCCTTTCAAGCCCTACGGTATACAGCAAGATAATGAGCACCGACTTCACAATACCAAGCTATTTCGTTGTGTTATTCAGGGCTTTCATGAGTTGACTCTCGCTGAAAGTCCTCGAGGGCAAATCTGGTGCGTCTGGGGGTTGACCCAAAAAGATTTTGCGTTGACAGCTCGGAGAGCTCCACTTTCGTGTGTCAATGTATCCACATCAGTAGTCATCCTCTGGGGCCGCTTGGGGAGCTTCACAGCTAAGACTTCAGTAATGAGGAAAGGCCTCAATGAGAAATCCTTGAATCTGAGATCATGAAGCAAAATAGTACTGAGACCAGATCGTCCCTTGGTAGACCAGTTAGACTTTTAACCTTAAATTTTCGGTTGAGCTCGGCGCTTACATAAGAAATCGATTACGTCGTCGGCGTCGGCCACGGGTTCACCTGAACGCGCAACCTCTTCTCGCCACTAACGACCAGCATGGCCAGCAGACAGCGTTCAGGCTGCGCAAATTTTCACCATCATCATATGGCCCGGTACCTCTGAGCCAAGATCTATCCTCAATAGCCATGGCGCAAACGCCAGTTCCTCTCACTCATGGCAGACAAGGTACGCAATATATCCCAGCCTCCACATTCGTCTCAAGCTGTTCTGACTATACACAGAGATGCTGGCGCCAGTTGCGCGCTTGAACGGCCGGGTCTTTGACGATGATCCAGTCATCACGTACATGCTACTGGATATGCCAAAGGAAGAGCGGCTAGCGTATCTACCGACGTACTGGTCCATCCTCGTCAAGTCGGCTTTACTCAACGACGCGCTGATCACCGAGGCTGATGGATGGAAAGCTGCGTCTGTCGTTATTCCCCCGGGTCGACATGTGGACAGCTTGTGGACCCTTTTCTATGCTGGCTTTGCCGGTGTCCTGTGGAAGATGGGGGCTTCTGGGTTCAAGGTACAATTCCCGCAAAGATGAAAGTGAAACTCACAGCTGATTTCCTCAGCGTCTCTGGTCCGAATTCTCAGGCATGACCGACAATGCTAAGAAGATCGGTCTTCGCGGGAAGAAGCGGTATTACTACATCTTCAGCATAGGAACCGAGGTCGAGCACCGTGGGAAAGGTCTGACCACCTGCCTTGGACTACTTACGGGAAATTACTAATTGTACCGTAGGTCTCGCAAAAGCCATCATGCGCGAAAACATGAGGAAGGCTCAGCTTGAAAACGTTCCAATCTGGCTCGAAGCCACAACTCCCAACTCCCGTAAGCTATACCTCTCGATGGGCTTTGAGGAAATTGAGGAGGTCACGCTGGGGAAGGGCAAGGTTGACAGCAATGCTAATATCCAACCTGGTGGTCCGGGTGTGCCCTTGTGGGGAATGGTCTGGTGGCCTGAGCAGGAGTCTGGTCATACTTCTTCATCCTAACATGATTATTGTTATCTCCCGCCATTTCTCTAATTTACTCGTCGTCTCTAAGAAAATGTACAAATTCCTAATTTTTCTTCAAGAATTTGGACTCGGTTTAGACTATGGCACAGCATTAACTTGAAAGAGAATAAGTACACGGTAAACGGCCTGGATTGGCACACCAGAAGGAATGTTCATTTTTCAATTTAGGAAAATAGAGAGCACAATAAATGATAGATGAAATTCACAAAATGACTTGTATCTCAATTTTTAGATAATTGGGAGCGCGTGGCCAGTCTAGCACACACTCTCGAGCGAGTTCAGGTCCTTTGGAATCACACCGCTCTTGACAGCATCTAGAGTCATATTAGTAGTGACTCTTTTGCCAACTCCCCCTACGAGTGCAGACTCACCTTGATAAGACCAACGGTAATCATTCAACTGAGACTTCCAAGTCCAAAAAACCCAACCCTGCTGCTTCTCATACGAATGTACCTGCGCCGCAAACCACTTCTTGTAAAAGTCCGTGTTCGAGCTCGGGTCCCAATCGGAGGTTGACTGAACATCATCAGGAACAGCCAGACTCCACTCGCCAACGATGGTGGGTGCGTCGCTGTCACGATTGTCGTTGCAAGAATCACCGATGTAGCTATCGTGGGAGACATCCACGCTAGTATCCCATTTCAGATATCGGTGGTCGTCATAGGCGGCATAGTATAGGTCATTGAGGTACTGATTTGGGTCTCCAGAGCCCCAGAGCTTGTCCATCATCTGAATGTGGAGGTAGTCGTTTTTGTTGATGCCGGCGCTGGTCTCGTTGGCGCGAATTCGCTGGAACGAAGATTAGTACTACTAGACGATGCAGGATTCGTTTGGAGACTTACTTCGAAAGCTTTGGGGTAGTAATTCTGACGCATAGAGGTAGCCTTATCATTGTCCTGAACAGGCTCATTGACGACCTCAAGCATGCCGACATTGCGAAACTCATTGACAGTGTGAACAAGACCGGTCATCCATTCGAGGAACTTCAGCGCACGCTCGTACTGATAATCCACATAGAACCCAGCCTCCGAGGCCATCTGACCCGTGAAAGCATTCTTGGGTGTCTGCGCACCAGGGGCACCGTGCAGGTCCATGATGATATACATGCCAGCATCACTGGCCCAGCCGCAGACCTTCTTGACATAGTCGAGGCCACCTTGAGGGAAGTGCTCGCTATCCGAGTAGACCAAGTCTTCGCGAAGCCAGTACCCGACAGGCACGCGGATGGTGTTCAGACCATAGCTGATCATCTCAGCAATGTCATCCTGGGTGATCCAGCTACCCCAGTGTTTCTGGAACGCACCGTTGGCAGCATCCTGGCCAAGCGCGCTCACGCAATCGAATTCCGAGGCTTGACCACCGCAGCCCATGTCATTCCAGGCACTCTCGCCAATCCATGGCTCAAAGATAAATTGGGAGCCCAAATTGACACCGCGTATCTTGCCGTTAGAGGTCGTGAATAGATTCGTGCCATCACTTGACGTAATTTCCTTGTTGGTTTTGGGCAACCAGGCGGCAACCAGTGTAGACAAGGCGCCCAGCGCAACAATTTGAGAGAAGACACCCATGGTGGACTTGAAGGTGAGGTTTTTTTTTTGCTCTGGCTAACTATTTGATTGACAAGGAGACTGACTTGAATTAAGTATCATTTCCAGGTACCCCACGATCTACCGGGGCACACCAGTAATCTTCAACAGCATCAGCTTCTGTCAGGGGATGTAACCGTCCCGCAGGATCATAGCCTTAATGGAAGACCAGAGAAGAAATGATGTGCAGTGTTTCAGGATTGACGATTTGCCTGATTGGGAAATTGGCCTTCCGGCTCTTGAAACCCATGAGGATCTGGACTCGGTATCGCCGCTTGCGTTCCTCTACTTACTCTTCTCGGCGACGGTCTTATTCTATGAGCGCTACCTTGAGTTATTTCCCTTTTTGCCTGCTGCAACTTGTTTCATTGTGATGACGATGATTAGGAAAGTTTGAGGCCATGAACATCGCCCAGCTGAGGAGCAATTCGGCCCCCCGAGGCCAGATGGGATCGTCATATCTTTGGTCGGGATACATTGTCACAATTGTATATTGGTTTTCATGAATTGCCATGAAGAGTTAATAGTATTTCTAGGGAGAGTCGATGGGCATATTTATGATTAAGCTTCTCCCATCTTCCCCTGTTGCACGGGTAGACACTGTTTGGTCCCTGTTTCAGACTCGGCGGAGGGGAAATTTTGGCTCGGTCGTTACTTTCCGAGAAAGAATCGGCACTTTTTAACAGGAACATCACCACGGTATATCTAGAATTTAGCGATTACCGTATGGTTCAAGCTCTTTTATGAACGACCGTCAATGATAGAGGTGATTGTTGATTTAATTCCTCATACACGCATCAATTCGCAGCCAATTCTTCCGCGGTGCTCAAGAAGATAGCACATCTCATCCACTCAATAGGAAAGTGGCATCGTTCAAGACCTCTCCAACCGTAAAATCAGGTCGTATGGAGGGAATCGTCCCGAACCCTTCCATTAACAATCCCAGTTCTCGTAGACTTTCGCGCTGGGTAGCAATTTATTCTCCTCATACAAACGAATAAGAGTGCGGTTATCCTCATTGCTTCCATCTGTTGTGCCGAGGACACTTCAACTAGAGAGGTATCCCTAGCACCCGATATCCAGAACCTGGATAGTAGCCTATAGTATACTATGCCATCTGACTTGAAAGCTAAGGGGTGTGGCTAGAATGATCAAAGGGCACGAATATCTGCCGTACGTGAATTCTAGGAACAACAAAATAGCGGAGGTCACTACTCTTAATTGCTGAGATGCCCATTCCAGAAACTGGGAATAGCTTCAAATTCAACGTCAAATGCACCTCCTTACCTCAATTACCTGAGCCTGGCTAGTACTCGTCTCTCACGCACATAAGTTATTGAAAACCTCCTACCTAGCCGAATCTCATGCTAGCCCGTACATGCAAACACGTAGCTTCTAATCTAGAAGCTCTACAGAGTACAGCCAGTTCCACCACAACCAGTAAAGATTAGCACCCTCCTCCCTAGTTAAACATAATGTCATACAGTACATACAGTCTAAGAAAGGGTGCCCCAGGTAAATGACCAAAAAGCACCAAGTCCCACCCACAATCGCGACCGTAACCAACCTGCAATACAAAGCACCAGCCACATCTGGTCTCTGCTGTCAAGTCTACTCCGTACTTCACCCCGAAAAAAATAATCAATCCCAAAGCCACTTACAACCCAGCCACCAAGTGGACCCCCCAAAAAGGCACAAACCGATCATACGATGAACATAATCAAGCCCGACCTCCTACTATTCGTGTTTGCGGATGCCAACCTGACCTAACGGCTAACGGGGAAATCTCGGCCGGCCGAGACACGGCCCAAGAACCCGGCACCATCCAGTCAACATACCAATTACCACGAGAGACTCACCAATACGAGAATCGACCCGAAGCGCTGGGTCCCCCGTAAGGCTGTGAGCTACGAATGAGAGAGTCTGATTAAGCCCGACGGAGCCGAAGCGAAGGAGGGGGAATGAGAAATGGGAAATGAGAATTGGGTTGAAATAGCACTAATATGCAGAATCGGAGATAGTGCTGGCGGGTAGCCCCGGATCCATCATCCATGGAGATTTGGTTCGGGACCTGTGATTGCTGCGTTCTTTTCAGAGGCGGAGGGGGGTTGGGTTGGGTATATGTATGGCGGGTTGAACCTGGACCTGGATGATGGGTTATGGTTTGATTTATTTGAAACTAGACGGGGGGTGTATGATATCACCGGGGTACAATATTCTGGAGTTGGACCATGCATCGAGTTTCTTTTCTTTGCACAATTTCAGGTAGGTAATGTGGGAAATCGCATGACACGCGCATGTTGGATTGTATCAACCGCACTGACTTGCTGTACTAGCTCAGTGCCCATGCCAGGGTATACAATAATAGAAAAACAGAATCAAGACCCGGAGTACCCTTCCTGGGTTCTCATCCACATTTCCAAAAGGAAACCACAAGCCCTCCAACGCCTTGATGCAAAGGGAAAATCCAAACCCAATACCAAAAACGAATCCCAATCCCTATCCAACACTCTCTCAAGCAACGGGACTCGTACCACTCATACTAGGGAACAACATGACATCCGACACCCGGCCCAGGATATTCCGCATATTCCAATCCTCCATCGGTCCACCCGCAGTCACCATATTAGGCGGCAGACTCGGGGTGGTATCTATTGAAGGCGGCGACGGCAAAATCAACGGCGAATACGTCGTCGGTTCAGAGATAGTCATAGACGGCACGGGTTTACGCGCGCGGAAAGTCTCCCGAATTTCACGCAGCGCGCGCAACGATGAGGACAAATGTTTAGCCGAATCGGTGCGATTATTGTGTTCGGCGTCTCCGTCTGCATAGACGTGGTCGGCTAGGACTTTTTCCAGTCGGTCAATCAACTCCCAGGTTTGAGGGCTGTCGTCATTTACGACCAGCAGGAAGGCGGATGCGATGGATCGCTGGAGACTGATCCATGATCGGGAGCAGTGCGAATTGATTTCGTGTAGCTCGACGAAGGCGTCGATGGTGCTGATGAGACTGCTGATGCATTCTTCGCGGATTAGAGCTCGGCGCTGCTCGTCTAGATGTGAATGTCGGTCTAGGGACACTCGGCAGAGCACGGAGAGGAGATATGATGAATGCAGACGCAGCTCTGTGCGCTCTAAATGCTCGGCGAGCGTTCGGCATTGATCGCGATGCCGCAAGTGCGGCGTGGCTTCAGCGAGCATGCGCTGGATTCGCTGTTTATACTCGCGAATCTCATGGTACCGAGGCTCCTGCGTTTCAGGGTACATCCGGGATCGCAAAACTTCCAGCGCCAGCGATACCACCCGACATAGGGTCTCAAAGTATGTTCGATGCCCGGGCATCGATTTACGATCAAAGGGAATTTCGGGTTGGCTGACCATGGTGATGGATGGTCGGTCGTAGGCTAGTGAGAAATGGCTATTTTGGAAGGCCATGGTCCACCTGTGCAGGATAAGCATTGTGCGCTCGACAAGCATCGCAAGGGCAGAAACTCACCATACGCGCCTTCGATTGGCCTGTTCCTCGAGTGTGAATCCGGTTGATTCGACATGAAGTCCAAGCACGAGACACATGCGCTCCGTCATGCCTTTGAGATACATTAGATGGGAAGGACCGCGACAGCACTTGGATGATCAACTTACCGAGTAATGTATAAGAAGCACCGGCGTTCATGTTGTATGAAAGGACATTGCTGATTATAAGCAGGATCTGAATAACCTCTACTGTCGGCTGCGAAACATAATTCAACATCCGCAGGCATTGATATGCACAAGAAACTGTGGGGATCATCAGCACTTGAACTGTGGGCCAACAGTCAATCCATTTCCTTTCCGGGCAGGCTTACCGTATATCCATGAAGTCAATTCACGATCGGCACTCGGCAGATCGGACAATTGACAGCCCGAGGCCAGCACCGCAAAAAGCAAACTGAGAAACGGCAAGTCCATGCCAAACGGCTTGACTAACCCATTGGCATCTGGTTTATACACACCTCCTACCCGCCGTCTCCCCTCGAGTAATCGATTCGTCTTTCGTTCTAGCGCGTCGAGGTTGGGCAGGACTGGATACAAGACCGCACCGATATCTTTATAGAAGCTCAAAAATCTGAAGCAGAGAGAAATCCGAGTCAGCAAATCCCATCGCCATTAACGATTCGCGCTTTTCACACCACATACCGTCGACACTGTTCATCGTCCGGGAGCACCGCACACACCCCAGCAATATTGAACGTGTACGGATCGGAGGACCACAAATCCACGAACGGATACGCGGCCGATTCGTTGCCCAGCGCAAGTTCTGCCAGTAGATCCTCCTGAGGCAGCGCCTGCGCTGTATCCTCATCACCCTTCGATTTATCCAGAATATCGACCAGGGCAGATCGGGACCCGAGATGGACCGCACCCGTCCTCAACACGTTGGACCCGTACACGCCTTCCGACCGGGTAGAACTCTTTCGTTCCGAAGCTATTGTCGTTGTCTCGGAGCGTTTTCCAGACGAATGTGAATTGAACATTGAGTGCAAGCTGCCCAGGATCTGCTCCATCGCAACCATCTTGGTGTTAATCTCGTCCCATTCCTCCTGCGAAATATCGATTATCTCCGGGAGGTCGGGTTCATCACTAGCGGTAGCAGACTGATCGTGAAGGTAGGAGCCATCGCGCACAGGCGGAGGAGGTGGCGGCGCAGACGCATCGTAGGCTGGCAATATGCCGACCGAGGAGAAGGAGGGTTGTAGCGGCGTGGAGGAAGTGGTGCTGGCCGAGACGGGCACGGGGAGTTTAGCAGAAGCCGAGGGGCGACCGTAAGAACAGGTGAAGTTGCGCTTGAGGCAATTGCTGCAGGGCACGTTGCGGTCGCAGCGGACTTTGCTGGCGCGACACGGTAGGCAAGTCTTGCACTCGCGCGGGCGGCGGCGGATGGGATACGTCGGCATGGTTTCAGAGCCCCGCGGTGCTGGGCGAGCTGGGACGGCTTGCTTGCCTGCGGCGAGCGGAGGACAGAAGAAGGGACGGCATAGGCAGACTGAATGGAGTCGGGAGCCAGATATTAGGCGAGAAGAGGACGATAGCTAATCCTCTGGACTCGGCAGCTTGGGGTAAGACTTAGAAAGGCACTAAGCGAGTAGTCGACTCGTCGAGTAGGATAGAACCAAGTTAAGGAACCAGTTGGGGGGCAGGATGCTAAGTCCGATTCGTACAGGATCAAAAGGAACGGGCTAGAGCCGCCATTGGCGTCGACTTTTGACTTGGAGTGGATTGTGATTAGGTCCGTGAGCGCGACAGCGGGATGTGTCGAATCTCTGGGGAAAGGCTTGTAGATTGAAGCTTGGAGATTGGAGAATGCAGATTGGCGAGGAAGATCAAGGCCCGCAAACGTGCTGAAACTAGGAAAGGTCAACTCAATTGATCCGAGCTGCCGAGGATGGCGTGTGCAGCAGTAGTGGGTGCCGATCGCGAAGTCAGCTTTACAGAAACAGACACACTTAGACGGGACAGGTGATCTCAAAGCGGATGGGCTTTAAATCGACTGCAACGCGCGACGGGTGGTGTGTTCTTCAGCTGGAAGGAAGAGAAGAGAGTGCAGGGCAATGCAAAGTGAATGATTTCATAGGCCAGTCGGGTTCCCTGGTTCATCACGCCAAAAACGGGCAGTCGCCTGAGACAGCGGGCATCTACGGTCCACTAGAAGACAGTGGTAAACTATGCGCAAGCCTTCGACTAACTTACTACCAACGACAGAAGTACAAAACTCCTGGCCTGACCCTGACTTCAATTTCCACAAAAGTTAAAGCCCCTTTCTGACTCGAATTGAAATATGTCAATACTACCAGATTGGCTTGTCATCATCATAATAAATGAATTCGCTATGCGGCTCACTTTCTCATGTTTCAGCCCCGTACTAAGTAGAGCAATCCCTCAACCCAAGTCAGACCCTTAAAAGCCCCATTAGATGCAACGACCTATCAATGCAATGCCAAGGGAAAATAAGAATAGAAAAAAAAAGCCATTTGTCAATCACTCCATAGTCCCCAGTCTCCAAGTCGAATTCCTTCAGGGCCGAGACATGGCTCACGAGGTGGCTGCCTTGGCTGCCTTTTTCTCCGAGATCTGCGGCACAATCCACCAGTCATGCCACTGGGTCTTAGAGCCAATCACGGGTATCACCACTTGAAGATTGAGCGGGACCTTTTCAGAGGCAGGTGAATCGCCCAGGAGCGCCTTCTTGACCGTCTCGATTGCAATGCTGGCCCCGATACAGGCCCGCATCGTGTCCTTGATGTCGCGGCGCCAGTCTTCCTCAATGGCGATCGACGGTTCTTTCATGGGCGAGGAGATGTCCTCCACAAAGGCCCCATTGGCAAGGGTCGCCTCCCAGGCCTTTCGGGCTTCTGTGATGGCCTTGGAAGCACGGTCCAGAATAGTGGCGTCTGTGTCACCCTCTAAAGTAGCCTCGCGCTGGTATTCTTCAAATGGAACCAGCTCGGGCAAGGAGATTGGGATAAAGGGCTTCATCCGGAGCTCATAGCGGAGCTTGTCGCTGGAGTAGGCATCGGGACCTGCTGCCGATGGGAGAATCTGGTGTCGGGCCAGGAGTACATAAAGGGCGTGGAGCGCGATCGCAAATGCATCGATCGCAATGATATGAGTTGTTAACCGCTCAAGATAGAGGAATGATCTATGATATGCAGGCGACTTGTGCGCAGAAGTCTCCCCGTTGTTGTTGCTGCTTTCTAGATCGCGCTTTCGAGCTGCCACGGTGAACGTGCGAATGCGATCAAGGTGACTGAGGTGAGTTGAGCAGATGTGTGAAAGGTACCAGTAGATTCCAGGCAGCTCTTCCGGGGCATAGACCGATAGCTCGAATCCCATCTGTAGGATCAGGCGAAGCTGGATCAGTTTTTGATGGTATGCCCAGCTACTAAGCGGATAGGAAAAGGTAGCTTCCCCGCCCTGGAACTGCAATGCGGGCTCTGCACTAAGGTTTTGAAGCTGGAGGTCAAGCTCCTCAGCCTAGAAGTCAATAGTGTCAGCAAGTGGATAGCAGAACGAGATAGAAGGGTAAATCATACCTCCATTTGCAGGTTGTCCCAGTCAATGACAGTATGGCAGATGGTTCGTCGAACACGACAACGGTTCAGGCAGGCGGAGCGCACGGTATCAACGTAAGGCTACCTTCAATTAGTTTTCTCTTCGGAAAGTCAAGGTGGATCGCGACGTACCTGAGCAAAGCGTTTCACAAATCCTTCCATAATTTGAGCAATTCGGAACCTGGGATCCGACGGTAGCTCCACTTCATCGGTGTTCGCTCGAAGCAAAATACTCGATGGCAAGACCAGCTCAGCAAGGTCGTCATAAAGGAACTGCCTGACTGACACTGCCCCAAGGATTGTCATGTCGCTGACAATCAAGGCCTGTAGCAGCGATCGAATATAAACCGACGGCTGTGGTTTTCGTGACAGCAAAGTCCACACGGCGGTCTAGTAATTAACTTAGTAAAATTGAGCACACCGGACTAATCCAACAATCATACCTTGAAATTGCTTGGGCCACGGTAGTCCAGCATCTGTTGCATGTCAATAGCATCTTGGCAAAGTCGCTTCATATGAGCCAGAGCATCTTCCTGTTTAATGTGAACGATGGGCCGAGGCGGCACCGTACTGGCAAGCTTTCGTTGAAGCTTCAAGCTAAAAGCCTCTGGCAGAGCATTTCCAAGAGAGGTAGTTTCAGTCAAGGTCTTCAAGTAAGTCAGACATAATACAAAGCTGTCTGTTGACCTAGTATCCAAAATTTCAAGGTCCTGGTCCACGGCGGCCAAAAACTCCCGCCGCAGGAGAAGTCTACTCCGAATCGCATCTCGAAGCTTTTGCTCTATCCCCTCCTGAGCATCGACCCAGTCGACCGCCTGATCCAGCAGGCGATAGAAATGTGATGAGTCAAAAGTGGACAAGAGGTTGCGATTGTATAATTGAGTGACAAAGTCTTCTTCCTGTACCACCAACCCAAAACACCCGTCAGCCAAGTTGTTCATCTTCCCAACAGATATTCCACGCACCTCATAAAAATATTCGGAAGCCACACGGGCATGGACAAAGTCGCATGCCTTAACCAGTGCGAGGCAATAGGTTCGGAGTACAAGGCCGACAAGAGGGTATTCGCTGGGCACACGATCGGACCGGGCATCCTCGATTGTCCTCGGCACTGGCCACAATAGCTTGTCGATGTAAATGGAGGTAAAGAGGGTCTGGGAGAGGGGGTGGCCCATATGCCATGCCATCTATACCGGTGTCAGCTGCATTCAATCCAAAGCCTATGCAGTATACCCACCTCATGGCAAAGCAGTTGGTCCATCAACCCCACCACTTGCTCCGGTGTTAGGTGCCGTCGCACATCGTAGTTGTCTTCTAGCGCTTGCGCATGGTTCTCGCCGGGTGCTATGTAGCCGCTGTCCATCTTGGAGTCCATGATCTATCACCAATTCCAGGAAATGTCAGCAATCGGTCCTCTCCCACACCATCTCTGTCCAGGTACGACAATGACGCACCTCCAATGCGCCCACGGCCTCAAAGAGTGTGAACGTCTCATCTTTGACAAGCTGGCCAGTCCGTAGTTCTATGAGAGAGAAGTAATGTTAGATCACGGAGATATGATGTGGGAATAGGGTCAACTCTACTTGATGCAGCCTCCGTAAATTCGACAGTAATGTCGCGCGGCACGGCCTTCTCCTGCACAAGCACCCGCCGCGGGGGCACGCGAACCTCGTTATTCGGCAGCATCGCACAGAGATTCAAAGCTCTGCAGTCTGCTGCCGGTTCTTCTCATGGGATAGACAGGGAAATCAAGGAAAATCAACCGGTAGTGTTTGAGGTTGTGAACGGGGAGAGGGGGTTTGGCGGGGGAGGCGTAGGTGGAAAAGATGGGCTTCGCGGTGGACCGGGAATTGGGGCGCTCTGACGTGCACAAGGTACCGGCCGGAACATAAGAAGGTTCGATTTGAGGTACAATATTACAGTCAATTTACTACGAATGCTAGGAATCCCAGCATTGAGGCACACAGGTAAGAAGAAGGCATTTTGAAGGTCTGTCTGTCTGTCCAGACAAATCCTGTATTGCTACACATGTACAGAAAGTTCATTTGTCTCCCCGGGGTTCCTCTAAATCATCATGTCCGATTCCAGCCCCGGGTCCTCCTCTCAGCCAGAAGCATGGCTATATCATGCGTTCTCGTTCGTGCTCAGTAGGCGCTGATCGTTTATTTCTCGGCGTTCTGGGCGAGGGCCTCGTTGTTGGCCTGGGCGAGCGAGCGGACATCACCCTGCTTGCCGTTCTGTAGGTCACAAAACACTCCGTCAGTTCCATCGATCATGATATCACATTCACCCAGGTATATCAATTCAACTAACCTCCCACTTGGCGAAACGGAGGTCCATCTGGCCGCGGCGCTCAGCAGCGAGACGGGGAGTGTCCTTGAGGGAGCGGCGCACCGTCCGGGCGGCAATGGCCAGGTAGCGGTTGTAGCTAAAGCCACGGTTAGCACAGGGCAGGAATTGGCGCAGTCTGGTGGAACATACGTGAGGCCAGCGGCTTTCCAGGCGGCAGTCATTTTGAAGAGTGGATGTGGAGAGGTTGGATGGTTCAATTGAAGGGGGTGAAAACGGCTCGGGTGAGTTTGGAAGCGTTCGACTTCGGAGAATCGGGAACTTGGGTCACGTGAATGGCTGTCCGATCTATAAGTCACGTGCATTCAACATCACCCATGATGGCCTGCAACAAGAGCTATTGTATACCAAGCTTTAGCGACTTAAGACAATATCGTAGGGCTAATATATGTATGTTTTAATGGTTGTCATGCTTTGGGAATTCAATTCAATACAGACTCCTGATCGACGCGGGCATGATGCTCACCCAGCACACCTTCAATTGGAAACGCAACACGCTAGAATCAGGCAAAGGAGATATTACTCAAAGTTCCATGATCACGACTAGTATATTGTATTAAGATTCTCGCAAACAATACTAATGACCGACCGTGCTTAGGTTGAGACCCAATAGGCATGCATATCCAGAGATAGACTTAGATCGTAACAAGAGCTAGCAGGCCCACTATCTCAGTGCCTATGCATCAAAATAGAATACATGTAGTGTAGAAGAATTACCTCACAAGCTAAAGAAGGCAGACAAACACCACTGGCACTTGTGGCACTCTGGAGGCAGTACCCAGTAGCCAACCTCGTCTGCCTTGCAGTTCCTGGGGTGGTGTTTGCTATTACCGAGAAGGTTGAGTCGAGAAGCTTCGTGGCATTTATTTGTGACCACGGCCTAGGAAGCTGCCTCCAGCTCTGTGTATATTAGCTTGCGCATCGAAGTCCCCTTTTTCCCTGCGACCGCTCACTTTTCGCCGAATATCTCTCACTTCGCTCCCAAACAGCCCAACCCACAACTACTCGAGACTGCATTATCAGCCTTTCGGTAAGTACCTCTTCTTCATCCTACATCCCTCGTCACGACAATGAGTCTTCTGCATCTTTCTACGCGACACTACGTGAGAGAACAGGACAGACTTGGTCATTTTTTGACAGGTAAGTGAGAGAATTCTTCCGCATTTCCACTCTGCCCTTTCTGCCTCATCTTCTCGAGACCGGTACAGTACCTTGTTCTTCGCGGACTTGGTTTTCGAGCACCGTTGCCAGAGGTGAGCATATCCGCGAGTACTCGGTGTGATATTGAGCATTGCTGTGGTTCTCAGCTCAGCTGGTTCTTGCAAATACCAAGCTAGTCCATGAGGGTCTATCTCTCAGCTTGGATGATATCTTGGGCTCGTCCAATATCATGCTGTCGCGATCCTCACACGACGAACTCCCTCGACAACTTCCCATCCGTCCCGTCACAGCCTCCATATGCTTCTGCAGACCATCTCAAACTAACACTGAGCTTGTTCCCTAGTTCACTGATACCCACATTCAACAACCAGATCACACAATGCCTCCTCCTCGCAAGGGTGGAGGGAGGCCCCCCGGCCGGCGATGGCAAAAGGCCTCGCAAGGAAAAGCGACAGCTCGTTCGCTGGGACCGTGAGTTCGACCCGATTTCAATCCCTCACTTTCGAGATTCCCTGCACTAATGCCAGCGCATGAATCCACTTGACGTTTTTGTCATCCAACTTGGATTTTTTTATGCTAACAATATGAATAGAGGAACTCGACACCCTCCTCCTTCTCACCGTGCAGTCGGCATGCAACTTGACCGGAGTCAAAGTTCCCTGGGAGAAAGTTGCTGAGCTTATGGGTCCCAAGTTCACCGAAGGAGCCATTGTGCAGCATCTCTCCAAGCTACGCATCCGTCGTGAAGGTGCCGGCCAGCGCGTTCCCCCACCCCTTCGTCGCTCTGTTACTGCTGCTGCCGCCGCTTCTGGTGGTGGGAAAGGAAGTCTCAAGTCGGTAAATAATTCGCGCAAGCGTAAGAGCCGTTCTGATGTGGTGGACGATGATTTCTCGGATGGCCTGGACGCCCAGGAAGAGGATAAATCGGATCCAGAGTACATCCAGAACAAGAAAAAGCATAAGTCCAAACGCTTTTCGTTCTCCACCTCCAAGAAGTCAAACAAGATCATGGAAGACGACGATGACGACGATGACACTCTGATGTGCGGCGGGGCCCCATTCCTTCAACACGCCGATGCCGACCTTGAGTCCGAGCAGTACGAAAGCGATGATGACGATGAAGATGCCGAACATGACGACGATTACGACTCTGATTCCTACAGAGCGGCCAAGCTCAAGCTTGAGGAGGCTAGCCCGACTCCCCGCCAATCCCGAGTTGTCAAGCTGCCCATCAGCCTGGGAAACCGAGGCCAGGGTGCCATGAAGTCAATCCTAGGCCAGGCCAATGCGACTGCACCACCTCTGGCAATGGGAAGACCTCATAACCAGAACTTCTACACCAACGACCCGGCTATGATGAACAACAATCCTAGCTCAATGTTCGTGCCTCAAGGTCCCTGGAATCCCGGTCAAATGCCAACCAGCCAGGCTCCCGAGAACATGTATCAGTCCGCACCTATGCAGCCCGCACATGTGTTCTGGCCCCAGCCAACTCCCGTCGTCAACAATCAAATGCTTCATCCAGGTGAATTCGTCTGGTCCCATCATGCACCCGCCTTTGCTACTAGACAAGGGGGCACTTTGGCAGTCTCTGGCCTTCCAGCCTCGACCTGGGATTCGAGCTCGGCCACTGTTGAAGCACCCTCCGCCCCATCAATGGGCATGAACCCAAGCGACTGGTTTATGTCGAACCCCTTTGGCCAGGATGACGATGAGGAAGGCCAAGGTGATTTCAAGAAGCTGGAGGGCGGCGAGGAGTATTAAGTGACCCGGTGATATGCCGGTCCAATCAATCTCCCAGGCTACCCATTACGGTTCTGACTACTTTCGGCGCTGGTAACGACGCCGGTTTCTTTTGACAATTGAAGCAAGGTGGTGCATATGCTTCAATTATGGACATGATTTAATTTTTTTTCGGTTGCGGATAAGGGAAAGAGTTTCCCGCCCGCTTGACGGGCGCTGGATTCTCATGGGATTTTTTTCGAGTTGCTTTCCCGTCAGATGGACTTGATGGAAGGGCTGGTCATCTGACTTGCAAATACCTACCATATTCTGTCAGATAAGAAGGTGATATTCGGGAACTTTTTACAGTTAGCAGCGTACTCAATGAACATGTCCTCAAAAAATAATGGTTAAGAGCAGCGTAAATGAACGTACCTGAAGTCAAGAAGACAGCATTGTTCGTTTCAATCAGTAGATACATGATTTTGAAATCCATCAATTCCACGTTTAATTGTTCTTAGAGTTGCGTCTTCTCCGCGGAGTACTGCGATCCACTCGGATCTTGTTCACATTACTTAGGCGTTGACTCGCCTTTGGATTAGTTAATGTAAAGTGAGATTGAAATAGTGATTTTCTGGTTGAGTGTAATGATTTTCTTATGAGGAATTGAACCTATATTGTCAATTGAATGTTCTTAGAAAGGTGACTCTATTATGAGCAAGGTTGTGCTGATATATATCCGGAGTTTAATACATAGACCGAGGTTTTCCCACAAGATCATTCAATTCACCTGATATATTCCTCCTATCTAGTAATTACGAGGCTAGATATAGCAATAAGTACTATTATTCAAATAATCTGTAATAATCCGTCTGACTATAGATTCTAAACCTCGACGGTATCCCGGTTTGAATGTCCGGAGTACTCCCGCCAGCTATCCCATATATAGCCGGTCACCCGAAACCTCGGGAATGGCCAGACCACGTGACCTTCTAGCTGTTTCTGCCGCCAAGTCTGGGGATGGGGAAGAATGAAGAAAGGCCTGGAAAATTTTCGAGACTTTGGCTTCATCTTCCCCAGCTTCCCTTCCTTCTTTTCCATCTCCCTTTCATCTCACCTTCCCTCCTCACCTCCCAACCCACATCAATTCACGCTGGGTTTCATTTCTTTACCTCAATTCTAATACCGTTCGTCTCTTCTTTTCCGTTCTCCTGTTTCATTAGCAATGCAGCGCGCCCTGTCTACCCGGACTTCGGTCCTCTCGGCCGCTTCCAAGCGTGCCCCCTTCGCCCGCTCCCCTCTGAACCTCCAGCAGCAGCGTTTTGCCCACAAGGTGCGTGATACAATGCCATTGCGATTGAGCTTTCGATGGAGTCTCCAATGGCTCTCGGCTGCGAATGCCGTTGATTCCGAAGCTCTCCGAGTTTAACCCTGGCTGACCGCAAAACAGGAGATCAAGTTCGGTGTCGAAGCTCGTGCCAGCATCCTCAAGGGTGTCGACACTCTCGCCAAGGCCGTTACCTCTACCCTGGGCCCCAAGGGTCGCAATGTTCTCATTGAGTCCCCCTACGGCTCCCCCAAGATCACCAAGGGTAAGTTGTTATTGTCTTGGGTGCAATCCCGAACCCGGCTCGGACTTCCGCGGCGATTGAAGGAAAAATTGACTAACGTTGCGTGTTCAATCCAACAGACGGTGTTACTGTCGCCAAGGCCATCACTCTGCAGGACAAGTTCGAGAACCTCGGTGCCCGCCTCCTCCAGGATGTTTCCTCCAAGACCAACGAGCTCGCTGGTGACGGTACCACTACTGCCACCGTTCTCGGCCGTGCCATCTTCTCCGAGACTGTGAAGAACGTTGCCGCTGGCTGCAACCCCATGGATCTCCGCCGCGGTATCCAGGCTGCCGTCGACGCCGTTGTCGACTACCTCCAGGCCAACAAGCGTGACATCACCACTGGTGAGGAGATCGCCCAGGTCGCTACCATCTCCGCCAACGGCGACACCCACGTCGGCAAGCTCATCTCCACCGCTATGGAGCGCGTTGGCAAGGAGGGTGTCATCACCGTCAAGGAGGGTAAGACCCTGGAGGACGAGCTCGAGGTTACCGAGGGTATGCGCTTCGACCGTGGTTACACCTCCCCCTACTTCATCACCGACCCCAAGTCCCAGAAGGTCGAGTTCGAGAAGCCCCTGATCCTGCTGTCCGAGAAGAAAATTTCCGCTGTCCAGGACATCATCCCCGCCCTGGAGGCCTCCACCACCCTCCGCCGCCCCCTGGTCATCATCGCCGAGGATATTGAGGGTGAGGCTCTCGCCGTCTGCATTCTGAACAAGCTTCGTGGTCAGCTCCAGGTCGCTGCCGTGAAGGCTCCCGGCTTCGGTGACAACCGCAAGAGCATCCTCGGTGACCTGGCTGTTCTCACCAACGGTACCGTCTTCACTGATGAGCTCGACATCAAGCTCGAGAAGCTCACCCCCGACATGCTTGGCTCCACCGGTGCCATCACCATCACCAAGGAGGACACCATCATCCTGAACGGTGAGGGTAGCAAGGACAACATCACCCAGCGCTGCGAGCAGATCCGTGGTGTCATGGCTGACCCCACCACCTCCGAGTACGAGAAGGAGAAGCTCCAGGAGCGTCTCGCCAAGCTCTCTGGCGGTGTTGCCGTCATCAAGGTTGGCGGTGCCTCCGAGGTTGAGGTCGGTGAGAAGAAGGACCGTGTCGTCGACGCCCTGAACGCCACCCGCGCTGCCGTTGAGGAGGGTATCCTCCCCGGTGGTGGTACTGCCCTGCTCAAGGCCTCCGCCAACGGCCTTGACGGTGTCAAGCCCGCCAACTTTGACCAGCAGCTCGGTGTCAGCATCATCAAGAGTGCCATCACCCGCCCTGCTCGCACCATTGTTGAGAACGCCGGTCTTGAGGGCAGCGTCATTGTCGGCAAGCTCACCGATGAGTTCGCCAAGGACTTCAACCGCGGATTCGACTCCTCCAAGGGCGAGTTCACCGACATGATCGCCAGCGGTATCGTTGACCCCCTGAAGGTTGTCCGCACTGCTCTGGTTGATGCCAGCGGTGTTGCCTCCCTGCTCGGTACCACCGAAGTTGCCATCGTCGACGCTCCCGAGGAGAAGGGCCCTGCTGCCCCTGGTGGCGGCATGGGTGGTATGGGTGGTATGGGCGGCATGGGTGGTGGCATGTTCTAAACGCATCCTCCTCCATTGTCTCTCTTTCCCCCTACGCCGTCTTTGAAATGATTACCCCCGCTGCATCCCTTTTGCATCGCCGCGCAGTCCTCTCGTGGCACCGGATGTTTTGTAATGCCCCTTGGTGTTGTTTTATTTACCATGTTCTACTACCGTTCTTCTCTTTCTTATACCTGTATTTCTCTTGTCCTACCACCTCCTCTCTCCACTCTTCCCCTGGGGTTCGAAAAAAGGTTCCGGCGCAAATCCTGTATCATATTTTGTCTCCATTTACACTTGGTTCTAATGCATTTTGATAATGCTACAATATGGTTTCTTGTAAGATTTGTAGATCTGTAGAACACGTAAACTCGATCTTGACCAGTGCTTGTTGATCTGTACTTGATCGCCAGTAGACCTCAAGTAGATTCGATTATCCTGCCAAGGCACGAATCGACAAAGGTACACCACCAAAAGTATCTTATAATGAGCTTATTCTGATTGAATCAGAGTAAACAATACGTTCTATCTAGAACTTGGATACATACTCGATGAGCTTGGCCAAGCAACCTTGACAATTTGACATTAATATTGGCTGGTGGGCCAACGATCGACCCGCCCGAGGGGATCGGCACGTGGATTGCATAAACAACCCAACTGGAACCTCCTGCAGCTTCACTTAAGCAGTGACTGCTTGCTACCTTAACTCTTGCTAGGTTTCTATCTGGGCTACCCTAGACCATGCATACCCCGAAAAAGCCATGGTGAGCCATGATTCCATGGGCCACTGGGAGGCCATCCAGCTGACTGGCATTTGTGATTCGTCACTCACGGGCTCATTGGCTGCAGTCGTCGGCTATTCGACCGCGGTTTGCGCTGGCCCGCGTGCTGGGGTGCCATCGAGGGGGTGGTCTAGACTGTCTGGATTGTCTCGATACCTTGATTGTTGCGAGAGGCTGCGAGCTAACAGTTCAACTGCCTTGATTGAACTCGTTCCCTCGGTCGCTTTTACCTTTCTCTTGGGACCCAGACCCTCTTACAAGGTTGCCACCTTCGTCCAAGTGCAGTTTGGTGCCGAATCCTAAAACTGAACAGGTAACCTCACTTTACTCCGTACTTTCTTATTCTTTCTATCTATCGGTCTAGTCAATTCTATCGTGGGAATCCTTCGCGACACACACCTGGGCCTGGGGAATGTATACACAACTACGCGCATTGAACCCTCGTGCTGCTGCACCTGCTGCCTGCCTTCTGCTTCTGGGGGAGGATTAGCCCACCCTACCTGGTGAGCTGCCCTTACCCTCCGTTCCCCGTACTCTATGGGCCTCGTGCCTGGAATGATCCGGGATATACCAAGCCTTTTCTCTCAACGTGCCCAGCTGACACGAACCTACCTTCAGCGTGACTGAAGGAACCTCAACTAGGCCTGAGGAGTTCGAGTTCGACCCCATAACCTTCTCTTCCCAGCCAACACAGCGCCCGTCAGCACTTTACTGTGACTCTCCACAAATCCACAATGGCCGCGCTGGTGGATTCACCGCGACCCGCCCTGGTCAGCGATGCCGACCTTCTCCAGGCCCGCGCCGCCCTGCAGCACCAAAACAGTCCCGACATCTCGGTCCCGCGCGAATTCATCTCCCTAATTGTCGAGGAACTGATCTATCGCAGAGAGTCCCACTCCGCAATCGCAGACGTCGAACATGAATGCTCGAACCTCCGGAAAGAGCTCCGAAAACACACTCACATCAATGAAGCCTTTCAGAAAGAACTGCGTGAGATCGGCGAGATTATCACCCAAGTCGCTCATGGCGATTTGTCGCAGCGCGCGCGGCTTCATCCGCTGGAGATGTCGCCTGATATTGCGACCTTCAAGCAGACTATCAACACGATGATGGATCAATTGCAAATCTTCAGTCAGGAGGTATCCAAGGTGGCACGCGAAGTGGGCACCGAGGGAGTTCTCGGTGGTCAGGCCAACATTGATGGTATCCAAGGAATTTGGCAAGAACTCACGGTCAACGTGAACGCCATGGCCAACAATTTGACTACCCAAGTCCGTGATATTACTACCGTGACCACCGCGGTGGCCAAGGGTGATTTGACCCGGAAGGTGCAAGCGGATTGTAAGGGTGAAATCTTGCTGCTCAAGAACATCATCAACTCCATGGTGGATCAGCTCCGAGAGTTCGCCTTTGAGGTGAGCCGAGTTGCTCGCGAAGTCGGATCGGATGGAACGCTTGGTGGTCAGGCTGTTGTCCACGGCGTAGAGGGCACTTGGAAGAATCTGACCGACAACGTGAATCGCATGGCCTCGAATCTGACCCAACAAGTTCGTGAGATCGCCAAGGTGACGACTGCCGTGGCTCGTGGCGATCTTACTATGAAGGTGACGGCCGACGTGAAGGGCGAAATTTTGGATCTGAAACTTACGATCAATGCGATGGTCGATCGACTCAATCAGTTCGCCTTCGAGGTGAGCCGTGTAGCTAGGGAAGTCGGTACGGACGGAACGCTTGGTGGACAAGCCCAAGTCGAGAATGTTGAGGGTCGTTGGCGCGACCTAACAGACAACGTGAACACAATGGCTCAGAATCTCACACAACAAGTGCGACAAATTTCAAACGTGACTCAAGCTATTGCTCGAGGCGATCTAAGTACCAAGATCGAAGTCCACGCTCAGGGTGAAATCTTGACTCTGAAAGAAACAATTAACCGCATGGTGGATGGCCTCAGTCTATTTGCCCGAGAGGTCAAGATTGTGGCGAGAGACGTGGGTGTGCGAGGTAAACTTGGCGGACAGGCGAAACTGGACGGCTCGTATGGTATCTGGCGGTCTATTAGTGAAGACGTCAATATCATGGCCGACAATCTCACCTCGCAGGTGCGAGCCTTTGGCGAGATCACCGAGGCTGCGATGAGCGGTGATTTTACCAAACTGATCACTGTGTCGGCATCGGGTGAAATGGATGATCTGAAGCAGAAGATCAACAAGATGATTTGGAGCTTGCGTGATAGCATACAACGGAACACGGCTGCGCGTGAAGCTGCAGAACTGGCGAACCGAAGCAAGTCAGAGTTCCTTGCTAATATGAGGTATTTGAATGATCATGCCATGTGCACAAAAGAAATTAGCTAACACGGATAACGAACAGTCACGAAATTCGAACTCCAATGAATGGAATTATCGGCCTTTCAAGTCTAGCCCTCGACACAGATGACCTTGCCGCTCCCGTCCGAGAAACACTCAACATGGTGCATAATCTTGCCATCAGCCTGTTGACTATCATTGATGACATCCTCGATATCTCCAAGATCGAGGCTAACCACATGATGATCGAGAAGATGCCCTTCAGCCTAGGATCTACAGTCTTTGGTGTTTTGAAAGCTCTGGCAGTGGAGACCAATGAAAAGGCTCTCACATTGTCCTACACCGTTGATGGCAATGTGCCAGATTTCCTGATCGGCGACGCTTATCGCTTGCGTCAGGTGATGCTCAACCTGGTCGGCAATGCCATCAAGTTTACCGATCATGGTGAAATTCAGGTCACGATCAGGCGCGCTGAGAACTGCCAGTACGAGGAGGACGAGACAATGTTTGAGTTCTCCGTCACGGATCCTGGCATTGGTATTGAGGAGAGCAAACTTGGTCTGATTTTCGACAAGTTCCAGCAAGCAGACGGGTCGATGACTCGCCGTTTCGGCGGGACAGGTCTTGGACTGGCTATTTCTAAGCGCCTTGTCTCTCTCATGGGTGGTGATATCTGGGTTACGTCCCGTGTAGGCGAGGGAAGCAAGTTCTCTTTCACCTCTCGAGCCAAACTGGCACAGGCCCCAGCGGGATTCTCGGAGCAATTAGCACCATACCGGGGCCGCCGAGTTCTCCTTGTTGACAACGGTGACTCAGAAGGCTGTCCCGTACCCGCAATTCTGAAAGACCTCGGCCTCGAGCCCGTGGTCGTCAGTGACGGTGAGCTCGTGCCCGGCCAAACTCGAAAGGACCTGTGTGGCTCTTTCGATGCTATGCTGGCCCCCAGCTTAGACACAGCAGCCAAGCTACGCGCAGACCCGAATCTCTCCCTCAACCCACTGGTTATCGTGGCACCAGTGGTGTCCCTCCTCCTCAAGTCTGCCGGTGAACTCGGTGTTTCATCGTACATCACGACACCCTGTCGGCCCATCGATTTCTGGAGTGGCATTCTCCCTGCCCTCGGTAACCGAAGGAACCGCGTATCCGAAGGAATCACCCGGTCCCTTGCAATCCTACTAGCAGAAGACAACGACGTGAACCAAAAGGTCGCCGTCCGCATCCTCCAAAAATGCAACCACAACGTCACAGTCGTCGAGAACGGTCTCCAAGCCGTCAAAGAAGCACAGCAACACCGCTACGACGTGATTCTGATGGACGTGTCCATGCCGGTCATGGGCGGTTTCGAGGCAACGGTTAAAATCAGACAACACGAGAAACTGAACAGTTTGCCACGTACGCCTATCGTGGCACTTACCGCACATGCCATGCTTGGTGATCGCGACAAATGTATTCGAGCAGGCATGGACGAGTATCTCTCTAAGCCATTGAACTCGAATATGATGATGCAGACTATCTTGAAATGCGCTTCTATGAATCTGGTCTCGGCTGTGGAAACTTGAGATTGTGTCTGGGCTCCAAGTTATGATTCGATGCCGGTTGTCGATGATACTGGTGCCCAGGAAAAATGATTGCGGGTGGGGTCACGACCCTTACCCGATACCTGACATCTACCATGATGGATGCACTGCGGAGGCAGAATACACTTTCTGAATGGAAGATGGAACAATGGCTGCGAAAAGCGGCTTGTACTCTGCTTGCGTGGTGCAAATTATATCCTTTCATAAGGCTTTGGTCTCAACATACCTGACTGAAGAGCGCAGATGCTCATCCCATACCGACGGGATTCCAGGATGGAACCATATGATCTTATCTTAGATTCCACATCCACCGAGGTCGTTCATCTCACAAAGTTCAATGGGATTGCATGTCATGTACCTGTTCAGACATTGAAGCGAAGACGTTTGGCGATCTGGAGTATAGGATCCTGATCTTTGGACTCTGTTAGGAGTATTTTTATCTATTTATTGCGGGACATGAAATTAGAAGACCCTGTTTCTGTGACGTGACATTCGGTACAAATAGGATATCAAAATATGACTGCATGAACTAAATGTTGGAAATGGCCTAGATCTGCATGACTCAGACTTGAGTGTCTACTAGCAACCAGTTTTCCTCCGAAGTATACTCAAATTGCATCCAATCATGCGATTTTCGTCTGTTATAGCTTTGGTTCCTCCATATCAGATCAAATGGGCACCATGGAAACTCCTGCTATCTTGTAAATGCGGGGTTAATTACGAGTATCAAAGCACCGAATACGAGAGTCTTCACGGAATATCAACTCTAGGCCCATTGCTGCCTAGCACTAGCCACTCCCCAAATAACATAAATAGTCCGATTGATTCCGGATTCTCGAAAGCCCGTATGCTCCTCACCCCAACACCATGGAAAAAGAAACTCCAGCAGCAATAACCATCTTCCCCCTCGAAGGTGGTTGTGCATGCGGACAAGTCCGCTATCGCCTCGAAACACGCCCACTAATCGTCCACTGCTGCCACTGTACATCCTGTCAACGCGAAACAGGCACCGCATTCGCCATAAATGCCGTGATCGAATCAACACTCGTCACACGCCTACCCCCAGCACCACCATCAGTGCCTGCATCGAGGACCCAGGCCATAAAACCCGCCGGACCACCATTGACTCGAGGCGAGGACGAGGACTCTACCGAGCTTAAAACTATAAAAACACCATCAGAATCAGGAAGAGGTCAACAAATTGTCAGATGTCGGACTTGTCAAGTTGCCGTGTGGTCTCATTATGGTGCTGCTGGTTCTCGGACTAGGTTTATGCGTGTGGGGACGCTGGATGAGGCGTGGAAGGTACAGCCTGATGTGCATATTTATACGCAGAGCAAGAGAAGCTTTTTCAAGTTGGATGGGTTGATTCCGGAATTTGAGGAGTTTTATCCGATGAAGGAGGGTGTTTGGAGGGAAGAGAGTATTGGTAGATGGGAGGTGCATATGAAATCTGATGACAAGGCATAGACTATTGGATGGAAATGCATCAACCATGATATGAAAAGAATCAAACATGGGATGGAAAGCAATGCAACATATTGAAATCCTCTGAAGCTGTTATTACTGCTAGGTATGAGCACATATAGTCTCGATACCGTCATCGCAATATCCTATCCGCAGCCAACAGCGCAGAAACAGAGCCCAGAGCCACGCGAAACTGAGCATAAACCCGATCATACCTCAGAGCTGTTAGCCAACTGATTCAACCTCTCCCCGATGACCTCGAAGCCTCGCCACTCCTACTCATTCACCCGACGATGGAACTGGGTTCCCCACTTCTGGCCGAAGCTGGGGTCTTCCTGGCTATAATATAAGAAAGGAAGTACATAATCAGCGCTGTTTACATCTAAGATGAGATGGGAAGAGAAGAGAAATCGTGGGGACTTACGCAATACGCTCCAGGGCGTCGCAGAATTGCTGAATCAGGGAATTTTTGGGGGCGTATCCAGGCTCAGGGTAGTATATTGCCTGGCGCCCTCCGCCGGTCAGACACCAGCGCTTGAGGGCGTCGATGGCGTTCGTCATGTCATCAAGTGACTTTGGGCATGCAGTAATAGCCTCAACTGTTTTGACGTGAATCCTTAGTTTTCCTTCTTGAACCGAATGTGAAGAGAGTGTTTGAACTTACTGGCGCCGGGGTGCTGGTTACGCAGGTGCTTGCGAAGCTCGCCCTGGGTGTTGTAGCTCTTCCCGCAGAGGATGCCCTGAGACAGCTCAACGTCGCAACTGAATGAAATGTATTGATCAGCGCTCGCACTACATAAGCTCACATCAGAGAGGATTCACATAACCAAGGCCATTTTCCTTGTTGAGCTTGAGCATGGAATTGGGAGGAAGATTACTGGTCAAGGATTCAGCGATATCCGCGGCCGAGATGTGAAATGGCTGGAGAGCCTTAACGCTCCGGTCAAAGACGGACTGTGGGATCCATCCTCAGTTATTGTTTGGAATGGGACCTGATAATAACATCGTTAGAACAGAGTGGAACAATATTTTTTTTTTTTTTGCTTTGGGAACGTGCATACCGTGGGCATAGCCAGACTCCGGATGGGGGTTCGCCACGTTCAAAATGTCCGGGCGGTCGAAGTCATCCTTGGTCATCAGCAGTGAGAGAGGAGTGATAGGAGACTCTGAAGAGGCCCTATTGATGATTATTTGATGAATTTAATGATTTGGAGATGCGATAAAAGAGGTGGGTGATGGATGAACAGGAGTGCGTGGAAGAGGAAAGCTTTGGCGTGATGGCTCAGGTTCAGGTTCAGAAGGTATCAACACCCCTTTTCTCCAGGCAAAGAGCTCTTTCCAAAATTGGAAGGCGCTGGCTCGTCTATTGAACTGTTCAAATTTCCAAGCATAATATACTGAAAGCTCGAAAACAAACATTCTGTTAATAACCGACAGCACCCACGGCACTGCTGGCACAGGAAGCGAAAAGAGAAGAAGGGGGTGACTGAATCAATTGGTCTATATAGAACAAGAAGACTAAGACTAAGAAGGAGAAGGAGAAGGAGAAGGAGAAGGAGAAGGAGAAGGAGAAGGAGAAGGAGAAGGAGAAGAAGAAGAAGAAGAAGAAGAAGAAGAAGAAGAAGAAGAAGAAGAAGAAGAAGAAGAAGAAGAAGAAGAAGAAGAAGAAGAAGAAGAAGAAGAAGAAGAAGAAGAAGAAGAAGAAGAAGAAGAAGAAGAAGAAGAAGAAGAAGAAGAAGAAGGAAACAGAAGAGGGCCTATAAGACCCTAAGCACAAAGGAAAGGAACAGGCCTGGACCTGGCTGGTACTCACCGGCCAACATCCTGCAAGGCCAAAGAAGACGAGCAAACCTTGCAAACCTATCGAGGTCACTGACGAATGATTTCTCTCATACAGGTGTTATCACGTTGGCCTGCTGAAACCACCCCGAGCCTTTCGTGCCAGTCCGTACTGCCACGCCCCAGGTGATCATTTGGGCACGCACTATATCGGATACCCCTAACCCTCCCCCTCCAGCCCTAGCAGCACGGCGAGGAACGGCAGACACCCAGATAAACGGTTACCACAACGTCCAGGCTCTCGGAAAGAACGAGACTTGACAACGCCAACGATACTTCGACACGAGTATGTCTCGCAGAGCTCCAAACACATACAGATGCCAACAGCCAGACTGCCGGTAGAGACTTATGAGTGTACTGAATGTTTATCATTTACATTTCAATGAGCTTTGTTAGTGCGACCTCCTCCAAGAAACTATTCACTAGGTAGGTTCGCCATATTCATGCACGACTGCAAATAGACCTCGGTATGTACACCAACATACTCGCGACATCAAAACAAGTCCATTCCATGTGCCAACCTTAGCTTAAATCACACATTGAGCCCACCCTCACTAACCCGCCGCACTTTCTCCGCCAACGCCTCTCCCCACCCATTCGCCTTTGACATCGACTTAACGCGTTTCCGTTTCCTCCTCTCAAGCTCTTCAAGCGGACTCCTCTCCACCTGCCGACGCTGCCAAAAGTCCTCCTCGAACTGTGTCCGATGAATGCTGTATCCGAGATACTGATCGAAACGCTTTCGCATCGCCGAGTCTTGGGCTGGAACTATGGAGGGAATCTTGCTTTTGAAGAAGTCCCAGTGCAGAAACATTTTGATGGGGTTGGAGATGAACTCTGACCAGAGACCGCGGCTGATCTTGTGGGATTTTGTGACTTTTTGGCGGAGGCTGCCGCTGAATGCCATTAGGAGGGCGATGCCGATGATTGCGAAAGAGGCCGGTGCTGAGGACGAAAGTGTTAGCAATGAGTGCATACCAGGGAGGAGTGTGGTATTGTGCTGGCTTACCAGCGATCTCGAGCATCTGGGCGATGGTTAGATTCTCAGGTGTGCCGCTCCATTCACGGACGTTGATGCCGAACAAAGATGTGAAGAACGATAGTGGAAGAAAGCTGCGACAGTTAGTATAATTTGTTTCTACCTGGTAACCTCATGAAGTGTCTTACATGACTGTGAAGATAGTGAATACCATCAGCGACCGAGACTGGTTCTGCGTTTCCTCCGCCTGCCACCTAGCCATCTTCGCCTCGTCGACATTGGCCTGTTTCTGCTTCAGATCAAGCAAAGTCTCGACTGCTTTCTGTGCAAGATGGCTGTTCTCCTTCATTTCGCCAATCTGTGTCCGGTACTCGTCGATTCGCATCTGCGCAGCATCGAGGAAGACTATACCACAGCCATTTCGATCGAAATACTTCATCATGCTCTTGATGACAGTGTCCTGCTGATCGAGTAGCTTGAGGATTGTTGAAAGCTCGTCTTCGATATCGCGGAGTTCGAGAAGAACGGAGAGATCGTCACGGTTGCGACGGGCTGTTTGCCGATCTCTCGCGTCGCGTTGTGCAGCGGTCATGTTTTTGCCTTCTGAGGTGCGATCGAAATCCGCTGGACGATTGACAAAGCCTCGATTGCGGAAGCGTTTGAAGGATTTGGTTACTGATTCGGTCTAGAGAGATTTGGTTAGGACTTTGCGCCAAACTCGGGTCTTATTGCACGAGACAGACGTACCAGGATACTGATCGACTCTTCAAATATTCGCAGGACCTGTAGATCGCGATGAAGAGTCCTGTCGAGAAGGACCGTCGTAGCATGTAACATAATTAACGCTGCCAAGTCCCCCGCTGTCTCAAACCGACGCGCCAGATCACCATTCAACTCATTATAAATACTGCTGTGCAAATTCGTCTGCTCAAACAGCTTCCCCTCCGACGTAGTCGCCTCTTGATTAGGGAAAAACGTAATAATAGTTTTTCGGTCAACGATCCACAGCCAAAGCTGGTCGACCATCAGTACATTACCATCCATAAACTCGGTAGGCTCGGTTCCCTCGGGATCATCGTTCGTTGCCTCTAGGTACTCCCGGAGCTGATCGTCAATCCGGGCTGGCTTGCGAGTACGCTTCCAGAGCATTTGGTCGTCATCACGAGCTACCGTCGATCGTAGATTGGGGTACCCATACTGGTCTAGAGTGCGACGGAAGTGGATCGGGGGCTCGCAGCCCAAGTATTGCCATATAAGCTTGGCTTCGAGACTCGATTTGTCGATGCGATACGGTGCAGGCCTGGATCGCCCTTGGTGGACTCGATCTTCGACGACTTTGCGGCGTTGTATCAGATTTCGGTAAGTATCCCAATGGAGCTATGAAAGGTTAGTCGAGATAGAGGAGACTGGACCACTAGGCTTACATAGGGGGTCTGCGGCAAATGTCAGTCATTCTGGTACAACAGTAAAAATAGGAGTGATGTAGTTACATAAAGAGCTAGCTGAGGATCTTCTGCATCCCCTTCCTTGGCCCCATGAGATACATCCATCTGCCGGGAATGAATGCATTTCGGTCTCACGAACCGGGCATGTGGCTCCTTATGCCGAGCTCGATTGAGGTTCAAGTACCAGTTTTCATCATTGATAAACTTTCGTAGACTAAACGCCAAATGGGTCAGTAGTGAAATTATGCTTGGAGAGTATGGGTATTCCATACAAAGTCGGTTCCTGGCGGTCTTGACACGCTCTCCGAATAACCTGTGACACCCATCCAGTATGCGTATAGGGAACGTGGATCCACAATAGCTTTTCTGTGCCCGCATCCGGTCGGTCAAATCGTGGCAGCGAGCGAGGTATGTCCGCCCCATCGGCGTTCTGGTTTATGCGATCTCGCGTCGACGCGGGGATTGTCAAAAATTCTGCTTGTCGCGATGGGGATGCAGAGCTCCTACAAGTGTTAGTGAGTAAATTTGTGAATATTCCGTCTATGGGTGGGGATGCATACGAGCCAGGCCGAGAGCTACTTCCGTGAGAACTGTCGTCTGATACATTTCGCCTGTGGGATTTAATGTGGGACAGCCCTAAAGCTTCTGCGATACTTTCTTTCTTTCGACGCTCCACAGGAGGAGGACTTTCACTCGAGGGTCGGTCAAAATACCCATCCGTGGCAGCTTTGGTGATGTGGATGGTTGGGGAATGGAGTGCTGGGTCTATGGCGCTTTGGAAACTTTGACCGTGTTTCAAGGTCGGCCTTGAGGGTCGGTCATCACTCTCATGTAGAACTTCATGTGTATCATGGGTATTATGCTCATCATTATCGTCATCAGTAAGGTCATCATCCATACTATCTTCATGTTCATGTCCGTCAGGCCCTTGGACTACCTTCGGCGAGGGAAATCGGCTGCCATAACTGCTCAACGAGGAATCATCCATTGTCCCAGGTTGAATCCGCTCTAAGCGCTCCCGCAGGCAAGTTGATGGACCCCTAGCCAGGTAGTCCTCCAACGAGACCTGCGTAGACCACAGCTTGAGAGGCGTCTCATCACTGACACCAAGGGCTGTGTCTTCAAAGAACCCATTAATCTGAACCATGACTTCATTCTCCACGTGCAAGGGATGATCCACCTGCTTAGAAAGCTCAACAGCCACGTTCACAGAGTCATTTAGTTCAGTCAAGAAGGCCTCTAGAGCTTGTTCCTGTCCCTGGAAGCAAGATGTCCCAGCATGATCAGTACCCATAGGGATCTCGTTCTCATGCTCGATACTGAGTAACCCAGATCGAATAGACGTGATAGGAGCGTGAAATTCTATAAGATTATTCGTCTCCAAATCTTGCACATGCAACGTAGAGTCAATTGTTTCCAGGAAAGACCAGACCTTCATGTCAGCAGAAAGCGCCTTAAACTGATTAGAGAGGTGCCACAGTCTTTCCTGTCTCGGACGGAACTGCTCACGCAACAGGAGCGGTATATCATGCTCCAAAAACAACAGCCGACGGATACTCCGTTGATACTCCTCCGCCGACAGATAAGTCGATCCCTGGTGAGGAGTCGCGAAGAACGCAATGCCATGACAGCTCGTCAGAATGGCCTGGCTCGACTCGGCCTGTGATGCTAAAGCGAGACATGCCTTAGCCACGAGGCCGCCCGTACTGTGACAGAGGAAGAATATTGGCCGCCGACTTCTCTCATGTTTGCGCTCATCAAGTAAGCGGTTCAAGAGCCGCTGGCCGAGGCGATCGATCTTATCACGTTCGCGCAGCTGGCCATGGTTGTATAGCAGCACCCGCGCGCGTGGCATGCGCTTTAACAAATCCGTTCCTAGCCACGATGACGTGGATCCTTGGGTTGTCCAGGATTTTTGATGATGGGCTCCGATGGGTGGGATTGCAACAATACTGTGATCGGAAAAGGGTCAGTTCATCAACTCGTATTGCGGAGATGAGGGTGCACAGACTCTACGTTCGTTTGCTCTGCTAGTTGGATACATTCGAACCAGGCTGAGCGTGTTGGCCCTACTGCAGATAGCGGAGGCATCATAGGTCGGAAATACTTGCGTGGAACGCATTTAAAAGAGTTCCCTGTGTGGAGAACATGGGATGACCTGGACAGAAGTCACCTTAAATAAATCGAGAGGAGGGGGTCATTTCAGCCTCAAGAAGCGATCATCTGCTCGCGCCCTGGCGTGCAGCCCGCTTAGCCCCAACTTGGCAGTGCGCCGATCTCGTGAGTCAAAGCACATCACCCGGGTGCCCTGCTTATAGGGCAGGGTTATCCAAACTGTAAAAGTATAGGGAAGGTTCGGAGGAAAGTAACCACGTGGTTATTAACAATATCATAGTTGGGTAGTTGAGATTATTCACGAAACTTTATGTACAACGGATAGGGCATGCTTTTGGATCACAGAAAACCACTCCAAACATGCCCTGAGAAAGAAAACAATCCAAGACAAGACAATAACATGATGCAACATTTTCTCTATGGTTTGGCTGATGCGGTATCATCAAAGCATGGACGCCAGAAGGAATAAAGAGTACAGTGGAGTGTAGGGAGGAGGCGATCGAGGGACCGATCGCATGCAAGATAGAAATACATCAATGAAGAGAGGGGAAGGGAGAGGCGGAAGTAAGAGGGGGATATTATCCGCTTTCAGAATGTCGGCGCTCGTTCACCTCTTGGGCCATGCGCTTGCCCAGCTCATAGGTCGAGATCATAATGGCGCAGGCTGGGGCAACCTTAAGGCAGCGCGCTCCCCAGCCCTTGAACAGACCAGCCATGCCTTCCTCTCGGAGGATGTGCATGAGGAACTTGGGAAGGGAAAGCTGCTCAGGGGCAAGGGCCTTGGGAGGGAGAGATGGACGTTGGCCACCACTTGACGGGACACCGTCATCTATGTGTCGGAAGACCTGCTGCCTCGTCTTGCCCACATCAAAAGGCGTTGTGACGAACGCTGCCACCGATCCAGAGGTCGCACCGGCGATAAAGCTCTCGAAGAAGGCTGTTGAAGTGGATGGTGGCTCCATCTCTGAGCCAGATCGATGCGGCGCATGCTGTCGCGTATTCTCCAACGCCTCTTTCGCCTTCTCGTAGCCCCACCAGTATAGACCGGAGAAAGGCACGTCGCGCCACATGGTGAGCGACAGTCCTCGCCATAGGGAGGTATAGCCGCTGGCCTGGGTCATTTGATACAGGCCTTCCAAAGTAGCCTTGAAGTGACCCGCACCATGGCCGGGAGTGGCTTGCAGTCTTGTCCGGAACATCTCCACCGGACTTGTGGCCGATGCGGCCGCCGTGCGAGCTATGGCGCCCGCCACGAAGGGGGCATATACATCTGACACATTCTGCTTGATGGGGCTGCGATCATCCGACCGCAGCCAGTCGTATCCAGCAAAATAGATAATATTCGCCGGAATACCCATCATCAAGGTCGGACTAAGTCCGCGCCACAGGGTCCAAATGCCCTCATTCCGGGCGATCTTGCGGAGTCCATCAAAGGTCGAAGTGAAAGTCCGTCGCTGCGTCTCTTCCACCGCACAATCAATGGCAGGGTGCGCCTGACTCCGAAGTACACCTTCTTGTGGCCCAAACATGCAGATTTGCGCATTGTCTCCTACCCAGAACACTTCTCGGCAACACGCCGTAATCCCGAGGTTCGGTGGAAGGTTCTTTAACGTCTGAGTCGTATGTGTGGTATATGGAGCGGCAGAGGTGTTCGATTGCGATTGAAGCCGTACTCGTACAACGTCCAAGGGAGTGACTAGGGAAGTTGCCGTTAGTATATGACTCAACCGAGGACCTTGCTGCCAGTCGACACTCACCGAGCAAGCCTGTCAAGATGTTCCCGGCTGTCGCGGAGATCATGCGCTGTCCAAGAGAGATATTCTCCGTTGAAGGAGTGACGTTGGGGGTCGGGACAGCGCCCGTCGATGCTGTGGACGTCATTGGCAAGGGTTCGTCAAACTTGGATGTCCATGGCGTTGAGTCAACGTCGGACTCAAAAACAGTCCCCGAAGCGCTGGAGTGGCGTGAGGTCGCAGAGATATCCAGCCTGGTCGATATTCAATCGGCAACCACCGACTGTTATTGTGTGGAAACAAGGCTGGTCTCGCGACTGCTGGGGAAGAGAGTTGGTAGAGAAACGGTGCGTTACCAAATGGAAGATTTTCGGGGTTTTGCGGGTGGCGGCGGGCGGAGATAAGCGTCCTTTCGTCAACGCGCCTTGTTCTTCTTCACCGTTTCTTTTTAGAGCTCAACAAACCACGCAAGTTAATGGCGACCGCAGCGATTCTTGTATAGTTCCCAGTCGCTGGGTCTTTCTTACTCTGCCTGGACCGGTGGAACCCCCAGTGGGCTTATCAGATTGATCGATCTCCGAGACCGGACGTGTCGGGACCTTCCCCACCATGGAGGACAACGCCGAGCTCGAGTCCTTTCGCCGCCAGTGGCGTGAAGAGGTCGCTCGTCGATCGAAACCCACAGATTCTGCACCTGCGTCTGATGCTGCCCCTCCATCCGCTGCTCCGATTGTATCTCCGACTGTGCTAAGTGCGACTCGACCTCCGCCAACGCGCCATGCCGCTACTGACCGCAAGGGTCTGGACCAAGAGGGTCCTACGCCGGCCTCCTTCGATCCGGAAGAGCTCGCTCAACAGGTTGGCGAGCTAAGTGTAACACAGGAAGAGGAAGATGAGGAGGAAGATGGATTCACTCGTCGGGCACAACAGGAACCCAACTCGGCTCTCGAGCATTTTGAGCGGGCGGTCGAGAAGGAAGCTGCAGGCAACTTGGGCGACAGTCTTCAACACTACCGCAAGGCGTTTCGGGTAAGCTTAGGTGGCAGTGGATAGACAGGATAGTGAAAATTCATATGGGCTAACTGAGTTGTAGCTGGATGCTGGTGTTGACAAGGCCTACCGTAACAAACACTTCGCTCACGTTTGGAAGAAGCCCGCTCAGCCTGCGCCAGCTGAGCCTGCAGCCGCCGTCCCTCTGACTGCCCCAGCGCCTGCAGAAGTCGAGTTTATCCCCACGCCGCAACTGATCGAGTCCTTCGCCCACCTTCCTATCCCCCAGGCAGAGCCACTCATCGAAGGGACTGACCCGCCACCATGCCCGATCGCGAATGTTCCGTCGGAAGTTCTCGTTGAGATTTTACGCCATGTTGCCCTGCGAGACCCGGCAACCTTTGGTCGGATGGCACTGGTGTGCAAGCGACTTGCCTACCATTTTGCACATGAGCAGCACATCTGGAAGCGGATCTGTCAACGGCCAGAGTTTGGATTCCAGGGCATGCACTACTCCTTTGTCTGTGATACTCTCGGCCGTCCCATCTATACACTGGACGATCAGCGATACACTCCCTTCCCAGTCGGGGTACCCGCCCAGATTCCTAGTTCGCTATCGTCCTGGAGCCAGGTGTTCCAGTCCTACCCTCGTATTCGATTCACGGGAATCTACATCAGCACCGTTAACTATTCACGACCTGGAGCCACATCCTCTTTCCAGAATGTATCATGGAATAGTCCCATCCACATTGTGACCTACTACCGCTATCTACGGTTCTATCCCGATGGATCCGTGGTATCATTGTTGACCACGACCGAACCCGTGGATGTCGTGCCGCATATCAGCAAGGAGAACGTTATGGCTGCACGTGCTCCTTCCCATAGACAGCATCAACGACATGCCTCGGATCAGGGCCAGTCGCTTTCTGGGGCAACAGAGCCTGTCCCACCAGTCGCTATGAATGCTCTGAAATATGGCCTCCGTGGACGCTGGCGTCTAGCATCCCCCGCCGACTTTGCGGAGAATGCAGATGAAAACAAGACTCCTCCCATGGCGAATCAAAGCCAAGATTCCTATGATCCCCGTGATGTCTTCGTGGAGACCGAGGGTGTCGACCCGAAGTACGAGTACACCATGCACCTCTCTCTTCGGTCTCCCTCAGTATCCAAGGCACATCTGAATCCATCACGCAACACCAAACTCGTGTGGCGTGGGTTCTGGAGTTACAACAACATCACGGATGACTGGGGCGAGTTTGGGCTTCGGAACGACCGGGCATATGTTTTCCGACGGGTCCGCGGTTGGGGGCTGGAATAAGATGATGATGATTTATGAACAATTTGAGTATATATTCCTGGAATATCAGAACATAGAGACGACCATATCGGTAGAATTACAGAACAGAGTTTTGTTCCAAGTTTGAGAACCAATTTGAGCAAGTGAACCCCGAGGGGGCTGCTATGAAGTCAATTTCATTAGTCGCTGTGAAGTGTTGGGCGCCCATTCCTCCACTTATGTACATGGAACGTGATGTCAAGTTGACTAAGAAGAATTCCTTCTAGAAGCCCCCGGGCGTATATCCGGCCCCACGGGGTTGATTCCTAATCGTACGATGAATAATAATGGGGAAGAGGCTGCATGAAATCCCAGCAATTTCCCTTATGTGAAAGGCCACCATCTCATCTCGTAATAGAATCAGTAGCAAAACTTGCATAGATAAGAGACTCTGCACTTGATAAGCGACCGAAGGACCTTCATTTAAGCTATATTTTAGGCGATGATAAGTGTATAGTTAATCAGAGAGTAGCCGGCGGTGGCGTGTTTTCCTAGCAAACTAGTTCGCTAGCCACCTTATGGCGATGATCAAGTTGATATTCTTTCCCCTCAACCCCAACCCCAAAAATACGATCCTCCGCACTGTCTCACGGTCCAAGTTGTGACCCCCGAACTGTCTATCTTTATTTCATTTTATGACAAACAGATAGGTGAGGCCCCGTGGGGATGTATGCCCCCGGCCCGGCGCAGCAGGTCATCTAGGCGGCAGGGTCCACAGGAGGTACATAAAAGTACCTACCAAAGTATTGACATTCGCTTGTACAATAAAGTATTGGCAAGTACCTTTAATATTTCCCGGGCCGGACTTTGACCGTTCGGTGAAGAGCAAATCTGCCACTGCTTATGTCAGCCGCTGACCATTCCCGCCCGTCCGCCGAACGCCCATTCAACTCGGTCAACTCGGTCGAGTCGGCATCCCGTCGGGTGGCGGTGGAATGGCGCAAGCCCTAAAGGAAAGTATAGAGAAGTGCATCAACACAACAATAATCTGAAGATTCGAACTTCAATGCACCATTTTTGGGGTCAATAATGATCCATTTCATAATCCCCGAGGCTATGCACATCTCAAAAATGGTATCTAACCCCGTTCTCCACGTTTACAGTCTGAGGTGGAGCATACCCTAGGGTATGGTCCATCGCCACGCGCCAAGAGGAAAAAAAATATGGGTCGGATATGTCTTCAGTTTCCGTGACCTCCACGTTGCGTGGTCCCCAGAATTAATTCTTTTTCTTCTCCGTCATCCTAGTGTGCTTCTTCTCCATACCCCCCAATTCCCCAACCCCAGGTTCATAGTCAAGAAGTCACCATGAGCGTTGTCGAAGCACCCCATGCAATCCCGGCGCGGGACGTCGAGGTCTACCATGATCAGGATGAGACGGAGAAGGCATTTTCTGAGAAGCCGCCGCCAGTGGAGGATCCTTTTGGAAATGAGGAATCTGGGGAAGTCAAGTATCGTGTTATGAAGTGGTGGTAAGTAACTGCTTGTGATGTCTTAATGGATATTTTCATGTATACGGACATTGGATTGACTAACACATGTTACAGGCAATCTGGAATGCGTAAGAACCCATTGACAGCTTGTTGGTCGACTGGTTGAGTCTCTAACTAACATATTCATCTAGTCATGGTCGCCGAAAACATCTCGCTGGGTATCCTGTCGCTCCCATCTGCCGTAGCAACTCTCGGCATTGTCCCGTAAGAAAGATATCCAGAATGCCCTGCAACGCAGCAACATCATCTAACCATATTCCAGTGCCTTCCTCATTATCCTCGGTCTTTCCGCTATCTCCTGGTACACAGGTCTCGTCATGGGCGAGTTCAAGCTACGCTATCCCCACGTGCACAGCATGGGTGACGCCGGAGAGATTCTCATGGGCCCAATCGGCCGTGAAATCTGCTACTGGGGCCAATTGCTTTTCATCATTTTCCTCATGGCCAGCCACATTCTCACTTTTACCGTGCTGTTCAACACCATCACCAACCACGGCACTTGCACGATCGTCTTCGGCGTGATCGGTCTGGTCGTCAGCTGTATTTGCGCTCTCCCACGAACCAGTGACAAGGTTTTCATCATGTCGACTGTTTCTGCCGTCAGTATTTTGACTGCTACTATCGTCACTATGGTTTCCATCGGTGTCCAGGCTCCCGACAATGTCCAGAACGATATCGTTACCGACCCTACTTTCGTCGACGCTTTCTTGGCAGTTACAAACATCGTATTCGCCTTTATCGCCCACGTTTCTTTCTTCGGTATCATGTCCGAGATGCAGGACCCGGCTGAGTTCCCTAAGTCCCTGGCTATGCTCCAGGTTGTCGATACCGTTATGTATATCGTGACCGCGATGGTGATTTACTGCTATGCCGGTCCGGATGTTTCTTCTCCTGCCCTCTCGTCAGCTGGTCCCCTAATGAAGAAGGTCGCCTACGGCCTAGCGATTCCCACTGTATGTTTCCTTCCCCTTTGTTCGATTCAATTTCCGGCACATGCTAATCCGTACTGTACAGGTCATTGTCGCCGGTGTCGTCTTCGGCCACGTTGCTTGCAAGTATATTTATGTCCGTATCTTCCGCGGCGAGCGCTCCCACCATATGCACCAGCGTAGTCTGTTGGCCACCGGTACTTGGGTCGCAATCGGCCTTACCACCTGGACCATTGCGTGGGTTATTGCCGAGTCTATCCCTGTGTTCAACGACCTGTTGAGTCTTATTGTAAGTTTCTCCTCAGGCTTTATTTGGCTACCCGCTAACTTTTCTCTGTAGAGCGCTCTCTTTGGTAGCTGGTTCAGCTGTAAGTCTCCACAACCCATTACTTCATCGAGTCACATACAAATACTAATTCCGAATAGACGGTCTCCCTTCCATCTTCTGGTTCGTCATGAACAAGGGCCAATGGTTTTCATCCCCCAAGAAAATCGTCATGTTCAGCATCAACCTCATCATTCTGGGAATTGCCTGTGCCATCGTAAGTTGAAACCATAACCCCAACCATTTCCAACGATCAAATATCTAACCATATCAGTGCGGAATGGGTCTCTACGTCTCCGGCAAGTCGATTCACGACAGCTCTTCCAAGGCCAGCTGGACCTGCGCCAGCAACGCTATCTAGATGCATCATGCGACCAAAGACTTGACGGGGCATACCACTTGTGTCTCATCTCTTTGGGTCTTTTTCGTATAGATGATCTGGGTACTTGCGTTGATACGATAGATTGATAGATATGTTTTTGCTTTTCCTTGTACAGCATCGATTGGCTGCGTGAGCCTAGTCGTTGTAAATAGATTTGTTCAGTTTTATGTTTAGATTATGGTCTGGTATTGATCGAAATACATGCCCTTTAGATGATTTTCTTGAGTTTTTGTAGCTGTGGACGATTACCATTTTGAGATAGTTAGGCAAAGCCGCAGAGGTTCACAGTTTACTGGCCTCAGTAAATGTTGCTGAAGATCAGTCTATTCACGTGACTGTTCTGAAATTGCTCAGGAAATTCTCAGCGAGTGTTTCAGCAGAGAGCAGCTAGCAGGTAGTTCGTGATTACTGAATAGATCCCCATACTTAGTACACCACAAATTTAGCAGTCTAGTAGTACGGAGTCGTTCATTCAATTGATAGGCTTCCGTCCACGCGATGAAAAAAATGCTGCGTAAGCAGGTTTTTGGCATTGGCAGAAACTCCATGCTTAGAGAGACAGGCGGACCATAGGCGGTGAACAGCACTACTGCATAGTCACCTCCCTTAACACACCAACTATCAAGTTGACAAGTCCGCAGCTATGGCGTCTTCTAGATCACTTCCTTGACGAAACTGAGGTCCTCACTCGCTTTTTGCCCTCATAGTCCGGAACACTTAGAAAGCGAGAAATGGAAACCCGGAAAGGATTCGCCTGTGATCAGTGTCATGGCCATAAATTGAGATGCACTCCACAGTTGAAGGGATGTTCGCGTTGCAACAGTATGTTCCTCTTTTGCTGTGAAGAGATTGTTTCTCAAATTTCCTAGGGTTAAACATTCAATGTACTTCAAATCGAGTTATCAAAAAGCGGGGCAGGAAGCCAAACCGAACTGTCCTGCCTCATTCACCAGACAATGGGCCGGTAGGATGCTAGGTCATCCTGGACCTTTTGCGCATGGATGCTAAATCAAGGCGTAGAATACGATTGATTATCCAGTTCTAGACTGTCTTCGAGACCTCTCGATCTTGGAATCGGACGGAGAACGAGCGGAGTAAGGAGCTACGAACGAACCCAAAGAAGATTTGAAGTCATGGAAGACACTACTGACCTCAAAATGCAGCCCTTCTGAAGTGCGCCTCACACGTTATGAGGCCTGTCGTCTTTTAGAAAACTTCTACGATTCACCCAATCAAGAATTTCATGCTGTACTCATACGAAGGGACAGACTATTAAATCAACACATGCCTCGTCCGACACAACCAATACTTCTTCTATCCATTTTATGTACGTCTCCTTTTTTCCTTGTGGTGATTGGAGCTCGATTTCTCATTGCAAAACTCCCATCATCATAGGTGTTGCGTGTTTCATGCCACTCGCTGCCGGGGCGCCTATTGTATCTGGAAAGAGTACGCGGGAGCATACGACCTTGGGACGCTACTTGTTCCACAAATTGGTCTCTCATTTTCAATCTAGGGGAGCTCCGGATGTTGCTTATACTGTAGATGACGGCTTGACAGTCTTCATTATGATGAGCATTTCTCCGAGTGAGCAGTCAGTAGCGTCGGGTCTGCACTACTGGCTGTGCCTTGTCAAATTAATTGTGCAGGAATTACAGCTGTATAAGGATGAGCCAGGGCTCGGTGAAGACGAAAAAGAGGAAAGACGGAGGCGTGTTCTCTTTCTATGAACATCTAGGTTTGGTCCACACTAATGATATTTTTCCGGGCAGGTTATGGTGGGCAACGTACATAATTGATCGACACTCTGCATTGTCTTTTAATGCACGGCCACAATTCGCGGATACAGAATGTCAGCTTCTCCCGATTCCATGTCCAGACGTGACCTGGAGTCAACCGGGCCCCATGATAAATTCTTCTGAACATCAAGCCAAAAAGACCAGCTGTCTCGGCTATCGAGTAGCCAGTCTAGATATGTTTGGTATTTTTCTCCCGCTGTCGAGGTACAACATTGGAAACCCCTGACTTCATGTTTCACTACTCGAGCTCACTCTGATAGGATACTGGGCGAAATCTTGGAACATCAATTCCTCTGCGAAAATCCAACCTTCAACAAGAGGAAAGAATTTCTGGATGAGATTCGCAAAAATATCATTGAGAACCTAGAACAATGGTTCTCGTCATTCTCATCCCTTGTGGGTCAAGACTTTTGCACAATTGCCGACGCAGAGTGCAAATCGTCCCGGCCACCAGGAACCCCTACAGCCGCGTATTATGGTTTGCATATGTACCATTGCATGTTCATTCTAATTTACGGCCCAATGGATCTAGTCCGCATGCATACCGATCTTGAATGGCAAATGTCTTCGGATTTCCTCATCGCAGGTGAACACGCCGTTGCTTGCGCCAATGTAAGCATCGCACATCAACCATGCGATCTAGCTGATACGAAGAAAACGCTAACAACTCCACTGAAATCAGGTCGCATATCACATCCTAGAAGCCGATCCCCAGTTATGCCTGATGTACAGATTCTTCGGGACATACTTTCTACAGTCTTCTTTCATCTTTCTAATTCTGGCACAAAAGCTGGGTCGACAGTCTGATGATTTGATTTTGCGCAATTGTTTCATCAATTTGCAGGTTTTGGATATATTTGTGGCCTCAACGAATATGGACTATCAGCGGACTTTTGCCAAGGTGCTTCGCCGAGCTTTATCCCATAATATGGGGCTGGGGTCTTCGACTGGAGTTCATCAGACTGTGGCGGAATTGGACCCGGAAATGCTTGCTTATCGGTGGACGTCCGGATATAGAGGTTTACGGATAGACTCACCGGCGTCAGAATGAATAATTTGGTAGGACAGCAATCGGTCAATTACAGCAATTTGAACTAGAGTACATGCCCAATACCTATCAACTCTTTGATAGTCTGCTGCGCAGCAACGCTATAGCTGTCCAAGAGATCGAATCTAGCCTTCCTATCGGTGAACTCTCGATTCTTTGTCATGGAAACAGTCACAGTCGTTCTGTCGACATCATAGACCGTGGCCAGACCATACTGGTCCCCAGTTGATGGAGCCGTGATGAACCGTATCCAGTCAGCTTGAATGCGCTCTACTAGGGAAGCATTGGTGACAGCTCCCGTCGGTAGAGCTTTATCGACCTCACGCAATGCTTCCTCAAAACAGTCATATATGTATATGAGATCCACGCAGTGCTGGGCCTTTCCGGAGTTGATACCCGGGAAGGGGTTCCCAAACTTCACTCGGTAGGATTGCACGGCTGTTGGACGAGCACTTGTACCGTCTGCTTTAACCTTGCACTTCGAAAGATCCCAGCTCATCAATTCCTCCCGGGCTAGCTGTACGGGCTTGCCAAATTGCATGTCTGATAGAAATTGGAGAATTGCTTCGTGGAGTCGGGACACGGGCATATTTGGTTTTAAGCCATAGGCCCGATAGAATTTATCCAAAAATTCAGTGGACTTGACGTTGCTGGCGACCCGCGCATTGAGCTTCTCAAAGCTTTCAATCTCTGATACTTGCGAGAAATGGATGGATCCCTTTTTCATGCATAAGATTGTTAGTTCTGGTGCCAATTATAAAGAGACTGATCAATTGACTGACCTCAAGATCTGTATCGCCAATGAGCACGGAAATGACCGCAGAACTCTCGCCGTCCCGCACACTATTCGCTTGCTCTTCCTTGCCAGCTAAGTGGATATTCCAACGACCATTTGGTCTTTGTGAAATCGTGAGCCCATCTACCACAAGAGGGCAGACTTGCCAGCCCAATTCTTGATTTGCTTGGAGAATCTTCTCTATCGGAACAGTGGCCATGAACTTCATTCGAGAAACATGGTCACCACTGGGAGCCCCGATTCGTTGGCAGAAGATATCCCATCGCTTGTCCGCAGTCTCCATACTGAGAGGGCCAAGTACCCCAACGGCACCAGACTGAATAATTCCACGCTGGACCAAGGGCTCTCCTTCGCCTAATATTGCTTCCAGAACATGGGCATGAGAGGAACTTCCTCCAGCGGACTGCCCACCGACGGTGACTTGAGCTGTATCACCACCGAATGCACCAACATTTTGCTTTAACCATTGCAGAGCAGTGCGTTGATCTCTCAGACCGAAGTTACATCCCTTCAGTTGGCCGTTCGGTTGGGCTTGGATAATCTCCGATGAGGCTGCAAAGCCGAACATGTTAAGCCGGTAGTTAATGGTTGCAACTATCATCGGAGTGCCTAATTCAACGGATCGATTCACCAAGCGGGCAGGATCTGTCAAAGTTTTAGTAATCCTGTGGTTTCTCTTGTTGGAGCTCAAGTGTCATGTACTCACCCCACATGGGATCGGTCCCTGCACCGAAGCTGTAAGCTCCACCATGGATGTATACATAAACCGGCAATCTCACAGCTTCCGGATCAAACCCAGAGGCAATGAGAGTGGATGCACTGGGCCTTGTGATGAAAAGGTTGAGACAGTCAAACTCCGATTCCGTAACATCACCAGGGAACTCGAGATGGAACTGATAGAAGTCGCTATTGTTGGGTTCTTGTGGCTGTGGGCATCGAGGGCTATGAGCCAGCGTACCGTTAGTTAGCTAGCTGTACTTCATCGTGAGTGAAATGCGATGATGCCACGTACCCATTCTGGGTCGCATAGAAGATGTCTTCGGGCAAGCGGTCGCGAAGAACCGCATGTTGCCATCGTGCGGGAACTTTCCCATACGGAATGCCCCGGAACTCCTCGATGCCGGGGACCAGCGAGTTTCTCCCGATCACGAATTGTTCATAGGAAGGATTCGTTCGGGTGGGAAGTACGATTTTAGGCAAATCACCGTCAAGCTTCGTCGCCACGCGTGGCTGACCTTCTCGTGCATCAGCCATGGCTTGAGTCTCGTGAAGCAAGCGATGAGGAGGTTGTTAGTCAATTTCACTGCGGAACAGGTCAAATAATTTATAGACGAGGACTGGTTACGCGAGCTCAGCTTGGAGATATTTAACTAACAGGAACATGCATTCATCACCAGCCAATCGGCGCGAGATACGCAACAGTAAACGGCGCTATATCAGTCCGTCGAAGTTTATTCGGGGAATTTGATGTGGGGGAATCGGCGAATTTCCACGCGGCTACAAATTTACCCCGGTCATCCCCAAAGATTCACAAACCTAAACTAACAACCTGGGGTCGCCCTGCTAGGAATATAAAAGGGGCCTTCGCTTGCAGCATAATGGCTTCCGATATCCCTTCATGATCGGTGGTCTTTGAATTGGCTCCTTGTTTTTCTTCTACTCTCTCCCTAGCCTTGTTACATTGGGACGATGGGTCAAATGTCAGCGGTCGCCTCTGTCCGCGCTGAATGGCGTGCTATTGTCATCTGCCTGTTCATTACAATTGCAGCCTTCCAATTTGGATTTGACTCTTCCTATTACTCGGGTATGTTTTAGATGGAAAGCCTGTTGGTGCAACATACTCATTGACCTTCGTTCCAGGTATTCTGGCTATGGAACCTTTCATCAAGGCCTATGGTCACTATGACACCGCGACGGGCGGCTATATCCTGAGCTCGAGTATACAATCCCTGACGACTAGCATCATCAATGCTGGCGAGTTTGTGGGCGCTATTTCGTCCTTCTTGGTCGATAACAAATTTGGTCGTCGGGGAGGACTGTTCGTGTCAAGCGCCTTCGTGGTCATCGGCACGATTTTCCAGGTCGCTGCTGATAACCTGGGATTACTGATTACTGGAAGACTTCTCCTCGGTAAAATCAAGCCCTCTTGCGATTGGTAACAACTTCCAGGCTAAAGCATTCTTACAGGCTACGCGGTGGGACTGATTTCTTGTCTGGTACCTCTGTACGTCGCGGACTGTGCCCCAGCCCGATTCCGCGGTGCCCTCGTCTCTCTCTATCAATTCAATATCGGACTCGGATTATTGCTCGGAGTGATCGTGGATAACTCCACCAAACACCGAAATGACAGCGGGTCATACCGCATTCCAATGGCAGTGCAGCTTATCTTCCCGATCATTTTGGTTCCAGGTCTACTCACTTTCGCACCAGAGTCCCCTCGCTGGCTATTGTCCCGAGGAAAGATTGAGCAAGCAAGGGAATCTCTTCTACGGCTGCGGGGTGATCGTCCGGACCTTATTGAAAGTGAGATGACGTACTTGACCGGGCTTGTTGAAGAAGAGCGACGTGTCGAGGGCTCCTGGGGAGATTTGCTGAAGTGGAATGTCGACGGCCGCAAAGCCTATCTTGGAATCGCGCTTCAAGGTAAACATATTCTGCATTGCCACTTACCTCGAGTATGATCGCATCTTACTAACATAACGGCATACAGCATGGCAACAAGGCTCTGGCATCAACTTCATCACCAGCTACGGCATCGTCTTCTTCAGCACTATCGGAATAACAAACTCATTCCTCATCCAGATCGGTCTCTACCTAGTCGCAATGCCAGCCGTCTGGCTCAATCAATACTGCGTGGAGCGCTTTGGCCGTCGCCTAATGCTACTCTTATCATGCGGTATGGTTGCTACCGTGTTGCTGATCGTCGGAGGCGCTGGAACCGCGCCCAGCAAGACATTAGCCCTGGATCGAACCATCGTGGGCATGGTTTACATCTTCATGGTGGTATTTAATCTTGCCTTGGGACCTGCTGTCTGGGTTGTTACTTCGGAGATTTCCACCGGCCCGAACCGTGGCAAATTGATGGCGACGTCGACTGCGACAAACTGGTTTTGCAGCTGGATGGTCACGTTCACTTTCCCGTACTTGTTCAATGCGGATGCTGCTGGGCTTAGTGCGCAAGTTGGGTTTATTTATGGTTCCCTGATGGTTGCAGCGACTGTTTGGGTGTTTTTCTTTCTCCCGGAAACATCTGGTCAGGCCCTCGAAGAGATTCAGATTCTTTTTCAAAAGGGTGTGCCAGCTCGCGAGTTCAAGTGTAAGTCTGCTTAACCGGTTATCGTTCTTCATATGATGTTGGTGAGAGAACAAAAGCTAATCAAAGGATTGTATAGCTTATCAAATCGACTCACCAGCACCAACTATTTTGGAAGAAAAGGAAACGGCCTATGTCACCGAAGTAGATCATGTGTAGCAGAGTACTTGTCAGACATTGTTCATTCGACGGATATGACTCCGAGATCGGGCGAAGTTAAAGCAGTTTGAACTGTATTTATAGAAATCTCTTTCTTTTTCGTCATCTGGCTCAATGATTCACTTATGTATGTGTAGTCGATACATGGATCAGAAAAAGATATTTCGTTTCCTCGCTGTCTCATGGCGCTATGTTTGCAAGGAAAGCCAAGACACTACATGGGAAATCAAATACAGAGTAGGTAGATGAAAAATGGTAAATATAGACAAAGAGAAGCTAATCAAGAGAGGGGATATATATACAATGAAGAGAAAGAATACAGTAATAGACAATACAATGCATAACTCACTGACTCTTCCAATTCAGCGGAATCGACTCTTCCTCATCATCATCAACAACAACCATCCACACCCCAACTTGTCCATTACTAGCATATAGCGGCGTACAATGCACCCAGCGACTGCGGCCTTCGCTGTTGTATCGAGTAACCCATTTGATGCGAGCGGTGATACTCTCACCCTGTTGCATCGCAGCCATGAGCTCTTCCTTCACGGCTGACGAGCTTCCAATGCGAGAGAAGAATGATGATTGTAGCATGCCGGGGATCTGAAGGGACGGGGACGTGAAAAGGACGCGGAGGGAGGGGTAGGGTCGGACAAGGAGGTACTACAAATATCCTGTTAGTCTTGAACAGCGATAGAAGGCAGTAGATGGTACCCGTGTATGTACTCACATTCTCATAAACACCCGTCAACCCCCGGAAAAGCGGAGACTTCACATCCCGCAACCGAATAGCCTCCATCTCACTATCCATCGAACCACCCCGCGGAATCCAATGACGATTCGCGCGCGAAGAAGCCCGCGTATTCAACGGCTGGAAAAGATCACCACCATGCTCCTGTACTGCCGAGAGTTCCTTCGGACTGAATAACTCGCACATCTGTCGGAACTCGTCTTTGTGTGGTGCGATGGGCATTTCCGCAACGCTTTCCTCGTCGGGGTCGCGGTAGCGGGATTGGAGTTCAATTAGAGACTCCATTTGGGCTCCGTCTAGGGTGAGGCCGGAGACGTCGATTTGTGCGCCGATGACGTATTTTACGCGGCCTTTGCTGTCGCAGAGGGGGGCGCATTGGAGGAGGTTCATGAATGGGGAGCCGTCGCGGCGGCTGTAGAGGATGTGGATTAGTATTGTGATGGAGATTGGGTGCTGGGATTGAGCATGTACTAGTTTAGGAAGAGCTCGGAGTGGTGTCGGCCTGCACTCAATGCTTCTCGAATTCGACGTACGCTGTTGGGATTCGTCTTTGGGCCTTGAAGGAATCGGCAATTGCGTCCAAGGACGTAGTCCATTCCATATTGCGTTGTTCGGTGGAATTCTGTAATTGATGAGTGCCAGCCCCAACCATAGTTCCCCTGGAGTCGTACCTTGTGATGCGAAGATGATAGGATTATCTGGCCGCGATGGATCCGTCAAGCAGAACACTTCAGCCAGGGCATTGGAGGTTTCTCTGAACTTCATAGGTAGAGTCCCGCGAACGCGCTCCTCGACAATCTTGCTGGTAATAGTGATGCACCTTGATGTGATGAATGCAGGAAGCTCTTCCGCCGTCAATGCATTGAGTCCATCTTCAACGCGCTGTTCCAACACCTTGTTTACCGTTTCACCGACAGCCTCGTTGTCCCTTTGGAGAAGTTGAACAGCTGGTGGTGGGACATCAATTGAAAGACGGACCAGAGCATTGGCATATTCGAGCGCCTTCAAGGCCTTGACCGCGTTGAGATAGTATGTGAGAGTGGAAATAGAGCGTGGTCGCTCTTCAAGAAGGAACTCCCGGAATCTTGCAAGATATCGCGGGTTGTTCAGAATAGAAAGCATGTGCTCCGTTCCAAACATCACGTCTGAGAGACGCTCCAGTTTATGAAGCGGCGCATCGACACCGTCCCATGGAGCAATTAGATCATACGAAGCACCCTCTTCACTGACAGGGTTGAATTCCTCTGCATGCTCGTAGGGATTGATTTCCTGGAGCAAAGGTAGCTCGTTGGTCGTGACGTTGCGCCGCATATTCTTGATCGAGGGTCGTGGGGTGGGATAGGCTTGTTCTTCGTATGGTTGTTCGGACAAGACTTGTTCTTCGGCGATAACATCAAGACCCTGTGTCCGGCTTGGGGGGCGGGGAAATCCTCGAGAATTTGATCATTTCTAATCCGATCGATCAGTGGAAACCTTTTTCTCTTAGGTTTAGTTCGCCACTTACCGTGATGTTCGCCCCGATTCCGAGATCCATTCATGATACTCATCGGGCAGTGTGTCCGTTAAAGATCGCAATGACTCACTGTCAAGACCCGACAGGCCCTCATGAAGATCTATTGTAAACGACATAATGAGCGCTGGAGGATGTCAAAGTGAATGGACGAAAGACCGAATGCTTTTTTCCTACGGTGTCCAAGCCTTGCGCCGGATCTTACCCTGTCTTTAATACCTTCACCGTCCTGCACTCACAGACAACAAGTCCAGGGTGATGCATCAATTGATCGTCTTGACTCTGTCCCAACTTCATATCTTACTGCACAACCCCATGCAAACTGTACAGCATTGACAGTGAAACGGCAGACACGAACGGCTACTCAATAGACACAGGTCACAATGGGTTTTAAAACCGATCGATCGATGCAATCCAGCAACTGCCCACGAGATCGGTGTCGATCCCCGGGTGATGATGCAATTGTGCAGGGAAAAAGGTCTGTCAAGGAGTCGACAGGGAGAAGTTAACGCGAAGAACGTTCTGCGATCGGCGCCAGCTCCCGAGTCTATCGAAATCTGCGTTCGTACATTGAGGCTTGGTGGTAGGGCGTTGAAGAAGGTCATTGGCCGGGGGGAAGTTTGGACATGTCCATTGTTCAACCATGCGGTAACTGGGACGAGGGTTACAATGGCGGGGATCAGATAGAACAAAAGTACCATGTGAGTCCCCGGGAAATGGAAAATTCTTCATCCGCTGTTTGTTGCCCTTCTGTGGGACTCAATGATAAATCCTCCGTGATCGTAATTGACCCGATATGGGTGTTTCGTACTTGATCGGAGGATATAGATGCGCATATACACCCCCTACCTTGTACACCTCGACCTTACAGATCTTCGAATGCTCCCAGAGACAAAAGGGTCTGAGCGTCGACGCCCCTCAAGAGCCATGCAGTTGCGGTCTAGACTCTCTCACACTCCAGGAACCGGCCTGCCTAGTCTTTGCATCTGCTTTGACCCCCGTTTGCCTACTTCAATAGTAGTTCCCAAAGACCTGGGAACTGGTCCATATAGTTTGGCTTTGGCTTCGTATTTCGGGCCGCAACCGCCACCACATTGAACGCCCGTTCAGTAACTCCAATTAGGTAGACAATAGATAGCTTAAATGAACCCTATTGTGGTGTTGTCAATTCTGGCAGACGGACCTTTGTCTCACCTCATCTCCAGAAAAGGGAAATGCGTGGCCACGGCTGGTGATTGTAGAGACATTTTCACTACGGAGTCACCGCCCTTGACAACAAAACTGGTGGGAGAAAAGGGGTGGATGCCCAATTGAACGAAGCTGAAATGTTATCTATAGTAGTTACTCAATATTGTACTTTGTCACGGGATCAAAATTCGACATGTATATACATATCCTTGTTAAGGATTGTGACACCTCGGTCTCTCTGCCGAACGAGTAACCTACGCTTCTAGAATTTGCAAGTACATACATGCATACTGAGATCGGAGCGGTAAACATGAATGTAGAAAAATTAATATCCGAGTCATGATAATCCTTTGGAGTTTCTACAATAATAAATAGCTTAATTGTTAAAGTTGACTGGTTGATGCGTGTATAGTTAAGAGTAGTACAGTGTTAGTTTATCCCACGGAACACTAACAGCCTTATCGATAAGCCGATAAGCGAAAATTTTCGAGGGCGCGGAGATGCGACGTGACGAGTTGTTTCTTCGTCTTTGACGCTCATTCACCATGCCTGAGAAGGTGCACACTTACTTTGGTGACTCGTACAATGAGTCCTCAAACCAGGCTGTCAAGGCTGTCAAGGCTGTTCCAGAACTGACGGTAGTTGAGGATGAGGGCCGCAAGAAGAGGCGCAACAAGAAGCGGAAACGCGACGAGGCCACCGAGGAAGCCCAGGCACAGCGCGACAATGTCCTAGTAGAGAAACCTGTCAAAGCTCCTTCGTCAGCCCCAGAGAAGGTTGTTACAGTACCTGTTGGGAACAAGGAACCCAAACACGAACCCTCGACCGACCAGACCTCCGCCCCGAAACCCAAGCCCAAGTCCTTCGCCGATACCAAGACCAACTTTACCTCCCTCCGCGAAAAAGCCAATGCCCTCTACGAACTCCGGAAGAAACTCCCCATCTTTGGTCATGCCGATGAGATCCGACAGAGGCTCCGCGACCGAGATGTCATGTTGTTGGTCGGTGAAACCGGTTCCGGAAAGAGTACCCAGATCCCGCAGTTCCTGGTGAACGAATTCTGGTGCCGACCGACGCCCGCGAAGGTCCTACAAGAGGATGGGTCCGAGAAGTCCATCACGGTCGGTGGATGTATTGCGATCACACAGCCTCGTCGTGTTGCGGCGATTTCGCTGGCACGTCGTGTGGCTGAGGAAATGGGCACGCCGCTTGGATCTTCTTCTCCTGCGAGCAAGGTTGGCTACTCGGTGCGATTTGATACATCTACGTCGCCTAGTACGCGGGTTAAGTTTTTGACGGAGGGAATGCTGCTGCAGGAGATGTTGCATGATCCTTGGTTGACCAAGTACAGTGCAGTGGTGGTTGATGAGGTACACGAGCGCGGTATCAATGTTGATCTAGTCGCGGGTTTCCTGCGGAATCTGGTATCTGGGAAGCGGGAGGGCCGTGGTGGTGTACCACTCAAGGTGGTGGTTATGAGTGCTACGGCTGATATGGAGAGTCTGATGGGCTTCTTCCAGGAAGGATTCCAAGAACAGGAGCAGGAGCAACAGCAGGGACAGAAGCAACTATCAAACGGGACCGAGAACGGTGAGAACGGCGAGAACTCGGAGCAAAATTCGATGGCGATCTCAGCTTGTCATATCAAGGGTCGACAGTTCCCTGTAAAGACAATCTATTCGCCCGAGCCCGTCCACGACTTCGTGGATGCGGCTTTGAAGATTATCTTCCAGATCCACTACAAGGAGCCCATGCCCGGCGATATCCTAGTATTCCTTACCGGTCAAGAGACCGTGGAAAACTTGGAGAACTTGGTCAACGAGTATGCCATCGGCATGGACCCTTCATTACCCAAGATCCTGGTGCTCCCTCTCTTCGCAGCTCTTCCCCAAGCAGCCCAGCAGCGAGTCTTTGCCCCTGCTCCTCCGCGCACCCGCAAAGTCATCCTGGCTACGAATATTGCCGAAACCTCCGTCACCGTGTCTGGCGTGAGGTATGTGGTGGACTGCGGAAAGGCAAAGGTCAAGCAGTTCCGCACCCGCCTGGGATTGGACTCGCTGCTGGTGAAGCCCATTTCCAAGTCGGCTGCCATCCAGCGAAAGGGTCGTGCTGGTCGTGAGGCCCCCGGCCAATGCTTCCGGTTATACACGGAGAAGGACTATTTGGCTCTTGATGAAACGAATACCCCAGAGATCCTGCGTTGCGACCTGACCCAGGCTCTGCTGAATATGAAGGCCCGCGGTGTAGATGATATCGTGCGGTTCCCTTTCCTGACGCGACCACCTCGTGAGGCTCTTGAGAAGGCCCTTCTTCAGCTATTGAACATCGACGCGCTTCAAGATGATGGTAGCATCAGTGACGTTGGTCTCCATCTCGCGAAGCTCCCCCTCTCACCGACCCTTGGACGAGTACTATTGGCAGCATCAGAGAATGGATATGACTGTTTACTGGACGTCATTGATATTATCTCCTGCCTGAGCGTCGAGAACATCTTCCTCAACACCACCTCCGAGGAAAAGAAGGAAGCAGCCGAAACGGCCCGACGCGATCTCTACCGGCGCGAGGGCGATCACCTGACGATGCTATCCACCGTCCGAGCCTACGCCGGCGAAAACGTAGACCGCAAGGTGTGGGCTGAGCGACATCTCGTCTCCCATCGGGCGATGCAATCTGTGATGGTAAGTTCTAGCTCAGCTCCTCGACGGATCCCTCTCGAGAAAAGAGATATTTCACGAAATCCAATCCCCCAATCTAACAGCTCATATTTTCAGGACGTCCGCAAACAACTCCGCTCCCAATGCCGGTCAGCCAAAATGCTACCGCGCGAAGAAACAACCGGTCACTACCCCGATCCATCGCCCGATCTGATCTTGCAAAGCTTCTTGAGTGGGTTCGCGACCAACACGGCCCGACTAGTCCCCGATGGCAGTTATCGGACCATTGTTGGAAACCAGACGGTCGCGATTCACCCGTCGAGTGTGCTGTTTGGAAAGAAGGTCGAGGCGATTTTGTATAATGAGTTTGTGTTTACGAATCGTAGTTATGCGCGGGGGGTTAGTGCGGTGCAGATGGATTGGGTTGGTGAGGCTTTGGCTGGGAGGTAATTGGAGACGAGAAGTACCAGTACGGAGTACCTTAATAATATACCCATATGAATGCGCGATCAGAGATCTACACTTTACCTATCAACCGGCGCCTAGTCCTCTCCTACTGTAGTGGTTTATCTATCATTGTTGGAGACTCGGTATAGATATAGGTTTCAACAGGAGCATTAAGCACGGATAATTTACTAGATGCAAATGATGTCAGCCTGAAAGTGGGGAGAATGGGTGATCTACGCCGTACACTTGCTAAGTAAGTTATGCTTTAGGTATACTTTTAGGTAGTTATAGTTCACTAGTATATATCCTTACATCTGCGTAGTTACCCGTGTCATTATTAATACTACTGCTACCTAACTTAGGCGTCGATCCTTTTCGCCACTAGAGCCTTCCACGTCAGATACTTTAGATAAGTTACTTATAGTAGTTTACAGTTTAGACAGGTTAGACACGGAGAAACTAAAGAGAAATAAGAAGATCTTCCTGAGTAAATCCAGCTGGTCCCGTCTGGTATGATTCACGATTTGGTAACGGGGTGTTCTGGACTCGCTTATAATTGCGGAGCGAAGCAGAGTAATATACTACGTATACAATTTAAACTAGGGGGGAGACTCCAAGTCACACGCGAGCAGTCATATTTAGGTGGATCCAAATGGGATGAGACACACGCTGGCATCTGATTTTCTTTTCTTTCGAAATCTTATCAAGTGATTACTGAATGCTGGATTTAAGATCCCAACATTATACATTATCGGTTACTGTAATCCCAACTTCCTCTGTGTAAGTGGATTTAACTGGTTGGTCCGATCGCGCAAGTTTGCATCATCCGACTCCACCGCCTTATCATTTCACTTCCTGTTATCAACGCATCATCATCATCATCATCATCACGATTCCCTCCTATCCACGTTACTACTTTACCCCCTTTCCAGTAACAACCAGTCCCGTTTCTGGTTACGGTTCCCTCTCCCTTTTCGTATATTCTACCTTCCTCCCACCCCGTTGTCCTTTCGGATCCTCCCCTTTTGACCGCACTCGCGGTCTTTGGATTGCGGGGAAGAGGTCCACTATCCATTCCACCCATCCACCACCGCTTATCTGGCTCTATCTTCCTCCTCCCAGCCATTATCTGATTCTACCACATCATGGCGTTCCGCGTGCCAGCTCAGGTACCACACCGACGAACCTCTTATTCAAACTCGCAACAACCTCCCCCTCTCGATTTCCCTCCTCCCACGCCGGCACAGCAAGAGGATGATACCACGCAATGGGTGCTCTTCTCCCCGACCGCCCGCACGCACACGACCTCCACAGAGCGCACTCGCACCGTCGGAGCATCACGCCTGAGTGACTTTGGCTCCTTCGGCACTGCAACTCGATCCGCTGCTGGCCAGGAGGGCGAGGGGGAGGAAGAGGATGATGACGCGCTGGACGATCAGCTGGACGAGGATGGTACTGAGCTGGACAGCTTGGACGATGGGTTGCACGCCTTTCGTGCTCCCTCGCTGGCCCCCGCTTCCCCCTCGAGGGTTGATCAGGGGCCACCGGCTATGCTCCCGGCTCATGATGGGCTAGGAAGCTTCCAAGCGTCTAGCCAGTTGGCTCAGGACCAGCTGTGGCTGCATGAGCAGTATAACCCGCAACGGCGGGAGCAGGCTCTTCCTCGACATCGTCGACGTTCTAGTGTCCAGCGCCATCTGGACACTGTGAATGAACAGGAGTCCCATGTTGAGCGGGATCGGTGGCAGAGGATCGAGCAATGGCGGATGGACCAGAGCCGGGCACTCTTGCAGGAGATCGAGCGTGAGACTCGTCGACATCGGTCCAGTCGTGCGAGTGTATCTACCATCCCGCGCTCCGTGGACTATGCCTCGCCGCCTACGATCCCAGAGACTCCCGCCGAGGTCGCTGCTCCCGTCGAAGCCGACGCGGAGATAGACGAGTCACTCTGGCGTCGTATCACACGCAAGGTCATCCAAGACTTGATCGGGATCGACGATACCCTGCTCTCTGTCATTCTCGGCGAGTCCCTGCCGCTAGACGCGCAAACCGCCGAGAATGACTTACCAGAGCTGGACATGGAAACCGTGCTGGCACGTGAACCTGACCCTGCGAATGTCGACGCGCCTCCCTGGCAGGCACGAGTTCTCCAGCGAATCGCCCACGAGCTGGGTATTCTGGTGCACCAGCTCTGCGAGCATCCCGGGGCTTTTACCTCATACTACCAAATGACCAAGGACATCTCGAGTGAATATGCAGGCATGTCACTCAACCGTCTCGCCGACAGTACCACGACCACCACCTCCTCCTCCGTACGACCCTCCGAACCACCCGCTCAACCCTCAGCCGAAACAACTAACTCCGACTCCATGCTCTCCCCACACTTCACCCCGACCATCCGCGACCCGAACCGCGAACACGAAGCACAATGGGGAATCGAAGACGAGGATCCTACCGCCGAACCCGTCTCCGAATCAACCCGTCTCCAACAGGAGCAAGAGTACTGGGAACGCGGACTAGATGTGATGATGGTATTCCGCTACCTGCACACCCGCTTCAGTCGCCGCGGATACATGTCCAGCGAAAAGTACACCGCCACTCCCACCCCACGCCAAAACCAGGATGCCTCGCGTCGCGCCGCGATCATCCGCCAACATCACCCCCTCGTTGCTCGTGCGCACTCCCGTTCGCAAACTCAGACTCGTCGTCCGTCCCAGCTTTCTGGTGTCTCTGGTGCCGCGGGTGTCTCGTCGCCGCTGGTTCGGCCTCACCTGCGTAGACCGAGTTCCAGTTGCGCTAGTCAGAGCAAGCTCTCGGCTATTTCGAGCCGGAGGACTCTGACAGGCTCGAGCAGGAATTACTGGGATATTGGTGGGTCGGTGGAGAGCAGTAGTGCAATTGGTGTGGGAGCTGGACTCGGTACGTGGGGCGAAGCATGAATGATCTGGCAATGTCCTCTGCATCTGCATGTCTTCTTCTTTTTCTTTTTCGTTTGGATCTTATTTTCTCGGTCCAGAGTGGTTCGGAGTTGGTGGTTGGTGGTTGGATATGCATAGTCTCAGAAACGACATACATGTGACGGCGATGTGGGTGAATATTTCTTCTTTTTATCCTGGATATTTGCGGTTTATTACATCTCAAGACGTGTTTATAGGTTTAGGTTTGTGGTGTTTCTTGTTTATTAGGTTCTCTCGGGGTTTGGGTATCTTCGTCTCTTCTTCTTTTCTATATTCTATATTCATCTTGCATGCATATTACCATTTGATATACGGTGACTCGTGAGCTGGTATTTACATTTTCAACCTATTCAAAATATCATTTTCAACACTGAAACCTGATAACTACGTATAAGCATAAAGTACTCTAGATGTCAGTGCAACTATTGATTCACACAACCACTGCACTGGGAAAGTGCTGCGATTTGAAAAGAGTGCTTGATCAGGCAATGTGATGAAATACCTATGATATGAAAGTCGGTCTAACCTGAAGAATGAAAGGAGAGACAGACTATCAAAATCCAGACACCCTTGACCTGGAACTGGAATCTATCAAAATAGAAGAATCGAGAATAAAAGCAACTGTACTCCCAATATCCCACAATCAACAATTAAACTTAACCCCAAAATCCCTCAACCCATTCTTCCACCCCTTATTCCCCGGCGTCAAATCCTGCGCCCCATACTTACAAGTCGGAACCGTCTTATCATCCTTCCCACTATAACAAGTAACAAGCCACTTTAACGGCCCCTGAATATTCACCGTATTCTTCGCATCCCCACCAGCCCGATTCGTCTTCTCCGTATACGCAATTAGCGCCGCATCATCATCATACAAGGTAAGTTCCAACGCATACGTGCCCGCATTAAGATCATTCGACATCTCGTTCTGCTGATACTGGCGAATATGCAGCTCGCATTTGCCCTTTTTGTAATCCTTTGCGTTGCCGAAGGATTGTGGTGTTCCTGTGCCTTGGAAGGCTTTCACAGGGTTCGATGGTGGTGCGCGTGGAGGGGATTTTTTGGGATCTTGGTCTGGATTGTTGCAGGTGAATCCACATGCGCCTTCGCGTTTACCGTTGTCGAAGGCGCCGATGTTGCAGTGGTGTTGTTGGTCAACTTCTAGCCACCACTGGTCATTGTACCAGAAGGAGAGCATGTTTTTGCCATCAGCTCCTTTGTAGTTATCCTGTACGATGAGCGGGTGGGGCAGTTTGCTGTCGATTTCGAGTGCGCCGTCGACGGGTTGTTTAGTTGCGTATGCGAGGGGCGTGTTATCACCGCCCATGACGGTGACTGCGAGTTGGTATTCGTTTAGTGGGTTGATGTATTCAAAGTCTTCGTGGGTGCCTTGTTTGTACTGGTCTGGTTGGAATTGGGTGATGTGGATTGTGCACCAGCCTGGGACGTAGCCGGCTGCGTTTTGGCCGCCGGGGGCGTCGTTGACGTCCTTTGGTTGGGCACCGCAGGGTGGGTGGACGAGGTTCATTATGTTTGATTTTGCTTCGGAGGGGTCGAGGCAGATTGTGAAGTTGAAGAACCCTGGTCGTGATCAGCATAGGTTTGGTGTATGGTTTAAGTTGAGGCGTCAGACAAACCTGGCGTCTGGATATTGCCCAGCATAGGCCATCCATAGTCTTGCAGGTTCCAGTCCTCATCGACAACCACCGATTCCCCAGATTGCATAGACTGGTTTGGGAGTTAGCTGAAAGCTTGTGAAAGTCTGATGTTAAATCTACTCACATAGCCATTTCGCTTGCCATTCTTCAGGAAACCACTCCAACTCGAAGCAATGATATCCTCAAGTGAAATACCCCATCTCTCCCCGTCAAGCGTCTCATTATTACCTCCTTTCAGTGTCGTAAATGGCTGCCAATCTGCACTGATACAAGACGGGCACTTGGGATAATTGGCGTTGAGAAGCCAGTAAGTAGCGGATCTGGACAAACCGACATTAGATACTTGTAAGTGACACACTAGCTCAGTGATGGGGTTCATACTTTGATAGATCCTTTTTATCACACCAGTGCGTTCCAATATTGGTACCTGGGTCCATATATCTCCCCGGATTCCAAGAGCTTACGTGCCATCCCTTGCCGCCACCAACTTCGACATCATCGCCACACTTCCAGTGCTCGGGGCCTAGTCGTCTATGTCGCTGTCAATACCAGATTCACCCTCAGATTGGATTGTATTTTCTACTCACAGAATAAAGGGATGCATAGGCTGCTCCGAGCTCTCCCAAACCTCCGGAAGCATACTTCCCCAGAATAGACTCTTCAAATCAGACTGCAGGTCCGACCAACTCGAATCAGTCAAACCGGACATGTTAAACATGCCGCCGCTTTCCATCATTTGGTCAATTTTGTCCCGGTTCTTGGTGTCGTTCGCCCACATTATATCGGTGAGCTGATTCTGGATGCCGATGAGGGTTGAGTTGAAGTAGCTACTGGCGTACCATGCCATTTTACCTGTGATTTCGGTGATGGCGTCGACTGGAGTAGATCGGATACGGGTCGAAGTTAGGTTGAACTTTTAGCCATGAATCTTGCTGGACTTACAAGCTGTCCTTGCCGCTGACCATACCATAGGCAATTGAGGCGCTGGAAACATCTTTCCATACTGATCGGGAGTTACCTTCTGAGGGCTTGGCGCCCTCGGGTGCCTTGCCGTTTGACGGGAATCTTTGGCCTTTGGCTTTATTTAGGTATTCTGTGTATTGATTAGCTTAGATTCTCGTGAGACTTGGTAAGAGACACTCACGTGGGAAGACCTTGGCTTCTTTGAGGACTGGAAAGAGATCTTGTTAGCATGGTAATCTTAGCAGTTTCATCGGACGAAGACTCACTATCATTCCACACCACCGCAGACCCCAGTCCGAGAACGAATGTCAAACTGTCCAGGATAATCTTTAGAGTCTTCTCATCGGTAGTATCTTTTCTCTCCGCAAAGGATTGCACAAAGTTTGACATGTCGCCTTGGGAAATGATCTGATTGGCGATAACAGAGTCCCACACAGTTGCGATAGCCTAAAAACTGTCAATTGAAGCTTTGTTTCACCGGATTGAAAGTCTGACCTGATGAAGATACGAGAAGGAACTCAGAATATACTCGGCAGCTGCGGGGAACTGATTCTTTCCACACTCTGGAGGAGCACAGGGGGCGTCATGCACAGAGCATTGGGGATCGGTGTTGATACTGAAAGCATTCCACAGATACGAGTCCAACCTGACCGGTCCTCCACTACCAGCCTTTTTCTCGTCTTTATCGCGGTATGTTTTGAAGTCGTTGAATAACTGAGTCCAGGCCGCTGTCACAGGTATCAATATCCAGCAACATCTTCATGTTGAACCAGTAGAGGCCACTTACTAGGTACTTTTGCTGCATTCCACTTATCCATGAAAGTTCCTTTTGTGATATCGGTATCCTTTCCATTGCATGGAATGTTCACCCAGTCACCCGAGTGCTCGAAGCGCCAGGGGCTGGTACCTGTAGCACTTGCCTCAGTCGTGTGGGATTTCGTCGAGGTAGTGGTTTTCGAATCGGCTTTCTTGTCAGCGGCCTTAACGGTTGTTGTTGAGCCTGAATTCGCAGCTTCCAATGCGATGGGGTTTGCTCCAACCAGTCCGAGTAGGACTGGCCAAAGCAGAATATTGGATATCTTCATTGCCGAATTGGAGGGATTCAATGAAAGGTTTGAGAAAAAGACGACTTAACAAGATGTAGATCGTAGTGTCGATTCTCTTGATACTCAGCCAGCTGCCTTCTGCCTCCTACGCAGCAAAGCAAGATAATGACATCGATACTTTATAGTTCTAGATAACAACCAACAGTTCATGCATCTCTTTAGCATGGTCCGAGGGTCGTGGCCCCAAAAGAAAAGGGACAGCCCCCATATTCAACAAATCCTTCATTCGAATCCTACGAGTCATTCTGCATGTGTTGCTTGCTTCGTAACCTCAAACAAGGTGTTTTCGGATGATACTCTGTTTGTTGATAATGTAGATACCAAGTGTAATCGAACCATGAACTGATCAGTAGCCCTGCCAAGTATAGCGATGATCGACCCTTTGTGGCGCCGATGGACATGGGGCCGAAACTCTGAAACAGTCCCTGGTTGGCCCCATCAAAGGGACAAGCAAATCGAAGCGCCATCTTGGCCCATGTGCAGCCCCAATCATCGTCGATGCACTGCCCGCCCCCGGATAGGCGCCCAGGGGCGACCTGCAGGGACAGCTTCACACAGAAGCAAAAGCAACACACGTGTGACCATCCAATCCTCCCTGAGGACAGTTCCCGTTCTGGCCCCCGGTTTCTAACGCCAGGGATGTTTTCCGAATGAATCAGGCTATGATATCACTGGGTTGATGCGGCTTTTAGTAGTCAAAAGTGCGAAGATTCCCACCTGCTGGGCGATTCTCAGATTCTATTTCCACCCCGCGAGAGCCTGAGGCCCACTATGCCTGATCGCTCACGTGCCTTCGCCTTCTTTGGGGCTTTTCTGCTTCCCGTCGCTGTTGAGGCTGAGAACCCTTTCTCCAGTGGCACTGCGACTGCTGCTGTTAGCACCAATGCCTGGGTGATTCCTTTGACGGGACCGACGGCTACTGGTGCTCCTTGGGGTATCAACATCTCCCAGTCGGGAGGTAAACCGACCAAGGTGCCCGTCGTTCTCGGGGCTATCGAGACAAGCACTTCCACAAGCACCGCTATTGCTGTGGATGCGATCGCACCCGTCGGGGCCAGCAATGAACAGCTAGTAATTGTTCCAGGCGCCTCTGGGATCCAGCTCAGTAACTCCACTTCATTGAGTGTGCAAAGTGGAGGCCCCAGCAGCCAGAACGTGACTCTACCTATTACTCCGTTCAGTCTGAACCTGGGATACGGCAACTCGTGGAACGGCTCCTTCGTGCTCGGAGGATACTTCGACAAGAACCGCATTTTCTCGGAGAAATGGACGCCTACGCAAGGAACCTCAAGTGGTAACGTGACCTTACTCGTAACGGGCAAACAGTCCGTTGGAACAGTGAGCCTTCGCAAGTTCATCTTCCAGGGCGACGTGGCCGGTGACCAGGGCTCAAAGATCACCCCGTCCACTCCATTCGGCAACTCCAAGGCCGGCGATGTCGACCCCAACCACGACGCGACCCTCGATTTCAACTTGAACACTATCATGCTTCCCTCCAAAGAGTACTGTGGTGCGAACATTTCCATTACTCTCAACCCGGGAGTTGCGGGTGACAACACCTATAGCGAGCTGCAGATTCCTATCCCGGCCGAGTTGACAAACTCCGACCAATGCACGACGACTAACTCGGGCAGAGTAGTCTTGGGAAGGCCATTCTTCCAGGCCGCTATGATCTATGTTGATGATAGTGGAGACATTTATTTCAATGCGGCTAATCGCTGGGGTTTCCCTGTCAGCCTTGATACATTCAATAAGGATGCCATGCTTAGTGTACCCAGTCAACCAGCTACGGCAACGCAGTCCGCTACTCCAACGCCGACCAAGTCGTCGTCGGCTACTCTGAATGATTTGCCGAGCCCCATGTGGATGGCGCTGATGGCTGTTTCTGCATTGTTCTTCAATGCATGAATTGATCAGCCCTTTTGATTCCTTCAATTCCGGAATTTCTAATCATGAGAGGACTGAAATTGCTAGACGATGATAAGAAACTGCACTTTCCTCATTTCTATGACATATCATTACGAGATTTGCTTTATGTTATGTTGATTCCAACTGGTATTTTCATCAAGCCTCACGTATCTAGGCTCAAACCAACACTCACGTAGAGCACCACATCCTAGTCATTAGTATCAAAAAACGTGATCGACTTTGTCATATTAGACCTAAATCTCACGCACACATTCTTCGGTTTCCCCACCGCGACAAACATCATGCTAAGCAGGAACACATCAAGTCACGCATTTGATTGTTGATGGATACTAAGAGCAGTTCACAATTAGGATTCGTTTATAGATGAAAGCAGCCAATGAGAGTCCTTCATTTCAGCAATAAGCACCACATATCGGCAAAACAGCAGGTTTGCAAGATCATTGGACGGTAGTATTACCGTTTTCTGGTTAGCTTACTGACTTCCCATGAGGGCCAATCAGATCGTGATTTGATCAGATAATTGACCAAGCTGACAAGTTAACGCCTGTCGTTAGCGCCTGCGAATCGCCGTTTCTGGCCGAGTGACCTCACCACCTTCTCCATCCGCTCACCCAGTGCAGCGAGATCAACCACATCATCAACCACTCGTATCGGAGCTTCTCCCCGCATTCCACCCCATCATCCAATCATGTCGTGGGTAGAATAATCAGCCTTCACCCTCGCCTCGGGCCAGTGTCTTGCGAGACTCTACTTTATCATCGCAGGCAGAACGTGGCATAACCATGCGCAGCTTTGGACCGTCCGCATCGACCTGCTTAAATACTGCGCTTCGAGGTACCATTCGGCCAAAAGGTCCAGTATACTTACAGAAACCGCCTTCTATCCTTATCTACAAGCACTCTAGAGGTTTCTCCGCGCGATTGAACCCAAAAAGCCGGGTCTTAACCCGCCCCATCCCTTGCCAGCTCCATCCCACATTGTCCAAGGCCACCATGAGCACCCATCGCGTTCCAATCGAATCTCAGCGTGTCGATGCACCGCTCACCTCGTCAGCGACCTTCCTCGTTCTATCAGCAACCAATAAACCAGACTCCATCAAGAATATCCGGTCCGTCCTCGCTGGACTAGACGGTCTCGCCAAGAATGTCTCCGTTCGCGACCTGAACTCCCAATTCGCCTGCACGGTCGGCATTGGTAGCGATATTTGGGACCAACTGACAGGTCTACCTAGACCTGCAGAGCTCCGCCCGTTCAAGGAGATTAAGGGCGACAAGCACACGGCCGTCTCAACGCCTGGCGATTTGCTATTCCACATCCGATCAGAGCGACGGGATATCTGCTTCGAGTTTGAGAGACAATTGATGGATCAACTTGGAGATTCGGTGTCTTTGATTGATGAGACTGTCGGCTTCCGGTACTTTGATGTCCGCGATCTTCTCGGCTTCGTGGACGGAACAGCCAATCCCATTGGCCCGGCAGTGCCTGAATCTATCCTCGTCGCAGAGGAAGATACATATGCTCAAGGAGGTAGTTACATCGTGATTCAGAAGTACGTGCATGATCTAGAGTCCTGGAAGTCTCTACCTACGGAGATGCAGGAGAAGATCATTGGGCGGACCAAGATTGATAACGTGGAACTTGACGATGCCGAGTCGGGACAGCGGTCACACAAGACCCTCAACACGATTGAGGATGAGAATGGCAATGAACAGGATATCTTGCGTGATAATATGCCATTCGGATCACCTGGTTCTGGGGAGTTTGGCACGTACTTTATTGGGTATACGCGCCGGCTGTGGGTTATTGAGAAGATGTTGGAGCGGATGTTCGTTGGATATCCTCCTGGACTGCATGATCGCATCCTGGATTTCTCTACTCCATTGACTGGGACTACATTCTTTGCACCGTCTGCGAGTTTACTGGCCAGCCTAGACTCGGAATGAAACCCCAGTCTACCCATATAGCACATATCATCAGAGTTTACAAAAGTCACCATACACTTCTGCATATGCGGAATCTCGACTTACATACAAATTCAATCTAATCCAAAGCCTGCACAACCTTCGCCCAGTCCCCAAACCCATACGGACCAGGCACATTCTTCCCATCAAAGAGACTTGCCAACACAACACGATCCGACTGCTCCCCCTCCCACGGCTCTCTCCCATGCTGGGCAATCGCATTATCATAAACCAACACATCCCCCTTCTGCCACTTATGCAGCACACGAATCTCATCCGTAATCTTCGCCAAATGCTCCAAATACTTCTCCGGAATAACACTCCCATCCCCATAAATCTGCTGCGTGACATTCTTCCTCCCACCCGCGTTAACCTGATTCATCTTCCAATACGACGCCAGCCCGGTAAACAGCGTAGGCAAATTAGTTTCCTGCTGCGTCCTAATCACAGGAAGTCGATGCGTCAAAACAAGTCCGTCATCCGTCCACTCCCACGTCGTATACTTTCCACGTCCATACCGCGCAATCTGCGCTTCTATCTTGGATCGCTTCGTCTCTTCCGAGTCTCCATCAACAATGTCCTTCCCAAAGGCTTGTTTAAGTGTCGAACCGCCTTCATACTGCTTCTCATACTTGTACGTAACACGACTCAGGATCCCCTTCTCCGCAAGCTCAGCAATAAACTCGGGAATCTCTCGCTGTGCACGGTGAAACAGCTCCAGCGAAGAAGAAATAGGTGACTCGCCGCCCTTTTCAGGGACATGATGCCCATAAAAGAAGATATACTCCGGCGCATGGGGTACCTGCGGGGACTCATTGTGGTTGTATATCAGAACTTCCTTGGGCGCTTCATTCGCGGGTGCCACGTTCGGTGCGAGAAGTGGTCTATCCACGACTATACCGATGATCTCGTGTGGTTTGTATCCGAAGGAATGGGCGAATTTGCTAAAGTCCTCCGCGTTATGGATGGGAAGACCGCGGAAGAGGAGGGTGCCGTGGCGGGCGAGCTTTTTGGTTAAAGTTCCGTCTCGTTCTTGGAGAGATTTGATGGTCTCCACAATAGCGTCAAGGCTGGGGCTTTGAGACTCTTCTGTGAGACGCAGGGCGAGGGGGGTCACGGTATCTTTGGGATGAGGGGATCCCAGGATGCGCTGGTTGGACACTGGTAGCTCGAAGGGTTCGAAGGAGACGATGGATGAGTCTGTGTCGCTGATATGCAGCTTTTCGACATGGAGGTGCTCTGTAGCTGTCGCCATGTTTTCCACTTAGATATTTAATAGAACTGAAGTGTTGTTTATGGAATATGTGGTTGTGCAAAATAGGGCGATGATTGTCGGACCATCCGACTTAAATACGCTGCATGATCCTAGTAAAAGAGGAGAAACCCCTCCTCATCTGCACCAAAATGACGACAATTTTATCGGAACATATTTGCCGAACGCTCGAGCATGAGACTCCTCTTGCCTATCTCATATCTTCCGTGCCCGGAAATTGTTGTATGCCAAGATGACTCCCGAGGCTGTGGATTGATTGTGCCATCCTGGCGTGGACATGCGTGCTTGCGGGGAGAACAGGTCTAACGTCGGCAATGTGCCGGATATATCGAACGATAAGCTAGACCCCGGTCGAATATTTAAACGTACAATTTATTTCGGACAGTTCCCGACTATGCTAGCCATCTTCCGTGCAAATTCTTTGTTATACCCATCATGACTATTCCCTCCAAGGTAGATCCTGGTATAAAAACCAATATCTCAACAGTCCACGAGGATAAACCAAACACTCCCCAAAATGCATCTCGACCACCCTTCTTCCGAAGCACACTCTTCCAAATCCTCATAGTCGGCCTCTGCGCCTTCTGTGCCCCGGGAATATGGAGTGCCATGAACGGCCTCGGAGTAGGTGGGTCCCAAAGTCCCGACCTAGTCAACGCCGCGAACGCCCTGCTCTACGCCTTCATGACCGTAACATGTTTTGCGGGGCCGTGGATTACCAACATCATCGGCTTTCGCTGGACTCTCGCCCTTGGGTCAATTGGGTATCCGCTGTACGCGGCAGGGTTATACCTCAACAATCGCACTGGTGCAACCTGGCTTGTGTACCTGGGCTCCGTGACATGTGGTCTCAGCGCGGGGTTCTTCTGGAGTGTTGAAGGTGCTATTGCAACTGGATACCCTGAGCAACATAAACGTGGTCGTTATATCGCGACGTGGTTTACGTTTCGTAACTTCGGCAATATCATCGGTGGTGCTGTCTCTTTGGGTATCAATCATAAGGTCAATCATCGTGGTAAAGTTGGATATCAGACATATCTTGCTTTCATCGCGATTCAATGTTTAGGTCTTGTGTTTGGATTGTTTCTCTCTAATCCGGAGAAAGTGCAACGAGATGATGGCACCAAGATGGAAGCCCCTCGTGGCATTCATTGGAAAGAGGAGGCTAAGACTATGTGGCGATTGCTGAGAAGCAAGTCCATCCTACTTCTCGTGCCACTGTTCTGGTACTTTGGATGGATCCAAGCCTACCCCGGTACATACCTTGCCACCTACTTCACCGTCCGATCCCGAGCACTAGGAAGCTTCATGTCCGCCGTAGTCGGTACCCTAGCAACCTGGCTCGGCGGCTCCCTCGTCGATCTCCCATGGCTTAAAAGTCGCAAGCACCGCGCCATCATCACGTTCACTCTCATCGCGCTATTGAACAGCGCAACGTGGATATGGGCAGTCATCATCCAAAACGAATACCGACATACCAACCCCGTCTTGGACTGGGGCGACCAACGTGCTTTCGGTCGTGGTTTCGGGCTCTACCTCTTCGAGCGGATCAGTCTCGGCTTAGTCGAGAACTATATTTACTGGTGCATCAGTAATCTTTCGGACTCGCCAGGGGATCAGATTCGATACAGTTCGCTGCTTCGGGGAATCGAGACTGCGGGTGTTGCTGTGGGATTTGGTGTCCAGGCTGTGCCTACCGCATTGATTGCGACGGCGAGCATCAATTTTGGGCTGTGGTTTTTGGCTTTGCCGTTTAGTTACTATGCTACTTTGCAGGTTGTGCGTAAATTTGAGAGGCTGGCACCAAAGTCTACTGGTTCGCAAAGCGAGGAAGAGGGTGTTGTGGCAGCCGTCGCTAATTGAGCGACAAGTATACCTTTAACGAGATCAATGGTCTAGTTAATTGTGCTCGTTTCGATTGAGATCAGGAGACGGAATATACTACTGTAGCAATTCTTGAACAGAGATTAAACAACGTCGTTGACATGTACGTAGCTAATACTAATCAGAATATCAACGCAGAGTTCAACATTCTCTAATTGCCATTTTCGCCGAGGCAATTTTCGATATCGTGGTATACTTCCCAATTAAGGTTTCTCTTCCATCCAAAATGGACAAAATTGTTCAGATCTAGATCTCACCACCCGGTGCGGAGCTGTCATAGAAATCGCCATTCTCGCGTGGTATTACGACAAATTGGTGACATGAACTAGCGTTCCAGTGCTTCGGTACCCCGTCACTATCACACTTTGAGCGATTCCATCCATGGGTAACAGAACGAGATCTAATCCCAACACCCCTGCCCCATGTGCATTTATGGCCTGGCCCGTGGCCGTCAAGCTTAATACAAGCAATAAAACGCTAGTCATGCTTTTTTTCCGACAGGATATTCCTCTCGGAGTTCAGTTGATCTCGTGCTGCTTCATGTTTATCGCTTCCTGGTCTGGCAAATTCTACTCCTCAATGACGTGATGCTTAAGCGCGACGCCCTACAAGATGTACGTCCATTAAGGTAGATCTATATGCCGCACATTTACCAGTCGCAGATGCCGAACCCCACTTTCAGCTGCTCTTCGCATAAATGACCCTATGTGGACAAGTACGGTGGTGTGCTTTGGTGAATCGGGTGTCGCCAGTATCTCCAGCCTGCCAGGTATAAGAAAAGCTTGGCCTTGCAGAATGCCAATTCCACTACATCAAGCTTCAAGTCTTAAGGCAGGATGTCGAGTTCATCAAGTTCAATCCAAGGCAAAGATAATACAATCACGAATGTGTCTGCGGTACCAGAGACGCATGATGGCAGCGAGCCTGTGCGTGATATCTCGGGTGATGTTATCGAGGATGGTCTTCGGAGAGGTCTGAAGGGTCGCCAATTTGTGATCATCGCCCTGGGCAGTATTATTGGACCTGGATGTTTCTATGGCCTGGGTTATGGAATCTATGAAGCTGGTCCGTTGGGTTTACTTATTGGATTCTCTGTCGTTGGTATGTACGAGGGTGCGGGAAATGTGAACTGAAGCTAATTCGGCCACAGGAGCCTCCATGTGGATATTGATGCAGAGTGTTGGTGAAGTTGCTACATTATTTCCAGTTCATGGCGGTTTTGTTGAGGTGAGACTGCATAGTTGACACTTTTGATTGACTTAATTTTCTGACAATGCTTCTTAATGGCAGCACTGTGACCGATTCGTGGATCCAGCACTCAGTTTTGCTGTATCATGGCTGTACTACTTCATGTGGAGCGTTTTTCTAGCCTCGGGTGAGTAAAAGGGGACAGTTTTTGATAAATCATGGAAGCTGATAAACTACCAGACTGGAACAATGCAACCGTCTTCCTCCAATTCTGGATTCCCGAGACAGCCGTACCTGTCTGGGCTTGGTATATCCTCATCTTCGTCTTCTTCTCCATACTCACAACTATGGGAGTCAATTTCTACGGAGAGATAGAGTACTATTTTGGCATGTTCAAGTTTCTCTCGCTGATTGTGCTTTTCTTCATCTCCATCCTTGCCAATGTTGGTGCATTTGGTAATGGATATGTCGGATTTCGATACTGGAAAGAACCTTACGGTATGTCATCCTGTTAGGAACTATTTTCTCCAGAAAGGAACTAGTACTAACGAACTGGAACGACTCAGGCCCTATTCAGAATGGAGTCAATGGCTTTGGCCAGGTCTTCGTCATGGCAGCTGCCTACTATGTTGGAACCGAAATCGTGTCTGTGGCAGCAGGCGAGTCTAAAAACCCTCAGCGCGACGTCCCTAGAGTAAGTCAGGAATAACCAAGTACAGCATGCAAACACAAGAAAACACTGACAACATATTCAGGCTACGAATTCCATCCTCTATCGCATCCTTGTCGTGTTTATTGGCATGTCCTTCTTCCAAGGCCTGATCTGCCCATCTACATCAGACGACCTAGTCCACCCAGGATCCAAAACGGCCTCTTCTCCATTTACTATCGGCTTCACTCTTGCTGGATGGAAATCATCCGCCCATTTTGTCAACGCTATAATCCTCATTGCATTTGTGTCGGCCGCTAACGGAGTCGTTTACATCCAATCTCGAACCTTATACTCGCTAGCCTTGAAACGCAAAGCTCCCTCGTTCTTCGCAATTACAACCGCCAGAGGAGGTATATTCCCACTCAACCCTTTTCCCCCGAGACCTGTGATACACTGACCAATGATTTTTTCCAGTCCCATACGTGGCTATTCTTTTCTCAAATATGTGGGGCTTCCTCGGTCTAATGTCCCTCCAAACAACCGCGGGCAGCCTCTTCTCCTACTTCACCTCCTTCGGGGGTACAGCGGCCTACATTGCCTGGGCCGTGATAACATTCGTACAGCTCCGAGTGCGCGCAGCCGCGAAAAGGAAAGACATTGATGTCAAAACCTTTCCCTTTACAGCACCGGGTCACATCTCGATCTACTGGGGCAATTTCCTTTTCAATATTTTCCTGTTATTGATTCAGGGTTTTACGGTCTTTGAGACTCCGTTCAACTATCAGTCGTTTATTGCGTCTTATATTAGCATTCCGGTGTTCTTTGCGATGTTTGGTGGGTATAAGTGGTGGTTTAAGACTAAGTGGTAAGTCTACTTTCCTTCTGTGGAATCGATTCAAGGTTGGCTGAGAACTTACCCCTCGACTTTTGTTTACAGGGTGCCCCTTGATAGCATTGACTTTTCAGGAAGACTTCGGCGGTCCCTTGAAGAGGAGGATACTTTACAAAAGAGATCGTGGGGTCGTAACGTTTTGGACGTGTTGAAGGATTAGTTGAAATCATCGGATGAATGGTTTCTATCTGGTCGGTATAGTCTTCGCGCTACAGCTTGATTGAAGACTTTCCAATCTATTTAGATAGAAGAACTTGCAAGACCTATCTTTGTTTATCGATAACAATCCCATTTCACATTTCAAGGGGTCTGGTCTGGGCATGTAGTAGCCGCTACATTCCTCGCCGGCGATCCCATACCACCACTCATCTCCCGGGTATCAACACTTGTTTACTCTACCATACTATGCCCCAGTAATGTTCATTCAAACGAACTATTTATCTTCGGAGAACTCTCCCCTCGTTCCCACCTTCATACACCAATCTCAATTCCTGACCCTAATACCTCTCCAATCTATCCTCAAAATGAAGCTCTCCATCTTCCTCCCACTGGCAGCCTTCCTATCCATGACCGCCGCCGAGATCGCAATCATCAATGACGGTGTCAGCCTCTGCTTGGTACTATCTCTCAATTGAACATCAACAAAGACCACTCGTACTAACACCACGCAGAACCGATGTCTGACCGAAGCTGCAGCTGTCGCGGGATGTATCTCCCAGTATGACACGGCGTGTACTTGCACAAGCCCTGCATTCAGGGATACGGTGCAAGTGTGTTTGAAGGATGCTTGCACGGCGGAGGATGCAGAAGGTATGATCAACCTGTTCCGGACAAATTGTGCGAGGGTCACCAGCTAATACTTCGAACGTTGATAGAGGCGCAGGAGCTTCATGAAGAACGTTGTGGGACGCCACCTAGCAAGAGTGATGATTGTTCGCGGTCTTGATTCGGCACATAAGGTGTTTATTGAGATATTGGATATAATATTTATTGAATAATATGCCTTCCTATGAATGATCTTGTTTATAGAGTAATGTAAGGGAGGCCTCAAGTTGAAGTTTAGCTTAGCTGTTTGGTATGTCGTGCAGTAGATCCATGCTCCCGACCAAGGGACTTGACTCTACCAGAGACCCGATGGCCTTCGATAGATTGTCTAGTCGAGTAGATACCAGCCTAGATTCTAAAGGGGCCGATTCTTGTCGCGGGACAAGCTACGATTGCCTTGGGCAAAGCTAATTGAAACTCAAGTGGAGTCTCCAAGTATGGGATCGGACGTACAGAGAATAGATCACCGTTCAGATTACAGGATACAGTCCACTACAACATACTACAAATACGAAAAACATTTTTAAACCCCTGGAATAAACTCCATTCGCACGAGACTGAAAGATATCAAGCTAGGTAGGTCGAGGAAAAGGAACATTTGTAACAGGCAGGAAGGAAAGAAGGTTTTAAGAGTAACATCCGAACTTCAATTTTTTTCGTTCTTGAATTCATATTCTGGATCAAACCCAAACAACCTCCATCTAAGCCTGAGACAGGTTTTCGTAGGCGTCGGGGAAGCGGCGCATGTTCTCCTCGATCAGACCGTGGCCACGGAGGAACTGGACGTAGGCACCATCCTGCTTGAGCTTGCCCTCCTGGCGGAGCTGGACGTAGTCCTCACGACGAACGGGGGTGAAGCCCCAGTTCTTGGAGACGATGAGCTTTTGGCGGCCAGGGAACTTGTACATGGCACGGCGGAGAGCCTCGAGGGCGGTGGCACGGTGAGCGTCACGGGTGCGGACGGACAGAATGATCTGGCCAATGTTCACACGGGCGACGGTACCCTGGGGCTTACCGAAGGCACCACGCATACCGGTCTGCAGACGATCGGCACCGGCGCACGACAGCATCTTGTTGATACGGATGACGTGGAAGGGGTGGACACGCACACGCATGTGGAAACCTTCCTTACCGGCGATCTTCACAAGGTACCTAAACGAAGAGGGTTAGAATTTGGTTGGTTTTGGGAAATGGTAGGAATTTCGTTCTCGGTGGTCAGAATCGAGGAGTCGAGCGGATGGGCAGAATGGAGATGGAGAAAACGTACTTGTTGGCGCAAATACGGGCGGCCTCGAGGGCCTCGGACGACAGCTGCTCGTACTCATTGGAGACCATGTGCACACAGGTGGGGAAGTCGTCAACGCTGGCCTTCTTACGACCCAGATCGAAGATGCGGATCTTGGGGTCGGGAACACCACGGTTGAAGCGCGACTTGGGGTACGGCTAGAGATGAGGAGAGAAGATGTCAGTAAAATAATGCCTTTGCCAAGCCATGCAGAATTTCATCATTCTCCATTTCGAGAAGCTCAAAATTCTCCCAGATTTCTTATATCCAGTCCCAGTAACAGATACTTCCTGGCATTCAGCATCTTCCGGCGCTCTCGTTGATGACCGCGAGGGGTGATGCTTCATGCGCCTATCTTCCCCCACAACCGAGCCTCCCGCACACAAAAAAATCATCGAACTCTCGAAATCGGCAACGCACCTTGTTCTTGCAGTAGCGGTAGCAGCGGGCGGGACGGCGAGCCATTGTGAGTGCTGGAAATTGGCGAAAATGCACTTCCTGCGAACTGGGTTGTTGGATGTCGTTGGGTGTCGAGGGATCGAAGGGGAAAAAGAAGGGAAAACGGGCGGGTCACGGGATTGTTTGATTTCCAAGCAGCAAAGTGGCGAAGCCCTAAGCCCTAGTGAGCGGGCCAATCAGAGTGGATCACAACAGATCCACTTTGGCGTGCTCATAGCCGGTTCGGGTTACTTTGTACTCCATAGTCGAGTCAGAGTGACTCTTTAAAGATGATCAGCAAGTATGATAGGACGAGAGCAATAGTACTTCATATGATAACATGTGAGGGATGCTCATTGGGGGCCATGCGTCACTTCTAGTGCTTACGATATGACTCGACGAAGTACTCTCGGCTTATAAATCTCCCCGATGACTACAATCTCCGTCGGTCTTCCTACTGATTAATCAGATCGATGAGATAGAGTACTTTGTACTCGTCCACTGGATCGGTAAATGCCCGTTGGTGGGCGGTTTCTTGGAGATCTCATAGTTAATCTAAACAACAAACCCCTCCATGGAACCTCTTCATGACAGTCACACCCAATGCAGAAACACATTTGCTCGCTGATTCCCTGCAAATGCGCGATTGAGGCGATAATCGTCCATAGCACTGCCTGCTCTGTCTGGGGTTTGCTGTCTCCAGCTGGCCACCCACATTGCTGGGTCCGCCGACGGGTTCTGGAGGCTTTATTGTATCTCTCCTCAGCTTCGTTGACTCAGTGCATGACCCCCACGCCAGACGGGAACACGCACTGGACTGACAAAGTTGAAGAGAGAGAAAACAAATCCTCCAGAATCTATCGGCGGACCCAGCAATGTGGGGGATGGGCCGCAATTCCTCCGCGGGCATTCACCACACGCCATTCCAACGACATTCACAGGCATCCGCCTCCCCCACTCCGCATCACAAAGTCTGCCCATTTACTGGGTGCCAGTGAGGATATCGGAGTCACCGGCATCGAGGATGGCCATGGTGGCGCAACGGAACAGCTTACCGCAGGCGGTACCAAGCTCAATCTATGGGTGGGTATTAGTAAGTTGATCCTGCTGTGCCACATAATGACATGCGCGATTGTGGCAATGGTGTCGTAGAGCGACTCACGTTGTTGCCGGAGAAGTGGTGGACAGGAGTCTTGGCCAGCATAGCGTAGTACTCGAGCTCCGACTTGCGGAGAGGGGGGTGTTGGCAGCGATGATGACCAGCTTGGCCTTGCCAGAACGCAGAGTCTTCATGGTAGACTTAGCGCCGAGGGTGACCTTACCGGACTTCATCACCAGGGCGAGCCTGGAGTTGATCTAAAATAGTAGGGTTAGCAATTTGATATCGAATCTTTAAATGCGATCGCGTCGATGAATGCTTTTTGACGGGGTTAACTCACGTTGTCGGAACCCTTCTTAGACTTCTTGTTGGGGGCCATCTTTACGCTTTGAAGTACAAGACCTCAAATGTTTTTTTAAAACGTAGTAGTGAAATGCGCTCCGGCCGGCGTGGATAGGGAAAGAAGAGAAGCCGCGCGATTGAAGCCAAACTGCAGAAATGTGCGGGAAGCTTCGGAGAAACACATTATTCCGCGCCGTGTACTGACCGCCTGCAGAGTCCAGATTACAGTCTGAGTCTAGAAAACAGAGAAACGGACCTACCGGACATGCTTCAATTATTCTTATTTGAAAGATCTTTCTAAACATCCTTCGGATTATCTTTCCTGATAGCTTAGGTATCATCTTTTAGCATATCTTCCAACTCATGACTGTTAGGATAATCTTGAAAATCTGTCGGGTTTCAACATATGGAACCCCACTGTCCGTTTATAGATCACGTGATCTGTACCGTTGTGGAGCCAGTCTGAAACCGACAGGAAACATGCCTGGGGCGGCGATGATCCCGTAATTTACCCATCTCATTTGCTGCGAATCTCATCATATATTTCTAGTAAAATAAAAATCTAGTCATAGATAGATCAACGTTCTGTTTTCTATAAAACTTTTCTACCTAAGTGCTATTTTATCAGTGTGGATGAAGTCTGTTGGTACATCTATTAATATCTAAAGTATAAGCTTGAACTGTTGTCCGGGTTCCCATTGTATGAAACGCAATTTACTGTATTGGGCCAACGTGCAGGGTCCCGGCCGTTCGCAGTTTGTTATCCTCGAAAACGTCTGCCCGCTCCTCTCGAGACGATCCTCATTATCTTTTAGTCTTTAGTCCTGATGTAAAACCCCTTTGTTGGTTTCCTCTTGTTCCATCTTTGATCTTTGACTTTCTTCAGCTTCGTATCTTGACGATTCAGCCTCGTATCCCTCCCCTGGCCCCAGAAACCACCGTGTCGGCTCTGGTATTTTTAGAGTACAGAGTCCAGTGTGTTACTCCATCCATACAGAGTAAGGAGATCCCGCATCGCATTCCGCAGCAAAATAAAGTGTGTTCGATTGTTAGTCTCTTGACTCTGCCATCGTCCCATCTCCCAAATTCCTCCCTTTTTCTCCCCCATTCCAGACTGCGCTCTGTGAATACCGCACTGTCTTCGAATGGTTCTACGGCTTCCATTCGCCATGTGGCTTGCAATCAATCTCTGACGGCACCAGCAGCATTCCCGCCAATCTCTCCTGTCAATACAGAAATCCTGGCATCATCGCATCCACCCCGAAGCATAACACAACCTAAACCAACTTTACGGTAGGGCGGCCCACTCGTCTTTTTTGACCGCTTCCCCCAATTGACTACGACCACCACACCTTCTCACCCTCTTTCCTCCACACTCCCCGGACAACAGTCTATTTTCGGACTCTCGAGGGTCATTCTCCAAGATCGGATCCGCCCCATTTGCTTTTTATATACAATCATCGGTGCCACGGGCCCCGGGACCCTGCACGATGTCAGCAACACCTCGCAAGCCTGGAACCCCCGGCAGTTCCAGCAAATCATCGACCGCAGATCCGCCCTCAACCAACGGGTCCACAACACGAGGACATGCACGCTCGCCCAGCGCCGCAACCAACGGCCTCAACCGCTCGCCATCCTTAAGAGGTTCTACACCTGTCTCTGCCCGCGCCGCTGCAAGAAAACCCGGCCGATCGAATCTGAGCATGTCCAACGTCCCGCGGATCAACAACGACCCCTCCGACGAGGAGGCGCGGGCTCAAAATGCCGCCCTCATCGAAGACCTGCGGGCGCAGCTTCAGAAGGCTGAGACGGCCTCTGAACAATATCAGAAACAACTCGGTGTTTTGCAAATGCGCCTCGACGAGGCTGTGAGCGAGCAGGGAAAGTTGGAGGACCAAGCTCATGAGAAGGATACTCGACTGGAGGCGTTGAATAGCGAGCTTCGGGATCAGGCTCGCCAGATCCGGGATCTCGAGCAAAACCATGAGTTGGAGCGGAATGCGATGCTGCAGGAGAAGGAGCAGCAGACGAGTCGGGAGGAGGAGTTACAGGCCACTATCCAGCGCCTGAAGGACTCGGTGGCGCAGAAGAGCATGCCGGTCAACGCAGAGGGTGAGCGTCAAATTTCCAGATCCTGTATGAAACCCCGCCTGTGAAGTCGGTCAAATGCCTAGAACTTTGCTAACTTTAGCAACTTTTCTTACACAGCCAGCTTCCGCAACAGATCTTCACCCGACGTTGATGGCCAGTTCGCCCCATCGTCGCATCTTGAGCGCAGCCCCTCCCGAAACAATTCCAACCTTCTTCTCCAAAAGGATAAGCTGATTGAGTCTTTGCGACTCGAGTTGGCCGAACATCAGATCAAATTGGTGGAGATGGAGAACGCAGGTGGGGGTCGGCAGCGCGAGCTTGAGAAAGAGCTTTTGGAGGCTCGAATGGCGAATGCTCGTCTCATGGAAGATAACGAGAGCTACCAACTTTTGCTCAGCGAAAAGACTCTCACAGGAGATTTCACTAAGGGTGATTTCATGCAACATGCCCATCCCGATAAGCAGTCTAGCGGTGGTCTAGGTTCTCTAGCAGACGAACTCGAGTCTGTGGACGAAGCGCCAGAGACCGAAGCTAGTGGCAAGCTGGAGGCCGAAATTAAGGCTCTGAGAGATCAGAACAAGGCTTTGACCCTTTACATCGAGCGGATCATCAGCCGTGTACTGCAGCATGATGGCTTCGAACACGTACTTGACCGGAACGAGGACGAAGGTGGTTCCAAGGTCGCTAAGGCCGGGGAGAAGGAGTTGCCGCCTACACCTCCAGAGAAAGATGATGGGCCCTCCCAGTCCTTCCTCCAGCGGGCCAAGTCTACCATCGCGGGACCTCCTCGCTCCCAACCTCGATCGCGCCCAACCAGCATGATGCCTCCTCCATCCTTGCCACACACCAGTGCCAACGAGAACCCAGATACGGCACCCAGCATCCCGATCCGAACCCAGTCAGTTCGCGCTAGCCACCGTCGGACTCGCTCCGAGCAGGTCGATCCAAACGCTGCCTCTGTCGTTGGAGCAATGTACCGCGGTCGGAACTCCGGTGGACCGATGAGCCCATCTGCGATGGGACCCGGGTCCCGCCAAAGCATGTTCTCCGGCGCTGCCAGTTACATTTCCAGCCGTGCGCCATCAATGTCCAGCCAACCTGATCGTGGCGGACGCAGCAGCTCGCCCAGTGTGATCAGCGATATTAACGGGGACACTAGCTCAACAGGGGCAACTTCGAGTCCTCCTCGCTCTAGCAGTGGCATGAACAACTACACAGGCGCAGTGATGACGCAAAACAAACTGCGGCCCCTGCGCCTGGTAAGCGATGCTGCGAAGCTAGAAGAGGAAGAAGCTGCTCGCAAAAAGGCCAACCGCGCGAGCTGGATTCCGGGTTGGTTCAACCGTCCCACCAACCCGGATGAGCAGCCACAGACGCAGTCGCAGCCTCCATCTTAGATTCTTAATTTGATAGGTTCTATCAATCGAACGCCGATCAAAGCTCTACTTTACGTGGCTCTGGATGACTTGATGTGATCTCGAAACTGTCTTTACCATGTTATCATACCCCTGTTCTTTGTGATGCAAATAATGCCTCATGTCTTGAAATGTATGACTCGGCCTCGAGTGAGGTGCTGAGTTGATCTTCCCAAATCTGAATTCGAAATGTCTTTTCTCTTCTTGTTTAATTTTCCTTTTTGGTTGCGTAAAGGTTTTTTGTTTTCTTTCTTCATGGTGTTACTTCCCTGGAGTATTTTCATGTATTCCCTATCTATTTCTGACATGTATGCGATTGGTACGTTGGAACTGTTCCTTATGCTTGATGTTTTCAGTTGTGATATGTAGATAGTATACCCTCGCCGTTTTGTTTCTGCCGAAGTGTCATCCTCCTATATTACGAGTACCTGCGATTGAAATAATCTCTTCCTCTTAAAATTATCCAAGATTAGAACTCAAGGTTTGTCAACTAATATTCATTTGCCTTGAAACTGCTTATTGCGGGCAGCAGCCATCTTCAACCCGGAACAACATTAATGCGACCTCCGCCAGCGGACAGACTGGCACCAGCTCGCATCAACAATCCAAACGAGCCCTCCTCCAATTGCACAACCACCACTCTCCAAAACACCTTCACCATGCCCGGCCCTCTCTCCCTCTTCTCCGTCAACGCGGTCCTGGTCATGTCCGCGGACGACGGATCCCGCATCTTCACAAAGTACTACTCCGCACCACACCCACCCACAGGCACCGCGTCCAACTCGACCGATTACCCCGGCGCCAACCCATACCCGACCGTCAAGGAGCAGCGGGCCTTTGAGAAGGGTCTTCTCGAGAAGACGAATAAGTCAACCAGTGATGTTATCTTGTACGATAACCGGATCGTCGTGTTCAAGATGGAGAGCGATGTGATGCTCTATGTTGTTGGAAGTGCGGATGAGAATGAGGTGCTGTTGTACAATGTTGTGTTGTCTTTGCGGGATGCGCTGGGGATGTTGTTCAAGTACGTGGTTTCTTTTTTGGATTAAGTTGGGGGTGTTGCGCGCGCGATTGAAACTAACGGGATCTTCTAATAGGGGTGCTACTGACAAGCGCACTATCGTTGAGAACTACGACCTCGTTTCCCTTACTATTGATGAGACTATCGATGATGGTATCATCCTTGAGACGGACCCTGTTATGATCGCTTCTCGTGTCAGCCGTGCGCCTGCCGCTGATGCGCCGAATATGAAGAATATCGACCTGACCGAGCAGGGTCTCATGAACGCTTGGGAGTTTGGCAAGCGCCGTCTGGCCGAGGGTCTACGACACATGTAGAGGCATGTCGCTAGCCTGTACTTGTTGATTCGATTATTCTCTCTCATTGTGGAGTGGCCTGTTGTGTGGCACGGAGCTCGTCCATCCCGGAGCATTCGTGCTGTTTCTCTTCTTATTCTTCTTTTTGTTTGAGCTCTCTTCCTGGCTGGTCCTGGCGTGATATGGTTTCTTATTTATTGGTCCTCATTAGCTGTTTCTGGGACTGTGGACACTTCTCATAGATTTGTTGTATGCTTTGTCTCTCTGCATCTTGTCCATCAAAGGCCTTCCCAGTGAAGTGGGGGTGCTGCGGCCCTGTGTGGTCTGCGTGGTAATACTGGCGCAAATGCCGATGACTGCAATGAAAAAAGACGATCCCATAATATTGAATCTTGTTGAAAATTGAATTAGTAGATCAACTTAGCGCATGACATGTGAGTCAATTGCCGAAGTACCCTGGCTTATACTTGCCAAGTGGGTAATCGCATGTCCCAGAAGAGAGCCCGACTCCGATCGGTACCTGCCCCGCATACGTCACGTTCGAAAATTCCTTTCTTTCAACAACTCGTGCGCCCACAATGAAGCAGAGATTCTCGTCGCTAGACGTCAAGGTATCGCCGCTCAATCAACGATCGTGGTTATATAGACAGAAAGCTTACAATTCTACCAGGTCATCACGCAGGAGCTGGCCGCGGAGCTGGTCAACCTCCGCGTGTCCAACATCTACGATCTCTCCTCCGTACGTCCGATTCCCAACAACTCTCGAAGCTATAGCTGGGAAAACAAGCATGTTTCTAACATCTCCTCCAGCGAATCTTCCTCTTCAAGCTCGCCAAGCCAGACCACCGGCGCCAACTGATCGTCGACTCCGGCTTCCGCACCCATGTCACACAATACTCCCGCACCGCAGCGTCCGCCCCCTCACCCTTCGTCACGCGAATGCGCAAGTTCCTCAAATCCCGACGCATCACCAGTATAACCCAGATCGGAACGGACCGTGTCATTGACATCTCCTTCAGCGATGGCACATACCACATGTTCCTCGAATTCTTCGCGGGCGGCAACATCATCGTCACGGACCGCGAGTATACCATCATCGCGCTATTCCGACAGGTCACCGCTGCCGAGGGCGAAGAAGCGAAACTGGGATTGAAGTATACGGTCACGAATAAACAGAATTATGGGGGTGTGCCGGATATCACGGATGAGCGGGTGAAGCAGACGCTTGAGAAGGCTAAAGCGCTGTTTGCTGGTGACGAGGCTGCGCCGAAGAAAATGAAGAAGAAGAAGAATACGGATGTTTTGCGGAAGGCTCTTTCTCAGGGGTTTCCTGAGTATCCCCCGCTTTTGTTAGATCATGCTTTTGCGGTGAAAGAATTTGACCCGGCGACGCCGCTGGATCAGGTCTTGGGGGATGAAGCTGCCTTGCTGAAGGTGCGGGAGGTGCTTGAGGAGGCTCAGCGGGTCTCGAATAGCTTTGGCGTTGGCGAGAATCATCCAGGGTATATTGTTGCCAAGGAGGATAAGCGAGCTTCCGCTGATGGCGAGGGTGCCTCGAAGACGCCTGGCCTGTTGTACGAGGATTTCCACCCGTTCAAGCCGCGGCAGTTTGAGGGCAAGCTGGGAATCTCGATCCTAGAGTTTGACCGGTTTAATGCCACAGTGGACGAGTACTTCTCGTCTCTGGAGTCGCAGCGTCTGGAATCCCGGCTGACGGAGAAAGAAGAGGCAGCCAAGCGCAAGCTGGAATCTGTCCGAGATGAGCACAGGAAGCGTATTGATGCGCTGAAAGATGCACAGGAGCTTCATATCCGCAAGGCTGGTGCTATTCAGGACAACATGTACCGGGTTCAAGAGGCGATGGATGCCGTCAACGGTCTTGTCGCGCAGGGTATGGACTGGGGCGAGATTGCGCGTCTTATTGAGATGGAACAGGGTCGGGGCAACCCGGTGGCGCAGATCATCAAGCTTCCGTTGAAGCTGTATGAGAATACCGTCACTCTCCTGCTCGCAGAGGCCGGTGACGACGAGGATGATGATGAAGAGGAAGAACTCGAATCCAGCGATGAATCCGAGTCGGACTCGGAAAACGAAAAGCGCGAGGAGCAGCGACGTGCAGATGCGACCTCGAAATTGTTAACCATCGATATCGACCTCGGTTTGACGCCTTGGGCAAATGCTTCGCAATACTACGATCAGAAGAAACAGGCGTCGGAGAAGCAGCAGAGGACCGCTCAGTCATCCTCCAAGGCTCTTAAGAGTCATGAAAAGAAGGTGACGGCCGATCTCAAGAAGAGTCTGAAACAGGAAAAGCAAGTTCTACGCCAGGCCCGTGTGCCGTTCTGGTTTGAGAAATTTGTCTTTTTCATCTCCTCGGAAGGCTACTTGGTTATTGGGTATGTACTCCAATTAAAATCAGCTCGGCAAGTCAAGTTTCTAACACAAGTTTAGTGCCCGCGATGCAATGCAGAGCGAACTCCTGTACCGCCGCTATCTCAACAAAGGCGACATCTTCATCCACGCCGACCTCGAAGGCGCCCTACCAATCGTCGTCAAGAACCGCACCGGAAACTCAGACGCGCCCATCTCCCCAAGCACCCTCTCGCAAGCAGGAAACATGTGCGTGGCAACCTCTACGGCATGGGACTCCAAGGCCGTCATGTCCGCGTGGTGGGTGCATGCCCACCAAGTCTCCAAGACTGCCCAAGTGGGCGGTGGCATCTTACCTACGGGCCGATTCGAGGTAAAGGGTGAGAAGAACTTCCTTGCGCCCTCGCAGCTAGTTCTGGGATTTGCTGTTCTGTGGCAGATTAGCCAGGAGAGTGTGAAGAATCATAAGCAACTGTTTGAGACGGGTGATGTACCTGTCGAGAGTGTGGATGCGGATGTCAAGGAGACGGTTGAGGCTGAGCAGGAGGCTGCTATAGAAGTCGCTCCGGTGGAAGAGGCTACTACTACGCTTCAAGAGGTTCCTGAAGATGAAAAACAGGACAACGATGCATCTGCGGACGAGGAAGAGGCAGAAGAAGACGAGGAGGATCAAGCTCCAGCCAGAAACCCCCTCCAGCGTGGTGATTCTGAACTCCCTGTCCAGCAGTCACCCGAGTCTGAGCCCGAGTCCGAGGCGGAAGATGAGGATGAGGACAAAGAGGATGCAGAGATAGAATCCGTGCAACAAGAGCAGGCTGGTGAAGGTACTGAAGCCTCGTCAGCACAGCTCGCAGCTCGCGGACAACGTCAAGGCAAACCCACCTACCAACCAAGCGAGGCTGAATCTACGACATCGCGCACCCCGCCAACCCGGGGAAAGAAAGCCAAGGACAAGCGCGCCGCAGCCAAATACGCCCAACAAGACGACGAAGAGCGCGAACTCGCCCTCCGCCTACTAGGCTCCAACAAAGGCAAAGCCGCCAAAGCAGCCAAAGCCGCCGAAGCCAAAGCCCAACGCGAACGCGAAGCCGAAGCCCAGCGACTCCGCCGCCGCGCACAGCACGAACGCGCCGCCGAAGCCGAACGAAAACGCCAAGCCCACTTCGAAGAAGGCGGCGACGACTACAACGAAGAAATCGCCGCCGCCGAAGCCGCCGATCTAAGCTGGCTCCCCGCGCTCGTCGGCACACCCACCCCAGACGATGAAATTCTCGGTGCGATTGCTGTTTGTGCGCCCTGGGCCGCACTGGGTCGGTACAAGTATAAGGTGAAATTGCAGCCTGGGGCTGTGAAGAAGGGTAAGGCTGTCAAGGAGATTGTTGGACGGTGGGTGTCGGAGACGACGACAGGGAAGGTGAAGAAGGAGTATGCGGAGGATGTGGGGATTTCGAGGGTTGAGGCGGAGAAGTTAAGGGCGAGGGAGGGGGAGTTGATTAAGGGGTGGAAGGAGACGGAGATTATTAATACGATGGTTGTTGGGAAGGTGAGGATTATGACGCCTGGGAGTGGTGGTGGTGCTGGTGGTGGGGATAAAGGGAAGGGGAGTGGTGGGAAGGGTGGGAAAGGTGGTGGCGGGAGAGGAGGTGGGAAGGGAGGGAAGAAGAAATAAAGATGAACAGATGAAATAGTATTAGGGCTGTATACACTAGGTACTATGGAAGTATAGAGGCGTTGAATCATGGATGGCATGAATATGTAGGTATGTGTACCTCCAGTCTATGCGTGGATCAATGGTTTTGAGCTTTTTTTTTTTTTTTTTTTTTTTTTTTTTTCTTCTTTTTTTCATTCTGCTAATGCTCTGACAATAACTGTCTGCATATCGGGTACCTGTTAACGTTAATATTGCTTGCAAGATATGGATGATGAGGTAGGTACAACTATGGATGTTCTATATACAATCTCCATCTATTTATCTTGGCGCGATCTAAGGCGAACAGCCACAATATATCTTCAGCCACGACATGTTGATATGACTCAACCTTTGCATACAAAGCATACAAAATGTTTTCAATAGCCAAGAAAACATTGTATGATCAATTTTACTTGGTGATTAAGATAGCCAACATATCTGTGTTGGACTGAGGTTAGGTAGAGTAGTTTGTAGTCTGTAGGAAGATCGCCCTCAAAGTGGCAAGGTGCTAGGTCCCAACCAGGAATCCCTGGCAATATGACAGGTTAAATGTGACAAGCCACATCATTTTTCATTCCTAGGCATCTTAATTCTCTTCCATCATCTTCCTATTCATTTCTATCTCCATGGATTCCTACCCAACTGATCAAATTTCATGTTTGTGCCTGACTATGCTGACTCATCCGACGTCATTATCGTGCGCAGTTTTTTCCATCGATAAGGACGTCGAACTACAACAGTCCAGTGATATCGATGCAGCTGCAGGACTTTACAAGGGGTGATCGTCCATTATAAGCTTTAAAAGACATTTGAACAGCCACGTTCCAGCATCCAAGCCTATCATTATCCCCCAAATTCAAGCCATTGCTGAGTGACTCGGGCCCTGCCCGTGCATTTTCCGCCCCTCCTCGCTGGGCCTGATTGCGTGTGCGACGAGCCCTGCGTCATTGATACTATTGTCGTGTCGATTTTAAAGATTACCTCCTGACATCCGCTTGTTCATCAAGCTGCTGTTCTCCCGATTCCTCGCCGGCACCGGTCAGCGCCGTCTCGCCCGCTTCTTCACCACCACCTCTATCACCACTATGGCGGCCCCCGAGACGCGGGTCGTCTCTGTACAGCGCCTCAGCGAGGGCCCCGGGTCCCGCTCTCTAGCTGAATGGTGGGCCGATGAGAAAAAGCTTCAAACGCCTGAATCAAAGGCTATCGAGGAAGCTGCTCAGATCCTCCGCACCAGCGATATCCCCGTCGCCTTCCCCACGGAGACAGTCTACGGTCTGGGCGCGGATGCCACGCGAAGCGCCTCAGTACAGGGCATCTACCGCGCAAAGCAAAGACCCTCAGATAACCCGCTCATCGTGCACGTCGATTCTATCGAGATGCTAAACCGCCTATTGAATCCCACGCCGCAAACCCCCAGAAGCCCCGACTCGACCAAGACCCCGCACATCAACATCCCAGAAATCTACCAACCACTCCTGGACCGTTTCTGGCCCGGCCCATTGACAGTTATCCTGCCCAACCCATCAGGATCCGAACTCGCCCCCGAAGTAACCTCCAACCTGACAACCTTTGGCGTGCGCATGCCCTCATCAGCACTAGCCCGTCTCCTCATCCACGCGACAGACCGTCCGCTCGCCGCGCCTTCAGCTAACGCCTCGACCAAACCCTCCCCCCACCACCGCGCAACACGTCTACCACGACCTCCACGGCCGCATCGAGCTCATCCTCGACGGCGGGCCATCCGGCGTCGGCGTAGAAAGTACCGTCGTCGACGGCCTCTGCCACCCACCCGCCATCCTCCGCCCCGGCGGTATCGGCATCGAAGAAATCCGCACCTGCCCCGGCTGGCAGGACGTCATCGTCGCATACAACGACGGCACACTAGATGTGAAAGAAATTCCCCGCGCCCCCGGAATGAAATACCGCCACTACTCGCCCAAAGCACGAGTCGTCCTCTTCGAAGCAAACTCGCATTTCGCCGGCGTGAAACGACACGTCCAGAAGGATCTCTCCGACAGCGCAATCGGCGCACACAACATCGGCATTATCCGCACGCGCAATTGGCCCCAGGGTCTTGGACTCGCAACCACCGATACACTAATCTCCTCGCTGCGGCCTGTTTCATCCGCGATCGAGGGTCTACATAGTTTCCCCGTTCCCGTGCAGGAAACGGGGAGTCCGAGTAGTCGGACCAAGACCGCTTATGATTATCATTTAGGGTCTGAGACAGGTGCTATTGCGCATGGATTGTTTGCTGCGCTGCGGGCGTTGGATGAATTGGATGTGGATGTTATTTATGTGGAGGGGATTTCGGATCGAGATGGGGATTTGGCGGCTGCGGTGATGAATCGGTTAAGGAAGGCTGCTGGGGCGGAGATGAAGGTGTAGTTTGTGTTTATATTTGTTTAGAGCTTATAATCGCATTTCTTGGTTTGATTTTGTTTCTATGCGATGTTTTCTTAATTTAAATGATACATGACTTCATTACGTCTGTATATATTTCCTTGGTGTTAAATTGCGGGGTATTGGGGATAGAGTTTGGAGGGAGGGGAAGGAAGAGACATATGCATCATTTCCTGACTGTAGTAGTGTCCTTTGGATTTAGGATCTGACATGCATTGGGGACTAGTATGTAAATATCATGTTTCCCTTGGACTTGCCATATTGCATAGGGGTATCTTGGTCTTTGGTTCTTTGTGAGAGTAGAATGAGTACAGTGATAACGGGTGTTAAGTCTACATACATATGCTCAATGATTCGTGTAATAGAAATGAGATTAATCTTCTCCTTTTTTAGACTTGTGAATCTACAATTATCAATTTATGAAATATACTAAAAACAACTACTCGGAGACCTCCGATCCAAGTTTATAATTCTCATCTTATCACGCCCGAGTTGACTCGATTCACCCGCTCGATAAGCCCCGTGACTACGGCAGTGTGGACTCGAGTGGACCCGCTCTCTTTTTATCGCTTTCTTTTTCGTCAGCTTAAGAATTTCAAGTCTGGTTGTTACCCTCCCAATGTAGTTAGTCTAATCCGAACAATGAAGAAATCAGAGCCACTGTCCCCGCTCGATTTGGGTAAACCCAGAGATACAACCAGGAACCAGTCACAGGCGGGGAAAGAAAAAAAGAAAGGAAAGTAAAAAGTCTTAACTGTTAAGCCTCGGTGGGTCAATTATTCGTCGTATATATGGCTCTGATGCCCACTTAGAATCCCAGCTTCTTTGAAGGAGAAAAAAAAGAATCCTCCTCTCGAGACATTGCCTGTCGATATTATTAGCCATATCTTCCCGTCAATATGTGCAAATCCCCTCTCCACGACTTCATCCACGGTCTCCCCAAGTGCGAGCACCACGTCCACCTAGAAGGCTGCCTCGACCCCGAACTAATCTTCCACCTGGCCGCCCGCAACGGCATCACCCTCCCCTCACCAACCGAAAACCCAGCCTACGCCTCCATCGCCGCGCTAACAACCCGCTACGAACACTTCACCTCGCTAGATGACTTCCTAGCCTTCTACTTCGAAGGCATGGCCGTTCTCCGCACGGAAGCAGACTTCTCCGACCTGGCCTGGTCATACTTCCAAAAGGCGCACGCCGACGGCGTCCACCACGCTGAAGTCTTTTTCGATCCCCAGGTGCATCTGAGCCGGGGCGTGTCCTATAAAACCGTCGTGGACGGGTTCGCGGCTGGTTGTAAGCGCGCAGAGATCGAGTTGGGTCTGAGTACGAGGTTAATTATGTGTTTTGTGCGGCATTTACCTGTTTCGTCCGCGCAGGAGGTGTATGAGGAGTTCCTGTCGCATGAGCATTTCGAGTCTGAGCTTGTTCATGGACTCGGTTGGTCTTCGTCCGAGGTTGGTCCGCCGAAGGATATGTTCCGGGAGATATACGCTTCTGCATCCGCGAAGGGGATTCCGCTTACCGCTCATGCGGGCGAAGAAGGTGATCCGACGTATATCAGTACCGCGCTGGAACTCGGTGCGACACGGATCGATCACGGAATCCGACTTATCGAGGATCCGGAGTTGATGAAGCGCGTTGCGAACGAGGGGATTTTGTTGACTGTTTGTCCCTTGTCGAATGTGCGACTGCGCTGTGTGCCTAGCGTGGAACATGTTCCTGTGCGGAAATTCCTGGAGGCGGGCGTGAAGTTCTCGATTAATAGTGATGATCCGGCGTATTTTGGCGGGTATATTTTGGATAACTACTGTGCTGTGCAGGAGGCGCATCAGTTGAGTGTGATGGAGTGGAGGATTATTGCGGAGAATAGTGTGCAGGAGAGTTGGATTCCGGATGAGAGGAAGGCCGAGTTGTTGGTGTTGATTGAGGGGCATGTTAAGAAGCATATGGTGGAGGTGGGTGTATAAGGTGAGATGAGACGGTGTATATGAATGGAGGATTGAGGATGGTGCATGATGATGATACCCTGTGATGATTCAACATTTTCCACATTTGGATGTATATGGTTTGTTTTTCAACGTTTGGCATATACTTTGTATAGGGGACATATATGAATGAGCAATGATTTTTTGAATATTTACACTGGAAATGTCTAGATTCCATTGGAGGTTGAATTAAGGTCGAGGTTGACTTAAGCTTAGCTTCCTGAGCTCATTCCTCCGTAACCTGTTCATTCATGGGGTGAACCCTAGATAATGACTGCATTGAGGTCGAGAGCACTTCGTATCCGAGAAAATATAAAGCTCAATACTGAATATCAGAAGTATTTATTGAATGTCCACGATATTTGAGCCTGGAACTACTAGAGTAGAACATTGAATGTAGAATATCAATTTCTGCCTTATGAAAAAGGCAATCCAACCATCCAATGTTAGTTTCTGCCTGATAAATTTGGCCACCAACCCCCTCATCAGTATGGCACCTGCAGCTTGACAAGTTGACAAGCTGACGAGACTAACAATACAACACTCTAAGTTCAACTACACTCACTCTTCATGTCCCGCATCCTCTACACTACCCGGATACCCTCATTGACCAGACCTACACTCCTGCTCCAGCCTCTACACCGAACATATCAAACCCGCTCTGCATCATCCAGAGCTACTACAGCTACATCTCTCCCCAGAATCCCATCACTCGCAACTCAAGGCCACTCCAACTATCCCTTGTCAATCCAATCAACCTACAAAATGTCCACTTCTGCTTCCACCACCACACCCCTGGACCGCTACAAGCTAATCTTCTTCGTTCCCCCCTCCAACCTCGAACCCTGCAAAGAAGCCATCTTCGCCACGGGCGCAGGCACCTTCCCCGGCGGCAAGTACACCAAATGCTGTTTCCAGACGCGCGGACAGGGCCAATTCTTACCGAACGAGGGTGCGAATCCGGCGATTGGAGCTGTGGGTGTGGTGGAGCAGTGTGAGGAGGTTAAGGTTGAGATTATGTGTTTGGGTCGGGAGGTTATGGTGGATGCGGTGAGGGAGTTGGTGAAGGCGCATCCGTATGAGGAGGTTGCGTATGAGGTTTATCGGATGGAGGATGTTTAGAAAGAACGGGGTTGGAGGGGTGATGCTGTATTGTCTGTAGGGTTTGGTATGTGTGGATGTTGTTGGCATGTCATGATGCTGGATAGTTCGGAAGCTCGTTGCTGACTGCGTATTGTCCGTAGGGTGGAAATTGTATCTTTTGTGAGATTGGTTTGTCAATATTGTTAGTATCATTCAATGCAACCGTAATCAATGAAATCGTAGATCAATCAATTCTTGAATAATTGCAATGGTTACTCTTGTGTATGAAAGATGAAGTTGTTCTGGAGGTGGAAAGCGGGAGTAATCTGCCCACGCTGATTGGCTGCTGACCCGCAGAGTCTCTCGGCCAACTTCGACTCTTCTTCTCCTCCAAGTTCAACGCCAAGTTCAGCTTCATCGCCCTTCACCCCCATTGACTCCTCTCACCTCCACGTCATGGCCTCCAAACTCCTTCCTCGGGTCAGCCGGCTGTTGCGCCCTATCTCAACTCCTCAATACAGATCCTTCTCCGCCGCCCCGCAACGGCTGAGCGATTCGCTCATGGTGGTACGCATCCTCATTCCAGGGCACAAACCACACACCTCAAGAACCTCAAGAACCCAACCGCGCAAGGCCGGGACGGTCGGAGGATAGCAATGAGATCAATTGCGCTAACAATTCCTTCTCCTCGCCAATTAGCACCGCAACAAGCCTAACAACAACCCGACCCTCCCGTTCAAGTTCTCCGAGCAGAACCTCAAGGTCGTCGATGAGATCCTCAAGCGTTACCCTCCCCAGTACAAGAAGGCCGCCGTCATGCCCCTGTTGGACCTTGGTCAGCGCCAGCACGGTTTCACCAGCATCAGCGTCATGAACGAGGTCGCCCGCATGCTGGAGATGCCCCCCATGCGCGTTTACGAAGTCGCAACCTTCTACACCATGTACAACCGCGAGCCCGTCGGCAAGTACTTTGTCCAGATCTGCACTACCGTAAGCAAGCTCCCGGTGATGTCTCGCGTTCCTCGCGAAATTTGCATCTATAAACATGCAAATGACCCTAACCTTCTCTATCCAGACCCCCTGCCAGCTCGGCGGCTGCGGCTCCGACGCGATCGTCAAGGCCATCAACGAGCACCTCGGCATCACCCCCGGCCACACCACTGAGGACGGCCTTTTCACCTACATCGAGGTTGAGTGCCTGGGTGCCTGTGTCAACGCCCCCATGGTCCAGATTAACGACGACTACTACGAGGACCTGACCCCCGAGTCCATCAAGACCCTCCTCACCGCGCTCAAGGAGTCGGCCACCACCGGTGCCCAGGCACCCACTCCCGGCCCTCTGAGCGGACGCAGCACCTGCGAGAACAGCGCTGGTCTGACCAACCTCCGCGAAGTGCCGGAGTGGAGTCCCGAGCAGCTGATGCGCAAGGACGGTGCGCTTGACGGCGAGGCCAAGCAATAAGCGGGCAGAAACGAAGGAATTATTTCCCAGTGAATGTCAACTTTTCAAGATGATTTGTTTTTCTTCTTTATAATGGCGGGGCTTCCGGTAACAAGCCCCATCGCTGTTTGCTGCTTACCCGCTTTTACTACTCATATCTATTGAGTAGAGTAGAGCTACAGGAGCAGGGCGAAACAAAAAAGATATTAGACTTACCCGACGCCCTTTCCCTCCACACCCTGCATGATCATCTCTCACCCCCGGAGCGCGTCTCGTTTGTTTGATTTTGTCTACCATGTACAGTACGTGGCCTCTGGATTGCAAGAATATCCAGCCGAGTCACTAGTTATCGGCGCCAATGCTATGCGATTTTCTTCAATGTTATTCGATTTTTTCCACAATGCTATGCGATTTGTTTTTCTTCCAAGTTTAACTTTTAAACCGAACTTTTACTGATAGGCCATTGAACTCTTAGGTAGTCTGTGTCTACTATCACCGTAGCCATTACGCCCTCCTACTATAGACTGTGATTACTATACCTACACTACGATTCCTGAAATGTATTAATTGCTTGAAGAGATTTTAATTTTCATTAAATCTCTTGGTGCCGGAGTAGGGATACTCAACGGCATGGAAATGGTCAGTCAGTATGTCGTCTCTTATGAAAAACGCCTCAAAATGAAGTTCAAAGACTCCAACAAGAGCAAGTGGAAAACGAGGCAAGAGAACCGACATAAAACATGCAAGGAAAAAAAGCAGAAAAAAAGCAGAAAAAAAACCGCCAAAAAGGAAGCGCTCAACATCCTGAAAACCAGGAAGAAACCAGAACGCCAGAAACTCCAGGGTATCAGAAAGCCTAGGACCGCTCAAAGACCGGAACGCTCCACAAATGCAGGACGTGAAGAAAGTCCAACACGCCAGAAAAGCCCTAACCACCCAGAAACTAGGCAAGGCAGGACACCAGGAAGGAAACCCCAGCACACGCAAAGCTTAGCTCACCCTAAGCTCTAAACCGCAGAAACGGCGAAACGACTCAAAGAAGCCCCACGGAAAAGACCAGGCACCGAACAGCCCACCGAGGATATAAACCTCCCACACGCCCAGCAAGAGTACACCTAGACAAAGCTCGACCAATGGAGAAAGAAGACTGTAGTCAGTTGAAGAAATACCGGTATATACTTAGCGAATCACCCGTCCCTCACCCGAGTCAGCAGAGTCCTCCGCGGAAGAAATACCAAAGTCAACATCATCATCCCTTGACTCACAGGGTCAGCTAGCCGCAGAACGGTTCATATCTATACCAACACTCCGGCTCCACCAACTTCCATCACAGTCACGTTGAAATTGTCAGAGCAAACTGCGTTGCCATCCACCAAGTTCGAAAGACGACTGCTACCGTCCAGCAAAGTGGTACAATGGGTACGTACCACCCTGCGGAATTGACGATCGGCAAGCTGTCAGTAGTCGGGGTTGTCGGCAGCTTCGGGGTGAGGCGCGAAGCTGATCGGACCGACTGGGATTTGTTCCCCGAACTACGACTCGTCTTCGGTTGGGCTGGGCATTTGGATTGAGGCGAACACAAGAGTGTTGCCTTCGCAGTGCTCGTCGGATGGCTGGATTTCGGAGGGTGGGACTTGCAGAACTTCGGTGCCGCGTTGGACGACGACGGTACCGGTTCTTTCTTGCAGGACATTGACGTCCGCGGTTCTGCGCGTCAGGAGGTGGTAAATGTGGACGGTTTTGGGTTGTCCGAACCGGCGGCATCGGCCGATTGCCTGGGTCATGCTGGACGAGTAGTCTTGCTGACTGGATGCCAGGAGGGGCGAGAGGAAGAGGATATGGTTGGCCAGTTGCAGGTTGCTATTGATCAGAAGTTAGTGTCAAATAACGATGAAAAGTGATGTATAAGAGAGGTGAATCGGAGATTCAGGGGGATTGGGGGTATACTTACAGTCCTGCTGCCATGACACTGCCGAGTTGCAAGATGAGGACCTTCGGCGGAGGGAATTCCTTCTCCTCCTCGGTCAAGTTGCTAGCTCTCTTCCTCTTTTTTTGACCGCCATTCTCCTGGTCATCCAGGTTCAGTTCTCCCCCTTCGACCGTCGCCGTGCTCTCCTCGTGCTGCTGCGGCAGGGACTTTGCCTTTTGACTAACAAAGTCTGTGATGGCCGTCGCCTTTCCGGACTTGGCCACACAGTGCTGAATGCCCGCAGCATCGAGGGCACGGGAGGCGTAGGTTATGGCATCTTCGAACTGAATAAACAGCAAAGCCTTCTCGCCAGCTGGGATGTTCTTGATGATGTCGACCATGCTGTCGAGCTTACTGCTCTGTTGGACAGCACTGGTATCCTCCACGGATCGCCCACTGACTTGCTTTGAAATGCAAGCAGAGGCGAGGCATTGGTCCACCACGCAGACAGGTTCCTTGTCTGCCAGTTCATTCAACGGCGTCATGCAGTCCTGGCAGAGACGGTGTCCGCAGGTGCGAACGACTGTCAAGCCGTCTCTACCCATAGAATCCACCGAATCTAGGCACTTGTCGCAGCTGTAAGACTGCTCTGTTTGCAGGCTCTGCATGACGGTGAAGAACCGGATTTCTCGTCTGCATTCGACGACCTGTTCGATCATCTTGAAAATTTCGCAGACGAGGCCCTTCTCCAGAACGGCTTCGGACTTCCAGACTCTGAGCTTGGCCTGGTAGCCCTCATCCTCATCAGAGAGAAAGGTGAACTTGCGCGTTGTGGGGGCCTTCTTCTTCTTGCCGGACTCTGTGTTATCCGAAGATGACTGTGATTCGGCGGATTCATCGGTATATACCTTCTTCAACTGGGTCTCCTGGGCCTTGGTCGGTCTGGCCCTGTGGAATCTCTCTTCCACATTCTCCTTGAGCCTGTCGTAAATAACACCCTGAGACCACTGGTCGGCTCTATCCCAGATTTCCACCAGGAGAGCTCGAACCATTGGTGAGGTCTCACCATCTCCCACTCTGTCCACGAAGTGCATATGGCTGCACTCGTACTCGCAGTCCTCGTCATCCAGCAGGGTCTCCCAAGTCTTGTCGCTTCGCTCTGCGAGCTCCAGCGCCAGGTACGCCATTTGCAACAATGGTCTCAGCTTAAGCCAGCGCTCATCGAACAGCTTTTGCCGAACGTCGATGCGTTTTTGACAGTTTTCGACGTTCCAGGGATACCGGATCATCCCTGCCGTCGTGGCGCATCTCAGGAGGGCTTCGGCGGCTGACTGGGACTTTGTCAGGAACACGTTTAGCGTCGTGTTCAAGGCGTTGGGATCCGACCCGGTGATCTTGCGGACTCGACCCTCGTCTGCGACAAGTCGCGAGTAAAGTGCCTGGTAAATTGTCTCCTCCTTGGGGAAGAGATCAGACACGACGAGGTGAGATTTCATGGGCAACTTGCTGATGTCCACTCTGTTCTGACGAGCGAAGCGATCCAGGAAGGACTGCGCATGGGTCCGGCGATTGTCATACCAGGACATGCTGCGAGGGGGTTGGTGCATCTCAAAGGCTTCCAACGCGGTCTGGTTTCGACGAGCTCCCTTCAGTCGCATGTTGGAAGTCGGAATATCGCCGTCATTGTCAATACCCAGGTGGATGCCCAGGTGACGTGCGATATCCTTGACGTCGGCGAACTCGTCCAGCGCGGGGGTACCTGAGAGAATCCATTTGGAACGGGAGATGAGCGAGAGGATGGCTAGGTTTCGCTCTTCGCGGGTGTAGGTGTACTCATCAACCACTATGCGGTTGAAGCTGTAAGCGTGTAGTGGGAGGTATGTCATGTTCTCCAGCGAGGCATCGCGCTTGCCCGACGGAGCTGGGATATTGAACGCCTTTCGGTCATCCCAAGTCCCCTTCTTTTTGTCGCGGGGTTCTGAGGAACGAGCACCCTTGGCTTTCTTGCGAGCCAGCTTTTCGGTGTCGTTATCTTCCTCTTCCGCTGGCAAGTTTGGATTATTGTCGCTTTCATCAGATGAATCATCATCCGGAGCGACTGCTTGCTGGGCAGGCGAGCCTGCTAGAGAACTGACATCCTCGGCGTTTTGCAGGGAGGGACCAGCCGAAGGGTTTCCAGGAGATGGGCAAGGGCCAACACGGCCCGGAGTTTCGCTGACAGAGGCGTTGGAAAACTCTGGAGACTGACCAAAAGCGTCAATCTCAGAAGTACCATTCTCGGTGGCAGCGCGTGCCTTTGCCTGAGCAGCAACAAAGACAGCACCACGCAGACGACGAGAAGGCACATATGTTGAGTTTGCCTGTGTCCGATGCAACTCCGACCGCCGAGCCCATACATCCTTCAAAAACCCTTCGGGTCCCTCTTCCTGCAACACTTGCACCACCTGGCGAAGAGATTTATTGGCATCCTTAAACCAACTGTCAAAGCTTCGGCCTGCCTTCTGAGGTACTTTGGGGGCGCCAGTAAAGTACCGCATGATCTGGTAGTAGGCCGGACTGTTGTACAATGACCATGGAATAAGGATGATATCTGCTTCGCGCATTTGCTTCACCGAAATCTTGCTGAGCGCCTTGGCATTTGAGATGCGCAGGAGTTTATACCTGCTTGCAAGGAACTTCTGAATTTCCTCGGCCCACTGTTTGAAAACATTGTGTGGGACCACGAGGAGGGTGGCCTTGATCGCAATCTGCCCAGGTACTTGAGGGGTTTGCTGCAGACGGTTGCAGTCCTGTTGATATTGGGCGTCAATCAATCCAAGGATGATTGCCGTTTTGCCATACCCAACTTCGTCACACAGGACGCCGCCTCGCACCACTCTGGGCATGGTGACTTTGACCTCGGCTCGCCATGACATCAAAGGCAAAAGCGCCTCTTCCGTCTCCTCCTCCACAAACGGCGAAATTGTTTCGGCCTCCTGATTAACCATCCAGGTCAGAGATCGAAGCTGTTCCGGCCGTAGCGCTAGCTTGAAATTCGGTGGCTGGTGATAGGCGTCATCTTGCAGGTTGTCAAGCAAAGTGAATCTCGGGTGACTGGTTCTTCCCCAGTCGTTCGTATTGCCGAGCAGCCGCCATTGGAACTCAATTCTAGAGTGATTGACGCGGTTAACAAGCCGGCCATAGGCTTGGTGTGCCAGTGACTGGATGTTCAAAGCGAAACGCAATGCGGCGTTTCCGGCGTCATCAACTCGTCGCAAGAGAACGAATGGGGCTGGCTTGGATTTGGCGGCGCGCTCGTAAGTTGCTGCGCCTCGCGGATCCTCATACGGGATGACACGTCCCTCCTTATCGCGGCCCCAGACAATACCAGGTACTGGAGGGTCGCAAATGTGACAGAACGTGTCGTCGTCGCTTGCGCGTTCTACGCCGACGGTGATCATGTTCCATTCCGGGAACTCCGTTCGGCTGGCGATTTTCTGAACCGCCCAAGCGACGTCCCGCATTTCAGATGACGACTTCTCGAGAGCCACTGCTTGCCAAGAAGCAGAGGATGTTGGTGGTGCAAGTGTAGGCAACAGTGCCTGTGAGAGATTGAGACACTTTGCTGGCGCTTCAAGTGAGACCAGCGAAGTGTACGATTGGTGGCAGTCGTTGCCCCCGACGCGCACGGTATAGCCAGGCTGCAGACTGCGATAGACGGTTGGGGCAGCCGCGAAGGGCTGCAGGGTTATCGCAGCTGGGGCTTGATACCAGCGTGGGTGGAAGGCATTGACCTTTTTCGGCGTCTCTGTAACATCCGTTGCTCGCCATTGGTGGGATAGTTCGGCGATGGTGATGCGCCTCGAGTACCCGCTGAGACGGCTGTGCTCGAACGAAAATACGCACGAGTCTTGTTCAGGGAGGCCAATCTTAGCAGGGTCGAGGAAGAGGTAGACGGTTCGGCCGTTCGCGGGGACCTCCTTCTTGTACAACGACGCAAGCGCCGTTCCACAGTCTGGGAGGTGGGTGTACACACCACGAACATCTGCGTCAAGGTTGTCCACATCACAATCGTCGCCACTAACCTGGACCTGGGACCACACCTGCATGTTGGGGATCGGCCATTTGAGAATGCCGATTGCTGCTTGGTACGCCAGAACTTGTTCTCCAATACCGGAGAACTGTAACGAGATCCGCGTACTCAAGGGAGCAGCAATTTCCCACGAACCATGTAGGAGGGTGCCCGAAGTCGGGGTCAGGCGGGCAATCGGTTTAGCGAAAATCTCTCTCACGAGGCACTGTGCCGGAGAACGTCGTGGAGCTCTCGCGAAGTACAGCCACTGGATTCCATCAGGGCGAATCTGCAACTGCATGCTGGAGTGGTCGCCTTCGTAGATGACGGTCCAGATGTCGGACCGCTCGATGTCGTAGAAACGGACATCTTCGGCGAGTGCAGACCGGACGGCCTCAACGAGGTCCTGTCGGGCGAGGTCTGCGCCGATCTGAGCGGTGGTGGTGTTATCGCCACCTGGACTGCCAGCATACGAGCCATCACTTCCCACCGCCGCAGCACTCAGGTTCCCTTCAGTCTCATCATGAACGGATATCGGGGAATCTTGGGGGGACTGAGGCGTTGGTGAGTGGTCAGCTGGGAAGCTGGCGAACAAATTGTCAAAGTCTGATACCGACAGACCGGACAGCATGAGTCTCATGGGCAGAACACCCTTGAGGAAAGCGATGAAGTCCAGAGGTGAACCTCGCTGGAAATTGGGATCCGCCAGGGATCGATAGGCGTGTGTCGGGTTACCAGCGCAGGAACTGCACGCACGATGCCCACACAGATTGCACTCGACAAGGTTTTGCTTGACCACAGACTGGCCTTCGCAGATGCAGTACTGGGCACTACTAGCCCCTTCCTGCAAAAGCCGGTCATGTGGGTTGAAGGACTTGGGCGAGTCCTCAATGTCGATCGGGACAAGGATGTTGCCATCCTCCTCCACGGCTGCAAACTGGGCCGAATTTTCCTCGGCAAGGACATGTGCCTCGTTCAAGCGGGCTGTACCTTCCTCCAACAAGCCATTCCCTAGGATGAGGGCGGTAATCATCGTCGCACAGACTGCGGTCGATGTCATTGCGTTGCCGGCCAGGTCTTGCAGGTCTCTCTGCGACTCGCTGGTGAGGATGATCCGGTCTAGCGGAAGTCCCTGAAGGGAAAGCGCCTCTAGACCAGACAACGGACCACCTCGCGAAGTCACAAACGGCATGCCACATGGCGTGAGGCAGCCAACGACCCCGGATGAGCCGGAACTTTCGTTACCGCGATCTACACCCTGGGATAGATCGATCCAGCGCCTATTTCAGATTAATGTCAGTTATCGGTCAATTCTAGCAAAGATTCAGATCACTTACTCTTTATGGTTGAAGTCGATGCCCCGCGTGATGCATTCAAGAAACTTCATATCGACGGTTTCCCACACGCGTTCGACTTGTGAGTTGAACCAAGAGCGCCAATAAAAATCTGGCGGTTGTACTCCCAAAATCCCTGCCTGGGATCTACTAATGGGCCGTTGATCACCGATCTCCGCCTGGACGCGGAATTCCGCGTGCCGAATCTGGTATCTGTCCCAGCTGACCTCGGGCCGACTTGAGTTGGCTTCAAGACGGGTGGCAAGATCCTTGTGGATCTGCTCAAGGCGACGATCATTCTCGGGCAGTAGGAACATACCGGCGGGCGAACTGGCCTGGCGAGCGAATTTTTTCATGAGGTTCTTAAACGAAGAACCAAGCTCATCCAAGCTGATATCAGTTGCCCCACCGGTGGACGCGCCATCCAGACGGTGCTTGTCGATCGCGATCAAATATCCTCTCGTACGGGTCTGAGGGATATAATAGTGTTTTGAGTCGAGATTCACGTGGGCAGCGTGATAGTCGATCTCAGCCCAAACTTCGATAAAATTCTCCCAGGGAGCTTTGCTGACGTTCTCCATGACAACCAATCGGGGACGGTACTTTCGTGCGTACCGAAGCAGGGCGTTGAAGGTGCTGCTTGACTCGCCTTCTTCACTCAGCAGCTTCCGCTTGTTGTTCATCGATGAAAAATCGACGCAAGCGGTCCCAGCGATTAGGATGTCGAGGTCACCGGGGACTGATTCCAGTGACCCATAGGCCGTTCGGCTGTTGCAGATGGTTAGTTACCGCTTTGAGAAGAGAGAATGGATGGAATGAAAACTTACGCCTGGTCTTTTCCGAGTTCCAGCAGATCACGGAACAAAATGGGGGGCTGGAAGTTCCGTTCAATGTATGCTTGTTTGAACGGAACAATCTCACAACTGAAGACGTGTGAGAATCTGATTCTCTGGTCTGCGCTCAGTCCTGTGTTGAAATCTTGGTCAGCGATGTCCAAAAATGGCGAGTGCAGGGGGAGGAAAGCGGAGAAAAGCGGAGAACCATGTGGCCGGCCGAATTAGGCAAGCAGGTCGATGTTCCGGAATTTGGGCGGACCCGCCAAGCCCCGCGCGACGCGTGAGGACCCGCATTGAATCCGGGGTAAGCATATAGGAGCGAACAATAAACAACCAACTCACCTTTCAGGAACATCTCCATTGCAAGAATAGGACTTTCAGTACCAGAGCAGACGGTAGCGATTCTGAGGGGTCGATCTCCGACGCGTTTCACGACGTCACCGAAGCCCAAGGACAGGGCCTTGGCAGCGAGGTCGTTGAAGATCTCTTCGAGTGTGTACATGGGGGGCAAGTGCAGGGCGAGATAACGGTCCTGGATATCGACCTTGGCGCGACGCACTTCAGGAAGCTCAGGAATATCATCAGGTTCATCTTCCTGCGGGGTTTCATTCAAGCCGACATCGACAACTGAAGCCTCATCAACCTCCGCCAGAGTCATCTCATGGGGAGGGGCACCGTCAGTGTCAGTGACAGGCATGTTGATATCAGGCATGTTAATGTCGGACATTTTGGTCTATCCATGTCAGCAGGGTTTATTTCATCAGATGAGACTCAAGATCTCGTATTCATTTTTTTTCATTTACTTACTTGAAAAGCAGCTGAATACTCTGAGTCTGGTAGGGCAAAGGATGGTCACGTGTATCGCAGAGCGGAAGTCTTGGCGCCAAGAGCACGTGGGAAACGTCGGAATATTTTCGTGGGGATAATTGGTTCGGAGGAATACGGAAGAAAGAAAGTCCGGCAGCCGAGAATCTGCTTTTGTGCTCGAGCTGCCGCCTCGGACTAACCCGTTTGGGACGAAAGCTCAGTGTTGGGGTTCTTGCCTCTTTTGCGTTTGGGGGGCCCACGCGAACAATCGGGGAGTTAGGTACAGTAGCAGTTTCCGTGGAGTTCCATTTCACCCTCATAAGAAGGTGGCCGGCTTCCAAGCTCAAAATTCAGGGTTTAGGTGATGGTCCATGGAATATGAAGGTAAGTATATTCTTTACGGAATTCCGGACTAACTAGTCGTACATAATACCATACATCAGGAACGTTCGCAGGTAGTGCTAGATCTTTGGTCTATTCACAGTAGTAGAGGGATCATAGCTTTGGATACACAGAACGAAATATCCTATCGACGCTACTAATGGGACTGGCATTCGTATAAATAGCCGCTAAGATTGGGTTGAGGCAGCAAGATTAGAATTGAAACGAAAGCACGAATGTATGTTTAGACGTACAGGTAGCGATGCCGGCGGCTAGTGACAGCAATACACGGTATTTGGCATGCTCGGACCATTGGATCATTACGGGGCCTTATGGGGCCTTAAGTGGAGGCTACATGCGCTGATTGCAGCTGGTAGAACACAATGGAAATCAATTGGAAGATGGATATTTGGATTATCCCTAGAGGGCACATGTTGATCGAAAGCTGATATGCAAGATAGCCCATGAAGAAAAACAAACCCAATTCTTTGCGCCGCCGTTCGCCTCGTGAAACCCCATTAGAAACATGAAAAGGGAAGTAAAAAAAAAGGGGAAATGTTGGTACCGTGGCCATGCTCGTTAGGGGACAATCCCTCGCATAAACAGGGATCAGGGCAACGGCAATCAAGGCAATCACCGCATGCCACCCTGCAACAACTGCTGGCGCAAAAGCATGACTTGGCTCCGCTCCATCGGAGGCAGAGCATCAATCGCTGACTGCGGCATGTTCAGGACTTGCTGGAGCAGCTCATCTTGGCCTGTTACCTGTGGCGGGGCGGCAGCTTGTGGGGGTGGAGGCGCAAAGGGACCGCCAGCCACAGGTGGTGTTCCGACTTGGCCAGGCATGCCATATTGCTGGTAGTGGGGGGCAGCCTGGGGGGAGCTTGAGGCTGAGCAGTTTGCTCAACAAGCGATCCCAAAAGCTGGTAGTCAACCAGATTCATGAGCAGCAGAGCTTGGAAAATGGCGTAGGCAAGCTGAGGAGCTTGGCGTAGGAGCTCTGTGGCCCGAACTGGATCTGCGACCGCCAGAGACTTCATTTGTGTAAGAACATCGAGGAGCTGGTTGGGAGGGAGAGAGGCGAGAGTTTGCGAGATAGCGGTAGGGCAGTCGAGATGAGGAGGTACGTCGACGCCTGGGGGCAAGGGAGGGAGTGGCGCAGCGCCAGGGATCTGTTGCATTTGTGGTACAGAGTCTTGCTCAATCGGCTGTGTCTGTTGAGGGTAATCGGCTGGCACCGAGTCTTTCTCATTGTTGTGAGGCCAGTCGACCCGAATCTTGCGACCCATGATCTCGTAGTCGTTTAGGTTGCGAACGGCGGAAGCTGCCGCGTCGGCATCGGCAAAGTCTGCGAATCCATATCCCTTGGGCTTTCCAGTCTCCGGGTTCATCATCAAACGAAACTTGGTCACAGTTCCTGCTGTGCTGAGGATGTCTTTGACCTGTTCCTCGGTGAGATCTACGTGAAAGATTAGCATTGCAAACAAAGCTTATTTCACACTAGAGCCATTGACATACTGTAGGGAATGTTCCCCAGGAACACACTCTTGCCTGACCGGTCGGGTGCCATGGCTGCGGAGTTAGCTCTGCGATGCCGTTGATGAAGCATCTCGGAAGGTCAAAGCTGTTGCAGAAGGTTGAAGGAAGATCGGTGGTTCTGCCGGATTTAAGCTTGACCGCCTACCTCTCGACCTTCTTCGAACTCCCGTCTTCATCCATCTCATCCTCATACCTCTACAAACACCCTCACAACATGTCTCAGAATCAACGAGAGGCCTGGGAGCGAGTGCAGCTCATGCTGCAAAGGCGCAAGGGTGGTTTCGGTGGGATTCCCGGTGGTGGTCGTGGCGGCGGCATAGGCCTTGCTGGTCTCATCCTGCTCGGCGTGGGCGGCTGGGCTGTCTCGAACTCACTCTTCAACGGTACGTTGTCTATGCGGTGGTATGTAGAGTATCTCAATCTAATCTCTTTGTCTAGTTGATGGTGGTCACCGTGCTATCAAGTACTCTCGGGTCAGCGGTGTGAAGAAGGAGATCTACAACGAAGGTATGACATCTTGGCTGACGGAGCACACGAGCTCGGAACTGACCCTTCGGGATCTCTTGCAGGAACTCACTTCCGGATTCCCTGGCTTGAAACCCCAATTGTCTACGATGTCCGCGCGAAGCCGCGCAACATTGCCTCCTTGACTGGTACCAAGGATTTGCAGATGGTCAACATCACCTGCCGTGTCCTGTCCCGTCCTCGCGTCGACGCACTCCCTCAGATCTACCGTACACTTGGCCAGGACTTTGATGAGCGTGTTCTGCCCTCGATTGTCAACGAGGTCCTGAAGAGCGTTGTCGCTCAGTTCAATGCCAGCCAGCTGATCACTCAGCGTGAGAACGTTGCCCGTCTCGTTCGGGAGAACCTGGCCCGGCGTGCGGCGCGCTTCAACATCGCTCTTGATGATGTCTCCTTGACGGTATGCACTTCTTTATCTCCGGTTGGAGCTACGCCCAGAACTAACATCTACCTCGCTATCTAGCACCTGACCTTCTCTCCCGAGTTCACTGCTGCCGTCGAAGCCAAGCAGGTTGCCCAGCAGGACGCCCAGCGTGCGGCCTTCGTTGTTGACAAGGCCCGCCAGGAGAAGCAGGCTTTCATTGTGCGCGCCCAGGGTGAGGCTCGCTCGGCCGAGCTCATTGGTGACGCTATCAAGAAGAGCAAGAGTTATATCGAGCTGCGGAAGATTGAGAACGCCCGCCAGATTGCCCAGATCTTGCAGGAGGGCGGTGGCAAGAACAAGCTGTACCTGGACACCCAGGGCTTGGGCCTGAATGTCAACGCGCAGGGTGTGGATGTGAAATAAACTACATTAATCGGGGCGCACGGGTAGTGGAATCATGTACAAATAGCTTATTAGTCGCATCAGAATGCGGTCTCTTCTCTTCAAACTATCTTCAAAGTCTCTTCCAGTCCTCTGTGGACTAAGGTATCAAGATACATTAAGATAAGATGGATTGTCCCTAGGCTAGTAGTGGTGCATGATGCTGACCAGCGGCCAAGATATATTTTCGGCGCGGGGACAAAGGCGGCGAGCGGAGACTCCACCCACTTTTTTTTTGAGCTTCCGCCACTTTTAGATTCTCAGCACCAATTGTTAAAGGGAGTCAAGAGTCTTGGTAAGTATACATCTCCTCAAGAGCAATAACAAAGGGCTATTCCAGCTCAATGCTACTTCCAATCCGTCTCGCGACTAACAAAATTTCCAGAACCCCAACCAAAATGACCGACCCCACCACCAACGACCCTCAAATCCATCTAACAGAAATCGACGTCGACCTAGACGTCCAAGAGATCCTCCTCGCAGCCTCACAGCACGATATCGCCAAACTTCGCCGTCTCTGCCGTACACAATCCTCCCTGCCCGATGCAGCGAACGTGAAAGACCCGGAGACGGGCTACTCGCCCCTTCACGCGGCCATTGCAGCATGCGAGCCGGACGAAGACGAGAAGACGAACGGCGAGGCTGCGTCTGCGGATAAGGAGCTGTTGGAGTCTGGTACTGAGACAGTCAAGTTCTTGTTGCAGGAGGGTGCTATTTGGAATGATCTTGATAATAAGAATGAGACGCCGGGTTGTTTGGCGAGGCGTATTGGGGCGTTGGATCTGTATGAGTTGATTGTTGATGCTGGTGTGCGTGCGGAGATGCTGCTTAACCGGTTGGACGAGTATGCGGCGCTATCGGACGGCGATGATGAGGATGAGGATGAGGACGAGGCTACAGAGAACACCGAGGACAAGGTTGAAGACGAGACAGCACCCGAGCTCGTCGAAGTCTCTACAGAACAACCCGCCGAATCTGTATCTGCATCTGAACCCACTCCCGTAAACCCCAACGTCAACAACAGGGGCTACCTCTCCTCCACCCTCTCTATCTCCAACGACCGAATCCTCGACTCAGACGCAAACGGCGTCATGATGCGCTGGGAAAGCGACATCATGCTCAAATCCGCCAAATCCCTCCTGCCCCGCCCAGGCCTCAAAGTCCTCAATATCGGCCACGGCATGGGCATCGTAGACGGATTCTTCCAAGCCCAATCCCCCGCCGAACACCACATCATCGAAGCGCACCCATCCGTACTAGCCGACATGAGAACCAAGGGCTGGGACACCAAGCCCGGCGTGACCATCCACGAGGGCCGTTGGCAGGACGTTCTTCCCGGCCTAGTGGGCGAGGGCGTTACATTCGACGCGATCTATTATGATACGTTCGCAGAGTCGTATGCGGATTTCCGGGATTTCTTCTCCGAGCAGGTTATTGGGTTGTTGGAGCAGGATGGGAAGTGGGGGTTTTTTAATGGGATGGGTGCTGATCGGCAGATTTCTTATGATGTTTATCAGAAGGTTGCTGAGATGGATTTGTTTGAGGCGGGCTTTGATGTTGAGTGGGAGGAGATTCCGGTGCCGAAGTTGGAGGGCGAGTGGGATGGGGTGAGACGGGCGTATTGGGTTGTTGAGAATTATCGTCTGCCGCTTTGTCGGTTTATGGATTGAGTGATGTACAGTTATTCAAGATACTGTTGATTGTATATGGGATAATGATTTATTTGAACTTCATGATGGAATAGAATGGCAGCACCCATGCCGACATGAATACGATTAAGCGTCTGATCGTATTGAACTTCACTTGAATATAATCTTCTGCTCATGCTTTCATTTCTATGAAGACAGACATATGTCGAACGCTCAAAAATAGCTATGCAAAAGAACAACGCGAAAGAAAAACCGCCAAACGTAAAGAAGAGGCGAACTCTGAACGCCTCATGAAAAATGTACTATGCTACAGTTGGATCAGATCCACCTCTGAGAAATCAGGTGGACTGCGGCTGAAGATCGTTCGACACTTGCCGTCCAGTGCCTGGTACTCGTTACTGACCCAAATGTGCTTGCTGAACCGCTGTGTGCGGTAAACCTCGTCATCACTAATGCCAAGGTCGTCTCGTGGGATCCAAATCACTGGTCGTTTAGCGCGAAGAGCTTCATGTTGGAAAGCTCGCTGTACCAGTTGATCACGCTCATCCGGTGTGAGGTCTTCCAGTTCGTCGTGAATACCTTCGAAGAGGGCATGGCCCACGGTGTTGGTGGCAGGTCCTTGCGCTTCGGTATCGTGAGCCATCTTCTCTCGGAGAGCCTTAATAGTTGGACTCGGGCCAGCTGAGTTCACCGCAAAGAACTTTGACCGCCTGTCAGGTGAGCGATCAGCCCAGGATTGCCGCTTCGAGCCGAGTTTAGGTGTAGTCAAAAGACCCGAGTCGTGACGCTTTCGTCCCTCACGGTCTGCCTCCAGGGCCTTCAATTCAATGTCGTGCGCGTCTCGGTCCTGATTAAGCTCCTTGCGCTCCCGATTGGCGAGACGGTGCTCGAGTTGATCATCCTCGTCCTCGTCATCGCCGTCATCGCCAAGGCCAAGTCGAGCTAGCTGGGCACGGTGGAATTCTCCATCTCGGCGAACAGCGTCGTCTTCCAAAGTGATTGGTAGATAACGCAGAAGCGGACCAAATGCCTCATTGAGGAGGATTTGGAAGCCAATAGTCAAGACCAGAACGATAATCATGACAATAGCTTGACCTTTGCAAGCGACCGATCCCTGTGTATCTCGCACGAGGAAGAACAAGCCGATCAGGCATACCTCCATGAAATACAGTCCGGTGAACAATTGGTTGACAGCCCGCGGGAAGAGGAGACCACCAGTGTCGAAGCGGAATTTAGTCACATATAGAGTGTTGTAGCGATAGACAAACCAGAAGAGGCTGAATGTGATAATGTTGAACACCATAATGAGCGGCGCAACAACACAGTAGATCAGACCTAGCCGGGAAATTGGTTAGAGAGCGCCTCAGAAATTTGCGTGAAAACGAGAAGATTGGATTACATACCAATTGAAGCCAAGGTGGTGTAGACAGGGAAAAAGGTACCCCATTGCATTTGGTTCAGATTTGTTGTCCGTGCCCACTTCTTCCGTGCTGTCGAATCCATGATCGGGGCGAGAATGAACCAGCTGACAAGACCAAAGATCTGCACCAGAGCACCCGCGCTCACAGACATGGCTTGCAGAATCATGTAGGAGAAGAAGTAGTTACTCGACTTGGGAATATTCGTGGCCAGCAGTTCGGGCCAGCTGGTCACATTTGTGACATTCTCAATGATGGTCGTAAAACTGGAGGCAATTGTGACGACCAGGAACAGCTGCACAAATAGGAATGCAAAGTAATAGTTCTGGACGGTCAACTCAATAGCCATGCCTGTATGCACACCTTGAGCCTTGCTCAGGAAGCGGAGGATTAGGGGCAAAAGAGCCATAAGAATGGCCAAGCAAAGTGCCGGAAGAATACCCTGGATAGCGGAGATCAACCACGCAGGCAACTTATTGAGCCAGGTGAGCCATGTGAAAGCTCCTTCGAGGTATGACAGTTGCGATAGAAGTCCAGTAAAGGCAACGGGGAAGGCCCATCCAATAACCATACCGATGACCAAAGTGACAATGCCAAAGGTACGCAGATAGCGTTCCCACCATTTCATAGACATGTTGTCCCAGATCACATCATCCGGGGAAATCTCCACGATTCGAGGGGCCATCTGCTTTGGCATGTGGTGTGCGACAGATTGGCAAGCCATGTGAGCCGCAACCTGGTGATTGAATTGAATGAAGGCAGAATTCATCAGCGGAAATCGTTCGGGGTGTTGCTGATCAACCTCAATCTCCAGATTCAATCGCGCAAGTTCCTTCCGGCAGTAGTCGATAGTATCAACCTTCTTGCCAATCAGCCAAAGTGAAGGCATCCATTTCCACCCAAATATGGGCAGACGGTGAGTCTCTCTGTCCTTTTGCCGAACATGCTGCTTCCAAAGTGGCTCTCCATAGTCTTCGTTATCGAAATCCTCATTGTAGGCAATGGGGTACTCTTCTCCTTCAATCTCGTCTCCTTCTTTGTGACTTTTACGCCGGTCCCCAAGGTCCTTGCGTGTCTTGGACTTGGCCGGCGTAGCAGTCGTAGGAGAATCCGGGCCTGTCAACGGATACTCATCGAGCTCAGGTCCGGATCTCTTGGAGTGAGTAGATAGGTGGGATGACATGCGATCCTTCCAGGACGGCCGCTTCTGGGGTGTCGGTCTGGTGTCTTGGCACATGCTACCAATCTGGCCGTCTTCGGGTTCTTTTGGCTTGGTGGTCGAATTGAAAGATCCCATAGCTAGGTCATTGGTGGGCGAATCTCCGTCAAACATAGGGGGGCTTCTTCCACGGACTGGCAAGTCGTTGTCGGCTTTCTCCACAAGGCCACCATTACGGGTCAATGTGTTGTCAAAGCCAACTTCCACCTTCTTGAGACCACCTTTGACCGTTTTCCCAAGTTTCTCCACGCCGTGTCCAACCAGACCGGCTGCCATCAGTGCCGGATCAAATACTCCTCCACCAGTGCGTGACCCATCAGATGCACCACGCTTATGTGTGTCGGGGTGTCCATGTAAAACTTCGCGCAAAGTATGAGCCTGGTGAGGGTCACCAGAACTAATTCCAGGGCCCATGGCCATTTGAGCCGCTCGTTGGTCGGTTGCAGTTTTCTCTTCATTATTCGCCTCCGTCTTACTTTTCCCGGCCATCTTTGCCTCGGCCTTGGCTTTCTTCAGAGCTGCCTTTTTGCATTTACGGATCAAATCCGTCTCGGCTGCCTCGAGCTTGAGGGCGAGCCCATTTCGCTCCTTGACTTTTTCATTCAACTCGTCAAAGTTGCGGTTGATCCAAATGTTTCGAATGCCACCGGGAAAGACATCGAACAGCTTGTCCAGTGACTCGACGTTCAGCCAGCTGTGGGGAATAGCTGTGACGAGCACGGTTGTCGCAGAGGCTCGTAGTCGATGTTGCGGGGATGTCATATAGGCTTGACGCATACGAATATAGCCTCGTAGCTCGTCGAAGAAGATGGCGCAGACGTAGAAAATCATGATTACTGCCAGGACACAATGCGCCCAATAGCGGTCGGTGTGCTCTGGTTTCACGTTACCCCAAGCCAATTGATCCAAGCCACTGACATTCCATCGTGCACCAGAATCAGAACCATTTTGGTATGTGGTGCCCTTTCCTCCCACCCTGTTGATGGGCAACAGTACCGGCAAGATCAAAAACCCCATAGGAATAAAGATCTTGAGGAGCATGCGCAAATAGCGGAGGAAGAAATAGGCATCGAGGCCACATTTTTGAATGAATTCTGAGCTGGAGGTTCGAAACACTGGGCCAATCCACCGAAAGAGACCTGGTGGGGAGGGTTCTGTACGTTCTCGGTCTGGGACAAGGTAGGTTCGTGGTTGACTACAGAGAAGAACATCAGTCTTGGTTCTCACTTTTCGCAACGTTCGTTGTCTTTAAATGCGACACTCACTAGATGCGCGTTAGTTTGCCTTTGAGAAGCATGAATAGTAGAAACTCGACAGCAAAGACAATCATGGCCGTCGCCAGCGAGGCCAAGAAACTCTTGAGGGAGACACCCTCCTCTGATTTTCCATTGCCGCCAGTATGCGACAACGCCTCTTCGAGACTTGAAGGCATGGTGATCAGCAGTCAATCTTGGGCCGCAAGGTTGAGAAGTGATGAAGGCGATCAGATGCTGGAGTGAAGATCGGCGGCCGCCCGAAAACACCGTCTCGAAGATCTGATATCGCTTGCACGAGTTGTTTCTGGCGGAGTCAAATTTCGTCGAGAATAATGGTAGAAGAGCAGCACATGGCCGGTCGGGCGTCAGGAATGAAGTAAAAAGTAGATTTCTCAACGAAGAAGAAACTGGGGGGAGTTTCGAAGGGAAAGATGAACAACAAAGACGATCGGCAGCGGGACTGCCCTACGAACTCCTCGCTACCCACTCGTTAGTTACCCACCAAACAAGGCCAGCTTTGAATGATAATACAATAATGACAACAGTGGCTGGTGTTTGGGTTGGCGCCCACGGACCTGACAGCTCCCCCGCGAGAGGGCAAAAACAGGGATGATTGGAGGGATCGTGGAATTGCCGATCGCCCTGTAGGATGACATCAGGCGTCTGGTGAAACAGCCAAGCAGATCCCGGCGGCTTCAGCGAGAGTGGGAAGCGCAAAGCGACAGCAGGGTTGAGGACTTGCGACTTTGCGACTCTGCGAAAAAATATGCACCAATCTGTATACCAATTGGAGTATTGTGCCTGTTGTTGCCAATCTGTTTCAGTCAACAAAGCGACAAAGTTAGGGATACTACGACCAACAAACGGACCAAAAGGGGAGGAGGGCGCCACGGTCAACGGGTCCAGAAAAGGACAAAAGTGGAGCCGAGGGGACCTCGAAAGTGGCTGTGCTTGAGGGACTCTTAAATGAGGTAATCTGCACTGCCCAATCAAGACAGAGTGTGGCTTAGGCACCCCCTTTTCCCCGGTCATGTCACGTGAGAATCGCCCTTCAAGATCACATGATCTTCTTATTGCCCAACTTTGTCTTTCTGATCATGTGATCTGTGCCTGGGTAACGCGCCATCCCAAAAGGGAAACCACTTAACGCGTCTTCGCGTTTCGGTCCTCTACACGCGTCCCGCCGAAAAAAGAGCTTTTGCTCTCCCTTTCTCCAAACACTCGAATCTCCGTCCATAATTCTCCACCACCACCATCTCATCCCCCGCCATCGACCACCACACATACTTACACAGACACAGGCATCATGTCTTCACCAGCTACTCGGAGGACTCGTGCCTCCAACAAGTCATCCACACCGTCAAGGTCGTCCCGAGAGCCCCCTAGCAGCCCGACTCTCAGAGAATCAACACCCCGTGCCGCCCGAGCCCTTGCCGCCGAGCGCAACATCCCATCATCCTCCCCAGCAGCTTACCAGTCTTCTCCGATGAGGCAACGGAGTGCGGAGACGCCAGACGTTAGAATGGGTGATGCTAGCTCACAGGTTGATGATGGGGACCGGACCCCGCGAGCGAACCAGGGAGTGAGAGGTATGCCGAAGGAATTTTCATGCGGCCAATTGTACTTCCAGCAACTAACCTTTGCGCAGATTCTTCTCCTATCAGTTATATTGCCAGCTCCAGTCCCGCTCGTGGTCTGGGTCGATCCGATATCCGCTCTGACATCCGTTCCGATGCCCTGAGTACCAGCAGTGGACTATTCGTCTCCCCCAGCGGCGGCCGCAGAGGCCCTCGCCGCAGTGACCTTCACTCCAGCAGTCTCAGCTCGACCCCCGCTCGTCGGAATCGCATGTTCGTTGGTCCTAATGGCATGCCCGCTGGTGACAATGCTCCTCGCTCCGATGCGACTTTTTCCAACATCAACCCTGGCACCTCCGAGGCTGAGGCCATGGCAGGCAACTCTACTCGTGTGATTTGGGGTACGAATGTCTCGATTCATGATTCCATGTCCGCATTTAAGAATTTCCTGTACAACTTTGCGACGAAATACCGCCTCTGGGCTGAGGGCGCGTCGGATAACGAGGTTCGCATTATGGGTGAGGCGGCAGAGAAGCGGGAATATATCACTATGATGAACGATATTCGCCGACTTGGCTTGACGACTTTCAACCTTGATTGCAAGAATCTCAAGGCCTATCCTCTCACACAAAAGCTGTGGCACCAGCTGCTTGCATACCCGCAAGAAATCGTGCCTTTAATGGATCAGGCTGTCAAGGACGTCATGGTTGATTTGGCTCTGAAGGAGATGGATGTGTTGCGGTCCGAGATCCAGCGCGGTGGCCAGCGCGACCGTCGCGGCCAGTCTATCCTGACCTCGGATGGCGTTGGTCCCGCCGCTGATGTGCCTGATTTGGTTCAGGAGGTTGAGACAGTCAACTATAAGGTCCTGCCGTTTGGCCTGGACCAGAGCATCAACATGAGAGATTTGGACCCAGCTGGTAAGTCTTAAAACTTGCTCGCATTTTCGACTTGCAGATTACTGACTAGTCACAGACATGGACAAGCTGGTCAGCATCAAGGGTCTGGTCATTCGTACCACTCCTATTATTCCCGACATGAAGGATGGTGAGTTTTAAAGTCTCTATTCGAAATTGATCAACTTTGCTAATCTAATTTTAGCTTTCTTCCGCTGCAGTGTCTGCAGCTACGGTGTCACTGTCGAGATTGACCGTGGCAGAATTGCCGAGCCCACTACCTGTCTTCGCGACTCTTGCAAGTCGCGAAACTCCATGCAGCTCATTCACAACCGCTGCAACTTCTCCGACAAGCAAGTCATTAAGCTGCAAGAAACCCCAGATAACGTCCCCGATGGCCAAACACCTCACTCCGTGTCTCTGTGCGTTTACGATGAATTGGTCGATGTCTGCAAGGCTGGTGACCGCGTCGAGGTGACGGGTATCTTCCGTTGCAACCCGATGCGCGTCAGTGCTCGCCAACGCTCGCAGAAGGCTCTCTTCAAGACCTACATCGATGTTCTGCATGTGCAGAAGGTTGACCGCAAGAAGATGGGCATTGATGTGTCCACCATTGAGCAGGAGATGTCTGAGCAAGCTGCCGAGGCCGACCAGGCTCGCAAGATCTCGGCCGAGGAGGAAGAGAAGATTCGACGCACTGCTTCCCGTCCCGACCTCTACGAGCTGCTGTCGCGGTCCCTGGCCCCTAGTATCTACGAGGCGGACGATGTGAAGAAGGGTATCCTGCTGCAGATGTTCGGCGGTACCAACAAGACCTTCCAGAAGGGTGGTAACCCGCGGTACCGTGGTGACATTAACATCCTGCTTTGCGGTGACCCTTCTACCGCCAAGTCTCAACTCCTGCGTTACGTGCACAAGATCGCCCCCCGTGGTGTCTACACCAGTGGTAAGGGTTCGTCGGCTGTCGGTTTGACTGCCTATGTCACTCGGGACCCCGAGACTAAGCAGATGGTGCTGGAGTCTGGTGCCCTGGTTTTGTCTGATGGCGGTACTTGCTGCATTGACGAGTTCGACAAGATGAACGAAGCCACCCGGTCCGTCCTCCACGAAGTGATGGAGCAGCAGACCGTGTCCATCGCCAAGGCTGGTATCATCACCACTCTCAACGCCCGAACCTCTATCCTGGCGTCTGCCAACCCAATCGGCAGTCGCTACAACCCCAAGCTGCCCGTTCCCCAGAATATTGACCTGCCCCCAACTCTGCTCTCTCGTTTCGACCTGGTGTACCTCGTTCTGGATCGTGTGGACGAAACAGAGGATCGCCGCCTGGCCAAGCACTTGGTCGGCATGTATCTGGAGGATACCCCCGAGAACGCTGCCTCTGAGGAGATACTGGTATGTACTTCCACAGCCCACAGGCATCCGATACTTTAGTTCCTGTTTCAGCCTAGCTAACATTTCCCTCCAGCCCATCGAATTCCTCACAGCCTACATCACCTACGCCAAGACCCGAGTCCACCCCGTCATCACCCCCGAAGCCGGCGCCGCCCTCTCCGACGCCTACGTCGCCATGCGCCAGCTCGGCGACGACATCCGCGCCACCGAGCGCCGCATCACAGCCACAACCCGACAACTAGAATCCATGATCCGTCTCTCAGAAGCACACGCGCGCATGCGCCTCTCCCCCCGAGGTCACCGCCACCGACGTCGAAGAAGCCGTGCGCCTGATCCGCTCCGCCATCAAGCAGGCCGCGACGGACGCCCGCACTGGCCTGATCGATATGGGGCTGTTGACTGAAGGTACTAGTGCTAGTGAGCGCCGACTGCGTGAGGACCTGAAGAAGGCTGTGCTGGCACGGCTTGAGGAGCGTGGTGGTGTGGCTGGTACGGCTGTGCGTTGGGGTGATTTGTTCCGTGATATGACTGAGTCTAGTGATGTTGCGCTGGATCATCATCAGTTTGGTGATGCGGTGCGCTCGCTTGAGGCTGAGGGCGCGGTGCATGTTTCGGGTGAGGGTGCTCGGCGGAGTATTCGTCGGGCGGCGACTGGTCTGTCCTAGAGGGTGAGGAGAGATGAGGATGGATCAATATTTGTCTGATCGGTTCTCTCTACCACCTGAGCAGAGCCAATAGTATGTCTGTCGGTACACTATTTTATTCTGCCCGGATTGCTTTGGTTGTTTCTTTTTCTCCATATATTTTCCGACGATGCAATGATTGACCGGGGCTGCATATCTAGCTCAGGATCACGGGGTGTTTTTGTTTTGTTTCGAGGGGAAGGCGTTGGATTGTTTACTGTAGTAACATTTTAAGAGAAGATACATATGCATTTCTTGATGATGAAGCCCCACTCAGCTTCCCACTTGAGCGTAATCAACAGCCACTGCAGTTCTCCTAACCGACCATCTGCATCCATATAATGTAGATACTGTAGTTGTGGTGCCATCTCACTATCTTGAGTCAGTCATTTGTGTGAGTGACCGGTGTCGCGTGAGTGCCTTCCGTTTTCAGCGATGTTGATCAACGGTGCAGGTTGAGCTGAGATCAGTTTAGCCGACGTATAAGCAAGCGTAGACAGCCGACATGCAGAATGCAGTACACATTATGATACAAGAATGTGATAATTAGAGAATAGATAGTTTAACTCCTGCAGTATGTAGTCACAATTCAAATCTGCTCTGCTTCGTGCATAAGGGGTATCGAATAAATCCCCAGCGTTAGTTGTCTTAAAAGATAGGCTCTTGTCATCCTCGGCTACGATACTGCCTCTTCACAACCGAGTTCTTGTTCTTTTTAGGCTGCCGCTGCCGGGCAAATGCACTAGAGACTTCAGAGTTGAGAGTCTCGACTCTTGAGCAGTGGGCCTCGAGCTAAACCGACATGGCCCCAGTTTGGCGCCTCGCTTGCAACGGGGTGATTACAGTAGGGCTGCACATCCCTGTGAGATATATAGAAATCGGTTGTGACTTATCATTTTTAAACGGCATAATCATTCATTTTCTAGAAATATTCGGATTCTGGATGTTGAGCAGACTATAGATAATCCATTCTCTGTGCTAAGTAGTTGTAACTTGTAAGTAAATAACTGTCAACCCCAGGTCCCACTGGTGGACCAGCCAGCCCCCACGGGCAGTTGGTTGGAGACTCGGAACAAATGGGGAACTATGTACAGTACCCAGGTCAAGCTTCGGGTTACACAGTGCATGGCTTCGGGGACAATTGGCCCATCCGGATTGGCATAAGTACGGAGTACAACCCTGTATGTTGGATGCTGGATGCTACCTGTGCCAGGGTGTTGGGTGCAGGAAGATAGATCATGTACGGAGTAATGGGATATATATTTTCCATGTTTATCGGTGAATATGTGAACCTTATGATGTCAAATCGGCAAGTTCCGTGCTAAAAAACTCTGTTAGTATCAGAATGAAATCCTCCGTGATAGTTGAGACTATACTACTCTCGTCTCTAGTTGTAGACTAGCGTGCAGCTGTTTCATTCTTAGTTTGGTTCGTTTGGTGCTCGAGGAGCAGCACGTGCGAATCTCGTGACGGTGACTGGCCAGTCAGAATGCTGAGTCATCTGCCTTGCCTGCAGCTCTGCCATCGATAAACCAATCAGAACCCTTAATTCTCCTCAAGCTCTCATCGTGCAGCAACGAGTGTCGCTCGCTGGTCAATTGGCCTCGTGAAGCTCTCCAATTATTACTAGCTGATCACACAAGGTTATACACGCAGAATATACTACAGTAATCATCCAGAAGCTGGATGATGCAGTACGGGTAACCAAGAAACCACGTTGGAAGCTCAGTTCGTTCTGGGCGGGGCCCAGTGGAAATGACCGAATGGGTCTCTTCCCTCCCCCCAGTCTAGCCGTTCTCGGGCGGCCGATAGAGTATCGCCGCCTCTGCTCTTAACAGCCCTCGCCCTCGCCCAACTGGAATTTTCCTCTTCTTGCCATGCTGGATTGATCTCGTCAAGCTTCGTTCTCCCTCAACTCTGCCCATCATGAGGTACGGTAACCCCCCCCTCACCTTCCCCAGTCCCATTGCTCTCGACACCACACATCCCAGCCACCCCTGCCGATGTCCTGGCCTCTCAGATAGCTCGCCCTCACCTGCGATGCATTCCGATCCCCGCATAGCTTTGCTGATTCGGCCACCCTCTCGATGCTCCCGACACTCCCAAACTAACATCTTCCTTGCAGGTTCGGCGAGCATCTCCGATCCTCCATGATCAAGGAGTACTACCCGTACTACATTGCCTACGACGAACTCAAGAAAGCTCTCAAAACCGACTTTGTCACCCAACCCACCCCGGACAACGTCAAACCCGCCCGCAAGGAATGGACCGAGGATGACGAGATTACCTTCGTCACTCTGCTTGAGTCTGAACTCGAAAAGGTCTTTCTCTTCCAGAAGCGCAAGTCTGAGGAAATCGTCGAGCGCATTAAAGCGAGTGAAGTAGAGGTGAATGACGTCGTCTCCTCTCTCGACGACAGCACCGGTTCCCGTCGCCAGAGCGCCCGCACGTCGAGGCCACCACCCACCGACGAGGATTTTTTGCTGTTGGAACAAGACCTTTCCGATATTATCGCCGATGTGCATGATCTGGCTAAATTCACCCAATTGAATTATACTGGTTTCCAGAAGATCATCAAGAAGCACGATGTATGTGGTGGTCCACCCCGTTGCCTTTACTTACCATCCGGCCGCAGATCTCGACCCTGGTCCTGAGAGTCACGATCTGGGGGTTTCGCTGCATTGCAATGAAGCCAATTGACTAACTTCCTCCACAGAAAGAGACAAAATGGTATCTCAAGCCCGTCTTCGCGGCCCGACTCAATGCCAAGCCCTTCTTCAAGGATAACTACGACGCCTTCGTTGTGAAGCTCTCCAAACTCTACGACCTGGTTCGCACCAAGGGTAACCCAGTCAAGGGTGACTCATCCGCTGGTGGAACCCAGCAGAACTTTGTGCGTCAGACCACTAAGTACTGGGTGCATCGCGACAACATCACCGAGCTGAAGCTGGTGATTTTGAAGCACTTACCCGTGTTGGTTTTCAATGCCAGCAAGGAGTTTGAAGAGAAAGATACGGCCATCTCCTCCATCTACTACGACAACCCTGATACCTGGGAGCTGTACCAAGGTCGTCTAAAGAAGACCGAGGGCGCCGAGGCCATTCGTCTGCGCTGGTATGGAGGCATGGAGAGCGACCAGATTTTCGTGGAGCGCAAGACTCACCGTGAAGACTGGACGGGTGAAAAGTCTGTCAAGGCCCGTTTTGCCCTCAAGGAGAAGAACGTCAATGCCTTCCTGGATGGCCGCATGACTGTCGAGCAGGTCTTTGACAAGATGCGCAAGGAAGGTAAGAAGAGCGCCGACGAGATCAACGATCTTGAGCAGCTTGCCCGTGAGATCCAATACCGAGTCATTACTCGTCGCCTCGTTCCCGTCACCCGCACATTCTACCACCGTACCGCTTTCCAGCTGCCCGGTGATGCTCGTGTGCGTATCTCGCTCGATACGGAGCTTACTATGATTCGCGAGGACAACCTGGATGGCCGCCGGCGCGCTGGAGCCAATTGGCGGCGCATGGATATTGGCGTTGACTTCCCATTCTCGCAACTGCCGCCTGAGGATATTGACCGTTTCCCGTACGCTGTGCTGGAGGTCAAGCTGCAGACCCAGGCAGGCCAGGAGCCGCCGCAGTGGATTCGAGATCTCACAGCGTCGCACCTCGTCGAGGCCGTTCCCAAGTTCAGCAAGTTTATTCACGGCACAGCTACCCTTTTCCCCACCCGCATCGACCTCCTACCCTTCTGGTACCCGCAAATGGCCACCGACATCCGCAAGCCACCAACTCGCCGCTACGGTATCCACCGCCCGATGGCGAGCACGTCGCTGTCCGTGAATGAAGAGGACTCGGATGACGATGAGTCTCCGCAGATCACTGAGAGCGCCACACTAAACGGGTCGCGCGAGGGCTCAGATGACCGATACCTGTTTACCGAGACGAACGGAAACGAGTTGGACATTGAGGAACGCATTGCTGCGCGCCCGCTCCCCGGAGACGAGGATTACCCTCTGTATGATTCTGACGACGAGTACGACACTGTGGACTCGGATGAGCTGGAGGAGGCACGCCGCGTTGGTGGTGCTTACTATGCGGAACAACTGGTTAAGCATTGGGTCCGCAAGACTGGACGTGCGATTGCGCAGGGACTCTGGGCGATCGTTCCTCGGCCCCGGCCTACCGAGATGCCGCCCCAAGAGGCGCGCGGTATTCAGGTGCTCGGTACCCAGCGCAGGTTCCAGCGATTCCATGCTCCCCCTGGCAAGAGTAAGTTCTTCACCCCCGAAGCTGTTTTATTCCATGCTCTCCTCTCAGCGGTCGCACTCCCAACTAAACATATCATAGAAATCTTCGTCCCCGTCCGTGTCGAACCCAAGGTCTACTTTGCCGCTGAACGCACATTCCTCTCCTGGCTGGAATTCTCCATCATCCTGGGTGGTATTGCCGCCACCCTTCTCAACTTCGGCATCGACTCGATCTCACTGGCCAGCGCATGGGCCTTTACCCTTCTAGCCGCCGGTGCACTCGTCTACTCCCTCATGCTGTACGTCTGGCGTGTGGACAAGATCCGAAAGCGCCGCGATGTCAAGCGAGTCTACTACGAGAAATGGGGACCTACCGTTGTCAGTGTGGGTCTTGTAGCTGTTGTATTGGTCAACTTTGCTTTACGGGTAAAAGCAGGTGGATTCATGGCGGGCGACCTGCCGTTGGATGGTAGACCCCGTCATGGTGATGAGCTTTGAAACTTGTAACTTTGTCACTTTTGGAAAAGTTGGAAAGTATACCTACACCTTACCATTGAAGACCTGTGGATCGGACTTGGGTCTTTTGCTTCTGCTTCGATAAGCTCCACGCAGGACATGTGTGATACGCTGCTGATGAGCTGGGACACATCTTGGGACTGTATTTATCATGGCGTTTGCATTTTTTGCTTGCATTTTTAGTTTCTATTGCCTGGTGCTCGTGGCGTTGGCGTTGTGTACAGATCCAGATGAGCTATGTGTAAATATTATGGAAATTTGCATGCAAATCGCATTTCATTGCTTCTACTGTAAATCTTGTAGGTGTTGAGCTCTGATAGACAGGAGATCTCCGGCTAAAGTCTTTGTTTGGACCTCCTCCATCCTGGTCTCCTTCAAACCGCTCTCTCCGACTTGGACCTTCCAACTTTCTTTTCCCTCCATCTTCATTTCTCCTTTCACCTACTCCTCTCCTCTCCTCTCTTTATAGGGAATCGTTCACCTTGTAACTCCCTTACATGGAGCCTCATATATACACACTTGTACTTATACTGCGTGCCGACCGGATTTCCTATGCCAGGCCTGGCTTTCCCCTTCCGTTTTGGTGCTCAGACCCTCGCCGCTTTTGCTCACTGAGTCGATCTGAGCACGCCTCTGAGCCCTCTAATCTGATCAGAGTGCAGTACGTAAGCAATTTAATCATGCATAATGAGCATTACATGCTGAAATTGATGGGATCTGTACGACAGGCGATCATTGAAGACCGGTACCCGGCTTTCCTTCGCCAATTCTTCTCTAATATTTATTCCGGAGATAAGACAAAGTATCCCGAGTGGGCTGTCGGTGCTCTTCGTGGTGTTGGAATGGATCTTCTGGAAGATTAAATGGTATGTGAGCAGACTATCTGCATTTACGCATGGTGACTCGGTGCGAGATCATTATGATGATTTGCACCCAACTAAAGCGTTTGCATTTGAGCGGTGTTGGAATTGGCTTATTATATTCACCCCATATCTCCAGCGAAAATTAATTGCTCCAGCGGGTCATTCCAGCATAACTCAACGCCAATTGGCGTTGTCTCGGGTGCCATTCCGGGGCCATGAGAACAACAGCAAGCGTCTTCAAACGGCGGTAATCTATTTTCGAACTATCCTATAAGAACAAGTGATGGGTTCACCTCTACCTGACGACTGTCCAACCCCCCCCCCCCCCCCCCCAGTAGCAGTTTGGCGATTTCGTGAGAAATGCACATACTCTGGCCAATGTTTTACATGACATTATCACATTGGCTAGTAACAGGAGGGATCTATATGAGCAGAGTTGGCCCCTCCGTGTCCTGTGACTGCAGCAGCACCGTCCGACCCCTTTGGAAAGATTCGCGCAGCGGGTGAAAGAGGAGAAGGTGAAGGACGCGAATGACTAGGAAGAGATGTTACGTCCTCAATCGATTGCGACTGTATGTTTTTATTCGTATCAAAAGTGATAGATTATGTATGATTATCAGGAAGATTTATCGTGCAGGGGACTTTTGATATTTCCTAGACCTTGCGTCAGCACCAGGTTAGGTAACTTGAATACTTACCTTTATCACAGTAACTTATAACTTTGTCCACTAAACGGATTATGTAATATCGATCATGACGTAGTTGTATGTCTGGCCAGTACCCATGAGGCTCAGTCACTGGTTCTCCATTCTTTTGAATCCTTGGGCATCGCTCGACCAGGAAATGTTTTAGTCAGTTGCTGAATTTGGGAAAATCACCTGTTGCTCAAGCAAAACTGGGGTTTTAGGATATGCTCTTCACCATGGAAAATTGGAAAACGTACGCTTTTTGGTGGGCCGCTGGTGGTCCAGCTGGGGCAAAACCCATGGAAACATGCGTATTACTTTAAAGTTGTCCGCATGCGGGGCACGCGATCCTGCCTCTGCGGATAAGTATCATCGAACGCGGAGTCCGGATTTACCGATCACAGGGCGGGTAAAATGTGTCTTGCAACACAATTGGTTCATAAGATCTGGATGATCATGAGCACTGCCAGAGATCAGTGGGTCATGCAGCTTAAGAATAGTCGAATCTGGACCAAGAGTACTGCCTAGACATCTCAGAACCAAGCTAAGCTTTGGGCCTACGGACTGGGCCCGAAGCCTTATAAAAGGTTGGCTCATCGCATTTGGACACATTCAAGTCTTATACATTCAATCAACCGCCTCAATGATTTTGGATTTGATTTTGTCTTGTAAGTCTGTGCTTTCGAGAACAAAATCAAGCAGCTGATTTATATGACTATTGAGGTAATTGCGAATATCTCCTTCCAAAGCAGAGATATGTTGGGATATGTAGACCGTGAAATTCTTCTCAGTGTCTGGGGTAGGCCTTGGGGTAGCGAAGAAGTTCACCACCGTTTTCCATTGTAGAGAAAATACAGGGACAAGAGTGCCAAAAGACATCCATTTGATGCTTGGCATTCATCTAAGGCGTCAACAATGAAGAATATTCATTTGTTGGAGACTCAAGTGATTCGCACCAGAAGGGACGAACCGTTATATCCATCGGTTTGCAAAATCAGGAGACTTGGTTTTTCTCTAAGCAAGACAGTATGTTTTGGGTGAAGGTTTCGAAAGAGAACATGAAACTTTAGCTTCACTGGGGCTAGGCTTAGGTGCGCTGGAAGACGTGCTATAAAGCGATATGCCCACATCCTACTAACCTATCTATCCGGCTGACCTGCTCGAGCGAACGCGCGATTCGCCCATGTTCTATAAGCCCAGCGGTAGGTGGAAGGTTCCAATCGCGCAATTTAACTATCCGGTTGATTAAGACTGTCTCCTGGTATGCACAAAGAGTGTTTCTCTGCGAATCCTTTGGTAAAAGAAGCGATTTGGCCATTTTGACGCGACTGACAAGGGTTTTTGGTAAGACACGTCAAATTCAAGCGCAATCTTCGAAATATTCGGTTTCTTTTCGCGTATTACAGCTGCGAAGACTTTACCCATTCGGTCTTCGTTAAGATTGGCACATATCGGCATGTTGGGTGTTTGCAATAGCTGATTGTATGATATATTGGAAAATTTATGATGGATATATGATTATGAAAGACATGCGGCGCACCCATGAGCGTCAGCGAGTGGGTGGGTCGCAGCGCAGTGAAGGGCACGGATAGCCCACCATGCCGTCCATAAGTTCCACTAAACTCTTGCAGATAAAAGGCCCAAGACCTGTCCCCTAGTACCTCTTGGATGCGGAATCCGCATAACGCGTGGAAGGCGTGTTTTCGTTCTGTGACTTGTCTCCTCTTCGGCCTTTCATTCAAATTGGCATTGCTGTAGGCGATTCGAACGAGAAAAAGGTTAGCTATACGAATAATACACACCGACTTCAGCCGCCCAAGCTCAGCCCCATGCGAGGCTAAGAGCACAGTGGCAAGCGTCACCAAGGCAGATGGAGAACACTTTAACTCGGAAGTCCCATGATGCGCAGTCCCATGATGCGCATTGAACTTTCTTTGGTTGCTATTGTCCAAAAACGTTATGTAGGCCGATCTGGCGATCGTAAGGTATAAAAGAAACCTTAAAACTCTAACTTAAAAAACTATCGTGTATATAGTACCATGGGTAAACCCTCCGTAGCCTATCTGTTAGGCGGCTCTGTATTTCCTAGGCCTGGTTCAGCTTGAATGTGACATAATTGCGTTATGCGGTTGCTTAACCCTGGTTATCATAGAAACCTTTTTGCTAAATACGCTCCAAAAATAATAATAGGTGATACTTGAGACGGTTTGGCGATTTCCGAAAGCAGACAGCTTCAGTGTGTGACTAGGGGTGACAACTGGGATCATAAGCGTACGAAGAGATTCATTGGCCCAGTACTTGATGGCGAGGGGGAGGTATTTTTTGACGTCTTCAAAAAAGAGATATCAAAAGGCAGAGGTCTCTTTTTGTCCGCTATGCCTTGAACCTCGTCTAGAATAATTGATACATTAAAGTCCCATTATTCCAAGTCGTATGATCACAAAACCCATGGCTTTTCTCCACTACTACCAGGATATGATCTGCAAAGTGTGCTTTGGCAACTCGTATGGTGCCGTTGCATAATCGATTGAATTATGATGCTTCTATATCTTGCATTTAGTCAGTATTCATTGGGACCAAGTGAAAATTCTATACAGAAATACCTTATCCAGGGCACCGCGTTTCCCCCACTGCGAGACTGGGCCATTACGACTTGTACCAGTCTGTAAAGTCTAGAGCTATCAGAGTCGGGCCACTCCACATTAGACCAACAAGATGCATAAAACTCAAATTTTCAACTCGTTACCCTCTCCAGAGACTAGGAAATGCCCGTCAATCTCCAATAATTTTAACGTGGTAAGGACACGAGGGCCCATGGCCGATGGGCAAAGGTGTTAATTAGCGGCAAATCGGAAAATGCGGGTGCTTGATTCCACACACACTCCTGGTTGTTACACTTTTGATCACCTGGCTGTAGCACTAGATAGGCTATGCTTGATTTTTTGTAGATGCAAAGTTTATTTCATTAATATGCTAGTCTAGAACTCCAACGTATGAGCTATGATGGGTTGATTCAACAGGCTTTCTGTAAACAGCAGCGGAATATTTGATTGTCGGGCTTGCGATGTAATCGTAGTTATCCCTCTTATACTGTGCAGATAGTTACTGCAAGCAGCTGGCCGTCCCTACAGACTTGGTTACAGAGTTCAATTCTTGATGAAGGAGGAAGCAGATAATTGGGCGCGATCTTTTCGTCCGCCTTAGCTTAGGCAGTAAGAGTCGGTGCTGGTTAATCGAGTGGCTTACGTCAACTGAGCGATCGAGAATCTAGAACATGCTTTTTTGTTACCTACACCTCCGACAGGTTCTAGGCCAGATTAAGAACGAATATGATCACATAAACACTCATCCCAGATTTCTGAAGATGAGAACGGGCAGAACAACGCCAATAATTGTTATTCTATCCGTAAAAAGTGATTAATAGTGGCAAATGCCTGAGAATAGTTGGGATTCCTTGGTCATAAGATTATTGGCATAAACACCTACTCGCTCACCGTAGATGCACCATCCAAGCTATTATCATTATATTTGAAAATAATATTTGTGCCAGGTCTTCTATAAAAGCTGGCGTTTTCCCCTCACTGGAAAAAAAATTTAACTTCGCATCTAGCTCCACAAAATCTAGTGGGACATATTTAATCTTATACATACTTCCATATACTACATAAGAGAGGAAATACCAGCGGCAGGATGACTTCAGGACATGCATGTGATGACACGAGACCATGTCTTGTCCCTCCCCACCCAGATCTCCTTGCTCGACTCCGATATGAACCGAATGCTCTCTCTGCTCCCTCTATCGCCACACAAGGTCCGGGACGTCCTTCCTTCAGCGCCCGGACTGGAACACGCACAGGTCTGAACGATGGATGCATCTTCCCTGAATCTCATTTTGAGACTGTTGTCTCTGCAAGCAGGTTGAGCAGAGCGGCATTAGAAAGAACTCCTCTTCGTGGTACTATTCGGTAGGTAAATCGACTAATTTTTCATCGCGAACTGTTATGTTATGTTAGCTAACAGCAACGCCCGAAAATAGGGCTGCTGTGATCCTTGTTGACTTTCCAGATAAAAAAATGGGAGCAAATGCCGCACAATACTTCAACGATCTTTTTTTCTCCACTGGAAAAGTCGACACTGGCAGCGTCACTGAATATTACAATGAGGTTAGCGGTGGTAAGATCAGCTTCAGCGGCGAGGTTGTTGGCCCTCTGCGCATGCCCCGTAAGCAATCAGCCTACGCACATGGCAATAGCGGGATGACCGATGCTGCTCCAAATGCTCAGACTATGGCTGCGGATGCACTAGATGCGGCAAAAGGTCAAGTTAATTTCGCTCCGTATGATAATGACCACAATGGCTACGTCGATGCTCTTATTGTGGTGCATGCTGGACAGGGCGCCGAGGAGACCGGAATAAAGGACGAAATTTGGTCTCTTAAGTGGACACTACCAGCTGTCACTAGTGTTAACGGAGTTAATGTCTTTGCCTTCCTTACGATCCCGGAAGATGCGAAAGTCGGTGTGGCTACCCATGAGCTAGGCCATCTCGTTTTCGGTTGGCCGGATCTTTACGATATCGATTACAGCTCTGAGGCTGCTGGAAATTGGTGTCTTATGGCCGGAGGATCATGGGGTGGTTCACCACCAGGCGTTCAGCCTTGCCACCCCTCCGCATGGTGCAAAGTGACCCAGGGCTGGGTGGATAAAATCGTGGATACCCGGACACAATCCATCACATTGAACGCCGTGGAGGACAAGCTGCAAGTCTATCGACTGTGGAAGAATGGCGATAATGCAAGCCAGGAGTACTTTTTACTAGAGAATCGCGAGCCTATCGGGTTTGACCAGTCACTTCCTGGATTCGGTCTTCTCGGTACGATATCCTTTCCTTATTTTAACACCGTTACACTCAACTAACCTCAAGATGTAGTCTGGCACATTGACGACTCGCGGGATGATAATCATGACGAACGCCATTACAAAGTAGGTCTCATGCAGGCTGATTCTCTGAATCAGCTCGCCACACGTGCAGGCCGCGGTGACCCTGGAGATCCGTTCCCGGGAAGTACGGGAAATAAGAGCTTCACGTTTACATCCAATCCTAGCAGCCGCTCGTATACGGGTCGGGATTCGAAAGTGTCCATCACGAATATCTCCGCCCCGGCACCGATAATGACTATGGATATCGCTGTATAATGATCCAGTTTCGGAAGAGATTATGAACTGGAATTTAACTGGTAGCTGTCTATTTAACGGGTAAAGTTGTCTCCTATCGAGAGAGAAAAGCCGGAGGCTGGGTTTAGTATGACACCTATACTGGTTCAATGTACTATCGATTTATGGTATTTTCTGCTAGTTAGCTGCGTATCGCAAATGTTATCAAAAGTGTATTGAAATACTGGATCTTTTGGATTAGAGAAGTGAGTATTTCACTCTAAATGCGTCCCGTCATAGTTTTTCCTTTCTCATTTCGTAGCTAACAATATGATAGATGGCGAAGTCTAAATACGTTGGGGAAGAGCAGGAGTTGGAATCTTTGCTAAAAAGGCATGTGTCAGACGTGCAACTCGGGATTAAAAAGACATTATTCATACCTTGAGCACATCAATAGCCTTGTACCGTTAGGCTTTCTAACGGCTCAGAGATCCAGGATCCACGTAGTACCAAATCGCGATGGCAATATTAAGCTTTCTTAGAAGAGCCCAGGCTGAATCTTATGCGTGATCGATGGCATATATAAGCCGAATGAGGTATTGCAGGGCTTGTAAGTTGTGTTGGCACAAAGTTATCGGCGGCGAGGCACTTTATCGTCGCTCATCGGTACTCTCTGCTAAAGACCTTACACTTTCCGTAGCGGAAGCCGTCCGGATGATCATTTACGTTTCGCGCTTTATCGGGGAAGTGGCAGATCACCAACCGGAAACGTTAATTGCTACAGACACGGCAGGTTTTGCTATGTATAGTATTACCCGAGAATGGCATAGAAGACCAAGGCAAACGATTCGAGCTATCAACATGAACTAACTATAAGTAACAATCTTGTGCAAAATCAATTAATCAATCAATAACCCAGAATCAAAAAAAAAAAAAAAATAAATATCCCAACTCTAGTCGCTGCATGACTGCTATCAGGCAAGAGCATCATCGTCGATGTCGAATCTAATACCCTGGCGATTGGCAAATGAAAGCCATCCATCGACACCTGCGGACACTTCGTTCCATGCACTCTCAAGCGCTTTGCCATCCTCCGGAGACAGTGCAGCAAGATCTCCAGACTCTTGAACGTTCGCGCTCAGAGCCTCATACTTGGTAACCATGCTCTGAAGAGAAGAGGCAATCTTTTCTTCCCAGTGGAAGAGCCGTTGCAGAGCAGAATGAGCCGAGTCCATGATTTTGATGGCAGATTCCATGGTTTCCACAGCCGATTCCAAAGCCACAAGTGTCGTGACCAAAGCAGCAATCGGCATATCACCAAAGATGGACCGGCCAAGCTCCGTGCTGACCGCAACATCCTTGACAGCAGCGCGAATGGAGTTAAACTCAGACCATTTCTTTTGAGCCTGCTTGAAGCCCTCCTTGAGTTGTTTCGTTTTCTTCGTCTCCCCAGTCTTGCCCGACCCTTTCTCATCAACCTTAGTCTCGCCCTTCCCCTCCTTATCATCTTCCTTATCCTCCTCCTCCTCATCTTCCTCCTCATCATCTTCGGGCTTTTCATCGTCATTACTGACTGTGGCAATGAGGGCTGCAATTGTTGTTCCACCAGTAGACGCTGCAGAGGCACCCAGAGCTTGGAAACCAAGAATAATGGAGGCAACAAGAGCACCAGATGCGAAGCCTAAGAGACCAGCGTGGATGATGATGCCTCGGACTCTATCGCGATGCTCTTTATCCTTGATAGCCAAAGCTTTCCGAGCAGCCGCAATTTGTCCGACGATCTCAGCCATAGTAGACTTTGTTGCTTCAAGAGCGCCGCTCAGCTCTGTAGCATGGAGCTTGAGACGACGTTGACCTAGAGTTGCAGATTTGTGTGCCTTTTTCAAGATAAAACCGTATGTCTTCAGCACAGTCTTCAACTTCGTGGGCCCCCTGGATGCTTTTGCCCCATGGGTCATCTGCAAGATGGACAGACAGCTGAGGTCTTGGATTGTTGGGCCCTCTGTGCGCATCAATTCAGTATACGTACTGCTCAATGCCAGAACGTTGCCCCCCAGTGTTATCTTCTTCTTGGCAGATGGATCCCAATAGGCAACAATGTCATGTATCCAGGGGAGAGTGTGCAGCTGATCAATGCTATCAAATGCAATTTTAGCATCTTCCGTATAGCCCTTGATGGAAGCCTTCAGAGTGGCTTCTGGAAGCATCACCGCCATGAGTTCTGGATTCCCGGAACCAAGGGTCAAGGCTGCTTGGCTCTCCATGATTGCTGCCTGGGGGGCATACTCCGGAGTAGCTTCGGTCAGAGCAAGCAGCTCCACCACCCGCTTTGACTGGGTAGCAATGCTAGTCCAACTTGTGGTGATAAGTTGACGATATTCAGATGGGTCCTCCTCAAGCCAGATACGAAGACCAGTGAGGATATTATGCATTGATCCAAGGTTACCGTGGACGTTTTCACAAAAGTGTTGCCAGGTGTCCAATTGACCTCCGAGAGTGTGCGACACTTTCAGGGCCTCCTCCAAGAAATAAACTTGCACCTTCGTTTCATGAATGGCAAGATCTTTCTGAGCGATAAGGTCCGTCAGAGAAGAGGTATCGAAGAGAATCCGCCAGGGGTTTCTTTTCACGCTTTCAAGCTGAGAATCAATACCAGCCAGTTCGGCCCGCAGCCGATCGCTAGCTTCCGCAATCTGCATTTGAATTTCATGGCCCATATCCTTCACTCTGCGACTGACTTCAAGGAAGAGGTTGTTGGCCTGGGCTGTCCGGTTTCTGGCCTTCTGGCAGTTCTTAATTGCCTCGTTTTGGAAATGCTGCGCGATCGTTACCTCGACTGGAGTGGTCGGAAAGTCAGGGATCTGCCGAGTCCATTCTTGGCCGATAGCACTGAACTGCTGAACCTCGATCATCATATCGATCATTTGCTGTCGACCATTGCGGAGGGTAGTCTTCACTTCGACCAAAGGTGCATATTGATTGTACCTGGTTTCCGCGAAGCCAATGGCCGAAATGTTGTCACCAAGAAGGCGGAAATTGAACCAGTTCCCCTCCATGACCGTAGCCTTCACATCTAGCGTCATTCTTCCGAGGTCGATGAAATGGGCGGCTTCCATTGTCTCTTCATATTTGTCAAAGTCGCTGGACTCCAGAGCATGTCGTGCCTGCACTGCGAGTGTTTCAAAGGTTTCTGCTGGTGCAGAGGGCTTGCTTTCTTGCTCGCCGTTCACGACCGCTGGCATCATCGCGGCACTCGGCATATCCTCGGGTTCTTCATCCAACCTAATTCCAATGCGATTCAAGACTGCCAGATAACTTTGGCTGCCCTTGATTAATTCCTCAGTTGTCTGGTAAGAGGCTTCAATGCTGGCGGAGCTGAGTGCTTCCTCTCCGAGCATCTGGGCTGTCGCTTTATCCATAGTCTGGAGCATCATCGCATTCGTCAGCATGCCACCCCAGAACTCGTTCAAAGTACCAGTGAGATCCTCCAGGTCTTTGAAGTTATCAACCACATAGGTGATTTCGTCAATGGCTATTTTGAGGCGGTCCCGCTCTGATTCAGAGTTCTTGATCTCGGTGGCGATTATGCCGCGTTGTTCGCCCAAAGAACAGGCGGCGACCAACCCTCCGACGAATAGAGCTCCAGCCAGACAACAGCCCAGGAGACCAACACCGGTACACGCCAACAGAATGGTTAAGCCAAGTCCTAAATGTAAGGTCAGTTACCTCAATGAAGCTAGACAGAACAACGACGGGCAACTTACCAACAACTGCAGTCGCAACAGCAGCCCAAAACCAGGCATTAATCTTCTTGTAATCTGCTTCGAGATTCTTCAATCTGCTTTCCACGGCTTTCAACTGATCAATCAAGATCATCTTTTGAGAGGCCAAGTCTGATCTCACATTCCCGATTTCCTTATGCATCCCGACCACCGACTCGCGACACATTCTGGTCTGCGTGGTCAAGACCTTGGCCCACAGCTTGGTATGCTTGACGAAAGCCTTTCCTTGTTTGACCGCAATTGCTTCCTTTTCCTCAGTGTCTGCGTCATCATATTGCTTGGCAGCTTCCCGCAGTTGCTGGGCATGGACGTTATGGGTCACTCCGAAGGTTAGGATTTTCTCGACGATCGGATAAAGTGCTTTCTGGGTCTCCATATATCGAGATTCCAAGGTTTTCGTCAACTCATGGAGATCCAGCCGAACTCCCGGGGAGGCAACGCCGATGCTAGTCACACCGAACTGCTCAATCCACTTGTTCCACTTGAGCTTGCCCTGGTTTGCCTCCTGGGTCTCATTTGAGATCTCGACGATCCGCTTATACAAGAATCCGTCCTCGCCAACGCCCACCGGGCCCACATCGGTGGCGGTGAATTCAGAAAATGCATCCACCTGGAATCGGTCCTCGGCCTTGTAGCGGTAATTGTCGAAGTCCATAGTCAAATTCCAGGTGCAGTTGTTCGAATCCAACCCAACCACCTTGTCGTTGAAGTAGGCAATCTTCTTCCAGGTGACAGCCTCATTGCTGGTGCTCGTCATCGCATGGAACTGGTTGTCGCCAGCCAGACGATCATTTTTGAGCAGCATGATCTGTCCCTCCTTGGTCAAGATGAGGAGATGGAACTTGATCTTATCCCGGCTCGCCGACAAGACGGCATACGGGATGATGCTGAGAAGATTCGCATCTGGGAGACACTGGTCGCCCAACGGTTCCCAATCCTCTTCATAGAGGGCGGGCCAGTGATTAACTGCATTCTTGATGAGAGGATCGTGTTCCGAGCGATGTTTCTTTCGCCAAATGGATTTGCCGACTGCAAAGCACAAATCACCGTGGTAAGGGAAGAAGTGATTGGCTTTGCTACTGGTCAGGTTGGCGTCTTTAGGCTTGTCGCCAAACAAGGCCCAGCTGTCAACCGTTCCTACCCCAAAGGTCGCCGAGGAGGTCTTGATGTAGAAGATCTGGTCACCCTTGATTCCCAGGAGCGGGACCTTGCTTAGGCTCGAATCGTACTTCTTCAAGTATGGCTGGTCCTGCGCGTAGGAAAGAGTTCTACATTAGTCTATACGGTCTCCGGTGCGTTGCGGCGGGGGGATCTTGGGGGGACACATACCAGAATTGCCTTGAAACGAGGCGTGATCTTCTCTACTTCTGCCGCCATCTTGGTCAATTTGGTGGCTTGAGCCTTGATTCCTGAGCTGGAGCCCCCTGACATGCCCTTTGACACGTTCGTCACAGCCTGGCGATTATCACCCGGCTGGACGTCCATGCTGGGGAAGGGTATGTCCTCGCTGGTGGAGAGCGCGGCCTGTCCGTTGGCAATCAAATCGTCTCGGATCTGTGCCATCTGTTGCTCTGGCTGATCCAAAGGACCTTCCAACATCTCAATCGTGCGACGAAGGGAGGCCAATGTCTGTACATGGGTTCATGATCGTCAGCTTTCGGTTCCGTCCACATTCTGCTTGGACCCTGCACATGGAAGGGGGGTTTACCTGCTCGCGTGTGCGATCACTTTCGGCCTGCTCCTTGGCGGACAACGGCTCCTGATCGGCCACCAGCAGGACTTGCTCCTCGATCTGCTGTTCGAGGAGGCTAGTGCCTGCACTGAGCTCACTGTAGCTAAACATTGTCGCTGCTCCGGCAAAAAATTGGCAGGTGGGATTTCAAGATTGAGAAGATGGGAAGAGGAATAACCCGATGAGAACTGAATTCGTAGGTGATGAATGGTTGATTCAACAGGGCCCGCGCTGCTTCTTATACAACAATGGAGAGTGCCATGGATGGCCGTCGTCTCATACTGACTGTCTTGCCCGTAATCTGATTGTCAGCACGAGCTGAGATGTAGTTCTCGCCTCTGCCTTCCTCTCTACGAACGTGCCCCACATCACCGTTGTGCACATCGAGCTGACCACCCCAACTCTCATGGTATATGGTCACATACCCACGTGTCCGATAAATCTCGGCTATTTGCCCTTGTTGACCTCTCGGCATCGCCGTCTGAGCGGTCCAGAGCAGGAGCAAGAGCACGAGCAGAAGCAGGTCTAACTCTACTACTTCCACAGGGGCTTTCGAATGGCTTGTCCCCCGTCGCTCGAGTATAGCCGAGCCTGCCCTTTGGAGGGGTAACTGTTCAGCTAGCCATCGGTCACTCCGCACCCCATACCAAGTTCTGGATCCATGATATCGGCTTGAATGTCTTCGGTAGGGCGGAGGGCGGAGGGCGGAGGGCGGAGGTGGAGTTCGTACAATTTATCAAGGACTTATACTCCGGGCTACACGCTTGGGCTTTTGATTGGACGGAGCAAATCCATGTAATAGAAAGGAGGATGTGATTCGCTCAAGGAGCTAATCTGTGGGGACCCGGAACGGACCTGCGTGAGCGCCACAGTTCATGCATGATTGTGGGGTTCGCGGCCAGTTCGTGGTCGGCCAGAATTGCCCAGGGTCACACGCCATTCAGACAGACATCCTCAGCAGGACACGACAGTTGCCCCCCAGATTCACAGACTCATGATCACAGCGTCTCCATCGGGCGGAAAAGGGTGGGAGGTGCCGAGGGAGGCGTGGAAGGCACTCGGATGAGACATTGAAAACACCATGGTCAACCGGATCATGCCTGCGCATCCCCTATTCTCTCATCCTAAAGTTCTGTTCATCCCTGACACGACTCGTTCTCACTTGCACGACTATGTCACAGCCCACCATGTCCGATATCGAAACCTTCGCGGGCAACTTTGTCTGCTTCGAGCTACAGGCACCCCCGGGGCAGGAGGAAGAAGCAGTTCGCAACAGTCTCGCCGAAAACCCACGCAACGGAGTCATCACCACGGGCAGACTGCCTGGCGATGAATCCAGTGAATCTGCGGGTGTCTGGATTGCCGGCGAGGGTGAGCCGTCCAAACTGGCCCTTAACAGCGGCAAGCTGTGGGCGCGTGGGCGAACCCTGAAGATCCGCTTCCTCGCCGGCTCGGAAGGACTGAAGCGAAAGGTTCGGCGCTATGCAGAGACCTGGCAGCTCTTTGCCAATATTCGGTTCGATTGGATTGAATCTGGTCCGGCAGATATCCGCATCGACTTTGCCCAAGGGGGGGCTCATGGTCCTATGTCGGAACCATTTGTGCGGCAATCAGTGAGCCCAAACCGACCATGAACTTTGGGTGGTTGACCGACCGATCGGCCGAACAGGAGATCCAGCGGGTTGTGCTCCATGAGTTTGGCCATGCCCTAGGTTGTGTGCATGAGCACCAGTCTCCGCTGTGTTCGATTGACTGGAACACGGAGCGCGTCTATGCGGACATGGCCAACCCACCGAATAATTGGAGCCGAGACCAGACGGATCGTAATATCATCCGTCATCTGAGTGCGTCGGAGGTCACCGCTCGACTTTTTGACCCGGACTCCATTATGCTGTATCAATATCCGGGAACGTGGATGAAGAACTTCGGGCGAGAGGGCACCAAGATGAACACGGCGTTATCCAAGGAAGACAAGGCATGGATTCAGTTCTGCTATCCCGCCTACCCGACCGACGTGGGTGTATTCAATACTCTGGAGAAACGCCCGTCGGTGGAGGTCGGGGACGAAGTGGATAGCAATGATATCGCTTTTGAACCCCCCTACTCTCTGCCTCCCAAGCTGGCGATGGGCTTGACTTGGGTGGATATGGACCATCAAACTGATCTTCGCATCACGGCGGAGTCAGATCAGGTCACCAACGAGAGTTTCCGCGTGTCGATCCGATCGGGCAAGGATATCAATCTCTTCACGGCCGGGTGTTCGTGGCTGGAGGTCGCCGATACGGAGTCGGATCTCCTGGTCGGAGAGTACCAACTGGGTGACCTTTCTGGCTCGACGCCACTGTCCGGGGACATTAAGACGCGCTTTCGAAATGACATTCGGTTCCCTACCAGCTTCGATGCAATTCCTCAAGTGTTGGTATGGTTTCAAGGACTGAATCTCGCGAAAGATAAAGCCTGGAAGCTCAACACCTATGCCTCCAAGGTCAGTCGATTCGGCTTTACCTTGTGTCTGGATATTGGTGAGCATACCGCACTCTATGGGGCTCGTATGACCTGGGTGGCCTTTCCACAAGACAAGCCGACCATTTTTGGTGGCTCCTTTGGCACTCCGGTGGTGTCGCCCAGGGAGCAGCTGCCCAACACGAACACCGGCTACGTCAATTTTCCCGAAGGGCAAATCAATTCGACGCCCCAGTTGTTGATGGCAATCAGCGGGTTTGACTTTGCTCACACTCACAACCTCCGCCTACGTGTGAGTAGCTCGGCTGTCTCCACAGCCGGTATGTCCTGGCACCTCGACTCATGGATGGATTCTGTCATGTATGGTGCATCGGGCGTGTTTCTGGCGATCAGCCGCGCCAATACAGAATACTGAACCAGTATCACGCCTGTGACGCCAGATGGCATGAACCATGACTTGATAATTGGGAGTCAGAAGCAAGGTGGTCTGTAGTACGATTTCTTTCACTGCAATTTAATTCTCGCTATAAGCTAAGAAACATATTCTGCATTTACATCATAATCTGAATCTTGACTATAGTATAGAAAAGAGTTAGATCAATAACTATGGTTAGTTTCAATCTGTGTCCTCCGACAACTGATAAGGTTCCCTCTCCGGGGGGACGAAAGGACCGCTAGGCATAGAGTCTTATTTCCTCTACGCGAGCTGGGCATCATCTCGGGGCGGGAATAGCGCTGAGGGATAGCGCTGCTAATCTTGAACAATGGCCCTGGGGGGTTCACCGTCTCTTGGCATGCGTGGCTCTACTCTACTGCCGAAACCCGCGAAATTATTTCAGGCCCATAAAGACCAGATCAGCCAGCCACTGATTCTCTCCTGTAGATGATCACAGAGACACCTGCATCAGGGCGAATCCACTTTACAAGCTGACAGCGACCATTTCAATCCCATCCATGGGGCACAGTCTACAGTTTTTTTAGGGATTACTCAACCGATGTTCGCAGATTAGCTGATAGGCTCAAAACGGGTTTTCTTCTCGGATCCAAGAGTCCTGAGAAGCGTGTGGATGTGACAATCCCCGGCATCTTTTCCGCATCAATGGGGGAAAAGTAGTCGATTCCATCACAGCTGAATTTGTCTTACAGTAATGATTGAATTTGGCATCATGTGCCGGAATTGTATATTGAGAACTACTTAGACCCGAACTAGGTTCTACTAGTTTTGCGCCGTGCAGAAGCCAGACCCCCTCATCGACCAACTAAAGCCTGAGCACACTCGGCCCCCATCTCTCAGAAATCTGCAAAGCAAGTCAAGCCGACTGTCACAACGGCAGTTCCGTTAGTGTCTAGGATCGGAATATCGGCCCATGCACAGCTCGTTTGAGCTTCAGCCCCAGTCACATCACATCAAAGTCACTTCGAGAGTAATCAAAGCGACCATTCCGCACATGACATTTTGCCGAGGCCAACCATGATATCCGATAAATCCTTTCTCGTAGCTTGCGTAGACCAACAAGGACTATGGTCCTGTTCCACATATAAATATGCCTCTCAATCCACGCAGCAAACTTTGAAAACTGTACACCTGGTTAGCATTCCAGCCCGAAGTCCTGACACTGGTTATCTAGGGCCAAGATGAGATTCTTTCTTCATTTCTTGTTTCTCCAGGTCGCCCTGGGCACCGCTATCAATATCCACATTGATATTGAAGAGGGTGGAGTGGGGATGCTTGAATCATCCTCGATCCTATCAATCGACCCCGAGGACTATGATGAGCCATCTATCGATATGGCGACACTGAAGGGGACTTCGGGTGACTGGGACCAAGAACCCATCAGTGTCAACAAGGATTATGATTATGGGACACCCGGTGGCGGGTTGGTGTGCAGTGGTCGGTGCCAATTCCAGAATTACTCAGACGGGGAATAATGCTGACTCTGTGCAGGCGAGAAGTACAAGCAAGCGAAGCTCGACGAGGGGATTTTCAAGGGCATCGAGCTTCTACAATCGGGGCATACGATTGGTGAGCAATTCTCGAAAATTCTTAATCCTATAATTCCACCGTCCGTTTGCTCCTGCCACCCATGGATTTAATAACATTTGATGATTTCAGGCAACGGCAACTATCCTCACGTGTTCAAGAACGACGAAAAGATCCCTTTTCCGGAGTGTGTGGATGGGGCGAGCAAGAAATATGAGTTCCCGATCGTGAGAGAGGGCTGGTATAAAGATCCAATGGATCCTGGAAAAGATCGCGTCATTTTCCTGTGGAAAAAGGGTTACAAGGCAGTGTTCTGCGGCGCTATTACCCATGTGGTTAGTTGAACCTTTTCCTTCATATTAATCTGACCATAGTTCAATCAGACTCTTTTGCGCTGAAAACATTTTGGTGACTAACCGTCTGACGTACTTACAGGACAAGAAGAATTTCAAGTCGTGTACGAAGGGATTTTGATGAAAGAGATCGGCGGGCGGATGATAAGCTGGAAGTGAAGAAAGCGTAATGGATAGGTTAGCTAGAACTATTGTAGGTGGAGGTGGTTTTAAATGGCTGTCATGGGCAGCAATTTCAATCTAGGAATGCAAATTGAAGACCGTTTTAAGTATTATGTGGGTAATCACGGATTGTGTTACGATTATATGATTTTGGCTTCAGTTTTGTCTTTGTACAGAGCTGTTCGCCATTTACGGTATTGCCATTCACTAGCCTCTAAACTGCATGATCTCCATGGTAACAAAGACGTATGCCTATAGAGATAGACGACGGAGGAAATTGCCACTTACCGATCTTGACACCATCTATAAGATTTAAAGCCTTGTGGCTGCATTTGCTCTTAGGCAGGTAGAGGACATTTAGTGGTTACACGTAGATTCCAAGACTGACTGGTCCTTTCGGTGGCTCCGTTGGATGTATCAGACTTACATTCATCATGCAAAATCTTCTTTGGTGATATTTCTTAACACCATGTTGGGGTGTCAGGATGTTTTTTTCTGTGGGTGGCTATTTAAGTAAGCAGGGGGTAGTGATTCAAAGGCAGGGGCATAGATATAGCGCAATATAGTATCCACTGGGACTATAAATCTACGTAGGCCTTCTTGAATGGCCTAAATGCGGCCGGCGATCTACGAGCCCAATAAAACTCCATCTATCTGGTGGAAAAAAACGCGCTTAATTTTTGCTGCTTGGTTGGGTGCGGGAATAACGGTTATTCATACTCTCCGGCCTGTTGCCCTGAACCACATCGGTTACAAATTTGAATGACTTGCAACAAAGTGAACTGGAGCGTTATGATCAACTATGCCAGGCTATTTCTTTTTGAGATAAACGTTTGTGGCGTCTTCATGATCGCCCCTCTTCCAAGAATATGACGCTGTAGATCAGGCACGCTAATCGTTTTCAACGTGCCTAGACCCTAGGCAGCTTCTTTAGATTATCTGTGGATAGTACGTCCTGTCAGCGATACTCTTGAAATACTCTACAGTATAAATGTGTTGCCCAAGCCGAGTCCTAATTCTGGAACCTCAAAATCGCAACCGTCGTCGATACATCGGACCGTTCAGTGAGGCACATGGAATTCTATCGCTGAATATCGAATCCTCTCAGCAACCCTGAAACGAGGTATCCACCGGGGCAGATATGCGGAAAAAGGCCAACATCATTGGGAGAATAAGTCCCGACGAGGAAAATATTGAGTCTCCACGTTTTCCCATCCCTCATTACATTACAAAAGTCACGTACGTTGGCTACACCGGCGTGCTTACGGGTGTGAGGAAGGATCTGAGCATGTCACTCAATTTTCGTCCTGGTTGGCGCTACCAGACGCTCCCAGTATGAGCGGCTCTTGTGGATGGATAGTACGTATTACGCACGAACTCATCCTCACTCTGATTATTTCTAATCACTTCTGCCGTGGTATGAGACTCTACACCCCCTCACATCAAAACAAAAGCTAAGTTTTAATAACCTCCCACGGTACGCAGTGCAACCTCCGTGCTTTTGAGATTTTGTTGTTTTTTTTAGACCTTATCTCACCCGCATCAAGAATGAGAGATACGCCATCCTGGCTCACATTCTCCCAGAGTCAACCACGCCAAGATGTGATAGTATATCGCAAGGTTAGCGGAAAGGCCATTTGGCAAGATTTGAAAGCCAGCGACAAGCTTTACCGCGAAACAGACGAATATGAGCTTTCTAAATTAGGCTTTGCGCGGCGTGGTCATGATTATGACACGAATGGAGTTACATACAGACGTACGGACTAAGCGTCAAAGTGATACGATGCCAACATAACTCGTCGAAATGGTCAATCGATTACAGGCTAGTCTTCTGGGAATTTGTGTTTTGGCTGTTGCCCGAACTCGAAAAAGCTAGAAATTGATGGAGTCGGAATACCTGGCCGGTGGTGAGATTGGAGAATTCTCGTTATTGTGGGAAGGGGGATGGCCCCCTCCAGCATTTTTGGATTATATGGAGAACATGAACAGGATCTGCTGTCATTCGAAAGGTTTTCTGACTCTATCTGGTCGTCATCGGAGTACCATTCTGGTTCACCGACCTTCAAACTTTCCTCCTTCATCACTCTCACCTTTCTATCTTTCGCCCCGACAATGCACCCACTACTATACTGCTTTGAAGGACGAGCTCGCTACCGGCCGCCCAATTTGGGAGCCAGCAAGACCCCCCACCGAATCAGAGTTGGAAGTCGGGAAAACCACACCTTCAAATACCTACCAGATTGCGCAAATGCCGCTCTACACCAAGGTAGCGTTCATGAACGGCTAGAAGAAGCTACCACCTGCTCGAGTCGCTCTATCCGACGAACCGGTCTTCCTCCTCGACGGTAGTGCAGTCGGAAGCAAGCTTCAAGGTGCTCTCTGGCCGACACAGAGAAAAAATAACGGAGAGATTAACCTAGCTCAGGTTCCAGGGGCATTAGAACGAGATCCCACCACTACACGTCATCACCATGGAGGTATCTCTCTCCTTGGCCGCGCAGCTGAGCAAGAAGGCCCGGGAAAGAGTGGCATCCACTCTTCCGGGCTAAGATAAAGTCAGCATGTACTCTATGATTATTATGGGAAGGCTTTATCTCTTGGGGATCAGTCATCTTCTTGATGATTTCCTTCGCGCTGTTGGTGAAGAAAATACTTTAAGTGACATGGTGTCTGTCCTGTGGATACAGAGGCCTTACTTTTGAGCAGTCCGCGGCTGGTACTACGCACTCATCGGTGATGAAGCTGCTCAGTTCAACATCCCCTGGATCCTCGTGTTGAAAAATAATGACCGCTTAAAGAAGTACATCAGCTGGGAACGGGAATGGACGAACTCGAAAACGAAATTGAGACTCTGGAGGTGGAAATGGATGATATGGGCATGCTTGATAAGAGTGAAGTTGACATTATGGGGCTTTGCTTGTTGACTGTCTTTGGCTTTAGCTCAAGACTGGGTGGAATTGCAGGAGATCGGGTTGATATTTAGCTAATGGGGAGATGAAGATATCTGGTCACTTGCAGTGGGGGAGGAACCGTTGGTTGATGTTGTATACACAGTATCAGGAATTCAATACAGTTTCTATACACTGCAAAATTTCATAGCATAGAATCGTAAGCAAAGTGCGCTCTTGTCCTGGTGACAGCACCGAGCCCATCGATAGTAAAGGTATTCCCAGGACTTCCAGCTTTCTTTCCTTCACCACCCCTCTCCCTCTCTTGTCCCCCCCCAACCAGCACCTCATCCCTTATCCTTCTACACTAAAAACACCTGAAAACATCTGAATTATCCTGAAATATGCAGCCAAAATCTTTTATCTGCCGCGTCGCCTTAAAAAAAGGATCCTTCAAGCCCCAGGTTCGATCTGAGGACGGCCTCAGTCGCAATCGGGATGTCTCGATGTCGACGATCGCGTCTCAAATGCGCATCAGTGTAGTATGCGAGAACCAGAATCCTCTCGTCTCACTTGAGGCTATTGCCAGCCAGATGCGCCGTGGCCGAGTCTACGAAGAATCCGGCCAAGGTCCCTCCAGTGTCACTCCCCAGCCTGTCACAGCTTGGGAGCAACCTGAGTTTCCGCAGTTGTCCGAATCCTCTTCTGTCCTTTCAGAGGCTCCCACTACCTCCACTCTGTCTGGACGCGTGAGTCCCGAAGAGGAAGGTGAGATACCACGCTCGCTCAAACGCAAGCGTCAGCCGGCAAGACTCCCTGCAACACCCTCCAGCTCAACTCGGACCACACCTGCCCATTCCCCGAGCACCGTGGCAACAAGCCCCGGATCCCCAGATGTGGCCCGCAAGATCCGGTTTCTGAGGTATGTCACCATGAGACCTTGCATATTGATGAGGGACGCTCTAACGTATCTCATAGACTGGATAGCCCCAGCCCCATCAAGGATGAAGCCCTGGAAAGCCCCAGCCGCCCTCGCCTGAGATCTGAGGCTAAGAAGCTCAAGACCGAGATGGATACCGCGAAAGCCAGTTCCCAGGCTTTACAGCATGACCTGGCGACTGTACGGGCCCGGCTTGAGAAGGAGAAGCGGGAGAATGCCAAACTCAAAGCAAAAGCTGGCAAAGACAAGGACGACATCGAGGAACTTCGAGCCGGGCTGAAAACCTTGCGCTCCGAGTTCGAGAGCGAGAAGCTGGAAAAAGCCGATATGGAGAAGCAGCTTGTCGATTTGTGGGCCAAGGTTGAGCCTCTGCAGCATGGGTTTGGAGGGGAATCAGACGGGGGCAATACCAACATCAACCCAGAGACCCGAGAGGAAATGGCACAAATCGTGCATATGAATGAGGTACTGCGTCGTGTCCTTCAGGGCGAGCGCGGGTACCGAAATGAAATGTATGGCAAGCTCCATTCTTTGCGAGAGAAGGTTGGTCCATTGCTCGCCAAAGTGGATGAGCTTCAGGAAACTATCGATGTGATGAAGGCCCATTTCAGCGCTCATGATGCCCCGATTGAGCTGATCATGGACTTTGTGCGCAATTTCCACCAGTGGTGGGTTGATAGGTACAATGCCCGTCGTGAGGATGCTGATGGTGAGCGCGAACCCACTGGTGGACCTGAGACTTGACTTGTTGATATTGTGTTGTTGACTTTCCTGATGTTGACCTTTCTTGTACTATTGTGTTTGTGTCAGTGTTGAAAATGTGTCTATTTTGTTCGAGATAGGAATATCAAACTTGTATGATTGCAAATTCTGTAATTGCCTGGAAAATGTGATTTCTATCAGATTCGTAATTTTATCAGTCGTGACATGATTGTTTGCCTACCAGTGAATTCAGGTCTCTCACGCTCGTAGACTGTCCTGGGCTACACTACCTAGATCGCTGTCTTTCTAATACAAACCACAAAGCAAATGTCCGCTGCATTGGTGATTTCTGCCTTGGACCTGAATAATGCCGGCTCCCAACTACTGCATCCTGCTGCCTTAGAATCCCGTCAAAATTATGAAAGCCTCCTCCTGTTCCAGCATCTCATGTTTCAACATCCACACACATTATCCAAACCCTCCCACCATCAACAGTCTCTCCCCCACATACCCACCAACCAAGGCTGGTCCTTGGTGATCAACATCTCTCGACGCAGCCATTCAAGCACCAGAATGGTTTTCACTCGCAGCCAAGAGCGAACCGCGAAGCGCAAGCGCGGAGCGGAGGAAGAAGAGCATGCCAACAACGGCCAGGTGGAGAGTTCTGCTCGCACCAAGCGAGCCCGGTAAGCAGACCCTACAAGAGACCCTCTACAAAGGAATCCATGCTGATACTGGTGATGTTAGCCATGAGACTGCCGAGACTCGTCCATCAGAGCTGGCCACTCTGCGGGCCCGAAACCAAAAGCTGGAGGTGCGAGAGAGCGCCAACCTCACCGAGATCGCATCTCTCCAGGCCAAAGTCACTCTCCTCACTGATAAATAAGAGAAGTGGCAGCGTGTCTGGGGCCCGCATCGACACGCGAGAAGTGATGATGACGGAGGCCTCTGAGGTGAGAGATGAGCAACGTCGGCTCAGAGAGCAGATTCATGAAGATCTGGGGGGTGTGGCGACGGTGCTGAACACTATCGCCGATCTGCAGCTCGCGTTGACTCTCCGGCATCGGGCGATGATGGACATTGTCACTGGTTTGGCTTCCGACTCGGCTTCCAGGGACTTGGTCTTGACAGAGTAGGTGGCTCGGATCCAGGAGGCAATGGAGGAACAGGCCAAGAAGACTGATGAACTGCTTGCTTTGAGCCGGTCTCGGCAGCAGTGATCCAGGTGGTTTCGGGGAAGGAAGAGGGGGATCAGGATGCTGGTCGTTCCCTGGCGAATATCGGTATCCCTGGAAAGATAGATAGTTACAATTCTTAGAAAAGAAATTGTTGTGAAAGCCAATCTTGCATTATTCGTAGTCATCAAAGCAGTAGATGGTAGTACTGTCTAGATACCCTCTGGTGCACCTGCCGTTAACCGACATGTTATCTGTCGTATGGCCCTGTGTTTTCGGTCAACGTATCTTGTACAGTGAAAAATGCTTAGACCGAGAATGGAGGTTTCCATCATCAAAAAACAAAAACCAAAACTGAGGATGGAAACAAGAGGGGAAACATGAGGAAGATCCAGTTGGATCAGATAAGGTCATCTCGACAGCACAGACCGACATGCGCTCAGCCTTCAAGCGGGTCCACGAGATCGTGGAGGAGATCGTGGCACGATTCAGGACCCACCGATCCCACGATCCTAGAACTATGACGATCACAAACGAAACGAATACAATCCCAACAATCAGACGAAAAGCCAGCCCCTCATTCATCACTTCAGATCACTTTCTCTTGCCCAGAACACCGAAACAGGGCCACAAGATGGGGTGAGCCTTGGCAGCCCCGAGAAACCTGTCGAGTATCCCGTTTCTTGGGCGTTTGTGACTTTGGTAGTGGGCATGAGTAGTAGGTCTGGCACCTACTCGGGGAGCTTGCCTCCTGAAAGGAGAGTCAGGTGAGCATAATGATGAACAATGAGTGATAAAAAGTGCTGAGTAAATGGATGAATACTCACGGAGGCTCGCACGGAGCTTCTCCGACGATTCGGCAGACGAGGCGGCGAGATGCTGGAAACCAGCCTCGTGGTGGTCGATCCGGCGATCGAGAGAGTCCAGCTTGGCCCGGATTGCAGCGAGCTGGGCCTTGGTCTTGAGGTTTACGACCTCCAGCTGCTTGAGCATGTTCTCCAGCTTGGTGAGGCTGTTTATCAGTTAGTATATACGTGGGAGGATGTACATATCGATCTCTGTGAGGGGTGAAACTTACCGCTCGCCCTTAGAATCCTTTCTCTCAGCCTTATGGCCGGATCCAGACTTCTTATCGTCCACCATTTTGCTCAGGTGACGAATTTGAGCGAGTTTGAGGATGGTTTTGATGAAATTTGGATGGAAACGAACAGTGGTTCGATGGAATGGGATGGAGAGGAAAGGTGGGAAGAGAAGAAATAAGAGGAAGGATTGTAATGATGAGAAACATGAGCATATAGAGACGCGTCCCAATACTATAGCACGTGCACGAAAGCAGCGCGCAATTGATATACCGATATTTCCTTTTTCGGCTGGCGTGAAGCAATTCGGCTGTCAGTATCAAACTGGGTGGAATTCTCCAGATATCCCTTTCACCGCCCAAGGATGGCAAACATTCCTTCTTGATAAAGGAAAAAGGGAAAGGTCACTGGTATGCATGCCCGACACTATCATGCTGCTTCATCTACCATCATTGACCGCTGCCAAGGTCTGTTCTTGTGGATGAGTCCATTCCTTCGTCTTCAAAGCTTGGCTGTACAATGCTCTGAGTATTTGGCATGCTACTGAATTTACAGTCTGGAGCCAGAAAGTTCTGGAGCCTCAAGACTACAAAGCTGACATGAATGCAACATCCTCATGGTCATGTGATGGCTCCAGCTCAAGCATCTTCATCTACCAGCAGCAGAACTGAGCTATATAGAGGCTTCCATAGGACCTGAGTGCTCTACTCTTTATCTAGAAAAGGTACAGTGATTTGAATCCGGATAAGTGCAGATGCTTCCCCATATGACTGGTTCCTGTTGACTCCTGCGCTTGATACAGGTACTGTATACAAGTGGAAGACTTCATTGGCAGATCGGTACGCCTTAGCTAGACAAGAAAGCTCTAAAAAATTATAGCACTCTTTGGCTACTTCAGCCTCTTCAGTATCACCGACTACTTGAAGCTAACGTTCCAAGACTTCTGAACCTTGGAGTTCCCGGTCCTTCTGATGCTCAATGGCGACGGTCAATTCATGATCACTTATGAGGAGTTCAATGCGGTCAACCTCAGGCGTCAATCCATCGAGTGGGATAGCAAAAGGTTCAACGCCCTCGGTGACTCAAACTGCCGGAGCTCTATGTCTGCTGGCTAAGGAAGTTGTTTAACATGCCTGTCGGGGATCAGACCTGTGTCCCAAGCAACGAAAGATGGGGCGAGTCAGTAGGCTTTTGCTTTTTCCGACGAAGTATGGCAGAGATCATACCAATATCTTTCACTTGAGTATGATACTTCTCTTGAAAGCAAAAGCAAGGGGGGTTACCCTGACCGTGCATTTTGGCAGTGCGGTAAGTGCATTATGATACAGCGATAAGTCGTAAAGTAAATGCATTTGCTTACTATGCTAGACAAGCCATCGGAATAGAAGAGAGGCAGCTCTTAGCGATCCTGCTAGATATGCTACAAATGTATAAAAGGTAGCTATCGGCCCGTTATGGCAAACACATCATCCACTCAATATTTCCATATTTCCTGGAGTACTTCTGATTAAATCCGTCTTCGATCCCAAGCCCAAGATGTCTCTTATTGGCCATGTTTTCAAAAAAGTTCTCAGCAAGAATATCTCCTTCTACATTGCCACTTCTGAGAACGGTTACATACGGCTCCCTGACTTAATCGACCGAAGTGGCGACCACTACGCCCGACCAACATCTGCTGCAAGACGGATCAACAGACTCTTCCTACGGTGCGTGGGCAATGAAATCGAGCTACGGCAGGTCCGGATACTTCTTACAGACACTCTGGGACATGATCATTGGTTTGGTCGAGTAAATTCCGCACACACATGAAGATCGTAGCACCTTGATAAGCCTCATTATGGAGCTGCAAAAGCTACCGGGGGACGAAAATCGGATCTTGAATGTGAGTGCGGCTTTTTGAAAATTTCTATACTTCGCCTTACTGGCCAAGTCGAAACAGGGGACTAACTAAGACAGTCTCAGAAAAGGGTTCCAAATGTGATGCAAAAAAGTCGCAGATTGCATTGAAAATCTGCTCGACTGGCACGCCCAATACAAGACTCTGCATAATCTCTCAAGCCTACCGAGAGTAGGTTCTGACGAACTCAATTTCCTAGTGAATGAAAGAGCCAATATCTACTGGCTCTGGTACGCTTGCCAGGTGATGAAGATGCAGTCTGGCATCCTCGCTCGCTCATGTAGGATAGTGTCAGGAGCCCATTGACTGATAGCTACGACACCTCACACACAGCCATGATTCTCTCCTCATCGCCCAAGGCTATGCGGAGGGAAATCTAAAGATCAACAAATGTCCAGAATCTCGCCGCGGCCTCTTACCTCGCCGGTGCGCAGGCACAAAATGAAGACCTTTTGCTCAGGCAGCCAACTGCCCTACGCCAATATGGACCTGCCCAAATTGCTTTCTCACGAACAAGCTCAAGGCTTCCTCTCCACGCTTCCCCAAACACACCACAACACCTGCTTTTGCAGCATCCGGTGAACTCCGTCCCACAACCAGGTGATCATCTACGCCCTCTCTCACACACAAGGCTTTCTTGCACTCTCTCTCAAAGCAAGAAGAAGAAGGTAAGTGAGCCATACAAACACAAAGAAAATCACAATGACTCAAATGGTTGACTCTCACATCAGATGGCCGCCAATAACACCGCCCAGCCCACCGCGGCCGGTCAAGTCCCCAACGGCCAAGCCCCAAGCCCTCTGGGCACATCTCTGGGAAATTGCGGACACCGTATACCCAGACCCGGGTATTCGAGTGGTGGTGCAAGAGTAAGTTCTTATCTAGACCCAATGAATCACATCAGGTGAGGTTTATAAGAGTATATCAGAGCTGACATTACAAAAATAGCTGGATCGAGCGGACCGGCGAGCTGGAGGGCATGTAGTCCACGGTGGAAGCACTCACCAGCTTGATCTAGCAGATCGAGGCTGGCGGAGTCGACCAATGCTTCGCAAAGTACCTGTCCGGGCTCCGTTTACAGCCACAGGAGTCCGATTACGAGCTGTACTTGCTGGAAGTGGAGGTTCGAAGCCTCAGCATCTTGTATCGAAACTCGATAGGGATGACGGGTGGCGGCCCGGGCAGGCGCAAGGGGACGAGGATGAGCAGGTAGCACTGAGAGAGGATTATGAGGAAGAGGAGTACTGTGACGATGGGGATGATGATGAGAGTGGAATCAAGGACGAGAGCGAGTGGGAGAGCCAGATCTAATATAGATCCGTTCGCGGCAATACAAAATGTAGATTAATTCGAATACCCGATGGACGCAGCCCATACGGTGCATAATACACTTCCTATACCTGTATCCTTTATATACGGCTATGCTTTCCTACCCTTCCTGCACCTCCGACCTTCACTCAAGAAGCACCAAACTACAGCCTCGTCCCTCAACAGTAGTGTCGCAGTCTTGGAATATCAGCGCCCATCGGAAATCCAGTTACATTCATCTCATTGATGAGCACCTTTTGGCTTTCACAGGAGACCATAATTCCCATCTCCGACCCCTTTCAGCGTCGTGGGACCTAAATTACAGATGGTATATCAGCGTATTCAGCAGAGTTCCAGCTTGTCATAATAGATTTAAATAATTCTACAGCATGACTGTTGTTTTAATTTCATATCCAATGCTTTGACCTACGAGGAACTATCCGAGTCGGTCATTAGCTGTATCCTTTAGGTTCTACTGAACTGCCAGCCTAGTGGCACCCCACAGCTATCTAGCTTTCGCAAGAGGATGAATACTCTGCGGACATGTAATTGCCTATGGTGGATATCAATCATAGCAAGCTAGAGCGTTTCGTGAGTAACAGCGTAGAATCAGGCACGAAGCTAAAGCTCTAGAAGCCCATAGTGTCTCCCTTAACGCAGGAGCTTCCGAATTAAGTTGGATTCAAGTAGCTCAATCTCAAGCCTGGCAGGCCCACAGACATAATAGGCAGTTGGTCCAGGGAAGAAACTATGATGGAGTTCAAATTTTGGCCTGTAACAAAGTCATTGAGAAGATTTATACGCAGCTGCATTATGTCATATCGAATGGAGTAGACAATGAGTTTGTTCTCGATTCCTGTCGTTATAACTCGAGGTGACTTGCCTTGATGTAGGTACAGTGACAGCAAAGGCGAAGATATGCATTGATACATCGAAGTAGCTCAGAATTGATGGTGTGTCGTCAGATTATTTGAGTCTTGGGGTTTTATTTAAGTTGTTTTTACGTATGATGGTCTATAAGATGTTGCATTACTTCCACAGGGATATGAAGAGTTTATGGGGACTTGATGTTTTTTTTGGTTTCCTACTTTGGATCTACGAGAAAATGAAGACTGTAACATATTCATTTAGGTTTGTTAGAGATGCACGTTGAAGCTCATTGAGCACATTCTTGAGCCCATGTTGCGGGATCACCCGAAACGGAAGCAACCTCGATCACCTGTCACCAGCACAAGGAAAAGGAGATCACTGGGGAAGTAAAATAAGAGAAATTTCGCAATCTTCCCGAACCTGATAGTAATGGAACTTGGTGATCCCTGAACGAACGAGAAACCGTGCTAGGAGTCATCTAGTGGTCGTACTGAGCCGCATCCGGGCTGCCGAAATGAGCCCAGATATGCTGCATCATGGCTCCAGGGCTGCGTTGCATAACACCCCGGATAAAGCAAGGGTGGGAGCGAATCTTCTTCGAGACATGGGCGTAGATGAGAGAGACGGCCGTGTTGACCATGTGATCATACCACGGGTACATCTCGTGGTCCTTGTCCAGGGGAACGTCGAGGTCACCAACGACGCCCCAGACCTGGTGCATGCGGAGGAGCACCTCCAGGCCAACAACCCAGCGGATGTAGTTGCCAGGACCGATCAGGGTCTCCAGCTTGATATCATGGTAGTGCTTATCCTTTGTATTGTCGACGAAGGCTTGCACGCGACGAAGGGTCTTCGCCTTCTCCATTTCCAGGCGCTCAGGGCTCAAGTCCCGCAGATCCGTGTATTGGAGTGCAAAGAAATTGTAAAGATCTTCGTCGAAATTATCGATGTCGGAGGCCGCCAGTTCGGACTCGCTGGTCTCGCTGGATTCATCGGAATCATCCGAGTCAGCCGAGTCATCCATACTGTCGGAATCTTCAGAGTCCTCATAATCCTCCTCACTGGAACTCTCGGAGTCGGAGGGTGCGGGCTTCACGAGGTCGGGAAGCTTGACACCTTGGTTAACCTTCGGGATTTCAGGGTCTAGGTGATCAAGATATAGGTTAGTTACTGCATCCTAAGAAGAAGGATAATGGTCAACCGGGGAGGGGGGATTGTGGACAGTCAATGCGGGGACTTACCTTTGATGGACTTGTCCTTGCTGTCGTCCTTCTTCTCAAGCTTGTTACCCTTGAGATCGGGCTTCTTCTCCTTGCTGTCGTCCTTCTTGGTAGTGGCCCTCTCGCCGTCCTCAAGATTCTTTTCCTTGCCTGGAAGCTTGCCAGACTTGGCCTTGGAAGCCTTAGCAATCAAGTCGGGCTTGGTACTCTTCGGCTTGGTAATCTCGTCACCGGAAAGACCCTTGGTCTTGTCCTTGGTGTTGGAAGGTCCCTTGCCAGTCGAAGGGGCAGTGCTGGTAGTGGCTTTGACAACAGGTGGAGCCATGGGGACTGGCTTGGTGGTGCTATTCTCAGCACGAGAAGGAGACTGGCTGGAGGAAATTGCCTTCTTCTTCTTGTCGGGGGTAATGTGAGATCCCCGCCGCTTGCGAGACTGCCGTTCAGAGGCTTCTCGTGCTGGGGAACCCGCCATAGAGGATGGAAATTTGACGAAGTGGATGAATTTCGAGGAAAGAAGATAGATTGTTGATGAAAACCAGGGTGGGGGAAGATGTGGGGGGACGGAGGGTGGTGGAGGAAATGAGAGAAGGAAGGTTGGTGGGAAGCTGGGCAGGTGAACTTTATAATGGAAAAGTGCAAACGAGACGATGGCGGATTCTGCACATGCCACTTCCCTCGTGCAGGAAATTACCTGCAAACTGCGTTTAGGGTTACAAAGACCTGGTGTGAAGCAAACAATGGGATAGCAGTGGGATTGAAACTACATGGGTCGTTGTTAGAGACAATGGGGGATATGAATGTATTCAAGACACAGTATGTACACTCTGAGGTATTACCCACCACATGAAAGGAGTCTGTCTATGTTCATTCATCAATGTCCACATCAAGGATTGTAGTTTACCACTGGAATCGTGGTATCATCCAGGCTAATGGCATCGGGGTTCTTAGCTCCAACGCCAGAGTACTTGTTGATCCAGCCCAGCACTTGTTGATGCCACACTAGACTGTTCTCCTTGTTCGTGACCCTGTACATAAATTAGCTTGGTGCAATGCGGCGGCGGATGGTATTGACAGCTTCATCAAATTAGACGTACCAGTGGTTCTCATCAGGGAAGTTTAGCAGCCGACTGGGAACACCCCGTTCTTGGAGAACATTGAAGAGACTTAGACCCTCAGATTCGGCCAGACGATAATCCTTGGTGCTGTGGATGACCAATGTGGGAGTGCTGAATTGCAGGATGTGCTCCGGCGCAGAGGGATCCCAGCGGCGGTAGTTGTCTCGGTTGGCCCAGAAGGTACCGTTGAACTGTGTCATATTAGACAATCACTCCCGAAACACAATTGGGAAAGTGGAACAACGCACATCATGCTCAGTAAACCAGAGCTCCTCGGTGGAAATCTTAGCATCAGCCACAAAGGTTCCGTCATGAGTGACAAGTGCCTTGAACTCCCGTCCCAGAGGGTTACCCTGGATCCAATTCATCATGAAACCTCCGTAACTGGCACCCGCAGCGACACCATTGTCCGTGTCGATGAAGTCAAAGTTGTCTCGGACATACTCCCAGGCCTTGACGAGATCATCGTAGGGGTAGCTACCTGCGAAGTTGGTCAGCATGCGGCAACAACATCAATATAAAAGGTCAGGCCATACCCCAGTTGTTCGTGATAGCATCAGTCAGCGCCTGTCCAAAGCCAGTGCTGCCAGTGGGATTGGGCGCGACCACCACGTAGCCCTGGTCCGCCCAAACCTTAGGATTCCACCGAGTACTCCAAGAATCGGCCCACGAGCCTTGGGGTCCACCGTGGACATAGAAAATCAGTGGATACTTTTGAGACTTGTCAAAGTTGGCAGGGTAGATGAGCCAAGAGTGAATCTAGGTACAATTAGTGATTGGTTCTTCAAGTACGTGAGATGACACTTACCTTGGTCCAGTTTCCTTGATAGTAGAACTCATCCAAATCAGCTGGGCCCAGTCCCTTCAAAGCGGGATCGACCTCGTTGGCAGAGATCAGCGTGGAGACCACACCGTGCTTCGGGTTCGCAGTGTACACATTCCAGCTAGTCCAGATAGCCGAGCCAGTGATCAACAAATCACCGTTGGGAAGGTTGCGGAAGCCCTTGACAGAGCCGGTGCTGGTGAAGTTTTGCGGCTTATAATCATCGCGAGCATCGGCAGGAAGCAAAAACAGACGCCCACGACCGTGGTCTTCAGCATTGACAATGAGGTCCTTGCCATCGGCCGTCCACTTGACTGCGTCAGGGGACCGGTCCCAATCCTTAGCCACGGCCTGGATGGTCTTCTTAGAACCAATGGTGTAGACATAGGTAACACGGCGATCAGACTCGTACGCAATGTTCTCCATTTGGAAGTATGCAATGCGCCGACTGTCCGGGGAGAATGAGGGGCTGCTGGAATCACCCTTAACGCCCTTGGGAGTGCCACGGCTGTCTGGACCATTGATAACCTCGGGCTTCTTAGAGCCATCGTGCGGAACGAGGTAGATATAAGATGCAGTGTGATTGGCTCGGGGCAATTCCGGGGCTTTGCTCTTGAAAGCAACCCACTTTCCGTCGGCAGAGATGTCGTAATCCGACGAGTCACCGAATGGTGGATATGGTGATTCTAGATTCTTGACGCCAGCGACGAGGTTCTTGAGCGGGCTGTCGGAGGTGTAGCGAGAATTAGCCCACTGTCCGTCCTTCTTCTTCTTGAGAGTGCCGGAGAAAACAGCGTTGAAAGTAGTCGTCAACCAGGTATCCCAGTGGCGTACGTAGATGCTGTCGTAGATGCGAGCAGTGCTCAGTGGCTTGGCTGCCAGTTCCTCATTGTAGGCGGTTCCATTTCCATAGGATTGAGCATACACTAGGAAATTGATATCACCTCCCTTGGTGATCGCTGTCTTGAGACCGGAGAATGGCGCTGCGAGAGAGGCTGCCTTGTACCGACTGGATAATTATTAGTTGGAAGAAGAAACAACAGAGATTTGGGAGGTACTTACGACTTCTCAAATTTGGCTGTATCAGACACCCACAACTCGACGCCACCGGGGATATCAGAATTGGTGCCATTGATGTACAAGAGGCCAGAATCATCGGTGCCCAGCCAGATCACCTCGGAGACATTGCTGTCGTTGGTGAGCACTGTGATCTTGCCACTTTTCAGATCGATCAAGTTCCACGTCGAGGAAGTTTTATGAGTTGCCCAGGAGTACTCCGATGCTGAGAACAAAGCCACTTCCTGATCTGGTTGTTAGTATTTGGTCTATCTCTACCCTGGACGAAATACCACTCACGCCGGAAGGATTGGGGACAGCCTCGCCACGCCGGGGAGCTGCAATTAGCCCTCTAGAATGATGTTAGCAAGATAGGCTCTGCCGATCGCAATCTCCATTGGTCAATGCAATCAAAATTCAAGGTATACTCACTCAGGCGTCAATGCCTTTACCCCCGACACAAGCCCCAGCCCAATGACCGCCCATTCAAGCGTACGCATCTTCGCAACAAGAAACGCGCACACACAACTAAAGATAAACGTAACAGATAATAAACGAGCGACAAAACGAGTCCGAGTTGTGCTTCTACTTAAGTATCTCCGCACAGCGGGGACCATCGGTGCCCCGGCAGTGTTCCCAAGGGGGGAAATGTTACATTCCACGATGCCAAGAGTGATAGACAGGCAGCGGAGGGTCCAGGACGGCCGTGACGATGAGCTCGCAAGAGGAGAAAGTGGGAACTGCTGATGCGATGGGGGGATAAGGAAAGTGCTCATGCCATTGGAGGGTGTAATTGGCTCGCGATGAGAACAGAGAAGGACCACAGCTGCCGTGCTGATTGCTTGGGTTGCAGCGCCAAGCCGAGCGGGGGAGGCCCGCTGATACCCGTCGGGATGGAGCAATTGGGGAAAACACACGGCATTGTCCGGGAATTGAGAGCTTTGTGCAATCGGAAAATTACTATCGACAATGCGAAATTGGAAGGTGGATAGATGGTTGAGTTTAATTGCCCAAAATGGCCAGAAAACGTGCAATTGGGGCTCGGACGCTGAAGACAAATTGGACAATGTCTTGCCTCAAGACCGATCTAGTCCCACATGGTGCATCTTGCATGCTGAATGGTGTGATGACGCTGGAGAGATTACTCTGACTACAATGCAACATTCGGGAAAATTGATAGATTGGTCATGGATTTGCAAAACGCTCAGCAGAATGCGTCTTAGTACTCAAAGTCATCATCCACTCCGCGTTTGCCGGAGGTCTCTTGGGCCACTGCTTCTTGCTTGCGATACATCTCCGCAACAGCCCGGGTCGTAGTGGCCTGTTCGGGTTTCTTGTCATCTCGGGACTTGATGAATCGAGGGAATCGAAGTGAGACACCTTTACCGCCACCGGTAGTGCCTTCAAAATCATCCGCTGCAGCTTTATACCGAGGGCTGAGTGTTAAATCGGCCGTTTTGACCTCCCAGACTAGACGGGGCTCGAACCACACGTCGGGTTGATCCTTGGGGACAGTAGAGTGGGAGTAGAAGGGCTTGGGCCGGTCAATAACAAGGGGTGTAAGCTCCTCGTGGAGCTCTTCGAGTCGGGTTTCCGAGAATCCAGTACCAATATTGCAAATCGTCTCGTATTTGTCGGTGTTAGGGTTGTAAGCAGCCAGAAGGAAAGCACCGTACACGGAAGTACGTTTGCCGCGTCCATAGTAAGCACCTAGAACGACGAGATCGAGAGAGTCGCCTACACCGGCAAGATAATCTTTTTTGACCTGCACAGGAATTGGTCAATATTGCCATAGGCTATCGAGTGTGGTGACAGATCATACCTTCAGCCAGTTGCGACTCCGCTTGCTGGGCTCATATCCACTCTCTGCAGTGTCCAGCATCTTCACCATTAGGCCCTCGCACGACGCCTTGACACTCTCGTCCAGCAGGTCCTGGATTTCGTCGAGGACATTGGTGTTTCCGAATTGCGCAAACTGGAATTCGCCTTCGATGGGCTGGAAGCATTTGTGCAGTAGCTCTCGGCGTTCGCGGAGTGATTTCTTGACACATGGCTATGAAGAACGGGTTAATAAGTATCCCACCGATTTCACCTCTAGGCTTGCTTACCTCTCCATTGAAGAACAGCAGATCAAACGCAAAGACGCAGACCTTGACCTTGACGTCTTCGGCCTTCACGTCCTTGCGCTTGCGAGTCATCAGCTGCTGGAATGGGAGAACCTTCTTGTTGACAGTGTCCCAAGCAACAGTCTCACAATCCAAAACGAAACTGTTGACATCCTTTTGGACCCAGCTGTCAAGCTTACCCAGCACATCTGGGTACTTCTTTGACAGATCCTCGGAGTTGCGAGAGAAGATCGCACTGAGGCCCTTTTGGTCCTTTTGCAACGTAGCAACTGACCCAGGGTACTTATGAATATGATCCGGTGCCACAAAATGGATTTGTGCCCGCTCACCATCGTACTTGTATTCGCAGGTGAATTCCTTGCCCTCGAACCGGTCGAGAACCTCGGTAATCGACTTGGTCGGCTTGGCAAGCATAGGCTTCAAGGGGACACCCGGCTGAAGCTTGCACACCTTGGGCAAATCGAAGAGACCATGCTCCAGCATGGCGGGAATTATAACTTCGTAAGATGGCAGCTCGCTATATACCGTTTTGAGAACAGACTCACCCTCAGCTAGTCGCTCTGGGGTTGGAGACTTCTCGCCTGCAACGGCGGCCTCATGTGTGACGATGGCCTGGGCCAGGGCCACGAGAACAGTCCGCTCTGCGAGACCCAGTCGCAACTTGCCTTCCAAGAAACGGACGATGAATTTAGCCTCGCTAGGACCGCCCTTGTCCTTGGTAATGTCAACACCCTTGTTGCCCTTTCCAGACGTTGCGGAATCAGCAGCCGACAACAACTTCTTGATACCGGAGATCTTTTTGTCCTGTGATCCATGTCCTTGAACCTTGGCGATGCCCAGCAGTCCTTCATGGACACCTCTGACAGTCAAAGGCTTAGGCTTAAACATGGTAGGTTGGTTGCCACGACTCTTGGCGGCCACCAACCCAAGATCACCGATTTCGTGTTGGTCCGCCTTGATGACCTGGAGGCTGCGGCCGGTACTCTCGCCGATGGCCTTCATAATCAAGGACTCGCCAATGCCAAGCTCAATCCCGGCATAATCGGCAGCCAGCTTGTTGATCATGAGTTGGACTGTCGGAAGTAGATCGTTCGGGGTTAAACGCAGCACTTGCTGGAGGAAGAGAGAACAATGGGCCAAAATAATAAGGCGTTTCGTAGTCATCTCAACCAAGGAGAAGGTGGTGCACAGAGCAGCGTAGGGGACTGGATCGCCTGCCTTCCAATCTGGATACGGGTCTTTTCCGGTGGCTTTCAAAGTGGCCTGCACCTTCGCCATCGTCTTCTTCTTCGCCTCGGGCTTGGCCTCTTCCTCGGCCTCACTCCCGGATTCAATGTCCTCTTCATCCACATCCGATGTCGGGTCGGCTTCTGGGGTCTCCTCTCCAGAGGCCTTCTTCACAACAGGTTTCGGCGACGGAATTTCGGATTTGGCGGAGATTGGAGAGGACTTTATAGCGGACTTCTTGGGGGACTTCTTCGGTGATTTCTTCGGGGAGGGTGATCTTTTCCCTGCCGGCGGGGATGGTTCCTTTGTGGCCTTGCGCCGACGCTTAGAGACAGGTTGCACATCCGACCCGTCGCTATCCTCTGCGTCCTCGGTCTTTTCCCGCTTCAAGTTCTTGCCCGACTCTACCCCATTGGGTTCGGCACCAGTAGTCGGCTCGGTTCCATTTTCAGCATCTGCAGGCTCAGTGGCAGCATCACCAATAGATTTTTGCCTCTTTCCACCGAATGCCAGTGTCGTCTGTTTCTTTGGTGCTTGATTGGCGCCCGCATTTGAGCCGAAGAATCTCCTACAATCGCACGGCGAAGAACGTTAGCCAGTCCAGTCATCCGAGGCTCGGGTGAATGGGGAACTGAAGACCCGCGGATGATTTCCGCAGCGAATCTTCCATCCACGCACCCGATGGTCAATTGAGAATCGCGCACATACCCCAATGTAGCCTGTTTCCGACTCTTGTCGTCTGCCATCTTTGCGGAAAGTATTGAAGTTCTTGCCGATTGAAAGAAGTGCAAGGAAGGAAGTGAGGAATGACAAGCTATTGAGTGGAATAGGAAAGCTTGGTGGACAGTTGATGTTAATGAGAATGATGCCTTTGTGTACCGCGAAGCTGCAAAGATGTTCGGTTCGGAACGCGACAGCGAAGTGAGCGCGGATGGAATTCGCCGGCCGCGCATAGAAGAGCTTGAGAGGAAGACCACTGGCTCATTCCAGTCCAGGGGAGCCTCAAAATATAAAGTCCTGCCAAACAGCAATTCAACCAGGCAACAGACCCCAGTCGGATTTAGTTTCGCCAGGCAGCCTTGAGGATCTCACTCCACGCGACGTGACGCGCCTGTCACGTGGGAAGCTAGCTATCTTGCCTGGTCAGGAAACTATGGGTCACCGCCTGAATTAACCCGCAGAAGACCAGGCGGTGAGCCGTTTCAACGGTCATTGCCGGCAGTTGCGATCTTGAGCGCAACAGCTTGACAAGATGGGAGCTCGTTGATCGACAGGTTGAAGCCGAAGATCTCCGACCTGGAGCCTCAGATCTTCTTTCAGCTTCTACTCTTCAAATACACGCTTAGCCACAATGGCTGACGTGCGGCAGGAATCCTTCAACCTGGTATGTTAGGCCCACCCCACTGATCATATTCTGCAAGTGACTGACATTCAGTAGCTACGTGAGCCCTGTGTTGAGCTCAGTTCTGTGGGATTACGGTTCCGTGGAAACCAGGCCTCAGCTTCAGACGTCTATCAAGCCCTCGAACCCGTGCATCATGCTTTGGTGGAGCTTGCGACGAGGAACGCACTCGATGGGAAACTCGCCGAATATGCCTTCTTCCCGCTCTCGCATATCTTCAACGAAACGCAACGGCTTCCAGCACGATGCCTCGAATCAGCAGTACAATCCCTACACCTCTTGGTATCAGATGGCTGGCGAGAGCAATTATCGCCGGCGCTGGGAAAGCAGTTGATCATACTGTTGACACTGATTGTGGGAGGCTCTCCAAATAAGGTCGAGGGGCAACAACCTTTGAAGGCGCAAGTGGCAGAGGAGTTGTCTGTTTCATGCTTTGATTGTCTTCGCGCCATCTTCGATATGCTCCGCGGACCGGTCGCAGATCGAACCATCTTCCACGAGATTGGTACGGCTACGGTTATCGACCAGACCGTATACATCTTGCTCGACGGCGTTGTGGATGAGAGATCCGATGATATCGGCGTATCAGCATCTAAGTCACTCAAATCTCTCTATTCTCGAATCACAGACCGTGTCGTGTTAGCCAGCATCATGCCTCGCACTGTTTCCGCACTAGCAAAGGTGATACGTCCCACCACACAAGCTCGGCGGTCCTACAAGCTCTTGGAAGTATGTCTCGAGATACTCAATCAAATGCTGAAAGTCGTCCTGAATGATCGTGCCGTCGGAAGTACGGAGAAGGCCTCGCCTATTTCCACAGAATCGGATAAAGTCGCACTTGATACTTCCTGGCTCAAGGCTACAACTACACAAATCAAACTAGCCCTTGTCCATGTAACCCAGGTCCGTCGTCATCAAAGACCAGAGGTTCAATCTGCTCTGTTGGATCTCTGCGTGATGGTGATCGAGGAGTGTCAAGTCGCTCTGAAGGATGCTATTCCCATAATGGCTGAAACGATTGTGGTCTTGGCCGATAAAGAAGGCGATGAACCGAACCAGGCTTATTTGACCCTCCTCCATCTCGCTACCACGTACCCAGTCGTGTTAGACTCTCTGAAGGAATCGCTTCATACTTGGCTCACAGCCTTTCCGCGGATTATGCAGAGCAACGACGAAACCGCCAAGCAATGGGGCATTCGACAAATTTCTACTGTCTTCCAAATATTATCTCAGCTCCAATCGGGATCAGACCTGCTCACAGGTAGTCTAGCATCTGGCCTGTGCGATATTATGGGGGCTGTGGTGAAGTATGATACGAAATCACTGCAGTCAATCTCGTCACCGGGCGGGTTGCGCTGGGATGTACTTGCCTCCGAGTCTAAGTCAATAGCCTTTCCTCCCATCCTACTTGAGCATCAGAGCCAGCAGCAAACCCTCAAGGACGTGCGAGCGTTTATTGTCAGACTCAACCTTTCGGAGCTAGGAAATGAAATTACAAGATCTATCATCAACCGCTTGCATGCTACCTCGAAAGATTCTGCCGTGGCTCCATACTGGCTAGCTTTGACTTCACTCCAGGCGCAGTCGCAGCAATCAGCCGATTTTGATGACTTCATTGTCGATGACCATGTGGAGCAATCTAAATCGCTCGCCAGCCGCGGTGGCATGATTGAAGAGCTGTACTACACTTCATTGACGATTTTGAATGACCTCCCTGTAGATGGATCTGGTGATTGGCGAATGTCAGCTCTCGCGCTGCAAGCTGTGGCTCTTCAAGCTCAGCAGCTGGGAGAGGCATTCCGGCCTGAGCTGATGGATGCCTTGTATCCAACTCTGCAACTACTTGCTTCCAACAATACAACTGTCCAGCGCCATGCCATGATTTGTCTGAACGTTCTCACTGAAGCATGCAATTATCCAGACACCAGCTCCATGATCATCGAGAATGTGGACTACTTGGTGAACTCGGTAGCCCTTAAGCTGAACACCTTTGACGTGTCCCCATACCCTCCCCAGGTGCTCTTCATGATGGTCAGGTTGTGTGGTGCATCAATTGTTCCATACCTGGATGACCTGGTGGACTCTATCTTTGGCATTCTTGATCTGTATCACGGTTATCCCAAGTTGGTCGAAATGATGTTCAAAACTTTGGCTGCTATTGTCGAGGAGGGGTCAAAGAAAACATCGCTATTGACAATTGACAGTGGCAGAGAGAAAGGGCCCCATGACAGTCGCAAATCAAAATATCAGCACTTGTTGCTCTCGACCGTCGCAAGTGACATCGCGAACCGCAAGGCCAAGCGTATTGAAAACGTCGAAAATGACGTTGAGATTGATGGCAGCCTGTCTCATCCTAATAAGCCCTGGTCGGAGACTTATGAGAAGCCCCAACCCGAGCCTGAGACCATTGAAGAGCTGTTGGCGAAAGCTGAATCCGATGAGCCACTCCCTCCTCCCAAGGAACCAGAAGATAGCGAGAAGCCACTGAGCAAAACGCACTCACTCTTGCTCCACATTGTCAAATCCATCCCATCCCACATTTCGTCACCGTCGCCATTTCTTCGACGCTCTCTCCTCTCAATACTCATTGAAGTGCTGCCATCCCTATCTCAGAACGAGAACAGTTTCCTGCCTCTTATCAATGATCTTTGGCCGTCAGTCGCGTCCAGGGCCATATTCCCATCTTCTTTTGCCAGCAAAGCTTCCTCCTCGTCCACTCTCATGACCCAGCCGTCCGCCGAGTCTCGAAACTCTACCAACCAGCCCGATACCCATACATTCCAAGAGGAGACTTTCGTCATTACCTCGGCTTGTCAGGTAATTGAAGCTATGTGCAAAGGTGGGGGTGATTTCATGGCCTCGCGTGTTGAAACAGAGTTCCCACGTTGGCTGCGGCTCTACCAACGTGTGTGGACTCAGGTACGGCAAGATGCCGAGGCGGCTAATGAGCGACGGGCTCGACAACAAAGAAAGACTAGCGTGCCCCCGACCACCGCGGTATCAGTGATACAGCCTGCAGGTACCGAGTCTGAGGACAGTTTTGCACTGACGCCCTCTCTCACCTTGTCACCGACTACCTCCGGCTCGCGAACATTTACACCCCAGCACGCTCTGTGGGGGGCTTTGATATCTTTGTTCATTACAGTCCTCTCTCATGTCCGGCTGCCCTTGGAAGTGGGTGATCAAGTCTGTGAGATTCTGGGAGAATGGATCGCACTCTTCGTTGGGCCAGAATACTATTTCCACGCCTCAGAAAGGACTTTCTCTCTAGCATCGGATGATGTCCTTAGAGGCATGATTGAATCGGTGGAGGATGCCATTCGCGCAATGGAGACCTGGAACCCTGATCTGACTTGGCTTATCATGGCCTCACATCGAAACAAGTCATCTTCATCGCGTGTGTCCGAGCCAAATGAGGTAATTGACGTCTTTGGCGAGTCGTTGCAGTATGCGAAAGTAGCATTCTAGCCCTCCCATTGTTTAGATAGAATAAATTGAAGAAATAAATGTACAAATCAAACATCATGTATTGAACTTTGGTTTTCAGGAACACAATTTCTGATAACTAACAACCTTCCCGTGATTATTTCGGTCGGATTGATTTCCTCAGTGTCATTTCGTCCTAGTCGGCATCTTGGGCGACATGATCACCTATCTCACCATTATCCGTAACAAGGATTATTATCTACGCTACGGGTAGGCTTTACTTTGGTAAATCTGTCCAGACTCGGCGTTCCACATGGCCAAAGATGTGTTTGGATGATACCCAAAATAACCCTTTCAACAAGTGGCAAAGGGATCTTTGTAGCTTATACCTGTCAAAGAGGCAAGGATGAGAATGGGCTGGAAGGTCATGCCACTCCTCGTGGACAATGGAGTCGATTTCGATAAAGGACTTTAGAGAAGACTTGACAAAGGAGGAACGAATTTCAAGATTGGGGCTTGTCCATAAAACAATGCAACCTTGGAGCAAACTCGACTATGAAGAAATGATCATCGTGTAGTGTAAACAAAGAGGTCTGAGATACAAAGCCTTTCATAATTGCTTCCAATTGAATACTTAAAGGGCTAGATCCCTAGCCTAGTACTCATCACACCACCAGGTTCAGCGTCAAGAGCTCGCTCCCCTAAAATCTAAAATTTGAATACCGATCGCAAGCTGCATTTACGACCTAACCCGAACTCCTTGCCAACACGGCCTTCCACTCATCCACAAATTCCACAAACAAATTTCTCACCATGTTCGTCAACATATACTTTGAGGCCGCAGACAGCCATCTAACCGACTACGCCCTTCTAGAGGTCATGCTATTGCGCCTCGAGAACGGCAAGGCCAGTCTGACCCTCGATCCTGAAGACGAGGAGATCGCAAATTGTTTCTCATTCGAGATAGCCGGATCCTGCCAGGCATGGGCCTACGCTGCTGCGATCCACAAGGTGTCGTCTTGGGTGCGGCGTGTGCATAAGCATGGTCTTCCGTTCGATCGTGCGGATGTTTTTCAAGTTGGTTTGGGTTTGAATATTCCGATGTCGCGGTAAGTGCATGCATTATTTGTTGCTAGGGAGCGCAGATTAAAGAAGTTTCTTTTCTGAAATGTTACGACATTTTTCTCTTGATGTTTCCCCATGACCTGCAAGTCCGTAAGATAATTGTTTGTAGATATTCAAACACATCTCCTATTATGAATTCATGGCGCCCGTAAGCTTTGGCTGGAGACTGCGGAGGTTAGACGGTTCTCGCAACTTGATTGCAGGCAGTAATCATGGCCTTCATAATGATCATCACAGGTCTTAGCTCAACACGTTCATCAACGATCTTCTCGACGTGGTCATTGACCCAGCACACTAGAGCAAGGTCCGACTCGATATCTTCATGCTCAGGATTCCCAATGATATCCAAGCATAGGATGAAAAACGGGATGAATTGCTGGAGCAAGATAAGACTATATTTATGAAGCGTCAGTAACAAAAGACACAAGTTTGAGTAAGATGTGGGTCTCACATACCTTATTCCCCAATATGCGTTTAGTGATGATCCTAGAAGGGACTGGAACGCTTGTATCGACTTTCTTGATATATCCACGGTTTCATGTGGCAAACGGTCTTTTTCCTGCCCACTCTTCTTCGACTGGTGAAGAATGATTAGGATTTTGTAGCTGCTGAAAATCATGTCCACGCAGAACCATGTGTCGATCTGCGTCTTAGCCATTCGAAGAAGCTCGTCCTTGACCGTGTTAGCAATAATTTTTGACAGGAGTTGGAGTAGATCCTACCGTGTCCCAATCTCGCATGATTAGCTGTACCTCCTCAAGGAAGCTGTCAATCGTTGCATCATGCGAGACCGGGTTAGGGTCTGGTCCCAGGTCAACCCAGTCAAGGTATTTCATCACAACTAGGGCTAGTCGCATAGAAGCCAGGAAATGGATTTGGATAAAACGAGAAGATTCGTCGCCGACGCCAGTAATCGTAGGATCGGGGAAGTTGACCTTCCAGGAGCCCGGTGGGATAAGAGTCGGCTTGCCGAAGGACAGTCGAAAAAGACAATCAGTCCGAAGTAGATGCCAGAACTCAAATCGTTTTCGATTTTTCTCTGTTTCGGTCTCATCGACTGTCGATACTTGCGAGGGCGATGACTGTACATCTGTCCCTTCTGGATTCTCGTCCATGGAGAAATAGCCCAAGGCCTTGGCGATCGTTAAGGCATGACCAAGCATCTTCCAGGACATCTCGCTGTTGCAGCTCTCGAGCGCCATTGACATCTGGTACTGTGTTAGGGCTTCTTGGTTTGAATACAAGGTGTGTGCCAGTACTTGCCATGAGAACTGCCGTATACAGATCAACAGGTGTATTCTGGATGTGGTCAAGCCAGCAATTGGCTAGTGTCAGACACTTCCGGTAGAGATGTTTGATCAAGGCACCATTCTCGTTGTGAGAGCCGGGGTCTAATACGATCCCTGACAGAGTAAGGGCATAATAGATGATTTGGGACTTATAGTCAAGCTGAACGTGAGGATTGTCCAGTAGATCGGGAATGGACAGCAGAAAGCTTTTTTCCAGGGGAATTTTGAATCCTTCAAACTGATAGATATCGTAATAATCTAAATATCACATTAGCAAACATGCGACGACAAAAAGAGAAATGAACTTGCTCTGAATAAATTTCCTTGCTAGGTCGTGTGGAAGGTCAGGGCTTGCTAGCCCCTCGTCGACTGGTGTGTTTTGAAGATGTTCAATTTGTGGCATCGCAGCAGCGATGGCCGCCATGCAGGTTTCATTTTCAAAAAAGCATGATTCGACTGCTCGTAGATGACTGAATACATTGGTGAGAAGAAGTGCCCGACTTTTTGGGTCTTTGATGCGACTCAAGATACCACCGATCACGCCGGGCGGGGTTGGACCGTGCGACTTGTCCGAGAACACAGGTCTAGATATATCCGAATCGACGGACGAACGTGACATTGAGAGATCGGCATGTTCGTCAGTGTCTGGACCTTTCTCCAGGCCACAATGTTCTTCTAGACGTTTGAGGCGGTTGAGAACATCTATTAGAACATTGTTCTCGTTGTTCTCGTTCCCATTGTCCAATGTGGGAACTATTGAACCTGAATCATGGGCACGCAGGTACCCTTGTTTCCTAGGTCGCGGCGTTCGTAGCTTCCGAAGCCGGTATACGCACTCGGCCCCAATGGACTCACACTTGTCACACTGAGGTGCGACTCGATTGCATCGAATCTAAGAACCCGTTACTCAGTCTTGTCCGAGCCGGTAGGATCGCACCGTGTATATACCTTTTTGGGTTTGACAGCGACTGCACTAGGACTTCTTAGTTAGGGCCAAATTGTAGCGTTCAGGGGATGAGGCTCACCGAGATACTCTCCACGGCGCGCCGGGTAATCATATCCTGGTATTGTTTCAAGACGTGATCAATAGAAGTTGAAGGATGACGAGGAAACAACCAAGAGTCCGAAAGTCCGGGAGAGTGAACAAAGTGGATCTGGGGTTCCGGGATTTCCCCAAACCCCGAAAGTCCGGAGTGGCCCGTGCCCCTTTGAAGCGGAACATGACGCCACTTAGGACTGTTCCAAGGTCCAACTAACTGCATCAGGAAACTTCTCGTTGCTGCACCGTACCTCTTTAGCCTAGAGCTACACTGGCCCCGGTACGTTGGGCCAATCAAAGGTCCAACAAACTGACCGATCCACTACTCTGATATTGGTAGGTCTCGTATTTCGTTCCATCTCCAGGCAGCACACACCTGTCCCGATTAATCATTATTCTTGCATGACTGACATATAGATCGAAAGAGTTGCCTCCCATTTCGCTGCATGGTTTTCCTTCACCCACCACACACCCATATCTACTCACAAAGATGGGGCTTTTCTCCCAAACCCCTCCACAGGAAGCTGTGGCAGAGGAAAATGTGGCCGATAAAAAGTCCCCGATCGGAGTGTCCCGCTCAGCGTCAACAGATGACCATCCAAACGATGAGCTCCCTGTGTCCAAGGAGGATTCCGAGGTGGAAGAGACGACTGCACAATCTACCTCGCTCAAGGATTATTTTGTATGTGCCTCTCATCAGAGGGAGATCTAAGATCTAATGTGATAAATTACTAACAAAACATAGAGAGTCCTATCTTACACGACCACCAAAGATCGAGTCGTTCTCGCGATCGCCCTGATATGCTCTATCGGATCTGGTGTCGTATGTGTCTTCTTATTTCGTTTAAGCCAAACCCGTGGGATATAAAACTGATGTCGCATTAGCCCTTGCCGATCATGAATATCGTCTTTGGTGGACTGGTAGGGGAATTCAGTTCATACTTTACCCCTGGAACCTCGACCACTGAAGCCCACTTCAAAGCGTCAGTTAGTCGGCTCAGGTAGGCGAAAGGTCCTTATTCTTCCTGAGCTTATACATTGCTAATCGCTGAAAAGCCTGTACATCGTCTACCTCTTCATCGCGAAGTTCACATTGACATATTTCTCGATGGTAAGTACTGAATCCCTAACCCAACAAACTCTACGCTAAGAAAAGGCTAAATTGTTGCACCCTAGTACTGCTTTCGTGTCATCAGTCTCCGGGTTTCAGCTGCCATACGGTTAGAGTACATGGAGTCGCTCTTCTCCCAACCAATCAGCAAGCTGGACCAAGTCTCGGTTGGAACAGTCGTTAACGCAATCACCACTCTCTCCAATTCGATCCAGCAAAGCATCTCGGACAAACTGGCTATCCTCTTCCAATCTACCGCCTTGCTCCTCGCCGCATACATCATCGCCTTCAAATACTCATGGGCACTCACTCTAGCTACCAGCTCTTGTCTCCTCTTCATCGTTATCATCTGCTGCCTGACCTTACCCGCTGTCTCGAAGATCCAACAAAAGGTGGACAAGGCAGATGAGAAACATTCAGGAATCGCCGCGGAGGTCTTTGGCTCGATTCGAACTGTCATCTCGCTTGGTGCCGAAGCGCCTTTGGCCAAGAAATATCGTCAATGGGTTACGGAATCTCGGAACAGAGGGCGAAGCATGGCTATAGTGATTGGTGTCCAGTTTGGGTTAATGTTTTTTGCTATATATGCCAGCTACTCACTGGCGTTCTGGCTTGGACTGAAGCTTTTCCGGGAGGGTCACATTCCAAATGTTAACACGGTTATCATGTAAGTGGATTTGTTCTTCCTTGATTGCACTTGCTAACGACGACTCGCAGTGTTTTCTTCTCAATCATGATCGCAGTCAGTGTTCTTGGAAACATTGCGACACCATTGACGATGATTTTCAAGGCGGCCAGCGCGTCGACCTCGTTCTTTGAAATCATAGACTCAGAGAGAATTGCCGCAGGCGGTCTTCGTGACTCGGAGGCTTTAGCTCAGGGCGATATCTACTTCAAGAACGTGGAATTTACGTACCCCACACGGCCAGAGAGCAAAATTCTAAATGGATTGAACATTGGATTCGAAAGAGGAAAGACCACGGCTTTAGTGGGTCCATCGGGGTCTGGAAAAAGTACCATCGTCGCTCTCCTGGAGCGGTGGTATGCCCCGGAACAAGGAGGTATATTCCTCGACGAACGAAATATTGAGGAGTTGGATCTCAAATGGTGGCGGTCCCAAATTGGACTCGTACAGCAAGAACCCTTTCTCTTCAACGACACGATTTTCAAAAACATCTCGTTTGGCCTTGTCGGCACTAGGTGGGAGAATGAGCCTGATTCTGTGAAGGCAGAATTGGTAGAGAATGCATGCAAAGAAGCATTTGCAGATGAATTCATCGAGCGCCTCCCAAAGGTATGTCCAATGTGCTTCTAAGGGATGGCTTCGAACTAACCACTCCAGGGGTACGAAACCATCGTGGGAGAGAACGGCACCAAACTGAGTGGCGGTCAAAGACAGCGTCTCGCCATAGCCCGAAGTATCGTAAAGGGGCCTACCATTCTGATTCTCGATGAGGCCACCAGCGCAATTGACGTCCGTGGGGAGAAGATCGTTCAGGCGGCACTTGATCGCGTCTCCAAAAATCGCACCACAATTGTGATTGCACATAGATTGTCGACCGTTCGGCGGGCCGATCGAATTCTGGTTCTAAGAGGCGGTGTCATTATCGAGGAAGGCACACATGAAGAGCTTCTTGGAATGGAGGACGGGCTTTACCGAGGACTCGTTAATGCTCAAAAACTTGAATTCGCCGCAGAGGAAGACGCAGGTCCAATGGAGGTCACGGAAGCCTTGGAGGAGGAACTTGATCATTCCACGACTGTCATGTCCAAGCAACCAGAAGATGTACAGGAGGAGAAGGTGAAATCTCGCGGGTTCTTCCAAAGCACGGGTGTTTTTATTTACGAGGCGCGGTCACATTGGTTCCTTTGTCTGACTGCTATACTGGGGGCAATGGGTGCTGCATGTAAGTTCTGTTGTCTGGGACTCAATGTACCTGCTGGCTGACCATTCCATCAGCGGCCTTCCCTTTACAAAGTTGGATATTTGCCAACCTCATCGATGTTTTCCGCCTGACAGGAAAAGAGTTGACAGATGGTGCCAATTTCTGGGCTTTGATTTTCTTCATCCTGTCTCTTGGCATCGCAGTCTGCTATGCCGCGGTCGGATACTCAGCCAACAGGCTCTCCGTTGTGAGTAAATGGTGCCTTGATCAAGATTTACCATTCTAGTCTAACATAAGTCTTAGGAAATATCCTCCTCTTGCCGAACGGAGTACTTCCAAAATATTCTGAAAAAGCCCGTTCCGTTCTACGACTTGAACGAGAATGCCTCCGGATCCCTGGTGTCCCGGTTAGCCACCGACCCCAAGCAGATTCAGGATATGATCGGGCTGAACGGCATCTTCCCTGTCATCTCAGTCTGCAGTATGATAGGTTGCATTGCCATCGCCTTCGCTTTTGGATGGAAGCTAAGTCTCGTGACCGTGTTTGCCGCTCTCCCCTGTGTCTTCCTCGCCGCATTCATGCGTATCCGATACGAACTGCAGTTTGAAGCCCTCAATGCAGAAGTGTACTCAGGCAGTTCCCAGTTTGCAGCAGAAGCTATCCAGGCATTCCGTACAGTCTCCGCGTTGACTATGGAGGATTCAATCTTGAACCGGTATTCCGGTCTTTTGAAGCAACAGCAGAACAAAGCCTTCCGCAAAGCTTGGCTGGCAACCCTGGTGTTTGCTTTCTCTGATAGCGTTGAGCTCTGCGCTATGGCACTCACATTTTGGTACGGTGGTCAGCTTCTCGCATCCAGAGAGTACGAGCCCACGTCCTTCTTTGTTGTTTACATGTCGATCATCCTCGGTGGACAACAGGCTGGTCAATTCTTTAGCTTTGGCCCGAATATTGCACAGGCTACATCCTCGGCCAATCGAATTCTGAACTTCCGACCAGCTTCAGAGGAGGTTAGTGCTGCTTCCGGGCAGCGTGTGGCTGATCAATCTCCTGGGTCAGGGGCTCGCATTGACTTCCAGAATGTCGCGTTCAAATACGCGTCACAGGAAGTTCCTCTCTTCACGGGCCTTGATGTCACAATCGAAAGTGGCCAATTCGTGGCATTTGTCGGACCGTCAGGATGTGGAAAGACCAGCTTGATCTCGATTCTTGAGCGATTCTACAGTCCGTTCCGTGGCACTGTTCTCCTTAATGGCGAGGACATCAACTCGATTGACCAAACTTCATACAGACGGTCGTTGTCATTGGTAGCCCAAGAGCCACGTCTGTTTGAAGGCACCGTCCGTGACAATATCACCCTCGGACTCGAAAGCTCAGAGTACACAGAAGAAGAATTGACTCAAGCTTGTATCGATGCCGAGATCCACGATTTCATCACTTCCCTTCCACAAGGATACCTCACAGATCTAGGCATCAAAGCCCAGCAATCTCTCAGCGGAGGCCAGCGCCAGCGTCTGTGCATCGCGCGTGCACTACTCCGAAAACCATCTCTACTCCTCTTAGATGAGGCGACATCAAGTCTTGACTCACAGTCCGAAAAACTAGTTCAGGCCGCTCTCGAAAGACTGGCTGGACGGCGGAGTATGACTATTGTCGCGGTTGCACACAGACTGGCGACTATCCAGAAGGCAGATGTTATCTTCGTTTTTGGGGAAAGTCAGAATGGAAAGGGGTCGCGGGTCGTCGAACGGGGTTCGCATCAGGAGTTGCTTCAGAATCGGGGGACTTATTGGCAGATGGTTCGTATCACATTCTTCCTTCTTTCTCTTGTATTGGAAACAGGTTGCTAACTGAGCTTTAATGTAACAGTGCCAGGCAAATGGCCTCGATCGGTAGATCTCTTCTTCTGATGGATGCTATTTCATCGTATCTCTCGGCTCAACCATATTGTACAATAGATCAAGCATATCACCTCTCCACTAAGGAGAAAAAATATTTCTCACAAATCACGTCCTTGTCCGATTGAGGTAATAGTTTATGCGATAAATTGTCTTTTACTCGGGTAGTATTAGCCTGTTCTATCTGTAGACATTTACCTATGGCTCTTCTAGTTGAAATGGATGTGGCGATTAAAAGCCAGCACATATGCAACGCTCCTATTGGGGAAGAAGCATCGGAGATATTTATTGGCTGACGGCACTATAAAACTCCGGTGTCAATGTTGATCTCTTGATATCTAGGGAAGGATCGTGTCTTTTCCAAAAGGGCTAACAAAACTATATTTCAGTGAAGATTTTTACATCGAACCGGGACAGTGAGAATTTACTCAGTATCCTGTACTTGGACTGGTGCTGTTCAAGGTCCAAATTTAGAGGCCGTAAATGGTCCAACATGCGGATATGCTAAGCCCGCCCTCTTCAAAAAGATATTTCCAAATGTCATCTAATTCGTCATTTTTGATCGTTCAGATGGTAAGTGTCCGTTTATTTTTCAATAAATATCTGGGAAATATTTTCTGGAAATCCTAGGTAACCAGGATCACGAAAAACAACTCTATCTGTTATTTAGCCACGACGGATCTATCTCAGTTAGCCTAACTTGACTAAGCGGAATAACTCGCTGCAACCATCTTCCCCATAATGCCTGTCTATGACAGGATCCCTGTACATAAGGGACACATCTTAGATCCGCTAACCAATCAAGGCAAGTCCCTGAGAGCAGCTTGCAGGAACACAAGGTTACATATAAGTATTTAAGGAAGCCCCTCTGACTCAAACAAAATTGATTCTTCTCGTATTCCTGGTTTAAACACCTAGGCCGCTTTTACACGCGATGGGAGAGTCCTCATGCAAGACCATAGAGCCGTTGACGGTGCTGGTTGTCGGTGCGGGCATCGGAGGACTTTCAGCAGCGATTTTTCTTCGGCGCCAAGGGCACAACGTTCGGGTAAGGATTGCTACCACCACTTTGTTCTGTATGTTAATAATTTCAAGGTATTTGAACGATCCAGGTTTTCGGCAGAAGTTGGCGCTGCTATCCATGTTGCTCCAAACTGTCAGCGACTCCTAATGCGACTCGGACTATCAACGGCTGACCATGGTGGAACTCCTCTGGAAAGGGTCAGCAACCTTCTAGTTTCTTTTACTCATAATCTAGATTCCAGGTTGACGTTGGTTTTGCTACAAAGTTCACTCTTTATGCACATACAGGGGAGAGAGTTACCACGATGTCCCTGACAGAAAACATCATGAAAGCCGGAGCTGTAGGTGAAAGACAGAGCTACTGAAATTGGAAGTAAATTTTCACTAACATCTTGAATAGGGTTGGAATTTAATTCACCGAGCGGATCTCCATTCGGCGCTTCGAGATCTCGCATTGTCGACTGAGGGGGCGGGCGTACCAGTGCAGCTTTTTCTCAACTCCAAAATCATTGGAATGGATGTCACAAAGGCAACTCTGACGCTGGCAGATGGCCGATCATTTACAGGAGATCTAGTTCTTGGTGCAGACGGCTTTCATGTTTGTAACATCTTTCTACCCCATGTTACAAGATCATCCGAGCTGACTCCGTGATATATAGTCTTGGACTCGTTCTTTCGTCGCCCCAGAGTCCCCTCCACCTTTCCCATGGGGGAAGAGTTGCTTTCGGTGGCTTATCCCATATGAAGAGCTAGAGAAGGAACTGCCGAGCGACGACAAAAATACTATGTACGAGTGGACTGGCGCAGATAGAAGGATCATCGGGTACCCTTGCTCGAATCATTCGATTGCAAACTTTGGCGCTTTTGTACCCACTTCTGAAGTGACAAGCTCTAATCGAGGTAACACTCCGCCGTAAACGAGAAGGTCGGTTACCAGTTCTAACGAATACTAATAGATTGGAGTAACCGGGCAAGTAAAGAGGAGCTACTTCGGTGCTTTAAAAGCTTTGATTCCTCCATTCAGCGGATATTGAATCAAGTACCAGAGAGCGAACTCAAGATTTGGGAGCTATTCGATATGGATAACCTTCCAAATTGGGTGAGTGGCTCCTGCGCCCTTTTAGGTGATGCGGCGCATCCATTCCTACCCTGTAAGCACCATGATAACCAATCTATGTCCCCACTCTACCCCCAGTCAACACCACTCCTACTAACACACATGGCAATCAGTCATGGCTCAAGGAGGAGCAATGGCAATCGAAGATGGCGCATCACTTGGCGCTCTCCTCCCACTAGGAACAACCAGGGCAGATGTACCATCTCGATTGCAGTTGTATGAAAAATGTCGCAAGGAGCGGGTGGAAATAATCCAAGATTTTACACGCCGTAGCGGACGGAACAACGATGGCATTGAAGGTCCCCGTCCCAATGGTAAGTTGGGCTCCGAGTTTTTCTTCACTTTGGGTGCAATCTAACTGGGGAATACTTTGTAGCCGAGGAAATTGCAAACTTCGTACCTTTTTGTATAGAATATGATGAGTGGGAGAATTCGTCCGAGATTTTGGTTGGACAGATTGACGCTTGAATTTCATCTACATATTTTGTATTTGTCTTCCTTCATATTTGGCTCTCTCACAATCTATTATCCGAATACTAATTTAGAATGTTCTTATAATTAAATATATTTCGAAACTAATCCAAGCACATGGATACGACCATAGGATGTGGAGGACAGCGCTTCCCCGCCGCCCAGCCGTCTTAGGTAAAATACTCATAGAGACTGGCCCACATGTATTCGCTTTTCTTGCATAATGGTATACCCATGTTAGACAGGTTAGCAGAATCATGTTTGTATGCAAGTTAGCAAAGTGGTTTATCATAGATATACGAGAGGGCTGGTACTCAAGAATAGAATACAATATGTTATGAGGTGTCAGGTAATTACCTGGGACACGATGATACGATCTCCATACTTGGAACTATATAAATCCACTCTCCCACCATCTTTGCAAGGTATCTACCACCACAATTACCAACCAGAAAATCCCTCCACCAAAACCAAGAACAAGAGAAAAAAAGATGTCCATATCCCTCGCCAACGCCGACCACGCGAGTCGCCCCTCGGCCATCTTCCTCCGAAACATCCACGGCTCCAAATGGGGCTACGCCATCTACCGCACCAATTACGATCCCGCGCTGGAGGCCGCCTGGACACACACCCTGCACACCATCCGCTCGCACATCGTCGCCTGCATCGAGGAGGAGTTGCATAAGCCCCTGTCCTGGATGCGCATTCCCGCCGTGGACTACCAGCGCATCCGCGACGACCCCTCCCTGTGTCCAGCGGTGGACCCGGCGCCAGTCGACGCGGTCAAGACGGCGCTGGAGCTGATCGTCCACGACGACGCCGCGCGCTACGACAGGCTCTCCGTGGAAGATGTTCGCGAGGCCTTCCACTCCCTATGTACGGACGGTGACCCCGCCACGCCGTCAGTCGCGGAGATCTTCGCGAACCCGCCTCTGTTTGTACGGATACGCGCCGGACTGCTGGTGTCAGCGGACGTGTGCTTGATGGTGGATGGGGAGGTGCTGCGCGCGGTGAGCCAGGACCTGCGCAATGAGTACGGCGAGGGCCCGTTTGTCAAGGCCGTTGAGCGGTTGCCCTGTCTGGGACCCGACTACGAGGGCTGGTTCAAGGTCGCGCTGACCTATCTATGGCAGCTGGTCATGCGGGCGAAAAACAGCGATGGTATGGATCTGATCTTGCCGCCGAAACGGCACACCACTGGTGAGCGGCCCATCTATAATGGCTCATGGCCAATGGATATGCAGTTGGAGTCTGCCGGCATTTACCCGGAGGATATAGCTGAGATCGAGGAGGCCTATGCAAGGGTGGTGTAGACTATTTGCTAATGAACGATCGTCCCTGATGAACTTATTGTGCTAGCAGTGATATAATACTCGTGATGGCCTAAATGAAGTTACATTGCCATCCTTCGTCCGTTCTTGGCACCACTTTAGCCGGCGGAAATAGTTCGATTTGGGGGCGGGTTGGCATTGGCAAAGGGGTTGGCATTGGCAAAGGGGTTGAAATGTCAGCTACGGTACAAGCCGTGAACATATATCACGACCAGAGCAGAGTTTTAAGCCGACAAAGACCTCGACGCTGATTGACCCAGTCGTCTGTTTAGCTTAGAGAGGAAATATCGCCATGAGTCTTAGTTTTGCGCTTGAGGCATCTCCCTGGCTCATTGCAGCTAATGAGAATCGTAACACCCTCGCGCAATTGGCTAGGACAGCTAGTACGATCTCTAAGCCCTGCCAAGGCCATCAACAAGGGTCCTGGGAGCTCCGAACTGTTGACTTGCGGGATAGCGGTATTTGCTTTCATTTCGGGTATCAGCCATCGAAGGATCTAATTGAACTAATACAATGGATGTGCTCATTGAGGAACCCAATCAAACTTTGATACGTAGCCGGTTGCCTCAATTTGAAGCATTCTTCTAAGGACCGGAAACCCCATGGATTTCCTCGATAGTCTACGCGTGTGTTACTAGTATCACCTGGTAAAAGCTGTCTTCGCATCCAATAGTGTAATATTTTTTGTGAGGTAGAAGTATGTACTGGGCTAGGCAATTCAAAAATGGTGCCTCTAAGACCCAAATCAGAATTGATTGAGTTCCACCTTGAGACCAATTTCAATGCTGGGGCAGAGCCCCTTCTGTTGTAAAGCATCGACCGTCAACCTAGGCTTCTTCAGCATCACCCATCCGCACGACCATAGCTTTGGAGTCCAACTCCTTTCCCAGCACGTGTAGACTGTGAATATGCTAGTTGGACTGGTCTTCGCCGCAATCATGAATAGGCCTCTTGTTTCTGCAGATAGCCTTCAGCTCTTGACATGCGATGTTCCCATACTCCTGCAAGTACTGTCGCATGACATCACCACAACTCACCAGAGTGTCCTGCTATGCATTATTTTCCGACACTTTTGCGAGACGAAGGACAAGGAGCACCATGTTCGATATGTATGACTCGTCTAGCAGATAGGGGTCCGTAAAATGACGAGCAAGCCTGTCATGCTCCTTGTTTCGGAAACGTCTCACCAACTCAATGGAGCGTTGATGCATTCCGAGATAGTTGAACAGAATGCTCGGCTCTTCTTCAAACAGCTTGGATTTCAGCGCTTCCAAAAGTTCGAGCACTCAACTCACCCCTTGTCACGCGACGCTAAAGCAGCACTCAATGCACTCATCACACGATATTCTTTTTCCAGCTGATACTGGCACATACGACCATAGGGTGTGGAGAACAGGGCTTCCCGTCCGCTCAGCCGTACTTAAGCCACACGCCGGCCAGTTAGTAGTATGGTGGGTGACCACATGCGAATCCTGGCTGTTGTATGTCCGTGTTCACCCGTTTTTGTCATTCGTTGGGACATTTGCCCTTGCCGCTTTACTCTTCAGCCCCTTCAGGCCCCTTCAGGCCCCTTCACCCGAATGCCCTGAATACCCCTGAAGCGCTAACGCGTGGCCCCTCGGCTAAACTTTCCCTCCCTCCTTCCCTCGTGGCCCAGTCCCAACTTTACTTTTTGGTGGCCTGAACTGATCCTGATTGTCGGAACAGCAGCAGATGTGGATACCCGGAGAAAGGAGATACTATAGACCCGCTAATATTAGTTATATATTGAGCCTATCTAAATTGCTAGTTAGGGGCTACAGAGCAATTCAGACCTGTTGATATCCTATTAGTGCACTAGTATAACCCACTAAGCAGTATTTCCGACTCTGATCGGAGCTAATCACGGAAAATAGATTCACCGTGGCTACAATAACCGTCTGGTCTAGTCTTGGTCTTGGCTTCTCTTCTCTAAGGACGTAGTGAAGATTTTGACTAGAGAAGAGGTGCAGAACGAGTGGCTCTCTCCTGTGGAAATAACCACAATTGAAGAGCTTTCCCGTGGCCGAATGCAAGGAGTACTTCACCAATTAAACCTGAACTGAACTGGCGACCTTTTTCATTCTCCCCGATGGACCACCACTGTGAAGGCCCTGGGGTTCTCTATCCGGGGAAAGGATCCACGCACGCCCTTGGACCTATTGGGTCGTGGGTTCTCATGTTGTTCCCTATGGAGATCCGATAGATATTGATTAGTGTTTAACCAACTATGGGCTGGCAGAGCCTCTACTTATTGGGTGCTTGCCCGGGCCCGTGTATGGAGGCTTTTGCTGGCTGCTAGTCGCTTCTTGCTTGGGGCTACATATGTCCGTATCTAATGTAAAAGGGTGTTCATGATCGCTTAGTCTTTACAGAAGGATATCGTGTGATCAGATCCGTTTTATCCAACCAGTACACCAGTTCGTAGGTGGATTTGCGGTCTTCACGACCGCGTTTAACGATGGCACAGGGAGAGAGCAATAGAAAGTCCCGGCTTGATTGTGGATCCCAGCTGGGGTAATTTTCCGTATACATATGGCCGGTTCCTGTGGTGTGGTGGTCAACGGGGGACCCGAGGGGCACACCTCTTTCCCAACGTCGAAATAGAACTCGGAGGATGTATAAGATTCCAAAACCGCATGTGTCCAGTACCTTTCAAAGCGTTGAGTCATGTGTTGCCAGGAATCGTCCTTAGTCATGAATTTCAGATTCTTAGCGTGGAGGAGAATTTGAATGTCTCGAAACATGTGCAGGCCGGGTCGGTCGGTGCTTTCTAGAATAGTCTCCCATATCTCGTGAAAAGAATACGGGGGAAGAAAATACCACAGCATCTGCTCACGGGCGACGGGATTTACTCGTTGGGAACGGAACTACACACCCCATGCGGTGGCATTGGCATGGCTGTGGTCGTAGCTGGACGGGTAGTGCTGTATGACTGAGCTTGGGTAGTGGCGTGAGATGACGGGGATCAGGACCTCTAAAGACCTTATTAAATTAGGTGCTACTACCTGTATGCAAAATTTCGCTTCAAAAAAGCTGGATTTTGTTTCGCGATCGAGTCGTAAATGTGCCGAAGGTTGGTGAGCAAAGAGACAGAACACTAGACAGTCTTTGAACGAAGTGCACTAAATTGGAGCTACGGTTTGATGGGAGCAGGACCTCTATAAGTATTGAAAGAGCTAACTTGAGTTTGGTCTAGCGCCTAACAGGAGCACATTTCCTAATTTGCAATTTGCGGGTACAATCAGATAACATAAACGGCATGACATAACGACTCCCTGATTGTCTACCCAGACCCTGAGTGAGGGGGTGAGCAGATCCCTGAGCAACCTTTAAGTGCTCAGAGAGCATACGGAAATGGTGGGCCGAAAAGTTCACGTGCGTGCTCGATAACCACGATTCTGGTAAAAAGGACGCTTAAAATGGCATCAAGTGTAGCCGTTTTCGGCACCCAATTTACAGTTACCTAGAGTTGTGCTGTAGACCAGCGTTGTATCGGACAGATTACTCTTGTACAATCTCAACCTTATCCTTATCTACTTCATTATTAACACACAGCATGGTAAACAGGGTTGTAGTCACTCACAAAAGGCGATATGGTCTTCGATATTCTTTGCCTTCTCATAGGGCTCTTTATAGTACCAGGCTGCATTTTCGATCGTTTTCCCTATGTGGGAGTGTCAGTTCTGAGATCCTTGTAGCCGCTAACGTCCGAAAGTGCCTACCATCAACGACAACATGCCAGTATGAAGCATATCCCTTCCATGAGCAGAAAGTCGACAAGTCAGAGTGCTCTAGGAAGCTTTGATCTTTGATCGCGGAAACCGGGAACTACAAGTGATATATCATGAGAACGGAGAACAGGTTTGCCATCAGGGCCAAGTCCACGCTAAAGTCATGGGTAGTCATGAGCGTACATAGACATTTTCTTCCACAAATTCCCACGAGTCTGTCGCCGCGATAATGTGGTCTCCCACCTTGGCCAAAGCACGTGGCATGTTGATCGCGTGGTGGTTGGATCGATGGATTACTGTAATGCAAGCGTGGCAAACAAGCGTATTCGCACTGCTGCTTGTATTCATACGGTGGTATTTAGACCCTTATATATGGTTGAATATATACAACCTAATACTATGAAACGACCATGTGCCGGTTCATTTTCTACTGTTGTGGTGTGATCAAGTTGGCGTGGTCGCTCTATGCAGCATCCGAGATCAGTGCGGAGGAATGCGGTGACGAAAGGAGTGTTCTGTTGCGCGAAAGACGCCGAAGCCGCCGAAGGCGTGATCCTAGAGTTGATTACACCACCATCTTGTTCTTTCAAATCTCCGACAAAATATCAAGTTTTCATCGTGTTTACTGAAATTAAGCTTATACGAAAGTTTGTGCTTGTTAAACCTCCGATTTTAAAGCGCCGAGTCATGCTTAGACTCATCACAGACAGACTAAACGGCACTGATTTGCATCAAGTGGCTGGAATTGTGGCGTACGGCCGAGCAGGAACCGTCAAAATAATTGAGAATCGGCAATTGACCGAGTACAGACTAAGCCCTCTGAATTCTACGCACTGTCCTCTCTTGCTTATCTCTTCTCGCCGTAAGGTGGCCATGGCAGAACAATTATCAGGATGGCGTGCTATATCTATATGGAAGGGAAGTATTTTGATGCTGTATTTCACTTTATGCACGGTGTATTTAATGAACACTAAGCGCCGGATTGGTAGAATTCTTGAGCGGTTTTGGGCTGCAACGAACACACATTGGCTCTAGGATTTCAGGCCAGCGAATCAACAGACGGCGCTCCCCTAAATCTGATTCTCGACAAACCCCATGGATATATCAAGCAGTTCCAAACTACAACTATCAGATCCGGCCACGCCACTGGATAAGCGCAGAGATGATGGGGAGTACGAGAGCTCCCGCTTTTCCAAAGATGTGCTAGAGAATTCGATTATCGATCCGGTTCTGTCGAGAAAAATGGAGCTGGTGAATGCTGCAATTGATAAGATTGGAATGACACCTTTCCAATGGAGGCTTTTCGCCTTGAATGGATTTGGCTACGCAGTCGATTCAGTGAGTCAGATTCTGCCATCTGTGTTTCAATTTGAGCAAGACTTACTTTACCAGCTTTTAGTAAGCCTTCAATCAATCGCTCAATCCGCAGTCGTGGCAGAGTATGGAAGTCCAAATGCGCAGCTTGCAAGCATTCCTCTCGCCTCTCAAATTGGGCTTCTGGTTGGGGCAGCCTTTTGGGGGCTGTCGGCGGACATCATTGGAAGACGGTTTGCCTTCAACGCTTCGTTATTCCTGGCCGCTTTCTTTGTGATCATTGCTGGAGCAATGCCGGGATACATTCCTTTCGCGACACTGTAAACACACCTGTTCTTTGCTAAAATTCCTGGCTAAATGCTGATCATGTGTATACAACAGGGTTGCGCTATACTCGAGCGCTGTTGGGGGCAACTATATTCTGGATGCTACAAACCTTCTGGAATTTGTCCCGAATGGATATTCCTGGCTGGTCACTCTACTGTCCATTTGGTGGGCTGTAGGATACACTGTTGCGGGTCTGCTTGCCTGGGCCTTTATGAGTAACTTCAGCTGCCCGGTGGATAGCACAGCATCTCCCTGTCTTCGCTCTGAAAATATGGGCTGGCGATATCTCCATTTCACCGGCGGTGGCCTGGTGCTGTTGTTAAGCATCCTACGACTTCTTGCTGTGCGCATGGTTCAGACACCCAAATGGTTGATTTCCCAGAATCGAGACGAGGAGGCGATTAAGTTTCTCAATTCTCTCTCCACAAAATATGATCGGCCATTCGACCTCACTCTTGAGGATCTCCGCCAGGAAGGTGATGTTCGTGATACAGAAATGTCGGTTTGGTCATATCCACGCCTGAAAGAGCATTTCTCGGGATTAATTCAAACTCGCAAGCTGGCTTGGTCATATACTGTCATCCTCCTCAATTGGCTGGTGATTGGCACAGTCAGCCCACTCTACTACGTTTTCCTGCCTTACTACCTGGCGTACCGAGGCCAGGACGGAGGCCCCAGTTCGAACTACATTACTTGGCGGAACTATGCAATCAACCAAGTATCTGGCTTGCTAGGGCCCATCCTGGCTGCAATATTGGTGGAAAGCAGATTTTTCGGGCGGAGAGGTACTTTGGCTCTCGGGGCATTTCTCACAATGGTATTGCAGTTTGGCTACACTCAGATTCAAACTCCTGCGCAAAACTTGGGTGTCTCGGCTGCCATCTCCGCGGCCTCGTAAGTTATTAACTTTATGCCGTGCTTAGGATTGTCAAACTGACTCGCTCATACTTTAGCAACTTGTACTATGGCACGATCTACGCCTATACACCGGAGATTCTTCCTTCGGCCCATCGGGCCACAGGCTATGCTCTCTGTGTGGTCCTCAACCGAATTGGTGGCATCATCGGTGTACTGGTCGGAAGTTATACGAACGTCGAGACTACGGCCCCGCTCTTCGTGTGCGCTGCGCTGTTTGCACTTCTGATTTTCTTAGCTCTCCTGCTTCCATTTGAAACCCGCGGGAAAAGAACCCAGTGAGAAATACGGCAGGCCTTCGAACTAGCGGCGGCGAACATGACAAGTTGGTCCCCAACAGGGAACCGACAATGAGGTTCGAATAAGGTGTCGCTGACAGGCGATTGCGTCTGAATGATTCTCAGACTATCCCATTAGGTGACCACAATTGAAGTAATTTAGCCCATAGAGTAGAGTAGATGTTAGGAATTGACGAGATTGATATCTGCGTAATATTGAACGTAGAGAATAATTTACCCAAGCAGGCTGAATCAAGCGTCAACTTGTGAGAATTCAAATCTTATTGGGTATGGTAAGATGACACGTTGCGCATGCGGGAACTGCACAGGAGATGGGCGAATATCCAGGGCCGCGGCGTGGCTATTCTAGGTACAGAGCACTTGCATATACGAGACTCTACTTATTCCCTAGCTTGTTCCGAATGCCTCTCTGCTCGTTGCAACGGATGGCTGCAACTTTCTTTCATACTATATGGTGGATCTCATCATTTTTAGAATTTTTGTTCGACAGTCAGGGATGGTCAATCGCCCGTGAGATTGGATTGTTGCATGTGGCTGCAGATGAACTTTAATCATTGCTGGGCGACGAACCGGTTCCACCAATCAGAGGCCACTCCTTCGAAATTAGTTCATTTTGTTGAGGCATAATCTGAGGATAAGCTCATGCCGATTCATTGATACCACTTTACAGTGGCAATCACGACATCTTCTACCTCGTATCCAAGTCGAAAGCTCCTAGGCCCGCGACGCGAGTATGACGGCCTCCAAATTAGAGGCGCTGAAGTCATAAAGAGTGCCCAACCAAAGAATTTTGACACTCATTGCAGAGCTTTTCCTCGCGTCCAGGACGCCAAGAGTTTCTCATTGTCCCGTGTTCCGGTCCGTCCCTGAAATGCCAACCATGTGGACCCAAAAGCGGGCCCTTCGGGCCTCCTGCGACAACTGTCATCAAGCCAAAGTCAAATGCATTCCCACTGCGTCTGGATGCCAACGGTGCCTGGGTCTGAATGCTCTCTGCATTCACAGTCCACCTGGTCGGTCTGGTCGCGCTCCAGCGGCCAGGCCGAGGTCGTCTGGCGGACATCAGCAGGCAAGACAGCCACTGCATGTTCCAACCCCACCACAGAGCAACCCCTCGCAACCGCTCAGCGAGTTCAACGATCTGACGCACCTCCGCAACTCGGATAACGACGAAGATATACATACTCAAGGGGCACACTCTTCTGTGGATTATTTCTCAACGATCGTTGAAAATGAGGCCCATACCATCGAGCCCATTGATCCGATGTTGGCTGATTGGTTCGCAAGCTCCTCTGTGAATCCCCTGCAAACTGGGGACCCTGGAGGGAGCATGGCTGAATCATCCAATTTCTATACTTCATCCCACGGCACGGCAACTCCTATCCCCCAAGCAACCTCAGACTTTGTCCCAGGAGTTGCTTCTACAAGTTCCAAGACCAACTTGCAGTCCCTGTCAGGCACACAGCGGGGCCACGCTTTCTTTGGGTCAAACTCTCAGGAATCACTATGCGCCTGCTTCCACTCCATAATCCGAGCACTGGAGAAAATTCAATGCGCAAATCTGCGTCTTCTTACCCTGGATGTGGCACTGACACAGAATAAGGAGGCGCTACTTCGTGTCTGCAATGCTTTGAAGTGTGGTACGCCTCACGATAGCACGACGCGCCTCGTCATACTGCTCCTCCTCCGTAAGAATCTGCATTTCTATCATCTCATTTATCAGTCACGGCTTAGGGACCGGCGAGAGGTGAACAATGAGACACCCAATGCTTCCACTACTTCTCTATGGTCATCGCTCGAATCGCACACGAATCAGCCCAGCCAGGGACACGACTCGGTCTTCTTCACTAGGCAAATACATGGACACAACAGCCAAGGAAGAAATTCAAGGCTCACATTGGGCACATATCAATTAGAGGGTGCAGATGAGGCCTCTCTTACTAAACACATTCTGCTCTTGGATGTAAAGAAGGTACCGCGACTGCTTGAAAGACTGGATCAACGGGCATGTGGACTTGATGAAGCGGACGGACTAGATATGTATAACATTATGCGTAGTGCATTGATAGCGGAGTTTAGAATGGTTATGATGGATGTCGAAGCCTGACGGGAGCTCGATTTGAATTTTATTTGAACTACTTGGAAGTGCACTATTTAGCGATGCTTCTCTGTTGGTATGTCCTTCAAAATGAAAAGGGGGAGCTATGTCGGCTTCTTCGGGCTTCTGGAGATTGACGTCGCAGTCAGACTGGCATGTTTGCAATCCGTGATATATATTTCGACTCTGGCACAATGACACAACAACCAACCAATATGTTGTTCCTCGCGGTAGAGTCAAGAGCGAGAGGATCTTATATATGCAGATGAAAGAAGTGGACGTGGTTTCAAATTTGTTTATATAGTCGATCAAATCCACGTTCTCAAACCCGTAAAAAGAATTTCAATGCCTCACGTTGTACTCTTGCACTCAGCCGGGATATCGAATAACCTTCTGACCTTACAGCTTCTCGAGCTTCACCCCATTCTTTATCACCCTAGTGGCGGTCATGAGCAGCCCACAGACAAAGAGAGAGATTCCAGTAAACGCCAACGTCCCACTGTAATTGAGACTCTCAGGGTCGCCGTTCTGGTTCTGCCTGAACAATATCGCCCCCGCAACCGGAGACCCAATCAAAACCCCCAGGGAGCCAATTGTCAAGGCCATGCCGACACGGACTCCAATTTTGCTCAGATTAGGACTCAAAGACACTAGAACGGCGGGAGGAAGCGCCATAAGGCCCCCGGAGAAGAATGAATACAACACAGATGTGGCGATAAGACCACCTAAATTGTGAACCGGAATCCAGGAAAGGACAACGACAGCGGAGATAAATGCACAGGGAATGATGACATTCAAAGTGCCGAGTCTAGTTTCGAAGTTCGGTCAAAATGGTACTTTTTTTCCAAGTGTGCAAGATTCTCATCAACTTACTTATCAGCAATAGCATTGGGTAGTAATCGGCCAACCATTCCTGCCGCGTTCATGATACTCAGAATATAGAATGCCAGCTCTGAGTCTAAGCCGATATTCAATGCGTAGCTGTCCGAGTAGAAGAAAGGAATGAAGAAGGCCATGAATCCAAGCGCAAGTCCAAAGACAAAAGTGGAGTAGGCAGGGTCTTTGAAGGCCTCAACATCCACAACCGGACCAGACTTGCGCGGCGGAAGTCGCGGTTTGAGGACTGAGATTCCAATGAGCAGCGTACCTAGCATGATGAATGCCATGGCACGCACTGCCCAGGGAAATCCAACAGTTACGATGAGTCGACGTACAACGATGGGAAAGATAATTCCGCCTGAAAGCAAGAGTTAGGAATACAAAGTTGGAAAAACAAACCCAGGGAAATAGACAGCAAACATACCCACGCTGCTTCCGCTGGCTGCAATACCTGTCGCCAATCCCCTCCTGGTTGAGAAATACTGCCCAACTAAAGAAATTCCCGGGGTAAAAAGACATCCAGAGCCCAGTCCAAGGCAAATGCCTTGGGCTAAGAAAACCTGGTAGTATTTGGTGGACAAAGATGTCATCATCATCCCAAACACCGAGAGAAAAACTCCAAGTCCGGTAACAAGGTAGAAGTATCCAGCATCGAAGGCTCTGCCGCTGAAAACACCAACGAACAACAATAAGAACCCCTGGATTGACCCAATCCAGGAGATCGCGGATGGAGTGTCGTTCGTGAGGAGAATGCTCGAATAATACGTTTGAAACACACCAAACGTATTCGCCATTCCCCTATTTCCAGCAAATAAAAACTAATGTAAGTGTCATATAACAGTATTCTAGAGTCATTACGCCACCTACCAGGTATTCAGGACAAACAGGAACCCTCCAAGAACCTGCAGCCACGCTGTGAGCCCTCCATTGGGAGGTGGTGGCGGACCTGGAGGGCTGTCTGCAGCGGCCACGGGTTTGTGTGTGTTTTTTTCGATGTCAAGATCAGAGGGCGAATTGTTGCTCTCTGTTGCTGTGTCTCCTTTCTCAGGCGACAAGGAGCGCCCCTCGGATATGGAGCCACTCATTCGTGCAACCGTGATGGAAAAGTCACTTCGAATCAGATCTCAAAAAGAGGATACGTGTTTTGAAGCGAACTTGGAGACTAGAATTGCGTATCTTGAAGAGTTTGGATGGACGAAGTAGGTTTTAATGTTTAGAACGGAGCTTAATAAAGGCTAGGGTAAAAATCTCCCTTAACTCTCAATGATCTATACCTAATCCTCTCCTACCTCAGACTTCATGAAATCTAATTGGTCGAGAGTTTCAGGGCATACTTCGGAGTCTACAATGCTGAACGATGTCACTGTGAAAGTTTGAGTTGATTGCAGGTTGATGCTTGGGGTTTGTGGACTGTAGTGGGTCTTTAAAACCTCCGTTGGGGTCGGCGATGATCAACTCTAGTATTGATTCGGGATGGCTCCGGAGGGCTGGCGCCACACCGTCGATCATTCCCCCATAAAGAATGGAGGTGGCGCTTCGTTGCTTCCAGTTTGATTCCAGTCGGCGGGTTTCCCACCCCTCCTCAGTCGATAAGAGGTTCTTCGGCAGCCAACTAGCACACCCCGCACAACACGAGAAGCACTCCACTACTTTAATGGTTGAACCATTTTACCAGGCAACATCGCGTCGATCAAAGGCGCGGATCAAACAATCGACAGGTGCATTGTCCAGCCAGCCTCTCAGCCACAAACACCAAGCTTAGTAACCACAAACACTGATAATGAAGGTGATCGTGATTGGAGGTGGTATCGGGGGTCTCGCAGTTGCAACTGGTCTTCGGCGTGCTGGCCATCTCGTTATTGTAAGAGGGAAAGCAATGGCACACCCAGTCATTCCTAACGCAACCGCCCGGAAAAGAAACTGACATACTGGTTTGGGTCTGACAGGTCTTTGAACGGTCTTCTTTCCGCGACGAAGTTGGCGCGGCGATCCATGTTTGCCCAAATGCTTCCCGGGTGCTTTTGCATTGGGGGTTCGATGCCGAAAAGGCCCGTATGGTGGCAGTTCGGCGTTCCATTGTGGCGTCGGGCAGCTCACTGCAGCCAATACTGGAGGTAGATTGCTCCAGCTTCGCTCAGACCTATGGCGCCCCTTGGTACTTGGCCCACCGGGCCGAATTACACTCCGGTCTGCGACACTTGGCCACTGCCCCAGAGGGCCCTGGAAGCCCAGTGGAGGTCATCTTGAAGTCAGAGGCCGTAGCATATGATGCAGATGAAGGATCGGTCACTTTGACTGATGCATCAGTTCACTATGCCGATCTTATCGTGGCAGCAGATGGCGTACATTCCTCCGCTGTTCATCAGGTAACAGGCCATGCAACACCAGCAGCCTCCACTGGTTCAGCGGCTTTCCGGTTCCTGATCCCGACCGAGACGCTGCAACAGGATCCAGAAACGGCGTCACTTCTCGAAGATGGTCTCATGAGGGTGATAGTTGCAGAGGGTGTGAGGCGTCTTGTTTGGTATCCGTGCTCGAAGTATGAGTATCATCCTTTAATCCCATTCACGCACTCTGTACTAACGTTCCATAGTAACACCATTCAAAATTTTGTAGGAATTCACGCCGATCAGCAAGTGAAAGATGGTGAAAAAGAAGGTCAGTATGAACTGCGCTCCAAGGATGTGACCGAGGAAGTCGCTGAATTTTTCGAACCATGTAGATTGGAGTCAAGCCGCCGATGTCAACGACGTTCTTTCACAGTACCATGACTTTCACCCCAGTCTCTTAAAAGTCTTGAAGTAAGGCCCATAGCCAAAACCAACTAAATTTCACTAACAATGGTACAGGAAAGCTACCAGCGTTAAAAGATGGCCGCTTCTCTACCGCGATCCTATTTCAACCTGGAGCCGCGGCCGGCTCGTGCTCATCGGAGACGCTGCTCACCCAATGCTTCCTCGTAAGTTGTTTCAGGTTAAGCTTCCGTGACTCAATTTCTGACTGTTTTATACGGAGTAGATCAAGGCCAAGGCGGTGCCCAAGCCATCGAGGATGCGGGTGCTTTAAGTGAGATATTCAGTAACCTGCCAAGCAGTCATACCAGGGATGAAATTAGTTCCCGATTAGTGCTCTTTGAGAATGTGCGCATGAATCGCGCGTCTGCGATTCAGATATTCTCAAATGCGGGACAAGATGAACCATGGAAGATCCGTGAGCGTGCACGGAAGTACTTGCCAGATTCTGTCGAGGTGCCCTCATTGCCGTCGGAGTTCATGGAGCACAACTTTCGCTACGATGTGATTAAGGATAGCCGATCTCATGTGGATTCGTTTACTCAAAAAGGGATTCAACTTTCACAGGTTGGCTTAGCCTGAGAGATTGTCTGGTTTCTTAAGTCTTCGGTTTCTTAAGCCTTCAGAAGCTTGATCACTTCGCTCTGTATCGCCCATTGGTCTTTGAATTACTGATGTATTTTGAAAATGAAGGCTGCAGAGTGCCCATAGCCCAGACTATAGAAGCATAACAAGGATCTGATTCGATCATGACTGTCGTATGTTAAGTTGAAAGATTATACAGATCCGTCAGTCACAATGAACTCCAAATGAGAGGGCGGCTTGCCAGGAAGTTGTAATGACTTTTCTGTGTTACCACTTGCCTGAAGCCAGGTAGATTTGAATGGAAGTTGAACCAGACACTATAAACTTTATTTCTCTCACTATATACTGTCCTCTAGAGACTTAGCTACCCAACAAGAACAGCCTCCACCATTGTACTAGCGGCTGCGTCGAGTCCATTGCGCCAAACCTTTTTTATCTTCAGGCGAGAATCGGCTCGCTCCAGTAACTGAGCAAAATCCTCTTCAGTACGCTCCCGTGCATTGTGGAGTACCAACATCTGCATATCGAGATATCTAGTACATGTTAGTATTACAGATCTTGAGGACTGATATTTAGGGGGTGATACCGGACGAATCTCTCATGTAAGCCATGAAGCTGCTCGGGGGGAGGTATCACCGAGTCTGAAATGATCACACGAGAGTCTGGTCGCAGTGCTGGGACCAGATTCCGTAAGATTTTCACAGCCCAATCATCAGGCCAATCGTGGAGAATATGCCGAAGGTAAAAGACATCAACGCCTTGCCGTGTTTGCGGCTGGAACATATCGTGCACCTCAAACTGTACCCTACCTTGTAGAGCAGGAGGCAGAGCATCTACCCCAGAAGCAATAGCATTCTCAAGGTCTTGAACCACAAATGAAAGCTCAGGATAAGCTTCAGCCAAGGCGACGGAAATATGGCCATTACCACCTCCGACCTTTCACGGTCAGTCAGCTAATGTTCAGACATATTTGATTCCAAGTGCTTACATCAACCACTGTTGCTTTGCCGAGGGAATCCCAGGAAAACCCGTCAACGACTTGCTGAGCCGAACGACCGCCACTTTTACTGAGACCAGCCATTCCCTGATTAAAGCGCTCGAAGCGATCGGGATGCTTGGAGAGAAACGTGAACAATGGATCCGTGCTGTTGAATGCAATATTGAATCCAGCCTGGTTCGGTTCCTCCGAGGTGGGAAACTGTCGTAGAGAATCAACCAGCCGAGAGGCGGCTGGAAAGGCTTCATGAGTGCAGTGGCCAAGGAACGCCGTCAAGTCCGAGTTCATGACCAGTCTTTCAGAAATCGTAGTATGTGCGACATATCCCGGTCGCTCTTCACGGAAAATATGACGGACGAAAAGCAGACGTAATACACGTTCCAAACGCTGCAGGGGGCAACCGCTGGCGATGGACAACTGTTCAAAGGAGATAGAGCTGCCGAGGGGAACCTTCCGCGCGAGGTCAAACTCGATTACAACAGCCAATGCGGTGATGTCGTGGTACTGTTCAAATTATCTTTAATTTAAATATATTCTGAGATATCTTAGAGAGGTTTATTTGGGGCGATAGCAGACATACTCCATACGACAGGCTTTTGAGATAATTTTCTGGGCCGGAGACGAGGATCTGGAGATCCGTCGAGGCTTGAATGAGGGAGGCAGCCGCCGCCTCAAGCTGCCCCTTGGAAACTGCTGTTTCTCTGCCGTTGGTCTTTTGAGCCGACCCGGCTTTGACGACGTTGCCGTTAGCATGACCCGTGGGTACAAAACTTGGGGCGGAGACCCCAGTCTCTAGATTATGTCGTGTGATGATGAGCGCCGCATCGGAAATGGTTGCGGCCAAATCGAGCAAGATAGTAGAATTCGCCATGGCTGAATCTCGAGAGTTTGAGTGAGAGCGTTAAGGTAACCATTGTTTTGAACTACATGTAAATCATATCTGATATATGCTGGAAGGTCCGGTGGGTCCGATGAGGCCGTCGGTCCTCGGCAGTGCATCGGCGGTTTCCCACGAGCAGTATACGAGCAGAACAATTAGAAACCGCCGACAAAGTTTTTTTGTCGCGGCGATGACAAACTCGTTAGAAACGATGAATGTTAATTGAATTTCCTCCGGGAATGTTACTTGGAGAAAGCATCGAAAATAAGAAATATCTATCCAGACATACTTCGTCGTGCCTGAGCCAACAGCCTCAAATTTCCAAGCTTGAGCGAGAAGATCGTCCCTTCGCTACCAATATTACTTGATACATCATGGCGCTACTAGAACAAGTTCTCGATTACCGGAATCCGCAAGGAGCTCTCCTCCTCGGGGCAGTCATATTCGGTGTCCTCCTGTACAAATTTGCTCTAAGCCGTCGACGCGCGAACCTTCCCGTCTATGGCACACATACTGGGTGGCAGGGAAGTTGGAAAGACTCCATGGACTATGTCAGAGATAGTCCCGGTGTCTTGAAAGCTGGATATGAGAAGGTAGGACCAATTTGATATTTCATCGGAAGGGGAGGGTGGTCTGTCTAATATCAACGCACGCATATGCATAGTTCTCGAAACACGGGCTGTTCTACCAGCTTCGCACGCCAGTCCGCTGGGTAATTGTAGTTCCACCAAAGTTTGTGGACGAAATTCGAACAGCACCGCCAACGCATTTGAGTGCCCGAGAAGCTGCCAATGATGTGAGCAGACCCCAGTGCGCGACCGGAATGAGCAACATTGGGGCTAAAAGATGTTTTCCAGGTACAACAAGCACGCAATACCGTTTCGCCAATTGTGGAGGAAAACAAATTTCATTTCCATATCATCAAGACTCATTTGACACCGAGCTTGGAATTGAAGATCAGCGATTTGTTGGATGAGATTAGCTTGGTATTTGCGGAAGAAATAGGACGTCCAGCGGGCAAGTCCTTCCTCGTTCAACTTGCGTTCCACCTAGCTGATTGGCTAATCTTGTATCTCACAGACTGGAAGCAGATCGTTATGGCCCCGGCTGCCCATCGTATTGCGACCCGAGTGGCTAACCGACTCCTCGTCGGTGCTCCCCTTTGTCGTAATGAAGAGTATCTCCAGACATCCATCAAGTACACAGTCGATGTGTTTGGCGGCGCCGACAGGCTACGTGCATGGCCAGATTTCCTTAAACCAATGGTGACATATTTTATCACCAATGTCAAGGAGCGACAAAGGGTTGCACGCAAGCACCTTTTACCGTACATCAAGAACCGCCTAACGCAGCTGGAATATCCGAAGAGTCAAGGATCTGACCAGAAGCCAATAGACTCGCTTCAGTGGGTTATCGATGCTGCACCAAGCGCTGAGGAGCGAGATCCCGAACGGCTGATGTATCGTCTGCTTCATTTGAATGTCGCAGCCGTACATACTACCAGCGTGACGTTTCTCAACTGCATTTTTGATCTTGCGTTGCACGTCGATGTTCATTCTGAACTGCGTACTGAAATCGGAGGCGCTATCGACAATGACGGATGGACTGCTCGAGGTTTAAGCCACATGCGAAAACTAGACAGTTTTATGTTGGAGAGTCAGAGACTCGCGCCAATTGCAAGTTGTGAGTGATTTCAGAAAAGAAATATGCAGAGAATTTTCACTAAAATTGTACTTCGCTCTAGCGCAAATGACTCGAGCTGTTCTCAAGGACTTCACCTTTTCAGATGGCACTAAAGTCCCAAAAGGCTCGTATGTTCTTGTTCCAATGCACGCTATGTACCAAGATGATTCTATCTTCCCAGAGTCCTCAAAATTCGACGCGTTCCGCTGGTCTCGCCTCAGGGAAACCCCAGGAAATGAGAATCGATACCAATTCGTGACCACCTCACCAACGCACATTAACTTTGGGCACGGCAAGGATGCTTGTCCGGGACGATTTTTTGCTTCACAGGAAATAAAATTGCTGCTCGCACACACTTTATTACACTACGACATCTGTCTAGAGGATTCGAGCCAACCTCCCCAACCGAGTTGGTACGATAGGTCCCGTCGGCCGAACCAGACTGCACGAGTCCTGTTTCGCGCACGGGAAGGGGTGAAATCCTGAAGAATCCAGCTATTTTGAGTTGGCATGCACTGATAGTTCTGATAAAATTGCGAAAAAATAGTTCGCATCTTGGGCTGTATGAACTAGTGTGATTCAGTGTGATTCTTTCATAGTGAGATCTGTGGGTGTAGTATGTATAGGCCTATTCAGCTTTACATGTTCTTACGGGACAGTCGTCCGCAGAGGTTAAATCAGCCTGTTGAATTTGTAACAATTTCCAGATCTGTACAAGAAATGTAGCTCGACAACTCTGCTCAACTGGAAGAAAAACTACCATTATCGGTAATTCTGACCGGTTGATCACTTAGGAATGCCTGAAATGATTCGATAGAGATCGCGTTATCGAGTTCCTCTTTTACAAGCTCAAGAAATACGAGAACTTGAGTCATAGCGCCCGAGGAGCTTACCTCCTAGTTAGCGTATTGTCGGAGCGTAGAGCATGTGTCAACACCGATCCTCGGACAGTTGCCCAGATCTCATCTGAAACAACTACGCCGCGAGGTCGTGCCGTGCATAAACCGCCGGGCCGCTAACCAATTCTGGATGTGACGAACATATTCTTAGCTTTGAACATCATTGCTCGTCAGATGTGACTAAAACAGGCAATTCACAGCCACTAGCGGCCCTAAGGGGCTGAAGATAACGGCCATATCCTCCGGGCGAATAAGAGACTTGAACCTTACAGCCGGGTCATCGTTCGGCGATTTTGAACTCGTGCATTATAGCTTAATTTTAGGCTAACTTCAACTTTCAAGAGTAATGCGAGAAGGGGAAGGAGGAACGTGTATCCAAACCTCCGTCTTACACAAAGCTAATTTCATTTTCATCCCTTCACGCAATCGGGTCGGCGGATTGACACTAACACAGTCTTCACCAGGGAAATTGGAGCCTAGCACGCTGAGACAGGTTGTAATTAGTGTGTGCTTTGACACTATGAAGAATGCAAGATATTAAGGAAGACCTGTCATTGATCTTGCCAAAAGCAGTTTACGTGACAGGTTCAACCCGTACACAGCATCGTTACAATGCATCGGCCATCAAAGGCGGATCAACTCACTTTAGTCGTTGTTGGAGACCAAACAAGCAATGTATCTGCATTAATCAAACGACTCTTGCTTGGTGCACCCCATAGTGTCGCTCAGAGTTCCTTCGTTCGCGATGCTAGTGCAGCGTTGAGGGCCCAGTCAGATCGTCTTCGACCTTTCCAAAGAGAACACCTGCCTTATTTCAAGGATATTCATGAACTTGCCAGGATCTACTATGACACAAATGGAGTCTGTCATCCATCCATTAGTAGCGCCCTGTTGTGTGTGACTCAGTTGTTGCAAGTCATTCGGTACGTACCAGCCTTCCATTACTAATCTGAGAATGTCTCACTGATGATACATCTTTCTGGCTGTGTAGATATTTCGAAGACCGAGGTCGCCAGCCCGAGAATAACAAAAATATTGCAGTAGTCGGTCTATGTACTGGATCACTTGTTGCCGCGGCCTACGCTGCGTCGGCATCACTTGATGACATCAAGACACTTGCCGTCCCTGCGGTCTCGATGGCCTTCCAAATGGGCCTTCAAGCAGCGACCGCAAGCAGCATGCTGCACGAGCAGGGGAACTCTCCTGAGAGCTGGTCGATCGCCATTCCCAAGATCACAGAAGACGAGGCGCTGTCAGCCCTGAAGATTTATGATTCCGGGAGCCATTTATCCCTGCGGCATCGCTGTTTTGTGAGCGCCGTTGGGTTAAAGAGTGTTACCATCAGCGGCTCACCACCGGCTTTGAATCGCTTTGCAGAGAGCTTGACGACTTCTCAACCTTCCAGAAATGTCATCCGGTTGCCGATATTTGCGGCCTATCATGCATCCCACGTCCATACGGTACTGGATTTCTCGAGCTTTCTATCTCGGTGCGGTATCGACGCCAGCCTTCTAAGCAGCTTCAAGACTGTCAAAACTCTCATCTCTCCACTGACAGGCCAGCCAGTGGAGTCCAGCAATGCCCTGGGCCTGTTCAAGACGGTCGTTCATCACACCCTACAAGCACCACTGCGGTTAGATTTAATCGTCAACCGGCATCTATCTCTAATCCGAGAAGAACTTATCGCCCATGTCGACATTGAGGTAGTTGGTCCGACCTCGGTTGGAGACAGTCTAGCTTCAGTGTTCAAGACTCACACGACAGCAAGTGTGCGGACACACGAGCTGAGTGCCCTGGATCCGCTTGTCAACGACCATCAACCGTCTGCTGTTTTCAACAACGCACCGCTGGCAATCGTAGGTTTGTCAGGCCGGTTTCCTGGTGCGGATAGCGCTGAAGCTCTTTGGAGGGTCTTGGAAGAAGGGTTAGACCTTCACAGAACGGTACAGAAAGCCAAGATTCAATACATCAATTATACTTCCCTTGTCTAACACTCGATTAGGTGCCACGTGATCGCTTTGACATCGAGACACATGTCGACCCTTCGGGGAAAGCGAAGAATACAAGTTGGACTCCTTTCGGCTGCTTTATTGATCGCCCTGGTGATTTCGATCCCAGGTTCTTCAACATGTCCCCCCGCGAAGCCCTTCAGACAGATCCAATGCAGCGTTTGGCTCTTGTCACGGCATACGAGGCCCTGGAGATGGCAGGATTTGTCCCCGATCGTACTCGCTCCAGTACTCTTGACAGGGTAGGAACCTTTTACGGCCAGACGAGTGATGATTATAGAGACGTGAATGCAGCCCAAGAAATTGGAACCTACTTCATCACGGGAGGTATTCGGGCGTTTGCTCCGGTGAGTTTACTTCCCTCTTTTTGGCTCTGGGCTTATTTTTGACTATTGACAACCAGGGTCGCATAAACTACTTCTTCAAATTTGAGGGACCAAGCTATAGCGTTGATACGGCTTGCTCATCAAGCCTTGCTGCTATCCAGCTCGCATGCACCTCACTATGGAGTGGTAACTGCAACACTGCGGTTGCGGGAGGCCTCAGTGTGCTTACCTCTCCAGACTTGTTTTCAGGACTAAGTCGCGGCCAGTTTCTCTCCCAAACTGGTTCATGCAAGACTTTTGACAACAGCGCAGACGGCTACTGCCGTGCTGATGGCATAGGTAGCGTGGTAATCAAGAGATTGACAGATGCAGAGCTGGACCGAGACAACATCCTCGCGGTTATCTTGGGTGCTGGAACAAATCACTCCGCCAATGCCATCAGCATTACTCATCCGCATGCACAGGCACAATCAAGCCTCTACCGCGAGGTTCTCGAGCAATCAGGTATCGATCCCCTAGATGTAGGGTATATTGAGATGCACGGGACCGGTACGCAGGCAGGCGATGGGACTGAGATGAAGTCCGTTGTCGACGTCTTCGCGCCTACTAACCCTAGTCGGGCTGACGACAATCCACTTTATGTTGGGGCACTCAAGGTAGGGCGACCATGCGTGCGTACTCAATCAAATTTTGACTAACCTCACTTAGGCGAACATTGGTCATGGAGAGGCGGTGCGTGTCATTCACTTCTAGAGCATGTCAGGTACAGGGTTAATGAGAGGTACAGTCCTCCGGTGTAGCGTCACTGATCAAAGCAATTTCTGTGTTGAAGAATTCAGCAATTCCTCCTCACATTGGGATCAAGGATAAGATCAACAGTGGATTCCACGAACTTGAAGCGCGGAAGTGAGAAATCTATTGCGCAGCACGCGCTGGGCGAAAGCTGACATAGCCTTAGGGTTCGAATCGCTATGAAGAAGACACCATTCCAAAGCACAAACGGCAAGAAGCGAACTATACTAGTCAACAATTTCAGTGCTGCTGTGAGTTTTCTCTGGTCAGGGACTTTGTGATTTACATACGCTAAACATGTATCTCAGGGTGGCAACACTGCTCTCCTGATCCAAGAACATCCGAGTCCAATTATTCAGCAAGATGTGAAGCCTCGTCTTCTCCACCCCGTCACGGTGTCTGGACATACAAAAGCTGCATTGCGAAATAACCTGGACAGATTGATTGATTATTTATCCGCAAACCCACTCGTGTCGCCAGTTGACCTCTCGTACACCACCACGGCCCGTCGGAGACACCATGCCTTCCGCTTGACTGTGACGGAAACGGGCATTGAGCGTATCACGAGCGCCTTGGAAAACAAGCGCGATTCAGTCTCAACAATTTCAGCCACCCCAGGTATTTCGAGGCCCATTGTCTTCGTTTTCACAGGGCAAGGCGCAGCATACCCCAAGTTGGCACACGAGCTATACTCCACATCAAGCCAGTTCCGAGCAGACATTGTCCATTTTGACGGTATTGCTCGACAGCAAGGCTTCCTTTCCTTCCTTCCGCTTATCGATGGCAGTATAAGTGACATCTCCTTGTTGTCCCCTATGCAAGCTCAAATTGGCCTTGTGTGCATCCAAATAGCCTTGGCTCGTTTGTGGAATTCCTGGGGTATCAAGCCTGCCGCTGTGGTGGGTCACAGCTTGGGAGAATATACCGCCCTTCAAGTGAGTGGGGTACTATCTATCAGTGATACCATTTTCTTGGTAGGATACCGAGGGCGGTTGCTCGAGAGTCGTTGTGAGATGTATTCACATGCTATGCTCGCTGTGCAAGACTCTTCCTCCACACTCGACTTGGTTTCTTCTGAGATTGCCTCGGGCGTGGAAATTGCCTGCATCAACAGCCCTCGTGAGACAGTATTCTCTGGTGACAAAGCTGCTATTGAAAAGTTCGAGGCATACCTAGTAACGAAGAAAATCCGGGCTACCAAGCTCCCGGTTGCTTACGCTTTCCATTCTGCCCAAGTCGATCCGATTCTTGACGACCTTGAGGAAGTTGCAAAAGTTGTCAATATGGGGAAGCCACATATTCCTGTCATTAGCTCCCTCAGCGGTCGAGTCCTAGGCCCTACGGATCACATCGACGCACAATACATCCGCCAGCATTGTCGACGTATGGTTCAATTTTCGAGCGCCGTGAAGGATGCCAAAAATACAGAACTGATTCAGGACTCTACTTTATTCATTGAGATCGGTCCTCACCCAATCTGTTCGGGTATGATACGGTCGATTCTTGGTGAAAATGTCCAGACTCTGCCTACTTTGAGAAAGAATCAAGACCCCTGGGAGGTTATTGTGAAGAGCCTTGCTTCGCTTCAGGACGCGGGTTTTGCAATCAACTGGTCGGAATATCATCGGGACTTCGAACGAGCTTGTCGTCTTTTAACTCTCCCTGCCTACGCATTTGACAATAAAAACTATTGGATCGAGTACAGGAACGACTGGACCTTGAGGAAAGGTGATCCTTTGCCAATCACAAGTGGGAACACTGAGGCCAAACAGGAGTCAAAGACGCTATCCACCTCTGTCCATCGAGTCATGGAGGAGAGATATGACGGAGCGAAAGGGCTCGTTGTCTTTGAAACAGACCTCTCATGTCAAGAGATCTATACTGCCATCAGTGGACATCGTGTAAACGGTTCTGCTCTGTGCCCTTCTGTGAGATATCCTACTAAGTGCTTAGTTTCCGATGGCCATCCTTTTTTTTTTCTAACGCATAGCTGCAGTCTTTGTATGCCAACATGGCTTTGACAATAGGTCAATATCTTCAGAAGCACCCGGATTCTGGCCTCAGGTCGGCTGGACAGACGATCGACGCAATGGAAATCCAGCACCCGTTGATCATCAAAAGCTCTCAAGATGAAGAATCCAGGATACTTCAAATATATGCACGCCTCGATGTTGCTTTACAGACAGTCGGTCTTGAGTACGCCACAATTTCTGCAAACCAGAAATCCAAGACAATACATGCCACTTGCCGTATACAATCTGGCTCGGCCGAATCGTGGCTTCGGCGATGGTCACACGATTTCCACCTAATTCAAGATCGCATACTCGCTTTGAACAAGCTCGCCAACTCGGGAGAAATCAACCAAATAACAACAGGGCTGGCATATCGGCTTTTTGCAAGCCTGGTCAATTATTCTCCCCAGTACCAAAGGATGGATCAGGTTCTACTTTCCAGCAGTCTCTTTGAGGCTACTGCAAATGTGAAACTAGACGTCCGTGGAGATGACTCGAGCTTTGATTGGAACCCCTATTGGATTGACGGTCTACTGCACATCTCTGGATTTGCCTTGAATGGCAACGAAACCCTCAATCCTGATGAAGCGGTTTATATCTCTCACGGCTGGGATACTCTACGGTTCGCTAAACCGTTGAGACCTGACACCCGCTATCAAACATACGTGCGGATGCTTCCCCGAGATATGACCATGTTTGGAGGGAACGTGTGGATTCTCTGTGACGGGGAAGTGGTAGGTTTGGCTGAGGACGTTCGTTTTCAGCGAGTACCACGAGCAGTCCTCAACATGCTCCTACCTCCTCTTGTCCTTAAGGGAGCCAGAAAGAAAAATTCGCCTTTGCCTGCCGCTCAAGCCCCTGGGGTGGCAAGGCCAACGACAACCGGACGGGACAATCCAAAAGCCCATTTACCTCCACAACGAGAGGCCTTTCTTCACTCCATTGCTTCTGAGTTAGGACTTGAGGCTTCGGAGATTTCGCCACATGACAAACTAGCTGATTTGGGTGTGGACTCCTTGATGACATTGACACTGGCTGGCAACCTACTGGATCAATTTGGTCTCGAAGTATCCCACAACGAATTGATGAGCCTGCCTACAATTAGCGAGCTGCTGGATATCCTGGAACAGAGGTCACCTGGTGATGCTATGTTGTCTCCACCCTTTACTACGCAAGAACTCGCGGCTCCTGCGATATCCTCCCAGTCTTCAGATTCTTCACTATCATTCACAACTGAGACATTCACTCCCAACAGTGACAACGGTGATACTGCCGAGTTAGTGAGATCCATCATTATTGAAGAAACCGGTATTTTGTTTGAAGACCTCGAGTTCTCTGCGGACTTGGGCTCGCTCGGGGTTGATTCCCTAATGGGTCTGACCGTTTTGGGCAGACTAAGGGAGGCAGGCGTCGAGCTTGAGACAAACTTCTTCCTAGAAAACCGGACGATGGGTGAAGTGTTTAAAGCCCTATCTTGTCCACCAGTGACTGAGAAAACCAAGTCACCAGTCACAGACAAAGTCGTTTACAATGGCAAGAGTGCTGCGAATCCGCTCCCCATCCAGTCTGACGCCCGATTTCGAGCCAAGGCAATTCTCCTCCAGAGACGGTCAGACCCCTCCAGTACGGAGAACCTTTTCCTCTTTCCAGACGGATCAGGATCACCATCGTCATACGCTGCCTTGGAGCAGATCAACCCAAAGGTCAATGTGTATGGCCTCGTTTGCCCCTTCATCGACTCACCGGGCGACTACACATGCGGCCTTGAGGCAATAGTGAAAATCTACTTGGCAGTGATCAAGGAGACCCAACCTCAAGGACCGTATCATTTCGGAGGGTGGTCTGCTGGAGGCGTCTTGGCATATGAAGCTTCGAGGCAATTGATCGAAGCGAACGAACGGGTCCGGTCACTGCTTCTCATTGATGCGCCGTGTCCAACAGTGCTTCCTCCAATGCCATCTTCGCTCATCGAATTCTTGGAGTCAAAAGGTCTTTTCAGCCAATTCCAGGACAAACCTGCCCAGAGATCGAAGGAGAGGCGACACAGTGTCCTGAAACATTTTGAATCCACTGTGCAAAACTTGTCACTCTATAACCCAATTCCCATCATTCCGGCCGCAGAGGCACCAGAAACTGTGGTTTTGTGGGCTCAAGAAGGGGTGAGCAATGGTTCAAGGCCTGTCTTACACGATGCAGCATCATCAGACGCAACTGTGTCTTGGATATTGGATGACCGGAACGACTTTAGTCCTCGAGGCTGGGAGATGTTAATTCCAGACCAAAGGATTTCCACCCTCCCAGTCCCTGGAAATCACTTCACGATGATGTCCGGCCACAAGGTAAGGGTCCTCCAAGTGTCTTGTCCTGATCTAATGCGGTGCTAATGTTGATTGTAACAGATTGTCGCCATATCGAGGCATTTGCAGGAACATTTTTCAAGATATCAAATGGGCAGATAGAATGTTATATAGAACACACCAGGGGTAGTCAACAGATGATTTGTTCGTTGGAGTTTAAAATTTTGCGAACTCCATGTATATATCACTGGCGAGGGCCCCACGACGGGTAGCCGATCCCCTCTCGATCTGGTGTCCTCGGGAATAGCCTTATGACCTCAAAAGGAAAGCACAACATAAAAGAAAGCTCATAACAATAAACGCCTTAAAGGTTTGAATATCGGGCGGATTTACTGCCTTCGGGTATAGTGAGAGGAATCTAACGGAAGCAATTAGAGACCTAGAGAAGTGGCTACCTGAAGGTAAAGCATTGTTGAGAGGCACTAACTTATTAAAGATGCAAAGTGCACGCCGGTAGTCTCGCTTAGTTCTTAGGAGAACGGCACGTAAGATTTCTGAGTTGTTATAGTAATCGAAATCCACGACGAAGGTAAAATTAGCGGCTTGATCCTTACTCTTGGTTATTGTGGGGGTGAATAGTGATCGTTAGGCTAGCGGGACGAGGTTAGAGGGAAGGCTAAATGGTGGGAGACCCCTGCTGGACGCTCCCAGCGCGTACTTATAATTTATCTATCGTCCCTATCGATGCCAGCGGCTCGCGAAATCTTTCCCTCTGCCAAGATGTGCAAATGCGCGTTTTGACAGCCTGCCCTGCACCCTGGGCGGTCTTCGGGTGAAGAATATTCAGGTGGTTGAAACTCGGAAATCCTGCTTAGTAAATCATGGTGCGCACCAATTGGATATCAACAAGTCTGAATTGCTGTAAAGCCCCTTTCTGGCAATTTATGTGGGCATAATAATGACTAATATATGCGGGTTTACTGTATTTCCTTCTTCCGTATCCACCCATGCTGCTGTTCCGACAGTGAACTGCCGCCTGAAGCCGCCTGAAGAGGCCTGAAGCCCGCCTGGATAAAGCGGCGAGCCGCCCAGCACCGAACGATGGGCGCTAGGTGAGCTCGGCCATACTTTTGGCTGTTGTATGTTTTTTTGTTTGTGTTCTTTTTTCTTGTAAATTAGATAGAGTTAGTTGGTCAATCTGAAAATACCACCGGAGTTTGGTTCTAATATTATAGGTTATGGTCCATCTAACTTCCAAGCACCCTCTGCTTAGACTAGCACACATCCAAGCTTTAAACAAAATCGCGTCTCAGAGTCGCTGGTAGTGGGTCCGTTCCCCCGGGGGACAATTTCGAAACTCGACTATTAAGCCACTTTTTTGGTAGCTGCAGTACCCAAACCTGGTGAAATCTGGTACAGAATCTTTGAAATATTTAAAGTTGCATTTAAATTCTGTGCCGAGTAGCCGATGTATCGGGCCCAGAACATATTTGCAACCGTAGTCGTTGGCTTCAGCACCCTGCGAGTCTTGCCGCCCGACTTGTGATATTTTCCCTTTTTGCGTGCACCGCGAGCAAAATCGGCAAATGGTGACACACCCGCTGCCAGCTCAAGCCGGTTCAACGAGTCGATAACATTCATTGGCCGGACACCGATGAACAGATGTGACTCGCCACGTATTTTGATAAAAGCCTCCGTATCTGGCCAGTGCAGATCCTTGTGTTTTGAAGACCTTGCAAATAGATTGTACAGGTATGCCATTTGCGGGACATCGTACCGCTGTGTCACGAGCATTTGGCCAAAGTATTGCATGCGCATATTAAGATTGAAGAGCATCAAGTCGCACAGGGTCGAATGCCCCAGGAGGAGCGCGTGCTTCAGAGGCCGAGGATGTATCATGCCTGGGTCAATTTTATCTCAGAGATCAATGATACGATATTGGATGATCCATGCTTTCACACTGGAGTGGATATGATGGATTTCTGTTTCTCCTTCCCTCGGCCAGAATTTAGGCTCTAGGTGCGTCTTGGCAAGTTTCCAGTAGTCTTCAATTCTCTTTTGGATCCGAAGTCCAGGCACCCGCAAGTCATCAAGAGCAATTGAGGTGCTTCGCCGCATCACGTGGTGGACGTCGAGTAGGATCTGGGAAGTAAAGCAAAGCCCAAGTGTTGGCTTTCTCGTTTGGGAAAATTGAACTCGTCCCCGGGTAATCATATCCTGAGCAGGCAGTTGGACTCTGAACTTCTCCACCATGCAGAATTCTGGGAGCATTGAAAAAGGAGGATCTTGTCCTCGTTATGTCTCTCCCCGAGAAACAGCTCCTCCCTGACCATTCTTGGCTCGTAGGTACCAAAATGACCCTCCTGATACAAGGGCGCAGGATGGTCTTTGAGCACTCTTGCCAATAATTTCAAGAGGATAAAAGTGGGCAAAAAGCACCACTCAGCCAAATCTGCCATGGCTTCATTGTACGGGACGCCAATTTGGATGGCAGTGGCTGCAGAGCCCGCCATTGCTGGCGCTGTCTGTGGCGATCGATGCGTCATGAGATCGAAATCGCAGTCAACATATTCCGACCAGATTTTCGAGATAAATGCTTGAAGGCTGTGCAGGTCGCTTAGCAGGCAGAGTGTCCTGAAATACAGATAGCCTAGATATTCAGCCTCCTGCTCTTGTCTTTCCTCCACGATCTCTACCATCACGATTTCCTGGGGTACGGCACTTGCTGGTTGTATCTCCACAGACTCTCGAGGCTCCTCAACCGTCAACGCAGCAAATCTGTTGAGCAACTCGACGGCGGTCAGCTCATCATGAGCTTGTGTTGTCTCTCTGCATGGCCGCAAACTTCTGTTGCTGCTCTTCTCAAGAGTTTTGCAGATATCTTCCAGTGCCGTGATAAAGTATGCATGGCGATGGTTGTCGTCACGTAATACTAGAGTGATATCTGAAATCCCAGTAAACACCCGTCCCAGCCTTTCTCTCTTTATTTACAAGCCCGATCTTAAGCAAAAAAGGCAAATTGTGATATCTTTCCGTAGGCCTTACATTCATCCATATATCTTGGATGAAAAGTACCCGTGAATTAAAGTAATTTCCTCGCTATGCTCCCACTGTTCCGGCAATCACCATTTGGCCCCAGAAATAAAGCGCATACCCCAAAAAGATTCTAAGCCAACCACGGCTCCTCGGCTCACAAGATCTCCCGAAAGCAGTCGTCGCAACAAAAAGGTCGCTTACGACAAACATACCGGCCCCCAAGGTTCGCGATTGCAGCCAGCTGGTTGGAGCGTTCAATGAAGATGTGGAAGTCGCGGCAGCAAACATGATACCAATTATAACAGCATAGATGGAGACGAGTGGCTTCATATCCTGGTCAATACCGAGGTCCAGTACATTGGACTGGAGTGAGGAGCGGGGCCCCGGATATATGGCACCTAACCATTTTGCAGCGGCCAGGGTCGCTACGAATGTGCCGGCAAAAGTGGTCCAGGAGGTCTCACTGGAATCTTGCAAAAAGGCTATCGTGTAGGCTATATGCGCTGCTGCAAAGGCCACGATACCGAGTTGGAAAGATATCGATACTTTTTCTCCTGCTTTCGATGGGCTGGAGGTTGGGTTTTTGCTGTCCAAGCCGTGGAACTCACTCCGCGAAGGGATAAGAAAGAAGTCGCCCAACATGGAAAAGCTCAAACCGAAAATGATGGAACGGCGATAGTCTGACCACTCTGTGGATGGCAAAAGCAATGGGCTGCTAAGGAAAGCGACCGAGGAGAGCATTTTGAATATTGCGGTACCCGCGTGCGACCTGGATTTCCATTCCGAGAGCACCAGTAGGGGCAACGAACCCAGCAAAAGGGACCCCGAAATGGATAATGACATATTTGAGAAGTCCTGGAGACGTGACAGGGAATGTTATGAAATAGATTCTCTAGGAATACGAAGTCTTTGAAGTTTGGGAATGCTCTGCCTCTTATGATTAAGAGTTTCCTTGGCGCCAAGCCCAGGCACCATATTGACTTGTGAGACCGAGGTCCTTCTTCTTTGGCTTTGTGGTAGTCTTTGGCTAGATTCTGTGGTAGCTAGAATCGGCTTTAGGTGGAAACCGAGCTGCAGCATAGTGTCCCCAGCCACCAATTTCTCCCCTAACCCTCTAAGTATGCATAGCAGACCTCTCACTAAGGCAGAAAATGGCCAGGATAGGGAGAACAAAAGTTGCCTGAGACTAAACCTAATCAGGACTGTAGTCGACCACTATGGATGTGAATACTGCACAAAATTCCGCAGTGTTCTGTACTACCAGGGCTGTTTCTGTTGTACTTGAATTGGCGGATAGGGTTACAAAAGCCGTCTAACTGTGATCGTACTTGGGCGAGCTGCGGTCAGGCTCAATTTGGCTCCTGTTGAGCCCGGTTACATCCGATGATATAAATCCCACTTCATAACCCAACGAACGCATGGCTCAAAAGATAGTTTGAAACATGTCGTTTCAGCCTTCAATACGAAAGACCGCCACTAGATTGACTTTGAAATTTTATCGTGGTGACAATCAAGTCAACTCCCCGAGTTAAGTTTCGAAACTCGTTTTCAATCTGAGCAAGTATAGGAAACGGCGAAGCGCTACTTTTGAGCAAACCTGTAAGTCTTATGTCCTGTAGGTAAATTACCTGATCCAAATTCCACCCAGGTAGTCAGGTCATGCTCACAAACCGGCCTCCCAAGCGTCCCAAACTGCTTCGTCCACGTCCAACTCAGCCTGTGTCGGTTTTCGAGGTTTGTAGGCTCTTTCAGCGTAGGTTGAAGCGGTCCAGCCATCCTCAGCTTTCATCGTTAGATCTATTTTCCCGTATTTATAAGCATTCGAACGGCATCTACCTACCTAGTCTCCACCGCAAACATTCACGACGTTTTTTCCAATCTTTGTCTGAGAATTTGGATTGACTTAAGCGTGTTGCAGCAAACGCTCCATAACCTCCAATGGATTATATTTGGCTAAACGTTCGGGTGCCTTTTTCCTCTTTGTGGCTTCGATGGACAGGACGAGTGGTGCTTCTCCTTTCAAGACTCTGCGGATATCTTCTAACGCCATTTCTCTCTCAGCTTGACTCATGTAGATTGCGCTCTTGTTTGACATGTATCGTGAGCTTCCAGTCGCCCAAAAAAGCAACGTTTTCCCTATTTCACCAAAAGTATCGGGAGCTACTTTGCCTGTCGCGAGCAAAACCTTGACCACATCAGCATACCCAAATTCGGCAGCCCATGACAAAGGTGTTCGACCGTTCCAATCCATGCTATTAGGATTCACACCACCTGCGGCTAGCAAGACCATCACGGCTTCTGTCTTACCAGCTCCGGCCGCGTGAGACAGTGGCGTGCGGCACTCGAAGTCAAAGGCTTCAATATCAACCTTGCCCGTGTCAAGGAGCAGCCGCATCGCTTAAAGATTGCCGAGCTTTGCTGCGATAGGAAGGGGGGAGCTTCGCCCATGTCTTTAGCGTCAGGGTCGACGTCCTTTGTCTTAAGATGGAGCTTGATTATAGCCGCCGAGACTTTAGACGCAGATGCGGCACAGTGGAGCGGAGTCTGACCATATTTAGCTGGGCGTCTTGGGTCTTTATCGCTCTCTTCCAACAATAGTTTCACTATGGCCGCGTTTCCAGATCTGGCGGCGGAGGAAAGGGGTAACATATTATCACGAGCGTATCGTGGAGGCGCTTCTCGAAGGCAAAGCCTGACGAGCGTCTCGTTATTTCCACTCGTGATTGATTCCAAGCTCCACGGTCCTAGGGCAAATCGACCATCTGCCAAAAGGATGCGTACTATTTCTTCCTTCCCATGGAAGAGGGCCAAATCGAGCACAGTGCGATTGTAGCGCAACTGGGATTCTTCATGGTCGGGTTGTATATCGTGTATCCTTTCTGGAATCGGAGCCGGGACATTAAGAAAGAGATTCAAAATCTCTATGTGTTCTTTGAAGCCTTCACCCGCGACGGTAGCATCGAACCAGTGCTTGCTGTGAATCATACTCGGGTTATGCTCCAACAGCATTTTCACTATTGCCGTGTGACCCGCTTCTACGGCGAGAATTAATGGATCATCATGAGTGAAGTAGCCATGGCAGTTGTCACTGCCAAGCAGTCGCACCGTCGCCCGAGCCAGGTCCTCATTTCCGTGGACGGCTGCCCATCCAAGGGCTTTTTTCCATTCGTGTTTGAGTGTGGTATTATACAGACACTCACGCACTTGTGTAAGACTGTTGAATTTCGATGAGCTCCCATAAAACCTTTCACGCTCCCTTAGGCTGGCAGGAACTGTGCGATCATGCAGGTGCCCTCATTTGGTAGGTCTAGAAGGGACATCTACCGGACAGGAAGCTACAATTCTGATAGGCAGCACAATCCTTACCTTTTGGTTGCGGGCGGACCACGGTCCGCCCTGAAAACTGGGTCTGGGTTTGTCAAGTAAAAGCTCATTGCAGTTGGCACAGTGAACCATCCCTATGGGTATCCTCTCGAGCTCCTGTGGTGGCGTTGCGGGGGTGGGAGGGGAGTGCGGACTAGTAGAAGAAACTACCTAACTGAGACTAAACCTACTCAACAGTAGCCAGCTGTCCGCCAAGCATGAACTGTAGAAGATGCCTCAACTTCTGTGCCAGTGCCAGCAGCTACATATGCTGACTCCTCATCGAAGGTTCTTCCACATTGGCTGGGCCAGGGATAAAGTCTGATGTGATTCGTATGTGACGATAAATAAAGTTTGACGTGAGGTGACATGGTTCACCCCACTAATTGTAGAAAGACCTCTGCGTTATTCTACTCGGTGTATTTCATAAGCGAAAGATCTCATCAGAAATAAGATTTTGGAACCAAGAGAAACGATCGATTCATCATGCCAAGATGCACCTCAAATGTTCACGGATGAAAAATTGAAAGGCGTGAGCTATTGTTTCCAGACTATACAGTTCCATTTATTTACAGTGGAGGCATCTGCAGGAGCCTTCTATGATCCAGGGGCACCATCACCAACCTGGCTCCCGGTAGTATAATTTCCGAAGCAGGCCTCTTGGTACATGGCCTTCTTCTTCAGAGTCGGCACAGCCTTCAAGAATCTCTCAACAGGGCAGAAGCCATTCTTAGCCTTTTCGCAACCAACGAGGCCATCCAAAGGCAGTGGGGCATTGTTCAGCAAAAAGCGGATGTAGTCCGTAGTATGGGTAGCAGACCCGAGACTAGGGTTTTCGTAGAGAATGGGATCCAGCTCGTCGAAAGAGGTATCTCGGGGGCAAGTCCAGATTTCAGAGAAGAACCGAGCGCCGAAAGGGGTCATCTCAGAGAGTGAGAAGGTACGATTAGAAGGTGCGTGGTCCACATCGCCGGGTAGGCCGTTGGGTCCGTACTTGAAATGCTCGAGGCCGAGGGCTGAGATAACTGATAAGATAATATCGTCGTGAGACATATCCACGTAGAACGGTTGGCCAAAGGGGAATTGAGCCGTGTTGTCATCGTAGGTATAGTTGATGCTGGTATCGCTAGAGGTGATGAGCTTCTGCTGGAGACGAGCGGCAAGTTCCAAGACATAACCGATACCCTGAGCTCTACCGGTGGGGGAGCCGTAGGCATAGTCGCCGTAGTACTGGACGTCGACGTTGTAGGCAAAGTCCTTCCACTCCTGCTCGGTGAAGAGGGAGCAGAAGGATGACCCGCCGAGGCTGGTAACTTCATAGGCACAGAGGTTCTGCATGGCCAGTACGTCCATGGCAGTCAGATTAAAATCCTTAGGGAGGTAAGAAGCGAGTCGGGCGTGGGCAGCCTTGGTGTAGCGAGAGATGAAGACCTCGGCATCGTTGTCGCTAACCAGAGGTTAGTAGAATACTTCAAGTTATCAGTTGTTGCACACTCACCCCTCGGTCATGTCACCAGGGCATGATTCATACGAAGCCAAGGTATTGTTGAACGGGTAGACTTCGGGGATGATAACCAAGTCATATTGCTCATAGGAGCTGTTAGCACCGCTGTTGCCAAAGAAACCGCCTGGTTATATAAGTTAGCACGATGCAAGAGCGTGATGCAAGCAGAGAAAAAACAATCAAGTTCACATACTAAGCCACCACCGAGCACTCTCCAAGATCCGAGACTGAGATGTAGTCCGGAAAACCGGCTTAGGGCGTGCGGTACCGTTAGGATAAACGTTAAGAGACGAATTCCAGGCAGCTACATTATCGCGGTACAACAGACGGCCGTATTTGATCCAGAAATGGGCACCCGAGGTAGCTTCAGTAGCTGCACCAGTCTCCATGAGGATATCCTCGCCAATAACGTACTTCCAGTTGTTGAGGAACTTCAGCGGACCGCTCGCGACAGCCTTCCCCGAATGCGCCTTGGAGTAATTGGTCAACTTAGCCGCAAAATCCTGCATACCCTCGCCATCCAAGGGATAATTAGTCGGGTATCGCTCAGCATGGCGATGCAAGACGTGCACTTGGGAAAGCTCGCATCCTTGCGGCATGCCCTTGGGCAATCCAAAGGTATCGGCGTCTTTGTATGGGCTGAGGTTAGCCCAGCTTCGGGTCATGTCGAAGCCCGACGCGTAGGTAGCACCTGTGGGTGCAGATGCAGGGGCTGATGAAGAGGCCGCGGCGGCCACCGAGGCCAGTGTGGCTCCAGCTAGAAGCTTCATAGTTGCGTTTGGTACTGCGGATATACTGAGTCGAAATTAATCACAGCTAAAATTATGACGAAGCGTGCTGGTGAACTCAATTCCAGAAACACGCGCTGGAATGTGGGAGATAAGATTGAGGTCTATACAGAGTCGATGCGATTGGTTCTCGGGATCGTGGCCTCTGTTCGATCGATCGCGTCGGGGGAAGGTGTAAGAACCAAAACAAGCATTAATCACAATCTATTCCCATTGACGGCGGGGACGTCGATGATTTAAATGTCACATTTGAAATTCGGTGGGGCCTTTTTTGGCTCCTCATGCTGATCCTTGCCCTCGGACGATCGGATTCTTCCGTGTTCCTCCTTCGTTACCTTAGTGAGCCTAGTAGACTTCGTAATCCTTGGGATACCTTAACTCTTAGTGTACTAGTCGATTCATTTAAAATCTGAAGTTAATTATCAAGCTGCCGTAATCTATACGAATATACTAACCTTAGTTGTTCCTACAATTCCAGATCACACGCGACCAACTACTACAATCGACCAACAATCTCCGAAATGTCCTCGGCGGAGCCCCGCTGCCCGGTGCAACTCCCCGAATTGCGGCAATTTCTCCAGCCGTTGATAAGCTTCAAGCTAAAGTGAGACAATTCTAAAGTAAAAATCTCATTCGCTGTTATATCGAGTGTTTGTCTATCCAGTCAAGACAAACGAGCGAAGAAACATATACGTCATCACGTGCTTCGGCGAGCGCCCGTGATTGTGGCCATTGCCGATGACATCATTGGCTGGAGTCCATCCAGGCACGCCGCTACTTAGATTGTCCCTTTCCGGTCCATGAACTCTGCCACCTTCAATATTCTCACTCCTTCGAATTCTCAAATTTCACACCTTTCGATCCTTTGCCTCGTCCCCCAGCAGTTCGTGACATTTTCACAATGTCGGACAAGCTGAAGAATATGGCCATGGCCGAGGCCAATAGTGCCAGTACAGCATCCCGAGATGTCCTCAAATCGGGCGCTTATCTGTACCCGATCAAGGTATGCCAGACTATCCCTCAGCAAAAGCATCTCCGATGCCATCAGAAAGATTCTCATGTTGCTTACTAGGGTATAATCTACTTCGCCACCCATAAAGGTCTCTGGGGACCCTTCATGTCTCGCATCGGGCGCACCATCGGCCTAGGAATGGGTGTTACGTCATTCATGTTCTTCTTCACCTACGTGCCTCAGATGGCCATCATGGCCTTCACAAGTGGCCCATTAGCCGCGATTTCCGCAGCGTTGCTTGTTCTTACCGAGAGTGCTACAATCACCAACCTTCTATCGCGCTCCTTTGTGGTCGAAGATGCGCTCATTGACACGTTCGATGGGACGCTGGTTGCCCGCGGCCAGGAGCCTCTAGTCGCTCAGGGACGTCAACTCAAACCTCAAACCGGGGGCAGGGATTCGATAGCTAGACTGGGCAAGATTATCTCGCGACCACTTGCGAGATTTACTCCCCAGGCAATCATTAGATCGCTGATCTATTTGCCATTGAACCTGATCCCCGTGGTTGGAACAGTACTCTATATCACTGTTCAGGGAAAACGTGTTGGCCCACAACTGCACACACGGTATTTCGAGCTGAAGGGCTGGAACGCCCGGCAAAGAGAGGAATGGATTGCGAACAATCGGGGAGCTTATACCGGGTACGTTGACTTCTACGTTCCCTGCCTGATGTCTCACAAGGCCCAGTTATGCTGACTGTTTGGATAATTAGACTGGGGATGGCAGCATTTGCTCTGGAAATGGTACCATTTGCCTCAATTGCTTTCTCATTTACTAATGCTGTTGGAGCGGCCCTATGGGCGGCGGATCTAGAAAAGGCTTCAAAATAGGCACAGGAATGGCATGATACGTCTGGAAGCAAGAGGGAAAAACATTGCAATTGAGATAATTTTCACATTTCAGCAGCGAATATTTCAAAGATAATAAGCTGGAGGGGACGGACAGTACTATGATTCTTGTATTAACCGCACTATCCAATGATATATAGCAGAAAATTTGATCTTGCACGATTTCTGATCTGACTAAACCGGCTATTCTATTCTCCACGTTATTCCGCTAGTGGAAGGCTATGCCAATCATCTTGCCAACTAACCCCATTTTTCGTCGGCCAAAGATGCCGAAACGTTGGCCATAACCATGCAGGAAGCCTATCATCTCTCCATTCCCAAAAACTCTTCTGATACGCCAACCGCCCCTTCATCGCGGCGACATCTGTTTGCACAACCTCTATACCAACCCCTACGCCCAAAGCACGTGTAGCAAGCCACGTTCGCTCCATAGCCATCGGGACACCATCAAACAAAACATGCCCGTTATACCCTAGCGTATCCCAAGTCTCAGTCTTGCCACAGGGGCTCACTTCAAGGGACTGCAGAGATCGCGCGGATGAATTGGTCCCCTTGCTTTCCTCCACAATTTGAAAGATCCGCTTTACTAGGGCCTCGTCGATGGCGGCATTGACAAGCATTTGGCGAATATCGCCATTGCGAAACGAGAGCCTGTTGCACACGGATCCGTTCGGGCCAGGGGATATCTCGCAAGGCTTGATATCAAATTCGTCAAAGAAGGGTTGAATTGGCGTGACAGGGACACCATTGTGCGTGTCCTCATCAAGCTCTGGTAATAAAAGCTTGATGTCCGTTAGGTCCAACCTGAGTGTGAGATCCCGGAGAGCGCGGAATTTTCCGAGGCTGCGATACTTCTCGACCTCAAATGAATCACCTTGCGATCGGGCTATGGTGATGTCAAGTTCTTGCACACTTGGACATAGTAGTGCCATGGTTGTGATATCGGATGCAGTGAGTGGATTTTCCTTGTAGGGCTCAATCACTAGCCGAGTCAAGGTACGGCCGTGGAGAGAAAGAACCGGAGTTATTGAGTGGCTGTTGTTCCAGCCCTTCAAGGTCAGCGAGGCTAGAGGTCGAAGGCTCAACAGGAATTGGATCCCACTCTGATGAGCTGTCGTGAGCTCTCGCCGGCGCACATTTGGCTCAAGATGGCGAGGGTATGGATTGAGGTTCAATGTAAGATGTTTCAGTGAGCTGAGCTTGCAAGTAGAAGCAAGGTATATCAGAGCTGCTTCGTCGATGGGCCCGCCCAAGACGAGGCTGGACAAAGCTGGAAAGTCCGTGTGTGCATCCCACTCTGTGACGAGCTTAACATCAATAAAGTCTGAGTCGCCGATATTGAGACTTTGAAGAGACCCTTTCTTAGCCGGTTTTTTGTACCACCCATTCAAAAAGCCAGGATTTCTGGACTCCTCGTTTGCGAGGACGATTCGATGGGAATTCAGATAGCATCGCATATAGGCGTTTTGCAAGGTTGGGGCCAGTTCAGCCACAACATGATAGATGCCTTTCCAGTCATTAAATGGGCGACGGCCATCGCGTCCTCGATTTCCGTCATCTTCGCCATCATACTTGATGCTGTGTAGACAACGAGATGTGACGAGCGCAAGCTCGTGGGGGTCTAGTTCCGAATCTCTCAGACTATGCAGCTTGAAAGTGTTCAACCATAGTCGACATTTCGGAGTGGATTCATGCATAGCTTCAAGGAGACATGGAGCAAATTGGTATTCAGCCGTATAGAAAAAGTCGACCAACCCGGGTAGTGCTCTCACAAGATTAGCTACTGGTCTCCAGACGTCGTTGGCATGGGGGTTATCAGTTGGAATCCGCCGGACACGAAAGACTATAGGAACTCTGTTGACCATTTGAGAGCTCAGCGAGTCATGTTCGCGATGTTTAGCAGTCAGTGCTACTTTTTTGTTCCCTATCGCCTTCTGCGAATCCAGAATGAAGAATCGCACATGCTGGGAGACCTCTCGCCGTGTGAGGTTCTCGAGTAGCTGGTTGGCCTTTTCGGAGATGGTGGCTGGAGACTCATCCTCTAACCATATCCGCACGGTTTTGTAGAGGCGCGGTACGGCAGCGGCAAAATGGGCTTTGTTGGTGCAAGCAAAGGCCAGCAGACCAGAGGGATCGACAGAGTCTAGATCGATCAGGATCATCGATACAATCTCCGTTGGGAGACGGTCAAACGACATGCGTGCCATGTGTAGGGTACGACGATGTGGTTGAGCCGATATTAACCGGTCGAAGCCCTTCCTTGGACCTGGTAGAAGGAAGATTCAACATCCGCCTGAGTGTTTGCCCCCTAACCTCGTCCCTGTGGGTGATTTCGCCCCCACCCGGAGTCGGCTCCGAGACTTCAGCCAGAACAACCACATCCCGCTATGCGATCCTCAGTCCATGCGAGACTTTTAACTGAATATTTTATCTCAAGTATATAGTCCTGGTTTTTAATTTCGTTCTTTGCCCGTATATAGTCAAAAGCGATTTGTTAGAAGGATGTTTCATGGAAGGCTGAAGTCCAGAGGGCCGTTTGTAGATCCCGGAGAACTCCCGACCGTCGCAAGTTTTACTCTGCTACTTAGATTTCCAACCAGCCCAATTGTTGTACCATTGACTTGAAATATTCGCAAAGCTATTTTGATCAGGAATATGGCCCCTTTCTCTGTCTTTATACCGATGTGAAGGTCAAATTATGTACATGTTCATTCGCGGACAAGGGAACAAAGTCAGCAGTATAGTACCAGGTAGGTTTCTGCATCGCATCATAAATTTTCAGACCATTGACAGTCAGATTAATGAACGTGACATTAGTGATGGTTCTATCCTCATCATATCCAAGGAATAGAGAAGGATTCGCATTATGACCGTTGTAAACAAGATCCTTGATCACGACGTTGCGGATTCCCCGACCGGGCGATGTGTTGTACTTAGTGTTGTCCATGACATGGAAATTCAACAACTGACCTGTTTGGAAGTCCTCAACTCGGACATCGTCAATGTAGACATTCTCTATAAGGTTGCTGTCTCCCGCATTGATTGCAATACAGCCTTGGTACCACAGCTGCGGCTCGTGGTGATTGAGAATGTCGATGTTTCGAATCGTGACCCCATCCATGGTCTCTGGATTAGGAGTATTTCCGTGCGTGCCAATGTTGATCGGGTGAGCATAATCTGCCCATAATGACGAGTCCTGGACCGTGATGTTCTTGGAGTCTCCGTAGTAGTTCCAACGATGTTGGTAGAGGGCAATATTGTCATCAGAGTTGCGCATGAAGACTCCTTCGATCAAAACGTTCTGGGAACAGAAGATGTCGATACCATCACCGTTACCCTTGGCAGAGAATGAGCGGATACCGGATATAGTGACATCCTTCGAGCTTCCAGAGATCACTGCATAACCGTTCGGATTCAGCATGATGACATCCTTGACCGTGATATTTGATGAATATTCGATCAGAACGGCACCGGACGATTTGGTTCCTAGCATGCCCCTGCCAATGATCGCGGAATTGGATACATTTTGAAAAGCAACTTGTGCGGTAAGCAGACCACCTCCAGCCACGTAGACAGTTTTGCCTGAAGGGACTGACAAGACTCCATTCTGGATACCTGTGCCGTTGTTGACTCCAGGTCCGAAATATATCACATTAGGATCATTGATCGGATCGGTTGTCTCAATGGAGTTTGAAAAGAGTTGCAGGGTATCAAACAAGTTATCGTTGACCTGTATCAGAATGTTCTGCGGTTTTGGGAGCGAAAATTCGATGATATCGTTTGCGACCCGAGCGTGAATACCAAGTGAATAGGGTCGAATGTCAACTGATTTGATGGGACCATTATGATATTGGACTTTGAAATTGACAGGGTGTGAAAAATCTAACAATGCGACAGAGGTGTTATGCTCGATGCCCTTGCCTGAGGTTGTGTTGACTTGGGCGACTTTTGCGAAGAAAGTGTCGACCGGTTGAAACGGTTCATTTGCAGCGTTGACGAGAATAGAGTATGAGGTGCCATTGATGACACCAGACTGAAGAGGATATGTCTTGAGAACACTACTGTTGAGTGCGAAGGCCATTGAGGAATGAAGAGTGACAGTGAACATTAAGATAAGCATGTACCAACCCATAGGGTTAGCTGGACCACTTTGAGACGCCATAGTGAACAAAAGTACCAAAGAGATTAGGGCTCTATGTACATCAAAATGGGCTCAGGTCATCAGGTACTCATTTCAGGATATTTATATCAATCATGGTGAATCCAGAACAAATTTTTATTCACAATGGAGGTGTTCCGGCCAATGTCCCGGATTACCGAGGAGTATATTGTGGCTGACATCGGATAAATTAGGCATGCGGGGTTAAGCTTCAGGTGTCCAAAGTCTAATGAAACCCACTGCACCGTGCAACTTCATCGGATTTACTGTAAAAAGAATATTTGTGAAGATTTAAGTCTTGAGGTATGTACTACTTCAGCTTTGATTTGGCAAGCCGCCTGTCCTCGGGGTGATGCCGGAGCCAACCCTGCCCATCATCCCTGTTACCAAGAGAATGCTTAGCAAGACAGGTACACAGCTAATTAGAACTATTAATTGCTTTAAATAAATTTCAATTAGTGTCCCTTTGGGTGTGTGAAATTTATTTCTGGTAAGTATTATTCGGGTGCATGTTCCTGCTTCGTAATCATTAAATTAATGCTAATTATATACAGTGTCTGACATCAACGGGTCAAAGGGCGGAATTCGACCGAAAACTGGACAATTGGCAATCTACGCCTCTTTTGAAAGGAAAACCGCTTTTTAGCTAGAATATTCAGTTCAACCCTAATTATCATTGCCGTCTTCAACCATTCCTCCCAGACTGATGCCCGAGGCGATTAATCAGGTTGTTCATGTCCTCCTGTCTTCTCTCCTGGTCTCCTTCCCTCTTTTCTCTCTACACCTTATTCACGGCGAGAAACCACGCGTCTAGATGAATATTCCAAACCCCGCGCAATGTATTTTTTGGCCAATCCTTGGGTACCACGTGAATCATTGAAAAGCCTAGTCGAGGTGGTGATGGATGATCGTCTTCCGAGTTCCAAGTTCCCGCAAGATCGCGATGGAGGCGCCCAATTGAGGCGATGTTGAACGAAAGATTCGGGGCGTTGGATTGACTGGCGAACAGCAATGCTGGTTCGAGGCTATGCATTGAACCGGTTGGGGCTGAGATGCTAGCGGGCTTGGCAGGGCGACAATGGCTGCTCAGTTAAAACCCGCCAACGAGCATCGTGTCAACAATCAAACCTCAATTCTCACATCTCTGAGCATGAGTGACCAAAAGCCTAAATTTGACGGAACTCCATTTGGAACCATTCACCAGGCGGCCGAACGCGGTCGCATTGAGACGATAAAGGTGCCTCTAGAAAGCGGAGCTGATCCCAACGAAGTGGATCATTGCGGAATGGGGCCCCTTCACTTTGCAGCCGAGAAAGGCCATTGGAATATTGCAAGGCTCTTGCTAGAAAAAGGCGCGACTCCCGGCTTAGTTGATAGTAGTTGTATGACACCACTCGACTATGCCGTCGCCGGGGGATATTTGGAAATCGCTCGACTTCTACTCAAATGCGACGCGTTATTAGCAGACCGTTTCACTGGGAAACGAAGTTATCTAATCCACGTTGCGACTACCCGTGAAGATATACCTATGATCCAGCTGCTCTTAGGTGCAAAGATTCGCATAACCGCTACCGATCTCCATAGTCGAAACCCTGTCCATTTAGCTGTCAAGCAAGACAACTTGGATATTTGCAGGCTTCTCCTCGAGAATGAGGCTCGGCAGCCACCCACCGGCTTGAGTCGAATATTTGATAGCAAACCCTCTGTTCTGAGAAAGGACTCCAATAACCACCTTCTTTTCTTTTACGCTGTGGAGAGTGGGAATTGCCCGATGGTGGAACTCTTTACCTATCTCAGTCGCTCTGATATACTCCAAACGGATGTATACAATGCAGTTCACACACTCATAATCGGCCTCCATGAACAGCGAGGAATGACACTTGAAACAATGGATTACATCGTTGAAATCATTGACTTTGGTCCAACCGATCATGCGGCGAGTTTTCATGGGAATTCAGTCGACGACTGTGTCTATTCCTGATGCGCTTCGACCTATCATATACCAACTCTGTCACTTTCCTATTTTCTTTGTCGATTACTCTGGCCTCGATATTCACCAAGTTTCTCCGTGCGGACTATCCCGACCCAGCTCCTGCTTCACCAGCCCCACTTCCACATTACTCTGGGGCCAGGCGCATTACAATCACTGAGGTTGCGTGGACTGAGGAGGATCTGACATCTTCCATTGAATCCTTTGTACCAACTTACCCGCCGGAAGACGCCATCAGAAACTTACTGCCAGACATCCCTCAACGGCAGTTGACGACAACAATTGCGAATGATTATGCTGGAGCAACGGGTATCAGAAGATTACCGTGTGTCATCTGTACTGAGGACATAGGCCTGCGGAAAAATATGACTCAACTACCATATGGTCATACTTTCCACACACCGTGCATTGCGCATGTATTTTATTTCAGGGATTATGAAGGCCAGTCACGCCCATGCCCCTGCTGCCGTCATGATTGCGACCCTGTTCCTGACGCGCAAACCATTGAAGCGGGTAGGAAGCGAGCTAGAGAGAGGGAGCCAGAGTATTTGGGGGAGATTTTCCACGTTCTCGGAAGAGAACACGAAGGGCTGGTTAGATGGGGCTTTGGTTCGGGGGTACAGAGCTTTTCTGTACGCGTTTTGTAGTGTTATCTGAATTTATTTTCGTTTGTTTTACGTATGGTTACTATGAATTCTTCGAGCTTGTGTGATTTTGATTTGATGTTTGCACTTTTTTGTACTTCCTTATAGGCATCTTGTTGGCTCACCAGGGCGAAGAGAGAAAGAATGAAGAAAACACCTTTTGACAGTGTGTATTCAGCGTAGATTAGGGCGTTTATGGGAAACCTCATGAAGATGGACATTTAATGCAACGTAGAAATGCAGACTACCGCTTACCTACCGCATATATCGATTTAGTGGTAATTGGCTACATACATGGTATTATCTTGATTAATGTATCTAAAATTCTGCCGGGTGTGAGTTTTGGCTTCACAAACAGCGACATGACATGTGCAGCTTAGAGAAAGATTTCGATTACCTCGAATAATGTTTGATATTCAACATCACTGTCATATAAAAATACCACTGAGACACAGACCCCATCAGAAAAATGAATATCATTCTGCCAATCGAAGTTGTCCACGATTACTCGTTCTCGGTAACATCGATATGAGTCTCCTTGAACTGGCGGGCTGGAACCTTACGATTGAACAAGATATCAATCTCACGGTACGAGCGGTTCTTCAGCTCCGGCAAGAAGAAGTATGCCAAGATCCAGCAAACAATCGCGGTACTACCCCAGACATAGCCACACTTTCCAGCAAGGTTCCATCCGGTCTGGTTGAGCATTTGCGAGGCTAAGAAGATCATAGGGATCTCAGCAACATAGTAAGCAGCACGGCCAACACCAGTGCTCAGGGCACGAAGGCGGACAGCCGAGGTTTCGGCAATAATGGTGTAGGTAATGGGGCCCATGGCGCCAGCGTACACGAACGAGATAATGACCCCTAGACATGCCTGAGCGTAGCTAGTCTGATGAGTTTGATGAACCGAGCCACAAATAGCAAGAATAAACAGGAATGTAACATTAATTGCGGTTCCCCAGAGGTATATAGTGCGGCGACCGAACCAGGCGCTCAGCGGCCACGACAGAGCGTTTGCGACAAATTGAAGACACGAATTGATGAGGTTCAATTGGAATGATTTGTCCGGCGATATACCAGCCTGCTCAAAGAAGTACGTAGCCTGATTGGCTATGAGGTTTCCGGCAAAGTTCTGCGAAGCATACATCATACAGATGATGACTGTTCGCCGGAGGTCTGTCCCCTTGAGGAGATCCAGGAGAGTCGGGCTGCCACCCATCTCAGCCTCCAACTCGACGGTTCGCTCAATCATAGCCAAGGTTTTATGGGACCTTTCGCCTTTGTCACCTAGACGCTCGATAGATCGAAGTGCCTCTGCCTTGCGTCCACGACGGATGAGCCACCAGGGCGACTCGGGGGCTAAAAAGATCAGTATCAAAAGTGGTGTCTGTTTATATCAAATTGTATATCAGTAAACTTCTTATAAGGTGAAAAAAAAAGTAGTCTAGAAGAGGACTAAAGGATGATACAATTGCACTCACTGGGAAGATCCATTGCAAGGCAGTGGGCACTCGCCAAGACCACTCATCGTTGCGATTGTTGTAGCCATAACTGGCAGCCGCAACAATAATCCCACCGATCGACCAGCTCATTTGCAGAGTCGCCGTGCAAGCACCTCGGAGGGCAAGAGGCACGATCTCACTGGCATAGGCTGGAGAGTTGCTGATGAAGAACCCCCAGGGAATACCCTCCAGGAATTGTCCTGCAACCAACATACCGAGAGAAGTCGAAAAGAAGGATATGAAAATAGTAGCATTCATAAAGATCAATGCAAAAATGGTCGTCCAGCGGTATCCAAAGCGATTGGTAATTGGACCGGCTGCAAAGACGCCAATAAAGGCACCACATTGACCGGACTGGAAGAGGGCACTTTGCCACCGGGTGGGGATGGAGTATTCATTGGCACCAATCAAGACGCCAAACTGCTTTTTGAAATAGGGCAGGGCGACGAAGTTGGTGTTCAGGAACATGTCGAAGGACTCCATCACGATGGTGAAGCAAAAGATGAAGGCCCACATGCAAGCCAATGGGTGCGATTTCGCTGCTTCCCAGACTCCTTGCTCATGCTCCTTGTTCTCTCCATCAATAGCTTCGTTCATGAGATCCTTGTTGGTCAAGACCTGATTGTGGTCGAGCTTCTCGTTGTGCGCGACATGGGCCTCACCCTCGGACTTGACTCCAGCCTCTCCTTCGGTTTTTTTCTGCTCAATACCGGACGACATTTTGAAAAGCGCACTCGGGGCAGCTAACAAGAAATACGCACGGAGAAAGAGAAGGCGTGTTAGTCGACAGGGTGAAAAGGAAAAGGAAAAGCGAAGCTTGTGAAAGTTAACATTGCGGGGAGATGCCTTATATCTCATGCACAGTATTTGACCTGTCTCGCTCAAATTCAACTTCACCTTAAGGTTCCATTTCGAGGCGCGCGTGATACGTGGATGAATCCGATGTAAGTTGCTGGGGGCCAATCAAGGTCGACAGGGGTTACCAACTCGTGAGAGCAAGCACATCCGCACAGTAATCGCATCCAAATATTACCTGAAATCGATTAGTACGCAAGCAGGAAAACAAAGGCAAACCATCCTACTGGTCAGAAAGGTTAAGCTTTGACCACAATAAGGCTAGCCACCCGCTGGGCGTTGCAAATCTGTGCGGATGGTGGTGTTTTTGACTAGCCCCGAGATAGGAGGCCCGAGATACGTTAACATGATCGGGAGATTGAGCAGATGATAGCCTCTGGTACGACCCGAATCCACTAGGCGAATCAACGACAAATGGGCTTCGGCCTCGGGGTTTCCCCACGGAAAGTTTCTCCAGATTCGAAATGGAGTTGTTAAATAGGGATCCCCGGACCCCACAAAGACGCGTGGACTGCTCGACTTTTGTCTTTCATGAGCTTCGCGATTTGACTGGATGAAATCACCGGGATTCTAAGCGAGTAGGTAGGTCATCGAAGACTCATCTGACTATCGGCCAACAGCCCTAGGGGGAACGCGGGGAACAAGCTTTCTAGCTTTGCGAAAAGCCTTTCCGAGCCGGTCATGCGGGAGAGCCCGTTGCGGGGAGACGCCCTTTCAACTCGAACAAGCTGAGCCGTGCTTGCGTCTTCCAGGGGCTGTGGTTGGCGGGAATGCTGCATCGAGCCATCGGCTATGCCTTTGGTGGACTAGCTTGAGCGCCTACCTAGACTTTGTAACACATCAGAACACAGACCACAACACGGAGAGCCCCGGACCATGGGTGACCAGTGAGGCCATCTTCTTGTATGTCCTCGTGGCATCGAGATTTGAGACCAACCTCTGGAAAGGACGTGCGTGTCTGTGCCCAGGGAAGCTAACTGGTTCCGGATAGCTGCTTGACATCGTACGAAGAGTCAAACACGAGTGTGAAAGAGAGACTGGGGTCTTGAATTAGGGTGCTGCCTGACTCATAGCCACGCGACGAAATTCTTTTCATTTCCCTGCCTTCTCCTCTCGCCTATACTAGATGACCGGTTGTTCGGACAAAGTGTGGCTTGAGTAGTGTGGAACGGATGAGCGACACCCAAGGAAGGTTTAATGTGATTGGCCGAAGAAAAAGAGGCGTTTTAATCTTGTGGAAGACCGTAGCACCGCCAGCATTTTTGCAATGAGAAAACGGAGGAGTTAAACCCCTTAACTACATGATGTATCTATCACGGTATGATATCATTTGTCTTGTATCCACTATGAGCTTTATATAGACTAAATAAATATTAGTTAACATATTAATATAGAATACGTTAAGATGTAAGATGGATTTAGTCCTCTAGAGAGGTTGAACCCTAGTTGAACCCCGCTCGAACCACCTAAAAATACAAAAAGTACACATTGTTTTAGCCACGTTATCATATCACTTGTACATGAATCTTGAATATGTAGTTTGAAATATACAAATTTATTGGGTAAAGCTATCCACAAAATAAATATTCGACTGGTAGCTCATATAGTAAGCCATATTCCCGACAACAGTGTATAATTTGATGCGGGATCCCGAAACTATGCATCTTTGCGTGTCGAAGTACCTCCCTTTCCCCACAACCACATGTAATTAACCCGAATTTTTAGATCAAACTTACCACGTTTGATAGACTTGGCTTGAAATTTGAAGATAAAACAGCCCAGTGTACCATAAAATATATAGAAACAGAATATTACCCATGATGATGTTCAGATTTCAACAACCCTACTAACGTCTTACAATTCATGTTTTGATACTGACCAAACTTCAAGATTATTTTATCAATCTTGATTTATGAGATACAGTAGAATAGTAGATTTTGCCTGACCTCTCTAGGAGGATATCTTGGAATATACCCGGAAAGCCGAAAGAGAGAAGCGAAGCAAGACCCAAGGGGCCAATATGGCATATGGTCAATGAATGCTTCAAGGTTAACATTCTTGTTACCGTCTAGATCTACAGAGGCAGTTCAAAAGTCTGAGTATAGAAACCAGAGAAACGGACCAACCAGACATGCTTTAACCACTCATTTGAGAGATCTTCCTAAACGTCTTTCGAAACATCCTTATTGATAGCACAGGTACCATCTTTTCAGTCTATCTTTCCGCTCACGACTGCGAAGATTTGATTTTGAAAAATTTTCGGAGATTCAAACATATGAAGCCCCACCGTACTGGTTTAACAGAAATATAAAAGTACCGAGATTTCTCCAATTTCTTCATTGGCGACTTGGATCACCAAGTTACCGGGCGGTACTACTTGCAAATTGATCAAAGAGCGAATGGGCTCTTGATTTATTTAATAAGTCGCAATTTACTTCACGCAAGAGGTTATGGGTTGGTTTTGTTTCGTATAGTTCAAGGTGCGATATATTGAGAGAATCACTGCTGGTAAGGTTGCTCTATCGTGGTCATACATCTTTTGATGGCCAGTATCTTGGCCCTAGGTCCCCATCATTTGTAGGTGTCAGAAGGTCATTGGACTTTCATTAGACCCTCAAAGTATCCATAGTACCGACTCTATTTCATTGTATATTATTGGTAAATGCTGTAGATTATACTGAGAACAGACTAGGTAGATGCAGCTACCCTGCACCGATGTGGGACTCTTTAAAAACACAACCATGAGCAACGAGTACCATCCGCTACATCTTCCTCCTTACGCCACTTCATCTATAAAACGAACGATCATTTGAAATCTTTCTATATTCTTCTACACTAACTATATCCAGAACACAAACACTCTAGGTGCGGCTATTATAGTATTCAAATACCCAGCTCTGCCACGTGGATCTGGTAACCCATGGATCACGTGTACATAGTGTCTGAGGAAATATAGATGAATAGTTCTCGAAAAGGCCAAGATGAACTATAGGAGATGTTTCCAGATATTATACAGTGTGTTCTTGAGATGCTTTGGAATAACTCAGTTATGGATCTTGATAGGCAAATCAACTTATCCAGAAACTCGGTCAAGTTTGGTGAAGCTCACGTGCTCTCCGTGCAGATTCCATTGGAAGCTATGGCAATCCAAGACACATACCTCAGATACAACAGGGAGCGGAGATACCTTGTGTACTGGATGACCAACGCAGCTACCAAAATTCGCAGGAATATGCAGGTCGAGTCCTCAATGTCTACGAGCCCCCCAGGTGTTGTCTCTCTAGAAACGCAAGTCACTCTCGAAACTGATCGCCGAACACATGAACCTACCAAGAAACCACTGGATTTTCCAGAAAAACTGCGCCACAAAAGGTCAAATCTACCTAGAGGGAAAATAAAAGAAGAAGTCGAAATAGCAGGACGAAGAGACAAATACAGAACAACCCCGACGGTAACGGAAAAAGAAAATCCCACGCCTCTCTTACTCCCATAACGTGGCATTCACAGCTAGCTTTCATCTGCTCTATGATGGCAGATCTACCGCCTCAGTCGCTCTCATCACTCCCAACGGAGCTGATTCTGATGATCGCAGACGATCTTGAATACATCGTCAATCGCGATTTCTTGGCACAGGTTTGTCGTCGATTCAGCCTCTTCCTCAGAGACCGAATGTACCGCCATCTTTTCGTTCATTTCCCCTGTCCCACGCTAGAGCGGGCTGCCGAAACTGGGAACATATCATGTGTTCGCTACTTCTTGAGTTCTGGAATAGAGCCAAATCGGCTATACAGCTATACAATGAAGATTGGACGCCAATTCCCCTGGAGAATTTTAGGATCTTGGAAGAGGATCCTGGCATGTTGCATTGCACTGTTCCAGCAAACCGAAAGCAGACGGCAGCCGTGTCAAAACCCATCATGGCAGAGGTCTTCCAGAACCAGCTTCGTGAATCGACTGACCTTCTATACTGGGACTGTTTACTGAATGCATGTGCCGTGAGAGAATATTGTAAATTCGAGGATTCCTCGGCTTTTGAGCCCGATTCATCGGCAGCGCTTAGACGGGGTGACCTGTTCCCGATCCACTTCTTCATTGATCCTTTCCAGAACAACTGCATGGTTGACTACAATTAATCTAACCTCATTCACGTGGCCATAATATCATCACCTTGTTCGGTTTCGATTTCTCTATTTCATGTCTCCTGTGAGAGAAATCTAGACATGCCGCCCCAATTGCCGAGACGTACTACCTCGCTCTAACCCGATCAACATGCGTACTGAACCACCATCCTTGCCAGTGGGTTATCCAATCAAAGACAATCTTCTCAGTACTACAATTCCGCCGGTTATATTCACAAATCCCCTCATAACTGCAGCGGCAGTTAAGCGTTCCCGTACTGCGGGGTACAAACAATCCGGATATTCTACTGGGAGTTATTTAGGCAAAACCAAATGCTTATGCTTATATCCTCATCTCAGTTCCAAAATCGTTGTATCTTGGCAATTCGAAAGCCAAAATCTTCATTCAAGATGAGACTACTACCCTCTGCTGGCAATGGGACTACAGCAGCTTTCCATTCACTTTCTATTGCACTCTTGACCCAGATCGGCATGGCAATGAAGACCCCCGAGCCACCAAAGCTGTCCTTTCTGTACACAGCATATGCAGAGTGTGACCCAAACTTCATGAGCCAGGTGGCTGGGCCACATGGTATACGCAACTCTATTCCTATCGTCGGTGGAAACTTCAGCGGACCTCATCTCTCAGGTACTCCACTTTAGCTATGGCTTTCCTGTATCAAGGGGAATTACTAATACCAGATAGGCAAGATTATGAATGTCGGGGCAGACTGGGGTCTGGTTGATCCTCGAACAAACATTTTTTCGGCAGACACCCGGTACAATCTACGCACAGATGACGGGGCAGATATCTACATTCAAACTTCTGGTCCACAGGTTCCAGATGGTCATTTGCATCTGCGGCTTGTGTTTGAAACTGGTAGTCCAAAGTACTACTGGCTGAATAACATCGTTGGTATGACCACCATGAGGACCATTTCGATGGATTTCACTGCTGATATACTATCTAGCAATCGGGGTTTTGACAACTGGTCTGCCATCAACCGGAAACTTGAGTCTTCTACGAATTGATGCTTGGAATGTAAGCTGAGTCAATGCCATCTCACAATGCTTTGTCTGATAACAGTAATTAACTACAGTTTGCGTCTGACTGGAGTGCTACACACTTTGTGGATGGTACTACTGTCGTGTGATAGAACACAAAGACAGAAGTTCCTCTCTAGGGGTTGCCCTCCTTACGCGAATGCATTAGGGATCCATCAGAAGTGTGCTGAATTAGGCTTGAGCTTTTATACAAATTAAGTCACAGGTCTATCTGCTTTCTATGTGTAGTCCTCATTACATCAATCCTGCCAATATGCCCCGAAAAATAGCGTCTATATTCACGTTTTGCCGCCCATTCGACATGAATCTAGAAAGATCGGATTTCAATTAGCAATGTCAAGCAGAATGATCCAAATAACAAACACCTACCTTCAAGGCTTGTAGCACTCCAAGTACTTCTCACCATACTTGCAAGGATTATCAGCAAGAACCTTGCAGCACTGTGCGCCAGCCTTGGAAGCACAGTCACCACTGCCGTCTTTAGAAACAGCAAGGATAACACTTCCGTCAGACAGCTGTTGACCGGGTTGGTAAGGCGAAGAGCCACAGTAATTCGAGCCGTAACCGTACTCGGACTTGGTCCAGTCACAGCCTCGACCCTGGTAGATGCAGTCGTATTCGGCGGTGTTCAAGGCTGCGGCGGAGGAACTGGCGGCAAGGATGGAAGATAGAGAGGCAGATGGGATGTGGGAGACTCGGCTAGCGACGACTGAGCTAGCGGGGACGCTCACAGATGGAACTGAGAAGGTTGCAGATGAGGATGTGAAAGAGGCAGAAGGAGCGATTGTGAAGGAACTGGCTGATGCCAGACAGGCGAAGAGGATGGGGATGGAGGCGACCTTGAACTGCATGATGATGATGGTGGTGATATGTTCTTGGGTAGAGAGGAAATTGTAGTCTAGTAGGGAGATTAGAGCGAGGCAGAGGTATTAGTACCAATTTGAAAAGGGATGTAGATATAAAAGGAGTCGATAAGAAAGATTGTGCAGGGGGACTATCTCCGGTGATGTTATGGTCATGTTCTCTGTCAATAGGGGGGAAAAAGAAATTCGGCGTGTTGAAAACTTGATGTCCACTCCTTACTGTACAGACTCATTCCATTTAAAAATCCAATGCGATCGACATCTTTTTTTCACAAACTCGATTACCACCTGGACCGTGAGTTCAATAGATCAAGGATCCTAGCGGATACGGCCCGCCCACTCTAACGAAGAACGGCAGTTGATGTGTCAATTCTATGATCCGAGTCTACGCACCGGTCTACCTTCTTCCCGCGTATACTGACTCTTCCCCAGGAAATGGTCACTGCCTACAATCGAGAGGTCCAGGACAAGGTCACTCAAATCAACAGCGTGCCCTCTTCGCTACCTAGTGACGTAGAGGCGGATGTCTGCAATTCTTGGGCCACGGTATGCATACACGAAAACAAGACCCGATCCGTTAAATCTCGTCATCGGATATCTAAACTAACTCCTCTTGTAGTACTCCGAGAATCAAAAGCACCTGCGGTCGGTTCTGATTTACAAGCATGCACTCTTGGGAGTAGCGGGATTGAGCGACCCAGTGCTACAATTGGTACGCGCTGATCAGTCCGCTAATGATGTAAGTTACCGAACTATTCCCACAAACTAGAGTACCAATCACTCATCACTCGATAGCAATACACCTTTGACCTGTTCAAGCTCGCCTCCAGCTGCAGTGATTCTCTGGAAGTTAAGCGGAACGAGTTATCAGATTCATACAGCGAGGCTATTTATGTGTATGGGTCATGAATAAGACAGTGTGCTATCAAGAAATGTAGAAATATCCTTGACGAGAGCCTAAAAGGACCTTGGAAAATAGAAAAAAGATGAGGAGTCGGTGTATTCTGACCCGATGATGCGCAATGTGGCTTTTCGCTCTGTAGGCCGGGAATTTCAGTGGCGCTGCGTACCTGACTGGGGAATAAGCAGTCGTCATCTATTGTTGATGCTTATCACTGATGGCATCATGGTTGAATGTTTTGGTACTGTACTGCTGGGGCCAATGCGGAAGGCTCAATTGTGTAATTTAAACTCCGAGGCTCATCTGCTGCCCACGGCCAACGTTAGTTCAGAAGAGAGTCCCAGTTATGATCAAGTCAAGAGTGATACTACAGCAGTATTCGGAAGCTAATGAATCTCTACTCTTTTACAGGGTTGGATAATAAATGGAGGTCAAGGAGTGGCGATTGGTCAGCTAAGCTAGATAGGAACAACTGATTGAGGCTGTTATAAACAAGCCGAACATCAGAAATAATACATCCCAAAAGCAAGATGGCATCATAGCCAAAAAGCAAAAAGACAATTATCGAGCAAAACTTGAAAAAGCAACGACAGTGAGTTAGCGAAAAGGAGTGTAGGCAAGCACATCACAGAACGATCTGCCCAATCTACTCCTCATCCTCGCTATCCTCCTCGTCTTCGCTCTCGGCGGTCTCCAGCCATTCCAAGAAAGGCTGGGCAGCCTTGCGGATCTTCTTGCTGGTAGAAATGTCGACGTACTTCTTGCTAGCCTTGGCACCCCAGGCCTTGAGGGTCTCCTCAGACACGAGGTCGTGCTGGTAGTAGGCAAGCAGAATGGCGGGCACCTGGGCAATCAGAGCAGGGTGGTCCTGGCCGACGAAACGCTCAGTGCCACCAAGGAAAGCCTTCTCGTGGCGCTCAGAGGTGATCATCTTCTTGAGGAGCGCGGCGCGGTCCTCAACCTGCTTGGCGATCTTGTCGTCGAAGATGCTCTGAGCGAGAACGGCAACAGTCTTGTGCTTAGACTCGATGCCGAACTCGTGGGCCTTCTTGTAAATATCGATGTCGCTGACCTCAGTCACGCTACCCTTCTCCTCGGCAGTCTCCAGAATCCAGCTGCCGAGCTGCTCGTAGGCCGAGGGGCCATCGACCTCGTCATCCTCATCTTCCAAAACCAAGGAGCGCTTGAGGTCCGAGGGAAGGTCCTTGGCGCGAGCCTTGACGGCTTCCTCGGAGACATCGAAAGTCCACTCATCGTCCTTGATCTCCTTCTCCACCTCGATGGTCTCAGCCTCGGACTTAATGCGACGGGTAAGCTCATCGTCGCTACCGGCGTCCTCGGCATCGCCATTCTCGTCACCGTTCTCGGAGTTGTTGCTGTCGCCAGGGCTAGCGTCCTGGTCGCCATTGGCAGCGGATTTCTCCTTCTTCTGCTCACGACGAGCCTTCTTGTCCTTCTTCTCCTTCTTGCCACCCTTGGGGTTGTTGCGGACGATGAAGGTGCTCAGCTTGAGACGGGGGTCAACATCGGTGCGCTGACCACAGGCCTTGCAGTCCAGGGTGATCTTCTCATCCTTGATGTTCACATCGGTCTCGGGGTTCTTGCACTTCTTGCAAAGCACAAACTTGGAAATGAACCCATCAAGGTAATCCTGGAGCTTGGCGGCGTCGTGGGCACCGTTGATGATCCAACGGTCATCGGAGGGCTTGGCATTGGCCTGGGCACCGAGTTCGAAACCGAAATACTTGATGACGTACGCGGCAGGGCGGCTGAGGGAGTGAGCAACGGAGGGCAGGTTGACAATGACGGTCTTGATACCGTTGCCCTTGCCTTCAATCTTGGACTGGATTTTCTCCATCTTGTAGCGGTAGAAGGGATCGGTAACATCCCGGCGAATGTTGACGGTAGCCATGGTGACGGTTGGAGGTGGTTATTTTGATGGATTTTCACGAGAACGGAACGGTGGACTTGCGAAAAGGAATTGTGACGGAAATTTTGTCGACTGAACAAGACATGCGTGTGTCGAGTTCGGGTTTTTGGAGTTTATTTTGAGAGGTGTGATGGTGACGGTGTCTGTTGTGACGATGGGGTCACAGCGGCAGCAGGTAGTCCAGGGAGGAGGTTTCAACCACAGGACCGGAGGTGTATGCTACAAGGTTTCGGCGCGCGAAACGTTTGCAGCTTGAGCGGCAGGTGGTGTTCGAAATGTTGCACGGAGGACGAATACATGAACAAGTCGGCAGTAGACTTCCTGGGTTGATTTCTCTTGGGGGCGAGAACGACCAGAGGTGTTCTTGAGGGAATCCGAGTTAGAGGCCGGAGACCCTGTGGTGGATGATTGATGGAAGTGATGATGGCGGAAGCCAAACTAACCAGTTGGGAGTGAAGTGAACTGTGCAAAACAGCCGATGCAGATGTAAAAGGGCTTCGCAGTGATCCTGGAGGCCAGCGAGATGAGTGAAGAGGTGAAGTTGGGAACGAGCAGAAAGTGGGCGAGAGGAAAAGAGGATTTTAAGCGGGTCCGGCTTATGTCATCCGGCACGTGTCTCGGATTTAGGCAGGCTATTGAAAGTTATGCCGGCTCCGAGTAGATCAAGTACGGACTTTAACAATAGTAGACTCCTATCTCATTTTCTTCTTATTGTAAAAATTCATTTTCTTCAAACGGAACTTTACGCTTCCTTTTGCTTCTTACAAACTGTGGGGAAAAAAAAACGTCAATAGTGGCCAGAGCTATACGATGAGGCAATCACCGATGCCCCACCATCACCCAACCGCGGGATCGGTTCGTGATCCGCTCTCCGGTCAACGGGACTTGCGTACCTGACATTTCAAGCTTTTTGTGTGAAGCTATCAAGTCGTCGCCTGTTGTCAACTACAATTGCCACCTGGAACTCGGACTGTTTTCGGGAGCAAAGGGAGTCAGGATAACAAATTCTAAAAAAGCCCGACCATGCCGCTAGACCTATCGCTGTATCTGGTCACAGACTCGACCCCGGCCATCCTCAAGGGTCGTGACCTGTGTACCGTCGTGGAGGAAGCTTGCAAGGGAGGTATGACAGTGGAACTGAAATTGACCACCCGAGAGCTATTGGATCATGCTAATTCCCGAGACTAGGTGTCACCATCGTGCAATATCGGGACAAAACCAGCGACACTGGTGATCTCATCGAGACAGCCAGCAAACTTCACCAAGTCACCAAGAAGTATGGTGTGCCACTTCTGATCAACGACCGAGTAGATGTTGCCCTCGCTGTCGGTGCAGAAGGTGTTCATCTAGGCCAGGATGATATGGGTGAGTCTCCAGTCCCCTCTTTACCCCGCCACAGATTTTCCCGTGGGATATTTACAAGCCCGGAATATAGTGTTTGAAGCAGCAAAGAAGCTCCTGCCAAAGGATGCTATCATTGGAATCAGTACTTCCACGGTGGAACAAGCTAAGAAGGCCATTGCTGATGGGGCCGACTATTTGGGCATCGGAGCGATGTTCGCCACTCCAACGTAGGTGCCGGACACAGATGCAATCCTCGCAAATCGAGTCATTAACAATGCTATAGCAAGACAAACACCAAGGCGTTCCTCGGTACTGCAGGAACGCAGGCATTTCTGAGTGAGATTAGCGATTCGTCAGTAGGCACCGTCGCCATTGGCGGTATCAACCATTCCAACGTGCAGCGCGTGCTCTACCAGTCCAAATCCCCAGCGAAGGGACTGGATGGAGTCGCCATTGTCAGTGCAATTGTTGGTGCCGAGGACCCCAAGGCATCAGCAGCGAAGTTGGCCGAGCTGATCAAGAATACTCCGATGTTTGCCTTGACACCTCAGCCCTCCCGGGCTAATGAGGTCGAGGCCCTGCTGCAAGACATCCCTGCTATCGTACGGAAGATGGTCGAAGCACACCCACTAGTGCACAACATGATCAACTTTGTCGTAGCTAACTTTGTCGCCAATGTCGCTCTCTCAATGTACGTCTTCCACTTCGAAATTGACATTCGCAAGACTAACCGCCACTAGTGGCGCATCACCTATCATGGCACCTTACGGTGACGAAGCCAAGGACCTCTGCAAATTTGACGGCGCCCTGCTCATCAACATGGGCACATTGACCAGTGAGAGTGTGTCCAACTACCAAAAGGCCGTTCAGGCCTACAATGGACGCGGTAATCCGGTCATCTACGACCCAGTCGGCGCCGCCGCCACCGGGATCCGTCGCAACGCAGTCTCGACCCTGATGGCCGGCGGATACTTCGACCTGATCAAGGGAAATGAGGGCGAGATTCGCCAAGTGTGGGGAAGCAATGCCGTGCAGCAGCGCGGTGTCGACAGTGGACCTAGCACATTGGACGGCCAACAGAAGGCTAAGCTGGCGCGCGACTTGGCTCGACGAGAGCGTGAGTCCAACCCAATCCCACTCCCCACGTCATTTAATCACTCACATTTCGCAGGTAACGTGGTCCTGTTGACCGGTGCCGTCGACTACCTCAGCGACGGCGAGCGCGTCATCGCTGTGGAGAACGGCCACCCATACCTTGGCCAAGTAACGGGAGTACGTTCAGGCATTCCCGTACCAATTCCATTCTGGGAAATCTCACTAACACCTACTTTTTCCAGACTGGTTGTGCCATCGGTTCGGTTTCAGGTTGTTTCCTTGCGGCCCATCGCTCTGACAAGCTCCTCGCCGTGCTGTCTGGTCTCTTGCTGTTCGAGATTGCGGCCGAGAATGCTGCTGCCAAGGAGTACGTCCGTGGGCCGGGTAGCTTTGTGCCTGCTTTCCTTGATGAGCTGTATGCCATTCGGACGGCCGCAAGTAAGGGCGATGATGGCTGGTTTGTGGGTCGTGCTAAGGTGCACGAGGTGAAGTTGTAGATTGGTAGATTATGGTAAAATATGTACATGACTGGATGAAAACTGGCTATATACTGAGAGTTGACTTTTGAATTTGGGGGACAATTGGAATAAATCATTTGGCATACACAAGTCCTGCTGCTTATGAGCTCACCCCAGTTGCTGCTGAATGTGGTGACATGCCACGCTGGGAGTAGGTCATGCCCAATGAGAATCAACTAATAGAACATTGTTTAAACTCACATCCAGATCTTGATTACTCGCCTAATCCGCCGGCCTGGCCGTGGCTATGTATCTAAAATTAACGTCTGGCTGTGCAAGTTACTGGTGTCTTGGATGCCTAAGCCGGGAAAGGTCATCCCGATCCAGTCCTCTTGGCTCAGGCGATCCCGAGTGAGATTTATCTACAGTGAACATCCGGGATCTACATCACGTATACTCGATCAAGATCTTATCTGAGATATGTCTCAGTAGATACTCTCCGCAATTGGGTTAGGCGCCCGGCAAAGGCGTCCACTTTGTTTGTCATATCCACGGTCCTGCGCCAATTCGGCATATTGATTCGTGAATCAGGATGGAGACACAATGTCACTCGAGGTTGGGTAGTCAGCATAGCTGCGAGTAATTTCCTTCTAGCTACATGACTACATTGTTTCTAAGTTGGGCTATTATAGATCATCTAAGGAGAGATCTTTGCATATAAAAGAGCCTTGAGAAATCCTCGACATCCTCCCATCATCAAGAACTATCTCAACAGTCCAATATACAATCTTCTACGCTCACCATCCACAAAAGTTCATCTTTCAACCCCTCAAAATGAAGTCCATCACCCTCGTTACTACTCTGGCCGCTGCCACCACCGCCATCACCGCCCCCCACACATCAGCCAAGCGCGATCTCTACCCAATATCCCTCACTGATCTCTACGCAAGCTACTACGACCAAACCAAACCCGAAACCACCCTCGTAAACTTCAAATTGAGCGACCCCAACACTAACCTCAACACTACCTGCAACGCTGCCTGGTAAGTTAAAAGTTCCCTACCTTCCCACTGTCTTCCAGCCCACTTCTATTCCAGAACTCCCCAATATATGCAAATGCTAATCCTACTTCACTGCGATACAGGTCCATCGGCCAAGCCGGCACCCTCAAGTTCAACTGTGCCGATCCATCCTACCAGCTGAGCTTCCCGAATGGCATCTACAATGTCGAGGACTTTATGATTGAGATTTCGCGGCCCGATGGGTCGGAGTCTGGACAGGCCCGTGCTTATGGGGAGTCGTGGAAGTGTGAGAAGCATGATGGGTATCCGTCGGAGACTTGTGCCTGGGATGGTGTTTTCCATGTTGGTGTTAGCAAGTGATTTTGGTTATAGTAATGCATTTTTGGCGTGTTTTCTGGTTTAAAGGGTTGTGGTTTCTTTATAGGGAGAGGGATTGGGTTATTTGTTATACAGGTTGATTTTTGCTTTTTTGATACTTGCCGCTCCTTTCATAATACATACTGAGAGTATTCTTGACTGCCATATGTCCTCTCTCGTTTTCGTTTAAATTGAATAGGCTCTATAGTTCTTTGGTCAAAACAAACTATCTGGAAAGGCATTTCCAAAACGAAAGATCTCTATAATATCGTTCAACAAAAGATTTTAACACAATAGAGTCCATGTCGACCCGATAGTACAAGATCAGCATTACCACTCGCGCGATAGTCCGACCCGTTCCCCTCGGAAGTTTTCCCCGCATCTCCGAGTTACCCGCCCCGGACATCGCCGTTCCCAACTTCCAACTTCCCTTCATCAACAACCCCAAGACAACCTCCAACATACGATTCATCCTTCAAACACCCTCACTCTATCATCATGTCTGTCGTTTCTCGCGCTAGTCGCATCCGTATGTACCCTCAGCTACCCATTGGATCTATAGCAAGCTAACACAATCCAGGGAACCCCGCATTGTTGTACGTCAAATCAAGCCAGCCCTCCATTCAATCCAACACCATCGAAACGACTCAAACTAACTCTCTCATAACAGCGTTTGCGATATCCAGGATAAATTCCGCAATGCAATCTACGAATTTCCCAAACTGTACATCCCCCAATCCCAATCCACTCCACTTCAATCACAATCCAATTCAAACCACATCATACCATACTAACAACCCCCAGCGTATCAACAACCGACAAACTCGTCCGCGCCGCAAAAATCCTCTCAATCCCAACCTACATCTCAACCCAATCCAGAAGCAAACTCGGCCCCACAATCCCCGAACTAGCCACGCACCTCTCCGGCCCACACATCCGCGCCGACATCGACAAAACACTCTTCTCAATGATAACCCCCGAGATCGAAAAGCAACTACCCGTGAAAGCGCAAGACCCACTGGATGTAATCCTCGTCGGAATCGAAACACACATCTGCATCACGCAGACAACGCTGGACCTGCTCGAGCGCGGACATAGAGTGTACGTCATCGTGGATGGAGTTAGTAGTATTAATGCTGAGGAGAGGGGGGTTGCGTTGGCGAGACTTAGGGATGCGGGGGCGATTGTGACGAGTAGTGAGAGTGTTTTGTTTGAGATTTTGGGGGATGCGGGGCATGAGGCCTTTAGGGAGATTAGTGGGTTGGTTAAGGAGAGTAAGGAGGAGACTAAGGCTGCGATGGGGGTGTTTTCGAAGATTTAGAGAGGTGGAGCTTTGGTGATTTGGGGTTGTGGTGAGAGGTTTACTGTTGACTTATAGAGAGATGCTACGGGAAGAAATAGGATGAGAGTATTCATATGTGAGGTCTTGTCGGATATAACTATGTTATCCTGACCTAGAGTGGCATCACCGGCCACGGCAAACCCTAAGAAAAGACAAAATGGAGATCCCTCCATAAACGAAGCAAAAAAAAAAAAAGCCAAACGCCCGCTCCATATCCCCCATGTTTTGAGAAGATCATGAAGAAACACAAACTCGCTCGCTAAGACAGAGAATCATACAAATAAGCGCAGACTTGGTGTTCTACCAGCTGCGCGACCGCTCACTTCTTATCGCCCTTGGCCTCAGTGCCTACCTTCAGCCAAGGGAAAGCCGAGCCACCGCCAAAGGTGTTTGCACCCGAGCCCTTACCCGAGCCGGCGGAAGATGAACGAACCAGAACTTGGCCAGGGACAACAGTAGATGAAGTCGCCAGGCCAGAGCTCCGGCCCGCCATCTTCGAGGGCTTGAGAACAGTCATCGAGCGAGGTTTGGCCTTGTTCTCGCTCGGCTCGGGCTTGGGCTGGCGGCGCCAGGTTCCCCAGGCAGCCGCACTCTCCGGCTTGGCCGGCAATTCGTGGTTCGCGGCGCGGGCCACCACGGCTCCCCCAGTGGCCGCCACGCTGGCGTCGGTCTCCTGTAGGCGCGGCTTCTTCGCGGCGTCTACTTCTCCAACGGACGCACGGGCAGAGACAGGCGCAGAAGTGGACCTCTGCGCACTGCAGGCGGGCTCACCGATCACCCCGACGGTGTCGGTGACGAGGGACTTTTGAGGGAACTGGGGGTGGGCGGTGTTCGGAGCGGTATGCAGGAACTTGTAGACCCAGTCCTTCTCGGGGCGCACGAGGGGAACGAAAACACGGTTGCGGTCATCGTCACACATAATCACCTTATCCTGGGAGAACAGGATATCCGCATTGTGAGACCGCATCAGGTCGCTGCCCAGGATAATCTGAATAGTCTCATCCTCTGGGGTTGTCTCTCGTACCAGGAAGCGGACGGTCAGGGCCGGAAGCTGCGGGGTGGGACTGGTAGAGTGCGACGAAGCGTGGTAGATGCTGGCTTCGGGGAGGTAGAGAACCAGCTTAATGGAAGAACGCCCATCTGCGTCGCGAACTACCTGGTCCTCCAGGTCAAGCTTGCGGATCATGGAGGATCCGAGGGACGAGACGAAAGAGCCCGAGCAAAGTGCCGCGTAGAGGAGGGAGTCATTGGTGTAGTCGGTTGTCAGCCAGCACCGGATGATGGAAGGAACGGGGCCAAGCAGGAACAGGCCCGGAGGTGGAGTGAGGGGCGACGCGCTGAAAGAAGAGTTGATCACCCGGCTACTGGTGTCGAGGCGCAAGCTGTTGGTCCGGGTAGAATGCACCGACACTGCCGAGGAGCTCAGTCGAGCATCTGAGCGGTGAGATAGAGAGCGCTCAGTCAATGGGTGACTACCCAAGCCACTGCCAGTGCGCAGCGGAAGTTCCGTACTGGACCGATTGGCTTGCCCGATGTATCCGTGGTTGGCGCTCTCATCGAAGCGGACGCTATTAGCACGCGAGGCACCCCGGCGCGGCTCATACTCTCCATCAAGACCGCCCATCGAGGAGCCAGTCATGGCGTGGGGAGGTTCCTGGTCAAAGCCCTTGAAATGCTCGGGAGGGGAGTTGAAGCTAGGATCTACTCGAGAGAGATATTTAGCTCAGTCCAGCGTGGGGATGATAGCCGCTCAATACAGTACCTGTTGGAATAGGACCGCCAATGGGAATAGGATACGGCGAGAGAGGACCATTCCAGACACTCTTCAGCTTCGCATCCTCCTCGCGCCTTCTCTCGAGTTTGGCAATCCTCACACCCTGCTCAAGCTGTTCTCCATGCAGCTCCTTAAGCTGATCAAAGACGCGCCAGATATCGTCACGGGAGGCGAAGGGGTACTGGGCATCCATCGCCAGGTGTGGTGGAAAGACGGAAGCGAAGGTAGATCGTAGTCTAATGGCAGCACTTAGCAAAATATCTCAGAAGCTGACGGAAGTAACCAACCTGATAGTTCCAGCACCTGAGAGCAGAACGAGAGCTTCGAGGGCAACGTCGACCTCGGATGGGCCAGATCGCTCTCAACACCACCTCCACTTCAGATCAACTCCTCCCACCTTCGGTATGTGTGACGGCCCCGCAGCGGGCCGTCCACGCACTGTAGAGTACAGAGTATTTTGATCGTATCCAGAATATTCGATGATGATGAAAGACGGAATGAAGCAGTTGTTGAACGGGGAGCGGGGGAAAAGTGACGGATCGGAGAGGTGGAAGAAGAACAGACCGCGGGGACGAAAGTTGTTGTAGTCGTAGTCACGCGATTTTGGTATTGGGTCGAATATATAAGAAAGACGCAAACAAAATAGACGCGTTCGACTATTCACGTGCGGTTCAGCAGGCGTAAATGGGAAGGTAGTGGTTATGAGGAGGTGCGATGGGGGGGGCGCCGGGGCGAAGGCGAAGCAGAAGAGTGGTGGCGATCGAAGTGCTAAGACCGGGGTACAAATCCGTCCGGCGACGAAATGGTCAAGGTCGAATTTTGAGAGTGAAGACAAATTGAAGGTTCTTGAGGTTGGGAGTTGAAGGCCGACGAGATCTAGGGTGGGAGCAGTGGAGAGGGGGCGTCATGCACGAGGGGAGAAATTGATCTAGACCGCTTCCGTGGGCTACTCCACTAACGGTCTTGACAACAAATTTGAACGTAGTATGTATGTTGTATCGGTTGATTAGACTAGACTATGAATATTGGAGATATCTATTTAGTTATGAATTACAACACCAGTTCCAATGTGTGGGTGTTTGGAGACTCTTGCATTTTGTTTATCCTGCTTGGTTAAGATTTAAAATTAAAAAATCCAGCTCCGAGAGAGACCTATGTTTACATTTGCAAAGAAATTCACCGAGGAGCCTCACCCCACGGAGGGAACACCATAGGCAGAACCCCCGGATCTTGATCAGGCCAATTGGCCCGAATGGTCTTAAGTACCTCCTCATAGACGATCCGGTAACCATCTGCCGTCAGGTGCAATCCTGTAGACCTTTCGTTAGCCCAATGCCCGACAAATGCAAACAACATGAAATTCCCCACTTACCATCCGTAAACAAACTACCGAACTTCTCATTATCAGGCGCATCCCGAGATCCAATTAGAGGCTGACCCTCTTTCCAGCCCACGGTAGACATAAACGAGGACCAAATATCCGCCACAGGCACATTCAGCGCGGCCCCAACCTCCTTGGCAGCTTCGGCATAGACCTTGGTCGTATGAGCTGTGCGGCTGGGATGAGGAGTATCCTTTGCAATGTCAAAGGCCTCGAGCTGATACTCGTTGATGGGCGGGGGTGTGATTATGATGATACAGGGGTTCTGGGCCTTGGTGGCGGGGTGCTGGATGAGCTTTTGCAGGTTCTCTTTGTAGGTTTCCAGAGGGACGTGCTGAATGTGGACAGGTACGCAGGCATCGTTTGCGCCAAAGAAAATGGTCTGGTTTTGTTAGATGTTGTGGAAATGGGAGTGTTTGTAGTAGCTGGGCTGGGAATCGTACCATGAGCCGGACATTGGCGGTTTGAGGAGAGGGGAAAATCTTGTGGAAGATTTTGATGGCATGGGCGGTGGTATATCCTCTGTTGAGAATTGGATTAGTTGATTGAGATCTCCACAAACAAAGCCATAGTTGTTGTCTCTGCTCACCCGAATCCCCGGTTAATCACATCCAGCCGGCGGCTGTAGGCTGGAAAACAAATCAGCGGGTTATTCAATTAGGTAACCTTGGCATATCATTGTATAATTGAGTAAATACCATGCTGCAATCCTGCACCAAAAGCGAATCCCAGACTCTGGTCCGAAGACATCTCGGTGATGGAGTCTCCGAAGAGGATGAACTGGTCATAGGGCCGGCCGGCATCCTCGTCTGGGATAGTAATGCCCGTCATGATTAGATCTTGGTGAAAGTCAATGGAATAGATAGATGAGGCAGGAATCCTTCTTAGCAATCAGTCAAATTGATCAAAAATTGGCAGGAAATGGACTCTTTTAAAGCGAGGATGGTGGGGTTAAGAGCTCCGTGACAAAAAGGACGGAAGTGGGGGGTTCGCATGTTGTTCAATGCGCGAGCTTTATCGGCCACGCGGTTGATCGGTGTTGGCGTGTTTCTCCACCAATGGCCGACCGAACTCTTCCATTCAACCGGAGGCTTAAGGATTGGGTCAACCTGTACTGAATCGAGGCGAGTATAGTCCGAACTTCAGCATATGTCTGGATTTTTTTTTTGAATGCTTTTATAAGACTCGCTATGTACCTGTGTAATATAGGTGACGAAACTGCCGCCTCGGGAAATGATCGGCTCCAGGAGCACAGACTGAGTTAATCATCTTGACGAAACAGAAGCAGCAGTGGATCCCGGAGAAGGGAATAGTTAACTTAGTAAACCCGCATGTATTAGTCATTATGCCTACATAAATTGCCAGATAGGGGCTTGTTATAGAAATTCAGACTTGTTGATATCCAATTGGTGCGCACCATGATTTACTAAGCAGTATTTCCGTCTCATCTCGCCGCCCTGAGCAGCTCCCTGAGCAACCTGATCGCTCACCCCAACGCTCAGGCCGATTAGCTCATTCAATCTCATCATGCCTCTCCGCTCTATGATCTCCGATGCTAGCTGCACTGGTTATTGTCTTTTCTGGAGCTCCCGGGAGCGAAGGCTAGGATATAACGTACTCTTACGTTGCTATAGTAACTCCTTTTACCCTTTCCTGCTAGCTACTTAGCTTACATACAATACCCGTGGAGTAACATCAAGGCAACTCACTTATTTAATATAAGTATCTATCGCTACCTGTAGGAGTTCAAAAACCCCCTTGTGGATAGAATCGAGGGTTTAGCGTCGATCCTAAAGCAACAGGGCTTAGTTAGTGCAGGCTTCGTAGTAGCGCTCGTTCTCGCGCGCTAGCTAGTTATTCGAGCTCCGCAGAAGACAACGTTCTTCTTCTAGGCGTATCTTAGCAGCAGACTTAATAACGTAACATCTATAGACACAAATAGAGGTCAACGAGCTTAATAGCCGTTAACGTAAGGGCAGGGTTCTTGTGTACTATAAGGCTTAACTCATCGGTAAGGGAGCTTGTTGCTGTTCTAGCTGCCTAATACTATCGTTAGCGAGGACTGAGTATTGAGTACGGGGTTCGATCGCTATCTCTTCGGCCGTTGCCTTCGTACTAGAGGCGCTGATCTCCGGGTAGGAACCATCTAGGCCTCCAGACAGTATCTTCGACGACCGATGCTTTCTTTTAACGGGACGTGCGGAAGCGGCGTGAGTACTTGAAGAATTTATTGAACGTAATTACGTTCTTCCTAGTCTAAAATATAGATAACGAGAGACAATTGGAGCTTAGATACCTGTTTTAGTGCGGCTTCTTATACAGCCAGTCAGAGTCTAGCTAAAGTAAAAGAGCTGAAGAATATTGTGTTATACCTCACAAATTCATTGTGCTGCTTGAATCCAATATGACAGACTGAACTCCGTCGCAAACGTTAAGAAGGTGAATACGTGAAGCTGCTTCACTTTTTGGATCAAATACTCTATAACACTAGGTATTTTAAGAACCAAACACCGCAATTTTCCCCATTTTACGGAAAATATGAACTGAAACTGAAAGGGACCTTATGAAGGTGTGTAGCCTATAGTGACCCTGGTCCTGCAGTTTGTGTACAGTAGAATTCGAAAACAGTTTACCCCTCGGACACTGAGGCTTTCTTTCCCAGGGGCCCACTCGGATCGCCGAAGTCCCCACCATCTTTTCTTCTTGTATTCTGGTAGATCACCAAAGTTACCGTAATTACAGGTTCCGGCGTTGGGCAGACCATATTTGCCGAAATGCCCCGTGTCCACACACCATATTTCGAAAACAGATTACACCTCAGACACTGAATGTCTCCCTCTCACGCGAACGATACCTGAAACAATGTCCCTACACAACATCGGTCTCCGTATGGGTGGCGCATCGAGCGCTGTATTTGCCGCCCAAGGTGTTTTTCTTCTGGGAAATGCCGCCTACACCATCCTCTATCCCTCCTCCGCAGCCAACTTCCCTGGCTCTTCGCTCAAAGGAACTCCCAACGGCACGGTTCAATGCATCGGGTAGGTATCTAATGCTTATTCCTAATCAGGCGTCGATCGCTAAAGGCATCAATCTCACAGCCTCACCTCTCTTGCTTTGGGGACATACTATCTGATATCAACCTACCAGCGGGATACTCTCATTATGGCTTCTTCCGTGCCCTCTCGCCTCGTGGCTGCGTTTGTGATGCATCGAGCCGGTGGAAGCTGGGTTCAGGTTGCAGCTTTTGAAACCTCAATGGCAATAGTGGCTAGTGCAGCACTTATTTGGGATCGGTATATGTAGGACTGCGGGGTACCGGCAGTTTTATTTCCGATTTTTCGCCATCGGAGGAAACGCTTGGGGTGTGTATGTATAATATATTGAGGATAATGGCACTGTCCTCTCGGAAATCGAATTCAAGATTACCCGCAACAAGAAGGAATGCGCACTACCCAGGTTAAAGCTAACCAGGACGATGAAGCGGGTGCACGAGCGACGAGCGTGGAACAGGCTCGTATAATAGTAACCATTTATTTGCCTAGAGTCGTTTCGGGTACGGCCCGAGGAACCAACTATTGTCTATGTGGACAAGGCGTTTCGGCAAGTATGCCTAATGCCGGAAATTGATATTACGGTAAATTTCGTGAACTACAAGAAGTACATCAAGAAGAGATAGTTGGGAATCTCACTGACCGAATTCAGTTTAGCGCGATCCTAGTGGGACCCTCGGAAAGAAAGCCTCAGCGTTCGAGGGGTAGACTGTTTTCGAATTCTACTGTAGCACGTGGCACTCCTTGTTTGTTCTAGATACCGGATCATTAACCGCATGCTGAGTTCGCAGTCTGTTTAATTTTCAACTGACTTCAAACCAAGCTAGGCAGGCTTACTCCGACGAGGAGACCTTGGTGAAGTATGTCTATCTATATATGCGAGAATTTCCCGGCTGGACCTTCGGTAGAATATTGGTTACGGTTGATTGATGCAATACTACTGTTGTCTAGGTGTAGGGTGTAGAATAGTTTATAGATCTCTTTCAAGCCATAAAGCCTAATAGAGCTAACTATCGCCACTCCAACCGACAGTCTAATTCCTAATGATCCCTTTCTCGCTTCAGCTGAAGCCGCTTTGATCGTCGCTGTGGAGTATTGACCTGTATGTCACTTTGCAGTTTGCGTTTAGTTTAGACCTTCGGATGCTTAGCTTTTGGATTAGTGCTCGTTAGAGATTTGACTGCTACTGAACATGGTTCCCCAGGAGTCGTTTTCAAGTGTAAATTCTCTGGAGTCGCAGAATTTTTCGTTAGTCGGTTCTTCCAAAAGTATAGCAAAAACTTTTCACTTACTGTTCTCGATATCCTCCAACCCGTTTGAGTCTATTCTCACTGTGGCGGAACAAGCTCAAGTGCAGTCGAAATACCGGCAGCTGTAGGATTTCGAAATTGTTGACGCCGACGTAGATTCCGTAAGAAACACTTGTGGTGGAGCAGAACAATAGACTTTAGCCTATCTTTCGTATTCAGGAGAATTTACCGAAATATATCCGAGTTAGAGATATTGTCGAGGTTTTGCTACGGCTCGTCTTATCGTCAATAACAATAGGATTAGCTCTAGTGGAGCTAGCCAAGGCAATCGGTATTTTATATTCGGATATTATGGCTAATGAAGATAGAGAGCTATAAGTTATTTCCGTTCGAAGTAAAGCGCTAGGGAGAGAGTTCTTCGTTGCAGGTTCTAAGAACTGTTCTTACCTCTAATAATATATAGGGTTTAAAAATTTTTAGTGCAAAGCTATCTGCTCTTTTTTAACGTGACTTTGGAGATTACAACAATGAGCATTCAGGACTACATTTCGTGGAGTATCAAATGTAAATCGAAATTTGGTCATTACCGGAAGCATCTCGACGCCCTGGCAGACCGAGAACTCATCGGAGCTCTTGATTAGCATACAGTTCGAACCCAATCAAGATTTGCCATTGCGTAATGCGAAATCGTGACCGAACTCATTGTATTAGGATCTCAGCTAAGGCGGAGAGGGCTTCTATCATCGCTACCACCGTTGCATGGCTACTTGTGCTAACAGACACGGCATATCACTATAGAGCACGCGACGACTTGAGCCACATAGAAAAGTGATGGCAGAAAAGACAGAATATACCATCGAGGATACACAACTTTAAAAAATCTTTTAGTGGGAAATTTACATTGAATGCGTCACACAACTCGAAGCTCTTACTATTTCGCACTGTTCATCTTGTTGAATCCGCGAGAGAACGGCGATCCCCACTACGGCGGCGATTGGTGATTACCGTTGGCAGCCACTTCTTGTGCGCGCCACACCGCATCAACAAAGGGACTCACTGGTCTGTACGGCATGAAATAGGGATCACCTTGCCACTACACGTGGCACTGACCACGCTACCCCTAGGCACTAAGGCGTGTGCACGAACCTGATCTTCCTTATGAAGACTGTTATTCGTATAGCAGGAGTACTGAGAATACTGTTAAGGACCTCAAAGAGGCGCGGGGACCGCAGCTACTTGAGGGGCAACCGTGAGCCAATCATTCCACGGACGCTAGGGATTAGCGTCATCACGTGTGTCCCGGAATACTTGGCATGCCCAGAGGGGCTTCAAGGCAGAGACTCAGGGCAAGAGCCAGAAACGGCCTGCGGCTAACCGTCACAACCAATACCTAGTTTTCGCCCTTCTACTCTCCCTGTCTCTATCCTTGTGTGCGCCTTACGAGTGAGGCATTTTTACTATTGATCCGGATCATCCAGCTCCGCAATCCCTTAAATTGCTAGCGCGACTAGCCTTCTCTTTATTGCCCTCTCGGCTCTTCCTTTTCCTTTCGAAGATAAGAAGGGCGGAGAAGGAAAGAAAGGACTTGTCGAGATAGGAGGGTTGGTAGAAAACCGCTAGAGTAGATTTGACTTAGCTCATGTCGTGATTTCATTGTAGTTTGTACAGTCGAAGGATTGACGCCGCTCGGCAAGTCACGAGGATTTCTGACGCTCAGTCAACAGCTTCCCACTTGGATGGCTTTCGAGAACCGTTCCCCAGAACCCCAGCCCCCTGAGCGAAATCTCATAGGACAATATACCCGGAATCATCACAGCCACGTTGGTCGGGAGAAAAGGAGAACAGCTGATGGAATTCACGGTACAGGATCATCCTCATCCTCATCTGCTACTAAACAGAGTATACTAGCTTACGTCCACTGATTTTGCCCTCTCGCATTTCCTGGAGCCCCTCAAAAATACCATCAAAGCCTCCCGATCTGACTTCAAACGGATGGACGCTAAGCTTTTTGGAGGACCAAACTTCCTCGACCAGCTTTATAAAATCAGCAGCAAACACGAAATCGTCTGGTCGGGCAGGGACTTTCTGCCCGGCGATTTCGAATGCCTCCCCAATTGCTGTGAATGCCATAGACGAGAGGTTGACAATATCCTTACGTGGAAGCTTAGGAATAGGCAATACTGATGAATATCTGCCGCCTTCCTTCCCAAGCACGTCGCAGCAAAACCTGGCGGTCACTTCGCTGGCAACAGTATCCAGAGCGTAACGTAGGGCGTGTTCGGTGACCTCTTTGATTAAGGAAACAGCGTCTGGAGAATTATAATCGAAGACATGGTCCGCACCCAGGTCACGAACGAGGTCGAAATTTCGGGGGGAGCATGTGGTCACGACGGTTAGTCCGGAACTGCGTGGTATATTTTAGTTTGCGACGCTCATCCCCGATACATATCCAGATTTACATACAGTTTAGCAAGTTGAATTGCCATAGTACCTGTGGCTGTGCTCCCGCCGTAAACGAGGACGAATACCGACTCCTGTGACGGTCGTGTTGGCAGTGGAAGGCGGAGGTTCTGGAACAAATGTTGGCCAGCAGTTATGGCGCCCACTCCAATAGCAGCAGCCTCTTCAAATGAGACACCTTCGGGAATTTTCATCTGGATGTTCCCCTTTGCTATAATATAGTCCCCGAATGCTCCATCTTCGAGGTTTGAGGCATTGCCTAGGAATTCTTATTAGCCTGGAAATTGCACTTTTCATGTAATTGTTCAGCATCAGACGAGGAATTCATACTTCCATGTACTAGACCAGCGACTCTATCACCAGGCTTCAGGCCGTTAGACACAGCAGGCCCGACCTCTTGCACTATACCGCTATAGTCACAGCCCACGGTCGCCCCTGGAGTGGCCATTTCGTCGATATGTTTCCAGTCCGTCGGGTTGAGGGCCACGGCGGCTGTCTTCACGAGGATGTAATCATCCTTGAGTTTCGGGATTGGCGCATCATGCACCAGCTGGGCTATGCCAGCAGACTTGATCTTTATACAAGTGTTCTTGGACATTTTTCCATCTGCAAGGTTTTGGTAGGTGAGGAGCAAGGTATTGGGTTCTTGTTGAATTCCTGGGGTTTTTATCCTCACCCCAAATCGTAGACGGGAGCTACAGGCGCTCTGGCCACATCCCCGATCCTCTCAAAGTTACTCCGTACGTTGCCCCTCATCAATTTATCACTTTATCACAAATACACGTGCCAATAGGTCGTCCCTGGATGCGGATGAGCAACAACCTAAAGCCCCACAAATACGATTGTCAGCGAGACATTAGTGGAGGGGGCTTTTGTTTAATGGAGGCCAGTTTATACGAGCAGATCTAGCTGATGGGGACTTTTTCTTACGTGAGATTGTCAAGAGAACCTCCAAGCACGATAGCCACGCTAGGGTCAAAGGTTGGCGCACCCTATATTCTGCATCATAAGGTGGCAAAAGTACGACCGGATAAATGCATGGTTGATGGGAAGTGATTTTATACTCTTGAATTTAGCATGTGTTTTGGGTCGGCCAACCCAACCAGGAAATAAACTTCGGAAGTTGAGTAAAAAGCCATGATTATTTTTGGCTAGAGGATAAGTATAAATAGGGCATATCTCTGACTGAGAGTGGAATCTGTTGGGGCTACCATCTCCCCATTATATCAAGTTGTTTGCGTGCAGTTCATACAATGCCACCAAGACTGTTCATCGTTGGCGCCACTGGGTATGCAGGAGGGGATTTTATTGCCCTTCTTACAGCTCTTCACCCTGATCTTGACTTCAGAGCCTTCGTTCGCAGTGCAGAAAAGGCTCGTTTACTATCTGAGACAATCCCAGCCGTCCAGTGCGTTGTAGGATCTTCACATGATAATGATCTCCTCGCAACCGAGAGTGAAGCAGCCGATATCGTCGTCCAGATCGCCGATACAGACGACGAGGAACTCTCTTTCGCAATGCTTGGTGGGGTTTCGAGGAACAAGAGCGGGGTATACATCCACATCTCTGGTGCTGGAAATCTCCTGGATTTATCCACCGAACCAGGTGTTTCCCACCCGAGAGTGTACGGGGATAAGTCCGACGCGGAAGAAATCCTCAATCTTCCTCCTGATCGTCCCCATGCCGCTATTGAGCAGGAGCTGATAAGAAGGGCGGCGTCAACGAATACCAAGATTGTTATTGTTAGCTTCCCAATGCTCTACGGCGAAGGAAGGGGCATATTCGCCAAGCATGCGGGACATTTTCAGCTTTATGTCCAGGGGGTGCTGTCGCATGGGAAGGCATTTGTGGTTGGAGCCGGAGCAAACCGTATCAGCACTTCACATGTATCCGATGCGTCAGCTGCGTTGGTCTTTGTGATTGAGGAGGTTTTGAAAGGTCGAGACAGTCGAATTCGCTGGGGGAATGAAGGATATTACTTTGTGGAGTCTTCGGAGTCCTCGTTTAAGGAAATCGCTACAGACGTGGCGAAAGTCTTGCATCAAAAGCAGCTGATCAAGTCAACGGAGATCGATTGTTTAGACTCAGAATCTGTCTCTAAGATCTGGTCACTCGGCCCTCTAATCTGGGGATTGAATGCAAGGGCTCGAGCGGAAAAGTTGTATGAACTGGGTTGGGTACCTTCGAGCTACCCACGAACTGAGTCGATGGGGGCCGTGATTGACTCGGTGCTTACTTCGATAAAGCTCAAGGCTGAGCTCATCATTCAGCTTGGTTGATTTCTCGCCGAATTTGGAAATAACAAAATATTTGATCCTATCTTCCAGATTCTCTCTTATGCCAAAAGAATTCTTGGGGTTAATCGAATGGATGACCTGGCCTTCCTGAATGTTTGGCACTACCTTGAGCCAGAGTGTTATGCAATAATAATAATGTGCGCTACTATATATATTGGCTCCTGGGTCATATCCGCTGATCGCGGATATAGTGGTCTTTTTTGGCCCAAGTGTATGATCATGTGACCCAGGCATGTATCGTAACAAGAGGTTACACAAGCCTCGTGTTTTCCCCCACTCCTATTCCCCTACTAAGGATATATCTCCTTCCTGTTTTGAGCGATATGACTGTACATAAATTGATCCATGTTAGAGAGGTTTTACATTCCTCAAGAAACGGTCTTTGACCTTTCTGAACAATTGACTTGGTCCCTTTCTCCTACCTGATTGACAGGCCTCTATCCTGATTTATAGAGTATCCTTACATCGAGGAATAGTATAATATCTTCTTTCCGAGCTGTAATAATGAACTAGAGTAGGTCTTCTCCTAAATAGTTGTAGAACCTGTTCTTATTAGTCTTGCTTCGATCTTAATCGTCAATATAAGTACATGTTCTTTGATGGTTATTCATATACATACTTTAATAATTTAAAAGATTTAAGAATAATATTGAAAATAATAAATTAATACTTAAATATATTACCTTATCTACCGTCGCTTAATTTAATTAATGTTGTTCTTAGTGGAAATAGTATATCGCTTTTGTATTATACCTTTCTCTAGTTATCGACGGCGTCGGTGATAATACTCGGCACTATAAGTTTAGCTTTTGCCTTTAAGAAGTAAATCAGGAATAGACAGAGCCTTGAATAGCGGTCTCTTTAATCGGAGGAGAACAGCAGGGCAAGAGAGAGGGAAATAATGCTAAGAGAAGGAGCAAATAATAAGAGAAGCGGTAAAGACCGAAGCCTAGAGAAGACCTAATAGTGGAAAAGACAACAGAATAGACTGCCTTTAAACAAGGAGGAGTGCAGTAAGCAAGAGCTACGGTTGATAGGGGGGGCTGGGGGGGGGGGCAGTCTCTTTAAATATTAAAAGAGTGGACTTAAGCGTAGCGTATAACAGAAGGACCTTTCTCTTTTTTTTTGCAATTAACGGCTACAATCGGATAACATAAAGGAAAAGACATAACGACATGCCTGAGTGCCTACCCTAAGCATCCTGAGTGAAGAGTGAGCTGATCCCTGAGCAACCCAGAGACACCATAAGTGCTCAGGGAGCAATTCATATTCACTCAGGGAGCATATGGAAATGGTGGGCAGAAACAGATCACGTGAATGCTCGGTGACTAATATTTTGGTAAAAAGATGCTTAAAACAGCGTCAAAAGATGCCGTTTTGGCGTCGAATTTACCGTTACCTAGCATTGTGGTGTAAATATACTAACTTAATCATTGTTTAGTTCTAAGCTAGTGGCAAATCATGTCTACTTCGAGTTCAATACCCGCCACCAATAGGAGGCCAGCCAACAGAGCAGCCAATTGTGATACACAATGGACCAAAGCTGCAAAGCTCCCTCTCCCCTCCTCCATGAAGGCAAGCGCAATCTTATGCGCCCATGCATATCCTGGTGGACTGTCGATCGGTGGCACTGAGCACCCGAGGGAGGCCCTCAAAGCTTATGTATTCCCGCCATCAACAACAATCACAATACCCCAGTTCAGCCACAGTCATCATTTGTCAAGGCTGGCATAACCATCTGCAGAGTATCCTTGTCAAGGCGGGAGATAGTTCGCATGATCGGGCTTCAGAGATGAATTTTCTGGACCCTCAATACCTTAAGCCGTCCACTGCCAAGAGATCCGCCCCCAGCGATCGCCCCGAGCGGAGACAACAGCCATCGGGGGCATGGATGACAGCTGGGCGCATGGGGTACATCCGGGACTGGCGTGGTGTGGCACGGGCAGTAATGTCTCAGTAGGGTCAGCACAAATAGACTGACTAGTTATTAGCCGGGTTTGAGTCATGGTATGCAGCCGCCCAGGCCGGAATGAACTCGTGAATTGGTACTTTGTGCTGCCCTCGATCCCGAGTCAGGTTTGTCTCAGATGGTAGGCAGCATCCTACTTATTCGAGGTCAGCAGTCGACGGTGACAGGAACAGTCAGATGGCTGTTCAAAATGATCAAATGGATGGAGCCCGCACTGCCCTCTCTCTGCTCATCTGCCCTTCATCCGAGCTCTGGGCACTGGGGGCTGATCAATCATATAGAATATGATTTGTCCTGTGAGATGGAAGTTTGATCCTGGACAGCACTTTTGGAAGAAACCGCGTTGGAACTAGCCATGAAGAGCAAAAGGGTTAGCAAGTCAATGCAAGGCCACGGGCTTCCGAGAGCCGATCGGCGGGAAGCGCGGGGGATGAAAGTAACGGCGAGAGGCAAATTGGAGAGCGGGCCCTTCATGAAGCTTCGAATGAGAGAGTCGAATATTCGAAAGGGTGGGCGTTTAATATATAAGTTGCATACAGGATTGTATCTGAACGGAGTCATAGTATTGTTATTCTTGAAGTGGAAGATGATACAACCACCTGGATAGTGGAATAATGTGGAGAGTTGGACGAGTGGAAACAACAACAAACTCACCTGACGCGTTATCCAGTCGATCATCCGCCAACTGCCATTTTCTCCTTCTTTGTCCTTCGTTACTCTCTGATCTGACATACACATTTCGACTATTTACTGGTTTTTTCTGCTTCTCTTGATACATATTCAAGGGAAGTATGCTTGTTGGTGAGTCAACAAACCCCCTGTTTTATAGTAAACCCCGCTATACTCCGTACATGAAGCCACAATCTCGTGCTGCCCGAGCAGGGTATAGCTTCTCCCCGACCCAACCTTGCGTCAATGTGGAGCCGTCCCCCGTCTTTTCTTGACCGCACGGCACAGAAAACTAATCCTAAGACTTTGACCCCTCACCAGGCTCTAACGTTCAGATTCGAAGCATAGCAGCTTCTCACCAGCGCCATGCCTCGCTCTGTGCCACAAGCCTCGCATGAGCGGGACGAGGGTGACCCTGAACCAACCGCCCCAACCTCCCGGACCGCGCCCCCCATCTCCGACAGCCTACCGTCGAGCTCAGAGCTACCTCAACGAACCACACACCGGCTACCAGTCCCTCGAATCTCATCTGGAAATCGGTGAAACGACCAGTCTCCTCGGCGCTGAGGCTCAGCGTCAGGCCCCGCGGCGATCATACACAAGCACCTCCGGCATTTCGGGTCCCGACTCGCTGCGCTATCTCCTGACGGCGGGTAGTCTCCGCCGCACCGCGAACCACAGCCGGACCAACTCACAAGGGAGGCGGTTTAGCCGTCGACCGAGCTTGGGCGATGAAGGTCGGCCGGCGAGTTTGCCGGCGTCGACCAAGGACGGGTTGACCGCCTCTTCGTTCCTGGATGAGCGGACATGGTATGATCAATTTACGTCGACCGACTGGGTGCACGATAGCATTGCGGATGGAGCGCGTCTGCGACAGCTCAGACAGCGCAAGGATATCCGCGGGCGGCTCTTAGCCTGGTTTGACGGCGCTCAGGGATGGGTTTTGGTCGCACTGATTGGGTGCATTACGGCGGCCATTGCCTACTTTGTGGATGTTACGGAGGACGCGATATTTGACATGAAGATGGGATATTGTGCACACAAGCTCTTTGCGAGCAAGAGCGAATGCTGCGGGGAGGGGGTCACCACATGTACGAACTGGCGGTCCTGGTCACAGATCTTCCGCGCATCCAGTTCGGAGAATCAATGGGTAGACTTTACATTATTTGTCGCCTGGGTCGTGGCACTTGCTATGATCTCATGCGCCTTGACCATGCTCACTAAGACGGTAGTACCATCGTCGATATCATTGACTACACTGGATGAGAACCTTGGTGCCGAGGCGCGTGGTACCAAGCGTGGAACGGGTAGTGGTGGCTCGGGCTCCCCAAGCTCGCAGACCAGTCCACACGGGACATTCCCGAATCACCCGCCCCGCCCGGCCATGATTTACTACTCTGCTGCGGGCAGTGGAGTTGCCGAAGTCAAGGTGATCAACAGTGGATTCGTGCTTCACGGGTACCTAGGCTTGAAGACTCTGGTAGTCAAGACAATTGCGTTGGTCTTCAGTGTTGCATCCGGTTTGAGTTTGGGCAAAGAAGGTCCCTACGTGCATATTGCCACTTGCGTTGGCAATATCTGCTGTCGTCTCTTTGCCAAATACAACCAAAATGACGGTAAGCGACGAGAAGTACTCAGTGCAAGTGCTGCCAGCGGTGTTGCCGTCGCCTTTGGCGCTCCCATCGGTGGTGTGCTCTTCAGTTTGGAGGAGGTCAGCTACTATTTCCCGCCCAAGACTCTGTTCCGAACGTTCTTCTGCTGTATCGCCGCTGCGCTGTCCTTGAAGTTTCTTAACCCATATGGGACTGGCAAGATTGTCCTCTTCCAAGTCCGTTATAACACGGATTGGGAGATTTTTGAAATCATTATCTTCGTTTTCCTGGGTGTACTTGGTGGCGCCCTCGGTGCTTTCTTCATCAAAGCCTCGAGTTGGTGGGCTCGCAACTTCCGTCGCATCCCGGCTATCAAGCGCTGGCCTATGCTGGAGGTGTTCCTTGTCGCCGTGCTCACCGGCCTGGTCAGCTTCTGGAATCGATACACCAAGCTACCCGTGACGGAACTGCTGTTTGAGCTCGCCAGCCCATGTGAAGGAGAGTCGCGGTCGAGCACGGGCCTTTGTCCTCGCGAAGATGGCATTGTTGAAATCATCCAATACCTCCTGGTGGCATTCGTGATCAAGAGTCTCTTGACCGTTGTCACCTTCGGCATCAAAGTGCCTGCTGGTATCTATGTGCCGTCCATGGTTGTTGGTGGTCTGATGGGCCGAATTGTCGGACATTCTGTGCAATACTGGGTGGCGAAGAACCCTACGTTCTTCCTGTTCGACGCCTGTCCTAACGTCGCGGGGATGGAGTCCTGCATTACGCCCGGTGTCTATGCAATGGTCGCAGCCGGGGCTACCATGTGCGGTGTCACCCGGTTATCCGTCACCCTCGCCGTGATCCTCTTTGAATTGACAGGAAGTTTGGACCACGTTCTACCATTCTCGTTATCCGTTCTGTGTGCCAAGTGGACTGCAGATGCCATTGAACCCCGAAGCATCTATGTAAGGATCACGGTCTTACCCTCTAGCTATCGCCCGCAACATACTGACTATGACTAGGACTTACTTACCGACATGAACTCCTACCCCTTCCTCGACAGCAAACTGCAGCCTCTTTCCGATGCCGAACTCGGTGATATCGTGCGACCACCCCACAAAGGCCGCATCATCGATATTTCCAACTCCCCCTTCGTCTCTGCATCCGCCCTGCGCACAAAGCTGGAACATCTATTGATGGCGGGTGAATTGGACAGCGGCTTGCCAATCCTTCGTGATGGCATCTTGACTGGTCTCATTCCCGCGCCGGATCTCGAGTTTGCGCTGGATTCCCTCGGTGACGATGAGGATAACACCGTTTGCCTGATGGCGATGGATGCCTCTGTCGCTATTTATGATAGCGAGAACGAAGACGCGGTGCAGGAGGACTTTACCCGGTTCATTGACCCGGTATGTGTATTCGTTCCGAAAGTTGTCCTGTCTCAATACTAACGTTTCCTTTGTTTGATAGGCACCTGTCTCCCTGGATGTCCACTCCCCCATCGACCTCGTTTACCAGTGTTTTGCCAAATTGGGTCTTCGGTATCTCTGCGTGCTGCAAAATGGCCACTATGCGGGCTTAATACATAAGAAGGCCTTTGTGAAATTTATGAAAGAGAACGAGAAGGCATAGTCGATTTTGATGATTCTGAGCATTGGGCTCTCACATTTTTATTTCAAGTTGCATAGTCATTCCGTTCTTGTCCATAGGTTCTGTTCTGGATTTTTTTCTGTTTTTGTTTATCCTTTTTTTCTCAGAGCCGCATTGGCGGGCGTTTCTTCGGCATGTTTCCTCTCCTTTCGACCGAATATTTTGCATCTAGCATTGCATATACACCTCACCATCTGACTTGAATCTGAATCACTTGATGAACTTGGTTATTTTTTTCATCAATGCTTATTCCTCTTTGGTATTTTTGCCATATTCTCTGTCTCCTCCGTAGTCAATTTCCATCCATGATTTCTCCTTCCGCAGTTACCACCATATGCGATGTAAAGAAGGGGGCGGGAGGGTAAAATGACCTCCCCACAAAACTCAGGAGAAGCAAGAACTGATCATGTGGCCTATAATTTGAAATTGGAAATTACCTGGTCCGTGTCAAAGTCCTGAGTGCAACAGATCTTCGCTAAAGATTCCATTGGGAAAATCCTTCGTACTTTTGTCAGCCGCGTAGACCCCATAGCCAGTAGGGTCCCTTGTAGGAGGGTGATGAGCATACTCCCCACGTGTCAAAAGAAACGACTCTATCCAATCATTCCTCCATCCTCTGTACGGCGTACTGTGGTTGCAAGTTAAAGTACACAAGTAGGGCTGTGACCGGTATCCGGGGTCCTATTGCATGCTTTGATTCGTGTATCTCATTTTTCGGATCGTTGCGCTGTGAGAATGACCGGGATATCGGGATGAGATGAGCCGGTGAGGATGAGTACCCTTAAAGCCGAACGGAGGTGATGTGTCTTCCGTTATGGAGTCGGTTGACGGGGACGACGGAGTTAGATGTTCAGCTCCGCCATGGGAAAATAGATCAGACCACACCCACAGCTTACAGCTTATAGCTCCGGAGTGAGATGCTACTGTATGAAGTACAGTAAGGCTGTAAGACAGTACCTACATCCTACCCAGTTGCGGCGCAGTCATTCCTCGGTGTACATGTACATTGTATCGGGATACCTGTAAGGGGTAAGCCTCCAGATCCAGGGTCCCACTGGCTTCAATTGGTCCAATCAAATAAGGGTCGGAAGTTTGGCATTGCAGAGCCGGGCAAGCCTTCAAGGGGGTAAAAAATTGTGCTATGAAACTTGTAATTTGAGCATTGAATATAGTGAACAATCCTGTAGAGTATCAGTATCCACTATCCCCATAAAACTGGTGTCTAGTAGTGTCCACCGTCCGGGGGTAGTGTCACGGGGTCAAACAGTGATTACGATCGGTGGCTGCGCTAATCAATTCGCTAACGGTGACTAGACTCGGCAGGTAGCTTTTTGGTTGTTTGTTTGGGATTTGATTTGATTTTTTTCGTTCGTTTGTCAACTATCAGATCGCTATTAGTTGTATCTTATTCCAATACATACTATCATACTATATGCAGTGTGTACGGAGTACATAGGCTAGGGAGCTTCTGCAAAAGGTCATCTGACCCTTTCTTATTTGTAAGTCCCGGTCAGCCTCTCGCAGCATTTTGCCATTTCTTATCCCCTTGAAAGTTGATCTGGATTTATTGAGTTCCTGTTTTGCCGCCGAGAATTAGAATTGCCCCAGCTAAGCTTTGAATTCAAGCAGAAAAAAAATTGGATGCAATATCAACAATTGCGAATTGAGAATTTCCTTGAACTGCTAGAATAACTACTGTAGACAGTCCAGCCAGTCTAGACCCCCTTTCCGCGTTGTCCGCACGCCTCTCACCGATCTTTTTCGCATGACATTCTTAGATTGCTCATCTTTCCTATTTTCTCCCTTTTTGGTATTTTGATTTTATTTTTTTTTGGCTCGGCTCTAATTTTAGGGTTTATTTTTTTCGGTTTCCCTTTCAACATAAGCAAAAAAATGTGCACATGACCCGTTGTGTTATTGATCCAAGACCGATCCAGATGGCGAGATCCACTTCTTTCTCTTTCTCCTGGATCTTCTTCCCGGGAAGACTTGCGTTTACATGCCGGGCATCTTGGTTCATGTATATAGTATGAAGGTTCAATCTTCGGTGTAGATGTTGCGGTGTAAGGGGCTTTGAAGATTATCTGGCTTCTTATTCTTTTCTACAGCTTATATTCCGGCTTTCACCCAGTCCAGACCCCATTCGAAGTACATACAGGACACTCTTTGCATTCCATACTTATATACCCATTCCACCCCAATTACAATCTCCTTCTTCGCTCTCTCCTCTATTCTCCCGGGGAATACACACAATGTCTCTAGCTCGTCACGTCCTCCGCTCCTGCCGCGCAGGGCCCAACACCCTGCCAACAGTCACCCGCATCCAACCCATCAACCACTTCTCCACCACCCGACCCAACCGCCTCCAAACCACCGACAAAAAGAACCGCATTCCCGAAAAAGAAGTCCCAGTCACAGACTACGATGCCGGCCACAGCTCCGCCCACAAACACACCGTCCACGTCTTCCAAGACGGCGCAACCCCCCACACCAACATTCCCCAGACCTGGCAAGAACAGGAATCCGTCCACCCGCTCACCCGCGACGTCTACGAAAAATTGCCCCACACAATGCGCAACATGACCATGTTCGGCAAAACAGTCATCATCACCGGCGGTGCCCGCGGTCTGGGAAACCACATGGCCCGCGCCTGTGCCGAAGCCGGCGCAAAGAACATTGTCATCTTCGACGCGAACCAGGAACTCGGAGACGAGGCTGCCGCCGAGCTGCACGATAAGACAGGTCTACCTATCTCCTTCTACCGGGTTGACGTGCGCGATGCCGCAGCTATCACCGCCTCGGTCGAAGCTTGCGTGGAAAAATATGGTGTGCCCGATGTCCTGATTAACTCAGCCGGTATCGCGGACTCGAACATCAAAGCCGAGACCTACGACGTGGCCATGTTCCGCCGTCTCATCGACATCAACCTCACAGGATCATTCCTCATGTCGCAGGCCGTTGGTCGCGCAATGATCGCAGCCCGTAAGCCCGGCAGTATCATTTTGGTTGCTTCCATGTCTGGATTGGTAGTGAACTACCCCCAGGAACAGAGTTGCTATAACGCGTCCAAGGCTGGTGTGATTCAATTGGGCAAGTCGCTGGCCGCGGAGTGGGCGAAGAATGATATCCGGGTTAACACTATTTCCCCGGGTTACATGGACACAGCGCTGAACCGGGTTCCGGCTCTGGAGGCGCAGAAGAAGATCTGGAAGTCGTTGACTCCGCAGAACCGGTTAGGCAATGTGGATGATCTGAATGGTCTTTGCGTTTTCCTTGCTTCGGATGCGTCCAAGTTCATGACGGGCGCAAACTGTGTGATTGATGGTGGTTATACTTGCTATTAAGCTGATCCAATTGAAGGGCGAGTGGTGGTGGGAGAAAAAGTAGGATTGGATTGTTGGAAAATACGAGTACTCTCGGACGGTGGTTTCGTTGATTCTGAGAGAGATTCTGGTTTTGTTTGATTGGGGGCTTCTGTCATGTTCAGTTTTCTTTTTTTTTTTTTTTTTGATTGTTAGATATAGAAAGATAGAGGGTTGTACCATGGATAGATGTCAATCTTAGTTCTATATTTACCCCACACTTGCCTCCACTTTTTATGGGGACTCCCGACTCACGATCTCACGATGGCCCGCACCCCCACGCGAGGGGGAGCTAAAATCCCAAGTACAGATGTAGAGTAAGCCACTAGATCCCTGCTCCCTAAACTAAAAGAGGTCTAGGAAAGGAGTGTAATGAAGAGTCAGAAGAGAATAATAGAAAAAGCCCAGGAAAATGATAGCGACAGTGATATCTTAGCAAGTATACTGTATTATTGTCTAAAGCTAGAAATCCTTCTCATCCTCTTTTTAGTTATTTTTTCAGGTCTCGTTTACCTCTACTTCAGCCTTCTTTCCTCGTCAACTCGCTATTTTCCTTGGAATTGTGTCAACTATTCCATCACATTGAAGGTATATATTTCCCCACCACCTCCACCTTGTTGTACACACAAATGATGTCACGTTCTATCTACCCCCACGCGGGGTTGACCGACTATTGAGGGGAATAACCAGCCTAACTTCCAACTACATACTATAGTATTCGAGATTGTCTGCGAATCAAAGAGATATACGTTCAAGTGTCTCCGTGATCAGTCCACCAAAACATATTATGGCATCTCATCGTCCCTACGAGTCCAAGCTCGGAATCGTCACTGGAGGATCTCGAGGTAAGTCTTTTGATCTCAATCCATTCCATCTCACAGCTGACAGAACTACCCAGGCATCGGCGCCGCCGTAGCCAAAAGACTCGCCGCCAAAGGCTGCAATCTCCTTCTAGTCTACACATCCGACTCCTCCGTCCAGCCCACCAAAGAACTATGCTCACACCTAGCATCCACACACACAATCCACTGCACATCCATCCAAGCAGACCTCTCCAATCCCACCTCAGCATGCACCACAATCCTCGAATCCGCCAAAACCCTCTTCGACAGCTACAACCCCTCAACAGCCCTTCAAATCGACATCCTCATCAACAACGCTGGCGTATCCTCAAACCAACACCTAAATGACCCCCAAGCAGGACCAATCTCCACCACCGAGTTCGACCGCGTCTACAAAATAAACGTCCTAGCCCCGCTCCTCCTCACCCAAACCATCGCACCATATCTCCCCCACGACCGCTCAGGCCGCATCGTAACCGTCTCAAGCGTCTCTTCTTCTATCGGCTACCAGGGTCAATCCGTGTACGCGGGCAGCAAAGCCGCCGTCGAAGCCATGACGCGCGTCTGGAGTCGCGAGTTGGCGGAAAGGGCGACTGTTAACGCGGTGAATCCTGGCCCGGCTTGGGGGGATATGTATGAGAAGGCGGGACAGGCGTTTTGGGATATTAATCAGCCTTATGTGGATGCAGCGCCGTTGGCGAAGTATAATGGGGAGGAGGAGGTGTTGGAGATGGTGGGGGAGGATAGGGAGAGGTTTGATGCGTTGGTGAGAGAGAATATGAAGGGGAGACGACCGGCGTTTACGGGGGAGATTGCAGGGACGATTGATATGCTTTGCTCTGTGGAGGGGGGTGGACGACGGGGAGTGTGATTTGTGCGAATGGGGGGATGAAAATGTCTATTGCGTAATGAAGGATGGAGGATGATCTAACTCTCGCCATGCAATTCTATAGATATTTGTATGCAGATGAATCTTATCAGGGTATCTCCTTATCTACTCCAATCTCTCATACCCAACCATCTGCACCTCAACCTCCCCATCCTGAATCCACTCCCCCGTAACACTCTCCCCCACCCACTCAGACACCTCGTCCGCACTAGCAGTCCGCCATCCATTCTCAGCCCCAAGTCCCTCAACAGGGAAGAAAGTATCACACTCAAACTCCTTCGCCACACCATCATCTCCAGCCCTCCTCACAACATTCGTCATAACAATCCTCACAGGCCTCCTCGGCTCGACAGCCTTCATCCGCAACGCAGCACCGTATATCTCCGCACCGCCGATAACATAAATCTTGCCTAACCGTCCGCAAGATCCATAAACAGTATCTAATTCCGACAACGCAGCATCCAGACTAGTCGTCACCAACGCATCGGTGATAGGTTCTTCGGGAGAAGCACCACTCGACTCCTTCCCAGCCTCAGCTTCGGCTGCAGCTTTAGCCCTCGCCGTCTCCGCCATCTTCACCTTCCTTGCCTCAAGTTCCTTCAACACACCCTCCCTCACAACACCAGTCGTATCACGGGTAACAACGACACTAATCCGCTTCCCCAATGGACGCAGGTGCTTGGGCACCGAGTCGTATGTCTTCCGGCCCATGATGATCGCATTGGTAGTACCCGGTGTTGGGGCGCGGGATGTTGCCCGGGCAAAGAAGGACATGTCTGTCTTTATGCGTGGCCAGGGGAGGGTCCCCTTGAGACCGATTCCTAGGCGGGTGGGTGCTGCTTCATTGGGTGTTGAGGACGCGACGCGGATGGGGGTTGTGGCGACGATGAGGGTGAGGGGGAGGGAGTGGGGTATTTGGTGGGTTGATGGGGGTGGCATAGTTGAGTTGTGTAGATGGATGGATTATATGATCTGGTGTGAGAAGGGAGGTGATTATGGGTTAAATTGGATTGAGGTTGGAGTTGGAGAGATTCGAAGGAGAATTGGGAATTGGGAATAAGAATGACTCTTGACGCGGAGAGTGGAGATGCGCAAAAGTTGGGACGCGTGCTTATCAGCTTATCGGTGACACTCGGGGGAAACGTATACATCCAGAATAGTAAGGCTGAAATTGTGCCCGAAATCTTGTTTACAAATCTTAAATAAGATGTCAAAAAGGATACAACCGCTCTGTCTCATTAAGAATCCAGATGAAATTAACTAGATCGAATGTGCAATGTTAATGGGGTATCGAACGCCGGATCCCCAAACGCTATGCTGGAAACTAAGTATGTCCCGTAAAAAACCGCAATCCCTGTCCCAGTCATCATGGTCCGTAGACATGATGAGGACGCAAAATAATAGAAAAGAAAAAAAAGAAAATCAACCTATGCAACCCAAAAAACCTTCCCAATGCAAAAAAACCACCCAATGCCAATTTAGTTCTCCTTTTGCTTGTCCTTTCCAGTCTTGTCGTCCTCAGGGCACAGCTTCTGGAAGGCACCTGCCTCGATGGCCTTCTCGACCGCCTTGACGTCGTCCTCGAGCTTCTCATTACGCTCGACATCCTGCGAGCTCTCACCCAGCGTATCCAGGGTGCCGAAGAGCCAAGCCTCTTTCATTGAGCGAGTGAGGCTAAGGATATCCTCAGCGGCGCGGACCTATAAGTAATGACATGGGTTAGTGAGAGATTCTCATCTCAGCTCATGAGCCCATAGCAGAAAGATCCATTCCTGAAATTGGAAGATCCGGTGATCGAAACCTCTCTCACATATGAAGGGAAACTCACAATCGCATTGACTTCGACGTCGATCTGAGTCGACTCGGCGGCGATCGCCGCGTGGCTGGTCCGTTCCATCTGAACAAGAATGTTTAGCAAGGCCGAGGATTCACAAGGTAGGGATGTAGAGCTCAGAACTCACATTGGCGCACGCCATGATGTTCTCATAGCGTTTCAGAAGCTCAGCAACGTCATTGTTGACGCGCTCTGGAAAAAGAACTTAGATTAGCTGAGCTGTTCGTGTAGCGATCTCATCGATATCGTGGATGAGAGTTGACTCTGATGAGGGGAGGGGTCACATACGGTGGACTTGCTTAAGGGGCTGATCTTTGTCCATCTTCTTGATGAAAAGATCGGGAGGAGTTGGCGACCTCTCAGGGATATCCCAGTCGTCGGTGTCGAGGTAGTCGAGAGGAGAGTCAGTAGTAGGGGAGCCAATGGGAGAGCCAAGAGATGAGCCAAGCGGAGAGTTAGGAGGGGAGCCGAGAGGAGATTCAGGGGGAGAGACAAGAGAAGAGTCAGGAGAAGAGACAGTAGGAGAATCAAGAGGAGGGTCAGTAGGATCGGAAGATGGTGGTGGGGTGGAGGAGGAAGCTTTATCTTCCATCTTGCAATATGGGGCGGTGGGGTGGGCGGTGATGGAAGACAGAAAGAGGCGGTGTAGAGGGCGGTGAATTGGAGGTATGGAGATGCGGCGTTCGAGGAAGTATGGCAGTGACGACAGTGGAGGAAGAAGGAAACCAGGTTGTGGAGATGGATGAGGAAGCATTTCCAGTCTCAGTCTACGCGATAACAATAGCAAACGGGAAATTGGATAAATAGTGATGAATGATTTACCACTAAGGATTATTGTGATTATATGGTATTTGGCTAAAGCTGGCATGCTATTCCTCGCCGTCAAGGAAGAGATTGTAACTATGAAATTGGCCAGCCAATGACAGCATAGCTAGTGGGTGGTTCTCCAAGATCGATTTCCAAATCTACGCGAGTTCCCATCTCCCCCCAATCCTGCTGGCTTTTGGATGTTCGTCTTCAAATGGTGGCGGTGATGACTCCGGCTTTCCAATGTGAGTGGCTTGTATGGCAGGTGTTAAAAGGTAGAAGGGTAGTCGTGGATGCGTTTCACTGAGCGGTCTGGTTGAATCTAGTCTATTCATCCGTTTTAACGGACATATTTCGACTGCAAATTGTGGAATCAGTTTTTGGGTCTTTTGGTTTGAATGACAACAATGCTGAAAAACGTACCATGAATCTCTTGTGAAAGTCGGAACGCAGCAAGTCCTGAACAAGATAAATTAGTATACCTGCTTTCCATGGGCATTCATATAAACTCACATTGACAAACTCCTTGCCCTCCTTCTTCTCTGTGCCTCGGGCCTGGTTCTTAAACACAACATCATCGTCCCATCGCCGCTTCATGTTGAAGTCTTGGGCATTGAGAAGGGGATTGCCCCGGGCGATATACACCTCCCGCTGCTCTTGCTCTTCGGCAGCCCGTTCTAGTTCCTGTGAAGTATCAGTATGCCAATTCCAAGAGAGGGGATGCTCAACTGCTCTCAATGGACCGTACCTCTTTCTCTTTTTGTGCTTGCCGCTCCTTCTTGATCTTCTCCAGCTCGCGCATCAGCTCAGCTGCCTCGTCTTCATCGTCACTATCCTCCTCCTCGCTGCTGTCCTCTTCTGATCCGTCGGAATCCGCATCTATGTCTCGTGTTTCTTCTAGGATTCGTCGTCGCTTGGCTTCCGGATCTTCCTCCGCCTCACCATCGGCGTCTGTGGGGGCAGCTTCGAGTTGACGCTTGGGGGCAGTGGACTCTTCGATGGCGGGCTCTTCGATGGGAGCACCGCTCTTCTTGGCAAAGTGCGCAGCCTCGGCCTTCAAAAGCTCAGCGCGCAAGTCACGGACCTCCTTGTCGGCATCACCACCTTGTCCAGGTTGTCTCGGGGAGCATTAGCTACTGCGCTGGGTACTTCGGGGGTGTTCCATAGCTTACCGGACTTTCAAGTGTGTGTGTGCAGGCAGTAGTCGCTGGTGGTAGGCGGGCCCTCGAAGAGCTTCCTTTCCTTGAGCCTGATCATATCATATTAGTCCCTGTTGGCTGTAGTGATGCGGAGTGTAGGCGCAAGTAGGCGTACCGGGTCAAAGGTGGGTCTGTGAGCTTTAAGAAATTAGTATTATTCTCAAAAAAGTTTCATGAGCAAAGCAACAAACATACCTGTGGTCATCTTGACGGTTGGTGTGGAAAGGTGAATGAGTTGTTGAACAGAGGCTTCAGATGCGCGCTGCCAGATGCTCTTCTTGCCTCTCCCACCGCCCGCTTTTCTCCCCTCCTCATTGGCTCACCATCCACATCAAGCAGCAGCAATGCGGCCAGCAACGGCAAAATGGGTCCCAAAAAAGACCTTGAGACTCCCCGCAGCAACCATTCACCAAAAGGTTTCATTCAAAGAATGTCAAAGGAAGCCTCTCTGTCGGTCGCAGAGCGCGAGTTTATTCTCGAAGCTCTGCGCCAAGATTCACGGCTGGATGGCCGAAGAGCAGACCAGTTCCGTCCCTTGCAGATTTCATTCGGCGAAGAATATGGACATGTGAAGCTTGAGCTGGGCAAGACGAGGTATGCATGTCGCTGTTCTTGGATAATTCTGCAATGGCCTTTATATGCTGATCGCGACCTATAGAATTATCGTCCGCATCTCTTCCGAGGTCACCAAGCCTCGCGATGATCGCCCGTTCGACGGCCTGTTCAACATTAACCTAGAATTGTCAGCTATGGGCTCACCTGCCTGGGAAAATGGCCGGTATGCACTCGGACAATCAGCGCGCATTCTTGCCGACTTCCACTAACCCGTATATCTCCCCTTCTAGAACGAATGAGCTTGAAGCCTACGTGACCCACGTCCTCGACAGTGTCATCCGCCGTTCAAACGCCCTGGACACTGAATCGCTCTGCATTCTCAAGGGTGTGAGCTGCTGGAGTATCCGCGCCGATGTACACATCATTGACTACGACGGCAATATTACTGATGCGGCCTGCATTGCCATCATGACTGGACTCCAACATTTCCGCCGGCCGGATGCCGTGGTGCGCGATGGCCAGGTTGTGGTCTACGGAGTGGAGGAGCGAGTACCCGTTGCACTTAACATCACACACAAGCCTCTGTCCATCACTTTCAACACTTTCAACGAGGGTCACAACGTTATCCTTGACTCCACACGGAAAGAGGAGCAAGCGTCTGAAGGAGAGCTCGTGATTGGAATCAACAATGGAGGCGATGTGTGCTTCATGTCCAAGTTCTCAGGTGCCCCTATCGATGCAATGGAGGTGGTGACTCAGTCTAAGGTTGCCCTAGACAAGGTCAAGGAGATCAATGCGCAGATTGAGAAGGTGATGGAAGCTGATCTGGCTAAGCGAGCCAAGAAGGGCATGGCCGAAGAATCCCGGGCTGCGAATGACCGGGAAATATAAAAGTGAACGACTATTTTTGTATGATTAGAGCCTTCATGACCTGGGAATTGGAGTTCTGCATTGCCTTGTGTTTCTTCTTCGCGGAATTTTCTTGACAAGGTGGTCCATATTATGTGATGTTCTAAAAGAAATATTCCACAGATACGGTGTATCAAGGCGATGATCCTTTGAATAGAACCTAGAATTGACCTTGTGAACACTTGGATATCCTATAGCTCTGGAAATATGTGTCGTAAAGTTGTGTTCACTAATTTTAATGTGAGTTGCTCTGCTGCATATCTTTTAGTGCTGCCTAGCTGAGGATATAATGAATTGGCGCCTGCGGATACTATATCCCCACGCATAACACCTCTTGCGTCTATTCTTAGAGCGCATCGTTTCATGTCAATCCGCATGTACAGGACCCCTCGTGAAGCATGCTCGACATTCAAGCACTATCCTAATTGCCCAATTTTGATTATTGTCGTGATTATATGTTCCTATCGGCGGCTTCATAAATTAAGGAATAACTGTTCTCCATCATCACCCTGTGCAGATCAGTGGCTGGCAGTAGTTTACCGCCCAAGCCGGAAAAGCGGGACGATCCAGTCAACACCCAAAGTTACTTACAGCGTTCAGTCTGCTAAGCCACCTCATCCTCGTCAAACTGTCCACTTCATTCCCCTTTCACTTTTACACCACTTCTTCCTTGAATTATTTACTCCCTTGCTTGATCGCTTCCCCCTGCAGATTCTGTGGCGTGCTTTTTCCTCCACCATTTCCGTGATTCGATCAATGCCTCAGGGGCATCGTCTCCACTGCTCTTAGTGAGGCTGTCAGCTTCCCCCGCGGTAGCATGGCCAGCGGTAGGCCTCCTGGGCCGGATCATCTCGCTAGCCACGATGATGACTTGCTGTTGAGATCGAGTCCGAGCCCAGGTCCGGTGTATAACACGGGTCAACCCCCGCCAGTCAGCGACGAACACCTCCCGCAATTTATCGACCAGCACAATGCGCAACCGCGCCCTTCCATATCTAACGACCAGTTCATCGGTGCCCAGGTACAACAGCATGGAACGTACGCTCATGGAGCTTCAGGGAATGCGCCTCCGAGTAGATTCCTCCAAGAATCGCATGGCGCCGGATATCGATCCGATTCCAACCCCGACCTTGCCTATGGACAGGATCCCCTTGACAGATACGACTCGAACCTTGACCGATACGATTCTCGATATGACCAACGAGGCTATCACGATGGCGGTAGCTATTATGACGATCCTTTTGAACCGCGGGTTCCGAGCGAGGGCCATGTGCGGAAAGCCGCTGAGCGCAACAGTATTCTGGGGTTAGGGGGCGGACTGATGGGAAAGGCAAAATACATGTTTGGGATGGGACCGCAGTACTCGGAAATGGATCTGCCTTTGACAGAAGCCGGTGTGAGAAGAGCGACCGTTGATAGCACTGGTGAACCCGCGGCAGCCCCGAAAGAGCGAAAGAAGTTCCGCGCATCCGATATTACCTCCATCTTTGGACGCCGCAAGGTCGACCCGGCAAGTCTGGGTCCTCGCATGATCCAGGTCAACAATGGCCCTGCGAATGCTGCGCACAAGTTCGTTAGTAATCACGTCTCGACTGCCAAGTACAACGTCGTCACCTTTGTCCCGAAATTCCTCTTCGAACAGTTCTCCAAATACGCCAACCTGTTCTTCTTGTTCACCGCCGTGCTCCAACAAATTCCCAACGTCTCTCCGACCAACAAATTTACCACCATCGTTCCCCTGGCTATTGTGTTGCTGGTGTCCGCCATCAAGGAATTGGTCGAGGACTATAAGCGTCGGATGTCAGATAGAGGGTTGAACTACTCGAAAACGCAGGTCCTGAAGGGTTCTTCGTTCCATGAAACAAAATGGGTGGATGTTGCGGTAGGAGATGTGGTTCGAGTCGAGTCCGAGGAACCATTCCCGGCAGACTTGGTACTTTTGGCGTCGTCCGAGCCCGAGGGTCTTTGCTACATCGAAACGGCCAATCTGGATGGAGAGACCAACTTGAAGATCAAGCAGGCCATTCCAGAGACTGCGCATCTTGTCAGCCCTAGTGACCTAAGTCGCTTGAGTGGACGCGTTCGATCGGAACAACCCAACAGCAGTCTTTACACGTACGAGGCGACATTGACAATGAATGCTGGAGGCGGCGAGAAGGAGTTGTCCTTGGCACCGGATCAGTTGCTCCTTCGAGGTGCAACTTTGCGAAACACTCCTTGGATTCACGGTATCGTTGTTTTTACAGGACACGAGACCAAGCTGATGCGGAACGCAACGGCAACTCCCATCAAGCGGACTGCCGTGGAGCGGATGGTCAATGTCCAGATTCTCATGCTTGTCGGCATTTTGGTTTCGCTCAGCGTTGTCAGTTCCGTCGGTGATCTTGTCGTTCGTCACACAGCTTCCAGCAAGCTTGCCTACCTCGATTACGGATCTGTCAACTCCGTGAAGCAGTTTTTCATGGACATCTTCACCTACTGGGTGCTTTACTCTAATCTGGTTCCGATTTCTCTCTTCGTCACTATTGAGATTGTGAAGTACTTCCAGGCATTCCTCATCAACTCCGATCTCGACATCTACTACGACAAGACTGACACGCCTGCCACCTGCCGCACTTCATCCCTGGTGGAGGAGCTCGGCCAGATTGAGTACATCTTCTCCGACAAGACTGGTACGTTAACTTGCAACATGATGGAGTTCAAGCAATGCACAATTGCTGGGATTCAGTATGGAGACGACGTGCCGGAAGATCGCAGGGCCACCCCAGAAGATGATGGCGAGTTCGGCATCCATGACTACAAGACTCTTCGTAAGAACTTGGAATCCCATCCCTCTCAGGGTGCTATTCAACAGTTCTTGACTCTTCTCGCAACTTGTCACACTGTCATCCCTGAATGGAAGGGTGACGAGATCAAATACCAGGCAGCTTCACCCGATGAGGGTGCCTTGGTGGACGGAGCTGCAATGCTGGGTTATCGTTTCACCAACCGGAAGCCCCGATCAGTTATCTTCACTGCCAACGGAGTGGATCAGGAGTATGAGTTGCTGGCTGTGTGCGAGTTCAACTCGACCCGAAAGCGCATGTCGACTATCTTCCGTTGCCCAGATGGCAAGGTCCGAATTTACTGCAAGGGTGCCGATACTGTCATCCTGGAGCGCCTGCACCCGGATAACCCGACTGTTGAAGTCACTCTTCAGCACCTTGAAGAATATGCCTCGGACGGTCTGCGAACTCTGTGTCTCGCTATGCGTGAAGTCCCGGAGGATGAATTCCAGCAATGGTACCAGATTTTCAACACGGCCAACACCACTGTCGGTGGCAACCGCGCCGACGAGCTGGACAAGGCGGCCGAGTTGATCGAAAAGGATTTCTACCTGCTGGGTGCTACTGCCATCGAGGATCGACTGCAAGATGGCGTTCCAGATACCATCCACACCCTTCAAACAGCTGGAATCAAGATCTGGGTCTTGACTGGTGACCGACAGGAGACTGCCATCAACATTGGCATGTCGTGCAAGCTTATTTCGGAGGACATGACTCTTCTCATCATCAATGAGGAAAACTCGGAAGCGACTCGCGCTAATCTTCAATCAAAGATGGACGCCGTCAAAACCCAAGCCGCCTCCGGTGATGTCGAGCCCTTGGCGCTGGTCATTGATGGAAAGTCCTTGACCTTTGCTTTGGAAAAGGACATGGAGAAGCTGTTTCTGGACCTTGCTGTCATGTGCAAGGCTGTGGTTTGTTGCCGTGTGTCTCCCCTCCAGAAAGCACTGGTTGTCAAGCTCGTCAAGCGCCATCTGAAATCCTTGCTTTTGGCCATCGGTGATGGTGCCAACGACGTGTCCATGATTCAGGCTGCGCATGTTGGTGTCGGTATCAGTGGTATGGAAGGTCTTCAGGCGGCTCGATCTGCTGATGTTGCGATTGCTCAATTCCGTTTCCTCCGAAAACTGCTTCTGGTTCATGGTGCCTGGAGTTATTCCCGCATCAGCCGAGTCATTCTCTACTCATTCTACAAGAACATCACGCTGTATATGACGCAATTCTGGGTAAGTGATGCAATGTTCTGCATTTTTCAGTCTTCGAGTCTAACATTTGCTATAGTATTCCTTCCAAAATGCCTTCTCCGGAGAAGTTATCTACGAATCATGGACATTGTCCTTCTACAACGTGCTTTTCACTGTCCTCCCGCCCTTCGCCATGGGAATCTTCGACCAATACGTTTCCGCCCGGTTGCTCGACCGTTATCCCCAACTATACCAGCTGGGCCAGAAGGGCGTGTTCTTCAAGAAACATAGCTTCTGGGCCTGGGTTCTCAATGGGTTTTTCCACTCCCTGCTCCTCTACCTCGTCTCTGAATTGATCTTTTACTGGGATTTGCCTTTGGGCAATGGTCAAGTTGCCGGCCATTGGGTTTGGGGAGAGGCGCTGTATACTGCCGTGCTCGCCACTGTTCTCGGCAAGGCTGCTCTGATCTCCAACATTTGGACCAAATACCACTTCATTGCGATCCCGGGATCCATGGTGCTCTGGTTGGCCTTCCTCCCAGCCTACGGTTATGCCGCTCCTGCCATCGGATTTTCAAATGAATACTACGGCACCATCCCCGTCCTGTTCAAATCTCCCATCTTCTACCTGATGGCTATCGTCTTGCCCTGCATCTGCCTGATGCGTGATTTCGCCTGGAAATATGCTAAGCGCATGTACTACCCCCAGCACTACCACCACGTCCAGGAGATCCAGAAATACAACGTCCAGGACTACCGTCCCCGTATGGAGCAATTCCAAAAAGCCATCCGCAAGGTCCGCCAAGTGCAGCGTATGCGCAAGCAACGCGGCTACGCCTTCTCTCAAGCCGACGATGGCGGTCAAATGCGTGTCTTGAATGCCTACGATACCACCCAGGGTCGTGGACGCTACGGAGAAATGGCGAGTTCCAGGAATCCGGGATTATGATCTATGTTATGTTGCTCTTCTTTCAGCTGCATTTCTTGCGCCCTGCGTGCCTGCCCTTTTCTCGCATGAATACCAAGAAATTGGTGATGATGTAACTTTGTGTACTCTTTACTTCTTTTTTTCCCCTTCTACCTCTTTCAGCTTGGATGTCTAGCCGTGCTATGTCATCTGGTTGGGGAGGGATGTGACATACTACCTTGTTGATGTGATGTGTTTTTAGCTTGATTTTTGAATTGGAGATGACTTGGGCAAATATCTGGGTTTATGATTCCTAATCGTCTCGCCTTGTAAATGTCCTCAACTATATTGATTTCGTAGAACGTCCTCCCTACAGTCTAGAAGAGAGCAGGCTGCAATCCCGTGTACCTTCAACGAGTGCATCTTTCTTGTGGAGGTCTCCATCCAATCCCCAACCGCTCCATCAACAGCCTTTCCCTCTCTTCCCACGTCTCTCCACCGTGTTCCAAATCCAGCACTTGACCTCCAGTGGTCCGTTCGCGCACACCACTAGAGTCGAATTTCCATGAATGAGCCTTCTTCACATACCGTCTCAAGTCCCGCTGGAAGGTGGTGTCACCTGACCATCCCAGCACAGCACACCCAACCGTATGCCACGGCGAGATAATAATATCGACCCGTCGGTGTGGGTTAGTATTTTTCTTGCGACTACTAGAGTCCTGTGGGTTTGTGGATTTGACGGCATCAAAGTCTGGGTCCTGCCAGACGACCAAGGCTTTGTCAAGCGTGTCGAAGTGTTTGCCTGTTTCATCACCGCGGAAGGGGAGGGTTTGTTGTTCGCGATGGGAAGATGTCAGATGAAGTGAGAGGGTATGTGTAACGTAAAGCTCCTCTTCGAGGCTAGCAACGAGGTCCACAATGAGACTATAAGTGACATCCTCGTCGTGGTGCGTTAAAATCACATCGACGTCGCCGCTGAGCTGCTTGCCTCGGCGGTAGCCACCGACGATGATACACTGAACCTTGCCATCCGCTTCAGGTCGGATTTTATTCGCGTGTCGGCGTATGACTTCCGCAATGATCTCCGACTCGTGACGCGAAACCCCTTCCTGGAACTCATCGAAGAACTTGACGCCAATCTGCTGTACACGCGATAAGGAATTCCACCCATGTTCAACGATATCATCAAGATCCCGCCAACCACGGCGATAGTAGAAATCCCTGGCGGTTTTCGCTCCGACTCCCCAAATCCGATTGAACGTGTCCAGAACACGGAGGACGGGATCGGTTTCCAAGGCGTTAGCCGCAGCAATATTTCCGTCATCGTCGGTATGGTTACAGCCGCCATGTTGCTGGAATTCGGCGAAGAGACTTGCGATTTTTGCTTCGCAGCCTGGTAAAGACTGGATCTCGCTTGGTCGTTGAATGGCATATGGATAGGCTGCGATTGCCGCTATCGAGGTACTGTACGCTCGTACTCCGATTTCGTCGAGTGTGAGTTCCCGGATTCGACGGATCTTCAGCAGTTGAGAGATGAAATCTTCGTTTGGTGGGTGTAGTGGTGCTGAGCGCATGCATGCGTATAGGACGTGATCGCGGACCCAGTCAGGTTGAGGTGGTAGAGGAAGAACCTCATCGTGCTCTGAGGTTGTCTGCCGGTATAGAGTCGGTGGCTGGCGCTGACTGCCGATGCCGTCGGGGGGCTCTCTTGATCGGCGAGCGTAAAAATGGTTGGATGGATCTGGTATCGTTTGCGAAGCCGCATCTTCTTTGGCGCGCTGCAGAATCGCACTGGTTACTCTGTGCGAAGGCGACTTTGCAGGGGTAGCTGATGGAGGACGAGCGGTCTTTTGCCCTCTATAAACCACGAATGAATCCCAAGGTAGTGCTTCTCCTGCAGCAATTGAATGTTCTAGCCATTCCAATTTGAGAAGAACCACTGTATTCTCGGGTTGTTTCGTTGATTGCACAATATGTTTTGCAGGGTCATGTCGACTCCTCACTCCATCTTCTTCGGATTCTGATTCAGTGCTAAGATCGACAAGCTCAATGCTTGAATTGGCAGCTGATTCGGCAGTATCTGTTTTCCTCCGTTTTGCAGGAGGCTGCTGATCCGGCCGCGACGTTGTTGAAGATGGTGCAGATCCCAGAATGGGTATGTCCTCCGTCCAAACTCCCCGAGAACGCAGCTCTAGCGCGGCTCGTTTCTTCTGGCCAATTTTTCCCAGAATGATACTGGCTTCCGTAATATCATAAGTGAGTATACCGCCATATCGAACCAATTTGTTCTCAGTTTCATGTAACTTTTCCATGGGTAAATGGGTGGGAAGGATGAAAATTGCAGGCTGTCCTGAAAATATCTTCTCTTTGGCGGTTTCTTCAGCTGGTTCATTCGGAGATGAACTGCCGAAGAAGGGGTTCGACATTCTGGGAATAGATATGATATATGTTCAATGATATGCAATATAGGATGGGGCCTCATATGTATAGGGGCATGATGATGGTCTGAGCAACCCCGCCGTGTCACCTATTGTTTATGGCGCTCGCGTATAGCGGTGGGAGCTCGCGCATGTTGTGGGGAATCACGATAAAGGGTATGGTGCAGATGATGTTGACCAAAACCGGTCATGAGAAAAATTAAGTTAAAGCTATCGTAAGTAATGAGAGTTAAGAGTGGCTGGCACATATGTGCATCCTTGATCATTTAAGAGAACTGAGAAGAATACGAGCATCTCTTGCCTGACGTCACATGCTTTCTGCCTGAGGCCACAGTGGAATTATACCCCGAATAGCTTCTGAACTTCTTACCATTTAGCAACGCAATATACCTGTCTGTCTATAAAAGCAATGCTGGCCTAGTCTTGCGAGAGAAAATGGTCTAGACAAGCTCCTCCTCAATACGGCGCTCATTGGTTTCCTTCACAGCAACCCTTGATGAAGATCCTTTCCCCATCACCTCAGTCCGTGCCTCCTCAGCGTTGCCACTTGTCTCGTGAACAATAACATCGCTATCTCCATCAAATCCAGGTGCACCATCCTGGTTTCCCTCATTATGAGTGATAAGTGGCTTTCCGTGGCGACAGGCCATCCAGCGCCGCCAGGGCTTGTACAAGAACACGCTCAATCCACCGAAGATGATAAAGCAGCCACAGATCGATCCACCGATGACATCGTAGTAGTCTCCCGCTGTCTGCACACCATCCCAGAACTTACCCTTAGCATCAGTGACATTGAGGATCATGGTCAGTAGCTGGATCACACCGATCACGATAGCCACGATGACCGTCAAGGTGGTGAGCACGATGGAATAGTAAAGGAAGGCGATGGGGTCGCGATGATTATCATGGGACTGAGGGAGCTCATCGCCATCGTTGTCGGCTGAATCCTCCGAAGTTGAGCTGGTTCGCTTGGCGGGTAGGAAGTTTGCGGCAGGTTGGATATAGAGAGAGAACATAAGAGCGCCGTCGATGGTATCGAGGAGACACATTCCAGCTGTGAAAAGCGCGGGCAGGATCAGAATGACCCAGAATGATGTGCCTTTGGCAGCCTCCACCGAGGAAATACCAAGCAACGCAATCTCTGATGAGGTATCGAAGCCCAGTCCGAATAAAATGCCAAGGGGATACATCTTCCATGGCCTGCAATAATGTTAATATACTGCTGTCGTTCCCATCTCAAAATTGACATACCGATCGATCAACTTGAACATCTTCTTCAAAACAGAGAACAAAATGCCTCCGCCTTCAATCTTCCAAGCTTCATCTTCCTGGCCCTCGGGCAGGTTATAGACTTTCTGCATTTGCTTGATCAACTTGTACAGGATATAGGCATTCATGATACCGAGCAATATCAAGAAGGCAGCACTGACAGAGCTGCCAATGATTCCACCAATTGTGCTGAAACTGTCAAATTTCGATGAAACAGCAGCGGCAGTGGCAGCGACAACGATGGAGGTGATGATGACAATCCTACTTAAGTTAGATAACAGGATCGGTTATGAAGATAGATGGGAGGGCTTACGTCGAGTGACCAAGTGAGAAGAATGTGCCCACTGTAACAGGCTTCTGTCCAGTTGCAAGCAGTCTTCGGGTCATCAAATCGATGGCCTATAAAAGTACATTAGGCACCGGTATATGAATACTTAGTGCATAGAGACGTACCGAAATATGGTCTGCATCAAAGGCATGTCTGAGACCAAGAGTGTAGGCAAGTACAGCCGTAGAGACCAGCTTGCTGGAATCATGTCAGCCTCCAAACATACGCATATCGGTTGGACCCGTTCGAGGATGGTAAAGAAATGAAACGCACGGATGATAGCGCTGGATTAAGTTAGCAAGTCACATAAACCTTGGAGATTTGAACTTCTTACCAATACGATAGCTGCAGCAATCCAAACAATGATATTGATGAATGCAATGAGCAGTATAATAGCGATAGCACGGAGGGGGATCTTCCTAATTCCTGGCAAACGCCTATGCTGGCGCTCAGCCTTGTGGATGAGTGGCTTCAAGCTCCATTTGCGGTCGCTATCGATGCTCTCTATGTCTGTGCGCATGTCGAAAGAATGGGTCAACCTTGTTTGACCGACCAGCTGTGAATCAAATTCGTCCGTTTGTTTCGCCTTGTGGGTCCACTCGAGAAATGAGTTACCCTACTGGCCGATTTCAGATGAAGCACTGGTCCTGAGCAGACAAAGAGGTTCTCACAGGCTGTAGGACGATCCAACTATTATATTCGTCGACCTTGATGCCCAGCCCGCTCGTGAAGAGAAGGGAAAAAAATCTGCTAGTCTTATCGGCCGTCTTTTTGTCGCGTCGCCAAGGTCCCCCACCAGCTCCTCCTTTGCTTGGGTACTCTTGGCGGGATAATCGGAAGAGTCTTACAATCGTCTTGTTGTTGCAGAACCGGGTCTGTGCATGAAGAGGCCGAGAAACTCGCACCACTGGATTCCTACTTATTCATGCCCATTAAGGACCACTGCGATATGAGTTTTTTGGGCTCGACGAGCTGCAGAAGTCGAAGCTGTACAGTACTTCTCAGCTTTCATCTACTAGCGGAATGCGCACGTGACATGGTGGGGCAGCGGAGAATGCCGAATGTGACAGGATCTTGATAGGGAAAACTGAATTACTCACAGTCCTCATTCCGATGTGATAATTTCCCGTACATATGCCCACTTCGACTCGGTTGAGGCCCACCATCGGTGGTGCCAGAAACATCTGTTTCGATGGGATGGCCGAGCGTCGGGTTCTTGCGAACGCTCGGCGGACTCGGCCGTCAATGTAAGGCAGAAAACAAAATAAGAGAGCTTGCCAAGGACGACGAGAGTTAGTCAACAGCAACAACCTTATCACAGGTATCTACCCATCCCTGTACCATGCAGTTACCCTCAAGACAATAGTGTCTTGTCCTGAAACTTACCAGGGAATGATGGACTTCAGCCAGCTCGAGGTTGAGTATAGACAAAATCAATTGGGAGAGACACTTTCTAAATCACCTTGGAAGTCAGTTTCTTCATAATTGAGATAGGTAGGTGGTATCTGATGCGTTGCCCGTGGAATAGTCGCCTTCTCAATTCTTTACATTTTCAGAAATTGAATAAGATACATGGTCCATCGTCGGTCGAGTCTTCAATCATAATATTTAGCGACCACACCACCAATAATAGGCTGATCCCCAACTTCACTTCGTGCAACACCCTTGTCAACACCCTTGGCTACTCTGGCCTTAACCCACTCGCCAGCAGTGATACCAACCGCACTGTTATCAGTTGTTTGATCATATCCCAAGCGATGGAGGACTTCGCTAACAATGGGTCGCAGCTCAAGGTCATCCTCGGGCCGGACAAAATACAAAACACCAAGACGGTCTACATTCCTCTGATCAGGAGGTGGTGCGACGACGCGGTGTATGCTGCTCTTGAGGAAGCCGTTGGTGAGGAATTGAAGCGAGTCTGCGAGGTTGACCGTAATACTTCCCGGGTATGGCTTCACCCACTTCCACTCGCCCTCTGGAGTACGGACCTGAAGCGCGGCGACTGGTTGACGGAATAGTAGGGTCAAGCTACCAAAGTCGGTGTGTCCCTTCGACCAAACGCCGGCAGCTTTCTCATTCTCCTCATCGGTGCGACGGTGGTACTTCATGTACCGCAGGTGGCAGTCGCTTTTCTTATCGTAACGGTGCACTTTCAGGAAATAATCCTCAGGTAGTTCGAGGATAATGGCGAAGAGTATCAGGAGCTTGCGCACAATCTCTTCATGAATGTGGCGCGCAAATCCTTCAATAATCGGGCGGTTGTGATTCACAATATCGGGCTGGGTCTGCTCAAAGGCAGGGATAAATTTTGGAATGTTGTAGATTTCGGTCTTGTCAAAAACACCTGGACCGATTTCCTGAAGTGCGATGTTAGAAGCAATCAGGTCTCAGCGCCAATTGTCGAATGTGCACTCACTCGTAGACCCATGGGCTTGTAGCCATTGTAGCCACCCTTTTCTAACTCGGCACGATACTTGAGTTTCTCCTCTAGTGGCAGTTTGAAGATTTCCTTTCCAATCGAGAATTGGCGATCAACATCTTCCTGTGAGAGGCCAAAATTGATGATGTAGAAGAAACCTAGTTGCAGATAAGTACAAAAAGCATTTAGGACACACAGCATGGAAGTACGGAATGCTGACCGATATCTTGGATGGCTTGGAAAAGTTGCTTGGCTAGCTTTTCCTTGCCGCCAGGCTGATCAAATTGAGATAGATCCAATGTTGCGAGGTCCGCCCAATCCACTGTATGCAGATTAAATGTTAGATTAAATGCTCATAAGCCGGATTTCGACTTGAAATTTACTGCCATATTGAAGATTCAAGGGAAAGGCTAGCAAACATACAATCATAAGTCGTCTCGGGGACCTGGTAATATGTCGGGATGTCATTCCCGGTAAGAACTTGGGCTGGAGGTTGAGCCAGAGCTGCCATGGTCGAGTCTTAGATCCTTTATGATAATCTATATGGTCACGATAAATTTGAAAATAGAGGGCCTGATTGTGGAGATAGCTGAGTGCATCGATCACAGTATATATGAGAGACTGGGGCATATTTGAACGTCAATGTCATTGAGACTTGTATTACTTCCTACATTGTTCCAATCGGGCAGTTTTGGAGCCATTCAAGAAACTGCCCGTAATGTCCATAAATGAGTGTCGGTTGGTCCCCGCTTCTACGCCACGTGGATCTCAAATTTCATCATGATATCCTCCGTTTGCGTGATCGATATAACCTGATAATGATCCCACCAAAATATTTCATCAATGCCGGTTTTGCGGAGATCTATATTATTGGAATAATGTTTGAAAAAGAACTCGTAGTACCGAGATCAGATATATCTGACGTTCGTTGCGATTTATGTAACGTCCAGTTCAAGTCAAAATAACGAGCGAGATTGTCCCGTGGTGAACATTTAATGAATAGACCATATCTCCACTTTAGATCTTGCACTATTCTATCCGCCACATCTAAATTACCTTTGTTTAGCGAGAGCTTCTGATGCATAATCCGTCAATATATAAATTTAGGGATGTCAATTGGCCTTTGCACTTGAAATGAAGTATGGCCTGGGCCCTGTTATTCGCAATTATTGTGGACTATGATTGAATTCAGTTATCTTGGGGCCTACTAGGTAAACTTGAGCGTCTGGAACGCCTTTCGGAGGGTTTCCGAGCATTCAAAACAAAGGAAAGACCTGTATATCAAGGAGTGCCTGCTTGTGATTGACCAAGCTTGTCAAATAGCGACCTCTTGACATACCTATTGGTGAGAGAACCACAGCGACTATGACGGACAAAGAAAACGGACAGGTTGCATCGAAGGACTTGGGGAGAGCAACAGCAACCGATTTTTCGACAACTGACAGCGATGCGAACCATGAACTTCATTTTGTCAGACGCGGTGAAGCCCTTGTGGAAGCCTCATCGAGCCAGGAAAGTATCGATGGCTATGATCCGGATCTTATGAGTGGCAGGACTCTCCTCACAGCAGAGGAGGAGAAGAAGCTACTACGCAAGATTGACTGGAGGTTGATGACGCTTTGCTCACTTATTTTCATGTTCAAGAACCTTGATAGCAACAATGTGCGTGTGGATAATTGGTTCTTAATGATGATACACTCTGACAGGAAATTCTACAGGCATCAAATGCTCGAATCATGAACAAGGGAACGAATCAAAATATTATGACACAACTCGGAATCACATCCAACGAGTACAATCTTGTGACAGTCCTTTACTATGTAAGGAATTTTCAATAATTTCACCTAAATTACATGACTGGTTACTGATCGTGAATCCGCCAGGTCCCATACATTGTGCTAGAAGCACCCTCAAATCTTTTGTTGAAGAGGTTCTCCCCTTCAAAATGGCAGTCAAGAATCATGATCACTTGGGGTGCTGTTCTTATGTGTAATGCGGCCGTAAAGAATAAAGGCGGTTTGTTTACAACACGATTCTTGCTAGGCGTTGTACGTTTCAACATCGAATGGGCTCTCATGGCCCCAAGGGTCATCCGGATTTGCAAACAGCTAACAGCGGTATAGGCAGAGGCTGGACAGTTCCCTGGTGTCATCCTTCAGATGACCTACTGGTACCGCCCGGACGAGATGTCTTTACGACTGCTATATTTCTGTAATGGGTCCATGTTCCAGTCCCAATGTGTGAATCGCTGCTGACCCATGCTATGTAGATATTTGTGGAAACGTCTCTGGTATATTTGGCGGCCTTCTTGCCTTTGCGTTTGACACTGTGTCCGGTGCTGGAGGTCTTTCTGGATGGCAATGGTAAACCATCCCCGAAGCTACATCTTTCCGATTCCGAACTAAATATTCCTAGGCTGTTTCTCACTGAAGGCATTGCGACCGTGATATTTGGTGTGGTCATCTGGTTCCTGCTCCCTGACTGTAAGGAATTACTTCCTTTAACGACAAAACCTGGTTTTGAGGCCGGTCGCTAACTTGACAAATGCGACGCAGTCCCCGAGACGGCAAAGTGGTTGACTGAGAGAGAGAAGAAATTCATTCAAGCTCGATTGCCATCAAACGCTCCTCGAGCCAGCGAGAAGAACTTCCAAATGCGTGAAGTCATTGCATCACTAAAAGACATCCGGCTGTGGCTATTTACGTTTATTTGGGCTACCTTTACTGTGGGCACCAACGGTGTCACTTTCTACCAGTCCACAGTCATTGCCAACCTCGGTTTTACGTGAGTTTGTTCTTCTCTGCCGGTCTTCGAGAGAGAAATCAGTCTTCAAATAGCGTGTCTGACAGCCATCTAGGAGCATCGCTGCTGCCCAACTTCTCAATATCCCCATCACAGTCTGCGGTCTCTTGTTCATTGCCGCTACTGGTATTACCGCGGATCGTAGCCGGATACCGCGACCGCTCTATCCGCTATTCTTCCTTATCGTAATCATCAGTTGTTATGGCGTATTTGTTGCCTATCCAAGCAATGGCGCAGTATATGCCGTGACTTTAATTGGAAATGCCTTAACGGCTGGATGGTATCCCGTCATGTGGTGAGTGACCCCTTCCCCAGTACTTTGTTCTATAGATAACTGACGACGTGAAAAAAGGCCATGGAGGGTACAAACAACATCTAGGGCTACAGGATCCGCCTTCTCTATTGGCTTTGTTAATAGCTATGGTCAAATTGGGGGTGCTATTGGCCCTCAACTGTTTAGAAGCCAGTATGCGCCGCACTACACGGTACCCTTTTCGGTGGCAATGGGCCTTGTCGGTCTCTGCGCAATCTTGACATTGGTGACTTGGTGGGTGACTTGGGATACAGAGCGTGACACAAGGCGACTGAAGCTGGCCAAGATCGCCGCGGAGAAGAGGGGTGAAACAATTTTGGAGGATGTCGTAGACAAGGACTTGAAAGGTCATTAATGAGTGGAGAGCTACAGCTACAGGCAAGCACGCACCACACACTATAGTTTGAAATTGGAAGAGCCCATGTACAGGCTTAGCTCATGTACAGGCTTGAGACTACACACCAAAACACTATTATGTGTAGATTCCTAAGTGAGCATTAAAGTTGGGAATATATTGCCTGTATAAAATATCTCTTTGTTAGTGCAATAGTATGATATTGATGACTACTCCCTTTCACTTGGTTAGTTACCCCAAGGGTTACCCTCGGCCATTGCTCATTCCTCAACTTAAAAAAAGGGCCGAACAGCGAATCAAAATCGTGGGATCCAACCCGCGCCAAAGAAAACCCTCCGAGTCCATAGAGACCCCTCATAATTTGTGGGGAAGTTCATGTGACACTTCAAGATCCAACATCATCTTGTCCAACTAGCTCTTGAAACACTTGCGTGACAGCAGGGTTGACACTCGTCTCATACATCACAGAATGACTTCTTGTGAGCACCCAGCTCGCGCCAGAGCTTCAAGCGACCCCTACTTTAATCTAGGGACATTCGGTCGCAAAGTCACTACCAATTCTCAAGAAGCCCAAATATGGTTTGATCGGGCTATGATATGGACGTACTGCTTCAATCATGATGAAGCAATAATTTGCTATCAGCAGGCGATCGCACATGATGAAACTTGCGCGATGGCTTACTGGGGGGTTTCATTCTGCTCTGGCTCGAATTACAACAAGACATGGGCACTATTCGACGAAAAGGACCGGGTCAATGCGATCAAAAGATGTTATATCTTTTCTCAAGAAGCTCTCAAGCGGGCCGCCAACGCATCGGAATGGGAGCAGGCCATCATTAAGGCTCATGCGAAACGGTATCCCAACGATGACCCAAGTAGGGATCTTGCCGTGTGCAGCAAGGCATACGCAGATTCGATGAGAGATGTCTACGTACGCCTCGGTCTTGAAGACTTCGACATTATCACCCTATTCGCGGACGCGTTGATGAATTGTGCTCCTCGCAAGCTGTACGACGCCTCAACAGGACTCCCGATCGCATCTTCACCAGTATTTGAAGTGAAGGACTTGCTTGACCGAGCTTTGAAGATGCCAAACGTCGAGAAGCATCCAGGTCCCGCACATATGTATATTCATTTGATGGAGATGTCGGCAACTCCCGAGGCTGCTCTTCCAGCGGCTGAGATGATTCGCGAAATATTTCCCGACACTGGCCATACCTTTCATATGCCCGCACATATCGATGTTCTCGTGGGCGATTACCGGCGCGCCGTGGAGTATAATCTGAAGGCGACTATTGCAGATGACAAATTTTTTCAACAAAATGGCGGCCTCACTTTCTACAGCTACTATCGTCTACACGACTACCACTCCCTTATCTACGCCGCGATGCTTGGTGGGATGTCAAAAGCGGCGTTGTCGGCCACCGATCGAATGGAAGCGACTATCACAGAAGAAATACTACGGGTGGAAACGCCCGCTCTTGCGAGCTGGATGGAATTCTTCAAGGCCGTCAGAGTTCATGTGCTCATTCGTTTCGGTATGTGGGAAGAACTCAAGAAGCTCGACCCACTGGAGGATAAAGAGCTCTATTGTGTCACCAACGTTATGAGGCACTATGGAAAAGCCATCGCATATGCGGCCACTTCTCAGCTCGAAGAGGCAGGCAAAGAGCATGAACTATTTACAGCGGCCGCCCGCCTTGTTCCACCTACACGCCTCGATTTTCCAAACAAAATAGTCGACATTCTCAGAGTGGCCTCGGCTATGCTGGAAGGTGAAATAGAATACAGACGGGGTAATTACGACGTCGCTTTTGGCAGATTGAAGGACGCAATAACTTTGGAGGACGAGTTGCCCTTTGCCGAGCCTTGGGGATGGATGCTTCCAGCAAGACATGCCTATGCGGCCTTGTCCCTGGAGCAGGGTAGGGTTGAGCAGGCCGCCCAGGCTTATGCGGAAGATTTGGGTCTCTCTCAGACACCCAAACGTGCCCACCACCATCCGAAAAATGTCTGGGCTCTCCATGGCTATCACGAATGCCTTGAAATCCTCGGTCGCCATGCAGAGGCAACAATTATCAAGCAACAGCTTTCGCTTGCTCTTGCGGAAGCAGATGTTCAAATAACATCCTCATGCTTTTGTAGGCTTGGGAAGAATGCTTCGTGCCAAAAGCCTAAAGCAAATGGCTGTCATGGCGTGAAATCAGGATGTCATAGCTAGAATCTTGAACGAATGAAATGATTTTGGAAATCTTTGGTACATTTTGTGGCCAAAAAGTAAAGGATCCTTGCTGATTGATCAGTGGGTATTAATAACCATTACCATCGAAAGTCATAGGAAGACTATGTTCTCATGCTCTGTAGGCGCAAAGGGGAAGAAAAAGAAATAGACAGTAGAATCGCAGATCACCGGGCTATTTCTGAAACTTGATTGATCATCTCTTTGACCTCATCAACGATTCGGAAGCAGGGCACCAACTTCCGCCCGATAGGATCGTGTGGACAGATATCGAGCGGGTCATGAGCATCGCCGCACTCCTTTCTACGACATCGTCCCTCCGTACTTGGGCAAGTTTCATGGCCAGCCATGTGTCGATTACGCTGCCGCTGCTCGAACCTTTTCCCAAGCACCACAAGGTTTTCAGTATCAGTCTGGAGACCGTGAATGACAATATCTCGGAATGTCCCCCCGCTGAGTTGTAGATTTAGTCCGGAGGGAATCCCCAGCCCAGAATCAAGGTAGACGTTCTCCATTCCGTTCTTGATATCAAGCTCAGCACAGTATTCGTGCAGCCAGCGAACGTACTTCTGGTAACCGGCTGTTACTTCAAACATAAGATGACCGACCAGTAGGACATTCTGAACTGTTAACCGAGGAGGTTTTGACGTGTCATAGCAGGTGGAACAAGTCAGTAGCCTCTCCGCAAGAGCCACCCCAGTACGTAGTGTTTGAAGGATATCATGGGACATGTCTGCACGGCTCAGTGTTCGAACGATTGTGGATACTTCCTCGTCGCATTTACAAGATTGAGGAAGCGACACAGGAGACACATATGCATCGACAGCTGTGAGAGGTATCCCAGAGCCATGTAATCCGCCTTGCCGCAATGTTTGCCACGACTCGATAGGCAAAGGTCCATTGCAATTGTCGAGCATTTCCCATCGAAGGGAATCCAGCCCACAGAGTTCAGGAAGCGTGCACGACAAAGAGTCGAATTCTGCGCCGTCCATAAGTGTGCTGATGGAGTCCGGTGAGACTAAATCCATTTGAGGCATGACAGAGGAGAAATTGGACGAGCTTGAGAACGATGTTCGCTCTTCTCTGTTCGGCAAGTCCCGGACTTGGGTCTCTTGTCGAAGGCGCTTCCTCGGTCTCCCAGGAGCGCCTTTGTCTTTGAATTTACACGGCAATGTCAAACTTCGGCAACGAGAGCAACCGGTTTTTTCACCTGAGCATCTCAGCTTCCGTGCCCCTGTATTTCTTTAGTGACTACCCTGACTCGTCTGGGTTGAGAGAAGAGCATCTCGACTTACGACATGCTTCACAGGACTTGCGTTCTTGTCGAGTGGTATCCATTCTATAACGGGAGTGTCATTTGGAGCGTCTCGCAAGCAAGGAGGGAGCTGATGACAGACTGTGGAGTTGGTCATCCCTCGGCGAGATGGCGTCAACTGGGCGAGCGGGGTCGTACAGCCGATGAGATCAGCCCTTTGGGCAAGAAGGCTCACAAAGGCTACATCTTGTCAAAGAAGCAATTGAGGAGATGAATCAGATCAACCTTTCTCCCAAAACAAAACATTGAGCCAAGTACGTCTTGTGCAAACTTTGTACATGTGGTTACAAGTCGCAATGATACAATAATCACGTGACTGAGTGGGTAATGATGTCACTCGTCGAGAAAGTGCTGAGGGATCTATAATTTCTGTTGTTGGAAGAATGAATGCTCAGATAGATTTGAAACGGTATATATTGATGTTTTTTTAATCAACTTTAGCAGGTAGTGCTTGGATATAACCCCAAGCAACAGTCGAGTTGCAACAGTCTGACTGCTTTGCGGGCCATATTCCCCACCTTAACCGAAATCGTCCGAGCAACTCTAAAACCATCCGAATGGTATCATTCATCGCAGTATTTCGTCGAATCCGACTCTGGACGATCGTCATATCTCCAATCAGGATCTGGAATTCAAAGACTTGAATTATCGCGTATTGTTCTCGAGATTTCGGCAGCAAAATGACCAAAACTATGTCTGCAATGGAGTTGCGCCGGTATTGGATCAACGGCGATGAAATTGCCCTCATCGATGTTCGTGAAGAAGGTCCATACGCAGAAGCCCATCCTTTGTTTGCTTTAAGCGTACCGGTATCTGAAATTGAGAAGAAATTACCTCCATTGGTTCCTCGATTGTCTGCCCCAATTGTTGTCTACGATAATGGGGAAGGTTATATCGATCGGGCGGCAACCCGAATCTTAGCACTGGGATATCGCGATGTTGCCATGTTAGAAGGCGGGCTTTCTTCATATTCCCTGGTTGGTGAGGTCTATCGAGATGTTAACGTGCCGTCGAAAGCATTCGGTGAGCTGGTTGAATCTATCAATCACACGCCATCGCTGTCAGCACGTGAAGTCAAGAATATATTGGAGAGCGACATCGATGTGGCCATATTGGATGCCCGATGTTTCGAGGAGTATAACACGATGAGTATTCCCCAAGGCCGCAGCTGCCCCGGAGGAGAGCTGCTATATCGCGTACTTGAGGCTGTACCCTCTCCAGAGACAACAATTGTTGTGAACTGTGCTGGTCGAACACGGAGTATCGTTGGAACACAGTCCTTGATCAACTCTCGAATTCCTAACAAAGTGGTCGCACTTCGAAACGGAACCATCGGCTGGACATTGGAGGGCCTTGAGCTTGACACCAAAAAGACTGAGCGGGCTCCACAGCCTTCGCTGGGGGCATCGCAAAAGGCACGAGAATATGCTGCATCCTGGGCCGAGTATGTTGGAGTGCCTATGATTGAAATCGACCAGCTTGGTCAATTCATCGAAGAGTCGAAGGATCGGGCTCTCTATCTGCTGGATGTGCGAGACCCGGAAGAGTATGCTCTTGATCACCCCGTCGGTTTCACAAATGCCCCCGGAGGCCAACTGGTACAAGCAACCGACGAATGGGTCGGTGTTCGAGGGGCTCGCATTGTCTTATACGACACCGATGGTGTGAGAGCCCGGATGACAGCCAGCTGGCTCGTACAGCTCGGATGGGAGGTCTATGTTCTTCGAGAATTATCCGTGGTACCTGAAAGTCTCCCCGTGCCCAAAAGCCTTTCGTGGCATTACCCGAAAACCGGTGCGATTGCGATCGACAAACTTCGGACGCTCACAGGGGCGACCATTGTCGATCTTGCCCGCAGTCCATCCTATCGCAAAGGCCATATTCCTGGTGCATGCTTTGCATCTGGACCCGAGCTCGCCCGGGACTTGAGGACAGTTAGTGGTGACGGCCCTATCGTGTTGACCTCGCCTGATGGTGAAATTGCTGCCATGAATCTTGAATATGTGCAAGGTTCAGTTTCCCGACAAATCCTTTACCTGGTGGGAGGGACAGCAGCCTGGGTGGCAGCCGGCGAACCCCTCGAGACTGAACCTCGGTGGCTTTCTCAGCCAATCGATGTTTACAAGAGGCCATACGAGGGCACGAGTAATGCTCGCAAAGACATGCAGGGCTATCTCGACTGGGAATATGGGCTTGTCGCGCAACTAGCAAATGATGGGGTTAGCCGTTTCCATGTTGTACGTGACCGGCGTGGGGAGTTTATCTAGCTGTAGTGGACAGGATATATCCGTACAGAGGCGGCACATACCGAGCGGCAACTCAGAAAACTTAGACGTTGATTCCGCCATCTGAGTGAAAACACAGTGAATGATAATTTATCTCGGTGATAAAGATATAAAGACGAGTACGAGATACAGCCCAAATGGAAGTCATGCGGTTATTTCTGGTCCGTGAGTACAATTGGGTCCTATCAAGCTTATTTTTCGCTGACCAGAAAGTAAAAAAAAATTAAAGTTCTTGACTTGAATTTCATTTCTTCAATAGCGTGACAAGCGACGGCGAGATCTCTATACATAGTAAATTAAGTCTTCAAGTCAGCTGAGGATTGTCATGTTGATGGTTCAGGGGCTGCCAAATTTCTCAATTTGCTTCAAAGCCCCAATAGTGGGAGGTAGAATGCGGGGCGATACGAACAAAGCAGTTGTCTCTCAGCCCATGCACATACTGTGGTAAACGCACCTTGGCAAACATTTTTGATGGCGTGATACGCCACTACGCAAAGGAAGCAATCAGGAGGGGAAAATCACTCTTGGTCAATCTCGAGATCTCCAAGGAAGCATAACAGAAAGGGGGAAGCAGAGGCCTCTTGTAGGCTGATAGATCTAGGCGCAGGGCCTGGACAAACAAGGACTCTACCGATCGGAGGGAATCTCCATCAATTTTGTAGTATGCCCCCGAAGCTCAAGCCCATCAAAGACCCCCGCAACCTCTCCGAATCCTTTGATGGCCTTACTTGCTATTGTGCTGTACTAAGATTTCTCAACCAAGGGTTCGGCGTTTTACTCTGCCCTGCGGCCCTAGTATACGATGGTCTCCACGTTGGCACGTACACCTTTAGTTTCCGGCAGATTACGATCATCCCGGCCCAAAAACTCAAGTGGAGTTTATCTGCCATCCTTTGTCGATCACCTGTCCTCGTTGGCAAGTGGATCGGCTAATACGGGTGCCCTGTTGCGCTAACTGCAACAAAGTTTTCGGGGAATGGGCTCTGGCCCACGGGAATTAGCGCTCGTGCGTTGTTAAGATATTCTCAAAAATATGATATCATATGCTACCACGCGATAAGTTATCAATTCCGTAACAAAATGTCCTTAAATTTCACCCTTTAGATGTTTCAAGAGAAAGGTTCTGGGGACTCAATTTGGAGGAAGTTGTGTGCTTAAGCTCTTCGAAGAATTCTTGTAGATCGCTGGAGTCTTGACATGACAAGGAATGAACGGTGCCCATATTGTTTTAGAATCATAACACCTACCTTGATAAAACTCGGTTCGCTGGAGAATATTATCTTATTATTTATTATATGAAAGTCTATGATGTACTATCGGACGTAGTATCTCAACAGCAATAGCAATATGTACCCCGAATACATTCCCTTTTCGCACGCTGGGAAGTTTCGTATCCTGTTCAATAATATCCGCAAAAGTTTCTCTTGAGAATGTATGGTTTTGACCTAGCCAGTGACCATTCCTCATTCAAACCCCGAAAAGGCTGGTTTTGAAGAAAACCTTGAAGCTGAAGCTCTCATCGCCCTGATAACCGACTGTCCCATTCCTTTGGCGATGTTCCCGCATGATCCTTCCTTTGCCTCTCCTCTGTGGCCCAAGGTTCACTGTGCACGATCGTCTCCGAAACAACTGTAATATCTTTGGAGGTAGGTTCTGGGTCAGTGAGAATATGCTCATCACTACCCCATGCAGAAACCTGCGTATGCGTTGGCCCTGCATCGCCCTTACTCTTTTTTGTGCTGCGCTCAGCGCGACTAGTCAAGGTTTGTAGACCACGGCTGGAAAGTGGATATGTTTGCCCTGAGGGTTTGCCAGAGGAGCTGAAGAGTTGAGAGAGACCGATCTTCTTGAAGCCCTTGCGGATAAGAGGTTGGATAATAGGCAGGTTGGAAACGACGACAGAGACGAATGTTTCGCGACAAGCCCATTTAGAACCGGCTATGGCACCTTCGGGACCAGACTGTGATATATGAGTGATACGCTCTGTATGTTGGTTTTTCTTCCCGACTGAAGCTGTGATTGATTGGAACGTACGGTTGTAACCATAATGGCCCGAATGATCGCTGCTGCAATGACGAATGCAGCGCCAGAGAAGAGGGCCATCAGGGGAATTTTCCGTCTCAAGCCGATCTTGACCTGCCAAAGGAGAGGAAGGGGGATGGAGAGAAGGTAAAGGTCGGTGACCACGTTCAGGACCATGACGACAAAAACGTATACGGGAGAGTTTGTTGGCTGACAAAGCTCTATGCGAATATGGTCAGTATGAACGAAGTATACCGGACATGATGCCCTTGCTACTTACTCCCGGGGTCAGGATTAATCTGCCAGAACGAATGAAAGGGCTGGCATGACAAGAGAAGTGATAATTCAGTTGCCAGATATGTCACCGAAAGAATGATATAGGCGAGACGGACTCGAGTGGGGAGGTGTTGGAGGCCAGTCGTCAATCGAGAATAGAAGACCGTCAAGGCAAGCTTGACCAGCCAGAGAATAGCCACGTATAATGACCAACCAATCACTTGAATTTTGGAGCCGGCAACACGATTTGACCACTCCTTGGAGTCTGGGCTAAGGGATGCCCGCTGCTCAGGCGTCATGTAACTATTGGTTAGGCCCTCGAATTCGGCACCAACAAGGTAAGCCGCGACTGTTTCGAGAGTGAAGAAGATCTATCAATGCCCATCAGGTTAGCGACGAATTCATTGTATGTTTTCCATATGAGGAAAGAGACAGCATACCCCCGCTAATGGCATAAGATAATCATCGAGCTGGAAATTGGCTGGACCCACGAGCTTCCATCGGACAGAAATACGGACAAGAATTGTAGTCAGAGCCAAGGACAATAATGTCCATGCCTCGACGTTTTCCGCCATTTCTGCAAGTCATCCGTTATTACTGGGAAAAACAAAAGATCAAGCAACTGAAAACTAGGAAAGAGCCTTCAAGATACATAACAAAAAGTTGGCCCCATACCAACCCGCTGGGAACACCGAGGCGCCGCAATTCCGCCAGCCAGTGGAGAAAGCTCCACAACGAGATATTTGGGTAAGCCGCGTTATGGGGATCAAGTCTAGAACAGAATCCACAAACTCAATGCTCGTGTGGGTATCAATTACTGAACCCAAAAATTAGCACGCTTCTTGGCGGGAACGAATCCAGTAGTAGCACACAAATCTTGGCTTCTCATGAAACAAATAGCCAGACTTTCCTAAACTATTCAAAGTGACCTTTTGAATACTAACTAAAGTTTGATTTAAGTAACCGTAGTAGATACTAAGTTAACATTCAACTAATTACCTATGCGAGAGAATGTCCGCCTATCCACGATGCCGCTTTCAGAACAGGCTTTATGGAAATCTTAACCCTGAACATAAACTTTTTCTGTGACAGCGGGTCGATTGTCACACACTTGACTTTCCCCATTTCTTGCGAAGGCGTTCTGCTAATTTCGAAATTCAATAGCTTAGAGAGATAGTGGATATTTTCTTTATACCAACCTACCAACAGCAATGAAACAATCCTAACAGCCATCCAGGTGGCGTTTATTAGAAAATAAATACGGGCCACAGCACAAGTGGAGAGCGGTCAATCCTGGCCTGTGAGTGAGGTCATAAGGGGTTTTGTGCGGACTTGCCTTCCAAAACCTCAAGCGGAACATTTCATATGGTTCAAGTCCACTGTCATTGTATCACAAGTCCGGTGGACTCGGGGGGGAATAATGAGGTTTAGTAGACTGAGGTGTGCGCGGACCAGTCAGTTAGCTGGAACCTTGTGAATCCAATATAGACCCAAATCAATTGACACAACAAATACAGATTGCTCGATGAGACCCTTGGATGCTGCACTCGGCCTTTCCTAAGGGCTAATGGATTTAGCAAGTCGTTTACAAGTGCCCACGATAAGGAGGGGTTCAATTTTCTAAAATATTTGGTAGCTCTGCTACCATGTTCTTCTATCGATTCTTCGCTCTTTGTAAGGATACAGTCGTAGAAAGATAGATAGAGGACCATATAAATGGTCCACAGAAAGGTAAAGCAGAGCTTGTATAAGTATCAAGTAAAATCCAAAAAAAACATCGCAGTCGGAGATATAGGTGTCCCAGACAGGAGCGGAAAATACTCAAGCAGACCTTTTCATCGAACACCTATGGGTTGCAGGACCAAAATAGCGCCAAACCTAGTGCCTTCAAAGCGTGAGTTGACGTATATCCTAAATGATAAACTCATTTTTCATCCATTCCTCTCTGGAGACATGAATCCAAATTGCTACCATTGCCACCGTCAGGCGCAAGCGCTTCCTGTGGCTTGGGCTCCTCGTGTCTCCAAGAAATATCTTGCTGTTCTGGAATAGATATATCAAGAGTCTGTGCGTTGCATTAGGGCCTTAGTCCGCGATTGCTGTCCGACGTCACGGACTCGCATCACCTCAGCATAGATCATCTCGCGTATCTCCAGAACATCCTCCACGACTTCGAAGTGGAAATCGAATGTGATTGGGCAGTCGGATACAGCCGATGAATCGTGTCAGTCCTTAAGATACCTGCAGGTGCTTCCGAGCCTCCTCAGCCGAGATACGCGACGTCGGATCAAAGGCCAGCATACGAGTAAGCAGGCCGTGTGCAAGAGGGCCCCCAAGCCTTCGCCGCAACAATTCCAACCGATTCCGGACATCAGCTACTCTTTCAATCTCTGGAAAAGAGAAGAGACCAAATTGAACGCCAATCCAGATATACAGCAACTTCTTCAAGCCGCCTACCAAGCGCCGAGCGCGGAGCTAGGGGAGGAGCTACAGTCGATTAGAATGTGGCCCACCAGCGGCAGTGATGGGCTATTCCAACACCGAGCAGTTCCTCTCGAGAAAGAAAAATAGAATATCCAGTTTAACGATCACGGGTTATTGTTCTGGACATGGTGAACTGCGCATTTGAAAAGGAAATGGGGAAGTCCTAATTGATACCGCGGCCAGCGCCAGTCCTCGAGCAGCGCTTGCATGTGCCGGGCTGTCGGTTATGTTCACGCTCGTTCTTGAAGCCACCAGCAACCAGACGATTCTCCTTCAAACTTTGGAATACACGTCGGATCTGATTGTGTCGCTACCGAGTCATGGATACCAAGTCATGAATACCAAGTCACGGAAGATGTTCACCGAGCGGATGCAAACGCCGGCCATTCTCCAGGACACAAGGTCGATTTGCTCAGGAAATCCGAGGACCATCTGATACACCTATACGCTGCTATCCTCGAGTTTCAGGTCCGTGCAATGGGTATTCGGGTAAGCGCAGTGTGCTACGGCTGCTCGGTGACGCTTTCGACATCGAGGGATGGAGTGGTATTTTGCAAGGTATCAAGAACCCCGAGACCCGCACAGACAAAGACGCTCAGATGATCGGGGCGCAAAAGCTTATCAGCGACTTAGAACTATCCAAAGCAGGCAAGAGTTTGAGAGGGCCCGTCGGATCCCTACAGAGCGCGACAAGATGGCTAGGAAACTCCTGCGGACTCTCTATACCTGCCCTTACAAGGAATGAAAGGATCTGAATCATGACCAAGTGGCTGAAACTTGCGAATGGCTTACGCATCACCGGATGTTTGAAAATTGGCATGGTGCTGATGGCTCCAGTCTCTTTTGGGTTTCTGCTGATCCCGGCTGCGGCAAATCCGTGCTGGCCAAGTACCGACATTGCCAGACTTTGCGTCCCGCTAGTAAGCAATCGACCATTTCCGACTTTTTCTTCAGGCATGGCGACCCGGGATCAAATGACCGCGAGGAATGCAGGATGTGCAATTCTGCGCTGGATTTTCTTGCCACAGCCGCACCTGCCACGGGATTCCAACCTGGACCAGTTCGCCGCGGACGGGGAGAAATTGACACAGTCCTTTGGTGACCTCTGGTCCATATTTGCAGTTACGACGGCAGATCTAAGCATGGGACAGATTATTTGCAGTCTAAACGCCTTGGATAAATGCCAGATTGATGAGCGCGGTGGTCTCATGGAAGCGGTGATGCGGTTTCACCAGGGAGGCGTGCGAAATGGCAATGTGAGATTTCTTGTCACCGGCAGACCGTAGAGATGCCGGTGGAGTTGATGTGAGCCTCCAAAATATATTCACAAGTTGCTATGCGTCTATAACTTATATTGCAAAACTTTGTTAGCTGTGCCTCTCAGCTACACAAACACATAAGGACATGCCCGGGGAACTATAGAAATTGTCGTATGATTGCGGTAGATATTTCAACAAAGACGTCACCAGAAAATACCAATATTGGCTCCATATAGGTATGTAGCTCTGAAATGTGATTTTAGCCATGTACTGTTTACTGGTGTCTTAAACATACAGTATAGACACGAATCGGAATCGAATAGTCTTTGTTTTTAAATCTAATCCTAGCGACTTTTGGTGCCTATTGACAATATCCGGTTTCAGGGACTTAGATAAATTAACCGCCCCCCTCACGCTATACATGCCGCAGACACGCTAAGTGTGCAGCCGGGGCTGGGGTGTAAATGGGGAAGCTCTGTTTACATGCGGGGTATCCAAGCGCTAGCTGGGATATGGAGAAATGTGTTGCTGTTTTTGTTCGGATTCTCGGCAAACAAATCCCATTTATCCAACTTTAAGCTTTTCCACATCTGCAACGTGTGATCTAGTAGTTTCTTCAGGATTGTTGTATTGACTCGTATAAGATTTTGTCTGATCCTAGACCAAAAGACTTCTCTATAAAATATTAGTAGTCAGGGGCAAATTCCTTACTATGTCGAGACCCTGTGGCGTCCCCCCCTGGCCCTGTAGAACACTTCAGGCTGTTTTAGTACAAAAATATATATTATTTTTTATTAAAGGCTATTTGTTCGTTTCCGCTACACAATTAATGTGGATCACAAAAACCAATATAAAAGATCGGTTCAGCAGCTTCGTTCTTATGCCTTTCAAGCATAACACTTTGACTCTTAAACACATTAAGGCTACTTTCACGGCATTGTTTCTAGAGTAAGATTTTATTCAGAAATTATGTTCTCCTTCACCACTGCTCTCGTTGCGGCTACGGTTGCGGCTGGTGTTCTCGCCAGCCCTGCGGCAGCACCCGCTCCGCTCACCAAGCGCAATACCCCTAACTCATCAGGCACGAACAACGGCTACTACTACCAATTCTGTATGTACAGGGCCAGAATTGCTTCTTAATATTCAAAAGGCATAGGGCTAACCCAATGTTCAGGGGATGATGGCTCCAGTGGCACTACCACCTACACAAATGGGCCTGGCGGCGAATACTCCGTGAACTGGCAGAATGTTGGTGATTTCACCGCAGGCAAGGGCTGGTCACAGGCTCAGCCCAGGACTATCAACTTCTCTGGTAGCATCAACAGTGGAGGCAACTTCTACCTTGCTGTATACACTTGGTCAACCCAAGGCGAGAACTATGTAGGTCCTCCCTGCGGACTGACGCAATGATATGCGACTGCAATCTGACCCAGTATAGATTCTCGAGAACTACGGTAGCTACAATCCGTGCTCTGATGGCACGAGCAAGGGCACTCTTAACAGTGATGGGAGCGACTACCAAGTTTGCCTGGTCGACCGTGGCAACAACTACCTCCAGAACTGGTCCGTCCGCAAGAACAAGCGTTCCTCCGGCACTGTTACAACGGCAAACCACTACAATTACTACCAGTCTCAGGGCATGACCCACAACCCGCTTAGCAGCGCCGCTTATCAGATCGTCTCTACGGAGGGTTTCGGTAGCTCTGGTTCTGCCGATATCACCGTCTCCGAGGCTAGTAGTGGTTCAAGTTCGAGCTCTTCAAGCACGTCAAGCACATCTACAACTTCGACACATACGTCTACTCCTAGCTCTGGCAACTGCGCTCAGCTCTACGGCCAATGTGGTGGCTCAGGCTGGACCGGTGCTCAATGCTGTGCATCTGGCACCTGTAAGTATTCCAATGCATGGTACTCCCAGTGCTTGTAGACATGGGGTACACGTGCAACAATTGGCGCCATAGCAGAATCGTACATCAATATGACCAAGGGAACGCTTGGTAAGGATGAAGCTATATGATCTGCAGAACTTCCTGTCATGCTTCCGAAATTGTCCTGCGAATACCTGTTACTTTAGAGAGACAGCCCTTATGAAGTCTTTCTCTCCTTAGTGACAATTTACTTATTACCTGCTCTTTTATAAATACTGTCCTCTCTTATTGTTCCTCTTATATCTTGCTAGTCTATCCTTGAATTACTCCTTATAATTTTTATTACCTAGAATGCAATAAAAGGACAGCAGTTTTCACTTGCTTGAAATTGCATTTGTGAGACATGCCTGCAACGCTCTTGGATATGAATCGCGGCCTCTTCCCAACTCGTCATATCGTGTACCAAGACTTTCATGCTACTCTATAGCCAATACCTGAAATTCTTTTTCTGCAGTTCTCTTCAACCGCTAAGGCAATTAGTGTCTCTCTTCGAGCGTGTGCTGGTGGTGCGGCTGATCAAGGCAGCTAGGACTGTATCGTGTAAGGAAACAGTGGCACCACTTCAAGATACAATTTTTGATCGCAGGACAGAGCTCGCGAGATTAATATTGATCCTGGGAAGCTTATCTCGGGCACACAGAGCCTCAGACATTTGCGTAAATCTTGCCAAACCTCTTAACTTACCATATAATGCGTTATATATAAGCGCTTTTCGTGGCTGGCCTTGCTTTCACTCCCGACAATGATCTGTCTAGACTTTTTTTTCCTTCCTACCAGAGTCAGGATGGACTTGAGGATTGGAACACCACTTGCGGTTAGACAATCCTACGCCAGTGTTGGTCCTGCTGCCGTCGGTGGGGCGGTTCGTCTTCGCGTCGCCCACAGTTTCAGCGTCTTCTGTTAGACCCAGGTAACGCCAGATTATTAACAAACCGGTCATAAAAAACTGAGAAGTATGGTCCATGTTTAGCTAAGTTAGAACGAGCGTTTAAAAAATTGGCGAAGCCGTCATATGTGTCAAAGCTGCACAGAGCGGTCCCAAAAGAGCTTGGGGGTTTACATCGCACCCCGACCCCGCAACAGAACTGCAAAACGAACAGAATCTTTTCCACTGCACGTCCCAGGCATTACTCAAACAGTGATCAACATGCCGGCCAAAGGAAAGAGGGCCCAACGCAGCTATCTTCGGCAAAGAGAGCCATTTCTGGAAACGGTTGACGAAAAAACATCGCTGTTGGTGCTTTTGGCTGATTTTCAGGGCCCGATCAAAGATCACGTGATCGATTCTGTTCAAGATGCGGCCAAGGTGGCCCCGCCAGAAGACATAGAAGAGGATGAAGCCCAGCATCGCAAGCGGCAAACAAGGCTTAATGTTAAGCCGTGGTCCCCATCAAACTTCCTACTCCGATCTCTCGCCTATCAAGGGCCACACCGAGATAGCCAGGCGAACCTGTATGCACTCGCTGTCTTGGCACATCAGTACGGTCACTCAGAGTTGATAGTGGCTGACGAACTGACAAAATGCAAACTGGCCCCCGCGTTCGACCCAGAACTTGAGTCTCGTTCTCCATCAGAGTCTGATGTCGAAATTAACGAGCGCTCAAAACCAGATTGCGAGGTGATTTTAATCTCGGTATACGAAAAGGATGTGGAGTCCAAGGCCCTTTCTGTCTGGGCTAGGCGGATCTGCATTCGAGATCCCGACTATATCAGACGGAATGTAAGATGGAGCAAGCAGACTTCGATAGCGCTGATGTTTTCCAAGTCGCATGACATCCGCAATGCCCAGACGGTCGCAATTCCCGGTGCAAAACGGCCTCGCTTCAATCCACGTTACTCCACTCCAGAATTTCATTATCATGACCGCGGCTTCGAAGACACTATATGGGATCAAATTGGTCTTGAGCTTCACGACCCAGATTGTCCCATACTTAGCCCTGATGTTGTGGATGGACTGGGACGGAAGCGCCAGCGAGATGCTCTGCGGAACACTCTAGAAAAGAACCTCCCGAATCTTCCAAAAGAATTGATATACGATATCGCTGACCTCGTGGGAGATGCGCCGCCTATCAATCTCCCGAATTGGGAATTTTTCCCGAGCAAGAGCCATCTCGTTATCTTCATATCATTTTCCATGAAAGAGGCCGAGCAAGAACTAACGAAGGACATGATTGATAAAAAATTTCAACAACATTTTGGAAAGAAACTCGCCTTCTCAAGTCGACAGAACCCTAAAAATGAGTCGCGTTGCCCTGAGTATAGTGAAAGTGATTCGTCGTATGACGCAGATGGCGATGAGGACGAAGAGGACCATAATGAATGGTCTCGCCCCCGGAAAGCGCCGGAAATGACCTTTGAGTTGATTCCCTGGGAGAAACACGGTGCTACATCTCGAAGAGACTTCATGAAACTTTGGCTAGAGTACTATCCTTCTACTGTCATATTTCAAGAAGGTGGACGGCCGCCTTTGCATATACTGGCGGAGCCTATTAAAGATATTCAGGCCCCGCACTTTGTGGAGATACTGGCAGACAACAAGTCAGTTGCAGTCGCTTCTCGGACAACACTCGATAAAATTATTTCCGTGACGGAAAGAGTCCAAAATTCGTCAACCTTCAGGTTTCGCGATCTTCATATACCCTCTTCACACAGCGAGAATCTCATCGACGCCGATCAGCCTTTTTGCCGCGCCAGAATTTCGTGGCAGAATCCAGTGTTGCAGTCACAAACATGGATACCGGCATTCTACCTCACAAGTAAATTAACCAAGGAGCAAGACCATGATATTCGAATGGAAATAAAGAGACCAGATGGAGATTACGATGCTTACATGGAAGTCGCCAATAAGGACTGTGGCTTTGTACCGTGGAAGGCGGGCCAGTCTGACGGAACGATCCGTGATATTTGGGAGATTGCTCAGATGGTCCACAAGGAATCACTCTGGAGAGATAATGATTTCTTCATCTGTATTGACCAGCAATCAGCCATTGACAAGAAGGTCATTCTCGTGGTCCCAGACCGTCGCAAAGTGAGCCACCGATGGCCACGGGTAAAGAACATGCATCTTCCAAACCTGACCGGGTTTACCTTCGCTCGCATCCCTGCCCGCGAATCTCATACTCAGTGTGTTGAGATTCACCGCTTTCACAGGGTTCACTATCCATTTCTCCGAAAGCGCTTCTTAAGGCCCGAGCTGCTTCGAATGGACCGACTGGAGGCAGATCGTCGATACGCATATGTCGATGGTGAAGGAAAGCCTCTTGAACTTGCAGAGGATGTGGATTCTGAAGCAAGCCCAACAGACCCGTCAGATGTTGACGATGAAGATAATGAGTCTGTTGACTCACTTGATGCACTGGCAGAGGAGATGATGTACGATACCATGTATGGTGGCTACTATTGATACTACTACTACGAGTACCGTCCACAAACAAGCATCATACGCCGAGGAATATTCATTCAGTGGTATTATAGGGGAGCTTCTATCAACGCTCTGGGCACACTCTTCCCACCGGTCCACCTGTACATTGGCGTCCGAAAATTCGAGAAAGGTTCCGAATCGAGAGTCAAAGCTCGCCTGATATCCACATCAATATTTGCGTATATATGTACAAATTATCAATGCAGTACATGGAATATTTGGACGGGGTAGAGGACCTGAAAACTATCATCGCTGATAGATCCTGAGCCCGATGTTTTCAAGGAGCCTGGAGAGCCCGACTCATAAATTACTGTAATACTAAGGTATTTTACGCATCAACACGAATGAAACCCCGTACTGTCGTATTGGCTGGTTGTGAGACGGCGGGTACCTTAAAGGGTAATAAGGTGGGGGCGCCGAGGCTGTTGATCCCGACAAAGGTATAGCTCAGCCTCGAGGACTTTTCCATTTTTGTACAGTTCATTTTTTTGCATCATCTTTTTCATTGTCCCCTTCACATCAAATTCGATAAATTACCACGGCAAACTGCAATCTCGAGGTGCTTTCCAAGTATTTATGGCAACGCTATCTGCTATGGACTCTAAGAGAACGATCGCTGTCTCTGGAGACGGCGCCCAGGAGGAGGATTCAATTGGTCAAATGGACCATGGAGTCCGCGCCTGGACGGTGGTCATTGGAGCATGGTGCTGTCTGTTCTGTGGCTTTGGCTGGGTGAATGGTGAGAATTGACTGCCTCCCCCATCAATTACCCTTTTCATTCCGACCGCAGATAACCTGATACGGCGTTTGTCTCTTGCCAAGCCATTGGAATATTTCAAGAGTATTACCAGAACAACCAATTACAGTCTTACTCGTCGTCTAGCATCTCATGGATTCTATCCTTGGAACCATTCGTGCTCTTTGCGGCAGGACTCGTGATTGGAAGAGTAAGCCACCCCCCATCACTCAGGCCTGAGCTGCATTATGTTAATCTTCTCAAAATTCCCAGGTCTTCGATAATTATGGGCCCAAGTGGCTCCTCCTGATTGGAACATTTCTTCACGTTTTCGGTCTTATGATGACTTCTATATCGAAAGAGTACTACCAATTTTTCCTAGCTCAGGGCATTTGTAGCCCCCTTGGTGCAAGCTTTGTTTTCTCGTCGGCGCTCTCGTGTACCGCAACCTGGTTTGACAAACGTCGTGCTCTGGCGTTTGGTGTGGTATCTAGTGGCTCCTCACTGGGTGGAATCGTATTCTCAATTATATTGTCTCGACTTTTGCCTAGCATTGGCTTCGGATGGACTGTGCGCATTGCTGGCTTCATTGTTCTGACATTACTGGTCATTGCCAACTTGACCGTTCGATCGAGGATTGCACCTGTTCCGCGGCCTGTCAAGTTCAGCGACTATACAAGTCCCTTCTCGGAGGTGCCATTCGTCTTACTCATGCTGGCATCTTGCTGTGGATTTTTTGCGATGTTTGTGCCAATCAACTATATTGTTCTTGAAGCCCAGGAAGACGGAGTCAATCGTGATCTCGCTGGGTACTTACTAACTATACTAAACGCTGCCAGGTGGGTACTTACGCTTCTCATAGCTTTCCAGCATTTGGAGACTGAGCTAACTCATTCTATGAAAAGTCTTCCTGGTCGAATCCTCCCCGGGCTACCTCGGTGACAAATTAGGACGATATAACGTCATGATCGCCATGTGTTCATTGTCCTCTATTGTTATCCTAGCCTTATGGCTGCCGGGGACCCTTCTTTCTCCGGGCAGTGTGGCTGTCTACGTTATCTTCAGCATGCTATACGGCTTCGCATCTGGTGCATTCGTAGGCATGGTGCCCGCTCTACTGAGCCAGATCTCACCCGATGTGACCAAAATCGGCGTTCGTCAAGGTGTTCTGTTTACTTGCATTAGCATCGCATCACTCACAGGAAGTCCTATCGCGGGAGCAATCTTGAGCCGACAGAACGGAACCTACTGGGGATTACAGGTCTTTGCGGGCGCCATGATGGGGGCAGGTGTATTTTTCTTCACTGCCGGGAGGATAGTTCTCGCCGGAACCTCTATTGCCAAAAAGATTTAAACTTCAAAATTTGCGATTGATATGTAAGTAAGGCCACTTATAGTTACATAGTTCCTGCGAAGTCGGCCCTTGATAAAGGGCAGGGACACGTCCTTTTTGTCACTGGTACCATTTTCGATCCAGTCCATTTAATAAATAGATTTTCGAGGGATCCCTGTCTTGACCTAGAGATATTGATCTTCCTCGCTTTGGGCTATGGCAAGACTGATCGTACTTCACACGCAGGCACAAGTACGGCTATGTACATTTGAGCTTGTACAGGTATGTACAATACTGTATCGTGGGTACGCCGATCCCCGATTTCCCCGAGGTGAGGCTATACCTCATTAGTATTTAGTCTTTTCAAACCCTCAACGGAGTGCAACCCAAATGTTTTTCGCCTAAATACTGGGTTCTAACTTCAAGAAGTAATTCCGCCTTACCAGAATCAGAAAACCCTTGATAGATTATTATTATGTTAGGTCATTGTATGGAAAGACCCAAGCTCCAGGCATATACACTATCGCAATGTAACATCACTAGATTAGCTGCATGAGCCACGTAATTAAGCCTGTCCGCATCGTGTCAGTGCTAATGCAAGATCCCAGACCCTTTTCGATATTTCTGTGACATCACGTGCAACAGTTCTAGAAAAACTGATTGTCGCGTTGCTCTTCAGGAACTCCGTCTCAGTTGTAAATTGATCTATTTAGGCTACATTCTGACTTGAATTGCACAAATCTCCTCAACATGATATCTCTCGCCATCTTCGACTTCGATGGCACTCTCTTCGACACACATGAATCTATCTCTCAGACAATCAAACTGACTTTCGATGCCCTCCTCCCAACCCAAGCCCCTCCCGAATCTGAAATCCACCGCCTAATCTCCAGCGGTGCCGGTCTAGCAGACACATTCCAGGCTCTACACCCCTCACCATCCGAGTTCACACCTTCTGTCGAGAACGAATGGATTGAAAAATACCGTGCGCTCTATGCCACACATGGCCAACTCCTTGTCAAAGCCTTCCCAGGCGCCAAAGAACTCCTGGCCGAGCTGAATACCCACAAGGTCCCTATCGCCATTGTCAGTAACAAAGGTGTGGCGGCTGTGAAGACTGCTCTCGAGCGCAATTGCTTGGAAGGCTATGTGCCTGAAGATTTAATAATTGGGGATAAGACACCCGGGGCGAAGCGCAAGCCGGATCCTGCAAGCTTTGTGGATGTTCTGGTCCCAGTTCTACGGGAACGATACGGTTTGGGAAATGTTGACCCGGCGAGTGTCCTGGTAGTGGGTGACACTGTGGCGGATGTTCAATTTGCAAAGAATATTGGAAGCAAGGTCTGCTGGTGTCGGTATGGATATGGAGATCCAGAGGCTTGTCAAAAAGCGGGGCCAGATTTTGCGGTCGATTCTTTGGGGGGAGTTGTGGGGATTGTAAAACAATAAGATCCATGTTTGGCATAACGGCGGAAATGCCAGCCAAAAAGCAAGATTAAGCCAAAGGATAGCTGGACTGGTTGAAATTTCCTCAAAGCATTCTGTACAGTCATAAATGCCCACCGCGATTTTCAAAACTTCGCATACCCTTTATATTAATCCTATTATATCTATATTGAAACTTTTAGGTATGCTCATCCATCACCATTTCATCGAGCGTTAAATGGGCGCACTGTATAAATCTGCCTTCGGCACACCTCACAAGCAGGCACCTTCTGGTCCACTGAGTACAGCCGCAACGGCGATATTAAGTCTGCTTGAGCTACCATGCGCATTCCACCAATACTCTGGATGTACCATCTTCCTTCTCTCGCGGTCCGCGGAAAATTATACTCACTCATTGGAGGAAAAGCCGCTAAGTGGAACGTTTACTGGATCTTAGCCTTTTAAAACAACGATGGCCTCAAAAAGTACAAGAGGTCCACGGCAACGCTCGTTTTCATAATAGAGAACCGGGTTGAGTTGGGCACCAGACTCATAAAACGCGGAAGCCGTCAGTATAACACAGCTCAGAAACCCTTACGCTATGTTCAACCCCTCGGTGGGGCTGGTTCTGTGGTTGCCATGAGGATTCCTTTCAACAAGAACTCCATGCTTAGGAGTTAAGTAGCAGGCCACTCAGCAAGCTCTGCAACTCGTAGTCGCATTGGGAACGCAAAAACATCCCATCGGTCTTTCCGCCAACAATCCGATACCAGGACTTCCCTCCTCGAAAGGCAGATATACAACCGGGATTGTATGGAATGGGAACTCGCAGTCGCGTCGTGTCAAAAAGATCAGGTGAAGCACAGGCTGGAGGGGCCATGATGATACAAATAATTGGGGTAAATGAGAATGGGTGAGGTTATCGGGTGCTAGAGCGTGAAGATAACAAAACATGGAGCGAGGGCGGCAGGAAAGGTTGCAATCACTGGGCGTCGGTGTTCTCATCCCTGGCCAAGCGCCGAAACATATCAGTGTTGGCTTTGATTTTCCGCTCGAGGTTGGCGATGCACTGTTGTTGAGTGTCGAAGGTCTTAGCGATCTTTTCAGCCGCGCGCTGCAGGTTATCCAGATGTCTGGTCGCCATGTCCATAAGTGCATGGGTGTCCGAAATCATCTGGACAATTTCAGAAAAGCTTTCAACAATCTCAGCCTGCTCCATCTTCAGAGCATCACACTCTTGTAGAAGGTCACTGGAGTGCTGCTTGACGGCGTCCAAAATCGGCGCGACGGGACGAGCGGAACTCTGATCAACGTCAGGAAGATCGTCGTCAGCATTGAAACTGCAGCGGAAAGCTGTTTGTCCCAGTGGTACCCTCCACATACTGGCTGTCCGTATTCGGGTAGAACCGTGACGCAAATTTGGAATGGACCGTGGCCATTCTGACAACTGACACAGGGGCTGGGCGCGATATCACCCATATTTGTATGACAACAACTTCCACATTCTCCTTCCTTTTGCTAAGCCGACACGAGAGTTCTGATCCGTTCTTAAATTTGTGTGGACGGACGGCTGGTTCCCGCTGCACTGGCATTGTTGAGAGGGCCTAGAGAAGGGGGGTCTTGATTTCGTCGCCACGTTTGGCACATGCCCAATCCATGTTGAGCGCACAGGCAGCCCATTCACCAGGGGCCGTATGTGGGTGACCGGTCCAAGGAGGTGGCATTTCCTAGCGAGCCCTCTTCACGGCCTGGTGGATCTCATCTTCTTCACTAAAAGACATTAGAGTTGAGTGGTAGACTCAGTGAACAGAAGAACTTACACTGGCATCGTGAGGGAGGTGGAACGAGAGAGCGAAGAGAGAGTAATCTGAGGAGGTGTAGAGTGGAGAGGACAAGCGGACAAGAATTGGAGATGGAGAGTTGGAGGGGTCGTTGAGAGGGAGAGAGGAGGGAGGAGGAAATGTAGAAAGAAGAAGAAGGGGAGATGGAAAGTTGAAGGGTTGTTGATAAGGAGAGACGATGAGAGAGGAGTTCGCTGAGAAGATGTGAGAAGATGCAGAGAGGAGAATATGAGCTGACGAAAAGGGAGATGGGAAGTTGGAGAAGACGAGTTGGCTAGAAGTGAAGATTGAGAGTTGGAGGGTTGGGGCTTTAGTATCTGCGCTAGTGCCAAGAGAGGCCAAGAGCGGAAAGCATAAACATGAGCGGAAATAGTACAAACAAAGCAAACAAAGATTTCAGTATCCAGCGTAGTGTATGACTTCGCTGTTATAGTCTTCGACCATCGTGTGATTAGTGGCTATATCTTTTTTTCGCAGTACTCAGCTACAGAATTGAGAGACTCTCAGCTGGAAGGTTCAGCTACTGGAAAAGTATCTTATTTCGTGTTGGGGGGCAGTAGATAATCTAATCACTACAGTATCTATCATATGGTCGAAATCGCTATTGCCGAAAGCCCAAATGCCCATTGCCTTCGGTGTGTATAACACGTGATGACAGCAAACAAAGAAAGAGCCCCCGGCGGTGGTCTTTGCATCACAGAGCTTATAGATAGTAAGCAGGGGGCTTTCTCCTTCGATGCTTAATTACAACCTGCCATCCACACACCGCTGTTGACCAAAACGGGAACATCCTTTGAGATTCCATTCTATCCCACAGATTTACCCTCTGCTCTCCCCACAGACGTCGAGATCGAGAATGCTCCGGATATCTCCATTGAATAAGGAGAGCCCGCACTTTGTGGTGAAATTCGGGCTAGGCGTCAACCGCATCGAAGGATAGAATACGCTACTTGTCCGACCACATACAAACGTCCCCCTCCCCCGGATCTTCGCTCTCTATTCGGACCCGGGATAATTACATTGCCATGGAGCGCATTGTCGGTCAAACTCTCCTTGCAGCATGGCCTCAACGTACAACACCGGAGAAACAACGAATGACGATCTAGTTGCAAAGATACGTGGATGGCTCGCGTCAGCTTCCAACAGTCGCATCATTTACGAGTTTCGGCAAGCGACCGCTTCTCGACGAGATACTTTGGACTCCCGAGCCAGATCCCTTGATCAACCGCCCATTGGAATCTATAGGAGATCTGAACGGAGCTCTAAGTACAGAGCCGACCTCCGGGGTTTTTTCCTTTGGTTTTCAACGATCCTCAAGTGGCATTCACTCACGGTGATCTCCAACGGAAGAATACCGTGATTTGCGAAAAGGTCACCCCAGTATTTATGAAGCACGCATTGTACTCATTGATTGGGGAGATCGCCTGGCAGTTTGTGCTCTGCAATGGGATGACGACTGGCTCCTTTGGATTGATAGCATCATCACACCGTCTGTCTCTGAGGCTGCATGATTACAGTCTTTGCGCCTGGAGCTATGGTCATAGGAATCGAATATAAAGTAGGTAGAGCTTTTTGTCAAGGCGTGACCAAACGAAGTCATCTTGTTTTTGAAGAAAGCTACTCTGGGAGTCCTCAGGGTTTTAGCCTTCCTGGACCATACTGTCACTGCCTTAGCTATTACAAGAGTGTACCACCAGAATATCACTCCATCCCATTGCCAGTCGGGCTTGATGCAGCTGGCCATGGCTCTATACCACATCATTTACAAGACAGCTCCCCACTCTCCTACATGGATCCACGCTCGGAATTCTCCATCTTCTACCTTGACCGTGCTCCATGTTGATCTGTTTTGACAAGACTTTTGAAGCCTGGAATTTACCTAGTCGTGCAGTAGAACCCAGTTTCTTCTTACAAATGTAAGATGACCTCGGGGCATCATCTTCCAGTTGTTATAGAGTTTTGATGCCAATCTTCAAAGGCAGGTCACTACCGTGATACCTTCCGTGATCTGAGGTTCGGGTCGGCATGTTATGGCATATAGCCGATTTACTGATTGGACCGAAAAGACAACACGATCCGGCTGTGGACACCGGCTGTGTACGATTTAACCAACTAACCAACTTAATCAACAACATGCATTACAACCGGGATTGGCCAAGTCCTTGCTGCCAGGTTCTTTCATATAAGTTATATAGCCATCTGGAACAAAATAAATTTGTCTTTATCTCTCCTCGTCTTCTTAGTCTTCCAGGATGTAATCCAATCCATACGGTAGTTGTCAAATCATCTACATCTTAAGCGGCTTATACATGGAGCTGATTAACATGAGAATAAATTTCTAACCATTTTAATTAATTTGGCGTTTTCTTCACGTCCGATAGTGATCACTTGACGGTTGCTCAACAAGTTTCATTATGCTGACGGAGCCACGCTTCGTCGAGGATCCCGATTATATTTCGATAACAACGTGGTATGCAACTCCTTCAGAGCGGGATCTTTGAGTTCCTCAACTGCTGCTTCGATCTTTGTCCACATGTCCTTATCCCAATCAAGAAAAGCTTTGGACACATTTAGGTCATGAAAAAGCTCCTTGACCTTCAAAACATCGTCTTCATTCGTGGATCCGTAGCAGCGTTGGAACACCTTCCTTTGCTCGTCGTTGCAATTTTCCAATGTCCAGACTGAAAGCCAGCTGCATTTGTTCTCCTGGATGTCTGTCCCAACTTTTCCAGTGACCAGAGGATCGCCATAAACATGTAGAAAGTCATCTCGGGCCTGGAAGACGTGCCCTAGCAGCATGGATGTCTTGTATACCTTGTCTAGCTTTTCAGCGGTAGCGAGGCCAAGATAAACAAGAGGGATGGCCATAGGAAGATAGATGGTGTAAAAAGCTGTCTTTTGGGCCGTAATGAACTCATATTGATTCCAAGAGAACTTATCCAGTTCCAGTAATTTTGCCGTGGCCATGAGATCACAGTGCTGTCCAAGCTCAGTGCGGAGACAAGCCTCGTCGAACATGTCGTGGAGTTCTAGATAGCTTGGATGTTTTCGAAAGCGTTTCTTGAGGGTAACGTTGATTGCCGATCTCAGAAGGCACGCGTCGTTGATAGCCATCATGCCAACTTTTTCCCGGCGATACCAGCATGGCTGGCCGCGTCTTGTTGTAGAACCGTCCATGATATCATCCCAGACCACATATGCCGCATTCAAGAGTTCAAGTAGACACCCGAGCACTGCGAGATCTTCGCTCTGGGCTGGAGAGAGCTCGTGGCCATTGAGAATCCGTCCACTATCCAGAGCCGTTCGGCTTCGCAAGAGGTTTCCTCCTTTCGTGTTAAAGGTGAGACACTTGAAGCAGTCAGTTTATTTGGTTCAACATAGAATGCCATGGTTTGCGCGCTTCTTACCTGGAAAATCCTCTCGACGGCTTCAGGTCCAAGCCCTATGAAGGTAACATGCTCCGTAACCTCCCGAATGACTTCAGCGAGGACGCTTTGGACTCTCTCGCCAGTTGAGACAGTCATGGTAATTGTATTGTCTCGAAGAAAGGTGTCTACAGTGTTATCCTATAACACGCTGGTAAAAGGCCTGTTGATCGACACAAAGAATGAAGTACCCGATCTCAATTCAGGATGAAACTAATTTTGAGTGAATATTTGACAGGCTTCCTCGTGGTCATCCTTTTAAAGGCATTATTGCTTTGAAAGAACCCTCTGGAAAAACACCCATGTCATACGACATGTGTCAAGTAAGGGACATACTAATGATGCGCGGATCAACTAGTAGAGGGCATACATGCATCATGCTATGCATCCCTTCAGCTGGGCGATCTTGCAGTTGAGGCCAACAGAGACACCTCGATGGCCTTGGGCATTGACCCCACCAGCCCACCAGAGTATGAATAGTTTTACAATACAAATCATATGAACTTCATAAAAATATCTCAGGGAATAGATTCTTTAGCTAGATAGTAGCTCACTGATTTGAAGTATAAACACCATTGGGGAGAACTCTGTTGTTTTTAAATTTCTAGAGTAATCGGTTTCCTCCCTTCTTTGCAGATCATTGCTCTTCTAACATTAGAGTTTGCCCGCAGTGTTGGCAGCTGCAATAGAAATGAAAGGAAGATTGACAGATCATATATGGCCCAGTATTATTCATTGCGTGCCAGCAACAGAGATCTATGATAACACTATCACCCGATCTGTCACTTTCCAAAGCCTCAAACTCTATGTGGCAGATACCGAAATCAAGGATTTCGATCGAAACAAGTCTTGGCTTTCCCTCGCTCAAAAGGTAGTAAGTGCTTACGATGGCGTGCTTTGATATTTTAAGCTAGAAACTTTGCCTAAAGGATGAGAAGTTTGAAGGCTATTCTTGAGTGACATTATTATCATTATTGTACATAAAAAGGCGATTACCGCCATTAAGTCACCCCACTTTCCAAACATAAACCTTCGGCAAGGCATTTTTTCACTCTGATGGGATATCGCGGCTCGCGTTTCTCAAGGTGTAGGTAGCCTGACTTCCATAAAGCCGGCTTCTGTGGCATGCGGCCGGGGCCAAGTTTCATGTTCACGATGAAACTCTGTTTCAGCCAGCTCGGCTTGAGTTGCGGTGTAGCAGGTGGAGGGTGTCTGGCGTCATTCGATACCCTTGCATCCCGTGATAGCGGCGCAAGAGGACTGATAGAATCTCTCGAAGTTTCCAAGTGATAGAAACTTGCTTCATGGAAATTTTCCGTTGGTGACCCGAGAGTTCATACCCTTTGATCTGTGGATTTTTGTATTAAGAATATGCTTGAACCGACTCGGTATTGACTTCAAGCCATAGCGTAGACAGTAGGCGAAGGAGTCCACTTTGTGACTGTTGGTTGCAACCGGATATCCTGACCGACGAGGATGTTCCACTCATTCCGTGTAATTGGAGTAACATCCGACGCTGAGAGAGGGGTCTTAGGCCCGCGCCTGGACGAGTGTGGCTTCATGGTGCTTGACTTCATAGGGCTTGCCTTCACAGGACAGGGGTTTGTCTTTGGCACAAGTGCCTTTGCAGGTGAAGGGCTCGCTGGGAGTCCCTTGTTTGTAATTGGCTTGGAGGGGGTGGGCTTTGCAACTGGTTCTCGTCGAACGCGGACGGTGCGAATTGGCGCAGTGTGAACTGGCGACTTTCGAGGATTCTCAGCCTTAACTTTTGTTGGCAGGATGATGGCTTCTTGATTGTGGGTGTTTTGATAAGCTGTGGCGACGGCGGCAAGTAGGTCGTCCTTGACGTCTAATTGTTCATAGACGCGATGGAAGAAGGCCTTGCTGAAGGGGCGGCCTTGGAAATCCTTGATGATGCGGTGGAGCAGCTGGACACAGGAGTTCATGGACTGTTCATCTGACCGCGAGAAGGGGCGGCTGGAGAGAATGCACATGCGACGCTTGAAGATATAGATGCGGTCCATGTTGAGAAGGGTTAGACCTTCTTGGCTGAAGATAACTTCGTTCTGGAGGATGGATTGTTGCACGAGGTACTCGTTCGCGTGGCGTTCGTGCTGGCTGCGGCCAAGGGCCTCGGTCCAACTTGGGCCAAGGGAGAATTTCTTAGCACCCTTTGCAATTGCTCGCTCCAGTACACGCCGTGAAGGACCATCGAGAGGTGTGATAGGGATGATCATGAGGTCGGAAGCCTGGCCGGTTGGGTATGGCTTCCCGCGACCGACCAAGAGCGTGACGTGCATTGTCTTTTGTTGCAACTTGGAGGAAATATATTCGAGAGCGGGGAGGATAGATGGAAGCACGACTTCAGAGTCAAAGTTGAAGTCTGGGGAGAGAGGAGGAGAGATCATGTCGTTGGTGAGGAGCCGAGTGGGCGAGCTGGGGACATAGATGCCCGATGGGCGAGGGAAGCGCATAACACCCATTGTGGGATATTGTATGCAATGACTCTTGGAGAGTATGAAAAGATTAAATGATATTATTGAAAAGCTCTTCGAAAGACTTGAAGAGATGCCTTTTGGCTGGATATATTCCAGGTTGGCCTGATGAAAGGACAGACTCTGGCCTTGAGCGACCTGATATAACTATTCTTCCAAGGAGAGGGTCACCAACAATCAACCAACACCAACTTCCCCGCACGAACTTGATAACCACATATCTTAAGATAGAAAGTTCCCAAATTATCCTTAATTTAGCTGCAGAATTGTTGCTAATGATAGCAAAATCACGGAGCCCAGTGACCAATCACGGCTCCTGAATTCCCCTATTCGTGGGTGGGGTGACACTAGAACCAATCATATCGGACAATGATTAGCACGACAAAAATAAACCAACAGTTCCTTAGCCGCCGAGGCTTTCACCCGCCAATCACCAAGTAGTATGGCCCGCACGACAACGGCCTTATGCAGGTCGTCACACATGAGCACAGGGACCAAGAAGCTATTCACCATCCACGGCGGGTGTTGATTTGCGGTTGTTTACTCTTGATAGCTTGTCACTTGGTCCGTACACAAGCTGACCGCATCGCATAATTTCCACGATCCAGGATGGCGGATCCATGAGCTCATATCCATAGGTTATTGTTGTTGTTCACGAGCCAACATTGTGTAGCTTCGAGGTGTCTCACTTGCATGATAAGGCATCTGTACAGTGCTCTCCTTCGTTTTCTATCAACGTTGGTAGGCTTTGAGGATTATCAGAAGGGCACGGGACCACTCATTGGCTAGTCAGAGCCATCTTCTGCACATGATTTTAGATGTGTATCCTACATACCATGGTCCTGGGAAACACATAGCTGACGATAACCAAGTTGGTGGTTATTTCCATGCTGTTTACCTGCTAATCTCCGTTGATTCTAATGGTCGCATCTCCCCTTGACTCTAAAAGGTGCCTAGGTTCACTTAGAAAACCCTCGAAAAGCGAAGTCCAGCATCAATACTGGAAACTACAGTAGATAAACAATACGTGGAAGGCCAGTTAATCAGTCATCCCACACTTGGATATTGAAGATACTCTATCTTGACCCTTGTCTGCGTACACCAATTCCATTGAGCCAAGGAAGCCATGCTTGCGCAAAACCTGATCGCGAAAGACGCATTCTCGTATGAGGTACCCAATCCGACACCATCCCAACCCACCACACGAGCAGGAGCGCAGAATGACGAATCGATTCCTAGTCAATGTACAACTCATCAGTTGTGTAGGCCACGGCGATAGAATAATACGGAAGGAAGCCCGTTGGTGCACCAACACGACCAACAACCCGAGCTATGGACGAATGCCGTGTTTTCTAGAGCCGCATGGGGCTGAACTTCCACAGAACTATTGCCTGACCGCTTGCTCTCAAATCAATAGTTCCATGCAAACAGTGTATTCGAGTAGCGAATTAAAGCCAGCTCGCAGCTGAGTTGTTGGTGGGGGCTAAAAATCAGGCGGCAAAGTGAGGAGTATTCGAGGTTAATTAAGCATCTATTTTCTCGCATCCACTTATTCGCCCTACTGTACGGAACAACAATTCTTCGAAGAAGGAAAATCGCTCATGGCACTAAGCAGATACCCGTTGATTGTAATCATGATATCGGTGGGCAAACCTAGCTCCGATAAAACCTAGGCGTTTAGTACTGAGAAATAATTTGACCCCTCTTGATAGAGGGTCGTCGCCGCATTAACGGAGGGCATCATCAAGGACACAGACCTACATTGCGGGAACTTAACGACTTCGGCGTTCTAAAAGCTTCCCTAATGGTGAAGATACGCCGAGAAACCTCCAAGAAAGCGTTACGATATACTGGGGTCATGGCTACTAGCATTAGATTGGCTGGAGGCTCCCCGCTCCCTCCGTTCAAATCGATTCTGCAAAATATATAGGTTGGGGATGCCCGACATCTACACCGAGGAAACGTCAGAAATTGTTTAGCTAGAGCTTCAATCTTCATTTTTCATGTATATGTATATTTCAACAACTTTAGGCAAGCTAGGATCTATTCAGGTCCAACTGAATCCATGGAAATTCCGGCAAACTGCACAGAACGGATTCTTTACCTCGGGCCGTTCATAGAGGGGCAAAATTGAACCCGAGAAATAAGGTTTCAACAACTCACCACTTTCGGCCCACGGAAATATACGGCATCAATAGAAGCCTAGATTTCGGTCAATAGGAAGGAGAAGAGGCCCAGGTTTTTTTTTCACACACTCGGACCGTTTTGACACATAAAATTAAGAAATCTTGGATGAGGCGTTGTGGTGGCACAGGGACTTTTTCCTTGTGGGTCTATGAAAAGCTTATACTCGGGGACTTTCAATCTATGGATGGAGGACGCCGAAGAAATTCATTGGGGCCACCAGGGAGAGAGAGGATCATGGTCATGCAAAGAATTATCGCTTGGGAGGCTTCTACCCCTTGCCTGGCTAGGAAGAAAAGATGATTTGACCTTCCAAGTGCCAATTAGAAATGAATACAGTACATACTTCATTGTCATTCGGCTAGAACACCACAGAGCACGGCATCTTGAATCACTGATAGGCACAAAGGCATGCCATTTTCACACCACGTGGGCCGACCCGAGTAAATTTTCACCGATAGCAAGTGATAGGGAATAACTCGAGGCAAAAACCTACTGTGTGTCAATATTTCCGAGAGGCTGTGAACCAAGATCACGCGTCTTCCAGAAAATTCGCTATCAGCCGGGGTTCACAGATGTCATGCTGATTGCAAAGCAGAAAACTTGGGAAAGACCCCTGCCGTGCCAGCAGCTGAGTAGGTGCCAAGGCAACCAGATTGTCAGTTGTATCTCTCTGTAGATTAGCAGGAGTGTTAATTGGCTGGAATGGCAGGGGCGGGCAGTTGGTCAGTCTTGGCAGGCAGCCCGGGCGCAACGCTGGCTGATCGCCAAGCCTCGTCTCCCCCGTCTGGAACCTCGGGACAGTCTCAGCCACTGTTCAACATTGGCTGGTTTCTTAGTTTTTTCCATCGTGATTTTGACTCCGGCGAGGCAGATTTGACCGGGCATTGGGGTAAGCGAGACTTTGTCTGAGGAATCTCTCTTTTAGCACTCTTAGTAGCGGTATGCTTACAGTAGGTTGTGGCGGATCAGCAAACTATACGGACGCCCACATCTTAGTAGTAGAATTGACATGTCTGCATTCGGTCAAGATCGACATTTATCTCTCTCACCGGCCAATTCTGCTTCAGGTACGGAGTATCTTGGAACCTATCTTCGACTCCACTAAACTCGACAACTCGACTATCAGAAACTGCAAAACAGAATAGACTGCCGACGCAAACCGACCCGCCTCTGTTTATCTCCGCAAGAAGCCGACCAGTCACCGTTCATTTTTTGGTGGGTTAGTCTTTGCCTCCCGAGATCTTGGCGGCTCGGCGGTTGGCTTGGCTTGAGGGGGGCCACCTGAAGAGGTCTTATCGCAAGGTATTGACAAAGGGAAATGGGAGATTGAGAAATTGACTCTCAGTCATACTGTACACACTAGCAGGCTGAGACTGTGTGTATGAACAGTATGGAATACTTAATACTTTATCAGGAAGGTGTAGCTTACTCCAGAGGCGCAGTGATATGTTTAGAGAGTCGTGTTTATGCAGGTGCATGTCGTACAAAACACAGCCGCAAAATCTCCAAGTCAGCCTCACAACAAAGTCCCCCCATCCCCCTCGGCTACCTTCTCTTACACCCATGACAAGTATTGAGCCATATGGTTGTTCCCAGTGACATCCTAACTTCCGACCTCCACACGCAAAGTGGATCGTGAAGGGATTTATACCTCCTCGTCCCCGGTCCCCCATAGATGTTACCTAATTGATTCCTTCCCCATACCAAACTCGGGCCGCACGTTCAATCTCCCCCAACCTAGGAAGGCTTGGCTGTTCCCAGTCAGCTTATTCTGGCCTAGATTCTAGTCGTTCCACCGAGGGCTTATCTTTCTGCTCGGGGCATTCTTCCATTCTGATTTCTTGGCTTGCGGAGAGGCGCAGGAGCTCAGACTGGAAACACGCGCCCCCCGGGCCCTTTTTAGACGGCTGGTCACCTGCGCAATCGTTCGTGTTTGTCTGCTAGTTTCTTTTTCTCTTCTTCTTTCTTCTTTTCCTCTTAAGCTTTTTCCTTCCCCCAGTTTTTTTCCGATTTACGAAAGACACCGGGGTAATTCAAACAAACACCTGCCTTTGCCTCGTTTGCGTCCATCCCACATGGCGTCGCACGAGGTCAAGAGCGAGGGCTACTCCTCGGAGGCCCATGTCAAACGCGAGTACAGCGGCGATGAAGTGGCCGTGGCTGAGGAGGGTGGTCTATCGGATCCCAACCATGTTGATCTGCACCGTGCGCTCAAGGCGCGACACATTACTATGATTGGTTCGTGAAATGTTCGAAAATGAAGATTCGGGGGAACTTTTGACTGACGCGATGCAGCAATTGGTGGTGCAATTGGAACTGGTCTGATTATTGGTACTGGAGATGCATTGGCAAAGTAAGTCATGGACTCGTTTCCCCATGATCCAGCACTCGAAACTAACCATGGCTTTTTTTGCTTTACAGGGCTGGCGTGAGTAAATCCGCAACTGGTTGAATTTTTGATCATATCTAACCCTTCATAGCCCGGTTCAGTCCTGATTGCCTACGCTTTCGTGGGTTTCATCGTGTACTTGGTTATGTGTGCTCTTGGAGAGATGGCCGCGTGGCTTCCTCTTCCCTCTGGTTTTACTGGTTACGCTGTGCGATTCTGCGACCCTGCGCTTGGATTCACTCTTGGTTGGACGTGCGTACAAAACTGCCACTCTGAGCCTATCATGATCTATACTAACTCGGAAGTTGCACAGATACTGGTTTAAATATATTATCTTATCACCGAATCAGTTAACCGCAGGTGCACTCGTCATATCATACTGGCTGCCACAAGATAAAGTGAATGCTGGAGTCTGGATCACCGTCTTGTTGATTGCGATTGTATCCATCAACTACTTTGGCGTGCGCTTCTTCGGTGAATTCGAGTTCTGGCTGTCCTCGTTCAAGGTCATCGTCATTCTGGGAATCATCCTGCTCTCCTTCATCCTCATGCTGGGTGGTGGTCCCGACCATGACCGTAAGGGTTTCCGCTACTGGAAGAGCCCCGGTGCTTTCAACCATTATATCCTGGAGGGCGATGCTGGCCGCTTCCTGGCGTTCTGGTCGACCATGGTCTCCGCCACATTCGCCTACCTGGGTACCGAATTGGTCGGTGTCACAGTCGGCGAGGCGCAGAACCCGCGTCGCGCCATCCCCCGCGCGATCAAGTTGACTTTCTGGCGTATCCTGGTCTTCTACGTGCTCTCGGTCCTCTTGGTTGGTACCCTGGTGCCATACAATGACACCAAGCTGCCCTACAACAACTCCAAGTTCGCCAAGTCTGCCAGCTCTGCTGCTGCCTCCCCCTTCGTCGTTGCCATTGAGAACTCTGGAATCCCCTATCTGTCGCACATCCTGAATGCTTGCATTCTACTGTTCGTCTTCTCGGCCGCGAACTCTGATTTGTACATCGCCACCCGTACTATCTACGGTCTCGCTCGCGAGGGCAAGGCCCCCAGGATCTTCGCCCGTACCGACCGTCGCGGTGTCCCAGTCTATGCTCTGGCCATTTGCTCTTCCATCGCTCTGATCGCCTACATGAACGTCTCCAACGACTCTAAGACCGTCTTCAAGTACTTCGTCAACCTGGTCACCATCTTCGGTCTCCTGACCTGGGTTTCCATCCTGGTCACCCACATCTACTTCGTGCGCGCCCGTCGGGCCCAGAACGTCCCCGACTCTGACCTAGCCTACGTCGCCCCCTTCGGTATCATCGGCTCCTACGTCGCGCTCGGCTTCTGCATCCTGATCGTCTTCACCAAGAACTACGACGTCTTCACACACAACAAGAAATGGGGCAACTTCGACTACAAGAACTTTATCACTGCGTACCTGGGTATCCCCTTGTATCTGATTTTGATCTTCGGATACAAGTTCGTCACCAAGTGCAAGGGTGTTAAGCCCGAGGAAGCCGATCTGTGGACTGGCAAGGACCAGATTGATCGTGAGGAGGCTGCTTTCATTGCGGCGCATAATGCTGAGATGGAGAAGAATTCTGGTTCCCACTGGTTCTACCGCAAGTTTGTGTCTTGGCTGTTCTAAGCTCAATTTTACACTTTTTGGATGTGGTTGGCGCGGTTTTGGTCTATGCGCTTTGCGTACATGGTCTGTCTTATGACTTGTAGTTACTTATCCGCTGATTGGATGGCGGTAGACTATGAATTTACGAGATATGAGGTTTAGCAAGTCATTATCTTTTAAGAGTTTACCTTATTTTCCAAAGGGGTGCGTGTTATGTTCGACTGGCCACTGTCGGACTGGTGCCAATCCTGCTTGTATTTGTAAGAGAATGGTAGAGAGGAGTTACAGCTAATCAATCTTAAGAACCTTTACACACTTCGAATTAAATAACAGACTCTTTGTGATATGGCGGGATCCACGCCCCATCCATGGGCATCACATCCGTGACGCTAGACTTTGACTCTTTAAGTAACCAATAATAGCAGGCCATCCCGGAAAAGGTCCTCTGCATCCTATCAATTTCCTCCGATGCGTCTCTCGCAGTAGCTTACCTGACTCTCTGCTGGCTATCAGTAGTGCCACCGAGTGGGGCTTTTCCGAATAGGGAAGGTTAAATGAGTACGTAGAGATAAGGTTGTGCGGGGTAAACGAGTATTCAAGGTCGCGCCCTGCTTTTACTTCTACTATCTACATTTTGAAAGCTAATCAATGTAGATTTACATGTATGATGCTTATGAGAATCTCCAATTTGGATGTGAGTCATTCATATGGACAATTCGGATTGGTTCATCCAAAGAACCCGATGGTCACAGTTTTTGCTATTTAAGGGTCACCCGCCTCCCCCAAGTGATCATCACATACATCACTTCCAAGTGACTGAGATTGCTGTCAGTTTTTCTCTCGCTCGAATTACAGCAAACTACGCCGGCTTATATCAAGCGAGCCTTTTTCAGTTCCATGATGACGATGCCCACAACGATCTCTCTCATACAATGGCCCGGATGGCCCACGATATTCTGCTTTAGTATTCTTTCAAGCCTCCTGTTATTGTTCAATTCATTGCGAAGACGTCAAAAATCGACTGGCAGGTCTGAAGTTGAAAATAAAGATGTTGAGCCCAGTTGTTATCCGCCAGTCGAGGCTCTCCCAGACTTCTGCTGGCAGACTACGGAGCCAGTGAAAATTCGACCGTTCAAGCCAAGATATAATTTGACCATGAGTGAGAGGATCGTCACAGTCCATAGATGATATGTTTCTGACATGTCTCATTACAGGCATCCAAGAAGCCAATATCAGCGAGCTAATTGAGATGGACAAGAACTATCTCGATCGCATCACACTTCGGAAGAAGATTATGGTCGAGCATGCAGAGACCGTCCTCGGCGCTGAAGATTGTGTCAAACCAGCTGTGGATGAATTTTACGTCTGGCTCATCGGGACTTATCTACCAACTCGATACCCTACCATGTTCCAATTGCTGCCAGCAACAAGTGATGAACAGGGATATTTGCACAGTTCAGTCACGGATGAGCAATTCCCCCTTCTCCCGCCAATCAATCCCAAAGATACTCTTTCTTTGATGGGTGGACTAATTGACGATGACCTTCTCTTCCTCCTACCGTCAGATGACGGTGATAGTGTCACACTAAAGGGCTTTGTGACCTGCTTTCCGAATGGCTTTAACACAGCAAAGAAGTTAAATCTGAAGCTCAGAGATATTCATACGCCAGTGCCGCAGTACAAAGAGAAATTAGAGAAGAGCATGGATCGATTTTTTGACAAACTAAAAATTGGCAAATTTGTTAAGCGTGCCAACGTAAGTCTGCCACCAGAACTTATCAACAGGTCAGAGCAGCTCATCGATTCCTGTATAGTGGACTATTCAAAACACCGATCGATTGTTCACGGCAACTGGAAATCATGGTTATGAGGGCGAAGTAGCCACACAGGAAGACCTCGACCTCGATATTGTAAGGTCACGCCCTTCTAGTACTCGTGATCTCTGACAAACCAGTTATTCCAGGCCCGAGTCCGCGTCGAAAGACAGTTTCTCCACCGTCTCCCTCAGACACAAGCCCTTCTATTTTCGTTCAAGACACTGCTATACCCACTCTTGGAGATAAAAGAAGAGGGACTTGGTGAAATGCTTGCAGAGGCTATTGATGGTTTGAAAGGAGGTAACGCACCTGGTTTCCATTTCTATAAGCGGGCTGCGGTTTGGGGGGAATCTGCAAAGGCCTATCTACGAAGTTGAGGGTTGCATTTCGCGTAGTTACCACTCTCTGTGAGCTAGATCTTTTACTATAACAAGACCTTTTCAGAAGCCAGTAGTGAAGTATGTTATTTAATTCGATGATCCGCGAAAAACCTTACCACAGCTTGTATAATAGTTATGAAAAATTATTACAAGCGCTGCATGGCTGTCTTTAGTTAATGTCGTGAGATTTGGTTAACTCCTTTAATTAACGAAAACCTGTACAGGTTTCTTTGTAGATAATAGTTTATTTATCCATCCTAACCATGAAATTATGTTAAATACTGAATTCGCAGTGCCAACATTCTCTAAATTATTACCATTTGTATTTACAGTATCATTAAGTATAATATCTGTATTATTATCAGAATTCTTACCAAAATTAGGTTATAATATCTTTAGTTTCTTTAACCAAAGAGTCTCAAAGAATCTAACATTAGCCCAAAAGCTACGGCTCAAGTAATTGAAATCAAACTCAGCAGGAGGATGTCGGCTGATCACTCACTTTAGCCGGTGGAATTTGATGGGTGTTTCACTTTCCTTCATATTTCCGACTGATAATTCCTGGAGTAGATGGGGAGAAGACACTGGACAAATTGTCCATCTAAGCCCTCGTGCGGTTATCCACTACTGAAATTTACCTAGAAAAAATGTTGTAGATCCTCCTCATAATTTACTAAGCCTTTTATCATAGATGCATATAGTAAGATTGCTACAAGTATGAAACCTTGATATATTTTCAGGGTTGTCTTACTCGTAACGGTTTTAAACGATAGCCCATAGTTAAAAAAAGCCTTAGCGATCAAGAAAGGGGGTCTGATAGACTGTTCAAAAGACTGTTCAAAGATCTATTACAAAAGAGGAAATTGAAGCATATACATTTAAATCCATACAAGTTGTCGTGCGATTAGCCTCAGCCAAAATATAGTCGATTCAACCAGGGCTAATGCCTCTTTGATTGAGGCAGGTATACTAAACTTTTCTAAAATCAGGTCCCTCTTGTCTGATCTCTTACTTCTCCGAACTTCTCCTTCCTAGCCCTCTCGATTCACGCATGTATACCGCGTTTTTCTGACATGGGATCCTCCCATCTCATCTCTCACTTCCCCGAGCTTCTCCTCCCCAATCTTCTCTGATCACGTACGCATATCAGATTTTTCTGAGATCAGTTCTTCCCATCTCACCACCTACTTCTCCCAACCTCCCCTCCTCAAGCCTCTCTGGATTTATAGCTCTCTTTCTAGAACCTTGGAGCCAAAACATAGAGCCTGGGCTCTAGTCACTCGCAATTCGACGACAGCATGGTGCTGCCACTCGAGGGTTCAAGCAATCTTGATGTGGTACTATCTGCTACTACGCCAGGGGTGCTGTAACTATTCATATTATGTAATCAAATTTCATTTTGGATCATATTCTGGTCAGATCCGATGCCTAGACCGCATCAACCTATTCACGTCCTTGTAAGAACCAACTATGTACAACCCTATACATGAATCTCCATCGGAAGAAATTAGGGCCCCCAAACGCCTAGCATAAGTACATGCCGATAAGTCATCATAAATTTCATGTGAAAGGTGATTATCTACTTCATCGACAAGGGTTTTTGTTCAAAATTGAATGGAGGCTTGATGACTGGGACCTCGTCATCTTCCATAATCTTCTCACCCCAGACGAATTTGCCAAATGTCAACACCGCATGGAAAATCTCCTTGCCGGTGGGGACTATGTGCTCTGGGGGAAGTAGGAAGCCATAGCTCCCGCGGTCTCGCAGCTTGATCTGGAACGAGTATGTAGCGTGCAGCTTGTGATAGAACCAGTCAAGGGCACTGCCGCCTGAGCTGATGTTGGCGGCTTCACCGTTTGGCAGGATGCCCTCGCAAGCAGAGGTCACGTCATAGGACTCGTGGGTGGATTGGCGAATGGCCTTGGCCAGGCCAAGGCCCAGCTCCTCAAGGCTTTCCAGCGTCGGCGGGACGGTGGAGCAGCTGTATGAATAGGGATACAGGATCTGCTGTGAGTACGAGTGGAGATCCAAGAAACCCACGATATCGGCACGGCCGCTATCAGTTTCGTTTTGTGCCCACCGGGCCAGCCGGTGGGACTCCAGTGCCTCGAATGGCTCTGACCCTGCGTAATTTTCGGAGCAAGGGTTTGACCGCGTGGACTCACCATCCCACTCAAAGTCCCAAGCTCGGTCGAGATCGACTCCACGGCATATCGGTAGGCCTGTAGGTTGCCGGTTCTTGCGCCACAGACGATCATGTTCCCACGAGTAGGCGTAGCCATCTGGGTTCAGAGTTGGGATCAAAACCCAATCATACTCGTGCAGGAGACGGGTGACCTCTTCCGAATGGCCATACTGGGTGATGAGGCTGTATGCAATGTATGTAACAGTGGAGGTACTGATCCATTCTCGTGCGTGGGATCCGCCCACAACGACAATCGTCTTGCGCGGGCCGGTTGGCTCATACGGAGAGGGCGTTGACCCAACTCGCAGAGCATGGATGTCGCGTCCCTCATAGGAGAGTCCAACACTGGTGACATGGGCATGCGAGGGAAACATGGACGCCATCAGTCGCATCCACTGCACGATAACCGCTAGCGGCTGATAGTCGTGGAAAAAGACGTCGTCGACCGGCGCGGTCGCAGTCCGCCTGCTCCCGGATCTGAAATCGGGTTCCGTATCGGATGAAATGTGAAGGTGACGTGGGTAGGTATTGTAGATCATATCGACAAGGTCGTCCATGAGGGGAGTATGGTTGGAACGGAGGGAAGGAGGTAGTAGGTCGAGGAGAGAGGGAATCTAGTCAAAGGTTAGACCATTGATGCCGCGGACTCGTAATCAGATGATGAGGAGCCAGTGTACATACCATTTCTTCGGCGAGTCGAATATCTACATACTGCGCCGTGATAGCCCAAACATCCAGGACCAGTACCCTCGAGGCCGAGGCCAGTGCCTCGGCGTCGTCGGGATGACGCAGATGAAAGCGGAGAACGACATCGCTGCTGTATCGATCGCGCAGGCTGGATGGGATACCGGACTGCTTGGGACACGTCCGGGGCAACCCCCAGACTGTTTCAATGACCCAGTCGCGCAGGCGAGTCCATGGGCGGCGCGGATCAGAGGGCTGGGAGAGGAGGTTGATCGGTTGGAGTGGCGCGAGTGGACCGGGAGGAGTGATGCTGGAACCCGCGGGGACGGCGGAGATGGGTGGGCAGAGGGCCGAAAAGAGGAGGATGGAGGGAAGGACACGCATCGCGGCGTGATGCAGGCAGAGGGTGATGCCAGTCGCGGTGGGGTGGTGCGAAAAAAAGATTGATGAGAAACGAACGGAAGTTGAGGCTGAGGAACTGGCGAAGGGGACGAATGGAATGACCGAAGTGGGGAGTGTCAGACTGTCAGCAAATGTAACAGTCCAAGAGGAGGAGAGTGAATGCGGAGAAGGCGATAAGGAGATGATAAGCCAGAAGTTCAAGAAGATACAGTCATATCGGCTGTATAAAATAGATCATAGTATGATGTACAGGGCATGTAGACTGTTGAGTCCTGACAAAAGTTCTGGAATTGAGAGTTACAAGAAGAGGAAAGCTGAAGCAGCTAGGCAGTCGAAATAACGGGCGGGGCTCTAACCAGGAGGTGGCTAAAGGTACGAGGACGAGGATCAATTAGGGTTTAGACACCATACGTCAGTGGCCAAAGTAGCAGGTATTGAATTAAAGAGAGAACCATAGGTCTGTATCAGTATTTATGGGGTAGTTATGTATCAGATGAACTTTAAAAAAGAGGCAAGTCAAGTGTGTTCGTTGAAAGATACCGAGAGTCATGTAGAGATAGATAGATATATGTAACTATGTACTCCGGAGAAGACCAGTGTCACAGAATGGTACCTGTTAAACTAGGGGATCTATAATGTAATCTATGACACTACGAAAAGGTATCTGAAAGAAGGGATTTCTTAGTAGTGTAATAGGTAAGATCCAATTCTCCTAGTAGGTTTCTATTCCTAAATCTATGTATGTCTCTCGCGCGAACATGTTCATCTTGGGAGTGTTGTACTGTAGAATCAAGACGAATCAAGATTACTTAAAGAGCCGACGAACCAGTTCATTGTAATTTAAGTTCAACTAGAAGTATCGAATGCATGGAATTCTGTTCTAGGTTAATCTGTATTATTATGAACATGAAATCAACACAAGATAGAAACGATTGACCCCCTCCATTTATCAATCATCTATTATTATCGCAGTCTAGACCGCAGAATATCGTCCCCACTCCTCTGGCCACGCCGCAGTCTAGAATGTTTAGAATTTCTTTTCTCCATCGCATGTCTCGAAGTGCAACCAACTGGAGTCGTTGCGAGTATTTGACGAGAGTTATTCCCTCAAATTATACTAACTATTTCTTGGATAATAATAGTACAGGGTATGACACTAGTAGTGTCGCAGAAGTGGACCAGATTAGGGTATATCAATAGCACCACCTATGATCATCTCAATATATCATTATCTCGACAGTATATGACCCCAATTCATGAATATATCATTCCTCTACTCCGTACAAATAACCGAATCCATCTAGTTAAACCAGTGAAACCTGTTCTTCAGTACGACTAATAAGTATTATTGTCGCCGCGCTCAGGGCATCTTGAAACTCGTCTGCCTTAAAACTACCCCTCCTCTCGCTCTCCTCTTCTCCAACATCTCGAATATCCCTCGGTATTATACCAACTCCAAGACCAACAGAATAATATCCACTCCAATCCGATCTGATCCAGTACGATCGTGTGGCGTGTGCATGCTTACATAGTTTCCATATTATTCTTTGCGGAGTTTCCAGCACCGCCCCTCCCTTTTTCCTTTTCCCGCGTTCCCCTTTTTTCTCTCGCTCGAGCTGACGACGGGTTCACTCCACCTCCGATTCCCACCGCGTTCTGGAACACTCCAAGTCGCTATGCAGGCCCATTGAGTTCATCATCTTTTGAACCTCCATCCCCTTCTTTCCAACCCCCTATCATTCCTTCTACCAGCTTGGCTTCTCAACGGCCACGCATGGGTCGGAACAATTTAGTTCTTCGCAGCCATGCATTGGAAAGGCCTGCGACTCGTCGCCGATGGGAGCTCCAAGCGCCAAAGTACCATTGAATCCCAGCCCCAGGGTCGTCGCAGCGAACACCTCCCACGTCCCTTGGCCCCCATCAACGAACCTAGATACTCCGAATCGACCCCTCGTTTCTCGGACTTGGCGGATTCAGAGGGGATTCATGCGGACGATGGGACGGTGCCACGGCTGCGAGTCCCCAGGGAGAGGGGGCCAGAGGCTGGGGTCGCGCGGGCGGATTTCGCTGCAGGCCCCTCGACAGGCGATACCCCTAGCTTGCGGAGGAATCGATTCAGCTTCATGAGACTGCGTCACGCCTCGGATCCCCAGCTTTCCAAGTCTTACGCAAAGGGAGAGGAAACTCCCCCAGTACCGTCGCTCCCGCGTAAGTGCACCACCCATATGTTGAGGACTCCCGGATAATTTTCTATATGCTTGGCGGACTGGCTGGTCGCGACCGGGTTCGCAATCGTGAAATGATCCCTGGGACAGATGGAATTGAATAACTGATGGCTGACCTGCTATGAAGCTCCCAAGATCATCACCACCGCGCCGACCAGCCACGAACTCGACCAGCCGGTAAAACAGCGACATAAGCTTAGACTTCTCCCTTCCTCTCGCAAACACTCCATGGAGGAACTATCCCGAAACTCAGGAGACTATCATCGGAGATTGGAACGAAAGCACCAGGGATCAACCGACTCCCATATCGCTGACTCGGGTCTCTCAACATTTCAAACGTCAACCCCGGAGGAGCCGGGGAGACTCTCAACGACATCAATACGAAGCGGAGGTCGAGATCAAGCGTTCAACGAGTCCCAGCGATCCTCAGTATCAGTCACAGATGCGCGGTTCTCAGAGTCATCTCGATCAGATCAGAGCTATGGAGACCAAAATTTCCGGACAAACTCTCCTCGCGATGTCCAAGGCTCAGCCAACAAGCGATTTCGCATGCCCCGATTGAAGCGACACCGCAGCCCCTTGTTCCCACTACCCCCGAAGCTCCCGCCATCAACAAACAAGTTCCCGCCGGTCGAGACTCCCAGATCAGAGGGCTCGGATCATGATCAGATCTCACCACTACCATCTCCATCACGGTCCGCCGTCGGCCTGGTCGGTCCCAATGCACCACCACTACTCCGGAACAACTCGACGAATTCGAATCGGTCTATCCGATCGAATCCCTCCCATAAGGGCCGGGGAGATCCTCCACGATGGGATCTCTCGCTGAGAACCACGTGGACGATATCTCGCCGGCTCCCTATCTGGCATCATCTGGACGAACTTCTACTTCCACCAGTGGACGGAAGAGCTTCGGCGACATCTTCAGCATCTCGCAGCGATTGAGACAGAATTCGGAGCCGCCAAACCCTCGCAATGGTTCCCCGGGAATAGGTGGCGCAGCGACCCCAATCAAGGCGGACCTTCCACCAATCCCTGACCGCGAAGAAGGAGAAACACCAGCTGCGTACCTGACGAAGCTGGAGGAGAATCTACCTCGCGGCATGGTTGGAGGTGTTCTGGCTCAGTCTGATGACGAATTCTACAAGGTTGGCCTGCGGAAGTACATGCGATCCTTCTCGTACTTTGGTGATCCGATTGACATGGCTATTCGCAAGCTTTTGATGGAAGTGGAGTTGCCCAAGGAGACCCAGCAAATCGATCGATTCCTGCAAGCATTCGCCGACCGATATCACGAATGCAATCCCGGGATTTTTGCTTCGACGGACCAAGCTTACTTCATCGCATTCTCCATTCTCATTCTTCACACCGACGTGTTCAACAAGAACAACAAGCGCAAGATGCAAAAGCCTGATTATGTTAAGAATTGTCGAGGAGAGGGCATCGCGGAAGACATTCTCGAATGCTTCTACGAAAACATCTCATATACGCCCTTTATTCATGTTGAGGATGCAAACCTCCGTGATCGCCACCTTGCGAAACCCCGGCGGGCCTTGTTCAAAAGCACCAGCTCGGATCATCTACAACTAATGGCAAGAGAACCTGTAGATCCCTACACCCTTATCTTGGACAACAAGCTCGGGACTCTCAAGCCTAGTCTGAAGGAGGTGATGGATCTTGACGACACTTATGATCATGTTGGAACTAACGGTCCACCTGATATCGATGATCTCCACCAGGCTTTTACCAAGTCAGGTATCTTGCAAATAATTTCCGCGCGCTCGCGACCCGATGCATTCATGCAGTCAAGCCTCGATAATCCAGCCGACTCACACCCAGGTCTCGTTGATATCAAGGTAGCCAAGGTGGGCTTGCTTTGGCGGAAGGATCCCAAAAAGAAGCGGGCACGATCACCCTGGGCAGAATGGGGCGCGATTCTGACCTTTTCCCAACTCTACTTCTTCCGAAACGTGACATGGGTGCGGACATTGATGGCACAACACGACGCATACGTGAAGAATGGGCGCAAAGGCACGCTTGTATTCCGCCCTCCTTTGGCTGAATTCAAACCAGACGGCATGATGTCTACAAATGATGCCGTAGCCCTACTGGACAACAGCTACAAGAAGCACAAGCACGCCTTCTCGTTCGTTCGGCACAATGCTTTGGAAGAAGTCTTCTTGGCCACCTCGGAGCCGGAGATGAATGACTGGATTAACAAACTTAATTATGCTGCCGCCTTCCGGACCACCGGGGTTCGCACAAAGGGCATGATTACGACAAATTACGAGGGCCAGCGGTACCGCAAGAGCCAGCGTATGGGGTCCATCTCGTCGCTAGGGTCTCACCAGTCCGGGGACAAGGAACCCGAGTCGCCTAGTATTGACAATGACATTGTGGCCGAGTTTGTCGCGGCTCGACGGCGGCTCATGAGCCAAAAGATCAGAGACACGAACGAGAAGCTTTTTGTCACTCAAAGGCAGCTGGACGATCTTCTACGAAACGCCCGGCACTTGCAAGTCTTGACCCCGGTCACTCCCCGCGCTCGCGAGAACGTCATCATGGCGGCAGCCCGTATGGCTGCAAAGCTCAAGTGGATCCGCCAGGATATCTGGCGCAACAAGTGCTACCGTGAGGTTCTTCTTCGGGATCTTGGAGAGGCAGAAACTGCGACGGAAGAGCGGACAGGGTCTGTAGCCGGACAAACAGTGTCAACTCAGGCTGATACTGCGCGGGTGGCTTCTGTTTCTGGGCCGTCGATCGCCTCCGAGCCCAGCGTACGTGGGACACCCAGCATCGTTCATGTAGTGACGAACCAGGATGCACCCACTGAATCTGCTGTGGTCCCCGCCGAGAAACCTTGGATTGATACTGGTCTTTTGAGTGAGCCGTCGACAGAGGATATGCGCCGACCCAGTATACCAACCTCGACCACCTCATCCGACCTTGGTAGAGTGGGGCGGCCTCTTTCCATTGCCATTGTGTCCGAGGGCCGGTCCGACAGTGCTTCACACCTCGAACGGGAAGCCTCGGTGCTCAGCCGTGGTAGTAAGTTTGATGGTGCTAGTCTTGGATCCCGGGCATCCAAAATCACTTCACCCGTTAGTTTTGACGATAGTGAGGAGCGTCTTTTGAGAGAGACTGGTCTGCTTGATCTTGGTGGCTCGCCCCCACCCCGTAAACCTTCCAGTGCCGTGCTAGAAGACGAAACGGAGAGCAAGCCTGACGAGTCGTCTGAAGTCTCGCAGAGTGACAACAGGCCCAGCCGTGTCCGCCGCAGTCTCCACCGCACTCTTCGCGAGCCTCATCACGTTCACCGACATCACTCGCGCCATAAGAAGAATCGGGATTCTGTATCGAGCCTGGCCGGTCCCGAGGACGATGGAAGTGAGAGCAGTGGACTTCCCCGCAAGACACCCAGTTTCACTGTCCATGGCAAGAAAGCCTCCATTGTCACCTTTGGCTCAGAATGGCAGAATATGCCCCCGGAGGAACGTCTCAAGCTGCGCAAGCCAACTCCTCACGAAGAGCCACGCGCTTCGGATCCCGTTCTTGTTGGTAGCGGCGAGTCGGTGACTTCGGACAATATGCCCGCTGATCGTCGTCACTCGTACATGAGCGTCAGCACAACCACAGGGCTCAGTCTCCGCAGCGATGATGAAACCATTGATTTCTTCAAGGATGCTCAGGAGACGTTGCCCGCAGACTCGCCTAAGCGTCCAATCTCGCAGGTCCTCGACCATGAGCCCGAACAAACATCCCCACCTGAACCAACTGAACCAGAGCCGGAGAATGAGCCCCCTTCAACATCTGGCACTGGTAGTGGGTCTATCACCTATGGAAGTCACCTCATCGCACCTGGAGAAACCACCTCACCTTCCTCTACCTCCCTCAGCGAACGAATCGTCGATACCCCGTCCTCTGAGAATCTTCGCCAACAGGCTGTCGGTGCTTGAGTTCAAGCATAACCTTCTCACAACCCTTCCCTTATCAACCTCCATCCCCTAAATCTTCCTTAACTCTCCACCGCCTCTGCATCATTGTATAGCTCGACTCAATTTCCTTTACCTGGATCTACACTTGTTGTTTACATTACGACTATTATACCCCGATTCAATTTCAAATCTTATCTCGCACAAGTGGCCTGTTCTGTCTCTCTGCCATTCTATTTTCTTTTCCATTCTGCACCACGCTTGCATGATAACAGCGTTGAAAGTTGAACCCGCTTGTCCATGTTCATTTCTTTTTCTTCTGCGCTGGGGGTCTATCTGGTTTCGGTTTGGGCTCTGGGTTTCGGATTGGATGCATATTGGTGTGATGTTTTTGTGTTATATTCTTTTTTTCCAACACTCTTTTCTTGAAGCATCCATCGTGCGGGACTTGGGGTTTGGTCTGGTCTGGTCTGTGTCTGGTCTACTTGCAATGAAATGGATGTAAGGTGACACTCGTTTCCCTCGGCTTCCTTGTTGTTGATTACTGGGATACCGGGGTCTGGGACATGTTAGACAAAAGCATTTATCATTAACTTTCAAGTTTGTAACCAATTCCCTTCACCCTGTAGATTCAATCCAGGGAGGGCCATCGAGCTATCCAAAGTACAAAGGCGGTGTCTGTAGCGGTGACCCACAAAAGATTACTGCGGTCCAAAAAAGGGCCCGCAATTACTTCATACTCTTCCAATCTTCCCCAAGCTCAATCTTAACTCCCCAATCCCAATTCCCGCCTCATCCCCGGACCACAACCACCACAACACCCACAATGGCACACTCAAAACGAAACACCTCCCTCCCGCACTTCACATCCTACGAACGCAACCTCCTCCGCTCAACCTGGGGCACAAAACGCAGCGTAATCGGCCGCGACTCCTTCCTCCCCTTCGCCTCATGCCGGCTCTGCCTCCAACCTGCGCGCGCGCCCGTAGTCGCCTGCGCCAGCAACGGCGACCTTTTCTGTCGCGAGTGCGCGATAAACGACCTCCTCGCGCAACGGCAGGAAATCAAGCGTCTTGAGAAAGATCGTGAGGAGGCGAGGAAGAGGATTGCTGAGGATGAGGAGAGGATGTTGGAGGAGGTTAGGAGGAAGGATTTGAGGGATTTTGAACTTGTTAGTATGGGGCTTGAGGCGGCGAGGAGTGGGGCGAGTAATGGGAGGAAGAGGAAAGCAGTGGGTGAGGAGGGGGGAAGAGGAGAGGGCGTTGGCGGCGTTTAAGGCGAGAGAGGTCGAGGTTAATGGAGTTAGGAAGAAGGTTTTTGAGTTGGATGAGAGGGAGATGGCGAGGGTTGCGGCGGAGGAGAGGGAGAGGTTGAAGAGTGAGATTAAGAAGGAGAAGGTATGTATCTGCATCTATCATTAGGTATCTTTTGAAGCTTGGATTTGTTCAAGGTACTGATACGTGCATCGCAGAACTCGAGTAAATCGGCACTCCCATCATTCTGGGTCCCATCTCTTACACCGTCGACGGACCACGATGAAATCACGGCGAACAAAGCTGTCAAATTAACGCCCATGTGTCCCGGCTCAAACGAGACACATAAGCATAGCTATTCGCTCAAGTCGCTGGTCGATGTACACTTTACGGAAGAAAAGGCTGAGGACGGGACAGTGTCGCGCGTGTGTCCCAGTTGCAAGAAGAATCTTAGCAATGGGTTGAAAGCTATGCGTATGTGCGAGATGTTTACTGGCGGCGTTGATGCCCTCCGCATTCATGTCCATACTCCGGGCTTCGATGGTCATTTTCACTAACTAACGATCTACTCTAGTGACGAAACCTTGCGGACATGTTATTTGCTCGCCCTGTGTCACGAAGTTTATGACTCCACATGATGTTCCAGATCCGCATGCTTCTAAGGAGGAGCAGGCGAAGACGGCCGCGCTGCATGGATTGGTCTTGTGTTATGTTTGTGAGACGGATATCACTCCCAATGGGGATGTGACGGGGTTGAAGAAGAAGTCTAAGAAGAAGGAGAAGGACGCTATTCGGCCTGGGCTGGTGGCAATCAGCTCGGAGGGTACAGGATTTGCTGGTGGTGGAGGCAATGTGGCTACCAAGACGGGCGTGGCGTTTCAATGCTGAGGTTTTATTACAAGCGACTTGGGAACAGAATAGAAGACTTGATAAGACAGACAACAGCCTTCGATTGCAAGGTTCAATGTACAATATACTGAATGATATCTATCCCCTAACACGGAGACAATAAACGCCCAATCCATGCAAGAATAATGTCCTAAATATACAGGGCCACCCGGGCCTAAAACGACATCCTGCTTGATACCTCACATCTCACCACCTCGTCTCACCATCTAATTGCGCTTCCGGGCATTGTTGAACTCGCGCACCGTAATCTCACACTTGATCTCCTGGCACAATCTGCGACGACGGCTAGGATCCAACTTGGCCGCAAACTCCAAACCAGACGCGCGCTCAACAGCCTCAAGGGGAACCTCAAAGTCCGACAGACTCTTCTCATTCGGGATGCGCGCATTGGGCAAGACAAACGCACCCAGCGCAACCTTGCTAGTAGGCGACTCAGTCCCATCCTCAGCATAAATCACCTTATAAAAGTGCGTGGGCACCGCCACATTAGGCGGGTTCCCAATAACCTCATAGTTAACACGCCACTTCCCATCCGGATCACGATGGGGCAAATACAAGGGCCCCGTCACAACACGCACAGAGGGATACCGCGACGCCAGCTTGCGGCAAAAGTCCTCGAAATGCGCCCAATAGTCACGGTTGAAACCCTCGCCAACCTGCGGACACATATTGCTCAGGTAAAAGGTATCGTCCATAGCGCCCTGCGACCACTTCGCGTCTGCGGCGGGCACCTGGTGGCCGCGGTCATAGCCGGAGCGGAAGTAATCGGCCAGTTTGGCGCGGAACAGGGCCGGGATGGAGGTATCCTCGGCGAAGGTGCTGTGCTTGCGGTCTGCGTTGTTCAGGGCCAATGATTGCGGGGTGATGTGCTCGGCGACCCAGGCTGGGTTGCGGGTGCGGCGGTCATAGGCGCCGTGCAGAGGGAGCGTGGAGAGTTCGTCGGCGATGGGGCCGGGAAAGCCGTATTGCAGGATGCCGGCTGGGTTGACGGGGCCGCCGCCGGTGCTGGTCTTTGCGGCGAGAGGAGGGGTTGGGATAGAGGTGGGGACTTTGACAGAGCCGGCGATTGAAGGGGGAGGGGGGACTTGTTGCTGGGGTTGGTGCTGCTGTTGTTGGTTCTGGGATTTGGAGGAGTACAGCAACGCAGTCACTCCGGCGCCGGTGGCTGCACTGGCGGCCGCGATGACGGCCAAGGTTGCTTTTGACATGGTGTATATAGAGGCCCCGGTGAGAGTTGAGTGATGTTTGAAGTGAGGAGAGGGGAGGGTTGGGGGATACACGATTGTTGTACTTTTTCTTCTTTGGCGCGCGCGAATCACGAGAAGAAAAAAAGCAGCCAGTCACAAGTCGCAAGTCGCAGATGGACCAATGACAGCCGAGATTCGCTCAGTCAGCCTGGCTTAAAACCGGCGGAAGTCGGCGGTGACTAAGGCGGTGAATTTATGAAGTGTCAACTGGCATAGTCACGAGCCAATCATCAAGTCACATGGTCTGTCCATCAGATATCAAGTGGATTATTATAAACTGGTTGATCATTGGTCACTGGTCATCGGGTATAACAAGATAACAAGGTCAATTCTGCACTTCTGACTGGCCAGTTGGGGCGGTTCACCGAGAGCTGCAGTTCAGAGCGTCTGTCGGCAAGACATCCTTGAAGACATCTTACAACTCGAGTAATGTCATAATTGATCCAACTTAAAATGTCTTATTTAGTATACTGTTCAAGCTCTTCTAGTTAGTGAAACACTTGTATAAACACTTGTATCTTAGCCAAATTTAATTCTTTGGCTGTTAGTTACCAACCATTTTGGTCAATCCCCGAGTCAGGCTGCTGCCCGCATTTTAGGGCATGCGGAGAGCGGAGTAAGTCCAGCAATTGAGGACCTTGGGTGCTAGACAAGAATGCCCAGCCTGCAGGTCTAGTAGAAGAAGACAGGTAGAATCTCCTCCCCCAGCATGGCTGATTCTCTTCATATTCTTCTTCCAACCTTTGGGGGCAATAGAAAGCATAAGTGGGAGGTCGAAAAACAAGAGGCGACTTTGCGACTGGACCCTGACCGCCAACTGCCGAGTCTTTTTGAATGTCACTGACATCACTGGGTCCCGAGTTCTCTGCCATATCCCACTCGCCATGGCTGCCAACGACTTACGAGGCTGGGTGATGAGCGCCGTCTCGGGCGTGGGTGAGTACTAGAAAGCTATTCGAATGCTCTATCGTGAATTTTTTACTAATTCTCTCCTGTTATTTAGCCTGCGTCCTCGGGTCGGCCGTCATTTGCGCAGACATTGTCTTGCGCCGCGTCACCCATGACAAGAAGTTTCAGATTGCCAACAGCAATAACTTCCTGTCAGCGTCGCTGTGTTTGAGTGCTGGTGTAATGGTCAGTTCTTGTCTTGAGATCCTTACTACTCAATTTACCACCACTCTAACCCTAATACAGCTCTTTACGTCCTTGTACAGCATGCTGCCAAACTCGAAAGACTACCTGATCCGTGCCGGTTTCTCTCCTTCCGTCTCCGCATATATCCTGACGGCTCTATTTATCGCCGGTGTGGTGATAATTCGTGTCGCATCTGGCTTTCTCCACCGCTTCATCCCATCGCATGTAGTCGACTGCGCACATACTCATGACGGCCCGGAAGAAGATCCCGAGCGCGGCGAACAAATGCAAGACTGCGATGGCCGACCCGATACTAGACATACCAATGGTAGTACAGAGCGTACGCCTCTCTTACGGCCGACCGGTATACAATCGTCCAAGTCTACTCCGCAAGTCCTACAGCGGACGGACCTCTCCTCGAGTCCTCGGCGGCGAGAATCTCTGCGAGCAACCATTTCTCGGCGCATCAGCTCTCTCATGGGCGGTGTCAAACCTCTTTGCGATGAGAATGGCCCCTGTTACGGCTTTTCACAGACCTGCGGACGTGAATGCACCAAAGTCCTTGGCCCAAGTATTTCTCCGCCACCGACCATGAGCGCAGATGAAGTCATTCGACCGGAGCTACCGCCACAGCCCCAAAGCATTGAGGTGCAGCTGGGGCCGGATGCCTTGGATGAGCAGGAACCAAGTATAGACTCCGTAGAGACAGCCGCAGGCACAGGGTATTTCGGAACGATCTTGTCGGAAGAAGTCAATAACTCGACTTCGGCATCTTCCTCTTCATCACGTACTCAAAAAGTGCGTTCTGAGCATACAAATCACTCCGCTATGATAAACCACGACCATCACCATCACGACCACCATCACAATGCAGACCACTCGTCTCGAGGTCCCGCCTCATCAAAACCAGGAGATCCCACTCACCACCACCATGTACCCCAAAACGCCTTCCTCTCCATCGGCCTACAAACATCCCTCGCAATCGCCTTGCACAAACTCCCAGAAGGCTTCATCACCTACGCCACCAACCACGCCAGCCCCACCCTCGGTCTAACCGTCTTCCTAGCCCTCTTCATCCACAACATCGTCGAGGGTTTCGCCATGGCACTACCACTCTACCTCGCCCTCAACTCCCGCTGGAAAGCCATGTTCTGGTCTAGCCTCCTAGGCGGAATCAGTCAACCCGCCGGCGCTGGCATCGCGGCCCTCTGGATCTGGGGCTCCGGACACACGGGCAACGATTCAACGGGTCCGTCGTGGGGTGTCTATGGAGGGATGTTTGCTATGACTGCCGGCGTAATGACATCCGTTGCGTTGCAGCTTTTCAGTGAGGGACTGGGTCTGACCCATCACCGTAGTATGGGTATTGGGTTCGCTGTTGCTGGTATGGGATTGATGGGGTTCAGTTTTGCCTTGACGGCTTGAACTTTTTGGCTTGAGCTAGGCTTGCTTGAGTTGAGGTCGATACGTTCTATGAGTTCTGATGTTCATTTTTCCATGAGTGCTTGCTGGCGTGAGCTGCATATATGAGAAAAGACAAGATGGGGTATGGCGTTTTATTGTTTACTGTTTATGGGGCTTGTTCTTTCATGTTTACCAGGCTGAAGTGCATAGTGCATTCGTTTTTTATTGTTATAAAGCTTGATGTCGTCCTTGGAATTGTTGATTTTCCAGGGTGTACAATGTCTGGGCCTGGTGTTGCCTTACATAACTTATATTGATACTTCATGAACGATTCAGACGATATTGTTACAATGATAACACTCTTTCCAGTCATGATCCTCTTCCTGGCTGAGCAGTCAATCCATCGAACCGATTGAATTGCCTTGGAGACTTGTATTTGACTTCCCTTTACCACCGGCGAGCCCCTTGTCCGATATAGAGAAGGGGTTCCCGTGATTTTACGCATTCTAGCAAGAAGATATTATGAACAACAGTGACATTGACTGAACTCAAGACTATAGATACACTATACAATTTGATTACACAGGGAGTGCATATTACCCGTTTGACAATTCCAAACGCCAACAAATCCAACCGGTGGTTACATGAGACAATTTCGACCACCTATCCAAATCCTATACCAGACTCTCACTCACAGTGCCTGCACGGAGATCCTCCTGGGCGCACCACTACCATTAGTCAAACCAGCACCACTCGACTCACGCAAATGATTATGATGAGCCTGCCCCTGCTCATCCAAATCCTCAACATCAATACTAAACCGTCTAGGTCTCGACCAAACACCAAACTTCTCACCACCATTCGCATCACCAACGCCCTGGATCTGTTCCGACTGTAACCCGAATCGATCTGCCACTTGTGACATGAGACCAGCATGGGCGGAAGCCTTGGTGGAGGCTCCCAAACGAGACTGTGCCCGACGGAGAAGCTCCATATGCTGGGATGCAGTATCCGCCGCACGGGGATGTTTCTTCGCCTCGGAGTCACCCATCAGATCATGCAGGGCACCTTCGTGCAGCGCAGCGGCGGACTTGTGATCATTAGATGCGGTGAAGAGTCCGGATAAAAGCTTGGTCATTTCAAGGGTGACTGGGTCACAAGATCCCCATACTTGGCGGAGGTTATAGCAGATATCGCGACAGAGCTGGATGGCTGAATCGACGGAACCACGGCAGAAGCGCGTTTCGACGAGTCGGCGACCGATCCAGACGACCACGTCGGGGGTCCAGGTTCGTTGGACGATACGTGATGTCCACAGTTGAGTCAGGATACCTTCCAGATCGTCGAACATCTCGTGTTCGCCGAGGAGGGTGATTATATCGTTCAAGTCGTGGAAGGGCAGATCGACAATTTCGATGCCGATGGCCTTGGAGGAGGCCATGAGTTCTTGGAGGAGCATCTTGACTTTGGCGGACATTTCGGTTTGGATCGCTTTGTCTTCGCATTTGGTTGCTTGGTGGCCACTGAGATAGAGGCATAACTTTGTAGCGTTTATGATGCTGTCGTAGTTGTTGAGACCATCTGTGAGATGGAGGAACGAGTGCAGCACGCCTGTTACGTCACTTGCATCCTGGAAACGGGATGAATTGCACAAGTCGCGGACGAGTTTGGTAGTCGTGCTGAGAATATTCATGTTATACTTCTCAGTGTGGACTTCCCGTAGACAGATCTTAAAGAACTGCTTGACGACATCCCGCTCTGCGATTGATGTAGCAGATAGCGTGGTGCAGAAGTACTCGTACAGCTTGTTGCGTGTAGTCATTGCGGCCCGAGTCCGATTCTGGTCCGTCTGCAGACGAACGAGACGATCACCAGAGATCAAGGTCGGAATGAAGTCATGGCCGGACAGGTTCTTCGCAAAGGCCTGCTGGGTTTGCATTTCGCGGGCCATCTCGTTCATAATTTGCTCGGAGGTGGCGCGACGGCCGAAGGCTTCTTCAAAGGCGGCCGTGAATACTGTGTCTCGGCGGTCGCTGAGAACCATTACAGATGTTTCAGAACCGTAGACCACGCGTTGACGTAGCTCATCGAGAACATTGTTTCCTCCTTCGATAAAGCCGCACTCGAGATAGATCGCAGCGACCTTCCGTGCCCAGTTGGCCATCATGTCCGAGTCGCCACCGGCATGCAGGCAATCGGTGACATAGTTGTGAAGAAGGGCATTACCCTGCTGGACAGAAGTAGGTGTACCCTGCCGGGAATGGGCGAGGGCAAGCTCACGAAGCCAGGACAGCGTGGTGGTCGAGAAATAACCCTGGGTCTTCTTGCCAAGTTGGAACTCCTCAGTGTACAGCGAGCGGGCTTCACTGGTAGAATCACGCTTTCGAACGAACAGCTGAGCCAGCTTGTGCTTCAGAGTAATCGGCAGCGCCTGGGTCATCTGGTCCAGGCCCTTGGACGACTGGGAAGTTGGCACCCACTCGCTTATCTGCAGAGGCTGCTTGTATAGCGTGATAGCCTGGTCGATGTACGATTCATGTGTCTCACACAGCTCGGCGAAGAGAAGAGTTGCGCTTAGGGTCTTCTGGTGCGTGGGACCATAGACATTGCGGCAGGTCGTCACGTAGTCAGAAGAAACCTTGTATCTCTCGGTGAAGTCGGAGCTCTTCATATGACTCGTCAGAATGGTCATGTAACCGATGTATGTCTTCTCGAGCAGACGCTCAGTCTGAATTTGATCATAGGCATGCATTTTGTCATGTACGACGACTGTGGGCCACAGATGACGGTAGATGTCTAAGGCCGAGCTCCACTGCATCTCCTTCTCGTAGAGACCGATAAGGGCAAGGGCAGCTTCCATGCCCTCGGGAGCAATCTTGTTGTCACGGAGAGTGTTCTTGTAGATGCGCTCGTAGGTGCTCTTGGCCTCATTGTTCATCTCCAGTCGATCGGCCAGTGCAGCTTCAAGGTACATATTCTCAATGGTGTGCTTGTGCGTTTCGCCCAGTCGAGAGGTCAAAAAATTGCTGACTGTGTGGAGAAGCGTAAGTGCCTTGGTGAACTGGAAGGTCGTTTCATAGAATTCCACAACGGCCTTGGCGACAGCCAGAACAGAAGCGACGGGTACCTTGTCCGAGACAACCAGAGAGCCAAAGGCATTCTCGTACACAGTGGTAGCCTGTTCAAGATGCAGTCTTCGGAAGTGACAATAGGCGAGAATCAGAGCCAGATCAGCAACAGGAGGTGCCAGTTCAGTGGTGAATTTCTTGTGAGAGCCAGGCTGCTCAATGGAAGGATAGACATGCTGCAGAACAGCCTTGGAGCAATCGCTTGCCTCATTCCAGTCCTCCTCACGCACATAGATACTTGACAGATTGTGACAGAGAATCAAAGTGGGCACGGAAATGTTGGTGGGCGACGAGGTGATGGAGTCCAAAAGCTCGACCATCAGCTTACGATCGCTTCCAGACATCATGGTGGAGTCCTCAATGGAGACCGAATTGGCCATGCCTTCAGCCAGCGACATTGCCAAATTTCTGGCCTCGGGTGTATACTCCTGGTGATTCTGCTTGTAATAGCGCCACATGAGGATGGACAAAGACTGGTCCAGACTGTACATTTGCATCTCGCGAGTCTCGGCACGCAGGAGCTGTACGCGCTGCATCATCTCCGGGGATTGGATGCCGGAAACTTCCAAGTCGGCGACAAGCTCACGCATGATAATTTCAGCCTCGTCATTGCGGCCTTGGCGACGGAGGAATTGGTAATAGATGAGGGCCACGTTGGCCTTCTTGTCCATCATGTCCACAGAATCGATATCGCGGGCATTGAGACCAGCCCAGAGACTCGACAGAACGGGTGAGGCTTGGGCGTGCTGGCCTTGTTGCTCGTAAAGCTGGGCCATGTACAAGGAGTACTTGATGCGACGCTCGTCCGTGACTTCCATGGTTCGGATGACATTGTCATATTTGGTTCTCGCAATGTCGCGACTCATCTCGTCACTGTCAGTGGCTGAGAACTGACTCGTGAGGAAGTCAGCAGCCTCGGAGGATTGTCTCGAGTTGGTACCGTATTTCTGAAGAATTTGCTGGTAGAACTGCTTCGATATAAGAAGGGCAGAGCTGTTGTCACCACGAGACTTGTACATGCCAACGATCATACCGAGGTATTTCAGGCGCTGGTTGAACTCAACTCCAGTGACTTCGGAGTCGGTCAGGATGAGATATTTCATGATGTCCTCCTGCTGGGAGGTCATCGTGCCGCGCTCGCTGAACGACTGGGTCATCATCTCGGCGCAGTTCAGAGTGATGGGATCTGACTGGCCCAGAAGCTCTTGGCTAAGTCTCCATGCCTCGTAGCAATGCTCATCGGCGTGGCTAGCATGAGCAAGCTTGGACACGCGGGCGCTGAGAAGCAAGCTTTCCAGGAGTCCCATGGATTTCTCGCCCAGGGCCAGGCGACGGATGTCTGTCGCGAGGCGGTACAACTCCACAACACTTGACCGAGTAAACTGCGACTCTTTGCATGTCAGCTCAATACGAGCGAAGAGGACGGTCGCGGGCAGCAGCTTCTGGAAGCTTGTTGTGAACTGGAACTCGCCCTCATCGGACACCAAAGGCGATGACAAGAGGTGAGAGAGCCAGTAGCGAGCAGTGTACTCCAGAATGACATATTTGTCGAAGAGGCGGTTGCGCTCTTCCATGCTCAACTTGTCCATCGAGAGCTCAGTCTCTTCCCGGACGCTGAGCTGCACCCATCCAAGACATCTCATGAGAAGATCCAAATGGGCTTCCTTGAGATTGAGCGGCGACTTGACACTGGCAGCTCTAGCTTGGCCGATGACATGATCACGGATGGATGTGTGTGCAAAGGAAACAACTCCATCACGCGTCATAACCAGAGGACGAAGTGCGTTGGACCATTGTTTTTCAGTGTTGCTCATACGCGACATGAAGCTCGGTCCCTTGGACTCAACACGTAGGAGTTCCTCAATCTCTTCGACGAGAAGAGGTCTCTCCGATGCAGCTAGCCATGACATGATGGACACTGCCTCGTGTTGACTAAGATCAAGGTTTTTCATGTGGAAGTCAAGTAGCTCAGTCATAGGCTGTGGCAGACTTTGAACAGATGAGACGGCTTGCGCCAAAGTTCTCTGCTGCTTGGCATACTCGACTGCCATCTCGGCCCAGCTGAAGGATCCCTGCGAGCGGTTGACGATAGCAGCAACGGTAGACTGGAGCTGGTCACCCTTTGCGGTATCAAAGTGCGAGGCAGAGAGCATCTTATTGACAAAAGCGACCAAATCAGTTCGAGTCTGCGTGGTCTGCATCATGAACTGCTCGATGTTCGTGGAGTGTGGTTTCGAACCGAGCGGTCTGGTGAATGCAATCATCTTGGAGCCCGCATTCTGTTCCGTCAGGATCTTAGTGAAGTTTTCCAGAACGGCAATTGCGTCGCCATCTCCACCCTTGATCTGGTCGAGGCCATCGACGACGAACATGTACTGAATGTTCGACGCCAAGCCGGTACGAATACCTCGCCAGAGACACTCTTCAACCTCAACGTCGCCGGCTCCGTCCAGGGCACCTTGAGCTGCCTTGGCAACTTGAACCAGAATCGCCTCCTGGGTCTGCTTATCGCTGACACAGTGGTCGAGCATCTGATGCAGGATGCCCTTTAGAATGCGCAGTGTCAAGGTTGCAACGGGAATATCGGCGCCTAGTTAAATCAGAATAATGCTTTCAAAGATAAGATAGGGTCAATACTCACGGATAGTGTATGGAATAACATTCCAGCTATCATGCTCTGCTGATTCCTGCAGACGCTCGACGGTCCACTGGGCAAGAGCACTCTTTCCAGATCCTGCACCGCCAGTTACCAGCATAACTGGAGACTTACCAATTGAGAAATCGTACAGATTGCTGTTGAACCATTCGAAGGAACCCTCTGCAAGAGAGTGCATGCGAGATTCAAGGATGAACTGAAGTGGACGGTCCTGGACGCCGAGGAACTGGCGGAGACTGCCCAACTCGGGGCTCGAGTAGATCAGCGAGCTTTGCTTGACCAGCTTCGATGTGGCGGACTCGACGATGGCATTCCAATGGGTCGAGTAACGCCTCGCGTAGGTGACAAAGGCTGCGTCAACGTTGTGTTCGATAAGTTGATTCGATTCCTTGGCCTTGAACCCTTCAACACAGCTGGTCGTAGTGGTACAGACCATTTCAAGAAGGTCCGAAAACACTGCAGCGGCTTCGGGCTGGAGGGGAGTAGAGGTCTTGTAGGCAGACTCATATTGAAGGAGCAAGTAAATGCCAACAGCAACGCGTCCATATCGGCCAAAGACACTTTCGAAGAGATCGGTATTGTCCATGTCAGACTCCAACAAAAGAATCATGAATCCCCAGATCAATTGGGCAGCTGCATCGGCACCTGGGGCAAACAGTCCAGTCGACTCACGAAGAGCATCGACTGCATATGCCAGTCGCGACGCCCACCGGAGACTGCAGTCGAGTCTGCTACCATCACGAGGCATCCAGCGCAGGCGTTCCGCCGCAACTGCATCGAAGAAAGTATCGACGGTTGGGCTGCGCTCGCTAATTTCGCTGGCCGAAACGCCCAATTGAGTCTTGCACTTCTGCGAGACTGCCTGGACTTTATCCTGGAGAACAGTGACCTTGTGGGTGCTGGTACTCAGACCTCGGACGGCTCGAGTGGACACTCCGCTGGTATTGGTGGTGGTCGAGCTGGTGGCACCCGAGTATCCGCGGCTGGAAGCATCCTTGCTGAGACCCTGCTGGGTCATATCGTCGGTGATACCCGTTCCTCGAGTTCCAGTCATGCCAGATTTATTGGACATGCCAGGCTTTCCGGCCATGCCAGCAGCACCAGCACTAGCACCAGCAACTCCAGTGGCTGCAGCGGCGCCTGCTTTGCCGGACGAGCTGGTAGTCTTGGGAGACTCGCCAGAGCCACTCATGACAGCATTGCCTCCTCTGACAGTACCGCCATGGAGAGACAAATCTGTGCTGGTTTGTCCTTTCGAGTTCATGGGCATGCCAGTCATACCAGCCATACCAGGCTGACCCATGCCTCCCTGACCCATGCCGGACTTGTTCATGCCAGTGTTGGTCGTGCCAGTGTTGGTCATGTCAGAGCTGTTCACACCAGCATGATCCATGCCTTTTTTCATTCCCATTCCTCCAAGAGCCGCACCGGCACCTGCTCCAGCAGCTGCTCCAGCAATATTGTCTCGGCTGATACCGTGTTTTTCGGTAGTTTTGGATGTTTTGGACGTTTGCGAAGTCGTCTGCGTCGTCTGCATGGGCTTTTCTTTGGTGACATTGCTCTTGGCCGATTTGCCTTGGCCAGATGCTCGGCGGAAGATATTCCCAAGAGCACCACCTCCAAACGCACCGAAGCCACCTTTGCCTGCTTGCTGGGAAGGTGATTTGGTTGTTGACTTGGTGGCTGCTTTGTCGGCGCCCAAGTTGCCAAAGACATCGTTGCCGATAGCCAATTGGTCACGAAGCTCTTGCTGCATCATTTCCTCGCCACCGAAAGTTGCGCCGGCAGCTTTGGCTGTGCTGGGAAGAGACTGTCCCATTCCCTTTTGGCCCTGGCTTAGACCCTTCTGGGTTGGACCCAGACCATGTTGGGCTGGACTGAGGCCTTGTTGAGTTGGACTGAGACCCTGTTGGGTTGGCATGAGACCTTTCGAGCCTGGACTGAGTGTCGATGGATCTTTGCTAAGACCCATCGGATTCTGGCCTGGGCCAATGGCAGAGCGGGCTTGATTGAGCTCTTGTCCAGTTTGACTAGTTCCTTGCCCCATCTGAGAGCCGCCCATCAGAGGTGGACTTAGTTTCTTCTTGCTGGTATCTATTCCCCCATCCTGGCTGTTGCTCCCCATCGCACCGAGACCTGTCTGGCCAGTGTCTCTTTGGATGCCTGTCGAGATAGGGCCCTTTTTGATATCGTCGTTGTACTCGATGGGTCCAATACTAAAACTTGGTCTGTATCCTCCGGGTCGTCCGCTGGCAACTGCACCGTTGTTGGTGTTCGCATTTTCCTCGCTCAAGCCGAGTCCGCCAACGGTCCCTTCCATATCTCCCTGGCCGATGGTATTCTTCGTGTTTTCTCCTTTAGTGGCGATGTCCTTGGCACCACTGGAATCTCCTTTCATTGCTTGGTCCTTGATTTCCTGGCCTTTGTTGAGAGCCTGTTGGCCCATGCCAGTTTCGCCGGCAGTCTCTTTGCTTGAGCTCGCGTTGGCACCTTCTTTAGCTCCCTCTTTGGAGCCACTGTGCGAGAGTTTCTTGCTGATTTTCTTGGTGAGCCGAGAGCCGAGGCTCTCGCCGTGGTGCTCAGCTTCGGTTCTCATTTCGTTGGCGGACATGGTGGATTTTTGGCGTCGAAAGTAAAATAAATAGATAATAAAAAATAGATAAGAGTTGTAACAGTTGGCGGTCGTAGTAATTGACAGTCGTGTGTTCGTAATGGTTAAATTGAAATTATCATACAGTCATTGAGTTCAGTTGTTGTAAAAATTAGATTGAATCGCGGCGAATGGACAGGCTTCCAGTCGATTAAAAGAGTGAAGCAGACCTCCTCTGTCATTGCATCATGGGTTGGTATCGGCGATGCCGCAAGGGGATGGTCATCGATAGGCTGTGTTTTCTTGGAGACACCAAGACAACCAATCACGTAGCTGGTTACGGCTTGCTTTTGACCTGATTCCAAGTCTGCAAGCGGATTGTAGCAAATGAGGAAACATTATTGCATCGCTTCCAAGCCTGAGTGAAAAGTCAATGATGCTGGAAGGGATCCAGTGTGGGGAGTCGATGTGGAGACTACGATCCGGTGATCACTTGCTATTAGCTTTCATGCTCTTTTTACAGTGTTAGTCTTGTATGGTTTTGATCTGTCGTGTTTTCAATTGCGAGAGATATCCTATAGCTGGCTTCGCAGGATGCTTAAGGCCCCAATTGACCATATCAGTACGCCGCAATGTCTCTGGTGAACACCGTCAAAAGTTTTCGTCTTGTCAACAAAAGCCCAGGCGAGAAAAATGAATCGGAAAACACCAATGACGGTTGTAAGAGTAATTGGTTGGAGCTGTACTAAAGTGTGGGGTAGAGCTATCAAGTTGGGAAACAAAGAATGTCCGTCGCGTGAGAACACGATCGAGTACCCAAAGATTCATCCAGTGACGTAAAGACTCGGCTCACACATTCTACAAACCCTCAAGAAGCGCTGGTACAAGCACAAGAGTCTAATTCGCAGAATTGTAGTTCATGACTGGTGGTCCATTCCTTAGTAATCTGGGCATGTTTATCCCCGTTAACCTTAATTTGCTTATCTGAACTGCACCGATCCGTGGATTCAACAAGAGTGAGGTCATTGCCCCGCGAACTACCGGTCCTGGTCGATTCCGGAGCTCCCGACCACGAATTGGATCTTGGTATCCTGGTTTAAACGCTAAATTATGATGTCCATCTATGTCATGACCTTTGATCGGCGAGAGACGATGGGACTACTATCGTACGATTCATCGTACATCGTGGGATCGGTTCTACTTCGGCGGGCGGGGCCGTCAGTATGGACCCGGTTTCTTGAGCTGGATGCGCACCGTAGAGGTCATTGTAGTCCTGACTTCTATAGACATATTACGCAGAGCATACTTGTGCAATAATTTTAACAATAACGAGCAATAATCAGATGAAAACAAAATTTAAATACAGCTCAGGCAAGGGTTTGAGAATTGAGCAAGACTCTCCTATTCATCCAAAGATATTTCCCAACTCGATTCCATATCTAGCGTGCGGCATACCAATCTGAGAGTTTCTCATTGCCAGTAGACAAAACATAGTCCTATAAAATAGTTAGCGTCATGAGACATCAATTAAGCACGAGAGATCAACCTACCAATGCAGTCCAGCCCCTCGTATCTTGAACAGAAGGATCCAATCCATATGCAACGAATTCCTTAAACAAGATAAGCGCTCTTCGCGGCGCGGGATCGCCAAAAATTCCACGCTTCTCAACACCGGACTGAGCAATGACATGCAGCAAGTTCTGCCCATGGGAATTGACAAGATGGAAATCAAAGCCCGCCTCTTTCAAGAAAGAAATCGTTCTGATGAATAGTCCTTCCTCTTCCTCTTCATCGGTGTCGTCCAAACTCTCATCTGGAGCCTTCAACAACTGCTGCATCTCATCCACCAAAGGCTGTGGAGATCTCACCCAAGCAAATACCGGTGTCTCCCCATCTCTGTTTCGAGCATTCAAATCCAGACCTATATCCAGGAAGCGTTTGACCCATTTCACCCCGTCCGGACGGACTGTCAGGGATGCATGAAGCACAGTGGTCCCATCTGGAGCCGCTGTGGTAAAATCAGCTCCTGCATCGAGTAGAACCTGCCAAGACCAGTCCGAATCATTATTTTTCCAAGCAGTCTGGAAAGGCGTGAAGCCATCGTTGTTTCGCTGATGGACTAATTCAGGGCACTGGCCAATCAACGTAGACATGGCCGCTTTTCTATCCTTTTCGTCTCGATGTCTGCCCGGAAGGGATACAACGATATGTAACGCGTTGTCTCCATTGTTGTTCGTGACACGAATATCAGCACCCCTTTGACGAAGAGCCATGTAACGCATAGGATGAACGTCTAGGATACTTTTCCATCGTCGTTCCCAGTACTTGCAAGCTGCCAGAAACAACGTATTGCCACATGAGTCGCGAGTCTCGAGGCCTAAGCCATCCAGGCCGAGAAGTATCTCACATACATCCGCGCTTTCCGCATTTTCAAGGAGATGGTGCAGGATGGTTGTTTTCTCGTTATGTTTGCTTTGCTTGAACGGATCGGCACCGTGTTCTAGCAAAAGTCTTATGATGGTTAAGGCATCGGGATGGCGGTTCACATCGGAGATATCGGTTACGGCGATCTCGAGGGGATATCCCATCCTGGGACGATTTAGAAATGCAGCCATGTCAAAGGGAGCCTTCCGTTTTTTGCTTGGTCCACCTGCTTGAGTCGACGAATCTGACAATTGAGGCTCCTCGGGTGGCAGGATATTGGGGTCTTGTCCCGACTCCAAGAGATCCCGAACGGCTTGAAGATCACGCTTCGTGATGGCCTTGCACAGTGCGAAGGAGCGATCGGGGTGATTTGGCTTGCCCCCAAAGCGAACAAGAAGTTCAGTCACTTCAGGATCCCTGATCTTCTCGTCTAAAGGTGCAATTCCGCTCTCATCGGGGAGGTTTGGATCAGCGCCATGTTCCAGCAAAATCCACATGATTTCTTTGCTCATGAATGCACCATGATATGCACTTTTCACGGCCAATTGCAGCGCTGTCCTTCCCTTGCCGTCCTTCAAATTGGGATCGGCTCCCTTCGCCAGCAGGTATTTGAGGGCTTCTTTGTGCCACCAGATATAGCCCCGAGCAATGATATGAAGGGCACCAGACTCACAGGCGTCGTACTGGCCAGTCCAGATGCTAGTGGAGCCTCTTTTTCTCATGTTCACGTCTGCTCCAAACTTCTCCACCAGCAACTGCAGGATTTGCATGTTTGGCTGTGTTCTCGTGATAGCAGTCAAAAAGTACGGCGCCACATCCTCGTTTCCCATGAAAAAGGAATTATTCGGGAACGACTGAGCGATCAAGTCAAACAAGAAAGCATAGCCACCATTCACGACGATCGTGAGAGGGTCAAGTATGCGCTTATTATCCCTAGGAGTGAATTTCATGCCTTGGTCGATACATTTCCGGAACACGCCGTAGTCGCCCTTCCTGATGACTGGTGCAAAGCAAGATTGGCGATAGACTCGTCTCTGGGTGTTCGGCATATAATCTCCTCTGAGGACAGGTGATTCATCCATAGCCTGACCAAGGAAATAAATAATCTCCATCATCTGCCCTCCGTCGTTTGTTTGAGTATTTGGCTCGGAACCAAACTGGCCATGCTGGTAGGGCTGGTAGCCGTAGCTAATATTGCTGTCCCAGGCATCTCCGCTGTTTTTGACCACTTCGTCAAGTAATTGCTTGCAGATATCCAAGGGCGTACAGCCGGCATTGTCACGAGCATCAAGCTTCGCTCCAGCTTCCACAAGGAGGCGGACACTCTCGTGAAACCCAACCTTGCAGGCTGCATGTAATGGTGTACATCCAACCTCGTCGGGCTGATCTAAGAATAGACCAAGGTTTCCGTTCTTTTGGTAATGGTCGACCATGAACCCCACTATGTCTCCTTCACGAGCTGAAGCAGCGATATGAAGAATGTTCTGGCCATTCTTTGTTGTGTTCGACGTAGAAGCACCCTTTGAAATGAGTTTCGCCACGAGCAGCTTGTTGTTTGCCGCAGCGGTATGGATTTGGCGCAGGCCCCGGTGGTTCTCCATCTCAAGGGTTAGACCATCATCGAGAGAAAGTAAGAGATCGACTGCCTCATTAGATGGCCAAGTACTGGCTTTGGAACTCAGTCGGGTCTGGCACAAAACATGGAGCGGAGTATTTCCACTCTGGTCTTGATGAGTGCTGGATATCCCATACTCCGCAAGCTGTTGGACCAATTGAACAGGAATAGCAGCATCCTCGGCGAGACTGCCCCTCATCAAGACGTGCATGAGGCTCTCGCCCGCCCGGTTCGTTGCCCGAGCATCTGCACCCAAGTTAACCACTAAATCCTTAAAAATCTCGGAAGGCCGTCCTTCGAAAAGCATATGCAGCGCGCTGTTTCCATCTCCATCGGTGGCATTTACATTGGGCCCATACGTGCGGACAAACTTTGATATGGGCTCTTGATTTTCGGGGTCGCGGTTTCTCAGGGTCTGCACTAGATGGTGCAAGGGTGTACATCCCTTGGCATCTTTCGCTTCGATATCACCTCCGGCATTGACAAGGATGTGACCAACGGCTTCAACTTTGTCTAAGTTGTATACCTGGTAAAAATGGCAGAGCTTGTGCAATGGTTCAAGGCCATCTTTGTTCTTTTTTCGGGGATCACAGCCGAGCTGGACAAGCTGTGAGAAGAAATTGGGCTCCGAAGCATAATTCGCGTTGGTCATCAGGTTCAAAAAAGTGTTACCATCCTCGTCTGTAACGTTCCAATCAGAGACATAAGGGGCCAGCTTCAATGGATCGAGGTCTTTGCCAAAGCCCCTCGTGTCTTTGAACAATGAGAATAGGGGGATAATTCTCTTTGGTCCACGAGGCTCATCTAGCTTAAGTCCATGCTTGGCCAAGATGTGAATAGTGCGAAGAGATTCCTTGTTTCCGTGGAGTGAGTCGAAGACAGTTTGGCCTTGTTGGTCTGTCATATTTGGGTCAGCGCCGTGTTGCAACAGAAGCTCCATTACTCCGGTAAGGTTTTTGGAGGCACTGATATGAAGGGGAGTCATATAGCAATGTCCTTGGGCATTCACGTTGCTGCCAGCATCCAACAGTAGCTGACAGCACTTGCGCGCTTCTTCGGCACTGCCCCCGTGGTGCTCGCCACCAACATCGAAACCGGCCACGGCATGGAGAGGAATAGAATCTGGATCACCCGGCATCCAACCAACCATGACACAGCCATGAGAGCGCAGTCCTCTTGATGCTAGATTAGGGTCCGCACCGCGTTCAAGAAGGAATTTCATCGTTTCATAATTGTGAGGAAGCCCGGCTCGGAATAGAGGAGTGTCATCGGACCATTTGCCGTTCACATTTGCCAACGGCGAGCTCAAGAGAAGTTCGAGCATGGGGATATCACCCTTTGTGGCAGCCGTATCTATTCCTTGTGCAATTTCGTTGGGGTCAGTTGCAAATGGTAACAAATACCGGATTATCTCCGTTCTTTGAGCCATCAATGCCTTGGAGAAAGCAGATGATCTTCGTGGGTAGGGGGTATCACATCCTCCTGATGAGCAGCCTCCCCGGTAGTTACGAGCCCTTTCCGATTCTTCCTCGGTGACATTAACATCGGCGTTGGCTTGAATCAGAATCTGTACTAATGTGAGATGATTGCAACGAGCGGCGAGGTCAATTGCATTGTCACCACCTCGATCGACTAAATTTGGATCCGCGCCTCGAGGTAGGAGATAGACGACTACGTCCTCGTGTCCATACTTAGATGCAATAGCCAGAGGCGAAGTCCCATCACTCATTGTGTCATTGTACGAGCAGCCTGCCTCCACGGCGATTTGTATCATGCTAACAGCTCCTGTCCATGCTGCAATGTGGATAGGCGTGATAGAGTCGATCTTTTCCGGATCAGGAGCGCATAGTTCCTCGGTCCAGCGATATGCACATTCCTGTCGCTCTCCAAACCACTGGAGTAGTAATTCTCGTAATTCACCTGTAATAATTGGTAACTCTCGAGTATGGAGGAACCAGTTCGATGCAGCATAGTCCAGGAAAGGCTGAAACCTCGTCGCAGCGCTCCACTCTTTGGATTTGTTAACATCCTCGAGTTTCTTTTCGTCGTTGAACCTGCCCATCAACACCTTCATGGAGATAGTTGCCAGATGCTGGTGTGCATCCTCTGGCGAGATGACAGGTACCAAGGCCTGGCTTTCTGGACTTCGGTTCTCATCGTGTAAGTACGAGATGAAGGATTTCCAAAGGATGGTCAGGGTGCCATCGCCTAGGATCTCTAGCAGTGGGCCGAAGGCTGACTTTATCAAGTTGATATCTTTTGCTTCGGGCCCATACACCACTTCGAGGGCCGCAAGCAGTTCTGGACGGCGGGGTCGACGTGCAGGATAGAGGGAGAGAGATAAAATCGACCGTCGATAATCCGAGGGCACAAATGGACCGGTGCTGCACTTTTCCAGAATGAGATCGTACAACTCGTACAGCGTTGGTGTCACCCCGTCCAATAATTGTGAAATAGCCATGACATTGCTATCCTGCTTGAGGACAAACAGTCCGAGGCGGGTATGGAGAAACGGCTTTTCACTGAACGCATCTCGAATTAGTGACCCTGTATCATCAGGCACATCGAATGATTGCAGCTCGGCATTCAAGAACGTGCGCACGTCTTGGCACACAAGCTCGTTGTCCATGTCCAGACGAATCTCGCCTTCAATAGGTGCAGTAGAGTTGCTCGTGAACAATATCTTGACAGTACCAGGATGCAGATCCTTCCATTTAAGCATTTCTTTCAAGAACTCCGTATCTTCCGCATCTTGAAAGGCATTGACACCATCAATCACACAGTAAATTTTGGGAATAGCTTCAATCGCCTCGGTCAACAGCGACCAAAGTTGCATCAGATTCACATCGTGCAAATCCTTCCACTCCCATTTTGCGAAGTAACTAGACCTTTTGCTTCTTCTGGCTAGATCTCGAACTTTACCATGCAGGTCCGGTGCGAATTTAAATGCCTGGGCAAGCCAGTCCCGGACAAGGATGGAAGACAAGCTCCTTCGCCAGGGACTCTTGACTAGAGGAGTCTGAAGTCTCTGAGGGCAGAACAAAAGAGGAATATCCTTCTCAGTCTGGTGAAGTCTTTCTGCGATAGATGCTGCGAGGACCGATTTGCCTGTGCCTGATGGGCCATGAATAGTGAGGATGTTTTGCAAATCACCATCATGCCATGAGGTATACTCGGGTGTATCGAAGATCCAGGACCCAGTGCCAGGCGCACGACACCGCAAGTTACGCTGAAAATCACCCGAAGAGACGAGTGACTCTATTGGAACAAAATCCGGTTTAGTTGCTTTGTTCTTTGGCAGGCCAACGGGCGGCTGTGGGAGGTACATCTCGTCCGACGGTCCGAAGGGCAGTGGGATTGATGATCACTGAATGATGATGAGAGTACCACCAATTTTGAGACTTGGACGAGGAAAGAAGGGAGGTGTGATACGGTTAGGGGTACTGTTTATAACTAAATGATTATCGGGGCGGGGCTTAATAGCCCGGACCTCCAGGGGTCTTCGTTGGATGAGGCTCTAAGGGCCTCAGTTTGCCTGGTTTTTGAGGCCATCCAGGACCTTGGCCATATGAAGTGCGGAGTGCATAGGAGTCGTAGACAGAGCTGTCTTTACCCGGCTACATATACGAGAAATCCTGAAGCTTTATGGGGCCAGATATTGCCTGGGATCCACTGATCTCCATACGGGGCTGAGACGGTTTGTTGAATGTGCCTTCACAGTACTCAGCGTACACCAAAGGTCAATAGTACCGAAGCATACTGTTTGCAGTGGTCGGGCCGCATACACATCTACGTGGGACGAATCAAAGATCTAAGCCAGTCGGGAGTCAGGCCTGCGAAAAGAGTGGGTAGGACAAGAATGAATCTCCCCAGACCATTCATCTCGACGTGACTGCGTCAGCCGATCCCAGTCCCAAGAACCAAAAGGGCAACCGAGCAAGACTCCATTTCTGGATTGGAAATGCAATGCATGGAATGGCCTATGTACGAGTTGAAAGCGACCGTCCAAGACTCGACTCAGCCCGTAAATGACTGGTCGGCCCCCAGTCCATAACAAAAAGAAAAACACCCTTCCATCCTCAGGCCATTGATTTCCACCATCCATTTCCTCAAAACGTCCGCCTCTTTAAAACCGACCCGGTTGCCGAAAAAAATTCAAGTGAACGCGAAGCATGATATCATCCGTACAAGTAGCCAGCCGTTATAGGGTAAGCACTTTCGTTCGATGGGGAGCCGTAAAAACCGGGGTGTCGGGTATTCGCGAATATTGTTGTTTCAAACATCGATGAAAACTCGACGCTCCGTCACGACTCGGGATTTTTCTTTATCGACGAGATAATTTATGAGCCGGGGTTGGGGTTCATCTGTGTGGGTTGCTATGTCAGCCTCGTGTTCCTTTTGATGGTTTGTGTGATATCGAGATTCGTAGATGGAAATTTGGCGGAATTTTGTCGGATCGCGTAGTCCAAATTGTTTAACAAGTGTGTGTGATGGGTGATGGATGGAATTTTCAGTCGGTATGTACCTTGCGCTTGCCACCGGTCATGGTAACGTTGACGAAACGGCGGGTGTACAGGATGCGCTTGTAGGCGCGACCCTTGGGGTTCTTCTTCTTCTCCTGGGGCTCAACCTGTATTCAAAAATTCCAGTTAGGATGTGGTTCTGATGGATGGAAACGTCGTCCTGGCGACCGAGCAGATGGTCGTGTCATCTGTGGGCTTCGTCTGGTGGCGCTTGAAGGTTCGGAGGGAGTACTTGCCTTAGGAGTGGCAGCCTTGACCTTACCGGCACGGGCGAGAGAGCCGTGAACCTTACCCATGTTGGATGATAGTTGGCGATGAAGTGGGAGTTGCGAGGTGTTGAAGGGGGAGGAAGCGAGACTCTCGATGCACGAAGGGTTGCAAAATTGGGAGTGTGTCTTGAGTGGGGCGGCCTTAGCGAGCCCCCGACCGGTCTCGGGTTAAGTATTTTCTCCGGTTGGATGAGTCATCCATTCAGTCGGAGTCCCGATTTGGTGATTATGTCATCAATCCAAATGACCTCAGGCCACGGGATCTCCAATAGACGTGGATTCTCATCTATAGTTTATGTTGAAGAGCTCATGGAACAGAGAGAAATTCCAGCCGCGGAGATGTATATGCTCCAATACCTTGGAAATTTGCCTTGCACTGATCCAAGGGGGTTGTTTTGCCCATTATTTCTACGCTTCTACCAAATGTAGGCCTTTGGTTTAGAGATCTATCATCTATTTCTCGATGGATAGTACTACGTATACAGACAGTGAAAAAAAGTCCCAATTCATAACGCCGCTCTGTGATATACATCCCAATAAGACTTTTTCCCGCACCGTAAAATGCAAATATACAACGCTATTTCCAAACACAAACTTCCCACTTCTATTTTCCGGCTTTCTCCTTCGCAGCAGCCTCTTCCCGCTCCCGCTTTCTTGCCAGATACCGCTCCTTCGCACTGGAAACATCGGTCGCCGTCTTGCGACTCCGAGTCTTCTCTGCAATCTCCTTTTGTCTTGCAGCCTCGGCCTCTTCATCTTTCCGAGCTTGCTCTTCCAGCTGGTTGGCGATCATCTCGGTCTGACGGGCTCGCTGGGCAGCACGGCCAGTCTGGTAACCAACACCAGCACCAGGTCGTCCAGCGCCAGGTCGAGAAGCCATGGCTGGAGCGGCAGATGGTGCTGTCTTCGGTTTCGGGGCCACATTCAGTCCGGCAGACAATAGCTGGCGCTTGTCGACCACCTGACCTTCGTCGTTGATGGCAATATGAGCACCGCGAGCATTGAGTTCTTCTGCCTTGTGGGCCTCTGTCTTCTCTTCGGATTCTGTAGCGGTTTCTTCGTCGATTTCGCCAGCCTTGACACGGCGCGCGGCTTCTTCAGCAGCCTTCACAGCCTCGTCATGTTTGGCTTCGCCGCGCGATAGCACATCCCGATAGAAACCGACCATGCCGGCGCCACCGTTCTGTTTGCGCCGTTCTTCCTCTTCCTTCTCGCGGCGTTCCTCCTCTTCTTCCATTCTCCGCATCTCCTCCTGTTGCGCCTTGTACGCGCCTGTGACGAAACTCTCCTTATCCGCAAACTCATCACCTTCGGCCTCGCGTTCTTTCGCCAGCTGACGATCGCGCGCGCGGGTTTGATCACGCTTTCGAATCTCGGCGCTGCGCAATAAGTTGGTCATGTACTTGGGTCCTTCGCTCTTATTGGCAGTCGCAGATTTGTCGGACTTGGCGTGTAGACTATCGTATACCGCATCGTAGGAGTAGATAGAAGGATCGAGTTCTTCGGCTTCTTTAGCGTGCTTCTTGCTGCTGTGTAGCGCAGACAAGTTCTTGAAGTCCTGGCCGGGACCCGTCGACTTCTTCGATTGTGTCTGGTTCAATCCGAACTGCACTTCCCCTTGTCGCTCTTTCTCCTTCTCTTCATCTGCGTCTTCATCGTGGGCGAATATCGAGGACTTGTTCAGCGGTTTTGCGCCAGGCTTGCCACCAAGCCCCATTTGCATCTTCCGCTTGGGAGGCGGTCCGGCGTTTGTTGAGAGCTTCGGTTTCGGTGCAGGCGCATCCAGTTCACCGATAGTAGACACTTCAACTGCGCCGTCATTTTGTTGATCTTCATCTCCGGAGTCGTCATCGAAAATATTCTTCTTGCGCTTCTGTCCGAAAGCATTGCCCGGCTTTGGTCCCGTAGAGCTCTTGTTTGGCATGTTTAGCCCAGAGGAGAATTGAGGCGCCATTTTGGCAAGACCACTGAGTCAGCTGAATACAACAGAGGGTATGCGCAAGGTAGGGAGGGTTGATGATTCGAGAGCTGTCGAGGGGACCGCAGCCGGAAGTGAGTGACGTTTAAGTCAAAAAGTCGTGATAGCGCGATAAAGCAAGGGCTGGCTATCAGTACATCATGTGACTTGTTGGTTTGCGGGGATGAACTAAATGCTCCGTACATATGTAGAGAGCTAATGAATGACTGGATATGCAAGAACTTGGGAATGTCAATTATCTGATCACAATTTAATCTGATATTTTGACGCATGTAGTGATTTATTGAGGTTTTTCCTGAAACTCCATCACCCATAAGCTAGGCCACCGGTGAAATTCGTACTAGGCGTGGACCATATATATAGTTGAGAGAATCCAGAAAAGAACCTTCAAAAGACAGTCAAATCTGATTCGAGCTAACAATTCCAATCATTCAAGCTTGCCTAGTGAATCAATGAACTTAACTAGATTTGTTATCTACATAGTTATATTCACTCTGTGTGCTCTGTCTAAAGCTCCAGCTTACTTCCACGCCAGGCCTGGTCCCTTATCACCACGTGACACATATTAACAGCGGCCACGCCCACTCGGACTACATAAGGTTCCCCCTCGACCTCCCGTTTCATACCTCCACGCCTGAAACCCGCCAAAATGTCATACTATTTCACGATCCTCTCTCCAACAGACACGCCAATCTTCAATATCGCGTTTGGTACATCAAAAGGTGGCGGCGATGGCATTGCGCGGTTTCGCTTTCCGGACACAGCTCAATACATGAACCAGTTCATCATCCACTCTAGTCTGGACATTGTGGAGGAAGCTCAATGGACTAATGGTGGAATGTACGTTTCTCCTTCTTCGCTTGCAGAAGGCCTGAGAGCCCAAATCTCTCTCTACCCAGTCTTCATGACCGACCTCCAGCTAACCCTCCTCACCCAGGTACCTCAAGCACATCGACACCTATCCCCCCGCCGCAGCCTACATCTCCGCCTTCCTCACACCAAGCGGCGCCCGTTTCCTTCTTCTCCACCAACCTCCCCAACTCCCCAACTCCGGAAGCGGCAGCGGCCTCGGATCCTCGTCCTTGCTGGGCTCATCAGGCAATCTAGCGCGCGGCTCGACAAGCTCCATCGCGGCGAACCCGACCTCCCCACAGACCGAGGAGGCCGTGCGCCAGTTCATGACGGAGGTTTACGAAAACTATGTCAAGACTGCGATGAGTCCGTTCTATAAGCAGGGGATGGAGATCCGGAGCCCCGTTTTCAGGACGAGAGTTAATGCTGCGGGGAAGAAGTGGCTTTGATGTGCGTTTGGTTTTGATTGTTGTATATGTGGCTCTATCAGCGTGGCGTTAATGGGTGTGTGCATCTATTTTAATTTAAATTTGGGGTCTGTGGATTGCATCGAGACCTTGCATGAAGCAGAGCGGGGGAGCTGTGGGTGCTGATTCAGACAAATCCAGACCTACCTCATCTTATCTATGTAGGACTAAGTCTATGTCGAAGAAGAAAGCCTGCAATTATGTATGATACCCAGAAAAAAGACCAGAATTCAACAGCAAATCTGCTGCAAATATATGCTAAGTTCGCTTTTGGACCCTCGAAACCACATAAGACAAACTGGCTGTTACCGAAAATATCCGAGGCCCGCTAAAACCTGGCAATCACAAGAAAAAAAAAGGGCAATAAGCAGGGTCCCAAACCGGAGATGAACTGAGACTGTATCGTCCGGGGTAAAGGACTTTGAGAATGAAGAACAGAAACGCCCCTGCCTTGATAAATGAACGCCAGACACTTTCTCCCAATTCCCAACAATTCCCTGTCAAATCCCGCTAAAGAAAGGTGACGGCAAAGAATTCAACATTCAGACTTAACCTTGCATCTGAGGAGGTTGCTTCTTCATGGTCGCAACCTTGAAGTTTTCAACAGCTTCAACCACGTCCTGGAGCTTGGCGACGGAGCCGAAGATGCCACCCTCCATCTTGACGGACTCCATGGTGCCCGTGTGGAGAGCAGGCTCAGCAGCTGCGGTGCCATCCTCCAGCACCACACAATCGAATCCACGGTCATTGGCCTCACGCATGGTGGTGGAGACGCATACATCGGTTGTGACGCCTGCAATGACGAGGTTCTTGATATTTTTGTTGCGAAGGAGTAGCTCAAAGTCAGTGTATGTGAAAGCGCCGCGGCCGGGCTTGTCAATGACTGGTTCGCCTTGAATAGGGTACAGTTCATCTACAATGTCGTGACCCATCTCGCCGCGGATGAGCAGACGGCCCATAGGACCTGGAGAGCCAATGCCGAGACCAGTAGCGTTGTTGCGCGAACGATATGCCTCGCGACTGGAGAGAGTCGACAAATCTGATCGGTGGCCTGTACGTGGAGTTAGTAGGCAAGTTTGAAAGATGAAAAGAGATCAACTGCTGATAGGAAAAACTTACCCTCACGAGTATGATACACTGGGAAACCGGCAGAGCGGAACGCTTGTAGTAGGTGCTGCAACTTGGGAATGAGAGCTTGGGCAGGAGAGATATCGTATCCCTGATAATGCATGTATCCACCAATAGCACAAACTAATACGTGTGATTAGATGCATGATATTCATTTGTTGGACTGAATCTTCCTGAGTCGGCAAACACTTACAGTCTTTTTGCATGTCAATAATGACAAGAGCAGTCGTGTAAGGAGTAAAGGTACAGTCATGGGGCCAATCGTAGGGCGTAGCAGCCAGTTGACCCTTGCGCACCTTATGATGAGGCGGCTGTCGAGGTTTATCTATAATAGGTCCATGATTATGAGTGGGGTTCAAGACAGTCAAGCTCCAGATTCCCGGGGAACCAGCTGCGACGAGCATGAAAGGGCAGTCCATCAATCGGGAAGTTCGGCGGCGTTTTCGAGTCTCCTCAGTGAGTCCATTCCGAGGCCGGTAGTGACCACCACGATCGCAGCGCAGCCACACCTTTGCAGTTCGACCTGGTTTCTTTTCTGTAGGAGTACTCGAGGATTTGACCACCACGTTGTAGCCGTGGGCTTTGCCATGGCTTTGGACGGCAGTAAGGAGGGATGCCCTAAAAAGAAGCCGATTAGCTTGGTACTCATCAACGATGGCTTGATTTTGCTGGTACTAACTTATCAGGGTATGTTCCTTCAGGTGGGGGAAGCAATTGCATAGCCAGCTCAGGAATGTCCTGGAGGTCGCTAGGCGCGTCCAGGTTCAGGTCCGATGGGTCCGCCATGACGGCTAGGGTGGTTGGGCCACGATCCCAGAGTACGATATGTCTGTCCAAACGAGTGTGAGTACGATTGTCACTTCATCATCATCGCGTACACCTCGATGTCGGTGTAGTGCGTGGAGATCAGGGTGGGAACCGGAGGAGTGTAAACAAGTGCGTGGCAGCAACCTCGACGATCTGCTGTCAATCCAAGAGGTGTCGTGCGTGGGCATAGCAACCCCAGACGGTGGCGGAATGGAGATATACACGAGGCATTCGAGGATTGTGCGTGGTGGGATCTGAGAGGGAATGAGAGAGGGAAGCCACTTACAGGAAGGCCGGACAACCAGCTAAGAACCTGATGAAACTACCCCAGAAAGCCAGGGACAGCTCCGATGAATCCAGATCTCGCGGCTGATTAGAGTCACTTGCTATTTGGGGTCTAGCGGGTGGACCGCCTCAGGCTGTAAGGCGACAAGGCCACATAGTGGCCGAGAGGCGGTGAGGGGAGAAACGAGGGAAAACACATGACAGATGGGGGGCGGTGAGTTGCCAGCGGTCTTTTCCTAATTAGGTATAGTGCCATGCTGGCCCCCCTGACGACCGCAACATCAACACTCTCCCTAAGCCGATCTAATCAATCCCGCTTTGCGACAACAACCACCTTCCACCGGAGAGTCTCGCTCCCGTCCTTTCACCCCCTCCCAAACAAAGGAAAGGTAAGTCCGGACGGTGTCGCTTAACTTTGCCTGCGACCTATCTGCTTCTTTGCTCTCTCTCGCGGTGGGGGTGCATCACCAACATCGCCCGTCAACAACTCCCGATCGCCTGCGTCACCGCCTCGCCGAGGGGTTCTTATCAACGCACGGTTCTAGATTTGCGCCAGCCACCACCGCCCCATGAACCCGTAAGTTGATCGAAAGGGGTGATTGGAAGTGTGGTGCCTCCAACTCCAGATTCGCTCTGGTGATAGAATCATTTTTCTCGCCGGTGGTCCCGCACACATTTGATTTGCGGCCCGCCTGGTGCCCAACGCGAGAGGAAGATGCCAGCCGCCGACGATTCACCTTCCAAGGGGAAGAACGCCAACGCCGTGGAGGAGTACTCTATTGAGTACTACAAAGCCCAATATGAGTCGATTCAGGAGGAGCTACACGATTTCCAGCTTTCCAGCACCGAGCTGGAGGCGGAGATGGAAAAGGAGATGGAGGATAAGGAGAAGCGCGAGCGGCAGCTAAGGGAGAAAGTTGACAACCTGCGCTACGAGGTAGATGAGTGGAAGGTGAGTGACTTGAAGTTGCCTTGCATGCATTATTAGATCTGGTGATGCGCGCAGAGACTGACCTTGGCGGCATTCAGACCAAATACAAGCAGTCAAAGAGCGAGGCGAACAATGTGCAAAACACCCTGCAGAAGGAGATCACCTCCCTGCGCGATGCCAATCGTACTTTACAGTTGAAGCTGCGTGATATTGAAGTCGCCAACGACGATTACGAGCGACAAGCCCGGAACACTACCTCGTCCCTGGAGGACTTGGAATCCAAATATAACGTCGCTATCGAGCGTGGAGTGCTGCTGGAAGAGGAGATCAGGAGTGGGGAACAAGAGCGCGAAGACTTGCGGATTGACAATCAGCGTCTGAGAGACGAACTCTCTGACCTCAAGGTTGAAGCCGAGATCGTTCAGGAGAAGTTGCGACACACCGAGGGCCATGGGTTCCGTCGTCGCAAGCCGACACCCTTGTACCGAAGCCCGTCGACTCCACAGACCCTCGAGATTTTCGATCGGTCTCCTGGCGCAGGCACTTCGTCTCCCGTATTTGCTACCCCTCCTGCTAAGTCAACTTTGGCTTCTTCAACCGCAACTCCTCCCTCGCCGCCCATCTCGGAAGCCTCTACCAACTTCCGCAAGTCCATCAACGCTACTCCCACATTCCCTCGAACCAGGGCAACTGGCGCAGAACCAGTCAACTCACGGACCCTGCATAATGGCAGAGCCCAGCCTGCTCGGCCTGCTCCTCACTCACGCACTTCATCTCTCGCCTACAGTAACAGCGGCTTCAGTAATGGCGGCTTCAGTAATGGCGGCTTCAGTAATGGCGGTCGCTCTACCCCCTCCATGTCTTACTCTTCCCGCAATAGCCTGTCTAGGTCAACCACCTCCCGGCCCTCTGGTCTTCCCAAATCTGGCTCACTATACCAAATTCGTGGACTTATTGGCAAGATGCAGAAGCTGGAAGAACGTGTCCAGTCTGCCCGGTCCCGTCTTCCAGCACCCTCTGAGACCTCCTCTCGGGGATCTCCCCACTCCCGTCAAGGTTCAGTGATCGGGGATAGCCCAATGCCCTCCACTGTCACGGTGCGGAAAAGCTCCCGCAAACGAATGAGTGGGAGTAGCTATGGCTCATCCGTTCGAGATAGCGAAGGCACCCCTTCTCATCTCCCTCAGAGCCGCCAGTCAACCGGGGCTCGTACCGGTGACAGTCGGCCGAGCAGCCGAACAAGCTTCTCCAGTCGGAGCTCGTTTAGCCAAAGTGTGCATTCCGGAGTGCCGATTGGTCGCCCTGAAAGTCGGCAGAGCCGCCCTGGTGCCAAGACGCCTCTCGGCCACTACTCAACCAACCCCACGACGGAAAGCCGCCGACCTCGGTCCTCTCTGAGCAACCACAATGGACAAACGCCCTCTGTGGGAAGCATGTCCAATATCGATGAGGATAATGACATTTCTACCCCGATTGTTTCCCGTATTCCAAAGGACACGCGGCGACCCTCGGTTTCGGCTACGCCTCTTGGAATTAAGAAACGTACCACTAGCGGCATGTCGGCTATTCCCACGCCCCGCAGCTTCAAGACAAGTATCGGGCCGGGAGCCATGCCTCCACCGTTGGAACGCAAACAAAGTGACATCGGAGAGACCTATTAGAGTGCCTTTGAAGCTCGCCGTCCTCAACGCCCGCATGAGCGGAAACCATGAGGAATGCACATAGATCAGAGGCCACCCGTCTCTTCACTCGATTTCGATTCTTTCTGCCTTCTATTTGCCTGGCATGTGATTTGCATCTACCTCGTTTAGTCGCTTACTCGTTGTTCCATTGCAGCCACCTGGATTGTGGTCTGACGAGACCTCTTCTCCAACCACCTCGTGATTTCGCGTCGTTCTGTATAGGCCCATTTTTTTGTTTCTTCTTGGCGCTGATGCGGTGGTTATTTGGGTCTCTCATCTCTCTATCTACATACATCTGGGGGCTTGATTTTTGGCTGTTTGTGCTAGATATCTGGCCCCACACTCCCTGTTCGATACGGCTCCAGATAGACTCTGGGGCGTCCTAAGCTGTGTCTCAGCATCTTGTGTTTCCCTTTTTTTTTACTTGTGTACGTCGCGAGGCGTTTGATAATACCCACGATGCTATGTCTTTGAATTGTGCTGTAGTGGACTTGTATCTACCTCTTTCTAGTAACGTTTCGAAGGATGTGTAATGTAGGAGACATACTGTAACGGATGTTGGTGAATCGGCGTATGTAGAGGATTGTCGCTAGGGCTACCTAAGGTTCGGCATTGCAGGTGGCTCTAACCTTGTACAGACTTATAGAGACGATCCATAGGTGCTCACGGATGGGGATTGTGCGGAATATATATCTGTGTTGGGGCGGGAGACGTATCCCCAGCTAAACGCTCTTGTCAATGGTATTCCTCGAGGAGAAAGAGCGTCATCGCAATTACACATTCACCGCGGCTCCAAATAGTGGCCTGCAGCCCTGCGTGTCCTTTGCGTCCACTCCCACCATCCCAGTCTCAAGCAAGAGGCTCACCACTCCCTCGTAGCCACCATTCGTCGCCCAAGACAACGGTGTATGTCCTATAGAGTCCCTCGAGTCTATATCTACCCCTATAGTAGCAAGTAATTGCTTCACAACCCCCTCATGTCCACGCATCGCCGCCCAAGACAACGGTGTGCGCTCGTCATTAACCCTCGAGTCCACGTTCACACCCGGCGTCACAAGCAACACTTCCACGACTTCCTCATACCCACCAATCGCCTCTCAAGTCCACGGCGTGCTCCCACCGCGGTCCCACGAGTCTACATGAACCCGCCCAGTCTGTAGCAAAAGCCGCACGACTGCCTCGTGTCCACGCAACGCAGCCCAAAATAACGGCGTGCGCCCTATGGTGTCCTTCGCGTCTACTTCCACCCTCCCGGTTTCAAGTAAGAGCTTCACCACTGCCGCGTGTCCATTTATCGCAGCTTGGAATAGAGGAGTACTGCAGTCGATGGGTTTTAACACCTGTGTATCATTTGGGCCTTCTGGGACGCTGATTTGAGCCGCTGCCTCCACGTTCGCGCCTTGCGAAATGCTGAGTCGAGCGGCCCATAGTAGCGCTGAACTTCCGGAGTTATGTGAGTTACGTCGGTATAGGTATGGATTTATAAGGGAATGGAATAGTCGGTTGGTTTGGGCTAATGAGTTGATGTCTCTTTCAAGATCTAGGAAACTGGCAACTAGAGTAATAGTTTAGTGGGTAAATGAGAAAGAGGCATGTTCACAAAAACATGTCGATTTAGGAGTAGCTATGTATGTTAAAATTGTTGACACGAAAATTAGAGGAGAGCAGAATATCGGACAGGTTAACTATCGCGTTGTCCTTTTCTTGACGAGCTCGTAAATAAGCTTTTCTGTGGAAGTTGATTATGTTTGTATTTCGGGGTCCAGACGCCTCAGACCTACTCCGTACAGTAAGCAGTACTGTACGGAGTAGTTGCCTTAACAAGCTGGATCTCTCAGACAAGTAATGTAGTTTACGATGTATTGATTTCGAGTTCAAGGCATCATGTGATTAGGGTTTAACAGTGTATCTATACACATATAGCTATAATAACCTATCGGCAGTACTGTAAGTATGTAGTGGGATTCCCAAGTTGGCAGTTGGCCTTCAACCACGGTTGATCCCCCTCCCGCTGGTCCGTGCAGAAAAGCCCTCAACGTTTCGCCGGGAGAGGAGGAATACTACGTCATCGCTAGATCGGTTGTGTTCTTTTGGGGGCGGCACTTCGATCTGAGTCTGACTACTCTCCGGAGTTAAGTAAGGAGTAACTTTAAGGGATTATGGGCTGGATCGTGAGACTCGTGTGGGGGACTTTAATTGGGTGGATGGATGAGCATAATATATTAAATAATTACTCTTACCGTATGTAGTATTATGATAATTCCACAGCAGATAAAGTACGGAGTATATCTATAGCTTATATACCTTGAGGAGTTTCCCCTCTCGATCTGCTGACTTGCTGAACCTCGTCCGGGACATAGATTGTGACAGATTACCCTTGACCCGATCGCACTCCGAGAGGACAGGTTATAGCCTAGAAGCCAGAAGAAAGTCGCCGAGTCGGTGTCCGAGCTCGGTGGGGCGGGGATCGGAGGTTGGCTAGCCCAAGTTGGTGAGGTGTCAAGGTACTCAAGGTGTCTTCGGGTACTATATGGAAGTATCTGTTTGTAGTAGTAGAGAATGGACGTATATTAGATGGAGAAGGAGAATTCAGGAGAAGAAGAATCCCAAAGAAAGAGGATTCGAATTCCACTTGTCTGATTGGGTATCTGAATGGAAATGGCGTGAAAAGGGTGGGACATCGTGGTGGTGTTGCTGCTAGTGGAACCGGCCCAACAATCGGGGAGTTGGGGAAGACGAGCAAAGTTGTTGCGGGCAAAGGTGAGAATGAAGGGTAGAAGTACCGGGCCATACTAATTACTATGTACCGGTACCTCCTGCCGCCCCCCGATTCCCGAGCCGGTGGGACTGCGCAAATCATCCCTCAGCATTTTTTTTCCTTTGAGGATCTTTTTTCTACTTGGCCTCGTCCGCAATTGAATTCTTATTCTCTTCTCCTAATTTCCTCCAATTCCTCTCAATCTCGGGTCTTTTTGCTGGTGGTCCCGGTAAGTCCAATTATTATTATTCTTCCTTCTTTACTCCTGGTTCCTGAACCCGAACCTGAACCCGAACCTGAACCTGAACCTGAACCTGAATCTACTGTAACCCCATCCCCGTCCTGGTGGTGTTTATCCGCAAACAACCAATCCCGCTCAACGGGAACTGCCCCGAGCTGTCCGCATCGGGGTGACGAAGCTGCCAATCTGCACATAAGCAGCAATTGGGTCATCCCCGACGGATCGCCTCGGGAATGAGGAAACGTGGATTCAGCATTCAGCTCTCAGCATTAGGAAATCACTTGCGCCCAGAATTATCATTCCGTGAAGCTTTGGAACTAACCTGGTTCTCGTTCCTGTTTTGACAGATTGGAAAAAAAAAGGAAAACGGAAAATCCGTCTTCTCTTCTTTTTCTCCCCTCCTCAACGCTTCTTCTTTTTTCTCTCTCCGTCCGTAACGAAGCCGCCGGGCATCTTTGGCACTTCCTCTTCGCCACTCCCTGTACATTACCGACTTTACCCTTTTTTTACTCTACATCCATTTTCCTCCCAGCAGCGCTGTTTAATTCTTCGGAACCTTGGGCCTCTTGTCTCCGCCAATTCCAGCTCGGGTACTCTCTGATCAGCTCGAACCCCTACGGAGCTGCATCCTGATTTCCCCCCGTCTCACACACACATTCCTCACACATACGCCATCATGGCTGCTCCCAACGGCAGTGCGCCTGTCAATGGCCACGACAGCTCCAATGCCGATAAATACAACCTCCCCTCACATTTCATCGGTGGCAACCACCTCGACGTAGCACCCCCCAGCTCCGTCAAGGACTTTGTTGCCAACCATGGCGGTCACTCTGTCATTACTTCGGTGAGTCTTTCCTTATCGCGCAAACGAGAGAGGACGGGACAGAGAGAGGCGGACGGACGACCGTCCGTCGAGAACGACACTCAAGACAAATCGTGGGACCAACAGGACGGAAATGACTGACAATCCAATCTTTCTCACAGGTCCTCATCGCCAACAACGGTATTGCTGCCGTCAAGGAGATCCGATCAGTGCGGAAATGGGCCTACGAGACCTTTGGCAATGAGCGTGCCATCCAGTTCACTGTCATGGCCACCCCGGAGGATCTGCGCGCCAATGCCGACTACATTCGTATGGCCGATCAATACGTTGAGGTCCCCGGTGGTACCAATAATAATAATTACGCCAACGTCGAGCTGATCGTCGATGTGGCCGAGCGCATGGATGTCCACGCCGTGTGGGCTGGCTGGGGTCACGCATCCGAGAACCCTCGGTTACCCGAGTCGCTTGCGGCTTCGCCCAAGAAAATTATCTTCATTGGACCCCCCGCCTCGGCTATGCGCTCTCTGGGTGACAAGATTTCTTCCACCATTGTCGCACAGCATGCCGGTGTCCCCTGTATCCCCTGGTCCGGTACCGGTGTCGAGGAGGTGACGATCGATGACAAGGGCATTGTCACGGTTGAGGATGATGTCTACAGCCGTGGTTGCACGCACTCGCCTCAAGAAGGTCTGGAGAAGGCTCGCGAGATTGGCTTCCCCGTCATGATCAAGGCCTCCGAAGGTGGTGGTGGTAAGGGTATTCGTAAGGTCGAGAACGAGGAAGACTTTGAATCCCTGTACAATGCCGCTGCCAACGAGATTCCTGGTTCGCCCATCTTCATCATGAAGCTTGCTGGCAACGCCCGCCATTTGGAGGTCCAGCTGTTGGCTGATCAGTACGGTAACAACATCTCCCTCTTCGGTCGTGACTGTTCCGTCCAGCGTCGTCACCAGAAGATTATCGAGGAGGCTCCCGTCACTATCGCCAAGCCCATCACTTTCCAGGCCATGGAGAAGGCTGCCGTCAGCCTGGGTCGTCTGGTCGGTTACGTGTCTGCCGGCACCGTCGAGTATCTCTACTCGCACGCTGATGACAAGTTCTACTTCCTCGAGTTGAACCCCCGTCTCCAGGTCGAGCATCCCACCACCGAGATGGTC